GGTTCGTTCAAGCAATTGTCGGAAGCTGCTGTATCGCGAAAAGATGCCCTGGGCCATGGCAGACCAGGCGTCTGGAGTCTTTTCATAGTATTCTCGAATGTACGGTTCCAACCAATCCCATGCTTGTCCTCGTAGGTATGATGACACAAAGATGACTTTTGCGGCGTCGTTGACTAGCCTTCCTCTGTTCATGTCAAGGTGCATATCCATCTGGGTGAGGAACCCTCGAAGCTTAGATCGAGTACCGTCGAAGCTCTCTGCTTTGGGTAACTTGATTCCCACGGAAGATGCTGGTGCAGAGGCGGCGATTTGGGCTGCACTTTGCTCGACTGAGTCTCGAAGGTCTCCAATGTCGTGGTCATGCTTGCTGCTAAAGGTGTTGAGCTGGCTGATCAGGGTGTGAATCTGTTCTTCCAGTGCCCTGACTCGTTTCTCATCTTCATCGTCCGAATCCAAGTCGGTGTGTCGTGTTTGCGTTTTCGGTGGCAGAGGCTCGATCGCCTTGCCCTTGTTGTTACTGCCGTGCGACGCCATGATGCTTGGACTTCACGGTTCGATGACAGGGTGATCAATGTGTTACGAACTGCTAACTGGTCACGGTGAGTAACGTCCGCAAAGGTGATACTTCTCTAGGAGTACTGCAGGCCTCAAGCGTATCCGCAACCGTACCAATGCCTCGGGGGCCTTCTATGGGCTCGGGTCTCTAGGGTGCTTGCAAGGTGTGCCAGTTAGAGCGCCGGTCAAGTCAGTCACTTAGGGATCGAGGATCACTAAGTAAGCTCCCAAGACCGTTGGAGGGTTGTCGCTATGTTCGAACTGTGAAGTACCAAAGGGTGGCTCCAAGTAACAATGATGGGATTGATCACGAAGAACTAAATACATGTGGTAAAGACTGTCCTTATATATCCCTTGCCCAGTATTCCACGCCCTCGTTTGTGGTATACTGCATGCAGGCATGTAGTAGTCCCATTGATATACCATCCGATATACCATTCCTTGGCGATGGATCGTGGTATATTGTCACGTGACTTATACCCTTGTTGTCCTGCATCATCACCGCGGGGTTGGTTGGCTCTGGTTTCCTCTTGTACCCCTGTTGGCGCGAGTGAGGTGGCTTGGTTCGTAACAATCTTTAGACAGAAAGATATAAATAGCTATATCCTAGCGACGAATAGCGATATATATTATATAAACCTTATATTAGGCCTACCGGAACGTTAACGAAATTATACTAATACTAGCGATCCTACTTACTATAGTCAACTTATAAATAGTAGTAAGAGAGAACTAGCGGCGATACGCTAACTCTATTGTATTAAAGGCCTTTATAAGCTCTATCGTAGCCTTTCCGGCCACGACTAATATATCTTTCTTTTATTTATTCTCTTTCTCTTTATCCCCCTCCTTAAGAGTACCCTTAGCCAGAGGCTCCAGAAATTCCTTATTCAGCTAGCTAAGGATTATCTATAGATTATAGATATCCCTAACTATACCCTTTATAACCTAAAGAATATTAGTATAAACCAAAATAAAGGTACCGCGGAACGTATTATATTATATAACGCGTTATAGGCGGAATATTACTAATAGATAACCGAAGCCGCTATATCTAGTTTATATTCGACGACGAAGAGCGACTTAGAGTCGTACGCCTTAACCTTAGTCCAAAAATACTTAGTATACTATAAAAAGATAGACGAAATAGTAGTAGAACGCACTAGTTAGTATAATAATCGACCCGAATAACGATAACGAGGTATAACAATAGTAATAGTCACGGAAAAGGAATAGGAAGTAGTAGAAGCAGCAAGAAACAGAGGATAAAATATAACGAATATAACGTAAAAGAGAAAAAAAGAAAAAGAAAGGAGTTACTACTTAAAAATATAAATAAAGACTCGAATATATAATTCGACGCGTCTTTATTTACTAGTTAACTATATAATCTCTTTATCGCCTCGATAGTGAGGCAAACGAAAACCCCACGAAAAGATACCGCGCCGACGCGCCTATATTATAGCAATAAAATAAACGCGTTAGTTAAGGCTACCTAACCTTAAAAAGGGGGATAATTATAAAGGGTCTACTAAGATAGCAAGGTATAAAATTATTCCTAACTAACGGAAGGGGTGAATCAGGTAATATTATATAATCCTAAAAGAAGTCGGAACTTGTTACTTGATCCACCCTACAGAGGAATGATCACGATATATAACAGAGACCCAGTCGTTTACATTATCGATGATACGTGGAGTTACAAAGATGCTATATGATAAATTGACACTCCCGTATCCAGCTGGCAAGACAAGATTCAGTCTTAACAGTAATAAGGATATACTATTTTCCCTTACTCCTTTCCCCTTGTTTCTTTACCTGATCGACAGGCCTTATACCCTGACAAGTATATTCTTTACAATAGTGCCCCTACGATAAAGATCACATGACACTGTGCCCCACTATAGAGTGCTTCGCTACGCCCCGCAATCAATCCGAGATCGCCAAATTCACCACTACACTATCCCCGGCTACCTTCTTCTCTGCTTATACTCTCTCTCCCCAGCTATTCTTACACTTGCCCTCTACTAAACTCTTATACCAAACTACTGTACTACCGAATTCCTTGATATTCTGTCTTCATATTTATCATGAGAAATACTGAGCCAATCATTGTCTTCGTTGCTCGGGCTAATTTACGTGAAGCTCCCAATCAAGATGCTACCAGATTGTGGCTGCGTGAGTCTTTGGAGCTTGTTTCTCAGAACTATCAGGCCAGATTTGGCATGGGCATTCACCCGCCTCGCTACTACACATTCATACACAATTCCCATAACCCACTATTATCCGGGAATGGGGTAATGGAATACTTCGTCGATTTGCTCAATGAAGGTCGGGATCGAGGCTCTAATATCATTATCGTTCTAAACGGCTGGGATGGACTGACTACCAATGAAGCCTCCTTCTTTCGAATCTTTCACCGTTGCTCGGGGTTTGAAATCAGCGTTCGAATTCGAGTTTTCGCGGTGGAAACCCATGGGTTATTCGATACTCCGCGATTCTTCGATGTCAATTTTTTGCAGGTCTGCTCAGTGCTGAGCGGGGAAATCGACCCCCAAAAAGTCAATGTGACTCGACGAATATACTGAGCTTTTCATCAACACTATCCGAATCATCCATGCCAATGATCTGAGACTAGATCACCCAGAATGGAACTGGCAACTCGTATGCTCACCACTTCTCTGCATACCGCTTTATATTTTGCTGATGATACATCGAGCCAGGCATTTACGGACGATGACTCCCGAAATATTCACCTCTGATGATCGATATACAAACGAAACTATATAGGGCTTGGTTGGTTGAAAATAAGCGCATTGATTCCACGTGCGATGAAAAAAAAAATAATAAAAATTAGGCAGTCGCAGACAAGTGGCTTTTATTGTACCCATCATACATGGAAATATGTCCCTTTTTTGGCTACTTACCTTTGAGCTGCGTTGGGGCTCAATATTGATAATAAGTTTGTAGAGTGAACTACTGTATATATATACAACTTTTTTATAGAATCATATATTAAAAGGAATCACCTGATTGGGCTCTATTCTAGACTTAGTGAATGATAAATAGGTATATTGGGGTGCCCATAGTGAAAAGGGTAGGGTGCCCCTATCAATACCCCTTTTATAGGATAGAAATTATATAACCAAGCTTTTAAATCTAATTTCTATTACTTAAATACTAAACTCAGACTTTACCTCACCGAAACGAGGGTCAGCAGCTGGTCAATTATTATAAGGTTACAGACTTTAAGTTTTGACTTTTTTTACAAAGGCCATAGTGCGCCCAACTTTTCCAAATAAAAATTAATATATTGTCTTTCTCCAGGGCACTTAGCGCGCATCCTATATCTCTTAGGTCGGTACTAGGATCACATTATCTTAGGCTTACACTCTAATAGAGCGTTAACAAAACTGTGGGCTTTAGTGTAAAATAGAACTTTTAAAAACTCTTTGAACATATAACTTCTATAATAAGGTTATTATCCATAAATAGATATGACTATATATATATAAACCAATTTTCATTTTGCTCCGGCTCAATATACACAAATTTTCAATAACTGAGTTTAACTAATATAGATATTGGTAAGTCATCATGAAATGGGCGTGTAGTTCAGTGGCAGAATATTCGTTTTGCAAGCACCCTTGTATACGAAAGGTCCGGCGTTCGATCCGCCGCTCGTCCATCACTTTTTGATAATTTTTTTGGGTATTCAAAAAAACCAGTTTTGACATATTTATCCTTATCTTGTTATTATTGTTATTGTTATTATTTCTTCACTTCTCGCTCAGTTTCATCTCCATGTCTTCCTGGTATAACGCCCTACGATTCCTAGCCTGCTGAGGCATTAATCTCCCGGGTGTACTTTAGATTCACATTTCTGGTGAACCCTACGAAGTTACGGGACAGTCATAAACAATAAGTGGTCGATAGACCGACCGAATTGGGAATTTTCTTCGTTGTTTTAATGAGTTATCTCTGGGTTCTATTCACGTTGCCGCTTTTATTGTACCTCTCCCCCTAGAGAGATAATAGCCTATAGAGGTAATCTGGGTATTCTTAATTTATCGCCTAAGTAGGGCGATTTATGGGTACGCACTTTCTATCTATCTAAATAGTACTATTTCATATGGATTGTGTTCTTGTCTGGTTTTCTGATCGTCATGAATCAATGATATCCTCAAAAACAATATTCCCCCAGGGACAACCTCACTCTCCCTTAATATCTATACTGTAGTGATAAAGCCAGTGATTTGAGTAAGGAACTCTGTGCTCTTTTTACTTAACCTCCTGGGCCAACTATCATAGGGTTCTCCCATATTTATTCTTTATGCCCATAGAGGAACAGACAAACAATGATACAACAAAAGACTTAACCCTAGGCATAGCCTGGTTGCAATTGATTTCCTTTTGTTCTCTGAAATCGGTGAATCAAGATAACCTCAAATACTAACAACCATCCCAGGATCAAACCCTATGGATTGAGAAAAGTAGTAGCCTCGCTGGTTGCTCACAATCTGCTTGCCTGTTCCCTCTTCGGTGAACCGAGTGTTGAAATGCGTATGGCCAAACCCCCATAATCGCACCCGAGGGTTCCTCCAGCATTCTTGTTCCGAAAGATCTGTAGCAAACCCAGACAAGAGTGGGCTGTTGATATGCCTTGGGTCAACCGCACGTGTATCTCGAGTAATTGGGCTATGATGCGTCAAGATCATAATCTTACGTTGGGGCTCTGTTGTGGCAACGTGGGAGACCTGGTCATTCAACCACCTCAGGTCAGCCGCATGAGCAGCATTATGATCCTCGACAGTCCAGCTGTCTATGTAGTAGAAATCGTTCAGCCCAAAGCTGACACGCTCCTGATGTGCTGTCGTAACTTGCGAGTACAGAGTGCATCCTAGTACCGTCACATCTGGCGAAACATCATAGCGGGTCTGGTCCAAGAAGACGAACGTGCCCAGTCTCTCTGCTGCTGGCTGACCCTCTTGGGATGACCGCCGTTGGTAGACCGACTCAGAAAACTGGCAGATCTTTTCCCTTGTTTGATCCCAAGAAGAATGATATGGCTCATGATTTCCCAAGAGAAGGAACACGACCTGGAACCGTCGAAGTTGGGCCTCGACGAAGGAGAAGAAGCCGGCATCCGTGACGACCCCTATGTCTCCAAGAAGCGCCAGATGAGGCGCTTGGGCAGGAATGTCAAACACATCATAGGCGCATGGGTTTTCTAAATGGAGATCCGACACGATCTGGAACTCGACCATTCTCAAGGGTGGAACAGAGACGGGAGTTGTCTGGATGCGATTGGCAGCTAATTTGGGGGGCGACCAAGCAGCCAATCGGAATGGCCTGCCTCAGGCGCCGAGTCTGGGGACTGTGGCGGTGTGGCAGTGCATCGTGACTATGTGGCGCAGTAGTACCATCATTGTTATCTAAGCGCCCAGACGCACGTCTCTTAAAGAGTGCCCCTCCTTGGCCTTGGCTGTAGCCTTCTAGCTTTCGTTTCTCTTCATCATCATTCTCTTCAGTGTGATTTGCTCGGGTAAAATACCACTGTGACTGTGTTGACTCGCAGTGGGATCTGATCTTTGATTTGAGTTGACCACGACGTCATACCCTTATCCGCGTTATCGGTGCCTCTGCGTTGGTTCCTGACTGCCACAGTCGTCAAATCAACTACCGGAATCATGTCAGGCGCTACACATGACCCTCGCCTGCTCTACAGTGTCAAAAATATCCGGGCATATCACATCCAGAATGGGGAAGAACAGGAGCTCACGCCGTCGGGCCCTCAAACGCTTTCTCTGTTGATGGTCCCCACCGATTCCCCAACACCGGCCTCCTCATCTGGGACACCCGGCACAGAGACTCCCGAAGAGGATTTCTATCTTCATCTATACCTTCCACCAGAGCTGGACCTTGCGCTGCCCGCGACCACCCAAATCTTCCACCAGCCTCCGGATAGCTACCTGATTCCCCGCTGGGACATGGCCGCCGATGCAGGCGCCTTTATTCGAATCCAATTCCCTAGCATCGGCACCGGACCAACCAAAGTGTCTCAGGATGATGTCGATACTTTTGAAACTATTCTAGCGCAGTGCACTGCATTCCTCGAGCGTGCCCCTCCTCCAAAGGCGCATGACCCCGCCGCATATAACCCCGCCGACTACGCACCCGGCGAGGGCTACATCTCCACCCCGGATACAAAGACTGAAAACAAACATGGAAAGATTGTGCTTGTGGATGAGGAGAACGGGAGCGTTGTCGGGGAATTGGGAGAAGGATATAATGTGGTGGAAGATGCAGATGTGAAACATGGGTCAAAGAGTGAGTACATCTGCAACGTGATTCATATACTATTTCAGCGGCTGATACTGTTTCTTTCTACAGGACCGGTTGGCATTGAACTCCCCGCGGAAGGCGAGGGTAACCAAGTCAGTGTCAGCAACGTCTCGGAAGAATACTTGGCTATGGCCCGACACCCTGCCTACAAGGGCTCGACGATCGTTCAGACCTCGGCGACGGCATCTAGACTGGTCGTGACCGGATCTTCTTATCTAGCGAATGTTCTTTCCAGCGGAGCAGAATCCTTTACGAAGCGAACAAAGCCCAATCCGAAGCCATTGACCTTCTCCGAGGCTACACATGACCGCATCCGCAAGGTTGGCACATTTTCACACGGCGCTGCCGATATATCAGCCCGCACCGTGGGACAAGTCGGAAAGGTTGCGCAAAACCTCGGGGCGTCTCTGACCCGAGGCAAAGACTCCGGCAAACAAAAGAGTGTTGACAAGAGCAACCCGCCGCCAAACTATAAACCAGGCGTGATGAACAAGTCAATGATTGCCTTCTCGACTCTCGCCGACGGCATCGAGCAAGGCGCACGCAACATGCTCTTCTCGGGCTCCGCCGCGGCCAGCACCATGATTGGCCACCGCTACGGGGACGAGGCGGGCACCGTTGCCAGCAACCTGACTGGCGGAATCAAGAACGTCGGGCTAGTTTACATTGACGCATCGGGGGTCAGCCGCCGTGCCCTTTTGAAATCTGTCGCCAAGGGTATGGTGGTTGGCCGCATGCGCGATGGCAAGCAGGTGGTCGTCGGAGGCGGGGACGGTGGTCAAGTTCCGTCTGGTGCGCATACCGATGCGGCAGGTGCTCAGGGGCTTTCTGGTCTAGGAGCACGAGATCCGGTTGTTCGGCGTCCGTCGCCCAGCCCTACGCCGCCTCCTGCGTACGGTGCCTCGGAGACGATTTCGTTGCCCGGGGGTAAGCGATAAAGGGGAAAGCAGAGCAGCGAAAGGCAAACGTTGGACTTGATGGGAGGGGCTCGGATTTCTTTAGCCTGATTTTCGTCTGGTACGGCAGGTGGCAGGATTCGTTTCGTAGTTAGCTACAGTGTAGATAGTATTTCACATTCTGAATTTGAAAGTCCGCTGCCTCTTGAAATCATAATAGACCTTTGCCTGCTTCGATGCATGAATCATATGGTCCCAAGGAAGACATTGGCGCTAGTAACAGTGTCCATTGGTATATCGAGTTGAAAAAGAAACTCGTACTCGCACCTCCGGCCCGCCACGCCGTTACTTGAGTCACAGTCAGTCCCTTAAACGGCCATGGACCTCGTATTCCCAGGTACCGTTTTAGCCAATAGAGATATATCTCATCTGTGTTCTATACCATCGCCTGGGCAGGATTAGAAATCGTGGATCCTCGACGAAGATAAAGTACGTGCTTTCCACTCGCACATTTGAAAAATATAAATATATCTAACACTTGGAATGCATAGGCACTTCCATTGCTAAAGACTGCTTTTGACCGTGGAGTCAACACGGTAAGAAAATTCCCTATTGCTCTGCAAGTTGTTGCTGCTAATTCTCGGGCAGTGGGATACATCGAACAACTACTCAAATGGCAAGCCAGAGGAGATCATCGGCAAAGCCATCAGGCACTACCAGATCCCTCGCCAGAAACTGACCCTCTTCACCAAATGCTGGGCACCGGCCAGTGAGCACGACAACATATTTGCTGTCCCCTTCGCAGAAGAAATGCGCCAGGACAAGGACTATGTCAATCAATTTGGTAGGTAATCTATACACAAGAGTCACTATAAAAGTGACCTTACGGGATGAAGAATATCCTGAGTTCTGACTATTTATGCTACAGGACTCTCTCGATAAGCCATTTTCAACGCAGTGGATGTATCTCTCAAAAGACTGGGCATCGAGTATATCGATCTCTTCCAGATCCACCGTTTCGACCCATTGACCCATCGCGAGGAGGAGCGTGAAATGAACCGGTTCTGTAATGAAATGGGAGTTGGTCTTATTCCTGTGAGTTTTCTTTTTCTCTCTCTTCAATTTCAATTTCAATTTGTCTCTTTGCGCGTTTACATGGACTATGATTAGTATGGGCGGCTAAGAAGAAACAGTGGAGTCCACTTGAGGCCGGGCGGCTCGCCCGTCCCTTGTCGCATATCGGCGTGACTGCTCGTCTTGAGAATACCAGCGCCAGTGATCTCTTTGATGCAGATGTCACTATCATTGATCGAGTGGGGGAGGTGGCGAAACGGAGAAATTGGTCGATATCTCACGTTGTCTTGGCTTGGGTTACCTGGCGCGTCGCAAGCCCTATCGTGGGCTTTAGTTCGGTCGAACGGATTGATGATGCTTTGGAAATTGGGAATCTGGCTCTAACGGCCGAGGGGGAGAAATACCTTGAGGAGCCGTATGTGCCCAAGGTCGTGGGTGGTCATGATTGACGGGGTGTATTGTTGTCTTAGGGCTTGTCTTGATCAACTTTGTTTACTTCCCGGGGGAAAAGGGATATTCATGATTCACTTTGACGAGCACGGGGAGATATCTCAAGGATATGTTGTTGCATCCCCGTCCATCCCTAGATTATCTTAAACACCAAGTTTCCAAGTTTCCCCATGTCATGCAAGTCATCCAACTTCCCCGGCAACCAGGGTTTGGGTTTCGCCTGGGTGATACAGCACTCGACAGTTTTCTTTTTACTATCTCCCGTAGGCAACGGCCTGGCTTGTCATCGATCATTGGACCAACATCCCCTCGAGACCGCTGAATGACCGATGCGACGATTGGATGAGCAACGCGTATTGTGCGGATGGCAAAAGACTTGCCAACGCATCACCCGCTGGACAGTTGTCCGGCCCACCGAGCACATCCAATGAGGCCCGGTTGTGCTCAAGGAGGGTGGGATGATCTCTCCAGATATTTCCTAATTTTGAGGGTGCTGGGGAGAGGAGCTTTTCTCTTCACCGTAGGTTGTGACATTGATGGCCACAGTGTAGCCAGTGACGCGACCGATTGGAATCCTGACGTGGAGAGTTAAGCTGTGCCGTTAGGTGGAGCTGGGTGGAGCGATGGATTTTTGCATTCCTGATCTCAAGAGATGCAATATTCAAGATTGGCCATATTGTCCAAGGGCCATCTTCAATGTGAGATCAGGAACACGCATTACCCGTACAGTCCCGTTGACGTTGCAGAACCAGCGAACGCCCAGCCAGGGGTGCCATCGAACGCTTTTCTACCGCGGGTGCAATGTTGAGGTTCCAGGGATCGTGAATTTTAGTTCTTTTCTTCTTCTTTTTTTTTTCTTTCTGTTATTTAGACGGCAAATTTAGGAAGGAATTTCTCAGATTCCTCATCTCTCATCGAGTTCGTGGGGGCGTCATCTTAATGACGATCGTCGCCCTGGATTCGAAACAGCCCCTATTGATGAAACTCGATTTCTTTGTTTCTCTTCACCTGGACTGCTATCTTTCCTATTCAGTTCTATGTTTGAGATTCTATTTATTTTTTTTTGAGATTCTATTTTATATTTTGTATTTTGTATTTTCTATTGCGTTTTGCTTTCTTCTGGATCGCACTCGAGCCTCGGACTATCACGAGGCAAGGGACTCGGTCTCCATTTATGCGAAGAGTGATGGATATTGAATATTGGACATGGAAGATGGAATATTGAAATCTGCTGGAATACGCACATACGTAGCGATGGTCGTACTGACTTTTCTCTAAGTCCGTTCATCGATAGTATATAACGTATACTATCCATTGTACTATCCATTGTACTGGAGTCCAGGTACTCGCGAAATACCTCACCTTATTGCGAATCGAAGAGAAATTAGTCTGATAGACTGCAAATATCTCCATAGATCTTGAACCAACACCGTGCCATCAAGGCTCCGAGCACCCAAGACCCGCTTGCTCCCCCAGACTAAACGAAACTAAGGCCGACTGCTCGGATCTCCTCTCTGCCTCGCTCTCTCTCTCTCTCTCTCTTTTCTCTCTTCACCTTCTCATCATCGGCCTTTCCTCCCCGAGGCCATTTCGTTCTCTGCTTTTTCTTTTTTCTTTTCTTTTCCTTTCTTTCTGTTTTTCTTTCTCTTTTTTTCTATCTGGGTTCGGTACCTTCCCCCCCCTTTTCTGGCAGTTCCCTGTCCCTCGCGCCCCCTGTCCGCCCCTCCACCCTGTCTTCGATCATGTTCAGCGACCGTCTCTGTCGCAATTGAATCTCTTGATCGTTTCTGTCGGGTGTGCAATCGCGTCTGAGACACCCGTTCCCGCGTTTGTCCTCATTTCTCGGACAACGTGCGACCCCAAAAGTCGCAGGTCTGACCAGAGGGGATTCTCTGAGAGTACTGCAGCGCAGGTATCTGGTTCCCTTTCTTTTCTCGAATTTCTTTGTTTCTCGACGCGTGTTTTCACCTGGATTTGGTTAAGACCTGGTGCCCTTGGTGAATTGCAAACCCTGTTGAGCGTTCTTTTTTTGATTTCCTTTTTTTTTTTTTTTTTCTCCTGTCGCGACCACTGGGTCCATTTCAATCCCCTCATTCCTCCGATCGAATCTTCCCCTGTCAGTGATCACTGGCCCCCCATTCCTGATAACCTTACGCACATTTTTGGCCTGATAAGATCTGTGGGCCTTCTATACTGACGCGCAATGTCTGCAGTGCTACATCCACGTTGACACTCGGCGAGTGCGACCGACCGCCAACCCCCCTCAGAATTTCGCCAGACACCCTCGGGAGGCCTTTTGTTTCTGCGCGTCAATTGCGCCAATTGCAATTGGCGCCCGACTCCTCTCAACAAGCGTTCGCAGAGGTTGTCCCGGACCGTCATCCAGCAAGTCTTGTAAGGCTTTGCGCATTGAATAGACGGTATGTCGTCGCCCGCGACACAAATCAGATTCCTCCGCGCATACAACCGAATCTCAGTGAAGATGTCGCGACCGAGTCACTAACTCTTTCCCAGCAATTCTTGAGGCCGGTTCCAACCAGCTTCTTCGGCTATGAGCACTTCTCGTCAGCCGGCCCTGCCACTCTCCGCCCATGCTTCATCAGTATCACCCGCGACGACATCGTCTCCAGCCCAAAATAATGCGCGCTCCAATTATCCCGACATGCTAGGCGCTCCGACCATCCCCCCGAGGACCTCGTCGACTCATCACAGCCATCGCAGCCCGAACGGTACGTCGGCAGAAAAAAGCTCACGACACGGCAAGAGCAGAGCCGATCGCAAGGAAAACCGCGACAGGACGCGCGACGATCGCAATGGTAAAAGCCGATCTCGTCGCCATGACCCTACGGAGGAGGCTGCGCGCGAGGCAGGAAAGTCAAGGACGGCGCCACCAGTGACCAAGTCACACCCAGAGCCCGGTATGGAGAGCATCCCCGGACAGGGAACTTTGGTCAAGGAGTCGAGTACCGTGATCAATTCAGTGCTGGTCAGTGATCCTGTCGTGGACCGGGAGAGAGAGCAAGTACGACAAGTGGGTGCGTCGCCCGCGGCCATGGCCGAAGAGGCGTCCGCAGCTGGTCTGAGTATGGCTGGGAGCGACGGTGCCGAGGATGGAGGCCGTGCTGGGCACCGGAGCCGCCATGATTACAACAACGGACATACCGTGAAGCGCAAGGAAACGACATTCGGACAGTACATTCTGGGACAAACCCTAGGTGAGGGTGAGTTCGGCAAGGTCAAGCTGGGATGGAAGAGGGATGGAAGCATCCAGGTGGCTATCAAGCTCATCCGAAGAGAATCGCTGGGATCCAACCCCAGCCGGCTCCCGAAGATCTACCGAGAAATCTCGATTCTACGCGACCTATCTCACCCCAACATTGTCCGCCTTCATGAAATGGTTGAAACCGACCGTCACATCGGAATCATCATGGAATATGCGTCTGGGGGCGAACTGTTCGACTACATCTTGAACAACCGGTATCTCAAGGACAATTCTGCGCGCCGGCTGTTTGCTCAGCTAGTGTCGGGCGTTGGCTATCTCCACAAAAAGGGCATTGTGCACCGAGACCTCAAGCTGGAGAACTTGCTGCTCGACCGAAACCGCAACATCATCATCACCGACTTTGGCTTTGCCAATACCTTCAATCCAACAGACCCCCTGGATGAAGAGATCGAATACAACCTCACCAACAAGGAATACGTGAAGCGCAAGCGGCTGGACAAGCCGGGGCCCAATGGGCTGCGACGAGGGGATCTGATGCAAACAAGTTGTGGTAGCCCCTGCTACGCTGCTCCTGAGCTGGTTGTCAGTGATTCTCTGTATACCGGCCGGAAAGTGGACGTATGGAGCTGCGGTGTTATTTTGGTACGACATTCCTACCCTACACCCAGATTTCCAAATTGAAACTAACATTCGCTTTGCAATAAGTACGCCATGTTGGCTGGATATCTTCCCTTCGACGACGACCCGGCCAATCCAGACGGTGACAACATTAATCTTTTGTACAAATACATTGTCACCACGCCCCTCACATTCCCAGAATACGTGACTCCACATGCCCGTGATCTTCTGCGACGGATATTGGTCCCCGACCCACGAAAACGAGCCGATCTGTTCGAGGTCGCCCGTCACAGCTGGCTGAGCGAGTATTCGCATATTGTGTCCCACATCACCAGCAGCACAACTAACGTCGCGGACATTGCCAACACGACAATACCGGCCGGTATGGATTCATTCTTCGTTGAAAGCATGCTTGGGTGTTGAGTATCTGACTATTTCTACAGAAGCCCAAGATGGACCGTCTCTCGGACGAAGCCACTCCGTCCGCGAGCCGCCAAAGACGCACCAGAGTACCGCTCCAGCAGTTGGTGGACTGAACCATCACGCTGGAGATGTTTCCCAAGACTCGCCAACCGACAAATCCAAGAATACGCGGGACGCCAAACGGAGAACTGTGCAGGTCGAGTACGTTGCTCCTCAGTCGCAGACAGCCAGAGGGGAGCCGCCATCAGACGCGTCCGGGTCGCGCAGCCGAGGCCCTGTCTCATCAGAAGCCCCAGCGGTGATCCAGCAGCCGGCAGAGCCAGCTTTCAAGGGTGGTTATGCACCAGCAGTCACTTCTGAGAAGCCCCCATCCGCACACATTCCTCGTTCGTCCTCCGACAATGCGACATTTGGCGGCCAGACTACGGCAATGCCGCAAAGTACACGACCCACGACCGGTGGCTCCATGGCCTCTCTCAACACTGGTCGTCTGCCCTCTCGAGGCTCCTACGGACAGCCAGTTGCTCCGACAGTCACAGCCACGAATACTGAAGGACGGCTGGCACAGCCGAAGAGCAAGCAGTTTGCACTCCCACAGAACCAGGCCCAGTCATCAAGCACGTCGATTGGCCGCCCAAGCACCCAACAGCTACCCTCATCATTCAATCCGACTCCCCGGCAGGAGCCGCCGGCCAAGGGCCACAAGAGGTCCAACACCGTTTCCAGCCTTGGCGAAAAGCTCTTTGGCCGCTCGGGTTCAATCTTGGGTGGTCGTGGTTCTCAGCCGAATCCCGTTCGCCCCTCAAAACACGACAGGCGTTATCCTCCTACCAGCATGAGCAATGCTCTCCCGAGAGAAAAGTCACGAACATCCATGGACTCGCGACGATCGGTGCAGAATTCGCACAGCCGCAAGGCAAGCGAAGCTGGCGGAGAAGGCCGTCCCCGTCGGTTCTCCCTTCTCCCGCCGTCCTTCTCCTTCCGAACCTTCTCTTCTGGCCGGGCCCAGACACCCGATGAAACATCACAGACGGTTCGCCCCGTGGAGTCTCGTGGCCAACAGCGTCCATCCACAGGACCGGCCGGCCCTGCTCCCAACCGTGCCCGCGCGACGAGCTATGGAACGCAAGACGCCATGGGAATTGTTAGTGAGGGGCCTGGAGAGGATGTCTACCATGACCAAGAACAGCTCAGCTACGAGGCTCAGATCGACCAACAATTTGCGGTTCTGGGATCCCATTTCCACGACCAGCAGGAACCTTACGGTGGCCACTCTTCCGAGCATGTCTATGAGAACAGCGGTGATCAATACTCCGGCCAGCACCACAACTACCAGTCCAAGTCGAATTACTACGACGACTACAGTGGCACCTACGATAGTTTGCCACGGCAGTCGATACAGGCAGGTCGGTCTGGGCGTGGACCAGGGGTCTTACAGAAAAACCGCAAATTTGCCGATGCTTACGAGTATGAGCGGGATCTGTCTCACCACTCTGGCAGCTCTGGCGCAGCGCGCAAAGTCATGGATTTCTTCCGCAGACGTGCCAAGTCCAGGGCAGGTGATGAACGGTAAACCGTTGTGCGAGTCCACAACCATCCTTAAAACTGAAACCACCTCATCTCACGAAATGACCGGTGAGACCAGAAAGATCCAGCAAGTACTCGACTTGTGCCTTGATCTTCGAGAGCAGATCCAAAACACCTTGTCTGATTACAAAAGCGAGGCTGTTTGGATACCGCGTGATACCCACACTGCTTTTGTGCCCTTCTATGCATGGAGCGATTCATCTTCATCCGCTGGGTGTTTGATTGATTATCTAGCATGTTCATCATTTCCTTTGTTCGAATACATTTTCCTTTGCTTAATGTGTTTTGTTTCTTTTCTGTGGCTTTTTCTTTTCCTTTGCCCCTTTGTCTTGTGATTTGTCTTTCTCCCCCTTTCCTCTTCTCCTGTCATTATTACCTCTGGCTGTAAAGTGAGACCCGACTGTTCTTGTTCAGAGTATTATCTTTTGACAACCCCTTTCCATGCAAGCTTCTGTCTTATACGGGAGGTTTCTTCGACGATAATCGAATTGTCCATTCACTGGATTTTTCTTGGGCTGTCTTTGGCTTTGGTTTGCACTTGTGTTTGTAGTTCTCCTCTGGTGGCTTTCTTTCGGCCGGCTCTTGTCATGGGAGGGAAGATCTTTTGCGTTTCCTCTCGGTCCTTTATTTTGTGGTGTGTATTGTATGATGGGCAGTACATTGACTTGGTTTGGCTGTTGTGTTTATGACTGGGCTTTGGAGGACTGTTTGGCTGTTTTGGCTGTGCAGAGGTCTGTATCTAGAAGAGGTGTATGTCCAATGATTTCCTAATCAACCCACTGAGTACTGTGGTGGTTGTCAGAAGAGTAAGAAGGTAGATTGGAATCTATAAATTATTGAATACATTTTTCGATGTCATTCCAGACATCGTCACTGCCCAACTTTCAAATGCTCGACATTGACGAGATCGGCTTCTCGATTCAGACTCTCGATTTCCGCATCTGCAAAGGGAATGCCTTCAGAGAGTCGCTGCTCCTCGGTGATGATCTCAATTTCACCTGGGAAATAGATGCGATCCACGCCAGCCATCTTGTCTGAGTCCACCACCCGCTGATACAGATAGTCCATTCTCTCCGTGAACTCGTCCATAGTCATGAACAAATCCGGCTTGATAACCACCAGGAAATGACCCACATCAGCGGGCTTCGACGGATCATAGGGGTTGGTGACATGCCCTGCGAACGCCGCACCCGAAAATACGCCCGAAAAGACATCCATCATAATCGACAGCGCCGAGCCCTTAGGCCCGCCCATGGGCAGCATAACGCCCTGCAGCGCTTTGGCAGGATCATCCGTCCGGTTTCCATCATCATCAAGCGCCCAGTCCGTAGGAATCTTCTCCCCGCGCCGCAGCGCCTTGTAAACCTTGCCGCGCGCCGCAACCGACGGCGCCATATCAAGGATAAACGGCGTTCGCCCCGGTTCCGCCGGCGCCCCACACGCAATGGGCGACACGCCCATGAGCTTCTCGCGCCCACCCCAAACCGGCAGCGCGGGCGACGAGTTCGTAAACACCAGCGACATCATCCCGGCCTCGAGCGCCTGCTTGACCAGCCACGCCGACATCCCGAAATGGTTCGAGTGCTTGACGGACACCATGCCCAGCCCGAACTCCTGTGCCATTGCAATCGCCTGCTTCATCCCCACGTGCGCGGCTACGAACCCGAACCCGTTTTGGCCGTTGACTTGCGCGGCTACGGGGGTGACTTGCCGGATTGTGGGTGTTGCTTGTGCGTTTAGCGCCTTCTGCCGGATGCGCTCCATGTAGGAGGGGATGCGGTTGCTGCCGTGTGTGTCGACGCCGCGGAGGTCCGCTTGCACGAGGCATTTCGCGACTATTGTTGCGTGCTCGGTTGAGGTGCCGTTGCCGATTAGGATTCGCTGCACGAATTCTTCGAGGTGCGGGGCTTGCACTAGGTGGAGGCGCTGTTGTGTTTCGGGGTTCGCCATTGTTGGAATTGAAGTTTTTTTTCTTTCTTTCCTCTGGTTCTTTCTTTGGGTATTGCTTGGGTTGAGAGCCGGGTAGAGGGAGAATACTCCCGTGTTTTATAGTGTCCGGGACGGATGCGCCCCGACGGAGCAGTGCCGAGTGTGGGGTAATTCCCGACACATACTTGGCTGTGAGTAGCTAAGAGCGCAGCTGATGCCTACTTTTGTCTCAGATGATTCTTATTTAAAAGTTACACAATTGTCCTTGAGATAATATTATAGCTCTATGAATCAAACTAACCCAAACCCCAGCAGCGCTTCATCAGCGCCGTCCACCTCAAAGTCAAACCGAACTAGATCCTCCTTGTACGGAATGAAATACGTGCTCGTAACCCTAGACGATATCAGCTCTTTGGTTAAGCCCTGAAATTTTATCGATTTTAGCGTACTGCTCGTGCTCGCTGCTCGCTTGGTATGCATCCAACGCGGCACGGTCCTCATGGTAGCTCAGCAGCGCATATTGGAAGCCTTTGCTCTTCTCTGCTGGAACCGTGATTGAAGGTCCTCCGACGACGAGTCTCTGGTCCTTGACACAGGCCAGGGACTTGAGAGCTTTGATCTGCGAGAGGAACTCTTGTCGGATATCGTCTCCGGCATCTGCGCGGAACTTGAACAAGACTATAGGAAGAGGGTTAATTGAGCTGTCGAGTTGGCATGTGGTGGAAGAATAATTACCAATGTGAACGATGGTCATTTTGAAGCAAATTTAATTTGACTTAATTCTTTTTTTCAAATATAGAAAATGTTGAATGAACTGGAAATGACTCTTGAACCTTCGAAGATGCCACCGCTTATAAAATTGACGGCGACGGGATGTCATCCGCTCTCGGCGGAGTCGACCCGCACTTCCCACGATTCTTCGTTTTCCACCCAGAATTTTCACCAATTGAAAACTCAAAGCTCACTGCGATGCCTTGAAATATTTCCTTTATCAATATAAATCACAAATATAGCATTATTGGGGAGGTTTCTTGCCCGGTCATGGACTCTCCACGCCGGAGTCGGAATCGCGCCGCTTGTCGGCGATGTCAGCGACGGAAGATCCGCTGCGACGGCGAGCTGCCCCGTTGCGCATCCTGCAAGAAAGCCAACGTGCCATGCGTGAATGACGGTAAGCAAGAAGTCAATCGCACGTGAGTGGCATTCCCACTTTTCTTCCAGGGCTGTCTCCTTGGCTTACTTACCGTTCCTCAGGTACATTGCCAATCTGCAGAAGCGACTGCAATGGCTCGAGTCTTTGGTCAGGGAGCAGGGATCTACGGCTCGACTCGATGCTGGCCCGCCGTCCGATGTGGCCGAAGATTCTCTAATTGACCCTGCGAATGAAGAGCATCGTGATTCTGCTGTTGCATATATTGCTCCTCGATCAGCAACACCGCATGAACAGCCGTCTCGACCAGTAGACCCGCAGCCATCGCGCACGCAGTCGAGACAGGCTCATGAGATTGGCCTCGTATCTCTTTTTCCCGGCGGCGAGCCCAGATACATCGGGCCCTCCAGCGGTTACTTTCTCGCCAATCTTGTCTTCTCAAGTGCTGGTCGACGAGCCGGTGCCTTCATGGGCAATGCCAATGTGGTCGAGCCTATATCCTTGTCGACGGAGCTCTTCAATAGTCCGGCCTCACTACCCTGCCGGAAAGAAGATGCCCTGGAGCTTTCTGCTAAATACTTTACCTCTGTCCACCTCCTCTACCCATTCCTGCACGAGCCATCTCACATGCAGCGCGTCGAGAAAATGTACACCGATGATACATGTGTTACTACTCCCGATCCGGCTTCCGCCTTTCATGTCTACATGGTGCTTGCCATAGCAGCCTCTGATCTCTCTCGGCGCTTCAAGCTCCGGCTTCCTGCTGAGGGGTACTACACGGCCGCCACGCAACACTTTGAACGGGCATGCGCCGAGGGCTCCTTGGAGGGACTGCAGAGTCTGCTGCTTCTTATGGTGTATGCGCTCCACAACCCGTCCTGTGGCATCAATATCTGGAGCTTGAACTACCTGTGTCTTGGAACACTCATCGACCTGGGTTTGCAGCGCGATGTTCGCACGTCGTCTGCATTCCCGATATCTTTTTTGGAGCAGGAAATGAGGACCAGGATCTTTTGGGCCGTGTATACTATGGACCGAACGCTCGGTACAATGATGGGGCGGCCGATCGGGGTCCGGGATGAAGCGTGCGAGCTGCGAGTGAGTGGTTGATTGTTCTTGACTTGTGATTGATGAGGCTTGTTGCTTACTCGATATCATCAGCTTCCTTCGGATGTTGCCGATTGCTATCTCACCGAGTCGGTGAGACCTGAAGAGTCAAGGGACACGCCGTCGCACATGTCATATTCGATTCATCTGTTTAAGCTTGCGCGAATGAACTCTGAGATCAAATATGTCATGCACAGTATCTGCAGAGATCCTCCTCGCTACGCTTATCCACCAGTCGCCGACATTCACCTGTGGCAAAGGGAGATGATTGACCGTCTCGAAACATGGCTGACGGATACCCCACGAGTGACAGGAATGGAGTCAATAGCTAAAGTCTGCGAGACCAAGTACCATGAGATGATGATCCTCATCCTTCGTCCTAGTCCCGGCATCCCGGAACCCTCCGAAGACCTGCTCACACGCTGCTTCCAGCACGCCGTGGATTTGCTTCGCGGATTCGGAGAGCTGTACCGACAAGAGGCGCTGCTATACAGCCGGCTTATTGTGCATTCAATCTTCCTCAGCACCCTGATCATGCTCCACTGCCTGTGGCGATTCCCACAGATCGCGTCGCATGTCCAGATCGACGAGGTCGCCGCTGACTCAAGTATCAGCCTGAATATCCTCAGTAGTATTGGTGAGTACTGGGCCGAGGCGCGCCGAGCTAGAGATTGCATTCATGAATTGTCGAGCGCTACTATCCAGCGCTTGGTCAAGATGCGAGGCTTCGATGCGCCTGCAGCCATGACCCGATCCAACCGGACTGCATCTCATGCTGTGTCTGGTGTGTCGGGTCGTGGTTTACGCGCACAAAATCCAATCGAAACTCCTGGCCCGCCTTCTCAGGCTGATTCGGGTATTGATCCTGCTTCTGCTATTAGCTCATTCCCCGATGAGTATGATCTGAACATTGACTCTACGAGTTGGTTGACTGATTCTCTGCCTGGGGGGTTTATGGATTTTGCTGGCGCTCCTGATTTTGATAGCCTTATGTGGGGGGTGTTTAACAGCACCTAGAAAGATGGATGTTGTCCAGCCTGGGCTTCTTATTACATTCGCTGAACTAAATTTTCATAGCCAATGAGCCCATAAGATAGCTATTATACTAGTCTAATTTCTATGGATCCTCTCTGGTAGGCTATAGGCTAACTGCAGGATAGTAAATTTTTCCTGAATATTCCCTAGAAATAATTATCGCTACTCGATCTGAATAGGGGCTGTATAGGAGTGCAATCTATAGATATCCATCTGCCCATCAACCTAGGTTACGTAGGGCCCCACACTCCCGCATCCCCACCGCCGCCGATAGCCGAGGTCCCTCAGCTTCCCTCGTGATTTCACCTTCACGTTCACTCCTCTTACCTCTCTTTTTTTCTTCTCCATACCCCAACCCCTAGTTCTACACCTGACATCGCAATGACCTCCATCACCCGCGCCTTGCGGCCTCTGTCACGGACCATTCCTTCGGTCCGCGTGGCCTCCAAACGCCTAGCTCCAACCCGACCAGTGCAGAGGTATGTGCCCGCCACAATGGGACCAAAATCATTGAATACTAACCAAAAGTCATATTTGACAGCGCCTATGCATTCTCAACCACCACCCACCGGCGGGATGTCGATCTCTCGCACCTGACGCCCACGCCCATCACCCTGTTGTCCGACACGGAATCGCTAATGGCCGACTCGGTGTCCAAGTTCGCAGCAGAGCAAATCGGCCCGAAAGTGCGGGACATGGACGAAGCCGAGACGATGGATGCAGCGGTGGTGGAGCAGCTCTTCGAGCAGGGCCTGATGAGCGTCGAGGTGCCGGAGGAGTTCGGCGGCGCGGGCATGAACTTCACGGCGGCGATTGTCGCCATCGAAGAGCTGGCGCGCGTCGACCCCAGCGTCAGCGTGCTGGTCGACGTCCACAACACGCTGGTCAACACCGCCATCATGAAGTACGGCGACGCCCAGGCCCAGCGCACCTGGCTCCCCAAGTTGGCGACCGGCACGGTCGGCTCGTTCTGTTTGTCGGAGCCTGCGTCGGGGTCGGATGCCTTTGCGCTGCAGACTAAGGCGGAGAAGACCGCTGATGGCTATAAGCTGAATGGTTCTAAGATGTGGATTACCAACGCTATGGAGTCCGGTATCTTTATTGTCTTTGCCAACCTTGACCCCAGCCAGGGGTATAAGGGTATCACTGCTTTCATTGTCGAGAAGGATACCCCTGGCTTCTCGGTTGCCAAGAAGGAGAAGAAGCTCGGTATCCGTGCTAGCAGCACCTGTGTGCTTAACTTTGACGACGTCGTCATCCCCAAGAGCAATCTACTCGGCGAGGAGGGCCAGGGCTACAAGTACGCCATCAGCGTGCTGAACGAGGGCCGGATTGGAATTGCGGCCCAGATGACCGGTCTGGCGCTCGGTGCCTGGGAGAATGCCGCCAAGTAAGTTTCTTTACTTTTTTATATTCTGCACGTGCATAGTAGACAACCAGCTGAACCGCATCTAGGTACGTCTGGAACGACCGCCGCCAATTCGGCCAGCTTATTGGCAACTTCCAGGGCATGCAACACCAGCTTGCCCAGGCCTACACGGAGATTGCCGCCGCCCGCGCTCTGGTGTACAATGCGGCGCGCAAGAAGGAGGCCGGCCAGGACTTTGTGCAGGACGCCGCGATGGCCAAGCTCTACGCCTCGCAGGTCGCCGGCCGCGTGTCCGGTTCCGCTGTTGAGTGGATGGGCGGCATGGGCTTTGTGCGCGAGGGCATCGCAGAGAAGATGTTCCGCGATAGTAAGATTGGCGCCATCTACGAGGGGACCAGCAACATCCAGCTACAGACGATTGCCAAGCTGCTGCAGAAGCAATATACAGCATAAGATTGAATTTTTCTTTGGTTTTTTATGCTTTGTTTCCAACTTGAATACTTCAAAGGACTCGCATTGTTGGCGTCTGGTTTTCTGCTCGAGTGTGTATAGTTCCAGAGCTGAATTTACACGATGGCGAAATCCGAATTTCTTCATCTCATCTTTGATACAGGTGCCTTGCCTCCTGGGCATGCATAAGCCGTTATATGTACAAGATACAAATAAGAGCCATGATACAACAAAAGAAAAAAGAAAAGAAAAGAAAAGGAACAAGATTAAAATCAAAAACCAAATCAAACTCCCCCACGCCATGCCGCTTCTAAGCAATGTCTCGCATACATGCAATGCAGAATTGATGTCCCCATTTCCCCACCAGATGACGAAAGGGTAAATGGGCATCAGATAAAAGACCTCTCCCATTTGGACAGATGATCCGCTCAGGGCTCGGATTGTCCCCTGGCCCCCGGGACCAGAGGGAGTGTGGGGGTGGACCGGGAATGACTCCGACAGGGTTCGCGCCATCTGCGGCCCGTTGCCTCATTGATCAGAGGTACTTGATGTATGTGATGATTACTGCGAGGTGAGTTAGTGATTGCCGTTGGAAAATGGGGTTCAACGGACGGGGTCAAGCATACCATCAAGTTTGGGAGCGCTTTTCGAGGGCCACTGAGAAAAGAGGGCTTCTCGGCCTCTTTATTTTTCTCGCGTGAATATGAATGTGTGCGCGCGAGGCATGTACTTTCATGTCTGTGAGACCCATTGGTAGGGGTATGCCTGGTCTCCCTGTGGGGAATGGGCCATCGGGTGCTGGTATGACGGGGCAGAGGCCTGGTAGACGGCCGTCGGCAAGTGCGCGGCTGTCACGCTGGGCATGGAACCGGGCATGGATGCGGGCATGGAGCAGTGGCTGGGGAGATACTGCGAGAAAGCCGAGTCGGGGGAGTCCTGGGTGGGACTGGTGGTGGCACTGAAGCTGATCTGGGGACCGGGGACGGAGAGCGAGGAAGGCACGATGCGGCCGCCCTGTTGCAGCTGGCCATCGATCACGTACGAGTCCATGTGGTTGGAAAACGACTCCGGGTCGGACGCGGCGCCCAGCGACGGCGACCGCGTCGAGTATTGTTCCTGCCAGTCGGCGGGGTGGGGCGATCGGCTGGAGGCTGAGCGAGGGACGGTGGGGGTCGCGTGAGCCGTGCTGGTGAAGTGCGGCGAGAGCATCGTCCCCGTGGTTGGGATGGCTGTGCTGTTGGGGGCTTCTTCCATGCCCCATCCACCGCGGTGAGATCCCGCGGCCACCTGCTCACCGGCACCGGCGAATCCGGGACGGGCCAACGAGGTTAATTGGTGTTTGAGACGGTCGACCTCGTCCTCGAGAACGGCGTTGCGTTGTATGATCTCGTCGAAGCGGTCACTGCGCGGCCGTAGATCCGCGATCTGGCCCTGCAGCGATGACACCTGGATCTCGAGCTGCTCGATGTGCTCCTTGGTGCGTTGACGGATGGACCGCTGGGCTTCGCGGTCATTGGCACGTTTGCGCTCCAGCTGTTCAGCGGAGAGCGAGGATACCTTGCGAGTGCCGGAGCGAGACTCGCGCTTCTGCAGCGGTCTCATGTCCTTGCTGGCCATAGCTCTCTTAGCTCTCAGACTAGGCACCAGTCGATGAGCACCCAGGCCGGCCTCCTTGGCCCAGTTTTCACGAACAAAGAATGCGGCGCCGTTGGCGATCATCGATCCCCCGGCGGGCGCTTGGGGTAGAGTATTCAACATAGAGGCGAAAGGGCAAAGAGAGGGAAATAAAGGAAGAAAAGAACGGGGGGGCAAGGCTGGTTTATGGTGGGATATCTCCGAGCCCGAGATGAGGTAAGGGCACACAGAATTGTGAATACAAGAGCCTTGGAGAGACGAGGCTGTAGAGACTCGATGGGTTGTATAAGAAGGTTGTGAGCCGGTTGAGCCGGTTGAGCCTCTTGAATCAAACTCAGGGGGGGAAGCAGAGTGCTTAAATACCAGAGTCCATGATTTTAGTTTATCAATTATTTTATCAATTATATTCTATGAAGATTGATTTTACAGCCCCTCGATAGAACGCATTCTCCGGATCAGCAATGCTACGTGATTGTTGCGAAGGGCAAGGCTATCCAACGGCCGAACGGTGAGTCCGACGAGGCCAATAAGAGCCTGGCTATGTGTGCAGTTCAGTGGGCCTCTGGAAACCTATGGATATATAGCGTCTTTTTCTTTCCTTTTTCTTTTATTTGCTGCGAGACCGATACGCCGCCCCCATGGGCTCCACTTTTTTGTTGCGAGTTGCGACCTGCCAGGATGAGTTAGGTGAAGCCAGGATGCACGCTGACAACGTCCCTAGCAGTTTAATGTGTTTTAACACTCGGGGCATGAGTAATGTCAGAGCTGGGGACTCTGCACCTTGTATTTATTTACCATGATTTCTTTTATATTATCAATCCCCTGAATCATCGGTTTTATGTTGCTTAGCCACAACCATGGAGATATTCACCTCCCATTGTTTCTCTCTCTCTCTCTCTCTCTCTTTCACTCTTAACGCCTAGCTCCAGTCTCCAGTGAGGATCTCCTTGAGTGGGGACAAAAAAGAAGCAAAAAAGCTACCAAATTTTATGGAAGTTTGTGCCAAACGCCCGAACCCGTTTCCGTTCCCGTGTCCGACACCAGCCCGACCGACCCGACATCATGGAACCTCCGTCTCTTGGGGGTTGTGAATGTTTTTTTTGGCCCCTCTGATATGGCCGATATGGCCGAATTCTTGACCCAGAGTTTTTGCAAAAAATCCTGCCGTTTCAAGGCCACCCTAAATTGAAACCCTTTTCTCACCTTCCAATTTGAACCATAGAAGGCTGTGAGAGATGGGGTAGATGATCTTTGAGGCTCAGATTTAGTCCTCGCCATGTGGGCTATACATAAAAATAGATGGAAGGTTAATTCCCCTCTCCCTATGCCATATTGATGCCATATCTACTAACCAACTTAATCCTTGAATTTAAATTTAAGGCTTGCCAGGAATCGCCAGAAATTCCTGGACTGGCACAGTATTCCCTCGATAGTCAGGGGGGTGCTAGAATGACGCACGTTAAATGATCCTGTTACCTCCTTCAGTAAAGAGCCAGGAGCATCAAATTTATTCAACGTCACGAGACTGCATACACTATTTCCTAATGATCGATGAAAGTCCCTCTCTGGTGATTCGATACCAAGTACATCGAAGTGGGGAAGAACTAGAGAAGGCGGAGCAGTGCTTCAAATGAGTACTGAGTATCAAGTAGGATTCAAGAGTACTACACTAGCTAGAATAGGTGGACGCGTCCGCAACTTGAGAGAGAGAGAAAGGGAGGAGTTCTAGACAGGGCAGGTCCTAAACCCCTGGGCGATCATACATGGTGGATATGCAGGGCGAAGGAAGCGCTAGAGGACAGGGTTAGACTGGGTAAATGTTTGACCTTTTTCTTCTAGTTCACTCGTTAAACCTGTCCAATTCAAGTCGTCGAGCGGCACGGCACAATGCCTAAATTCCTCGCCCCACGTCACATCTGCTGTCGCAGCCTCGTGGGTCTCCAGTCTTCTACTGGGGCGTGTGATTTAGCTTTGATGATCAACCGCCGAGAGAGGCTGAGGGTTATTGCTGGACTTTCCCAGATTGGCTTTGTTCATTTTCCTCTTTGGGTTGTCTGGTGCCCGGTCCTTGCCAAAGCCGATCATGGGCTTGACTCGTGGTTGACAGCGCCCCTGGTGCCCTGTGGGTTACACCACAGGATGTCCCTGAGGAACCGATTTCCGAAACAAGGGTTTTCAAGATTCCTTGCTTGATTTCCTTGCAGATTTACTTGTAATGCCGAACTCTTTGTGGTCCTAGGATTGTTTGGATTGGGGGCGTTGCTCATCCAGAGCATGAAAAGGCAGCGATTTGGAATATCGGCAGACATTGCCGGAGGCATTCCGCCCCCAGAGATCCATACTAGAGGATTCTATGGATAGGATGCCCCCTTTGAAACAGAAACATAACAACATAAAGTCGAATCTTCCCAACCCGGAGTGACCAGGGCCCGGTAGAGCACGTGACCAAGAAGCTCAAGCTCCCACCGGCATAAGGATTGCTCCGACTTCCCCAACCCCCACCCCAATCTTCCACCGCCCATTATACATCTACATGGATTGCGTGGTCGTGTGCTAGTCTCGGAACACAGCGGCTACCAGTGGCGGACTAGATCCAATACTCTACCATGGACCCCAATTACAAAGCCCGCAAAGAGGCCTTCGTGTCCAATCTGATGGGTAGCTCCATCTGGGAGATCAACTCCGTGACTCTGGTCGCTTCAGTGAGCTGCGCCCGGCCTTGATTCAATTGGATTGTTGCTGATCATTCCCCTTGCCATAACCTCAGACATCGGTGCTCCTCTGGTCCGCCCTTCAGTCTCGGCTATCCTTCTTCACGCCCGATGGCCCGGCAGCTCTCGTAACCGACTTTCTTCTCAATGTCTTGGCCATCCTGTTCGCAACGACAGCATATTCGTCGGCGCCACTGCTCCTGAATATCTTCCTTGCCTCGCCAGCGCTCTTCCTTTTGCTCAACCAGCCGCGACCCCGCGCGCAAAAAGCAAAACCACCTCGTAAAGCCGCCCAGGATGATAGTTCCCAGGACCCGACGGCGCTGCCCGTCCACCCGTTCTTGACCACCTACCGCGCAGCCATGATGATCGTCACCTGCGTGGCCATCCTGGCTGTCGATTTCCGGGTCTTCCCCCGACGCTTTGCCAAGGTCGAGAACTGGGGAACCTCCCTGATGGACTTGGGCGTAGGATCCTTTGTCTTCTCTGCTGGCGTGGTCTCGGCACGCGCGGTGCTCAAGAGCCGCAGGTCCCAGTCGCCGGGGCGCGCCCTTCCAGCGAGATTGATCGGTTCCGCCCGCCATTCAATCCCCTTACTGGTGCTGGGCCTGATCCGGCTGTACAGTGTCAAGGGTCTGGATTACGCCGAGCATGTTACAGAATACGGCGTGCATTGGAATTTCTTTTTCACACTGGGGTTGTTGCCTCCGTTTGTAGAGCTCTTCGACTCGTTGACGGCGTTGATCCCCTCTTATGAGGTGCTTGCCCTCGGCGTCGCCGTCCTCTACCAGGTCGCCCTGGAGTCGACCGATCTTAAAGGCTACATTCTTGTGTCGCCCCGTGGGCCTGACTTTCTGTCCAAGAATCGGGAGGGCATTTTCTCCTTCCTGGGATATTTTGCCATTTTCCTTGCGGGACGCGGCGTGGGAATCCGTATTATGCCTCGTGGAACCTCGCCTTCCAAATCGCCCCAGCAGGCCCGCAAGTCTCTCCTGGTGAGCCTGGCGCTGCAGATTGCGTTCTGGTCCATTCTGTTTTATTTCAACTCCACTTATGCCATGGGTTACGGGGCCAACATCATCGTGTCGCGTCGGCTGGCCAACATGCCGTACGTGCTCTGGGTATCAGCCTTTAACAGCGCACAGCTCTTCCTGTTTTGTCTGACAGAGACCGTGTTTTTCCCAACGGTCCATCGCGCAACCACCAAGGAAGATGAAGCTGAGCGCACGACGTTTGCAACCAGCCGCATCCTCCGCGCCTTTAACCGTGGCGGTCTGGGCATTTTCCTGGTTGCCAATCTCCTGACCGGGGCGGTGAATCTTGCCATCCCCACGCTGGATGTCAACACCCCGCAAGCAATGGCCATTCTGGTGGCCTATGCGGCGGTGCTGACCGCCATTGCGCTGGGGATGGACAAGGCCAACATCAAGCTGGCTTTGTAGGTTTTGTATTTTTGATATTTATGGGAGATACCCAGTACATAGCGACTTGGATATCATCGACTAAAAAATTCAGTTGCCCTACCTGTATACATACACCTGGCTAAACTTCAGCTCTGGGACATGCCTCCAAAAAGGTCTAGAAATCACAATCAGGCTCAGGAATTGGGGTCAGGACAATCAGATGGAGCTTGTTCTCATCGAGTATCTGATCTACATCTCATGGATGCATGGATGTCGTGTTCGGCCTGTGTTCGGGTGCCCGCGAGGTCCTGAGGTGGATACCATCGAAATGGGGCTTTAGGGCTTGTTTGATTGGTCACTGCAGAAATTGGGCTCGGTGGTTAACATGATCTACTAGAGTGGGAATTCTGCCCCTTTCTCGACCCCAGTACCAATTCCTCCCTCATGCTTGCCCTAAGCGCCTACACTAGGAGCTGCGAGATGTGCCACCAAATAAGAGTGGGGTCCGTGGGGTCCGTGGGGTCCGCAGGCCTGAGCACAAGATGGCATATCGACATGCCTAAATAGGAAGGTAGTGGAAGTTGTAAGGAATTCTACTATTTTTATTTTTCTTTGTTTACTTTTCTTCCCACTTCTTCATTATTATTATTATTATTATTATTATTATTATTATACTCCCCATCTTTTAGTGTGTTTCTTTTGTACAACCCAGATCTCTGGTTATCGCCCTCCGGCCTCGCCGCCTCGATCTATTGAGATCTGCGTTTTAATGGTGGATCCATGATTTACCAGCAGAGTCATTAGCTTGCCACGTCTCCCGGCAAGGGCGATCATTTTGCTTTTTTTTTTTCGTTCTAATTTCTTTGTTCCGGTGTAGGCAGCACTGGAGAGACTTTCGGGTCCGAGGATATGATCAGACATGCTATGAAGACTTAGGCGTGTTATGATGGTAGAAACTATGAGTTATTTCTCACAGTCGTACGTTGCTCGGATGATATATTTGAAATACATATATCTATATGTCCAGAGGATTCGAGAAATCCAGCGGACAATTGTCACGATATCCCGATTTGTTTGTATGTACTTGACTTTTTGACAGAGATGCGAGCAGCCTTTTAAGCTTTCTTGCATTGCAATCAATCAGTGGGTTTCAGCAGAATCCTTCATGGTCATATCCATGGATTGCCCTCGATCGAATCCTGTCATTCAAGGAGCCTGGATTAGCCTCCGAAGGTTATTTCGCTCAAAGTTCATATCTCCGGCTCTTACATAGCCTTTTTTTTTAAAAAATATTTTATTTATTATATTTCATTTTCCTCTCTATGTCATTGCTCGGAACATTCCCAGCCCTGAATCATGTTAGACTCCCGAATCGTGGGGATCGTTCCTTCGCCCTTCGATAGTGGTGCCGGGGAGTCGTGTGGAGCAGTTGGCTAATCGTCACCTTAATGGATGCTATCCGTTAAGGAACGGCCGAGCCGCCTCCGCTTACAAAATACATACACTGTTCAGCGTCTCTAACAGAGTTTGAAACCCCGTTGGGCAAGTTTGAGGTCCTTGGGTAGTGTTTCGGGTGATCCGCTTTCGCTTGTATATACGACCTTTGTCTCTTCGGGCGCGCGCTCTCTCTCTCTCTCTGCACAGCCATAGACAGGACTATACTCCTAGCGCTTACACCCAATTAGTACATCCAAGTAGTACAAAAGGCCAGTATACAAACACCCCCGTCTAGGTTCTACCTCTGTGAGTCTGTAGAAAAATCTGCTTTTTTATTAATTCTCTCATAGACAACTGTGAGTTTCACTTTCCAGCCCCCAAAACCAATATCGGTGCTTCTGGCCAATTTAGACGAAAGGCCGGATAGTGGACCAGTTCAGGATTGCAACCACTGTGGCGGGAAACGAGAGAGAGAAAAAAGAAAGACGCATTAGTAATGGTCAATCTAGGCAATTCCTTCATAGTGATTTGGCTTAGAGGGAAATAGGTCACTGCACTTCCATAGCCCTAAAGACTTGGAGAAATACAGTAGAGTCTATTGTCAGCAAGGTCAAATGTTCGGCAGACACTACGATTTCCGGGCTCCCTACTAATTCCTGTCAATTTCACTGGTTTTGATTATTCTTGGATGTAGTCCCAGGATTTGTAGAAGTTGTTCTTCCACTTCAAAACTCCGCTTCACGTCTCGAACAAACCATTTATCGGCGGCGGTCTCCGAATGCCACCAAGAGGACCGTGGGCATTTGATGACGACCCCTATTGCCACATTTACAATACAGGATGTTGAACCTTCGCTCAAGATTTCGCCGAGAGGAGGCTCGTACGGGACCGGGGCATCGATTTCGATGCTCATGGCACCTGGGCTTTTCGTGATTGACGTTGCGTGTGTATCGTCTGCCGTCCCTGGAGGTTTCCCATTGACCGAGCCTCTACAGCACTCAACATCATCTGGCTTCTCACTATTCGGAGGACGAATTTTGAAGAGCGATGGTACTTGAAAGAAGAAAGCGAAGGTATGAGTCCAAATGCCGAACATGGTGATGTGCTTGAAGGGAGTCGTGCGAGGAACAAAGGAGTCGAGCCAAGGTGCACAGACCAACCCGTCGATCAAGCTATACGCGCGAGGCATTGCCTCTATGTTGCAGGCATAGAAACAAATCTAATATATAATATATTGTTATTACCATTAAATATATATATATTTCTGGTGAGATGTTCAAGTTCAAAATGTTGTGATTGACTCGCCGTTGTACATTTCGGCATAATCGGGCCCCATGTGATGGATGCATCTTATCGCTCTCCACTTTCTGCACCTTACAACACCCCCCAGGATGAGCTCCAATCCCTCGTTTTTCGACTATCCTGTGCCGCGGGAGGGTCCTGCGGCGCCTTACAAGAACGAAACACAATCGATTCCCGTCTTCCGGGGAATTCCATTGGCCATCGGCGCAACAGTGTAAGCTAGGAAGCTCCGAGTCCGCTCAGGGAGTCCCATCGGATTGGTCACTGACTTCCATGTAGAATCCATAACGTCGGCTTCATCCAGAGCCACTTCTGGCGCAATGCTGGCTTTGATGTCATCCGTGAAATCCCTTACCTCCATCAATATGCCGCTCGCCATGATCCAACCGTGATTCCCATCGACCATGCCCACCGCGACGGCTCCGCACCTACGGCGGCTTCGGTAGAACGACGGAAAGGAAACAGTGGATATTATACGTCGGCTGATTACCGGGCGATGTATGAGTCGGGCGAGTTGACCCCGACCGCAGTCGTCGAGACGCTGCTGCCTCTGGTCCGGCGTGACGCGCAGCCCCCGGCAAACACTCGACTGCGTTCCTGGAGTCCCAGGCCGATGCCATCCGTGCGGCTGCCGACGCGTCCACGCAGCGATACAAGCAGGGCAAGCCTCTAGGTCCGCTGGACGGCGTGCCGGTCGCCGTGAAGGATGAGGTGCATCTGACGGGATACAAGCGCACGGTGGGAACGAAGCTCGATTTCTCCGGTGGCATTAATGCTACTTCATGGTGTGTTAAACAATGGGAGGATGCAGGAGCTATCGTCATTGGAAAGAGCACCATGCACGAGCTGGGACTTGGTGAGTATCCCCCTCAATACCATGAGGGATTGCCAGGTAGCTGATATGCTGTATTGCAGACACAAACAATAACAACCCCAATTATGGGACCCCGCGCAACCCTCACAACCAAGATTACTACTGCGGTGGTTCCTCTGGCGGATCTGGGTACGCCGTCGGAGCTGGCCTCGTACCCATCGCACTGGGAGCCGACGGCGGAGGCTCGATTCGGATCCCGTCGTCCTTCTGTGGAATCTGGGGGCTGAAGACCTCGCACAGTCGAGTTTCCGGGGCGCCGACTTTGAGTCTTGCGGCGAGTGTTGGCGTCTACGGTCCCATGGCGGCCAGCATTGATGATCTCGCCCTCGCGTACCGCATCATGGCCACCCCAGCCCCCGCCACGCAGGACCCGGTTTCGTCGCAGTTCCCGCATCCCGTGCCACCACCCGCCGACACCAAGCGCTCAAAGACGATCGGTATAGTCCGTGACTGGCTCGATCGCGCCGAGCCCCCCGTGCGCAAGGTGCTGGATGCCGCGCTGGACCACTACCGCCAGCAGGGCTACACGGTCATTGACATCGCGATCCCTTACCTCCCCGAAGGCCAACGCGCACACACCCTGACTATCATGGCGGAGATTGCCTCTGGCGTGGATGAGCGCCAGATCCGCCAGCTCACGGCCCCCAATAAAGTCATGGTCTCCCTGGGCATGTACCAGATCAACGCGCAGGATCTGCTTGCCTCGCAGCGGCTGCGCAATCTGCTCATGACGCATCTCGCGCATCTCTTCCAGACTCACCCCGGCCTACTGATCGTCTCACCAACCACCCCTATTCCCGGATGGCACATCGACGGCGGCAAGGCCGATCTCTCGCACGGTCTGTCTGATGGCAAGGCCACCGTGCGCAATATGGAGTATGTCTGGCTGGCCAATTTCACCGGCTGTCCGGCTATTAACTGTCCCGCGGGCTATGCGAGTGACAGCGGCGTGCCGATTGGGGTGATGGCCATGGGCGAATGGGGCACCGAGGAGGATCTGATTGCCTTTGCTCGGGACGGGGAGTCTATCCTGGACCGTACGGAGGAGGGCTCGACGTCTCAGGGTCTGCGCATTCCCGCAGCGAAGGATGCCCTGTGGGAGGATATCATTGCCCTGGCTCAGAAACATTCTGAATAAACCCAGCAAGTTTGCATTTATCCATGGATGTGCCGTTTAGCCATTGATGCCATGATGAGTAAGTATGTTTTATTCCCTCATTGTTGACTACTTGAATATACTTGAGAATGATGCCATATCGAAATTTACGGATCATTTAAGTAGTCCAACAAAACTGTCTTTTCTTTCAAATAACACACAATAAAACATATGGACAACACTCGTCTAACCCGTAAATCTCATCCATATCTCCCCCCCCCACCTATCACCAACGACTATTCAAAACAGCATCAGACGGGTCATACACCGTCATATTAAACAACGCACAATTGCCGACATCAAACGTGCCGCCATGCTTCTTGCCGCTGTCAGTATCACAGCCATTAGCAATCTGCCCAATATAGCTCATGCACTCGTCATGCTCGAAAGTGGGAGTCTCCTTGCAATCCTTGAGCTGCAGCCTCAGCGTGCACTCATTATTGGACTCGCCCATCCCCGTATAATCCTCATGAAACCCATCGCGCGTATTCAGCTTGAGGTTCGAACAGAAATTGTCAATATTCCCACTATTCGAGTCGTCCCCGTTCAGCAGATCGACCGGGTATGTCGCCCCGTCGCCGTCCTTGCATTTCAGCTCCGAGTCCTGCGTCACCGACAAGCTGAAGATGTAGCACTCGTCCGTTGTCACGCGCCCGCCGTGCTTGTCGCCGCTGTCGGTGTCGCAGTTGTTCGCCAGCAGGTTCATGTATTCCTTGCAGTAGTCGGCCGAGATCTCGCCGCCGTGGGGTACGTTGCATCCTTCTTGCGTCGAAACCTTCATGTGCGCTTTGCTGTCGCCCGCGTACTTGCCGTCGAAGGTCTGCTCATACGGCCAGTTCTTTTGGCCTGCTGCCTTGATGCAGAATTTGTCTAGGTTGCCCGATTGCGAGCCCTCGGTGTTGAGCAGTGACACGGGGTAGGTGGGCCCCTTGCCGCCTGTGCAGGTCTTGCCCGTTGTTGGGGTCGCGCGGGCCTTGCTCGTCGTTGAGCTGCCACTAGGCGTGTTGGTCTTGCTCGGAGTCTTGGTGTCGCTGGGCGTATTGGTCTTGGTGGGGGTCTTGGTGTCGCTGGGCGTGTTGGTCTTGCTGGGCGTGTTGGTCTTGCTGGGAGTGTTGGTCTGGCTGGGGGTGTTTGTCTCGCTGGGTGTCTTGGTAGACGGAGGAGGGCGGGAACCTCCGCTCGAACTACTCCCCGAGGATGGCTTGTGTGTGAACGTCCCCATCGAGGTGGTTGGGGCGACGGATGGGATGGGGTCGGTGATGGTTGCGTAGGGGTTGGAGACCACCGCCCGCGCGCAGGTCTTGGGGCTAGCCGTCGCCGTGGTGGCCGTGGAAGTGGCCGACGCGCTGCACCCGGTCTCGACGGAGGTCTTGGTGGTGCAACTTTTGCTCAGCAGAGGCGTTCCCTGGCTGGTGCCCGTTGTGACGGGCGTGCACGACACCCAGCTGTTGGTCACGGTCTTGGTCGGGCATGCCGACTCCGTGGTCTTGGTGGAGGTCTCGGTGACATGGCAGCCCGACTCAGTGGCCTTGCTCGTCGAGCAGCTCTCGCTGAGCAGCGGCGTGCCCGAGCTCGTCGAAGTCGTCACCGATGTGCATGAGATCCAGGTGTTGGTCACGGTCTTGGTCGACGTGCACTCGGAATCGGACTCAGGTTCGGGCGTGGGCTTGCCGTTGGAACCGATGGTGATTGTGGGCCACTCGGGCATCGGTGGGTTTGGCGGCGGCGGATAAATACCGGGTTTGGGGCCTACGTCGTGTTAGTCTTTGATATACCCCAAAAAAGGAGGCCAGGGTTTGTAGACATACCAACGCCCCAGGCGAAGAGTCCACCTCCACCGCAGAACCAGCAGTGCCAAAAGAAGGGCACGATGGTGTGATGGCCCTGGTCATCGGTCGTCGAGATCAAGGTGTCGGTCGTCACGCCGGTCAATGTGCTCACAGACGAGGTGGAGAGCGAGGTGATGGTGCCCGTGGGGAGATTCGACACTGGGCCCTTGCTCGTGTCTGTTCCACTAGGCGTCCCCGGAGGAGGCGTGGATCCCGAAGGGCCTCCGGACGGGTTTCCAGACGGGGTCCCAGATGAGGTTCCTGGCGGCTTTCCAGACGGGGTCCCAGACGGGGTCCCTGGCGGCTTTTCTGACGATGAGCCCGATGGTGAGCCGCCTGGCTTGGAAGTTTCTGAGCTAGGGGGCTTAGAAGGAGGTTTGCCCGAAGGACCAGAAGGTCGATGAGTCGGCACTGAAGTGGGAGGATCGCGCGTCCCGGTAGCAGTCGTCCCCGAACCAGGAGGCCCAGGCCGCGAAGCTTGCGAGGATGAGTTCCCCGAGTGAGGACCTCCTGGAGGACCGGTGTGGCCTGAACTTTGCGGAGGAGGAGGCGGCGGTCTGCCGGTTTGCGTAGTGCCGCCAGGCCTCTTGGATGGTGTCGATGGCTTTGGACCAGAAGGGCCCGGCGGCTTCGAAGTATTATTGGGCCCATCCGACCGAGGAGGACCCGAGCTCACCACTGGATGACCAGTCGGTTGCTTTTTGTGAGTCCTGGACACGCTAGAAGAACCCGGGCTGCCACTCCCTCGGGGAGCGGCGGCGACTTCGAGTAGAAGCAGGGCAAACACCCAAGCCCTAAGATGCATCGTCGAGGAGTGCAACCCGCGCAGGGTAAAAAAAAAAAAAAAAAAAGAGAAAAAGCCAGTTAAACAATACAACACCACAAAATAACAAGGAGAAGAGAAGAAGAATAATTCGGTGAGAGAGTGTTTCTTATTCTTTCTGAATCACCGGCGCAGTTTGTCGCATTTCTTTCTTTTTTGGTTTTGGGCTGTTTTCTGTCCACGAAAACAAGCCAATCTATTAATTGATACGGGATATTGTACTAGAAGCAACACAGCTTAGGCCACCCATGAACAACGCCAGGAACACGCTAGCCTACGAGCTTATGGAGTTAAATTAGGAGCAGAAAAAAACTACAACCCGCAGCTGACACGGACAGAGCAAGGATCGACAGTGACCAGCGTTGGTAATGATCGATCCAACGAAACAAATTACTCGATTCGGGAGGATCTATCATCCGCTTGCATGTCCGCCATGCAGTAACTAAATTTGGTGTTTTTCTTCGTTTTAGCTCGCGGCCCCCAACTACTAGAGAGACCCTTGGCAGGAGACTAAACCCTCCGATGCCCCAATGAGACTCGATAACGGGCCCCCCGCTAGAGCAGCTAACATGCAGTCATGGATTGAGGCGTTTTGCTCGGTGAAAGACCGTCTTACATGCTGGTTCTCGATTGGTCCTGCGCATTTCTAGATGTCCAGAACAGAAATGACGACGACCGTCCTGGCCCCCGTTGAAGAACTAGCCACGCCAGGATTCTGCAGTTCAGCCTGCATAGCCCCCTAAAAGCTTTGACCTGCTGAAGAGCCTCGGATGGTGGGCCTAACCTATATTTGGGTGGAGTCGGATCACGCCGAAGAGAGGTGAAGTATGGGAGATGCCAAACCCATAGTTCGGGGAGATTGGCCAAAACAGTCCTTTCGTCTCAATTCTCACTTTATTCTGATTCTGATTCTTACTTTTCCCTTCTATTCTTATTGTGAATCTTTGCCCCTTTCTTTTTGTGCCTTTCTATTCTTCTGGCTTCGTTCATCCTCTATTGAACCCTTTCAGAGTGCCGTTGGACCCAACCAATTGCAGAGCCATGAAGGTTCTCACCAGCACGCTCCTCCTCGGAGTGGCCTCGCAGGCTTTGGGATACAGCATCGACAAGAGCTGCAACTGCAACAACAATAGACGAAAGGTCCACCAAGCCATGGAAGAAGCCAGGACAGTCCTCAACTGGTCCGGCCTCACAGGCACGGCCTGTGCGACGTGGGAGCACTTGCACAAGATGGGCGACGGGGAACCGTCCATGTATGAAACCTGCAAGGACCAAGGCCGACGCAGCATCCTCGACGACTTTTTCCAGGACCACAGCGCAACGGCGTACGAGCACATTTCCGGTGAGTAGAACCTTTACAAGAGCCAGCCTCGCCTTACAAAAAAAAAAAAAAAAAAAGAAAAAAAAGATAGATATAGATGATAACTCATCAATTCCTTGTTCTTCAACAGATGCCCTCCGGCCCGCCGCAGCAGCAGCAGGCGAATACTCCGAAACCCCAGACAAGGTCACCATCGTCTGCGGCGACAGCCAGCTCAACCGCATCACCAACGCCGTCTGGCGCGACCAGCAGCGCGGGTATGCGCGCGTCGAGTTCAACCCGGCACCGGGGTCCAACCAGCGGCCCTGCGATATCGTCGAGGCCCTGGCGTATCCCGCCAACGACGGCACGGTCATCATGCTCTGCGATCGGCCGTACATCGGCGTCAACCAGCAGCCGACATTCAGCCAGCTGAACGTGAACGATCTCAGGGGCAAGAGTATTGATTTTATATCGAAGACGATTAGTGCAGCCTTGACGCATGAGTTGATTCATGTGGGCAATTTTGATCAATGTAAGAGTTTTCCTTCTGATTGTATTTATTGACTTGTTTTCTTAACTCTTGATTAGTCCCCCGTGTCCTTGGTGGCGACACCAGCGAGAAATACAACTACGAGGGCTGTAAGAGTCTTGCAGACACGGACCTCAAGTGGAAGAACTGCGATACCTTTGCTATAATTGCACGAAGTGAGTTTTTTTTTTTTTTTTTCTTGTAAACTCTATCCTGTTCCATTGAGTGACCTTGCTGACTCGTGCAGTGTTCTACATGAACAACTACTACTCCAAATCAGGAAGCTTCAAGGCTCTTCCAAACGACCTTCGGCCTCAAAATCCCAACGGTCCCCCTGATGTACCCGAATAGTATGGTTTCAGTATGATGTGCGGGTTGCGGCATGTATAGCGGGCCTAGCGAGTTTATGTCTTGAGCATTTATCTATAGAAATATTGTGTCTCCCTAGGAAAGCTGGCAGAACGAACTTGTATGTGTGTCTATTGTTGGGTCGTCATCATTTCTTGGTTACCTAGCGTGTATCCTTTTCAAAGAAAAATACTCGGGACAGGAGGTGAGCATTGCACAAGTGGTGTTTGAGGGTAGGGCCAGTTAACAACATTGTTTTCTTCTTCCCTCATATCCAGATACCTTCGTTAGGATTGGGGATGTGGAATTCACAGCCCAGATGGGCTTCTTCGCCATGAGCCTGTAGTTCGCGTAAGATCTGGTCGCCAGGAGGGGGCCCATCAGAGAGACTTTCTTTGATGTGGATGATGTAGACCGAGAGTCCCGCCAGCGGAAGAGGGTTGAGGTTCGCCCAGCGGGCTGAATCCAGTGCATTGGCTTCATCTACATCTGGGGCGTCATCGATAGGCTCGTCTTTAGCAGCGTCGGGCTGCTCGTCCACAACTGCACTCGAATTCTGTGCTTCTGCAGGGGGCTCGGACCTTCTCTCTTTGTCGGCTGCTATGCTTTGAGTCCGCTTTGAGCGAGGGCTCACTTGCTCGGCGCCCGCTTCGCTGAATCTGGTGTCTTCGCGTTTGCGTTTCTTCTCTCCGCCTGTGCTTGCATCGCTTGCTTCGAGCACTTTTGTGGCTAGCACCTTGAGCTCGCTGACCAGGTGCCGTGGGCACATGTGGCCGTAGAGGTATGCGTCGTCGATGCTATCGTTGTAGGAGCATTCAATGAAAATGGCGCGCAGGGTGCCGGCAACGATCTTGGGAGCTGCTGCTTCCCATACCCGTCTGTTATGCGGTTCAAGAGACACCGAGTCCGGCTCGACGTCTCCGAAAACTATGATCTCGCTGCCAGTACAATGATCACGAAGGAAGAATGCAGAACTCTCAACCATTGCCAGCACGGGTTCCTTTGGGTTGGACGGGACGAGACGCGGCGAGCGAGCAGGAGAATAAAAGCTAGAAAGAAATTAACCGAATGGTCCGTCTAAGCAACTTTGAAAAATCCGTTCTTACCTTGCATCAGTATGGTCCACCGAGATCGCTCGCGATGGCAGCATCAACTGGTCCGCAAAGACTGCGCTCCCAATGCGATGATGCGTTCCGCTTTCTGGATGGAACCGCTGCTTGCACCGCCCATGGCTGACACTGAGGCACTTGGTCAACAGACCGTTGCAGGCCCGTACGTAGCCCCTTGCCTCTCCAAGCCCGAACCGGGGATTCCCACCTTCCACGAGGCGCTGATACGTGAGCAGGCCAGCCCCGCCGTCTTCGTCCGACAGGTTGGGCCAGATGACATCGTTAAACATGTGGTTTTTGATGGCGGATAGCACCGAGGGCAAGGCCGCCACGGGCTTGGGGCCACTTCCTGCTTCCAGAATGGGAGTATTTATTGCCAACCCCGAAATATGATCCAGGTGGGGGTGTGTAATGAGCACGGCGCCAATGACCTCGCGGAAGATATGCGCTGCATTTGCCTCTGGTGTTCGGTATGGCAGCTCAAGGCCCTCAAAGGGACCGTCAACCACCAAGCCTTTTTCATTCTGGAACTCGTGGGAATTCTGGCTAAGTAGCCGGATTATCCCCGCGAGCAGAGTCCCTGCGTCGACGGCGACGGCAGATCCCGGAGTCCATTTCATGGACGTCGATCGGACCAGCAAACCCGTCACTCTGTCTTCACGCGGGCCTCCATTTGGACCCTGAAAAGAAGGGTCAGCAAACAGAACAGTCCATTGGCAGGGTCTCAGCTGCTAGGACCCGAGACTCGAGAGTACCCTCAAACACGGATCTGACATGGGGAGGCACATGGATCTGCCGAGAACAAAGAGCTTACCAAGACGATGACGTGGAAGGCCGATTTTGTAGCCATTGTTTCTTGCTTGTTTCTTGCTTGGGTGAAACAGGATCGACAAATTCCAGAGGTGCTCTGCTGAAGAAACACCGCGAAATCACCGATTGGCCTCCCCCGACTTGGCAATCAGCTTCAACGATGGACCGTCTCACCAGAGTTCAAACAGATTGGTCAATATCTGACACAAAACACTCTCAAAAGAGTATGGCGCTGAGTTCGGAGGGCTTGTTGCGATCTCAACTGTCAAGATACGTCCCGAACTACCGTTCTCTCCTTCGCCTCCCCCGGTCGCAGAGGGAGTCGGCAACAAGCAGATGATATCGCACAGTCTTTGCAAGCAAAAACAACAAAGACTGGTGACTACCACTATCACAGATGTCGACAAAATGTCGGAGACGGTTGAGTGGAGATTCAAGTAAGTTCCCCTTGGGGGAAATTCGGACCTCTCTTTTTTTTTCCAGCTCGTACCACCGCGACGCACCTTGCGCAGAGTGGCACAGGACACTACTGCAAGCGAGCTCCCGCACCCTGATGGGAAAAGAAGCCAGACAGGGATTATGGACGGCCACCAGAAGCTCGGGATGAGCTGTCGAGAAGTGGCTTGTGGGGTACGGGCGGGCGGAACCTCGGGAAGAGATCTGGAGCTAGTGAGACAAACCCGCCCGATCAGAGCGATCCTCAACCAGCTTGTCGGAAGACTCAGAGGGAGAATGGGGGAAAATGAGAAAGAGAAAGAGACGGGGATAGAGAGAGAGAGGGCTCTGGTGACGCGGTCAGATAGCTTCTTGAGGGGGTTGGGGGCGGGCCTTGGCAGATCCTGTTCGTCTCATGGCATCGCGAGTTGCTTCTCTGACGGTGGGTCCGATGGAAGGAGAGATTGAGCAGGCTACCAGATTTCTTGTATGGGAGAGACGTAGAGAAACGTGTGAGTTTTTTTTGGCCACAGAATTGCCCAGGTAGCTCCTGGTCTATAGTCTATAGATCTACATCCATTCTGAAGCAGGGCTCTTCTATGTTGACACAAAGGCCGGTTGATCTATGGCATTCATTCTCCACCTGCTAAAAATAACAGTCCGTGCTGTCAGGGTGACAGGCGCTCTGACACTCTGACTATCCATGGAGATATATGTCTACAATCGACACGGGATGTGATTGGGAGACCTCCAGGTGGAGATGATAGAATGTACAGACCTTCCAACACGGAAAAGAGAGTGCAGATAAGCCCCTATACATGACATCGTTGGGGGGAAACAACAACAAAAAGCCCTGAACCCGTCCCAGACAAGAAAACTCCCAGACCTAAATAAATTCCACAAAGCCTTCCCTCAAGTTGCTATAACGCCATTCCGTGGACCCGCTAATAGAACGACAAAATGATGAGGTTCCGACTGTCGTCGGGGATTCAAGAGATATATGTTCAGAAAGAGATAAGCTGTGCTGTGCCTCACGAGTGGTCATGCCAGTCCCTCTCGGCCACAGCTTGGTAGCTTGGTAACTGAGGAGTGTCGGCATCGGTCGAGTCTGCAGGGGGAGAGATTGGTTCTTCCGTCCTGGGAGGAAACTCTAGGAAAGCATCACTGCCTCTGCGACTGCTGTCGGGGCTGGAATATTCTGGGGGTGGAACTCCGTGCTCGTCGGGTGCTCCCGATACACGAGCCACGTAACTGGGGGCTTCACCATCGTCGGCTGCCAGACGGCTAGATCCCTCACCGGCGTCTTCATTCGAAGGGATGTGAGCCAGTTGGGCAAGGGAAATGTCGGTGGGGGACCGAGCGGGACCCGGGCTGACAGCGGGAGGAATCCGGACACTGGAGCTTGTCGCCGCATGGTCCGCATTCTGGTAGACCCGATGCGAAATTTGGGCGGCACTCTCGCGGCCCGATTCCAGCAGAATGCTGCCCTGTTCGCTGCCATAAGGTGGGGGCGGTGCCAGGCTGCCAGTCATGGGGGCCAGGCCCCATTTCTTGACGTTGGCCTCGATAAACACAAATCCCATTTGACCAAAGTTCACATGGACGCTGCAGGGGCCGTTGGCTCCGATCGTGGGAAAAAGATTCTGGGAGCGATAATTATGGGCCACGTCTTCGAACTTCTTGCCGTTGCGGGTGAAGAAGATGGTTCCCGACCGAGGCCGGTAGCCAACGCCGATGACGTCGCCCTGGAGGAGTGGAGGGCCGTAGGGAGTCGCGGTGAATGGTTGGTTGTGTCTGCGATGGCCGGTCGATTGGTAGGCCACTGAGGTTTTGTGGAAGCCTAGAAGTGGGATTAGTGGGATCCAGAAGTAACGAATTTGTGGACTCCAAACACATACCAGGCATTCGGAACAACGGATACGGTTTGGTGGTCAGTCCGACACCGACCATGGTCGATTCGGGCTTGTCGTAGACCTTGGCCTCCCAATAGTAGACATCATTCTGCTTAGGGATTGGCAGGTTGGTCTGGACACTGCATTCTGAGTCAAAGAATTCGATCTCAGTGCGTCCTTCCACAAAACAGTTTGCGATTTCCAGCTCGGGTTGGAACTCCCATGCGGAGACACCCTTTTCTTGAATGGCGAGGAATTGCGATAGGGAGATATCGGTCTGCATGGACTCGGGCGGGTTGGCCTGAACGAAAGCTGCACCGACAGTCAGTAGATGATCCTAGACATGGAATTTTTGTTGGTGTTACCTTTGGCTCGCAGGTATTCCGACCGCGACAAATCATCCATGGTCTCGAGCGCAGCCTCCTCCTCGCGCAAAAACGCCTGTTCATCATCGTATTCACCCGGTCGGCCAATGCGATCCAGCATAATCCGTCCACGGCGAGTATATTTGAAGAAAAAGAAAATCGCAAGGACAATGAATGCGACGGCGGCCGAGCCAAACGCGGACAAAATCCCGATCAAGATGCCTTTACCGGTCGACCCGGTCGAGTTGCCACCGGCGGCAACCAGCTGGCCCCGTCGATAGTCTGAGGACAGCGTCGAAAAGACATGCTGGAGGTTTTCTTGGATTTGTTGCTTCGACAGGTATGACGCGGTCTGTTGTACAGACGACGGTTGTGATGGGGAGGAAACGAGGCTGATCGGTGACGTCGTCGGGCTGGCTATCACCGTTCTCAGCGTGGAAGGCAGGCCAGCGAGCGCACCGGGGCCCGATGCCTCAGAGCCCTGCATCGTTCATGGACTGTGAGATTGGAAGCGAAAGGTCAAATCAGGAAGACCTCAAGTATGGGGAGAGAGCACAGAGTGAGGGAGATGGTGAGGTGAAAGTGAGAGGAGAAGGCGAGGTGATATAAGTGGGCGCAAGCGGATCGGTTATCTAAGACGCTTCCGGGGGTATGTCAACCCTGTCAACACTCTGCGCAAGGCAAAAAAGCCGTTTGTCGCGTCTTTCTTTTTGGTGTAAATTATTTATTTGAGAATGAAGGGCATGTCTCTCGTCTCTTGATTTCCCCCGAACCTATCAGCTCGTAAATGGCGGTATCAGAAGGGTTGGACAGGCGGCCATCCCTGCCCGTAGGCCTCCTCTCCTCCCCCTCTCTCTGCCTTGCTTGTCTCCAAACTCCCCCCATCTGCCATCGGAGAAAACCATGCGTGCTCGAATGGCTCCTTCGAGCTCCTCTGCAACTCAATCCAATCATGTAACAGTCAATCCAGTGGATACCTACAACATCCACCTTGCGGTGACTGGTACCTGCGATAAATACCCAGGTCAGTACGCGCCGTCTCCCTAGTTCGGTCCTGGCGAAGCCGGCAAAGCCTAAAATACCTACGTCGGTCCCCTTTTGCCCTCTCAGGGAACCGCCGAACACCCCCTGTCGTTCCTGGAAGCCGACCGGTGATCGTCGGCGCCAAAGCTGACCCGAATCTCCTTGTCCAGCTAAACAGCACGCTCGCAAAGTCGCCCAACGACTCGGCGCTTCGAATGGGTTGATCTTTCTCGCGGGTCAGCCCACGATAAATTGGCGCGATTCGGATCAAGGGCGCCCATTTCGACAGCGACGATACTTCTATTATCTTAGTGGAGTGGACGAGGCCGACTGCTTCTTAACCTACGATATCGAATCGGACCTATTGACGCTCTACGTACCGGATTTTGACCTCCACCGTGCCATTTGGATGGGACCGACCCTTTCGCGAGAAGAAGCTCAAGATAAATACGATGTGGATCGCGTCCGGTACCATGCATCGCTCCAGGAGGGACTACAATCGTGGCTAGGCAGGCGGTCCTCGGATAGCTCGCTCTACCTGATCCATGAATCAGAGAAACCCGAATATCTTCCGGCCGATCTCCCAGTCGACCTCGAAAAACTCAGGCCTGCTATGAACGCAGCCCGCGGGGTGAAGGATGAGTACGAGATTCGAATGATCCGTCAGGCGAACAATATCTCGGGGCTTGCCCACCGAAAGGTCTTGGAGCGTATCCGGACCATGTCGAATGAGTCAGAAATTGAAGGGCTATTTCTGGACACCTGTGTTTCGCATGGTGCGCGAAACCAGGCGTATGAGATCATTGCGCCGTCCGGACCCAATGCGGCCGTTCTGCACTACGTCCGGAATAATGAATCTCTGCACAAAAAACCTCTTGTGCTGCTTGATGCCGGCGCCGAGTGGAACTGCTACGCCAGTGACATTACGCGGACGTTCCCCTTGACTGGCGACTGGTCCAACCCTTATGTTCGAGATATTTACCAATTGGTGGAACGAATGCAGGAAGAATGCATCAGGCTGATCCGGCGAGGTACTCGCTTCCTGTCCCTGCATGACTTGGCCCACGAGATCGCAATTGACGGTCTTCTGGCCCTTGGCGTACTCAAGGCCGGCACGGTCGCCGAGATTCGCCGGTCTGGTGTTTCCAAGGTCTTCTTCCCACACGGCCTGGGCCACCATGTCGGACTCGAGGTCCATGATGTGTCGGAATCCTCCATCATGGCCATGCATCCATTCTTCGATCATGGACATTATGCCCCGGTCGTGAACTCCAGCACCTGCCTTTCACCCTGTACACTGTCGGCTCCGCTTCTGGAAGAGGGGATGGTGATCACAGTCGAGCCCGGGATCTATTTCTCGTTCCTGGCTCTGCAAAGTGCGCGCAAGCAGGAGTATGCGCAATTTATTGATTTTGATGTTGCAGAGAAGTATATCCCCATTGGCGGAGTGCGCATCGAGGATGATATCCTGGTGACTGCCACCGGCAACGAGAATCTCACCACTGCGCCGAAGGGGGAGGAAATGCTGGCGCTTATCCGAGGGTCTTGGTAGATAATACAAATGGAATGTCGAATATTTAAGCCTTTCATGGTCATTGTATAGCACTGATGTATATGCGGAAAAGGCATCACCTCCAACGGGTCGATCGACCCACCATATTTTCGTACTCGTATGCTTGCCTTGAACCAGGCATGATTGACTTGACTACGCACATCAAGAGCACAAAATACTCGCTCTTTCTGTCTCACAGTCTTTGTGAAATGATTTATGCACTTGGACCGGAATTTTGAACTGCCGAATGCCCCGGGGATTTAAATAACCTTGGCCCCCCTCCCCCGCAACGGAGTGCTTGTAGAAGCAGGGGTATTGCACTCTAGTGATTCAGATACTCCCGCAGATTTGCTCCAAGCATGGAGAAACCACGGGAAACCACTCAAGGAGATTCTAACTTGAGAGAGTCCCCAAATTTAGTCAAGCATGTGGATACGGAACTCATTTTCTGGAGACGACCAGAAAACCAGTGCATGGTGATCGACTTCACCTCCAGCAAACCCGAGGAGTGCATGGCCGCGGCAGCAAAGATGGATGAGAAACGTCCCGTGCGCATCCACGATATCCGCGGGCAAGAGTCTCAGTTCTCACTTGAAGAGAATGGCTTCGAATATGTGCAGCATGACATCCCGGCCATGGACAAGATCTCTGAGTCAGGATATGCTGACAAGGTCATCATCCCCAAGACAGAAGAACTGGTTCAAAGAATGTTAGTATATCAAGCCAAGAACGACTCCTGGAAGACTCAAGATCACTGAGCAAGGACATCCAGTACCGGCGCCACGAGGACGATTACATTCGCCCACCGAGTGCGATGTCTCGCAACCGACAACGCCCTGCTAGCCAACAACCGCGCGCCCGCGCACAGCGTGCATTCCGATTTTACAGCGACCGGCGCCCTACACCACCTCGAGACAGTAGTCCCAGAAGCCGCCGAGCGCGAGAGTATACTGCGAGGTCGCGTGCGAATCATCAACGCCTGGCGGCCCTTGAAAGCAGTCCAGAAAGACCCGCTCGCAGTCTGCGATTGGCAAACTCTAGACTGGCGCCGGGACAGCATCGCCAACCGCATAATCCTGCCCCACGGCTGGAATGAACTGGGCAAGTATGTGTTCGACAACACCCAGACCTGGTATTACTTGAGCGGTCAGCAGCCCCACGAGCCGGTGGTTTTCTCGCAGTTCGATAGCGCCAGAGTCGGCGAGGGTGGTCTGACCCTGCCGCATAGTGCCTTTGTGGACCCTGATTTTGTGGACTCTCCCGCGAGGGAGAGCATTGAGATCAAGATGTTTGCGTTTGGCTAGGTTGCGCCTTCTTGAGATTCCTTGCAGGAGAAAGGAAAAAATTTTCATGTCTGAGCTTTGGGTGCATGGCGGTGTAATGGAACGCGTGGAACTGTATAGAAGCCTGACTGAGAGGAATGTCTTAAATCCGACACCTTCCTTAAACATTCCTTACTATTTTTGTTTCTTCTTCTTTTTTTCCTAGTAGCCTTGACAGGCAGCCAGGAATGAGAGAAAATCCATTAGCTTTGTAATTGTAGGCAAATGCCATGACGCATCTCGGAGCCCGACAGAAATTTCCGGTCGCCTGATGTGATCGCCGCTCGGTCCGCACGGCACTCAACTTTGCTCGGTCTCGGGCTTGCCCTCCCCGATTCTTTGTTTTGTAGGATTCTTATTTTTATTTTTATTCTTATTTTCTATTTCTTTTTCTGTGACAACTCACCTAGTGTCTTTCTCTTTCTCGGCGCATGTCGACAATCACCTCATTCTAATGCTCATCCATATAATCAAGTGTTGAAATAACCTCAGGTAATCACGCGAGTCCCAAGCCCTAACCAGCAAAATAGCGTCAGGCAACGGACATTTGACGCAGCCCAGCACGTCTTCGGCTTGCAATTTCCTAGCGCCATAAGGTGATCTGCTCTCCGGATGGTTCCACTCTAAAGTGGGTCTCTGCCCTTTTCCCTTCTTTGTTACGTGACTCACCCGACTCATAGAAGGGTGTGGGCTGTATACATATAAAGGTCCTCACCCCTGCTCATCCTGAACCCTCCCCTTCCAGTACCTCATCTCACCCTCTTCAAGGAGGTGATGGTCACTCTCCTCTCTCCTCTTTCTTTCCTCTTTTCACAAAAGTTCCTTGATTTATCTCCCTTTTGACTCATTTCGGCCGGGGAATCCCTCCCCTCCCATTTTCTTTTGCCATTGACTCATCCCTCCCAAGGATGGGCCAGAGGCATAATCGACGCCGTACTCGTCCTCGCTCCAAACGCAATAGTCTCACTCAAGACGCTACTGCTGTCAATCTTATCAACCACGCCTCGGCATCCCTTGTGGTGATTCCCTCAAACAGTTCCTGTGAATCACTGCCTGCTGGCACCAACTCTCTCGCTGCATGCATTTCACGTGGATCGCCGGCTCCCGTCACCCTCGCCCCGATCTGGCACTCTGGGTATACGGCATGGCAGACACGTGAACGCACCTCGCGGTTGGAAGCTAGCGGGCTGGAGACGGAGCAGTGTCGTCTGTTCGGTGGTGAGCCGGGCGACGATTTAAGTCTCTGTGATCGAATGCTCGAGTACTTTGGTGGCCTCGACTATATCGACTCGTGAGTTAGCCATGACTTCCCCGTCATAAACAAAAACATACATTTTTCTGACTTCAAGCCCCCATAGAGCACGAGACAGCGCCCTCGGAGACTGAATGCGTTGAGCAGTTCCTCAGTACATGCTTCCTTCAGCTGCCAACTCTTCCGGCCGAAATATTAAAAAGAAAAGAAAAAACGAAAACCTCCAAACTGTCAGTTTGCGATGCTTTTTATCAGCTTTCATCAAAAAAACGAAAAGCCATCGAACCCAGGCTTGATGACGCCCACCCACGTCTTCTGCCTACTGCAGCGCGCCTACACTGCAATCTGCAGTCCCCGCAGAGACGAGAACGCCAGATCCCATGAATATCACCGGGTCCCCGACTTGCAGCAATGAAGATGCCTTTGGAAGGTATCGGATTGGTCCATCTTGACCCGGCCATGTGGATATTCTGGTTGATTGATTCCGCCGTGCCTCTGGAAGCCATGAACATGTTTGAACCTTGAGGCGTTTACTGATTCTACAGTTCTGATTGTTTGGTTGAGTTCGTGTCCGACTTGGTCAGTATACTGGCAGGGTTGTCGATGCTTGAGTTCCCTTGCGAGAAGACCTGTGGTGACGGTAACCAAGGACAATGGTTTATGGTTTTTTTTGCACACAGCATCTGTTCTGTCAGCTCCTTGGTATTGGAGCGAAGAAAGTGGTTATTGGCAGCCGCATACAGTGGATTCGATTGGAAAATATTGGATTCTTGTCTTGACTGTAGGAGTGTATATGGTCTGTAGCCTGAGCTCCTGGAAAATTAGATCTGCATGTATAAAGAACCATGAATTCAAAAATTATTTATTAAGCACAACTGGACTGGATAGAATCTTAAAAGGCGAAAAGTAAACAACTCACCGCCTGCGCCACAGGAAACTGCCGGACAAATCCCCGTAGTCGTAGGCGGTCGGCTTGAGGACACGGTCATCACCAGATCAGGAAGTGCGATGCTCGTGTTTCTCCCTACGCTCCTTTGTTTCTCGACCGGTCATGTTCCTGGGCCCCGAGACTTGACTCACCTGGTTTTTCTTTCTATTTTCTTCTGCCCTTTTTCTTGTCTGTCCAGAGTGGCCACCCCCTATAGCCCAGTACAACGATCTTTAAATTCCGCGGACGGCGGCCACCGCTGTCTGTACTCTGACCGCGCCGCATCATGTCGTCAGACTATACCTATGATGAGCAGGTGAGGGAAAAACTGTGCTTCGGATTTGAGTATAAGGATATCGCTGACTGACTACCGGTCTTAGGGTCAATTTTTCCCCTTCTTCATCCTCACCTTGACCGGCCTGGTTACCCTCCCTCTCACTTATAACCTCCTCCGACCCAGCAAAGGTGAGTTCGGTGCAGTAACCCAGTTCCTTTAGGTCCATGCTGACGATCGCGCGCCGTCAACAGAGCTAGAAAACACCGCTCCCCGCATCAAGTCCGATTTCAAACCCCAACATGCCGATCTCATCGATGGCCAAAAGCGCAAACGCCTGCGCAAGGAGCGCCGGATCAAGCGCATAGTGACGGTGATTGTGGGGTATCTGGTCATGGCATGGATGGTCTATTTGATCATCGTGACGGCCAGGACCGTGCAGAAGGTATACGATCCGTACGAGGTTCTGGGCGTCTCAAGGGTAAGTTGTGCTTGTCTTCCGTGTGATATCCAAGAGACTTGTAAAACTCATAATGCTTGCCCAGAGTGCCGACGAAAAAGCTATCGCCCGCCACTATAAACGCCTTTCCCTCATCTACCACCCCGATAAAATCCGCCCCGACCCCGCCAAGAACGAAACCATTGAAACCCTCAACGACCGCTTTGTCGAGCTCACCAAGGCCTACAAGGCACTCACCGACGAGGAGATCCGCAACAACTACCTCCAGTATGGCCACCCTGATGGCAAACAGAGCTTCAGCATTGGTATTGCTCTTCCCCAGTTTATTGTCATGGAAGGCAACGGGAAATATGTCTTGTTGGTCTATGGCGTGTTGCTGGGTGTTCTTCTGCCGTACATTGTCGGAAAATGGTGGTATGGCTCGCAGCGCTACACGAAAGAGCGTGTTCTCGTCGCTAGCGCCGGAAATATCTTCCGCGAATACAAGGACGATATCACGGATGGCGGCATCATCGGAGCTCTGTCTTCGGGTGAAGAGTTCAAGGAGATGCTCAAGGGTGTCCAGGCCGAGTCTGGACTGGCCAAGTTGGAAAAGCGGGTGTTGGCAGACGACTCGTTCCTGTCTGCCAAGGACCGCGAGACTCTCAAGCAACTGGACAGCTCCTCTCGCCGGAAGGCTTTGGCTTTGCTGTGGGCTTACCTGGGCCGCATCGATTTAGGCGATGCCTCTCTTGACGCAGGTGAGCTTTTATGGGTTTCTTGAAAAATTGAGAGTTCAGAACTGATCCAGGACCATTTGCTACAGAAAAATACGAAGCCGCTCCCGTTGCGCTCTCCCTGACTGAAGCATTCAGCGCCATCTCTCTCGCTTTTGGTAACCTTCGACCTATCCTCGGCGCTTTCCAGACGTCGCAGAACCTCATCCAGGCCGTGGCTCCGGGTTCGTCGCCGTTGCTGCAACTTCCTAACTTCACGGACGCGGTCGTGAAATCTGTGGAGGGCGAGCATGCAAAGGAACACTTTACCGTTCAAAGGTTCATGAAGATCCCGGAGGACCAACGGCGCAGTCTGACCGTGGGCGCCGGCCTCTTGTCCGAGAAGCAATATACTGACGCCGTCGCGGTTGCACGGCAACTGCCTGTCCTCGACATCTCGCGCGCATTCTTCAAGGTCATGGGCGAGAAGTTCATCACGCCGAGCAGTCTGGTACAGCTGGTGGTGAAGGCCCGTTTCATCCCGCCTGGCTGCACGAATGTGCCGGCAGTGAGCGAGCTCGACCTCGAAGACATCGACCCTGACGAGGACGACCTCGACGCTCTTATGGGCCGCAAACCGGCCAAGAACCGCACATCCAAGCTTGCGAACGGCAAGAAGGTAGAGTCCAAGATCGAGACCATTCAGCCGCCCCTGGCCCACGCGCCGTACCTGGCCCGCGACCACTCTCCGCGCTGGCACATCTTCCTGGCGGACACCAAGCAGGGCAAGATGGCCGTCCCGCCGTTTACCTTCACCACCTTTGACAAGCCGCTGTTCGACGAGGCTGGCAAGCCCACGTTCAATGTGCAGACTCTGAAGATGCAGTTCCAGGCCCCTCCGCAGGTCGGCGACTTCACCTTCGCCCTGCACATGCTCTGTGACAGCTACCTGGGCCTTGATCACCGGATGGAGATCACATTGCACATCGACGACCCGGCCAAGGCAGCCGACGTGGCCGAGGAGGATGATATCAGTGAACCGGACGAGGGTAAGTCTTGTCTTGATCTTGTGTCATTCTGATTCACTTTGATATTGCTTTCAAATACTAACACTAATGTTGTTGTAGACTCCATCGCCGGCCAAATGCACGCCCTCAAGACCGGCCAACCCCCCAAGAAGAAGACTAGACGGGATTCCGACGACTCCAGCGAGAGTGACACCGACGGCGACGCCGCCGAGACCAGCGACACCAACACGGAAACGGATGTCGAGGATTGATTTTGATTTCCCTTGCATTGACTGAGTGATTGCGCGGTGGACCGTGCAACGTCCCTGGAGGGTCTGGCCTTGTTTCTTCTTCTTGTTTCTTGTCTGTCTTGTTTATTGGACAGCTTCTTCGGGGTCTTTGATGTTCTTCGACTTGCATTTTTCTTTTTTTGTTTCCCTTTCCCTTTTTTTACACCCTATATTCTTCTTTTTTTTTGTTGACTGTGTATTTTCATGTATTTGGTCCGTCTAGCTCCGGAAATAGAACGTGGGAATACAAAAGCACACCATTCTCTAGGTACAGTAAATAGCCAGAAAACAAATAGATACCCGTAGATACTTACCTCCCCGGCATTGAACGACCAAGAGTGCAATCCATAGATGCATATGTGTGATACAAAGGGAGTGTACAAAAGAGCAAGATAAAGAGCTATGACGGAGAAGCTCTGCTGTATTCCCACAAGAGACTTACACTTATGTACACCTGTTTCTGTGCGCCCCCTCGAATCAGCCACCCACAGACAATCCACTGTCCTATTCTCCCGCGCCCTTCCTACTCCCTTCCTTGCTTTTGTGTTCTGCGACTTCCTGGGGTTATGCCGGATGGAGGGCCTGTGTGACGTTTGTGGGATGGATGGGGGGTTCAGTTGCCTGGATGGTGGGATGGTGGGATGTACTCATGATGTATGCATTCTATATTCTGTCTGACACATTCTTTTTCGTACTTTTTGTTGGGAATCAAGGGATTGGAGCCAGTAGGTCTGATCATGGTACCTAGAATCTTATGTAGATAGAATAAACTAAACACTGTATGATCATATCGTACATTTCTATCAATATCCATATCTAATAGCTGGCATCTACTCAACCCAGGCACTGGCACAGACTGCTAGCAATGTAGCAAAGCCATAGAAGAAGGGGACACCTAAATTGATAGGACGGGTCTCGACTCTTTCACATCAAACTAGATAGAGTAAGAAAAAGCTCCCGAGTTCAAGAATGAAGGAACCCAAATAAAAAAAAAGAGCCATGCACATCCAGGATATCCCCTGTGTCCATATTGCTCCATGTCTGAACACCGCCGAAAATCCAGAAAGCTCAAGCTAGGTCATTCGTCAAAATCAAATCAAATCAAAATGCAAATTCAAATGCAAATGCAACAGGGTTGGGGTATAGAAACGATAGAAAAGAAGAAGAAGAAGAGTAAGAGATTCTCTCTCTGTTTCTCGTTCTCATTCTCTCTGGATAATTGCAAATTAGAGAGAAAGCAAAGGGAAATACCAAGAGATCAAAGAGAGGAAATGAAGAAGAAGTAAAAAGAATGTATAGAAATAATATATGACCAAGAAATGAAGATAAGAAATAAGGCTGCACTGCAGCTACGCTCTTACTAGAAGAGCGGGGGGTAGAAAGTAGAGTGGGGATAAAATCAAAAGAATAATCAAGAGGGGGTGAATAGAAAAAAAAAAAAAAAAAAAAAAAAAGATGATCATGCCCAGGTTGACAACACATCTCATCTATCCCGAAGGAAAGGTCCAGCCCGGCGTAAACCCAGGATAGAACGGGGTTTCCTGCATAGAGAACTGAAAGTCACTCAGCATGTCACCAGACAGATTCCCCGACAGATGATGGGACTGATGTGCATCAGGCATAACCCCCGACGGCAGCCGCACAGCCGCAGACTTCGCAGCCGGTGGCGCGTCCATTAGGTCACAGCACCCATCCAGGAAATAAGGGAAGGACGGGTCATGAGGACCAGCGTGCTGGACGGACAGCGGTGCAGAGGGCACTTCGACATGAGGAGGGATCTCGCCGGGAGCCAGATCAGCAGCGCCCAAAGACGAGCGCGGCGTGGGCAGCAGCTCGTGGTACCCCGTCTCGGCATACCCGTAGTTCTGCGGATGCGGATGATGAACGGACTGCAGATCCCACTGCCAGCTCGGGTGGCCGCTGCGGCCCGTCATCGGGGTCGGGATCGGGTTGGAGATCGAGGAGCGGGAGAGCACGGCCGACGAGGGTTCGGGAGGAGTTGCGGGCTCCGGCGACGGTTCTGCCGTGGCGCTGCACTCGGTGGATGTCGACAACAGCCGCAGATAACGCAGATCCTCCGAGTCCTCGTCTGGCTCGTCTGCGTTCTCCTCGGCTTGTTTGATCAGCCCGAGTCGGTCGAGGATTGCGTGGGTCAGCGGATAGCCGTCTGGGGCTTCGGCTAGTGGCTCGCCGGGGAAACCCTCGTTGTTGATGCAGAATTTATATAGTTTCTGGAGGGCCTTGACCACCAGTGAATGGTGGGACTCGAGCATTTCGACAAATCTTGTCGAGGCAGGCTATCGTTAGCTAAATGGTATTCCATAAGAAATATTGGCTTCATAGAATATTCACCCTCGAGAGTATACTTTGGTTTGTGCGGCCTTTCTTTCGCGGAATAGACATGGGTGATTGTAGACCGAGCAGCGATTGCAGGGTTGCTTCCCATCACACTATCAAGTATACACATGAGCATGTTATAGCATTAGGTCACCGCAGGCAGACAAACCTTGGTCTTTTTCACGCGACAGCGATCACATGCCTTGAGGACATGCTTGCGCTTGACCCGAAAGACGCGCTGGTCTCGCTTGTCGTCTCCAGTCCGGGACCGGTGTTCTAGTTCCGATAGCGCAGCTACCGCGATATCATCGATGCTGTGCGGAAAGCCCTTGGGGCGAAGCTTTGGCTGCCACATGTTGGATGGGAGTGCCACAGCAAAAAAAAAAAAAAAAAAAAAAAAAGCAACGATATAGAGCAAAAGCTCAGAGATGGAGGGATGGGAGGGAAGAAATCACAATGCAGGGACAGTAGAAGCTAAAGCCAGCAGAAGATAGAAGAGAATGGCGTAGATGGGGTGTAATTTGAGAGATAGGCAGAGAGGGAGAGAAAGATAAAAAAAAAGAAAGAAAGATGAAGAGAAAAGAGGCTCAGCTGCCATCCCACATTGATATCATGATTATCCCAGGTTGCAGGCGTTGCAGAGTCGACCCGCATCCGGGTTAAGGGCCGGTAGAGAATAGGCAGAGAGAGAGGCAAAGAGAGGGCAGAGGGATACCGGGGGTGACGTGGAGATTCCATGTCGCAGCGAGTTGTCTCTCACTTTCTCTTGACTTGAGGGGGGCTGTGATAGGTAACCCCGCGCGCGTCTAGTCAACACTAGAGATGAGCACGGTCCGAGCCGTCAGAGCAGAGCCAGGCAAAAGCAGGTTCGCTAGGGGAGCTTCTCCTCCTTCTCCTCTGTCTGCCTACATCCCTAACCCACCCCGGGCCCTGGTCATTTGGGCAGCGAGCAGGGTCAACGCGCCCCCCCCCCCCCCCCCGCTATGGCCACTGTGATTTGCCCGCACTGCGAGGAATCGCGATGGCGTAACGTCTCGTCACACGATGCACGGGCTTCGCTGTTCAACACGTGCCGGGAGCCAACAGAGACAGACAGGGCGGCTTAACATCATTCCATTTGAGTGATAGAAAGAGAGAGGGGGGGAGGGAGAGCGAGAGAAAGATGTGGCGAGAGAGGGCTATGTGTATCACCTGATGTACTCCAACGTGGGACCGCAGAATCAAATAACCGCTACAAGGCAGAGAAGTATTCTTGGATATTTGAAATAATCTAAGAGATCTGATCTGGCCGAGATCGAGGGGGGATTCCTAGGTAGATCGTGGTCCTACCTAGAAGATACCGAGGAAGTTCGAGGTGTCTTCGAATCTCTTACTTCCAAGGTTCCTCTGACAGCATCTACATAGTATCCTCGCGCAAGGTAATAACAATGTCTCTCTCTCTACCTAGAAATTACATCCCCAAGCACCAGTCAACCCCGGCACGCCGTGTAGCACCCGCACAGACGTGACAAGTGCCTGACCATTCCCGTGCACGAGATCAGATCCCGACCTGAACCTCAGACGCAGCCCTAATCGGAACCCTCCCCGAGGAATGATAAACAAAATAATAATAAAAAAATGTCGATCTGGGTAGGACTGCTTGATCCAACTGGCTTCGATTTGATTTGATTTCCATTGAGATTCTACACATCCTGAATCCTGGTCCTCTTCACTCCCTTCGGTGTATATAGACACCGTGTCTAGAACCCTTTTTGTGTACGGGGGAAGAAACCGGGGGAGGGGAACAAGGATCAGAATACAATTTGAAAGAAACCCGAGGCAAAGACACAAAGAAGCCAAGATAAGTCTGACTCTCTGTCAATGCATCCATGCCAGGTGTATCCACCTGGTCATCAAGTCTCATAGTTCTCGTCGTCTTGCGGTCAAGAGAAGCCCTCTATGCAACCGCACCTGCATCGGTCTGCAGTCCACGCCACTAGCTCACCGACAGATTGGGGATGGGAGAGGAAGATAGGCACGAGGCAAAAAAAAAAAGACGTTTCTATCGTGGAAAACAAAACGACCAGATGTAAATAATTGACAAGCGGGAAATAAAAAGGGGCGGCGTTTCGGACATCCTCGAAGCCCAACATCAACATGTCAGACAGCCCAATCGAAAAAAATCCCGTAAGAAATGGCGGCCTTGAGGATTTTCGTAGCTGGGGAGAAGAAGAAATCAAGTTATTTCTTTTCTCTCATCAGCATGGCGTTCTATGAGTCTTGGCCTCGTCATCTGTCAGGGACGATCAGCAGGACACACTAAGAGACCCGGCCTTCCACCCAACCACAGCCCAACGGTGTTGGCCTGAACGATGTTTGAATGCAATTTGAAATTATTATTTTTCTCACGCTCGTTGCGACCGACCTGATCCCTCGGGGAGCAGAATACTGGCTTCACCCTTGGCAAGCAAATCAAAGCTTTCCTCGCTGGTCGCCGTAGTTGGCGGACTAGGGGCGTGGTCGGGCGGCAACTCGTACGTCGACTTTTCGTCCACGAATGGCTGCGCAGGCTGAGTCTTCCACCGTCGATCGCCCACCCACTCGATCCCGTCGCCGGCGCCGCTAATGTCGGGCCTGCGACGCTCGCGCTCACGCTCTAAGAGGGGCAGCCGCTCCCTTGGGTCAGGTGTGTCGTCCGCAGGCGTCAGGGGCAGGTGACGGCAGTGCCATTCACCCACGAACATGCCATCCGGGTCAACTTCTTGTCGCACCGTCAACCACTCGTCCATGTCCTGGCCGTACCGCTCGCGCAGCTCGTGCGGGCCCGTTGTGGTGAAGTTCTTCGCCCAGTGGGGTTTGGCGCCCATGTCCCGCATGAGCCACTCGAAGGCTTCATAGTATCGTGCCCGGCACGGCGGGTCGCGAGAATACGCACGGTACAGTGTCGCGTTGAGGTAGAGCGTGGGGCCCTCGCGGCAGGTCGGATCCAGGAACGGCCGCAGGTTGGAGTTTCGCGTCGAGTCCGACACGCGCACCTCGACGGGACAGTGCACCCACAGGCCCTGCACGGGGAAGGGGATGCGCGCAGTCTCGGCGTCGCCATGCAACCACGCCGACAGACGGCCAATGGCCTCGGGGCCCTTTTCAAGCGGGAGCGCCCACTCATTAACAAACTGCGAAAACAGGCAATTCATCAGTAGCCCTGTGCGGGCCGGCTCGACAGCTTCAGTCACAACCGACCCCGCGCGGAAGCCGTACTGCATACCGAAGACAAACCATTCCACCCACGGCAGGATGCGCGGGAAGTAGGACGACAGTGCGAGCAAATTATGATAGATGTGGTAGCCGAGGCGCTCGCCATAAAAGTTCTTCGGGGGTGCGCGCAGCGGAAGGTCGGTTTTATCGGCGCGCCAGATAATCGCGCCCTTCTCGTAGGGCAGCCACCAGACGCGGACGAATTCATGGGATGTCCATAGTCCGGAGGACCAGTCATTCAACACCCGCGCCAGCGAATACCGCTCCTGGCGCCAGGCAATATTGAACGAGGGCTTCGCCTTGAAGGTCACCTCCACGATGATCCCCAAGGCTCCCAGAGACAGCAGCGCGGCACGGAACAACGCCGGGTTATTGGTCGTGCTGCAGCGCACCAGCTGGCCATTGGCCAGCACCAGACTCAGGGCCTCGATGCATTCCGAGAGCAGACCATGGCGTAGTGAGCTGCCATGAGTGCCTGTGGTAATCACGCCCGCAATCGACTGACTATCGATGCTTCCCAGATTCGCCAGTGCCAGCCCATGTTCCTCGAGTCGGACCCCCAATTCGCTTAATCGAATCCCCGCCTCGACGGTGACGGATCCAGTCTCGGAGTCGACGTGCAGTACGCGGTTGAAGTCATCGAGGTTGACGAGCCAGGACGAAGTGCAGGTTAGATCGGAGGGCGAGTGGGCGCTGCCAACGGTAACCAGGCGGCGGCGACAGCGGCGGGCCAAAGTCACCAGCTGCTGGATCTCCGGCACAGATTGCGGGCGGAGGTACAGCTCCGGGCGCGAGAAAAACGTCTTCGCCCAGGTGTGATGGAGGTGGTGGGTGGATGCGCGGAACGGGACCGCGGGGTCGAGCCGGGACAGCTCGTGGAGGATGGAGGGGTCCATGGTGGTAGAAGGCCAATTCTCCCAGAGACGGTCACGGCATATCTGCCCAATCTCACATTCAGTCAATGAAAAGAACGTAGGGCAGGGAAGAGAAAGGGGGAAGGGAAGAGGGAAGAAAACGGACGCTAAAAAAAGTAGATGGCGACATCGCGATAAGTTCAGTTGCCGACCCACCTTTACATCCGGAGCTTCCCCCACTTGCTTTTCGATCTGGTTTCACGCTGTGGCATCTCTGGGCGTGGCCGGAGCTCTTTTCCGACTGAATTATCAAGTGAATTGCTTGGTAATTTGCCCTGCAGAAATCACCATGCATCCCATGATAGCGTAAGACTGTAAACGACCGAAGCGGGAAACCCGGACGGATCAGTTTTTTCGTGGACTGACCTTCACACTTCAAAAAAAACAAAATCATTGCTAAAGCCACCTGATGCGATGCTACCCTCGAAGATCTATGTACATCCCAGATGCTCCGCCATGCTCCTCTAGGGGGTACACACCACAGGACTCCTTCAAGGAAGCTCGTCTGTACAGCCCGAAATATGCACACGAAATGGAGAAAAATGCAAAAAAAAAAAAAAAAAAAAAAAAAACCAAATACATGGCAGCGAAGATTAGTCTCTTCCCTCCTGAGATCGAATGGCCTCGATCGCTACGTCCAGAGGGAACACGCAGGGAGCGTGCAAAGATCGCTGATCCCACTTGCGGAACGCACTCTGACAACGGTCTGGGATCCCGCCCAGCGCGACCAGACTCTTCGGGATGAATGGTCGATCCTGCAGCGAGGTGGCCAGGATTCCGTACTCGTGCGCAAAGACCACTGCCGACGCGAACTCGGCCGATTTCTGAGACGCGTGCTCACCCACGATTCTGAAGCAAAGCGAGTTAAGTTGTCAGGGCATGGAACTAAACAAGGCAGAAGTGCACTTACACATATATCTCAAAGAACGTATCCAGAACATAGACGTCTTTCTCCGTTAGGTCCTTGTAGCAGAAGGGTTCAACTTCCTGGACTGTATCATTGGGCCGGACGACGGGGGAGCCCGAGCCCGGACGGCGCATCCAGAATCGATGTGGTTGGCCTCGTTCATGATCGACGCGGAGGAGGCGAGTGCGGAAGTGGTCATACTTCGGTTTGAGCTTCCAATACTCCGACAACAAGTGAGGAGCAGCTTCCCGAGATCCCGCAAAGACCTCATAGAAACTCTCGGGCTCCTCGTCTTCGGCAACCTCCTCGAACTCGCCGGTCAGGCCGAGATCCATGCCAATGAGCCGGGCCGCACCCGTTTCCTCCGGCCCACTGCCCTTGCCTTTCCACAGATACAGCTTGCCAAAGGGAGCGGAAATCACGAATGGGAAGCCAGAACACAGGTTGCGCAGCGAGTAGTCCACTTCATCGAAAGCCATTTGCCCCAGGTGCTTGCGGCCGCAGAGCATATATAGGGCGGATGAATTAGAACGGGAGCTAGACCCACGGCGGGTGATCATGATTCCACCAAGGGCTTGAATAAAGCCCCTCGGCTCCTTGCCTTGCCGGATCACCGCCAATTTGCAGCTATTCTCCCGGGCCACTTTGCGTGCAAAAAGCTGGGCGTCTTCCAAAGCCGCTTCTGAGACGTCGTCGCCACACCAAAGGTATACGTCAGTCTTGTTGCCGCCTTGTGCTTCGAACAGGTGCACACACAGGTACATGCTACCCTCGTACAAGATGTACTCCTGGTTGACAGGAAGCTCTTGGCGCTTGCCATCGCCCGTAAGCTCCCATATGTGACGCTTCACGGTTCGCATTTTGGTGTCGTCTGCTTTGCTATTCAGCATCAATTGCGGGTCAATATCCATGCGGTCTCGGGGGTTGGGGGACGTCTTGAAGAAGCCCGCAATGACCTCGCGTGCCTCTGCCGCCTGCGCGACTAGCGATGGCGCAGACATTTTACGAGAAAGTCTGTGCGGGTCGGCAGGCTTCTCCAGGGAGATGTCGGCACGCTTGATAGGGACTGGTGGAGAGGGATGGCTGAAGTTCCGTGGGACGGGGTCTCGCACTTCGGCTACCGTCACACCAGGAATGCTTTTCTGTGAAGGGGTCGAAGGTGTTTCCATCCGGTTTTCTTTGAAACTTGTCCGGAGAGGGGACGGCGAAGACGAAGCGTACCGAGCCTGCTGGCTCCATTGTGGCTTCGACGTGGAAGGCGGAGGCGAGGGCGATGAACTGGGCTTTGGCGGCACAAGTGGCCTGCTTGACGGACTAACGGCCCCAGGAGTTTCAACCCCACGAGGCGCATGATCGACATTTCGAGAAACGTATCCGTTGACATCCCCAGCAGTTTTAGGAGAGGGTGTTCCAAGTCCCTGCTGAAGCCCACTATTGAGGGCATCCTGGAAGCTGGTCTTTACTCCAAGGACCTGCCTGGTGACCGGGCTTTCTGGACGGGTGTTTTCAACGTCAGGAACTGAATTGGGCTGTGACAGACGCTCTGAGTTGTTGTCCGAAGAGTCAACAAACACGGGGGCAGTTTGCGGCTTTGTGACTTCAGAAGACGAAATGGCACCAACCTCCTGGGTACTTTGAGCAGACGAGGTAGCTGGAGCAGCAGATCCCTTGGGGAGTCGTCTCTTAGGCCCTCTGGCACGACCCTTTGTCTTGTGAGTCAGAGACGTAGAGGATGAAGCAAGCCCACCCTCTCCCGAGACCGGCGTCACCGGCTCCTTCTTGTTAGGGTGTTCAGCAGCGGCGGGCGGACCTCGAGACAGGATACCTGCTAGGGCAGGGTTGATTCGGCCTGCAAGTTTCCCTTTAGCAGCCAGACTTGGGGTTACAGACGCCGCACCAGCAGTCTCTGCAACATTCGCCGATGGCAAGCCACGAACCGAGTTGATTGCCTCAGTGACAGGCTTCTGTGCCGCCTCCGTGCTTGGCTCGATGGAGTTCACCGAATTCTGCTGGTTTTCCTCCTGCTTCAAGGAAGACTGAAATCTGAGGTCGTCTGCCTCGGGCTCAATAGGCGTCGTTATCGCATGAGGTTCTTCGTTAACGCTCTCGCGAGGTGGAGGAGACTGTGGCTGTTGGTCTTGGGATGTTCGGGGTGTACCGATATCTGCAGAAGGCCTAGGACTCGATTCGTTGGAAGGGATTTTTTGTCGGACACTGTTCGTCCTTGTCATGGTGTTCCGTTTTGCGATCGCCTCTGGCACCGCACTAGTTCGTTTTGGCGGTGCATCGTCCTCTCCTGCCGTATTTCGTCTAACAGAGCCTCCACCAGCCTTCATGGCCTCCTTCTGCTTCAAGATACTATCCTTGAATTCATCAACACGCTGGGTCTTCTTGGGGCCACCTGTGACATTCAGAGCAGCTTTGCCTCGTAGAATATTGCTCTTGAGCTCGTCTGGCGCAACGTAGTTGCGAGTCTCGGTCTTCTTCAGTTTTCCAAATACATTCTTGAATTCCGGTTCTTGCGTGGGCCCAGTGTCTTTGGCGGTATCTCGCTTCCGTAGGTTGGCTCGGAGATCCATCGCAGGAGACTGAGGCTTCGGCTTGGACGCAGTCGGTTCCCGCGAAGACACAGGTGAAATTGACAAGTTTGGTTTTGCACCCAAGACTGGAGGCGATGTTTTGCGGGATGTTTCAGGTTCTGGGGAAGGCTCAGTCTTGTATTGCTCAGACTTGGAGGAAAGCTCCGGCTCCAAAGACGGTTCAGGCTTGGGGCTAGGCTCAGGAACTGCCGTTGGCTTTTGCGGTTCAGTCTCTTGCAAAACAGGAGGCGCATCCCTGGTCTTCTCAGGTTCAACCTTAGTTGGCGGTTTCTCGGTTTCTGCAGCAGCAGCCGGGGGTTCCGGCACGGGTTCTTTCGCTTTGTTGGCGTCTGAACTGCCATAAATGGACGGTGTCCCCGTGATGCTGGGCTTCTTGAAATGGGTTCCTAGCGGAGGCGTTCGCATCAAACCCACTGGAGTGACTTCCTTAAAGTTGTTCACCCTTCCCATATCCACACTGCCTCTGGACTGTCGCTCTCTAGCCCAAGATGATTGCGACGGTTGCTTCTTGTGCCGCGGAGATGTTTCAGGTCGATTGAGAGCACTCTCCAACCAACTGGCTTTGGTAGGGCTCCAACGCTTGGGATCCATAGTCCTCGATACCGAAGGGCTTGATGGCGTATCCGAACCTTGAGTTTCTTGATTCACCAAGCTGCCAGACCGAGCATGACCATACAGTGCCGGCCTGCTCGGACTGCCCTCCGCCCGCCCAATATCATTATTCCCCGTGGAAGGCGTGGTTGGTCTTTCAGTGGAGCTGGTTGGGCGCGCCACGGTTGCCTCACTGTGACTGGAAAAGGGTCGTTCGGAGGGAAAGGATGAGACTTCCCGGCTATCCCGCAAGCCGGTTGTAGCAGGAGCCATGTCACTGAGACTAGGGCCGACAAAGCTGTTCCGATTTTTTATAACGGAATTGCCTCGGCTGAGTCCTTGGGGGATTTGCGCGCTCCACCGCTTCGAAACGCTGTCTGACCGCTTCATCATGGCGCTCTGCACGAAGCCACCGAGGCCTTTGGTGGGCGATGTAGAACGAGTCCGCTCTGGTGACATGCGGCGCTGCGTTGGGGACGGGGAGCCGAGTCATCGCCAGCAGGCTCCGTTTGCCGAGGTTCCAGCTTTTGAGCACTTGACAATGGTACCGGCGACCCCAGTCGAGTAGCCTGCGAGACCGAGGACACGCTCGAGTACCGATGGTCCAGGCTGCTGTCGCCAGCTGTGGAAGCCGTCCTCGGTGGTGATATCTCCTCTGCGCCATCCGTCTTTTCTGGCTCTGCCGTCGATTCGCGACTCATGCCTGGCAACCTCCGACCCATACCCAAGTCAGTGCGGTGATCCGGCGGTTCTTCGCTCTTTCGGTATGCAGGAGAGCCAAGTCCTCGGTCTGGGGTCTGACGAAACCAAGAGGGGTCCTTGGACGAGAGCGATTGTGCGATCTGGGCGCGAGACAACTGGTTCTCATCCGATGCCGTCGACGCATTCCTCAGGTGGCTTGAACGAGTGGGAGATGCAGAGCCGGGGGACTTGCTACCGAAATCCCGCGAGGACGGACGTTGCTGCCACGACAAGGTCCCCGTTCGGCTCCGCGACAACGGTGGCAGTGCTCGCGATGGGGAATCCATTTCTGCGTCCTGGACAGACCCGCGCCTTGAGTGGTCTTCTTGCGCCGCTGTATCTGGAGTCCGGTCAGCCCTTCCCGGGGTTTCGGGATCTAGTGTCTGCAGAGTCGGCTCGAGCTGCTCGGGAGGATCGATGGAACGGTGGCCCAGCGAGGCACTTAGCGTGGGTGAATCATTAGTGGGGGCAATCGATCGTGCTCGCTCTGCCAATACCGCCAAGACGTCAGCACATCATCAAAATGCAGCCAGTACCGTTGGGAAGACCGGGGTTCGACATTCTCCGAGGCACTGCTCTTTTTTTCCCACCTCCCCAGATCATTCCAGTGGAGGGGCCACAGAAGGGGCGGAAATGGTACCAGCTCGTCGGGCCTGTCTTTCTTTCCGGCCCTGCAGAATCTCCTCCTCTAGCTTCTTAGTGCGTTCTTCGTCTTCCTTGTCGCGTCGCTCGCCTAGTTCTCGAATGCGCGACAGGAAGTCGTTCACATCTTCGGATCCATCAGGGTTGGTGGGTGTAGTCATGATCCTTCGCCTCCCACGGTCGTGGATTTCACAAAGAAACACGACCGAAGGAATGAGTGAAAGGGAGGGGGTGAAAGAGAGAAAAAGAGAAGAGAGTGGAAGAGTGGAAGTTCGGGCTGTGAGATGTTCTCCGCCTTGAAATTAAATGGGGACTCGATCGTTAAGTCATTGGCTCCGACGCGCACATCACTGGGGGTTTTTCTTCTCTTCTTTTCTTCTCTTTCATTTCCCCCCCTCTGTTACTCTAATATGACCTTCGTCAATACCTTCGATACAATCAACATCCACTGAGCTTAGTCCAGACTGCAATATCCTACATCCGAGGATCCCCTCCAAGGCGTGCCAGTGTTGGTTTGTTTACGTTGAGAGTTGTGGATCACCTCAGGTTCCACCCCGCAGGTTTCCCTCAATCCATGGATCGCGACGAGGATTTTTCCCAAACTCCCAGGAACTCCCAGGGGATCCTGCCGTCATCCGCTTGGACTCTCCAAGGTGGTTTTGGAGACTTTGGATGTATCACTTGGATCACTTGGTACCTTGCAGTACGCCACTCTCAAGGGCAGACCCGATTTCTGAGTCATATTCGACCCAATTCAAGGTTTTATTCTGGAATGTCACTACCCTGCGTGACATTTCTTGTGATGTCTATTTTTGTTTTTGATTCTTTTCTCTCCTCGCCAATTCTAATTACAGAATTAGTCCCATCTGTAGGGGATCCGGTGTGGTCGATGTGGGTATGGCACAATCTCATAGATCTGCGCAATTGCGAGTGAAACCCGTCCACAACACAACAAACTTAAGGCAAATGGGACTTGTGGCAATACTAGCACTAGGCCAGAAAAGAAAGCTGCATAGCAGTTGGAATATTTTCTTGTAGAAGCGAAGTTCAATCGGACTGACCTTCTGTTGAGTATAATGGTAGGGTGGGACAGAAATTTCTCAACCCCGGTGTTTTCTCTTTTTATTGAGACGTGGGTATAATCATAAATAAATCGAACAATATTCGCTGAGCAAATTGTATTGTCAAAAAGACAAAACAACCTGGAAATCGGACACTTGCCCATGAGGTGCAAGATCGAGGCTAGTAAAGGAACAGCCGGTCTTTGGCGTCTTGCACCACCCACTCTAACCCTCGAGTAAGATTTGTCCCTGTCATCGCACTACAGGGGAGAATGGTCCATTTATGGGTTTTGATCAAATCCAAGCCGAGACGCTGTAGTGGTTCCATCAGCCCAAGTCCCGCCACATCCACTGCCTCGCCACACATAAGAAACCACGATTAGAAAAAAAAATTATACATACCTCACGAACTTCATGTTCGGTCATGCACCCTTCCACATCAGTCTTGTTCAAGAATACCATGAGACTGGCTCCCATGAGTCGCTAGAAACAAGTGTGTTAGTTCGGACCCGAGTTCAGGTCTGCGCGGGGACGCACCTCTTCCAGAAGCAGACCCGCGAGTTCTTGTCGGCAATCATCCACCCGCAGACGATCTGTCGCATCGACAACCCAGACCAGCGTGTCGGTCTTTTCAAAGTAGTTTTTCCAGTAGGATCGGAGGGTCTTTTGCCCGCCAACATCCCCTGGGAGTTGTCAGTCTGTCGTTCGCCATGCCACAATGCTGAGCAGCAGGTGCTTACAGATGTTGAGCTTGTATCTGCGTATCCAGTTAGTCATTTGCCCACCCCATAAATTTATCAGAAGTTCCCACCCCATAAAATCAATGGTTTTAATGATAAACCCCAGGGTCGGGCTGACCGTGGTGACATCCTCGTTCATGATGCGCTTCACAATCGTTGTCTTCCCGGCATTATCAAGTCCCCTGTGACCACCGTTAGTATCTCATGATGATTTCAATGTCCATGAAAAAGCCATACAGCATTAATATCCGCATCTCCTTATCCTTCAAGCGTGCCTTGCGAAGTATTGACAGCATGGCTGCTGATGGAATTGTATCCCCGGAATTCTGGGGAGTTGACGGGATGAAGTTGCTGCCAGCGTTCTGCAGAGCGGAGTACTTCTCACGTTTCGAGTTTAAGACCAACCACATAATCCAATGAATAATATAGGATACTATCAACACAAACTAGATGATATAGTTTAATTATAGCTATCTCAAAATGTTTGATTTCTTCATTGGAGTATCCAGCAGTAGGTGATGCAGTAGCCGTGCCTATAGCCAGGTTAAGCAGCCGTCAAAAATACCAACCCAATGGATCTCAATGGATCAATAAAGAATACTGTATAACGATTTGTCTTTCTACCCTCTACTCCCATCGTTGTACTTGGATTTCCCATTTTTCGGGGGTATCAAAATCCTCAAAAAAGGGGGAAATAGAATTTGAAAATATATCACCCTATAAGCTGGTTGAATGCCTGAAAATATTTCTATTTGAACAGAAACGACTCTCAATCTCTAATCATTCTTCTCCAAGGATGAAGCTGATGCTGCATCCATTTTGGGCCATCAGACCGCTTATATCATCCCCTCACCGCCCAGGAACTTTTTTTTTCTGCATGTTGATCGGTTTTCTTTTTTTTCTGATGAACGAGCCAGTGTTGCCGAGACTGTGTCTGGGGAGCAGGAATTTACCTTGCAAATTTTTCGCGAGGTTTGAGAGGACACCTTTCCTTGTCACTGACAACGGTCCTTGACCCCCGCCTCCAACATGGCACCCAGCACGGCGAAGCGGAGCTCCGCCAAAGACGACGATTTCGTCCTGACGTTGTCCGACGACGAAGACGTTCTCCGTTTCGACGAAGGCGAAGAGGAAAATGAAGGTGCCGATGGAGATGCGCCTGTCGCCGACACCAAAAAGCGCAAGCGAGAGGCCGAAGCACCTAAGGGCAAAAACAAGAAAGCAAAGCAACAATCGAAGAACGGGAAGAAAAAGCAGGGCAAGGACGAGCTTGTTAATGCGGACGCATCCGATGAGGAGAGTGATGGTGCGATGGATGCCGGCGAGGATGACGGTGCGCTGGACTCTGACTTCGAGTTTGATGTCGGTGGTGCGGCCAATCGCGGCGTCGTCGAGGGATTCGATGGGTGGGGAATTGGTGACGGCGAGCAGAATGGATCGGGCGGGGATAAAAAGGCAGTGGATATCGACGAGATCATCTCGCGGAGACAAGCGAGAAAGGAGGCTGCGTCTAAGAAGAAACAGAAGAAAAACGAGGTCCCCGAGAGCGCCAGCGCATCCGGCGAGGAAAATGCCGAGTCCGATGGTGGCTTGCCGGTCGAATTTGAAGACGACGAGCTGATGGCTGCCGATGGCTTCGGTATGGGTGCGGACGGCGAGGACGAAAGCGACGCCGAGGGCCCTGAAGTTGGATCTGGCCCGGAGGAAGACGAGGATGAGGATGACGACGATGACGCTGCTTCCGACAATGACTCTGTCGCCACTCCAGTTGGTCATCCTGACGACCATGGGTTAGACCGGGAATCTGATGCTGAGAGTGAGGTGGATGCCGAGGAAGAGGAGAAGCGGAAAGCGTTCTTCGCTCCTGAAAACAAAAGCGACGAGAAAGCAGCCATGGCCAAAAGCACCTTCCAAGACTTCAACCTCTCTCGACCGATTCTCCGTGGCCTGGCCTCGGTTGGTTTCACCGACCCGACACCCATCCAACGCAAGACGGTGCCCGTGGCTCTTCTTGGCAAGGATATTGTTGGTAGTGCCGTGACTGGTTCAGGAAAGACGGCAGCCTTCGTCGTGCCCATCCTGGAACGTCTCCTCTTCCGGCCGCGCAAAGTTGCTACAAGTCGTGTTGCGATTCTCATGCCCACTCGAGAGTTGGCAGTGCAGTGTTACAATGTTGCTATCAAACTGGCTACCTTTACGGATATCACGTTCTGTCAACTGGTTGGTGGTTTCAGTCTCCGTGAGCAGGAAAACATCCTCAAGAAGCGGCCAGATGTCATTATCGCTACCCCCGGTCGTTTCATTGACCACATGCGCAACTCGCCAAGTTTCACGGTGGACACGCTCGAGATCCTGGTTCTTGACGAAGCCGATCGTATGCTGGAAGATGGATTTGCGGACGAGCTGAATGAAATCCTGACGACAATCCCGAAATCACGACAGACGATGCTTTTCTCTGCAACAATGACGGATACAGTCGACAAGCTTATTCGGGTTGGACTCAATCGACCAGTGCGCTTGATGGTCGACTCGAAGAAGCAGACTGCCGTAACGCTGGTCCAGGAATTTGTGCGTTTACGGCCCGGGCGAGAGGACAAGCGTCTCGGGTATCTTCTGCACTTGTGCAAGGAAATCTACACGGGGCGTGTTATTATCTTCTTCCGACAGAAAAAGGAAGTGCATCGCGTTCACATTGTTTTCGGGCTATTAGGCTTGAAGGCGGCCGAATTGCACGGTAGCATGAGCCAAGAACAGGTATGTTCGACTGACTACACCTTTTTATCTATCACACACTGACCCATTATGTAGCGTATCAAAAGCGTAGAGAACTTCCGAGACGGCAAAGTTTCTTTCCTGCTGGCAACCGATCTGGCCTCCCGTGGTCTGGATATCAAGGGAGTGGAGACGGTTATCAACTACGAAGCCCCACAGAGCCATGAGATCTACCTGCATCGTGTCGGGCGAACGGCCCGTGCTGGTCGCTCTGGTCGCGCATGCACGATCGCCGCCGAGCCCGATCGCAAGGTTGTGAAGGCGGCTGTCAAGGCAGGCAAGGCGCAAGGCGCCAAGATCGCCAGCCGTGTGGTGGAGCCCGCCATTGCCGACGAATGGGCGCAGAAAGCCGCGGATCTCGCTGACGAGATCAACGAGGTCATGCAGGAAGAGAAGACCGAGAAGCAGCTGGCTCAAGCCGAGATGCAAGTCAACAAGGGCGAGAACCTCATCAAGCATGGATCGGAGATCATGTCGCGACCCAAGCGCACCTGGTTTGAGACGGAACGGGAGAAGCGAGCGTCGCGCAAGCTCGGTGCAACTGAATTGAACGGGCCTGGTGCAGGCCAGTCCAAGAAGGAGAAGATCAAGCTCAGCAACAAGGACAAGAAGCGTCTGGACGATGCCAAACTGCGGCACGAGGGTAACATTGGATGGAAAAAGGGACGGGCTGAGCGTGAAGCCCCGAATGACAAGGGCAAGGGCAAGGGGAAGGGCAAAGGAAAAGGAAAAGGCAAAGGGAATAAATAATGAGTCTATTTCTCGTGTACAGTACAATGAGACTACATTCCATGGATATATACATCGACACCGATATGAAGAATTGGCGCCCCCACTTCCTATATTGGAGGTTTTCTAGGGTTTCTACCGTCTCCGATCATCCGTGGAGCCATCGGTGGATCCCAAGATATCCCGATTATTGGCTCCATCACCGTGGAGCCAGCCTTAACTGGCGGACTGGCCTGATCCGACGTCAATACTATCTCACCGTTCCAAACCGCCTTAGCAAAAAAAAACTCCCCCGCGATCAGGAAGCCCCACGAGGGGGGGCCAAAACTCCCCTTTCTTCACCCATTCACCCTTGAAACTCTTTTTTTTCCTGCAATCTCTCCTTTTTCTTTCATTCTTCAATGGAGGTCGTGTGCCATCCGCAATTGGCGTGACATGGTGGTTGAGGGCTCTGGCATGGCTGACGTGCCTCACAAGACCGGGGTTGCCCGGAAGAGCGCCTTCTCGTGCGAGGCCTGTCGCAAGCGCAAGGTGGGCGCGAATCGGACAAATCCCGAGCTTCCGATTAGCTGACTCTTTTCTTTCTTTCTTCTCTTTTCTCTCAACAGGTCAAATGCAATGGCGCAAGTCCGTCGTGTTCACGTTGCGCTGCTCGAGGCGAGTTCTGTGTGTATAGCTTGTGAGCACGGCTCTCCGCTTCCCACGTCAATTATCGGTTGCTGATCTGCCCCCTCTCTCTCTCTCCCTCATCCCAGAGCCCCCACGTTATCCTACACCAAACAACTAGAAACTCGAGTCGCCCAGCTGGAAGATGCTCTGTCGAAGGTGCGCGGCCATCATGTCGAGGTCGAGGCTCGGAAAGGTAGCTCGCCGGCGTCGGTGGCGGAATCCAGCTCGAGTGCTGGGCGCCGAATCAAGACGGAAGACGACACTCACGATCTGGCACGGGAATTCGATGGCCTGAATGTCGAGAATGACGGTCGCATCTCCTTCCATGGACCGACCAGTCTGTTCCAGCTCCCCAGTGGGGTGGTGAACGAGACGGCCACCACCTCATATTTCGCACAGGAGCTGGAGGCCCGTAAGGAACGCCTGATCAACAGCGCATGGCGTGAGAGAGCCTTTGAGCAGATGGCCGCAATGCCCGAGCCTTTCCAGTACCTGCTCGATTCTCACTGGTGCTGGATCCAGCCGCTGTTCAATTTCGTCTATCGCCCGGCGTTTACTCGAGATTTGAAGATCCATGGACCCTATTACTCGGATATCTTACTCAACGCGATCCTCTCGCACTCGGTCCGCTGGTGCAAAGCAGAGCCTCAGGTTGGCCCGTTGCTTGATTCTTTCGACGGCGGGGCCCTGTTTTCGCACCGGGCTGTGTCCGGGCTCTACGACTCCCTGAAAGTCGGCTATGCGGGCATCCCGACCATTCAAACATTACTCCTTCTCAGTGCGCAAGAATGTGGTCGCGGGAACCGGACGCAAGCCTGGCTGTATAGCGGCATGGCATTTCGGCTGCTGGACGACCTAGGAATTTCGATTGACAGCCGCAAGTATTCTGGGTCGGCGCAGTTGAGTGACGAGGACATCGAGATTCGTAACCGGCTCTTTTGGAGCTGTTACTTTTGGGATAAGGTGGTGTCGCTGTACTTTGGCCGGGCGCCGACCATGCAGCACTCGCACGTGAGCCCGCCGCGAATGATCCGTAAGTCTTGATTGGTATGGCCTTTTCGTTTTTCAACAAACTAAACGCTCTCCTCGGCAGTGGATGATACCTCTGAGATCGAAATATGGACTCCTCATGGGGTCAGCTTCCCCGATGGGGCTCACTATCCGCCTACACAGGCCCATTCAACATCATGCTTCATGAAGATGTGCGGGTTAGCAGAGATTCTCAACCAGATCTTGATCCACATTTATGATCCCATGCGTCAAACCACCGAATCCGAGTTCTATGACTGCATCCAGGAGCAGGCCAAGAATCTGAGCGACTGGTGGGATGAACTTCCAGACTACCTGAAGCTTGTGGCGACAGAGCTACCCTCGTACAGCCCGCCCAGTCACATCATGATCTTGAAGTATGTTTTCATGCTTGTTTTTGGGAGGTCTTCTGCTAATTACATTCTAGCTGCCTGTATCATACTATCAACATCTTACTCCATCGACCGATCCTCTGCTCCCGGGAATTGCTCAAAAGCCGACAAGAGACATACGACAAGAGCCACCTCGTGCAATGCCTGGCGTCGGCAACAACAATACTATCCCTGTTCGATCTCTACCGCCGCACCTTTGGCGACAACCACGTTGTCCTGTCTTTGGCCTACAGCATCTACACCGCGGGATCAATCTTTCTGCTGGAAATCCAGGCCCTGAAATACGCCGCACCGGGAACCCTGGATAAGCTCAAGTTCTGCATATTCGCACTAGAGCGAGTCAAGCTCGCCAACCCGGTCATCACCACGGCTCTCAGTCTCATCTACCAAGAGCTACAAAAGCTCCAGATCGACATCCACGTCACCATGTCCGCTCCTCCCCCAGACCCCGACCAACAACCCCATCACCATCCTCAATCCCACCATCCCCACTCTCACCCGAGCAGCCAGTCCCCGTCCGTGAGCAGTAACCCATCTCGCCACGTCTCTCCGGGCCTCCAACACCCGCAACAGCACCCCCACCACCAGCAACCGCGAGCGGCGATAGGCGCCAGCACATCAGCCGGCACTCCTAGTCCCAACCCCCTGATGTCCGGCTACAACACCTTCCAGCAACACCCCGTCGCAGGCTTCGATCTCTCGCGCACGGGCGATATGCCCCAGATGGCGCCGACGCATCTCCTAGGCGGGATGCCCGATGCCGTGATCACGATCGACGACCCGAGTTCGTACGAGATCACCCCCGAGGTGTTCGAGGCGTTTTCGTATGCGCAACCCATCACGACGAATATGACTCCCGCCTTTGATCCCACTTGGGCGGGACCGCCTCGATGATAGGTGTCTTTTGTCTTTTTTGTTTATCTTTTGTGTTGATGATTCCCTGGGTCTAGCGTCAGCGTTGAGAGTTATAATTGTGATATATTTTGTTCTACCATGCACAAAAAGATATTCCAGCAATATATGATCATAGTTGGAGTTGCAGTGGTTTTTCTTGATTTTGATTTCTTTCTTATTCTTATTCTTATTCTTATTCTTTCTCTATTTCTGATTCATCCTTGTAACCTTTTAAGGTTGACTCTGCTCAGTCATAATTCAAGTTGATTAGATTTGTACATGGGTATCAGATATATGTCCAAAAAGAAAACATCCAAAATGCAGTATAAATACAAGAAGATACACCACAAACAACAGTAGTACAAATACACACACAAGAAGGGAAAAGAAGCTTCGAGTCCCGTACAAGTTAAACATTAGGGCCAAGATATAGGGGCGATGGACTCAAGCCGGCCATGTCGAAGAAAATATTAGAGCGCCGTATTCCCAGGCTTGGGATTTTTCACATCCGTGGAATCGACAGTGTCGACAGTATCAGCGGTGTCAGTCGTGTCGATTGTGGTAGTCAAAGACGGGGCCTCGGATTCACGGGGACCAGCGCGCCAACGCAGGTACCATGGGGTATCGAAGAGGTCGCCCATCCGCTCGATAGGCACGCCCTTGGTCTCGGGCATCCAGATGCCGAGGATAACGATACCCAAGAAACAAATGATAGCCCAGAAGAGGTAGGCGCCCCAGACATCAAGCGAGATGAACATATTGGGGGTGACGCGCACGACGGCAAACTGAAAGAACCAGTGCAGGGCCATGCTGGTGGAGTAGCTGACGTTGCGGATGCGAGTCGGGAAGATCTCCGTGCCGTACAAGTACGGGATGGTGCAGAGGCCGACGGACCATCCGACGGCATACACGAACACGGACGCGACGGCTGCGTCAGACGCGGACTTGTTGTCTGCGGAGCCGGGTTGTAGCCCCATGTATGCACCCATGTAGATGTGTGCTGCCAACTGCAGGGCCAGCCCTGTCAGTGCACACCGCCGCCGGCCTAGGAAGTCGATCAGGCCCCAAGTGAACGCCATGGTGAACACGAGCTTGACGACACCGTAGGCGCCGGACGAGACCAGCGATTGTGCATCCGCTGTGACGCCGGCGTACTGGAATTGGCAGAACATGTCAGTATTAATGCCCTCGAAAGATAGTCCTTGCCAGATATGCTTATATTGGGTTGGCTCACCTCGAAGACATTGGTCACGTAGTAGGTGATCCCGTTCCCGCCGGTCCACTGTGCAATAGTCTGCATTGTCATTAGCAGCCAGAAGCGTTGCCGGTAATTGGCGTTCGTCTGGGTCTCCTTGAACGCGGTCCAATGCGACACAGACGCCAGGTCTGCCGTCCGCTCCCGCACTTGGGCGTCAATGGTCTCGAACTCGGCCTTGACGATCGGATCGTCGGCGGATTTGCCGCGTAGACGCGCGAGGGCATCCCGCCCCTCGGTATGCCGTTGTTTCGAAGCGAGATATCGCGGGGTTTCGGGACACAGGTATGAAAGACCGAAGGCAATGCCGACTGGGATGAGGGGGATAGCTTGGACTAGGCGATATTGGGTGCGCGTGGCGGCCATGTGAAGCTTAGCGCCATAATTGATGAAAAACCCTGCCAGATAAGACAACACGAGTCAGACATGCCCCCTCAACCCGGAACAACAAAAATAACGCAAAACAAGAAATGCTAGACTCACCCATGGCCAGCACCGCCAGCAGAGCCACCATGTACAGCCCGACCGAGAGACCTCGTGTCGCCTTGGGCGCAACCTCCGACAAATACAAAGGCGACGTGACAGTCAGGGCGCCTGCGCCCAAGCCACTCCATATACGAGCAAAGAGCAGCAACCCATATATTCCAGACGCAAACACTTGGATGAACATCCCCGACGCCCATACGATGACGGCCACTCGCCACGCCACCAATCGCCCGAGTCGATCGTTCAGGTCCAGGGCAAACAAGGCGCCGAACGCCGCGCCCAATACGTTGAACGAGGTGATATTCGCCTTCCGGTTGGCCAGCCCGGTCGCATCGTGGGCCCAATTGGATTTGATCAGGTTGAAATCAGTTTGGAAGGAAGGGAGTTTGACGCTGGCGCTGTAGCCACCCTCGTCATAACCTGCAGGAACGAGTAATTAGCGGGATTTTTTTTTTCTGTTTCGTTTTCTGTGTGTTTTTCTGGATTGTTCGGTTTCCCCTGTTGGGAGAAACAGCCATGTGCCCCGTTGCTTACCTTTGGGGATGCCGCCACACGCGATCACGAAGATCACCAAGGCATAGTAAGGAGTTGTCGACCAGCGCGACGTGTCCAGCCGTCGCATGACGAGAACTCTCGGGGCCAAAAACAAACCAAACCAAACCAAAACAAACCAAGCTGTGGAGGCTAGTAGATCCGGGGAAAGATGCGGTGGACGGTCGTCGGCAAAGGGTGGGTTTTGCAGGATGAAAGTGGGAACGAAATTGCAGCAGGCGCTCGGCATCCCGGGCTTAGGCCCTGACCTCGGTCAACGTCCGACCCCTCCAGGTCATTTCCTTTCTTCCCCCCATCTTCTCTCCCAAGAAGATCAGCGCTCTTTGCTCGATTTTCGACGGCGACTCCGAGCAGCATGCATCCCAGTTATTCTTTTCCCAGGGCGTTGGTTTCGCACGGGACTCGAGGGTGACAGATATACTCCATAGTTCTTCAGAGTCGGATCGCACCGTGCACCCACCCCAGGCTCCGCTTGACGGATTACTCGTCTCGGAGGTCCTCATGGCGGGATCAAGATTGCCAGAAAGGCAAGAAATCTCATAGTTCTCCTGTACTGCGGCGTTGTCACCAAAAGGCGTCGTTGCCCGATTACCTCACGGACGACTTCCGCGCTCACTCCTGCAGCACTCGCAATCCATACCCTCTGTTGAGCCGACGGGTGGGTCAAGTCTGAGGCCTCTCGGGAATACCCTGGACCCAATTTTCAACACGGCAGAGGGAAGAGTTTTTTGGAATTGTTATTATTAGTTGTTCGCCCTGCATTTCCCTAGGAGATCAGGTTGACCGAGACGGACATTGCCCGGCGAAGACGGCATGATACGTTTTGAGTCCTGTCTTAGGGCGAACCCCTGTCACCGTGTCTGTTATTTTGTGAGTAGAAACCCCTCTGAAGAGACCTTGGGTTTCGTCCACCCCCCTTGGTTTTGCATGGCCTCTCGTTCACTATGCTTACATCCTCCCAGCCCAAAGCCAGTCTCTTGGCAGAGACCTCACGCCTCTCGCTTGCTGCGGTTTCTTCTAGTTGCATAGAGCAGCGCCGGTTGAGCCATGCAACAGCGGTCAGCCCTCCTCTCAGAAGGAGAATCCCCCCTGGCTCATGGGATAGCCACATGCACGTCGTGGAACCCTCACGGTTTCCCGTTTCCCCGACAGCAGTATATAAACCCTCTCCGCATACGTTGACCGAGGCTCTCGCTTTCGAGTCAGCACTGGGACTCGACAATGTTGTCTTTGTGCAACCATCAGTCTATGGGCCCGACAATTCATGTCTCATAGACGCACTAAAGAAAGTCGGGCCCTCCCGCGGCCGTGGGGTCGTGGTGATAGACCCGGCCAATATCCAACCCGAAACGCTAGAAGAGTGGCATTCGCTCGGAGTGCGTGGGTTACGAGTGAACCTCCAATCTGTGGGGAAGGTTATGAACAAGCTGGAACTGGAAACGACGTTACTCCAACACGCCGAGATTGCCCGACCCCGGAACTGGATCATAGAGGTATATCTCCCGCTTAGAATGGTCCCGATGCTCGAATCGATCGTCCCATGCTTAGGCGTCCGCGTTTGCATCGACCACTTCGGAAGCCCTGACCTGTCTACTCTGGCATGGAACCATGACAGCACACCATTCAATCCATTCGCCCTCCCCGGATTTGCGTCATTAATCTCCCTCCTTCGCACCGGCAGCACGTATGTCAAGGTGTCTGCACCTTACCGGCTCAGCAAAGACCACCAAATGCGCGATCTACGGGCCATGGTGCGTGAGTTTCTGTCTGTTGCACCTAAACGAGTTATTTACGCCACGGACTGGCCTCATACACGCTTTTCCGGGGTCGACATTAGCCCATTCACCGAATATTGTCTGGAACTATGTGCACACGACCCGGAGCTAGCAGAGCGGTTGTTCCGCAGGAATACAGAAGAGATGCTAGGAGTGGCTGCTGCAAGATAGGGTGGTGATTTCATGTTTTGCACTGGCTGGTTGTGCACGGCGTTTATTCTGCATTAGGCTTTCGAGCCTCGGCGTTTTCAGCATCGGTTCGAGCGTTAAATGATGATGAAGAATGCATTTTTACGATCTATGGATGATTTACAGTACGAATCCCCCAAGTGGCATTTGATCTGATATATATTCCCTCGATGTCTACCCAACGGAAATTTATTGACAAACTGGCCAACCCTGGGCATCTGCCAGAAACCTAAGTTATGAAATTGAACGTAATCGAGTGAGCACCTATCTTCCCGTGCATGACCATGAGGTCTGCATGTCTTTAGACACTGCTCGCATCCTGGAAGATAACGTGATTCGTGCAAATCTTCTTTGGGCCCTACGAGCAACGAAACAATTATGGTTAGTAGACTGCGCGAAGATACAATCGAATTAAATTGAGAGGAAACTCACAATCTCGTAACAGCAAGCGGGTCGAGAGCGGTCCTCGCACAGCTGGGGCTCTTGGATGAGCTCACCTAGATAAGGTGTCGACTAGGTCAGCATGATTCATAGTGTGGTATTTGGAATAAAAAGAGATCAACACATACAGTCTGAAGCCTCGTTGATGTTGCCGTTGTTTGGCGCCGGCTTCAGATCACGGCAGCAGTAGGGCTGCTGGATCATGCCCGACTTGTCAGCCGCGAAGTTGCAGTGCATGTTGATCTTTTTGGCCTCACCCAGGGCCAGGGTTGTGGCGAGGGCAACGAGAATAGACGAGACGCGCATTTTGATTAATGAAAGAAGTGATAAATGAGTGTGGTTAAGCGCGTGGTCGTTGCGGTTGGAAATGGGCCGGAAAGAAAGGAGATGGGGAGAATCGGGGGATGTATACTGGGGAGTCGCTTGCTATTCTACCTGCTTGCGAAAATAGTGAGAGAGAGGGCATGACTTCAGGAGGGCAATTGAACTTTCCTCGCATTAGCGAGCAAGGCTGTCTCCCTGTTGATGTTGTCCTGGTATGAAGGCTGATCATGGTGGATCTGATTGGCAGGCCCCGGCATTGCTGGGTGCTCCTTGCATTTTTCGCATTCTCCGATGAATGGGGCATGTTTGAGAGGGGAGGGGGTTGATGTACAGGGGCAACTCCTGGCGAAGGGATCCAGGGGTTAAGGCCGTCATGCCGATCGATCACAGGTTTCCCTCGTGCTCGAATGAGCTCATGGCTTGATTCTGGGGAGTTGGGTTTCCATCAAGGGATGTATGACGATGGGAACTCGAGTCAGATGTTGAGGGGCCACAAGGCATGAATTGGTGTTTCATGCCATGGACCAGCAGCTACTCAAGATGGATCTATTATCCAAAAAAAAATTGTGTATTTGCTTTGTGGTCAAAACAACCTGTTATTTGGCTCTGCAGCTGCAGATGCAGCCCTAATGAACAACGGACATGGATATATGCCCTGCACCGTATATTTATCTGGATTATCTGGATACCTTGGTTTATGCTAGATTTAAAAATATCTATGCTTCTAGTATCTCAATATATAGTTACCAATTCATACACTTCCAATATTTTGTGTTCACTTGGGTGATCCTTGTTGACGCGGGACGCCAGCGTAATACATATATATATAGATATATATATATATAATCTTTACTTCCAAATTTACCACATTAAATAGTATTTGACTCTTTATATTCATCCACTGGAAGTCTAGCTCAGGTCTAAACAGGTTCCTAGAAACAACGGATAAGATAGAAACTTTGGGGGATCAATGGACAGCTGAACATTTATTTGTTTCAGCCGGTCGCTGCTTCCGAAGCAATTCCGTGCTCCCTTGATTCTGATTATGCCTTTGTAGATGATTGTTCAGCTCCACTACGTGGCGATGTAGCTGAATGTAGCATATCACCCCTTCAAATAAAGCGCTAGCGTGCTTAATCAAATAAGTACCTTGTTGCTAAATAAGGAATTCAATTATTTTCTATAGTTCCAAGGTTAGGTTAAGGTTGAAGGGAAAATATCATGTGATTTGAGACGTGGTTGAGATTTGATTATATAACACATCATGATTACGTAAGATTTTGTTGTGCTGGTAGCCAAAGTGTTGGGGTGTCCCCCATCGATATCCTTTATTGTTCTCGATATACCTCATGGAGAAATACAACTCATGATGCCTTCTTCGAGCACTGTCGACATGGACCGCAGTGTTTACATTCCTCTCTGCTTCTGTCTTATTTCCTTCGCTGTCATCGCCTACTCCCACTAGTCATTCTGCCGTAGTGTTGTCCTCAACGCCATCCATACAGACAACCCTCTGTCACTACGGACGAGCCGCATACTGCGCCAGACTCAGATATCTGAGATATGCCTGCTGCAACATCTGCAGTAGATTCTACCCGACTATCCCAGACCACAGCATGCGACCCCGCTACCTCGGTTCCCTTGTCTCCTATCGAAGTCGGAAGACAATGCGCTTTCAGAGAGAGGCATAGCTGCGGGCAGAATTGTTTCTCCTGGGGATGTTCTTCTCTTGCTATCTGAATAAACCATACAACCCCTCTCCGACGAGCCTGCAACATCCTCGCGATGACTTCTTCCTCAACCCCTCCCTTCGCGACACTCTGGACCCCGGTCTCACAGATTAACCGCCCACAACTGGAATACTGGCGCAAGACGATGTCGCAAACCTCCCTGGTAGGGTTGTGATGTTCGATTGTTGGTACTGGAACGGAAGCCCGCAAACCCCAATATCCCACGGGTTCATGAGCTCTATATCCACCACCTGGCATGATGTGATATGGTACCAAAACCATAGCTCAGCGATTTTGCATCTTCATTATTTGCGCATCTCTCTATCTTGTCTTTTGACACAACTTTCCTTACCGTTACTATATTGTCTTGACTGCCCCACCATGATCTTTGAACGCCACCTGTCAGCTCTGGAGCTGTTTATAGGACAGAGTTCTAGTGGGGTACTCATTGTCTGTCCTCTATTTATTTTCCTACTGAAATAATCTATGGAATAAACATACTTTGCCTTATTGTGAGAATGAGAATTACTCGGGTAGGAACAACGTGGGGCTCAGTTGGGAGCGAGGCAAACCATAGCGGAGACAAAGCATTAGCTTTCCGACGTAATGGCCAGATTATAATATTGCCTTTCCTTTTACTCATCTTGATCTACTGTATACATATCTTTCCTGTTAATAAAACATGGAATATGTTGAGAATTCGTACAGTCCATACAATGGACCTCGGTCTCCACGTGACATGCTGAGAAATCATGAGGTGATCGAGCTTTCAGTCCCGACCGGCATAGGAGCGTATCAAAGGCCGATATCGTCACCATCTTTTGTCAGCGCCCCTCTTCCTTCTGTATAGACCCCGCTAGATACTTTTCTTAAGTATCCTCGCCCCTCCTTCTCTCCTCCATGCTCTCCCTCCCCCTCCAATCTTCTCGGTTCAGCGTTCGAGGCTCTGCATACCTGACCCGGTTCCCCGTCGGGAAATCCATCCATACAAAGGCGATCGTGAATCGAAATCTGGCGACCTTCAATTCGCCCCGCCCGACGACCGCGAACCCAATTGTCCCCGGCTCTCGTCTCTCTTCGCTTTCTCGGCACTTTTCTTCTTCCCCCGCACCCCAAACCAACTCGACCATGGCGCCCGTGGAGACGAAACAATATGACTACATCGTGCTCGGCGGTGGTAGCGGTGGCAGTGGAAGCGCTCGCCGAGCGGCGGGGTGGTACGGCGCAAAGACGTTGATCGTGGAGAGCGGTCGGTCTGGCGGTACCTGTGTCAACGTGGGGTGAGTTATGATATTTTGTATTGTGGTTGCTGGGGCTGACAAAAACGGTTTGTAGGTGTGTGCCCAAGAAGATGACGTGGAATTTTGCGACCATCAACGAGATGATGCACGTCGGCAAGCACTACGGTTATGACATCCCCGACAACATCGCCATCGACTACAACTCTTTCAAGAAAACGCGCGACGCCGTGATTAAGCGCCTGAACGGTGCCTACGAGCGTAACTGGGGCCGCGAAGGCATTGACCTCGTCCACGGCCGCGCAGGTTTCGTGGACCCTAAGACTATCGAGGTGACCCTCGGCGACGGCTCCGGCACCGCCCAGTACACGGCGCCGCATATCTTGATCGCCACCGGCGGCCGGCCCAACCTCCCCAAGGTCCCCGGTGCCGAGCATGGTATCACCAGCGATGGGTTCTTCGAGATGGAGGAGCTGCCGCCTAAGGTTGCGGTTGTCGGCGCCGGGTACATCGCAGTCGAGCTGGCGGGCGTCCTGAACGCCGTGAATGTTGAGACACACATGTTCATCCGCGGTGACACTTTCTTGCGCAAGTTTGACCCCATGGTACAGAAGACCATGACTGATCGCTACGAGGCTGCGGGCGTCAAACTCCACCGCCACCACCCCGGGTTCAAGGAGATTCAGCTGATCCGTGACGGCAAGGGCAAGGACCGCCTGCTCAAGCTGATCGGTCATGATGGCTCCGAGCTGGAGGTTAACGAGCTACTGTGGGCTGTGGGCCGTGCGCCCGAAGTTGAGGATCTGCATTTGGAACACCCCGGCGTGAAGCTAAACCACGCCGGCCACATAGTGGTGGACGAGTACCAAAACACCTCTGCCAAGGGAGTGTATGCGCTGGGCGATGTGACCGGGCAGGCCGAGCTGACACCAGGTGAGTTTCCTTGAAGCTTTCCAGAAATAAAAAAGCAAGAATCATCACCTAACCTTCATGTTTCGAATAGTTGCCATCGCCGCCGGCCGCCAACTCGGCAGCCGCATCTTTGGCCCGCCCGAGCTCAAATCCGCCAAGCTCTCGTACGAGAACATCCCGACAGTCGTCTTCTCGCACCCCGAAGTCGGCTCTATCGGCCTGACCGAGCCCGAGGCCCGCCAGCAATACGGCGATGACAAGGTCAAGATCTACCACACCCGTTTCACCGCCATGTTCTACGACGTAATGCCCCCCGAGGAGAAGGCCAAGAACCCTACCGAGATGAAGCTCATCTGTGCCGGGCCCCAGGAGAAGGTCGTTGGCCTGCACATCTTGGGTCTAGGCGTCGGCGAGATGCTGCAGGGCTTTGGTGTTGCCGTCAAGATGGGCGCTACCAAGCAGGACTTTGATAGCTGTGTTGCTATCCATCCTACCAGTGCTGAGGAGCTGGTCACGCTGCGGTAGAGATGGTTCTGTCCTGGCGGGGAGAGAGAGAGAGAGAAATTTTGTGCAAATAGAAGAATACTATAACTTTTGTCTATGGTAGACTCCTGTAATTAGCTTGTAGAAATTATATCAGTGAAGACTTACGTAGGTTTATTTTTTATTTACCTTATGATACTTTGTCTAATAGCCTACCAACTATATACTTTACATATTCATTGAAGATTCTACAACATCTGCTATCATCTCAATGCAAAATGTATTCGGAAACTTCGTGCAACATGTCTGGCTAAGAAAATGCGTTCCTGTCCCACCCACCCACACGGCTGATACAGGCCCAGAAGAGAAAAGAGGCGGTGAATGCTCGTGGAGGGTTAATCGATACCGATGGTTCACACACAGATGCGTATGGCTCCGCCAAAGTACAGAGCACAGAGAAAGGGGGGTTACAGGTCGTATGACATGGGGTCAGTTGAATATTCCCGACCGAATGCAGTAGACAGACCATCCCTATCACTCCCCCCCCATCAGCAGAGAGACACATCGGACAGAGAGTCGAGGTGGATCAAGGCGTCGTGTTTGTGAGGGTGGGGACGGCGCCTGCGCCGAGGAGAGCGCGTCCCCGGAGAGGGGGAAAAAAAGAGGGATAGCAGATGAAGAGGAGATATAATGATAATCCACACGGGGGAGAATACAAAAGAAGGAAAGGAAATTTCGGAAAAGCTCAGTTCGGTGGCAAAGGTAAGAGGGCCTTAGTCGTATACAGGCGGAGGAAGAGGGTTATCGTGGATGGGGCTCGTTTTGACCTTGTCCAGGGCAACGGCGTGCAGGGCGGGTTTTTCGGCATCGTGGAGAAGACCCTGCTTGCGCAATTCTTGTTGCTTGTGCACCCAGTCGGCCACTTCCTTGTCCTCGGTCATGGCGTATGGGGAGTGCTCGCCCGGAGCGGGAGTCTCGGAAGGCTGGGGAGTCATCTCATTTTCGGGCTGACTAGGTGGCCGCATCAGAGGCACCAACCATGGATGTCGAAGTAGCATGTTATAAGAAGGCCGGTTGTTAGGGTTCTTGTCCATACAAGCTCGGACAAACGCATGCGCATCGTCCGAGTACCCGGTGGTGGGGAGGGTAGGGGCGTCGCCGTGAACAATGGCCTAAAGCATCCAAAAGAGAGGTTAAAAATATATTGCGGCGTTTCGAGACTCGAAAAGAGAATCCACTCACGTGTAGCTGACTGAAGATATTGGTGAACGTCTCCGGTGGGTATGGATACCGGCCCATGGCGCATTCGATGATCGAGAGTCCCAGACTCCAAATGTCGCTTTGTACACTGTATGTGCCATTACTTGTCGCACCTGACTGCTGCATTCCACCACCCGCAATGCGCTCCGGTGCCATGTAGCTTTGACACCCGATGTTGGTCTTGGCAATACTGGCAACCAAATTCCCACTGACGCCAAAGTCACAGATTTTGATCTGACCTTTAGAGTTGGCCAGGATATTGGTGGGTTTGACGTCGCGGTGGATGATGTTGTGGTCATCCTTGAGTGCCTTCAACCCCATAACGGTGGAGAGCGCTACTTTGCGAAGGATGTTTTCGGGAACGCCACCTTCATAGAGTTTGTCGATTGAACCGCCGTTCATGAACTCGACGCACATGTAGACGGCGCCCTCTTGGAAGAATGCCCCATAGAAGTCAATGATAAAGGGCGAGACACAGCGATGGAGAATGTCGAGTTCCATGATGATCTGCGCAAACTTGCTCTCGTCCAGCTCCAGTCGGATCTCCTTCATCGCCATGATTACCCCAGACAAATTATCCTGAGACCCGGAATTGGCGCTGTTTTCGTCATTCTCACCGGTCCGACTGACAATCCCGCTCAAACCCAGGCCTGGTTTTCGGAGATGTGGCCGCGTGTGTCGAACTTTGTAGACAGTGCCGTAGTTTCCCTTGCCCAGCTCATCCAGCCGGTCGACTTCATCCAGAGAGATCTTGAAGCTGTGCCCGGACGAGAATTCCACGCCACCACCATGCAGAATTGCCTTGTTTTTGAAATTCAAGGTGCCGGTTTTGGTGTCGATGATTTCGGAGTATTTGCTGAACGCCGACTCCCCATTCTGCTCCTTAGACTTTTGGTCCTTATCATTGGTAGGAGCAGGGGATCCTGTCACATCTGACAGTTTTAGACCGGGTTTCATACGTTTGGCCGCCAATCCGCCGGGCTTGGGCGACGCGGGGCTGGCGGCGGACGGGACCGAAGGGGAGGAGGCCGAATTTTTGTTGGGCTGTGGTGTCGGAGGGGGACGGCCAGCAAGAGCACCACCGGCACCGGCCTCAACCGACATGGGGATTCTCCCGGTTGACGTAGCATGGGGCACGGGAGCGCCTTGGCGGGAGAGAGAGAATGCCTTCATTTTGGCCATGATGTCCTGGTTGAGTCCTGAGCTCGCCTGCGCGCTCATCGATGCCTGGGGCCGTGGCGATGTTCCAGCACCTCGCCGCGCGGCGTTGATCTGGCCCAAGTGAGTGGACGAGGCCGTCATACTCGCTTTCGTATCGCAAGAGGTTCGGAGCGATGGCATCGAGGCATGGTGGGTCGGTGTTGTAGGGTTAGTCGGCGACGCGCCATCGGGGGTTCTGGGACTGCGGTCGTCCTCAGCCATGGGGGACATCGCAGGATGTTGCGCATCCATCGTAACCATGCACGGACTCGGGAGGACGAGAGAGTCTGACCGACAGCAATGGCCGGTGTGATCGATGTGACGAGGCCGTAGCGAACTTGGGCCCTATACAGGGAATGAAATAGATGGAAGAGAAGTAAACAGGATACAGACACTGATGTTCTTCAAGTTCTGGAAGAAGAAAAAAAGAAGAAAAAAATTGAATAAAAAAATGAACCAAAAAAGGTGAGGGGCTCGAATTCCTTGGAAATCGCAGGGTGAAGCCCAAATGATAAGGTGGGGGGGCATGTGAGCTCCGATAACATCGCCTCTCTCTTTCTTTCTTCTCCTTCGACCTTCACTTCTTTTCTGCTTCTTTCTTCGCTTTCGAATTCCCCATCGATTCATATCATTCATTCTCTTCCTTTCTCTTCCTTTCTCTTTCTTTCTCTCTCTCTCTCTCCCTCTCCCCTTCCCTCACTCTCTGATTCTCACATTGCGACAGATGGTCAACCGGGCTGGCAGACCAGCCAATCACAGCGGCCATTGCTGACTCACGCCGGTTTTGCGTCGGCCGTTTTTCGCTCCAAATGAAAGTGGCTGCCTCCCAGAAGCCCAACCGACCACGACACTACTAAGAAAACCAGAAAATTTGCATGTATTCGATTCTAATTGCTTCCTCGGGGACACACTGCCTTGCTTCATTGGCGGGTCACTTTTGCCAGGATCCAACAAGGTTTTTTTGCATCACACTGTGGCTACCGTAGTACCTTGGTGGTCTCATTACTTCCCGGAACTGAGCCATGGAATCGTTGAGATCATACACCCGTCCCAGGAGCCGGGACCATAGGCATGAACTCGGAATCGCCTTGCGACATGTCTCCATCTCTCCTGAACGGGGGAAGTCGTTGACTCAGCTGGTCGCTCCACCTGTTCGCAAGGTTTTCTCGAAGGCTCTGTCCGCAGTTGGTCCGATATACCCGTAATCCTTTTCCCCGTAGCAATGTAGGCACCCACACAGGCAGGAATCCATGTTCTGGGGAGGGGCCGGGTCCGAGAGACGCCCGTAGTTCGAGAGGTCTCCGGGGCACGGACTGCCCCGGGGCCCCGAATGTTGCCCGGCCGTGATCATCGGTCTCTCTCCCCATGCCTCACACACACCCGTCATGGCTTCGGACCAGACGCTTTTTGAACCTCTACATCCAGTGGGCGACCAGATATATTTGTACGAGCCTCAGGACACGGAGGATGCCCCCCTTGGAACCACACAAGCACCCGCGTTGGTAATCCTCTGTACTTGGCTGGGGGGCGCCACGCCGCGCCGCATCAACAAGTATGTGTCGCAGTACCGTCAAATCTACCCAGGATCAAGCCTGCTCCTCATCACTACCAATTTCCCGGATCTCTCTATTCGGCCTTTTGGCATGCTCCGTGCTCGTCTAAAGCCCGCTTGCCAGGCCATCACCCGCATTTTGGCCCGTCCCAGCAACGGGACGTTGCGCCGCACTCTACTCCATATGTTCTCACATGGTGGATGCAATGTCGGCTTGCAAATGGCGGAAGCCATGAAAGAAGAAGCAGATCACGGTGTCGCATACTTTTCAAGTCTCCAGGGCATCATCTTCGATTGCTGCCCGGGCGATGACACGTTGCAGCGAGCGTATGGCGCCGCCCTGTTATCCATGCCTCAAACCACCATGGGCCAGCTCTTGGGGAAGATGTTGTACCCCACATTAGTAGTTGTGACTCGATTGCAGCACGCAGGCATTTTGTATGGAGTGCGTGACCTCCGTGCCCAGTTGAATGAATCTACTTTTGGCGCTCATCCGAGGAGGCTGTATATCTACTCCAAGGAAGACGTCACGGTTAGCTGGGAGGATGTGAAGGCACACCTGGAAGATGCGCGGTCTCGCGGCTATCTAGCCGATCAGGTTGTCTTCGAGCATGGCTCCCATTGCGGATTGATCATGGAAGATGGATCTCGCTACTGGACTGCTGTCCAGAAATTCTGGAATGGTGAGGATATCAATGATCTTGTCGCAAACTCGGTCCCGGGTGCTTCCTATAACTCTATAGAGCTGAAAGCCCCTCGCAGTCGGCTATGAGGGGTTACTTGATTGCATACAGAGACCAGGAAAGAAGCTTTGATCATCCTGCTTTTAATTTATATTTACTCGAAGACTGTTTCCTGAGATATTGTTCTCGACCTTTGCAAAGGGTACCATCACAGCCCCAAAGCCTTGAGGATCTCCTCCCCAACACCGGTACCACTGGCTGGGTTCTGGCCTGTGATGATTGAAGTACCGTTCCCGGACGGAGACACCACAACCTTGTTTCCAAAGGGCTCTGTCTTGACATACTTGCCCGAGAGCTTCTCCAGCTCCGTTTCCAGCAAGAAAGGCATGACCGGCGTCGTACCAATTAGGTCTTCCTCGGCATTCGAGAGACCCGTCACCTCAACGCCCTGAATCAAGGGCTGACCCGATGACGTCTTAGCCTGAAGAAGCGCCGCAGGGCCATGGCACACGGCTGCGATAGGCTTCTTAGCCGCATCGAATTTCTCAATCAGCGCGATACTCTCCGGGTCATTGGTCAAGTCAAACATAGCTAGTTCCTCATGTTAGCTTTCATGTCTCCAACACGTCTCTTCAAGAAACTGTAACGTACGGCCATGTCCGCCGACATAGAAGATGGCGTCGAATTCGGCCGCCTTGGGCAGGACATCAGCCAGCTTGACGGTGTTTTCCCACAGGCTCTTTTGCTCCTGGAGGAACTTCACGCTCGAGGCGTCGTTCTCGGCGAACTTGATCGAGCCCGGGTCCAGTGGAGCTTCGCCACCCTTTGGGGATGCCACCGTCAGGTCGACTTTGCCTGTGAGCACGTCGAACGGATGAGCGAATTCCGGCTAGAACATGGATTGTTAGCTTCGGTCAATGAATTGCGGAACCAGATAAGAACATACCAGAAACCAGCCACTCGGGTGGTTGTTGGCAGGAATCACTGCCTGCGAAGTAAGAATAACGAGGACCTTGGGTGCCATGATGTGTGTGTGTTTGAGGGATTGACGGATGTGTTTTTAGATGGAGTTGACTTGTGACGTGCGGGACAAGGGCCTTTATATTTCTCGCTAGCTTGGGTGCTCGTTGCTGACGGCCGATTGCCCCACTTAACGGAGTTAAGGACCTCATGTAGTATAGTATTAATAATTGCGGGCACAAGACGGTTGATCATTCGCAGGCTTGAAGATGTTGAATAATCCATGTTCGGTGGACTATTAGAGTTCCCGAGGTGAACTGAGCGGATAGATTCAAGTCCGAGCTCGCGTTGATGTCAATTCATTCCCACGAACCATGACGTAGGGATCGCGATAGAACCAAGTGGAATCAAGACGATCATGAATCATGAAGATCCAAAGGTCAAGTCAGACACTTAAAAGGCTTCGGGCTTGGCACAGCCCCGCGAGTCAGTGACTTCTTGTCAACGCCTCATCATGCTGCTGGACCTCCCCAAAGGTCCTGTTCTTGATCGCCCGGTGTTTCCACTACGAGTGTGAGATCAATTGCTTTTTGCAGACTTGCGGGCGGCTGTATCTGCTGCTGAATCATGCCCTCTACCGACATAATGCCCGCTACTCAGGCATTTCAGCTCTCGAGTGGGCCACACGGCACGGCTTCGAGACGACAGCCCGGAAATCGTTAGCAGCAGGCGTACCCCATGGTGCATGTTGCCATACTAAATGGAAACCGATAGAGGTAGCTGTGCAACACGGCCACGAAGCCATGGTGCGCCTGTTTTTGGATTGGGGCATTGATCCTAACACCCCGGACTTCAGCCCACTATCTCAAGAGGATGCTGGCCTATTGCGTCTCGCGGCGTCAAAGGGCCAGGAAAACATTATCCGACTGTTGCAACGTGCAGCAAAGATAGGTGAGGAGGTTGTGAGGTCCCTTCTCGAGCATAATATCCATGTGCAGCTTTTACTGGAAAAGGGGGCCGATCCTCTTTCAGAAAACTTTGGTCGAGAGAGCCCATTGGAGGCTGCCGCAAGAGACGACGAAGTGGAATGGATCAAGCTGCTTTTGGAGGCGATTGATAAACGGGAAATCCCGTTGGAGGATCTGCAGCCCAAGCTTGCCCGGGCTCAATTTCAAGCCGCAGAGAATGATTGTCTGAAGACTAAACGGCTTCTTGAGCGCTTTTACTGACGAAAAGATATCCGGTCAAGTGAACAATTCGATCATCTCGTGTGCTCATGCCCTTGAGACTTCCTTTTTTCTAGCAATCCTCGATGGTTTGGATTGACTGGAGACAATTTCATCATCACCAGGGAAAGGAATATATTATCTTCACAGGGACTGAAGAAGCCTCGCAAACCTTTACACTCCGGCTTGTTTCAGTCTTGCTACTGTACTCAAATATCTCCGGCCACAGCCAGATATTCATTGGCCTTGTATCTCCTATACAAGCCAGAGTGGACCCTGATGCGGCTGAGTCGATCAGACAAATTCCCGGCGCTTGCACATTACTCAGGTTCTTTCAAGTGCGGGAATTCGGTTTGAATGTCGACACGCACCTCCTGAGAAGCTTGCTTGGGGACGGCCTGAGCCGATGACAACTTCCAACAATGATGGCTTTTCTGTTTGAACAGAAGAGACCTCGACCAGAGACTGCGCTTCCTCTGGCGAAAAAGTATTCCTTCCTCGGAAGGAGCTACTATGCGAGAGTCCTCCATAGCAGATGCTGCCAAAGAGGTCAAAATCTTGCTCGGAAACCTACGCCTAGTAGCAGAGTTCAGCAACTCGCCTGACACGCCTGGATAGGTTTGATTTCTTGCATCGTGGTGGCGTTACATTTTCGTGGCGAGGTTGTAAATGCTCTTGCCATTGTTCCGTGGAAGCTATCTGCCCCTGTTCATATTTAACTACGATAACCATAGTCTAATAATGCGCCTGGTATACAAACCCTGAGCAGACCCGAATGGGTACTGTGGGACCGGGGAAGAGATATAGCCCGAGAGTGCCTATAAAACCACTAGAGAGAAGAGGGATTCCTTGTATAGAAAAAGAGAATTGCGGTCTTCTCCAATTGTATTCCTGCATAGTGTAGTGTCATGGCAATAAGTAAAAGTGATGATGTCGGTAACAACGGCGAGGGCGATCGCCGCAAGCTCCAAAACGCTAAACCGTCGGGGCCACCCCTCGCGAGCTCCGTCCCCCCCAAAACATAATCCCACTTCCCTGCACCAGCCATGCCACACCTGCGCCGCCAGCCCAACTCGCGCGATCGCCCGGACGACCACACAGCCAATTTACGCGCCCAGTTCCAGACACCGCCGTCGCGTCAAACGCCCTCCAACCCAATCCATCGCCCCCCGCCGTCCACCGGGCCCTATGCAGTCACGCCCGATCTCGTTCCGGCAACGGGACACCCGCACCCGAATCTCTTTCCGATTTTCGGTCGGGCTGGCATGCAGCAGCCACCACCGGAGTTGATGGATGACGAGGACGAGCTGGGCGAGGAATATGACGCGCGTGGGCAGGCGACAGCGCCGGTTGAGGATGAGGATGGGCTGGACCCGCAGACTCACTTTGATCCGGAGTACGGGGCTAATGATTCTGACGAGATGGATGGTGAACTTGTGGAAGAGGAAATCGTTGGTGATCAGCTAGAAGAAGAAGAAGAAGAAGAAGAGCTGGAGGGAGACGAGGATGAAGAGATGCACGATCGAGGTATGGCCCTTGATTTTGACTCAATGGCTTATGAGAAATCGACTGATTTTCTTGTTATCGATAAACAGAAAAATCACCTTCGCCCCTACCACCGAACCTGCGCGAGATCTCGTCGCTCGCGTCGTGGACCGTCTCGACGTCCAAGCCGGGCTGCGGTGTCACGGCCCTGCGCCACCCATCGCCCTCACAATACTGGCAGTCAGACGGCCCGCAACCACACACGCTCACTCTGCACTTCTTTAAACTCGTGGCCGTGGTGCGGATCCGCGTGTACCTAGACTTCGAGCTCGACGAAAGCTACACGCCCACGAAGATGACGTTCGCAGCCGGCATGGGCGGCAATGACCTGGTTGAATTCGCGACCTGGGAAGGCGACGGGCCATGCGGCTGGGTAGATATCCCTCTGGACGGGGTGGGCGGGCGTAACGGGGGATGGGTGCGCAATGAAGCGGCGCGGTCGAAACCCCGGTCGAAAACACGCCGGGCGCCCTCGCGACGCAAGATGAAGCATGGGGTATTTGGGTCTGACGACCAGCGGGACGAGAATGGCCCGGACGGACGCGATGACTACGAGAACGACGATCCCTATGCGGGAAATGTGCTCAAGGCCATGGTTCTCCAGATGAGTGTGATGGAAAACCACCAGAACGGGAAAGACACCCATGTCCGGGGTTTCCAGGTCTTTGCCTGTGATGACAGTCGCCGTGCTGTTGCTGCGCCGTCTGCGTCTGCTGATGGGCGTCACCGCCGCCATAGTGCGCGCCAGTCGCTTCGTGGAGTCACCGATGCGCTTGGCCAGACTCGTTTGGGGAGTGAGGATGTTGATACCGGCAGGTTGATTGCCACGACTGGGCTTGACGAACCCGACTGGATGGGCGAGCCTGTTATTCGATAGTCGGTGTGCTTGAGGCGTAGTGCATTCGGGGAGTCTTGTTTTCATTATGGTTTGGAGTTTCTCAGTGGCTTCAAGATACCCAAGTTCCGATTTCATTTATGGCGTTTCCTCTGCCTCCTGTGGGCTTTTGCATGCTCTGGATTATTTTTTTTTCCAGTGGTTCCTAGTATATCACAAGGCAAAATTGAACGCCCACAGATTACTTGCATCTGATACCACTACCCCCGGTAGTCTATACTCAAGTCTTGATGAGAATGGAGTGTAGGGAGTCAGAATTCTGCTAACTCGAACCCATGCATACAGGAAACCGCGCAAAGCAGTTTATAATTATTGCTTTGTGCCATGATCCAGAATAATTGAACAATCTTCGGGTCCTTAGGCTTCTTAGCCCTGGTCCACACAGACAATAACTGAGTATAAATGGGAAATTTTTCCTGTTTACTTGAACCAAATCTCTCTCTTCCTCCGCCCCTTCCCATTAGTCGTACTTTGACCATCCGTTCCATCCTCAATATCTATCGTCCCTTGATCATCCTTCGCACCATGAGCAAGAAAAATGTCAACAATCTCCGGATCTTTCGCCCTGGCCCACTGCAGCGGCGATTCGTTCATATAATAGTTACCATTCGGATCAGCGCCGTGTTCAAGCAGGTATTTCACCTGGGGTGGTCTATTTGCAATGATAGCAAGGCTATAGATTAACAGAGAGAGAGATAAATTAGATATCAGTTAGATCCCAAGCTAGATACTTACTGCATGTTCGACTGTGATCGTTTTCTTTCTTACCTGAGGGCGTTGCCAATAAGACCCAGACCGTCGTTGACGTTGTATCCATTCTTCAGGAGGGACCACTGCGTCTAGATTTTTTTGAATTTCCTGTCTGCATTGCTGCAATCTTGGAAGTTTGCCCTCAACTATCCATGGATATATTGCATGGATACATACCTGAGTCAATTTCAAATCTGCGTAGAATCAGATCCTCTGCAGCCTCCACATGGTGATTATCCAGGGCGACTTCTAAAGCAACGTTGGAAGTCGAACATGGGCTGGCGTGGATATCTGGGCGTTTCTTGTGCTTGCCAGGCATCCAGTGTGGCTCTCAGAAGCGAGAGATCGTTAGATTTAGCGGCTACGAGAACGGTTGAGACCATGCTAGACATGGTTGAAAGTCTGGTATGATTGTTATGTTCATGGATGGATGGAAGAAGATGAATCAAGTTGGGAGATTGACAGCCTGGGGATAAATCGACACCAACCTGAGCTCAGCAGCCTCGTGTAGGATTCCTCGTCCTTGAGTCATATGTTTTTTAGAATTTTATTGAGAATTGGGTATTTGTTTTTGATTTCACTATATCTTCCTTTTTTTTTTTTGATTCTATGCTCGTCATATCTCATATGGAAACAATGAAGCAGTTGGCGCGCTCCATATTTACTTGAGCAGCTTCTCCAGCTCGGCCGCGACGGCGTCGCCCACTTCGCTGGTGTTGGACTTGCCGCCGATGTCGCCCGTGCGGACGCCCGACTCGATGACGTTGCTGACGGCCTTCTCGATCGCGCGGGCCTCGTCGAACATGCCGAACGAGTACTGCGCCATCATGGCGACGGAGAGGATGGCGGCGACGGGGTTGACGATGCCCTTGCCGGCGATATCGGGGGCAGAACCTGTGAAGGTTAGTTAGCAAATGAACAAACAGAAGCAACCTCAAGAGAGATCATCCAGAGAAAGAAAGCACAAACCGTGGATAGGCTCGTAGATACCGTTGACACGGCTCTTGCCATCGGGCACACCACTTAGGCTGGCAGAGGGCAGCAGACCCAAAGACCCAGGGATAACACTAGCCTCGTCGCTAATGATATCACCAAAGAGGTTGCTGGTCACAACGATACCATTGAGCTTGCGCGGATCCTTGACCATCAGCATAGCAGCCGAGTCAATGAGCTGGTGACCGATCTGGACCTGTGGGAACTCCTTGGCCATGACCTCGGAGACAACCTTGCGCCACAGCCGGCTAGTAGCCAGGACGTTGGCCTTGTCCAGACTCCACACGGGCAGCGGCGGGTTGTGCTGCAGAGCCAGGTGCGCGGCCAGGCGGGTGATGCGCTCGATCTCGGCGCGCGAGTACGGCTCCGTGTCCATGGCGTAGCCACTGCCGTCGTCCTCCTTGCGCTCGCCGAAGTAGATACCGCCCGTCAGCTCGCGGATGATGTTGAAGTCCACGCCGCGGCACACGTCGGCCTTCAGCGGCGAGCTCTCGACCAGCGACGGCGCCGCGAAGTTGCACGGCCGCAGGTTGCCGAACGTGCCCATCTCTTTGCGCAGCTTCAAGATGCCCTGCTCGGGGCGCACGCTGCCGGTGCCCCATTTCTGGAAATTGCCATCGACTATATGTTAGAAGATACTGGTCCTGATATGCGGGGACATGTCTGCTGGCTCGACTTACCGGGCCTCCGATCGCTCCCAGGAGAACGGCGTCCGCGTTTTTGGCCACATTCAAGGCTTCGTCGGTCAAGGGCGATCCCGTTGCGTCAATGGAAGCCTGTCAGAGCTTAGCAATCGAGCTTGTGTCTCGCTTACAAACGCATATACTCACGCCGCCGAGCAGGTGGTCCTGCAGATTGAAGCTAACATCACGGTTCTTCTCGAGGACGCGGAGGATCTGAAAGCCATGGTGTCAATTAAATCAACACAGTATTGTTTAACCCAAACTCTTTAGTCGTACCTTAATGGCCTCGGTGGTCACCTAAAATCGCAGTCCAGTCAGTTTCAACCTCAGTTTGCCCAACAGCCATAACCCAATAGACATACCTCGGGACCGGAGCAATCACCACCAAACACAACGACGTTAAAGGCAGGCATATTGAAAACAGTAGCAAGAGAAAGAAGTCAATTGAAGTTCCAACGACACACCGAAGAGCTTCCGATTGGAAAAAGGTGGGATGCGGGCGAAGTGTCGACCCCGCCAACTCCGAAATCGGCGTCCCACTCGGCCGCCAACCGGGCAACTGATGATGGCCCGCTCGATCTATGAAATATTTCTATCTTCCACGATTGAGGCCCCAAAGTCACAAAGAAATGCATTAAATGATGTATAACAGAAGCACTAAGGATGACGAAAAACCGACAGAAGAAACGACGGGATAAAACAACACAAGATCGAAGACACAAAAAGAGAAAGAGAAAAAGAAGCAACAGACCCCGTGTGTACTGTACAAGGTCCTCCTCACCCTGGGACCTGCCTGTCCGGCCCAACACGCTCATGAATAGGATCCGACTGCCAAAGTGTTGCCCCCCTCGCGATCACAGCGGCACCGATTGGCGCCATTCTGCTCAAGAATCCCGGAAATCACAGACCCGAAGCTCCAAAGACATGCATTGACAAGGAAATAACGCGGTAGAAAAAAGGGCCACGAGCAGCTGCGAGCGAGCCGCCCTGTCTTGATGACCGCGTCCGCTTCGAGACTCCAATTACTTCTTGCGGCTGGCCCGCCTGGCCTCGAGGTCGCCCTCCACCAGCCAGCGGCTGGCATTGACCAGCTGGACGACGTTGACAAATTGCTTGAACGCCATGACGGGGGCCGAGATGCCGGTGATCATCCACGGCACCCAGCTGTCGATCTTGTTGGCGCGCGCAAGCTCCAAGGCGCCCGCGCTCCAAGGGCTGGCAAAAAGACTGGTCGGCGCCGGGTGGGCCGGGTTTCCGGGCTGCGGAGAGGATGGCTGGGCATCAGCGACGGGCTGCAGGAGAGAGGGCGACAGAGTCGGCGAAGAGAAAGACAACAGGTACAGCCCAATGAAAAAGGCCTCGTTGAGAGCGCAGCAGATGAACAGGACGACCTAAGGACCAACGGAATCAGTACGGGTATAGCAAAGCATGACAATGTAGAGCGAGCGCGGCGAACGCACCTTGCTGTGGTAGTACTGGTAAAGCACCCAGCTCCGGCTGGAATCGACCTTCTTGTGGCTCTGGCTAGATCCGCCCATGCTCAGCGTCGCGTACATGTGCATGTAGTGGCTCGCCATGTCCAAGCAGATCAGACCCTGGAAGACAATCGCCCAGCGGGGCCAGGCGGAACTCAGGAAGACCAGCAGACACGCCGTCGTGCAGCGATCGGTGACCATATCCAGAACCGCGCCAAAGGTGGTCGACTGGTTGAAGTACCGGGCGGCGTAGCCATCCAGTGCGTCCAGCAGACATGACACGGTGTAAAGAATGGAGCAAGTGCGCGGGTGGAGGGGCATGTAGTAGAGCGAGGCAAAGGTAAGAAAGACTCGGAGATATCCTGAAATTTGGTGTAAATCCGTTAGAAGACGAGCGAAGCTCAGTCGCACGAATGCGCCTTACCGATGAGGTTCGGGGCAAAAAGAAACACGTTCTCCCGGCGTTCTTCCCGCGCGCTCGACCGACCTCTCTTTTTCGAGGGTGTGCGCTTGGATGGCGTGGGAACGGTGCCATTGCCACTTGGTGACTCTTCACTCTCATCGCCCTGAGCAGCAAGGGCTGCCTTTTGTCGTCGTGTTCTTGCGCTCATGGCGGCTGTGATGGAGTGTGTATACAAGGGGGGAGAGCTTTGAAGCAGGGTCAGAGCCTGCAATCAGGGAATGTCGAATTGGAGTCGGAGGTTTCTTGAAGCAAAAGGGACCACGGATATTATACGTGCGATGTCACTGAACAAAGTGATACGTGGTCAGCCAAGTGGTTGAAGTATGTGGGCTGACAAGAGGACAACAACGCGGATTCGGGCGGACGGACATACCTTTCCCTCAGCTTCCAAGCCGGCACCGGATCTGGCGCAGATAAGAATGAGATTGTAAGGAGCGAGAGATGAGGTGTTCAGTTTGAGTGGAAGATTCCAGGTAAAGGGGAGAGAAGGAGAGGAAAACTCGAGTGGCCGATAAGGGGATGATAAGCGTTTGTTGACGCGCTCCGACGGCTCGGTGTTTATAGGAACACCAAAGAAGGTGAGAAAACACTACTTCTTGAGTCCCTGCCTAAGCTTCAGGAATTTCTTCAGTCCTGTCCGTCAGCTAACCTGGACAGTAAATAACCCGCTGACGGGTCGCCCGGAACCTTGGAAGCCCTTTTTCCCCACGCGGTATCCACATGCTTACTAGGGTTCTCGCTAATCCATCAATAACAATGAAGGCGCAATATATTCCTGTATATTCCAGTAGAGTAACTCTCGTCAGGACAAAAAGCACCATGCTACTCAAACCATAAAAGGGGCATCCAGTCGGTCCGATCTATCGATCACACTGTGTACATAATAGCTCCCCTGGAGCTCGGTTTGGGTGAAAGGTTTATACTGCGAAGACGAAGAATCAACGGGAGGATCTTGGGACTGAGGGACAAGCTTTGTCCCCAGCTGGTTCCACCAAGATGTCCTTTTCTGCAGCAGCTTATGGAGCGCCTCCAGGTTGGGTGGGTTGTATAGCTCGACCAGTCCCAGCAATGAAACGGTGAGAGGTTCTCAGGCTCATTCTCATCGCTCTTCGTGGAACCGACATCACTTGATGTCTTCTTCTTGTGCATCACAAGCTGGATGTCGGGGTCGACATCGACCTGGACGAACTCCTCGAGGATCTGCGATGACTCTGGACAGCGATACCACTCAGACGCAAAGAAGTTCAGAAAGATCATCCACACCGAGGCCCTTCCATTCTCGGTCTCATTTGCTCCATAATCCCGCAGGTCTCCGTTGAGGACGATGTCCACTGTCTGTTGAGGGGTTCTGCCCTCTTGAAGGAGCTGTCGCATGAGTTCCACCCGGCGATAGATCGCCGCTGATAGAAGGAGATTGTATCCCGGAAAAAAGCCCTGTGATTTCTGGTTGTTCAGTGTGTCTGATGAGAGATCATCTTCGAGCCCGAAGGAGAGGAGCCAAGGAATGTAGGGCAGCACAAGTCCCCGGAAACTGGGGGCCCTAGGGCCATTTTCTGTAACCGAAAATTTCTTGATCCATCGAGTGGCGCAGCATTGTTCTTGTGGCAGCGACTGTGCCTTTTTCGCATGGCCCTCAGGAATCCTGCCGAATAGAAAAGAGCTTGACGGCATACTTGGGCATAAACTGCAGCTGAATCAAGATCTGAGACTGATAGCTAGTAGTCGACACTCGATAGCCTCGATATCTTTTTCCTTGCGCATACTGTGCCATTTCACCTTGACACTCTGCCACTTCTTCGTCAGCTTCAGCCGGCCGAGAATCTCAGCCAACTGCTGAGAGAGATCGTGGCAGTCGGCAGCCAGCCGACGGAGCTGCTTCTCATTTTCGGTCTGAGCAGGGAGATCAGATACCAGGCCTTAGGCCACGGCATTCAAATCATCGAGGACTGTGCCGAGGCTGGCATTTTGGTGAGTTCCTCCTGTATCGAGTACTTGGTAGCTGCCGGAGATCAGTTTATAGAAGAGGTCGATGAATGTGATGATATTCCCTGCGAGGCCGATTGCTGCAAAGGGGTCCATTGCGCCGATGGAGGATGAAGAAATCAACGATGAGAATAGCCTGAGCTGAAGGCGCAGGTAGATGCGTGGTTGCTGCACCCCACGATTTTTAGCGTTTCTAACAGGCTGCTCAAGTCCCCTGCCACTTGCAATGACTGTGAGGTAGAGGAATGAAGGAGATGGTTTACTGTATCTTGGATAATCTTCGTGAGTATTTATGAGTATACCCAAAGGACCAAGTGTAATAGCAGTCTCCAGCGCAGAAGGTAACAGGCAGAGCCTCTGCGGGTCAAAGTCGACACTGAAATGCAAGAATATATTCATCATCTGCAATGATAGTAATGCGAGGCTACAGCGACCTTAGGTCCACTGTTGAGCCGAACAATTGCGAAAAATATGTGCCATCAGACCAATAAGGCCAGAAAAAAAATATGTACAAAACACACATGCTCCAAAAGAGGCATCACCTCCGTGACCTGCGCGGATCGGTGGCATCCTGTCGCCGCCACTCGCGAGACTCTTTCGTTCCCAGACTGCCCACGCCCCCCTCGAGCCGACGCTCCCACCCGCCAAGCCGAATGACCAGACAGGTAGCATTGTCGCCCTCCTTGGTGACCTCAGTCGCGAAACTGACGACATCGCGAGCGCCCTGGTCGGGGGTGCGGGCCTCCTTGACGATATCAACGATCTCCTGATCCAAAAGTGTGCCGCTGATGCCGTCAGATAGCATAACTAGGAACGAGTACTCGGCTGGACCCATCTCGACACGGCGGAGTTCTGGTTCGGCTGAAACGCCGATGCGCTTGGACTGAACGTCGCCGAAGGCGCGAGTGTTGGCTAGTCCGCTCATGCGCTCCTCGCCAAAGGAGTCCGTTACGAACGTGGCGGCATATCGACGCAGCCGGCTCGCCTCCACGGGTGAAGAGGGGTGATGGTTGGAGGTGAGAGGGATGGCTTCACCGGTGGTAGTTGAGCACAGGAGGATCCGGGTATCGCCCACGTGCGAGACCAGCAGGCTCGAGGGACCGGCAGGGTGCCAGAAAGGCGTCGGAGTGGGTGTTGAAATCATGGCAACGCTGCCAGTACTTCCACCTTTGAATCGAGACCGTCCACCGATCTTGGGTCGGGTCTGGCTGGGGCTGTGAAGGATCTCGTCTTCGTTCAAGGGTTTCTCGGCTTGAACCAGATCGTCGTCCCGTTTGGCCGCTTGGGCCTTCACAAAGTCCAGATCAGCGCGCAAAAATGCGTACTCCATTATTTCCTCAATCGAGACAGAACCATTCGAGATAATGGCGTCGGCAGCGTCGGCAGCCTCGGAGGCGTCATCCATATAATAGGAGAAATGAGGTGGCTTGAATCGCTTAAAATAACCCCCCCACCAGCCGTCTCCAGTTTTGGACCAAGCCTTTCTCCAGATCTCCAATCCTGCGTCGATTTCCCTGTTGTAGGACAGGAAGCGCATCTATGGCAGTCGGCATTTCGGGCCCAATGGTGGTCTGGTGCCGCTTGGTTTGTAGACTGGACAGGAGCTCAAACTCGACCGACGCATTCTGAATGTACTCGTGCAAAGTTTCTTTCAGAAATGTACTACATTCAGATCCACCATGTCCGTCGAAGACAGCAAAGTAAAAGACTTGCGGGTCGCCCCTGGCGGTCTCGGCGGCGCGCGACTCGCGCGACGAGGCCGAGTCTGGGGAGCGAGAGCGCCTGATTGTTAGCGACGCCGGGGGCCGCTTAGCAAAGGAAGGGATATCAATAACTCCGGCTTGGTATGCATCTTCATTGGCAGGGCGTGTGCCACGAGCGGTGGCTGCACCAAAGTGGTGTTTTGCGCTGCGCAATGGAATTCGCACCACGGTCGTCTCTCGGTCTACTAATGTCTGAAAAGCGGCCGGCGAGTTTGCAGTATTTCCCGTGTGAGGTATTGAGGCGTCGCGGGGTAGTTTATGAAAGGGCGAGGTCGGTCCCCGGGGATCCGGATGGAGAGAGGACGACGGCAGATGTGTGACGAAGTAGTCGTGGAATAGTGGTCGCTTCTTCACCGTCGATCGGTCACTGGATGACAATGCTTCAGAACTGTAATGGCGTACTCGCGGGAGAACGAAGCCTGCTGGGGTCACGATCGTTAGCTTTGTAGACCGATTATCCGGGGGAGGTTCCAGGATCTTCCGAATAAGGCCGGAGATAAGGCGGCAATAATCTGGCTTTAACATACAGTAACTGTCGGTCAAAGTCCCGACCTGACCTGTCACCCGCCTCGCTGAAGTGAGAATCATGAATGGCCCATGGAAAGAGGGATGGGTGATGAAAGAAGACAGCTTACACCGACGGCATTCGGCGTGGGGTGACCCTTTCTGGCCCGAGCGTCGGCAGATAAGCCCCGGCAGATGCATTCCTACGGCTTCCATGTTTCCGTTCTATAATTGAACTGTTTTTTCCTGTCTACAGGGAACGGAATTTATGTGATCCAAAAAAAAAAATAGAATTGAGAACCTAAAACATTTCAGAATGCAAATCACGCTCCTAAAAATTTCGAGTAGCGAGGCCCATGGCAGAGGCCGGAAGTCAATGCTGAAGATGTCGGCACCTACCAGGAGCAGAATCATCCAGAGAATCAAAGAAGAGTGGTAAGGACAATCTGTCTTTTTAGAAAGTGCGAAGTCAGGGGTCGGGATAGGGGAGGGTTGGCAGTTTAAATCGCCCGGGTGCGCGAGAAGAGACTGCTGTAGACGGCATCCACGACGGGCTGGGCGGTGATCTGCTTGCCGCCGAAGAAACGACCATTCAAGCCCTTGATGGCGTTCTCACCTCCCTGAACACGGTCGAACTTGAGGTAGATGTCGCCTTGAGAGTTCGGATCTAGCGAAATGTGAACAACGTGGCCATATTTCTCTTCGCACTCGGCGCGAACGTCATCCTCCAGCTCTTTGATCCAGACTTCGCCTTCTTCCCTGTAATCATGAATTAGCGGCCAATCGAAAAAAAAAAGAAAAGATATAGGAATGGAAACTTACTCGGCGGGATCGAACATGTTGCGAAGCAGAACACACCGGCTCGCCATATTAACATTGACGGGCAACGGCTTGGGCTCAGTTTTAGGTCGAAGAATCTTCTGCTGTTCATCGGCTGATGGCTCGGGTTCATCTGTTCGTGCAAGCTTCCTCATCAATGCGTCCCTACTGTAGTTGTTGAAGTTCACACCGGCAACATCCGTGTCATCGAGGGCACTGGCACCGGCGCCCTTTTCGGATTCTCTGCCACCAGCACGGTCGAAGCTGTTCGAGCCCCCGGCTTGAATTCCACGCCCTCCTTGACCGGAGAATGAAGAGCCCTGGAAATTCTGTTGGTTTGCAGAAGGGCCCGGCAGGCGATTCGTGCTCGACTCGGGGGTGAACTTATCATTGCCAAGGCCAACTCGAATAGCGCGACCAGCAAGATCAAAACCGTTCATCTTCTCTAGAGCGTCACGAGCTTGGTTGGGGTCTCGGAACCTAGTCCATGCTCAGTGGGTGGGAATGATTATTAGTGATGTAAAGAGACTTACTGTACAAACGCGTAGCCTTTGCTCCTCCCAGTATCATCTTTTTGTAACTGGACGAACTCGAGCTCGCCAAATGGTTCGAAGACATTCTGGAGGTCACTTTCAGTGATGCTGAAATGAACGTTACCCACATAAAGTCTGTGAAACGGTGCTGAATGTTGAGGACCCGAGCTGGCAGCGGGGTTCCTAGCCTGGCGGTTCTTTTCTGCTTCCGTCAATTGGGCGATAATGGGAATGCCTAGAAGCTTCTGGCCGGTAAGCTGAATCGCAGCAGGCACCGACTCTTCGCCTTTGAATTCGACATAACCGACACTAGAGAACGATGGTAAGCGAATGCATTAAAAACAGTTGACGAGAACAAGAGACTTACCCTTTGGATCGCCCGCTGACACGATCTTTGACGATTTGGGCCTCCTTGACAGGGCCGACCTTTTCGAAGAAGGCCATCAGTTCTTTGGTTCTGAGACGTGCAGCCAGCTGTTGCACAAAGATAGTTCGTCGGTCCCGCTCATCCTCATTGAGTTCAGGGGACTTGCTAGGGCTGCGACGGCTCGGAGTGCCGCGACGACCATTGCGGTCTCGGCGCGATCGCCGTTCATCTTCACGCTCCCTTTGCGAGGGCCGGTAGAACCGGTCGTCGTACGGAGACCGAGAGCGGGTGCGAGTGCGTCCTCCGCCACGATAGAAATCCCCGTTTGAACGGTAGTCATCACCATGACGGTCGCGACGAGGGCGACGCCGGTCACTTTCACGGCTCCGGCTCCGCTTTCTGCTTCTATGGCTTCCGTTAGCACTGCCATGTTCGCTACGTGGACTCCTCATGTCCTCATCGCCGTCGCCATCTCGATCGCGGCGGCGGTCACGGGAGCGGTCATGGCGGCGGCGCCTATCACGAGAGCGGTCACGGTCACGTCGTTCGGCATCCGCCCGGGAACGGTCGTCACGATCATCTGGCTTGGAGGGTGCTTCAGCAGGGGCAGCCGTAGACTCAAGGAGAGCTTCAACGTCGAGACCAGACATCGCAGGTAAAAGAGCCTAGCGTTGGTTGCGATTTGTAGGAACAGTCGGGGTGAGGGAATAAGTCACTTGAGACTTCCGTCAGAGAGCGAAGGAAGGAATGGGTTGGCACTCGAACCCTTCTTTCAGTTTACAGGCCTATTTGGCTTGAGACCGAATGCCAGGGAGCTGGGAGGTATTCGCTGAGGCGTAGTGTTCGTAGGATGAGATTAGCTACAAAGGCAGAACCACCCGCATGTGAGGTGGTTGGGATTCCACGTGATACTAGAGTTTTTTGGTCGCCTGAGGCATAATTTGCCACCCTCTCACTTCGTTCTTTGTATGTAGCATTGCGATAGCATAACAGTTCGAAATACAATGATGATATGCTTCTTTTCAATTATGATTAAGATATAATTTACACTAATAAGTGATGTTCGAAGAAAGATGGATGAATCAACTCCTCCCCGGCGCATGATTCGAAATGGCCTGGGCGGAGTCCACTGTACAAGAATGAGACGAAAAATGACCCCAACTCCGCATTTTCCAGTGAGAGGCAAAGTGAGAGGCAATTCTTGAACATAGCAGCAACTCTGTATTGAACTCAACATGAACTCGTGACTTGAAGAACCGGCCAGACAGGACTGAGACAGAGGGTTCACTGAGCCTTCACACCCTTGGGAGCAGGGCATTCCAACTCAGTCCCAAATACTCGATCCCAGAAGCGGCTGGTCACACCAAATCCATTCTCGAAATCGGCAAAGTGGTGCTGGAGATGATATTTCTTGAGCTCCTTATAGTAAAGCGGGAGGCTGGACATTTGTTAGAACGTCAAGTTTGCGAAGGGTAGAGAGGCATCGACTTACTTGCGGTGGTGAAGGAAATAGTGGGTCATATCATAGCAGATGTACCCGAAGACACCGCCACAGTACACAGTCAGAGCGGCATACCAGTTGTAGAAAAAGACCGCGTGTGCCAGCTTCCAGAACGGAGCTGCCAAGACAACAAACAGTGTCGGCGGCATGACAAGCCGGTACTTGTCCATCGGCAGATAGTGGTGAATGCCGTGAAGCAAAAAATGAAGTGTCAGGCCAACTCGGTTATCCGGAAGCCATCTGGGTGTCATATTAGCCATCTTGTAGTGGGTTTTTGAAAATCAGAGATCGTACTTGTCCACGTGGAAGAGGAATCGGTGCATCAGGTACTCAATCAAACTCCACAGGCAGACGCCGCCGATCCAGTACGCGGCTGCGGCAGACACATTTCCCAGTCCCCCATACCCAAGGATGGTCCCATAGGCAACGGGTGGCAGCCAGACCATCGGCACCACATACCACGACGTCTTACTGAGAGGCTCGAGGAAGTTGCCGAACAGAGGGGCCGATTCGCCTCCTCTGTAGTGACGGGGCCGATGAATCTGTTCCAGGTAGAACTGTTTGGAAAAGTTGCTGGTCCAGAGCTGAGCGAGCAGCGGTTTGTTGAGGTCCAGAAACTTGTGCGTCTTGAAATCCTGCGAATAATCTGTCTCGACCGACAGGTCCTCTTCCCGGGACATGCCGGTAGTCGAGTAAACAGGAGCAGATCCATCGGGTTCACCAGCGATTACCGACCCCTTCGACTTGCCAGACACCTCAGTAACATCAGAAGCAACGAACCCAACATGGCATTCATCCAGAATCTCATAGGCGGCTTCGGTATGTTCGTGGGAAATTTCATCCTTCATGATTTCGCTCACATCCTTGCCCGCGTAATCGAGAATGAGATCACCGCCACCGGGGTGCGCATCCAAAAAATCCGTGACATCATAAACGTTGCGGCCGAGGGTGATGTAGCACGACTTTGCGCTGTTGTGGGATTCGACCTCGGCAACCGTCAAGGTCGGCAGTATTCTTCCAGGCATGTTCACAGGGTGGAAGACAAAACGGCACGGTTCACACAATGCAGATCGGAGAAAAAAGTGCGAAAAAACTGTCAACTTGCGGGGGGGAGGGGGAAAAATGGTAAGGTCGGAGACAATAATAATAATGATTCAGGGGAGGCGTGGCGTGACACTCAAAATTGACGACGGGTCCGCTCCGGCAAAATCTCTGGTCCGCAAAATCCGCGACCGTGGGGGCAGTCGGATCGGACCACACACTTTGGTCGGAATGGAAAAGCGACGGCTGGAACTGATCGTAAGAAACGGTATTTTTGGCACTTGAGGCATGTCAAGGCTGATAATGATCGTCCATCGATATTTCAACTGCTCCCCGATAACACGTGACCTGCCTCCTTGGTTATGTAATGCGTCTAGAACGTGATGCCCCAGGCCATCAATCTTGGAATCATCCTCTCTTTGTTTGGTCTCTTCATCTCTAGCAAACTCCTTGGGGTTGAGGACATCCCGGGCAGCCTCTCGCACTATTTTTGATCTCCTATCTTGTTGGTCTCAAAAAGACGGGATGATCTGCACGATTTACACTTGAGTCGCCAGTGGGGCAACATGCCCAATGATACGGTCTTGTTGGTCCTGCAAAGCCGTGGATCGACGAGAGTGCGATAGCAATCTAACTCCTTTGTCTCGTTGACAATGGAGCTCGGCATCTCCGGCGAGCACGGGGAGACTCTTAGGCCCGGGTCCCGCAGCCCGGCAACGCCCTGAGCTGCACTGCGCCCGGGTCTCCGATCGAATTCCTCTTCCAGTTTTCCACCGAGGGGTTAGCGTGCGCATCATCTACGGACACCCCGGGGTCATTGCCCAAAACGCCCAGGAGGCGATCCCCATTCTATGATTGATCTCTGCATGGACGGTTCCAAATTTGAAATTGTCAGGGATTAGGTGTCAGGCTAGTTGGAAGTGGGGATTTCAGCCCCTGGGCAGATGGTCTCCTAGATAAAGCTGTGCTAGCTGTCTCTTATTTTTTTGGTCTTTCTTCTTTCTTTCTTTTTTTTTCGTGCTACCTCTTGCTCCCCACATCTACCGGCAACGATGTCGACCTCCAGTTTCAACCCTGAGAATGCGATCCTAGCCTACCTCCAGACATTGGCCGAGACCAAAAAGGGCCTTCCTCATGGAATACCCGTCTGTGTCTTTGCGTCGCACACAATCACCGACACGGCGTCTCTCTTGCGGCTGGCCGCAGAAATCGGCCCCTTCATTGGTGTGCTACAAATCCAAGCGAATATTATTGACGACTGGTCCAACCACACGATCGAGCAATTGATATATTTGGCCAAGAGGTATGGGTTTTTGCTGTGGGAGGGAAGCCGGTTTCTGAACGCCAGTGTCAACTTCATGAGCCGGGCGGACGCCGGTTGGGAAACGCAGAAGTTTTTGGCCGACACCGTCCGGAGGCAATATACCAATGGCCCCATCAAATCGGCAACATGGTCGAACCTGACGACTAGTTGGGCTCCCGGTGTCAGGCTGGACCAGCAAGCAGAGGATGTGATGATCCCCACGCTCAGGAAAGCCGGGCGTGAGGCTGTCGCAAACACTATAAAAACCATCCAGACGGAGATCTCGGTCGAGGGCAATGAATATTTCCCTGACGTAAACGAGATTGTGGAATCTCCGTCCGGTACCACCGATGGCTGGCAAGAATTTTCCCCCACTGGCTTGGGAGTTTCGATGCGCAAAAAGTCGACCATTTCGGTCACAGAGACCGTGACCCCAGAGCCGAACGTTCAACCGGAAGATGGTGTCCCGCCTCCACCACTACTGGCGCGCGGCATCACGCTCTGCTTGCCTAGTGCCACCGATGCCGCGTTCCGGCCCGAGTACCGACAAAGCAGTGTGGCCGCGGCATGCGCCCATCAAGACTTTGTCGTGGGATTTGCGACGAGTGAGCCATTTTTTGTCAATTTCCGCGGAAACGATATTTTCGAAATTGCTTTCCTAGATGGGAACGGAGAGGAAAACGAGGAAATGGATCGCGCTCAACTTTTGAATTCACCCACCATTCATTCGCGACATTCGCTTGTCCTCTTTTCCCTCGTTCCACCCAGCCTTGCTGTGGGCTTTGAAATAGACCCGATTCTCGGGGTCGACAGTGATTCAGAGTCTGATCAGCCCTACTCCGCCCGATTATTAAATTACATTGTTGGACAAGCTGTCAAGCGTCGTGAGGCAAACCGAAAAGAAAACGACGTCAGCCATCTAAAGAAGGAACAGGCACCAGGGCCTAATATAGTCCAGATCCCGGTGATTGTTATGCAATGATCTTAAGGATGCCGTCTGTTCTACACGCCCATTAATGCCCAGCTACAGAATCATGACCCCATTTGATGACTGAATTCCCGACTTGAATATTTTTACATGCTGTCCCATCTTTTTGCTTCCAAACATTGCCTGGCGTTGGGTTAGAAAGGTATGGTCTCTGTACGACCACAGACGATCTGAAATTGGTTTCAATGCTTTTTTCATCCATTAGACCTGAGTCTACCTCGGTATGCCTGACATGGCCCATGCCACCCCTGGAATATGAACATGACCTTGTTGTTTCCTTAATTAAATGGTGAAGTACGTTGTGGGCTGAAGTTACTGGTCTAGTAATAGGGTCTAGGTTCCTAGATACACCAGTAATGGCCACCTTATCTGTAGGGTTTCTTGCCGATGGGTTAGTTGGCGATGAGCAGAAAGTACAATAAAAAAAAACAATATCAGTATTAAAAAATTATAATTTGCTCTTGATTTGCGAGTTCCTGCTTCCACTCTTACAGATATACCTTGTTCCTGAATTGTTTATTGCTGGGAACTGATACGGTGCCTCATGTCATGTCAACTTGCACATTCGAAACCCCCTGAACTTCCAGCAAACCCAGCAAGTCCATTCCTACGAAATTAATGGGATCAGGATTCAGACATGGACAATAGAAATGTTGGCGCCCGAATAATTAGACTCGAGGACCGGGCACGTGTCTAGCGTTAGTCATCTGCTGTGAAGGCGGCCCGGGGCACACTGCCTCAACCTTGGAAATGATGGACAGGAATCCGTCCCCGGCATATAACATCAGCGCTTTTCATCCATTTTTACAGTCTTATATTCTATCAAAATCATATCCTTTATCAACGAGTTCGCCTGGCAGACTTGGCTATCCTCAGCATGCAGATCTTGACTATTTGACGGAGAGCATCATTCCTTGGCCTGCAAGAAACAAGCACCTGGCCAGAAGAATGCTCTGTTGGTTCGTCTGATCCAATGTGTGTCCGTTTCTTTGCTGGTCGCGTACAGCACAAACCAACCGGCCCTGAATCATAGGGGAAGCTGGTAGTCATGAACTCGGACTACCCTCCGTTGCCTCGCCCAGGAGCTCTGAAAGCCCAAATTGAGAGCTCGAAACTCCTCCATGATACAGATGTATTCCCAACTTCGCTGACTACTGTTAATGACCTGATTTCGACGGGTCATCCAGAGTCATCGACCAAAGTCATCTCGCCAAACGGAGATGTTGTCATCCAGTATGCAGACTATGACCATGTTTCTTCTGAATCGACAGTCGTTTATCAGTGGCAAGTTACCAGTGAGCTCCTTGTCTGCAACAGCCCTTACTTTCGGGCATTGCTAGATCCCAGCAAATTCTCCGAGGGGAGGCTGTTCATGGAACAGCAGCAGGCCTGGAATGAAAGGCTTGCTCTGAAGATCCCGGAAGTCTCCTCTTCTGAGATCCCAGACAAAAATGCACAGCATGCTTTGCCAACTGTCAAGATCCCGGGAGGCCAATTTGCCCGAATGTGCGGTGTAGATGCCATCGAGCTCTTCCTCAAGGTCTTGTGCGTGGATTCGTTGCCCAGCGACACCAGAGCCGCCTTTGAAAACGACCTGAAATTTCAGTCTCCGTCTCTTGTGGCGAGGCTTATTGAGGTGGCGGATGCATTTAACTCTCCGAGAATTGTCCAGGACGTTCTCCGGAGTGTGGGCTACGCGTTCGGGAAGAGCAAGATCTCGCTCTTTAAATTCAGCACTACGCTCTTAAAGCTGAGTGAGGATCGCATCCGGCAGATCTTTTTTGTTGCTGCGTTCCTCAAGGAATACAACATCTCCCAAGTCATGGCGCACACGCTACTTGTGGCTGGCTCCAGTTCCTGGGTCAATGGCCCTGAAGCCCCCGCAAGAGAAGATCTGCGCTGGAGATACTTCTCGAATGGCATTGAAGGTGGGTAGCTCAATACCCAAGATCTTCAAAGAAAACTGAGACAGCGAACTGATTGCTCAACCTTTGTAACCAGAGGAACTATACTATCGGCGACAGTGCGTCCTGAACACCATCACCGATCTTCAGGCATATTTCCTTCGTATATATGGCGCACTAGAGGATCATGAGGGTCCGAAGCCGACGATAGGTACTGCCCCATCTCTGGGTACCGCATTCTCTACATCCATTCAAACCCGACATTTCCAATGCCGGGGCGGGTTCGGCAACGCCAGCCAGTGCGACGTATTCCACCTGGGCCAGATCACCCGATTTTTCTCTCTGCGAGCCAGGACAATCTTTCTGGGTTCTACTCTGATAGACCCGGACTTCAGTCTGGATATGAACGAGGGTGACCAGGATTCTCGCAGTAGCAGTCGAGACCCTTCGGGCCCACCATCCGACATCACCCTCATAATTGCCTCCCTGAAGCAATTACCAGACTACCAAATCGACAGCAACCACATCGGGTGCGGGGTTCGGCGCCGAATTCTGCCAGCGTTGGACTGCATTGAGAAATTCGTGCTGGATGGCCGCGGCTTGCTGGGTATAGACCTCCGGCTCTGGGATCGGGCGTTGACGCCTACGTCAATATCATGGGCGAGCAAGACCTCTCGAAGGGACCACACTGTCGATATTCGCTTTGCAAGAATCACAGCGGTGCATTATCCGTCTCCGGGAAACCCGGAGCCTCGTGCTAGCACCCAGGGAGAGGATGCACAGTTATTGTTCACGGCGAAGAAACGGAATTGGGAGGCATAGTTGTTTCTTGCTTGCAGCTTTCAGTTGGTTGATCTACCGAAGAATCTGTTGCCTTCTTGCCATCTAAAGCGCTTTTGAACATTTTACTTGCTGGGGCATGAAGTGAACCCCTAGCTTCTTGGGCTCTCATTACACCCCATTACCGTCACCGGCGGTCATGCCTCACTCGTCTGGTTACGGCCACCCCCTTTTTTCGAGGGGGTGAGAGAGCTTCGAATCGAGACGACATAATGATGATGAAGCTGTCTAAGGACCGGTCTCGACCTCGCTGTTTGTCCATGGTCCTGTCCTAGGTGGTTCATGCGGATCAGAGTACCTGGGTCTGTTTTGCTCTGGCACGAATATAAGCTTAGTGATGTCAAATAGAATGAGCTTGCATCAACAGACTCGATTGCAAGGGAGACATAGATGCCCTCCCAATACATGTTGTTTTCTTTTGCCTGATATATAGGGTTGTAGAGAGGGAGCATAACAATGAAAGAAACAAATCATGGTGCTAGCGCAATGCTGCTTTTCTTTTGCTTTGTTTTTCAGATTGTAGGCTCGAGAGAAAACGGAGTAACTTTTTCTGCGCTGCCTCTATGGAAGCATATGCGTGGACTGATGTTTTGATAGAATGCAAATAGCAGAACAAAACAGGTCCAAAAGCCGTTGCAGTGATGACATTCTAAATGGGACCCATTGTCCATCCGTCTTTCTTTTCTTTTCTTTCCTTTCCTTTCCTTTCTTTTCTTTCTTCTCTTCTTTCTCTTCGTCTTCTTTCTTCTTCTCTTTAACAAACCAGCCAATCTGGCAGAAAGGGAGACACCGTTCAGCAGACAGTATCACCCCAGAAGTAGCCCAGATCAAAGTCCAGATTCGGCCCAGCCGGGAAGAAAGAGCCAGTAATTTGGCCAGTAGCCGGGTCGTATGGAAAGTATTCGTCGAAGGAGCCTCGCTCAGAAGTCGCTTTGTCCGGCTTCATGACCTGATCCAGCAGGTCCGTCGACTCAAGACCGTAGGGAACTGGCATTGCCAGAGGAGTACCAGACCGGTCCATCGGGGAGCAGGCAATGGAGTCCAGCTCTGCTGCAATGGCGTCGACAGCAGTCGCCGAGGCGGCCGGCAGCGTTGCAGACGGATCGAAGGTGATATCATCAACAGTTTGGTCGTCTGTGATAGCCACCGAGTCGGCGGCTGCGGCGACGTCGAATACAGAGTCTGTAGAGGACTCTTCGCTCCCCGGGAAGTCGGCCAGTTCCGTTTCCATGTGCGGTGCCAGACGGCGTAGGAACCCATCACAAAGCTTCCATGCTCGCTCCGAGGCCATGTTCACCTTCGATAGCGTGGACAGCCAATCGAGAGCCTTCTTTGCAGCCTTGGACACCATCGTGGCCTTCTCCGGGACGTGTTGGGCCCGGAATGCGAGCTCCATTAGAAGCACAGTAGCCGCCTGCATCAGGTAATGCAACGTGCACCACCACGGAGAGATCCGGTATAGCAGAGCCGCGTCTGGCGTATCCGGGAAAAGTGTCAGCATGTGGCATGCGGACTCGACACATTCGGCGGCGGTCTTGCTGCAGAACTCCTGGGTCTTGTCGCCATCCGGCCGAGAAGGGTCAAGTCGACAGAGACAGGGCCGGGTGATGCCGATCTTGGTGCTGTAGAACAGGAAGGCGAGTCCCATTCGCTGGCTGACGGGGCATTGAGATGTCTGTGTCGAAGTAAAGTCGTAAGCCGCGGGCAGATTCATGAACCAAGAATCGATCTCCAGCATCAAGCTCTGGATGGTGAATTCGGTACTTGCCCACGGGGACTGCAGTGCCTCGGGACTGTACAACTTGATCGTCATCCGTTTGGCGATGGTGGTCAATGAGACCAGCTGCAGGAAGTACAGTGACATGCAGGGCGGCAAGCCTTTCAGGTACTCGACCTTGCTCATCCTGGCGTCATTTTCAGCAGGTGCATCATTCAAGTCGGAGTCACCGGTTGAATCGAGACTGGCTGCCTTGTTGTTATTTATCGGCATTCGGTCTCGCTGGCTGGAGATCCCTCGTCCGACCATGCTGATCAGTCGGGCCACTTCGTCTTTCTGGAAGTCACTTTCGTCGAAAGGAACCGGCATGGGTGTGGTGCACGAGCTGTCAACAATGCAGGAGGGACGTCCTGTCACTACAGTGAGGAGGTGCTCAATTGTGTATAGCGACCACCACACTCGATACCGGATTTCCTTTGACGTGTCCGAAGTGCACACACCGACGTTGCGTAGATGCAGACCAAGGGCGAAGGCCCCACGAGCTGCACTACCAGACAGTTTCCATGCCCTAAATTAAGTAAGGTCGTAAGCATGCTTCCAAAAAGAAGCAGGATAGCAAGGTTCCCGACATACCGGTTGATGTGCCCGGATGCAATCAAGTAAAAGGAAGCCAGGCCTTCTACCTGGAGCTGCTGCAGATCCGGGTGATGCAGAAGCTGATCTTCCAGGCTCAAAGATCTCGCTCTCGAGAAATACGTCTGGTGATCATCTTCGCCTTCCCTCCAGTCTGCGCTGGACAGGTGTCCATATTTTGCGGCGATTGCAAAAATGAGGTTGAGTATAGCCAACCACTTGTTTCCTGGTTTCAAGGAGGTTTGGTTGAAAAAGACCTGAAACTGCGAAACAAACGTCGAGATGCCGATGATCGGGAAGGACGGGTGTACGCATGTCAGATAGGCATTGAGCAACTTGGTGGCTGTCTCCCGCGAGGGCACCTCATAAGCATCGACCGACTCTATGGTTGGGATATCCAAGTCATCCAGATAGTAGTTGGATGACACCACCCAGGGGTCTCCATGTTTCTCAGGTCCTGGAGTCAACGTAGGAGAGAGCAAACCATTGCCTTCGTCCGTGTCTGGTACCGCTGCAGGCCATGCCTCCTGTTCGCTGTTGACTTCTTTGCTGAGGTTCTGAAGCCAATTAATCTCGGAGCTCTTTCCAATGAATCCCGTTGCGCGGGCAGTCTCGTCTCGATTGAAGTCTTCCTTGGTGTGGTCGACTCGTTCCAGAGGCGCAACAGACGATGCTCGAGATGGCGGTGGCTCGGAACCGGAGCTCCAGGAAAGCTTCCGTTCTCTAGTTGCAGAGTAAGAGTCCGGATCCAGAGTCAGGTCGGGTGCTGAATCCTAATCTGTCTTTAGACAAGAATTGATTATGAGAGGCGAAATAGGTTCCATACCACGGTCAAGGCCATGTTGACCAGCTGTTCGTCCGAGACGCCAAATCGATTGCTCAATTTCCTTATGACATCTTCGTATGCCTGTACCTTTGCCGACAGGCTTGCTAACTGCCTTTTCATTGTGGACAGGTACAGATGTCAATTCTTCAGCTCTCGTGGCCACCATCACAAGGATGTGTCTGGGAGCGGCATTGCCCACCGTTTAGATTTCTCCCTTTTCCCGTCAGTATAGCAACAGATGATTCCGGCTTCTCGGCAGTTGCGACACCCGGACTTGTCTCCGGTGCACTTTGTCTTCCTTTGCCTGCAAGACTCGCATGCTCGACGAACATGTCGACGGTGGAATCTGCCAGGCGAGGTGAAGGCAGACTCAGCTCCTTCCGCAAGTCGTGGAATGGCCATTTTCTTGGTGCCCAACTCAGTCTCGGTCCTTGGGAGGTGAGTCACTGGGTGTTCCTATATGGAATCTGTGAGATTCACGGTCACAATGTCTATGGATTGGCTGTGCAGGTAGCTCTTACCACACTCGATAATTGACCACAGACATCTGTATCTGCACAAGATAGCTTGAAAAGACTCTGCTGCTCGGCCCATGAGGGGAAGTGAATGCTGCTCATGATGAAAGAGAGGAGCAATATATACCAAATCGAGTAGGTACTGGAGCGGTTCAAGGCCGGTCAGCACAATGGTTTGATATAGTCACTGTATCTTTAGACCTCGCGGCTTGCCTTGAAGATTCAACTTTATCTACCAAAGTTCAATGCATATGGCCTCAACATCTCAGACAGCCAGAATTGCATGAGGTAGTTTTTGTAACGTCAATTGGGGATTGTGGTCGAAACATCCATGAGCCTGAGCTCCATGTGAGAGGCGGGAGGGGGAAGCCGAAGGGGGTTTATAAAGCCATTGGAGGGCTCAGCCTATGGGGAAAGCAGGCACAGGTCTCCTCCATGAGAATATGGTAGCCCCGAAGCGATGTCTGGGTCTGGATAGGGTTGAGGGACTGAACTTGGTCAAGCTGATGCTATGTGATGACATCGAAGGCCCGTTTAGGAAGGCAGCCAGCTTGCACGAATTGGCCACCACAGCGGCTCGGTATAGCAATGCTGGCATTTTTTTCGCCTCATGGATTGACAGCACCACTGAGGCAATTCAAGGGCTGCTATGAGCAGGATTCGTTTCGTCTGGTCGACTGGTCACGCTATTTGTCATCCTTGAGGCCTGCATGAGGTGATCCGCATCCTATCCCATCCCCTGGGTGCCCAGGGGCATTGGCCAAACCAGACACTTGGTCTTCAAGGGTCTAACCAGATCCTCTTGTGATGGTTTTTCGGTTGTTGGAAACGACAGGCTCTGGACTCCGGTCACGCGAGAAACAGTCTATACCTGGAGATTTGCAAAGCGTACTTCGGCTTGATTCCGAGCTTTCACTATTGGGATTCTGGACTAGAATTGTTAGGTGCTTTCTATCAGTAACGGGGGGTTTTTTTTCTTCGAGGTGAACTGGTCATATACTTCAAAACTTGAGGCATTCTATCACTGCGTCAACTCAGGGCCCAGACCCGAGATGCAGAGTCAATCTGACGTTGAAGAGTGGTGGCACCGGCTGCAAGGACAAGCCTTGGTTGGCACCCATTTCCGCAGTGCATGATTCGACAGCATGCGGGATGGAAGGTGGACGGTCCATGGTGACAGGGCGAGGTACGGAAAGCTTGAAGGCAACTTCATGCCCAAGCCAAACAATTATAGCACGCACATCAGATTGACGTGGTAGATGACGTGGAGGTGACCATAGGATGAGAGAATACCCGTCTATACAAAGTTGAAGGACAAAGTGCAGCAGGGGAGTCATGTCTAGTGAATATCAATTTTCAAGACTAAGACATAGTCGTTGCCGAAGAGTAGGTCTCCAACGATAATCAAAACAGGCATTGGCTTGGCGCACGATCTTGAGAACGAGTAGAAAAATGAAAAGAAAGACCACAATCTGAACGTCATTAGTATTTGACTCTATACAGCTCAACTCCAACCTCATTCGATCAAGAAATTCTCCGCCACGCTCCTGATGTCCTTGGAGAATCCAGCACTCTCGCCCTCCATCTCCAGCAGGGACACGTCGGTCACATCGACGTCGACGAATGGCTTGGTCTTGGAGAAGCGAACGCTCATCGGGAAAAATTCGTTCTCGTCCCCATCGCCCGTCGACTCGAATTCGAAACTGCCGGACGCGTTCGACTCATCCACAGCGCCCAAGTTCCAGTCGAGGCTGTCTCCAGAGACTTCGTAGACGGCATCGAAGCTAGACACCGAGGGCTCTGTCGCGCCATACGGAATGGTGACAACAACATCGCGCAGGCTGTCTGAGCCGGTAAGCTCATACTCTACGGTCACAGTGGTCGAGTCAGAGCCCTTGTTCACCCACACGGTGAAGGTGATGGGAAGAATCTCAGCGTTGTCAGCCGAGCTGGCAACGCGCCACCGCAGAACGCCAATCGCATTGTTGGCAGGGAACCGTTTCGTGGTGTCCTTCAATTGGATCGCCGAAGAGCTGGTGAAGAGAGCCTTGTCAACGTTGGGGTGGGTCCGGAACTGCGCGCCATGTGTGGGAGTGGCCTGAAGGTCGAGTCGCAGTTTCGTGAAGGATGGGTCGCTGATTCGGAGTTGAAGATCGCCCTTAACCTCGAAAGACTTCAAGGCACCTTCCCGAGTAAGCGTGGCCGAAATTGTTTCCGCAATCGTAACATGAATAGGCTCTCGGTCCACAGTCAAGGATTCGCGAGCAGAGGGCGCTTCTGGGACTGGGGTTGAAGTCTGCGAAGACACCAGCGGGCTGGACTCCTCTACCTCGGGGCCCAGATCACCCCGAACCTTCTCGTAGAGATCGGTCGCCTTAGATTTCTTGCCAAGTTGCATACCCTTGCCGCGGGAAGGAAGGGGCCTAGATATCATTTGTCGTCAGAAAGAAGTGCCTTGGAATAAAACAACGTCGGGTCAAAGGTGGTCCAGGGGACGTACTTGGCAAAAGACTTCTTCTTCTCCGCCTCATATGTGTCGTAAGTATCCGGTACCGACGGCCGCGAAGGAGGTGTGTAGACGGGGTAGGACGGGGTTCTGGGGGCGGCAGCACGACCCGAGCGAGCGGCCTCTTTGCGCTGCATCTCCAGTTGCTTTGCCTTCCTCTTGCGCTCCTCGCTGGCCTCCAACTCCTTGTTCTATTGATCCATGTCAGTCTTGGTCCGACTCCGCGGCTCAACCCAGCACATACCCGCTCAATGATCTCTTGGATTCGCTCCTCGTGACTCTCCATCTCCAGGAAGGTCTTGATCTGCGACAAAGACAGGTTCTCCCGGTACCCCAACGTCACCAACTCATCGAACGCACTGAGTAGCTCAAAGGCATTTCGGGTGATCTCCCGCTCATCGAGGCTCTTGCAAAGGCTGGTAGTCACTTGCGCGAAAAGATGGAGGCTGTCGATGTCTTGGAGGATGTTCGATTGACGGTTGGTGATCAGAACAATGTACAACTCGTCCAATGGCTGGTATACGAAGCGCACGTTGTCTTGCTCGACGATGGTATGTTGGGTACCCGAATCCGCGAGTTTGGGGAAAGAGGCCAGCAGGGCTTCAATTCGCGACCGAGCAATTTCACGAAACTGGCGCGAGAGAACAGCCTTGCCTCCGCGAGTACATATCGACGCCGCAAGAACGACCTGTTGTGCGTGGGGATGGGGTCAGTCTCGGTCCTCACGGTATGGAAACATGGGACATACCATGGCGATTCAGCAGGCAATGAAGAAAAGGAAGAGACAACGATCCCAGTTGTGTGGTCCACAATTGGCACAAAGCGAGTCCTTGTAGAATGAAATGCTCAAGTCGAAGACTTCGCAGTTGATGGGGGGACGGAGAGCTACTCTGTTCTCTTCGACTCCCTTGGTCCGTGCACTTTCCCCCCCCTTCGCTTAGTCGGAGAGTGACAACTTTTTACCTTCTCTCTTCATCCTTTTGCGTTTATAGCTCTCGCTTTCAACCTCATGCTCATCTCACATTTTACTACCTTACTCTTACATCTACGTCGATGAGCCAAGGCCTCTGAGTCTTTCCAAATACCCTCCTTCCTTCCGTGACCGCCCGGCGACCGACGCCACAGAACTTTTCAACACGTACCCGCGGTCACCTGAACACTTTTCACGCGTCTCTATGCCATGACAGCAACCTCTTCTCTAGCTTTCCCCGCCATGGAAGTTCCAGCAGTGGATGATTCGATGGAGATGGCCTCGCCCTACCAGGGCCAGGCCGATGATTTTGATATTGATATCGATCTGATGGAAGATCATGTCTCCAATATGGACAGTGACATGATGGGAGCAGATGATTATCTCAACACTTCTCAAGCAGACGGTCTTCAAAACGACGCGATTAATGATGCCGACATGGCTGACGAACCGTCCGAGGGATCGATGGTCGACGCTGACAACTACGCCGACGAAGACAACGACATCGATGTTGAGTACGAGGAAGAAACATACGAAGCTGAGATGCTGGAGGGCGATCAAGATCAACATGTCGAGCACGCTATTCCCACCATACAGCTTGAAGCGCCTGCCCATATTGAAAACGAGCCCACTCCCCCCAGCCTGGACACTACGGTCACTGCCGAGAAGTCCAGCGAAGGACCCGAGCAAGACCCTGCCAACTTGGCAGAAATGACTCACGCGGAGAGTGGCACGCAGGCATCTGAGCACCCTGATCAAGACATCCACCCGGAACCTAGTAAGACAGAAGAAGGCCTCGAACGATCATCCGATGAGAATGAGGCGACCGAAGCTGTTCTCGGTCAGGAAAATTTGGAAGTTGGTGGCGAGACTAACACTGCAGTGGATGTTGACGATGACCACGCGCAGCCAGATCCGCCTATCGCAAGCCCCAAGGCCAGCAATGCTCGGTTGTCCAACGATGAGACTAAACAGGTCGAACAGCTTGAGCCTCAGAATGAGCAGGAAAAAGTTGGGCAGGACGCTCGTGAGGACGAGTCCCTGCATCCCGTCAAGGTTATCTACCAAGAGAATGAAATCGCTCTTTTCCCGCCTCTAGAAGGCGATTCAGCAGAAACATTCTTCCTTCATGATGAAGATGTGGCCTATGATCACCTGGGTAGACTGTTCAAGGCCCTCCGTGAGGTTCTCCAGGGTAATGTTGCGGAGAATGAGGTTCTCGTCATTGATATCGATTCTCTTGGTATCCAAATGACAGAGGTAAGCCCAAGTGTTTCCGTCTCTCCTCTACCGGATAAGATGCTGACTTGTTCATCTAGGACTCTTCGTATACATCCAAGGTGACCTTGCATCAGGTCTTGGACCTCTACCTTCGACTTTGCCATAATGACGGCACCGATGGACCGGAGCCTCTGTACATTACTCTAAGCAGCAAACTGACAGTCCCTGCTGAGATTGCTGATCTTCTTGCTGCCGCCAATGAGGGCAAGGGCCTTTCTCAAGTCCATTCATGGGATGATTACGAGGAAGCGGATCCTACTTCCGAGGAGGCTCTCGCTTTCTCTGAGCCAGAGCAGCAAGGCGAAGAATCCCATGCTGATGGGACTGGACAAGATCAATCCATCCATGAAGTGGATGAAACTGTCCTGGCTACACAAGAACAAGAAGTAGCCAATGACGAGTCTTACTCCAAGACTCACGAGGCTAATGTTCCAAAGGAAACTGGACCTCTTCAAGACGGCGAAAACGCCATCGTTGAGGGCCATGAAGCTGAGGATGCTGCTGAAACCGAAACTGCTGCTCTTCATCGTGAGGAAAGGGAGACAGACCACCAAGCGGAGGAATACGGTCATCTGGATGAAGAGGAACATCTCCATGAAGAAGTGGCTGAAGATTTCTATGACTCTGAAGGTCAGAAGACTGAGTCCACTGCAACTGTCGCTCCCATGTCCGAGCCGGCCCAGGCCCAGGAAACAACCGAAGATCTTTCTGCGAATATAACCGAAGGCGGCCCGGCGCAACATGACACCGCTGATACACATGATCAAGTCCCTGATGGCGATGCCCTTGAGGCTGGGCATTATCCTGAAGCAGATTCAAACGATGGTCTTCACAACGAGCCTGAGGAAGTCCAGGATGATCTTATCGGCGATGAGCATGGAGACGCAGGTGTCCAAAATGACAATCGTCTTGGCGGCTCTGCGTCGGCTCAAGTTGAAGAGACACTGGATGAGCCGGATACCGCACCCCAAGCTGGCGATCCTGCAATTGAGGGTTTGCAAGACGACGTAGATCAATCTTCGCACGGTCAGGACAAGTCAGCCTTGGATTTTGTGGCACAGGAACCCTATGCACTCAAAGAGCAAACACCGGAACCTACGGATGATCTCCTTGGGATCGCTGAAGACTTGATGCAGACCCCTGCCAAGGATGAGCTTGAAGACACTGGGAGTCTAAACGAAGAGCATCAGCCTGAGCACGAGTATGGCTACCCTGCTGCAGCCGACGATGACGGCACCGACAAGAACCTGTTTGACGAGGGCGATTACGGCCACGGCCACCCCGATTTTGATGTCACCGAGGCTGTTGAGTTGGATGACACCAAGGCTTCTTCTCATCCTGACTCGCAAACTCGTGATACCGGGTCTGCCAAACGGTCCCGTGCGGTCGAAGAGGACTGGGAAACGGGAGAGACCACCCCTGATACCAAACGCCGTCGACCCTCGTAATCCACCTTCCCCTTCCACCGCCTTTCTGTCCCCCTCACCTCTTCGTTCCTTCCTGGTCTCAACCCAGTTTCGGTCGACTCTTGTGAGGCGCTGGCTCTGTGGTTTTCATTGCAAAATTCAAGGCCGTTGCCCCAGGCACTATCTACTAACCATAACCCTCACCAGCAGCGACCTCTATCCGTGAGCTCAAAGTTCCCGTGCACCCTTTCAACAATCAGGTATGTGTTCTTGATCCTATCCCTTTTCCTACCTGGTTCCTGGGGAGGGGGAGTGCGCGACTCTCATCCCTGCTCACCGATTCCACCCTTCGGCTCGAGGTGTATGCTCCCTCTCCCCAGTACCTTGTTTCCATATCCCCTTTGTGTTGGTGTATTCTATGGTCCTTTCCCTTTTTTTATTACCCTTGTTTCTTTTTCTGCACTTGCGTGATACCACCTTCGGTTTAAAAAAAACCTGTGTTCGGCGTCGATGGGAGCTGGGGCAGAGTTTTTTTTTTTTTTTTTTTTTTTCGCATGGGATTCGGTGCATTAGTGTGAACTACTTGATAGTTCATCTTAGTAGGCTGGGACAATGAGATTCTTCACTTTTTAAAGACTTTGACCAGTACTTGACCTCGGAAAAGGTTGTATAAATTGGCAAGCCATGGTGAGGTATACATAGACCAGGTCCTTGACATAAATTGCAGACTCACTATATCACTCTATCCTTAATGGTATTCTTCTACATGCACAAGAAAACCTCGTCCTGGAATTCTCATTCTAGACTGAGAACCATAAACATGTGGTATGGATGGTTCTATTACTATTTCTCAATCCGGCTGCGGAGGAGAATAGATGATCAAACCCGATGCAATGATGAGGTCTCTTACTGATGTCTGGAAATGACTCTTTATGATTTAGAGACTAAGCCTTATAAGAGTAGTGGAAGTAGAACCATCTAACAAGGGCTAACTATAGATATGCCGGATGCGGATAGGCCGAGATGTGAAACAAGATCAGCCAGGGTCTGCTCGAACGGGACATGCACGCAGTTCCTGTGCCTGAATGCGAATCATAAAAAAATTACAGGGAAAAAAAAAGGAGAATAGGCAATTCCTGAGCCGTGGATGTTTCTGTAACAAATCCACTCTGCAAAAATCTACTTGGACAGAAAGAGACAATCGAACGTTGAAAAGACCGTCTTACGCGTCCCCCCGGTCGGCCCAGGCTCACAAGTGGCACCCCACCGCACCTCCCCTTCACACCACCTTGCAACTCTCCCCTTCTTACTCATCGTTAGCGGATTTCTCCTCGGGCTTCTCTGTTGCCTACCCTGATCAATCCTTGGCTTCCTGCGATTCCTTCATTTACACTCGTTTCCCTCTTCCCGGTTTATTGCCGGCGCTGGAGGTCTTCCAATCATAGGAGCCTTCCGCTCCTCCAGGCAAACATGCTTCCAGATAAGTACGGCGCTCGGTCAATTCATCAATTTGGACAAACTGGCCAGTGTCTAATCAAGTCGCGCGCTATAACAGATATGTCGGGCTATTACTAGCCATTGGGTCTACGATGCTTATTGGTACGTGCGACGTGTATCTTCCCTTTCTGCCAGGCAGCTAATGTGATCCGAAGGCTCCAGTTTTGTTATTACGAAAAAGGTCCGTCTTTCCTTGGATGTCCGACTTGGAGTGATGCGACTCAATTGACGAGGCACTGGGCGCATTCGATGGAAGAAACACGTCACAAGATTGGGAGCGCTGATGGGTTCATGCAGGGTTTGATGCACGCCTCCGAACAACATGGCTTCGAAGGAGAAGGTTTCTCATACTTAAGGAGCCCAATATGGTGGACTGGTGTTATCATGTGTATGGGATTCTATCGCATCGCATGTCTTGAGATAGCTGGTAACTAACGGGGACAATAGTGGGTGTCGGAGAAGTCGCCAACTTTGCTGCCTATGCCTTTGCGCCCGCGATTCTGGTCACACCCCTCGGAGCATTGAGTGTTCTGATCGGGTAGGAAGTTCTCTTTGTCGCGTGTCTGGATACACCGCTGATGAAATACAGTGCGGTCCTGGGGTCATACTTTCTCAATGAACGGTTGGGGACGTTGGGGAAATTGGGCTGTGCAATGTGTCTGCTCGGATCAGTCGTAATTGTTCTCCATGCGCCCCCTGACAAGGCAGTGGAAACTGTCAATGAGATTCTGGGTTACGCTGTTCAGCCAGGTAGGAACTCGGCCAGTCATGCGCTCTCTGAGTAACCATACTGACCTTTATTTAGGGTTCCTCTTCTATTGCCTGGCGGTCGCAATCTTTTCAACAGTGATGATCTACCGAATCGCACCGCTATATGGCAAGAAGAACCCTCTGATCTACATCTCCATCTGTTCCACCGTCGGCTCAGTCTCGGTCATGTCCATGAAGGCCTTCGGCATTGCGGTGAAATTGACATTCAATGGCCACAACCAATTTGTCCACGCATCGACCTACGTTTTTGCCATCGTCACCGGGTTCTGCATTCTCACACAGATGAACTACTTCAACAAAGCATTGAACCAATTCTCAACCTCATTGTGAGTGGGGAATGAAACCCTAGAATATGATAGAATATGATACTGACCGAGACTTTGTTTACAGAGTAAATCCACTCTACTATGTCACGTTCACGACCGCAACGCTTTGCGCCTCCTTCATTCTTTTCAAAGGGTTCAACACCACAGATGCGGTCAACACCATTTCTTTGCTCTGTGGATTCCTGATTATCTTTACTGGCGTGTACCTCCTGAACCTTTCACGACATGACCCCGATGGGCGGCATCAGGCCAGTGCCAAGTTCGACGACGACGGAGTGCCGACCGATGCCGTTTCTAGTTTCCAGACTCGGAGGTCCATGCAATCGCGCCGAAGCACTGATCCCCACCGTCGAAGTTCCTCGAGTATTGCATTCCTCAACGGACATGGAGACCGAGAAGGGCTCATCCACTCATACGATGTGGAAAACAACCAAGGGATCGGGCTGGCTGAATTATCGGAGGAAAGCGAGGGAGAACCAGGGCCGACTTTCCAGCGCAATGAGGAGCGAAACCAGACCGCACTGCACACCAAGCAAAACAGCCAACTCTGATGTGCGGTGGTGGATCTGGTGCTCTCACTATATCACGAGGTTACTGCAACGCATCTTTTCCTCTCTCTGTTTTTCCTGTCCTGGGTTCCTCGACCCAAGACTCAATTCCTCATGGGCATCCTCGCCGACTTTTCACCCTGACACACGTGTACTTTTATTTTCGAGCGAAAATGCCAGAGTTGGGATTGGGACTCGGCGATCTCATATCAGGCACTGGACATGCCCGTATGAACGATTTGGATATGACTGGGTTTCGGTTGATGGCTTGAGGGGTTGTTTCATTTTTCTCCATGGTTTGGCTATTTTCATTTTTCAATCTTCATGTTTTCTCTTTTTATTTGGCGACAAGGCATCATTGTATATACTGTTCGAGTTCGATTTTGTGCAGAATAGATTGGCGAACATTTGGAAAGGCTTCCGGTGGGGCAACCCGGTCCGATGATGTATCTGCAAAGTCAGCTGTTATGGAAGATATTCATCCGGGAACCTCGATAATGTGGCCGTCTTTTCCTCCTTGACACTTCCCAGGCTGTAGACGCCAAGGGGCTTGTTTCCCGCAATCTTAGGCCTTGACCCTCCCGCGGGGCACCATGCCAGGTTTACCGCGGAAACTGATCATCGTCGCGGCGGTCGACGGGCTCATCCTGCACGCGCACGGCAATGGGCAGCGACATAATCATGGCAGCAACAACGAGGCTTCGTCGATTCGAATCGACTACAAGACGAACAGGATCACCGCGCTGCCCGCACCCGCCTTGGGGTCGCCCGAGGAGAGGGACGCGTTGGAGGCCTACGGTCTCGTGGGCAAGTCACCAATCACGCAACGCGAACTACAAGCGAGGCATATGCTAACGGTTTCATGCGACAACAGGTCTATTGTCTGTCGCGTCATATTCATTTCTTGTCTCCATCACGCAGCGCCAACAGGTCGCGCAGATCCAAGGCCGTCCCATCTACGCCGTGACCAATGTTGCGATCATTCCCGTGTCCTCGCAGGCCGACGCAACCCGTGCGATCGCCCAGGCTCGGGAGGATGCATCGCAAGAAGACGTCGGTCTCGATTCGGGCTCGGAGGATGAGTTGCCGGATAACGAAACGAATGAGACCGAGACGGAGATCAGCAGCGCGCCCACATCTCCGAGCCGTCAGACATTCCATGCGCGCGGGACCAGTGTCAGCAGCATCGCCGAAGACGTGATTGGAAAAAGAGTCCGGTTTGGCCAGTTCGCCGCGAACTGGCTGTCCCGCAAGAATCTGGGTTTACCCAGACCGGGAGGGCTGGAGCAGAATGTTTCGGAGTCGCCATTTGACGATGCGCCGAGCCCATCGGACGATGACCCAAAGACCAAGGATGAGGCTACAGCATCGCCTGTAGAGGATGCTTCTGGCACCCGGGACGAGGCCCATCCTCCCGGCTCTGGTCAGGCGGCGGAGCTGCTCCCGAAGTTGCTTCGATATACTAAACTTCTTTTTGCATCGCACAACTTCTTTTTTGCATATGATTATGATCTCACGCGGTCCTTCAGTGCCCGGGGTGCTTGGAAGGGCCCTCTACCACTGCACAAGGTTGTAGATCCGTTGGTATGCTTCACCGCGTCGCGCAAAGATGCAACAAGCTTCACAGGCTAATTGGACTTTTAGTACTTTTGGAATAGACATCTAATGACTGCATTTATCGATACTGGAGCTCATGGGTTTATTCTTCCGTTGGTTCAAGGATTTGTTGGCCAACGAGAATTTACAGTGGCAGGCCCCGAGAAGATTCCATCATCAGACGAGCCGTCAACAGAGAAACGAGCCGAGGGTCGGATTCTGGGAGAAAAGCAAGAAGCAGAGTCCATGACCGCTGCAGTCAACAAACGTGACTTCCTTTTGACCTTGATTTCTCGCCGATCTGTCAATCGGCCCGGTCTCCGCTATCTTCGTCGTGGCGTGGACGACGAAGGCAACACTGCTAACACGGTTGAGACGGAACAGATTCTCTCGGTTCCAGACTGGGGCTTGTCTCATCGGGTCTACTCTTACCTGCAAGTGCGAGGATCGATACCTCTATACTTCTCCCAGTCACCGTACGCTTTCAAGCCTGTTCCGGCCTTGCATCACTCAGCCGATACAAACCAGCTTGCTTTTGGGAGGCACTTCCGAGAATTGAGTCGGCGCTATGGAAAGATCCAGGCTGTCTCACTCATAGACAAGCAAGCCGGGGAATTGAAACTTGGAGAACAGTTCCAGCGATACACCGAGACGCTGAATAAAGCAGGTGGTATCGACGGCATGCCGTTAAGCCTAGAATGGTTTGATTTCCACCACGAGTGTCGCGGGATGAAGTTTGAGAATGTGACGCGGTTGGTGGATCGTCTGAAGGAGATGCTGGATGAGTTTGGCTACTTTACAGTCAAGGACAACACTGTTCTGCGCCCACAAACTGGCGTTGTCCGAACCAACTGCATGGACTGTCTCGACCGCACTGGAGTTGCGCAGTGTGCGTTTGGGCAATGGGCCCTCGAACGCCAGCTACAAAATGAGGGCATTGATATTGATCTCGGTGGTGGCTCAGCAACCCAATGGTTCAATACACTTTGGGCAGACAATGGCGATGCGATCTCTAAGCAATACTCGTCCACAGCCGCTCTCAAGGGAGACTACACTCGCACGCGAAAGCGGGACTATCGAGGCGCCCTCAACGACCTGGGGCTGACGCTTTCCCGGTACTATAACAACATTGTCAACGACTACTTTTCGCAAGCGTGCATTGATTACCTTCTTGGGAATGTCTCGACGCACGTCTTTGACGAGTTCGCCATGGAACTGCAAACCACCGACCCAGGCATCTCGGTGCAGAAATTGCGGCAGAATGCCATCGACACCAGCTGCAAGATCGTGATCAGCAGCCCATCAGAGGAATTCCTAGGTGGTTGGACTATGCTGACGCCGCTCCAACCCAATACGCTTCGAACGCTCCCGTTCGAAGAATCGGTGCTGCTTCTGACCGACGCCGCCGTGTATAGCTGCCGCTTCGACTGGGAAACCGACAAAGTGCTGTCCTTTGAACGCATCGACCTCCGCTCCATCTCGCGCATTCACTATGGCACCTACATCACCTCGATCCTCACCGACAGCCAAGTCGACGAGCGCCGCAATGTCGGTCTGGTCGTCGTGTACCGCGACGGCGATGCCAACGCCTTGCGTGTCAACACCCGCTCCCTGCAGACCCATGTCCGCCCGGGCACCCTTGATCATACAGCCAATTCCAACGGCGAATGGGATCTGGTTTCATGGCTCCGCGGCAGCAAGCGTGCCACCACACGCTTTGTGGCGTTCAAGACTCTTCCATTGCCCAACTCGGTCGCCAGCCCTCGACTGGGTCCCAGCACCGGTCATGTTCGTGAGCTTGACCGCGTGCGCTCGATCTGTCAAGATATTGAGCGGGCTATGCTTGCTGGTAGTGTGCCGCAGACCGAGACATCTTCGGTCGTGGAGGAATCCGATATTATCTCTCTTGCGGACGCGAAGAAGCGCACTGGCATCTTGGAGTATTTGGTCTATGATATCAAGAAGATGGTTTGGGCTTGAGCAGATAGATATCTTGGAGTGAGCCAGTTACTTGGTCCATCCTTGTAAATGACCTGGATAAATATGCGCAGGCACACACATTTGACGAGCTATTGTCCTTGAGATTAGATGAATATTGAGTTTGTCTGCCTAATAGGTAGCCATCTGAGATTGAGGGAGTGAATGAATCCCTGGATATCCTCGCGAGAATATATCAGTCCCTCCGAGTATCAAGGCACTTTGCAGGGCCATTGGGTGGCTCCCCACATCGACAATCCGACCGCCTTCGTCCTCAACCTTTTTTTTTCTGCCATAAAGGCCTCCGTCTCTTTCCTGTCGCACTTAACTGTGTTTCCCTCTGCTGCGTCTATTCTCTTTAATCTGATTTCTGATCTGCAAGCAGCATCAGGAATCCTCGTGGTTGCTTTGTGACTCGGTCTGGGGAACCAAGGGGGGTTCCCACATTCTTGGCGGGGTTCCTGTACCACTCGCACTTTTGAGCACTCACGGTCGCATCGACTTTGCACTCCAAAATGGACTGGCAACCTCAGGATGAGCCATTGAGGCAGCTGGCCTGCTGTCTCAGGGACTCTCTCAATGGGCAAAACCCAACTGTTCGCAAACAAGCTGACGAGGTAGCTTCATCCCTCCCCTTCTTCCCCGCCGTTTTCTACATTTTAACCCCCTCATCCGCCTCGAGTGCTTAGCATCTAGCACACTCGCCAGGCAAAGGAGAGGGGGAAAAAAGATGGAAACTGACCTGGGTCATCGTGCTAGATGCTCGCTCAAGCGACCTCGTCCCCGGACTATGTCAACTATATCACATACCTTTTTTCCTCGGCGCAAGTTCCTCCTACGCTGGGCATGGACGGCTCCACTTACAGCATGGTCCGATTCGCCGCTGCCATGAACATGAAGACGAAGATTTACATGGCCTACCACACGATTCCCCAGCCTAGTCTCAATTATATCAGGTCGGCTGCTTTGATTGCCCTGCGCGACTCCGACCGCCAGGCCCAGCGAGGCGCCGGCAGTATCATCACAGAGTTGGTGAACCGGGGAGGGTTACTGGCCTGGCCCGAGGTTTTGCACGAGTTGCTCTCTTTGGTGGGCAATGCATCGGGGGATGTCTCGATCGGGGCACAGGAAGCCGCAATGTCGGCCCTGTTCAAGGTCTGCGAGGATAACCGCCGAGTCCTAGACAAGGACTACCAGGGACAGCGCCCGCTTGATGTGATCATCCCCAAACTGCTGGAATTCACCTCCCGCGAGAGCCCCCGGATCCGATCCACCGCGCTGAGCTGTATTCACATCTTCCTTCCACACCGACCTCCCGCCCTGATGGCCTCGCTCGACCTCTTCCTCTCACAACTGTTCAATCTTGCCGCCGATGGTGATGCCGAGGTGCGACGGATGGTGTGCCAATCCTTCTCGCAGCTTGTGGAGTTTGCGCCGGAGAAGCTCATCCCGCATATGGAAGGGCTGGTCAGCTACATCCTTATGCAGCAGCAAAACCAGGAGGACCCGGAACTTGCGCTCGATGCGGCCGAGTTTTGGATTGTTGCCGGAGAGCAGCAGCGCCTGCAGCAGCCGCTGGGACCGTACATGCCCAAGATCGTTCCGGTTTTGCTACAAAACATGATCTATGAGGAGGACGATGTGATTCGGTTGATGGGTGACGAGGATGACGCCGAAACCGAGGACCGTGCCGAGGATCTCAAGCCGCAGTTTGCCAAATCGAAGGGTGACCGTCTCAATCCGACTAAGCCGGCAGATCAGCCAAACGGCAACCCTCCCCAGCAAGAGGAGGATGAAGACGATCTCAGCGAGGGCGAAATCGAGGATTCGGAGTTCGGAGACGACCCCGAGGGCGAGTGGACGCTCCGGAAATGCTCCGCCGCTGCGCTGGATGTTTTCTCGAATGTTTACCACGAGCCCATTTTTGAGATCATTCTGCCGTACCTGAAAGAGACGCTGCGTCATGAACAGTGGCCGAACCGCGAGGCTGCCGTCCTTACTCTTGGTGCCGTGGCAGACGGCTGCATGGATGCGGTCACACCTCATCTCCATGAGCTTGTCCCATATCTGATTTCTCTACTGAACGATGCGCAGCCCGTCGTGCGACAGATCACATGCTGGTGCCTGGGCCGCTACTCGGAGTGGGCGTCGCACCTGCACGAACCATCCCAAAAAGCACAGTTCTTTGAGCCGATGATGGAAGGAATTCTCCACCGAATGCTCGACAGCAACAAGAAGGTGCAAGAGGCGGCCGCATCCGCGTTCGCTAGTCTGGAAGAGAAGTCGGATGAAAATCTGGTGCCCTATTGCCAACCCATCCTGCGTCAGTTCGTCGCTTGCTTTGGCAAGTACAAGGATCGCAACATGTATATCCTCTACGACTGTGTCCAGACGCTCGCTGAATGTGTCATGACCGAGCTGGCGAAGCCCCATTTGGTGGATATCCTCATGCCTGCTCTCATCGGCCGTTACAACATGGTTACTGACCAGTCTCGGGAGCTCTTCCCCTTACTCGAGTGTTTGGGTTATATTGCCGCTGCGTACGGCGATAATTTTGCCCCGTTTGCGGCCCCTCTATTCCAGCGGTGTATCAAGATCATTTATGAGAATCTCCAGGAGTACATGGCCTCAGTCAACAATGAGGCGATCGACGAGCCCGACAAGGACTTTTTGGTCACTAGCCTCGACCTTCTCAGCGCGATTATCCAGGCCATCGATCCGCAAAAGAGCGGCGAGCTGGTCGCGAACTCTCAACCGCGCTTCTTCGATTTGCTCTGTTACTGCATGGAGGACCCCAACTACGAAGTCCGCCAGTCCTCATACGCTCTGCTGGGCGACTGCGCCATCAGCATCTTCCCTCACTTGGAACCTTTCATCCCGAACATCATGCCAACCCTGATCAAGCAGTTGGACCTTGATCTTATCCGGGACGACGACCGCCATACCGGGTTCAGTGTGCTCAACAATGCCTGCTGGTCCTGCGGAGAGATCGCTGTGAACGAGAAGGCCGCGCTTTCGCCGCATCTTGACAAGCTCTACCATGGGCTGCTGGTCATCATCAACAACGAAGAGGTGATCGACTCAGTAAACGAGAACGCGGCCATGGCCATGGGCCGGCTGGGTCTCTGCTGCCCCAATCCGATGGCGCCGCGGCTGGGCGAGTACGCGAGCCCCTTCTTGAAGTCAATGAGCAAGATTGAGTTTACGCGCGAGAAGGCGTCTGCGTTCCTGGGTTTCAACCAGGTAGTCATGAAGAACCCGCAGGCCATGGAGACGAGTCTCGGGGAGTATTTCCAGGCCATCGCTTCGTTCCCGAGCAAAACGCTCTCGCAGGAGGAATACCGGGATATCCAGAGCTCATTCCAGCAAGTATGCTAGTCTTCTTTTCCTTTTCCTTCTCTCTGCTTGCTTTTGCCTCATCTTTCTTTCTTTCTTTCTTTCTTTCTTTCTTTCTTTCTTTCTTTCTTTCTTTCTTTCTTTCTTTCTTTTTTTTTGGTTACCATCTGAACTTTTACTAATCCATCGAACAGGTCCTGCAAGGCTACAAAAACATGATACCCAACTTCGATTCGTTCCTCTCGCAGCTCCCACCGGCCGTTGGCCAGAAACTGCGCTCCGTATACCAGGTCTAACTGGGAATTCTTTTTCACACCCACCTTTGACACCGCCGAATGTTTACGATTGGTATGCGATGGTGGTTTCTCTTCCGCAAGCGATTGAGGCATTCTCATCTCACTCCTGTCCTTGGTCCTGGGTGACTTCTGAACGCATTTCTCCGCTTGTGGCGAGCAGCGTCCCTCGGCTTTCCTGTCCTAAGCTTCCTTCTTTTATGAATCAAGCGTCTCCCTTGCTCCTCTACTCCCTCTTCCTCGGACTTGCTCTGTGTTTCTCTCACCTGGCCTAAAAGCAGGATAAAAAGGCAAAACACATAAAGGAGGGGCTAGGTCATTTCAATTTCAGTGGGCCGTCTCGTCCGAGGAAGGACACTGAAATGCCTTTTTTTTTTTTTTTTTTTTTTTCTTTTCAATGTTTCCCAGCATATCATATCCGTGGCGAGAACAAGAAAAAAAGACAGCAGCGGGGGAAGGATAGGAGAATTCCCTTCCGTGAACTGTCTATTATGTTATCTGATGACTGCAATGGGCATGGCTTTTTCTTTTATTTCGCGTGATGGCTTCATTCTCAGTGTTTCCTTTTCCTTTTCCTTTTCCTGGCTGCCATGATGCATTTTCTATTGTTCATATCACTTGGGGCCGGCTCCTACGCAAGCTTTGTGCTTGTGACTCGCTCAGCGGTTTTTGCTTTTCTGTGTGTCTAGATTTAGATAGATTAGATAGATTCTCCATGAATTCGGCGATTCCAATATTAGTCCATGCGAGTGTGTGCTTGTGGCTTAGTTGGTGGATGAAGTGATGAAGGAAGTGACGAAGTGATGAGATGAATGAGGAATGTCTGCGCCATGCTACCTATCCACACTATTACTATGTCTTCATGGATCTCGAGGGATTCCCTCCCTTGTCTCTGCTGTATTTCTCTCTCGTGGATTGTCCCTCCATGGAGTATCATTCTACGAGACAGACTGAGGCAAAGTGATAGCGAGAACAGACCAACTTACCCCTAACCCCCCTGTCAAATATGGATCGACCAGATCCTGTCCAGGAAAGGAAGGAGAGATGACAATCCGCAGCATTTCATCCTTGTATCTTTATGGTGCCAAGGTTGTCAAGGCTAGATTGGCAAGACATTCCCTTTTTTTTTTTTTTTTTTTTTTTAATAGGATCGACTCTGCAGGTGTAGGTATCACATAGCCTCTCGTCATGCCACCATTTTCAGAATAGTTTATTTTCTTTTTTTGCCTTATTTTCTGCCTTGGCACCCAAAGGAGGGGGGATCTTCCTTCGCTTCGCCTCGCTTATTGGGTGTCTAGGGGATGCCCTGGGAATGGACAATGGTTAGTCAAGTAAACAGTAATTTTTGAGATAAATAGCAGTAGCAGTATTAATAGTTATATTTGCAGTAATAGCAAGAGCAATCAAAGCTGAAATCATAAAAATAAAAAATAAAGCTATAGACAAGGGCTATAGACAAGGAGCCGAATAAGGTAACAATACCAAGACGCGCACCTTTCCTTAACCGGATCTTTTCACGAACTGCAGGCCATCTTATTCTGGTCCCGACAGCACGGGTCTGGACCGGGACCTATGTATGTGTGTTATCGGAGGTATAGTACAGTACTTAAGGTGGATCAGGGTCAGGGTGAGGGTACGCAGAAGCAGGGTAAAAGAGACTAGAGTGAAACTAGAAGGAACATCGGGGGAAGAATTATTATTATTATGATTTTGCAGCTGGATTTTGGGGGCCCAACAAGGGCTTGCACAGATCGTCTTGGCGGATCCCTTAAACGGCGGCATCCCACGAGCTGAACTTGACCTAGTTAGTCCCCTGTACCTGATACGGTGTATGTCGGTCTCTACGACATTGTACTACATTCATTGATAGAGTATGCTGAGCAGTCAGCATGAGATTCGATAAAATCTATTCATATCTTTTTTTTTCCCTACACACACCCTTGCTAGTAGGCTAGAAACAATCCATGAATCGCAGATGCCCATCCTCGTTCTTGATACAATCCGCCAGATTCACCCGGTCCTCATGCCGCGCGCCATTCCCATCGCAGAGTTGCGCGTGCAGGATCGGTTCGTGGGTTGGGCCTTCGAACTGCAGGTTGACGTCTGACGCACTGGACGAGAAGTTCTCGGCGCTCCACGCGAATTTTCCTGTCAACGCGTCAAAAATAATATAGTAGAGAAACAAAAATAAAAATAAAAATAAAAATAAAAATAAAAAATAGAATAGAATGACTGCAATCTGCACACCCACCTCCCCATCTACTGCAACTGCTTCACGGGGAGGAGGCAGACAATTAGCTTATACTTACCCTTCTTAGCTCCCAGGAACTCATTCAGATCCAGTTCTGAGTAGATGGCTTCGCCGGTTGGTCGGCGACAGTATGCGCAGAGGACGTGCCCATTCCTGAGCTTGATGTCCATGGAGGACTTGTGGAAGCCCATTGTGGGGGTCTGTATAGACACGAGTCGGGGCTGTGTATACTAAAATAAAATATGTGAGGGGGGTTCTGTCCCCTGGATTTCCCCCCGTCAGAAATAAGGAAGGAAGAAAAAGGGGAGAAAAAAAAAGCCCAAAAAAAAAAGGAAAAAGCAAAAGGCTTGGCTCAAGGGTCAAGCAATATCACCCCGACGCCGGGGCCTGAAATCATGGAGATCTGAAGGGGAAAAAAAAGGGAAAGAAAGGAAAGGGAAACCAAGTTGGTAGATGTGATATTATACAATCGGAACTGCTTGCCTCACCGAACGACATCGTTACGCTTCACTGTGGGTGGTTGGATCTACATCATGGTGGTCTCATCATGACTATACTTATGTGTGTACCTAGGTATAAAGAACGCTCTGTCGCTTGGCGACTATTATTCTATTGGCGACAGTCATGATGACCTCATGGCTGATTCCTGGTCCTTTCTTTTTCTTCCTCTTTCTTGTCCAGCCTTGTGGGGGCAGTGCTTCTACAACTTGGGGGGGGGGGGGGGTAATCACATCTATCTAGACTTCGAATGATTGATCTCAAGATTAGGACAAAGATCGGGATGGCTTGGAAAAGAAAGTTGACGCTAGCGACTTTATTTCACTCCCTCAGGAGACTCTGAAACGCGTTTCAACCTTCACCGGGGGAGGGGGTTGGAGTGAGGGCTGTGCAGATGTAAGAGCCATGCAGACTCCTGAATCCTGGTCATTTCTGTATCTAGACCAGATCGTCTGGGTGATTTCCCGTTAGTGGGTATTATGACCTCTCAATATTCCTTTGACGCATCTCCTCCAGACCAGATCCTCAACGGCCCTGAGGCTCCATCTCTTCATAACCCACGGGGCCGGTTAGTGATAGTCTGTGCCGATCAAGTATATCATCGAAGCCCCCCCCACACGTCCAGAATGACCCTCTCTTGGCAGAATAACGTTGGGTAGCGCCATGGGCGTCCACGGGCAGTGCTTGGGCGACAACTTGGGATGATTCCCATTCCGATAGATCTTGACGTAGCGGTTCGCGGGGGTGGTGCTAATGTGTATTTTTGTTTCACTAGTATGGTCCAGATGATCTTGAGACAGCAATATTCCCCGGTTGTTTGTTCTTCGTCCCGCGGAAATTGTGGATCGATCGAAAGTTAAGGTTGCCCGATTGACATGGCCTTTTCCCAGTCTAACCTCGTTAGGCGTTATGTTACGAGAAGCGAGAAGCCACTTGGCATTTTTGGGTCTTTTCTTCTGTTCAAAGCCTCCACCCGTTGGCCCCCGAGCATGTCCGACCCACACCGGAAAAGGAAAGCGACGTACTCGACTCTGAAGCTTGGACCCTGTGCCCACAGTCAATATTGCTGTTCTGATTTTTATTATTGTTGTTTTCTCGTGCCACGTGTGACAAGGGAGATACCGGTTGCATACACTTTCTCACCGACTCAACCCTGGTGCATTCCCCAGAAAACGTGGTCTGTCCGTGGTGAAGATAGCGGTGTCGTTCAGACCTTCACCCCCTTCAGACAATTCAGACAGGTCGGATGGGTTCCGAAAACCCATTGAGGTTAGACTGCAGAGCTGTTCGTCTCCATCTCCTAACGGGGTAAAGTCTGAGATCCTCTTTTTTTTTTTTTTTTTTCTTTTTTCTTTTTTCTTGTGGGGATCCCCCCCCAACGAGTTCACCCCTGGATCCCTGCATGACTCTCCAGCTGATTTCATCTTCTCGACTGATTTCCTGCTCATTGTCCTGAGCTTGGGTCATGACGAGAAATACATATTCATGGATTCGAGCATAGCTTGCAGACAAAGAGACAGAATAAGAGAAGAAAGAAAAAAGAGAGAAAAAAAAAGGGTTCCAGGATGCCGGGCACGATGACGGGTGTCAAAAGTGGACTTGCCATCCACTGAACCCTCCCCCGAACAGGCCTTAAACCGCGAGCCGCATCTGACTCACCGTCCAGCGTGACTCCTTTTTACCCTAAACAGTATACGCTCTAGACATTAGGGCTCCACTCTAGAGACCCTGAGATCGAGCCTTGCGAGGCCAACGATCGATTCCGGGCTATTTTCTAGGGGGATTGCCAATCAACAGCGTTGGGTCTGCTTGGCGTCTCCATCACTTGGCCCCTGCATCCCTCATGGATTGCAAGGATGATCTGATCTTTGTGGTAAAAAAAAACAAAAAGAGAACAAAGACCAGAAAATAAGAAAAGAAAAACACCCTCAGCCACCCCCTTTTCTATTGCAGGTCTCCACTGGTACAATGACAGGGAATGTCTGGGAGTGGGAAGTATACTTCACCCTAAGGAATGGGATGGGTGCTATCCTGGGCGTATTTTATTTTTTATTTCTTATATTAGTCTTAGAGTAATATAGTAATATAGTAATAATAATAAAATAATAATAATAATATAATTATATTATTATTATTATTTTATTATTATTATTATATTGGAGGCTCAAAATCTCGATCGTCACTGGCAATGAACATGGAAATATTAAACTAAAATGCTCCTCCTGATTCTATCCAAGCCTCTCTCTTCTCTCCTTGAATTTCTCTCTACTTGTATCTCCCACGTGCGGCATTCCAGCATTCTCGGTTATTTTTGGACTGGATGACTTCAAGTCTTCGACCTTGTACCTTATATCTTTGAGCTTCCCCCCCCCCCCCCCCCCCCCCACCTCTGATCTGCCTCATTGACTTCAGGGCAGACGGGCCCTGCACTACTTGTGATCTTCAATCTTGACTATATTGTGTTTCTCTCTTGCTCTTCAGCTTCTCATTCACTCCTCACATATTATACAAAATGGCCGGTCCAGGTGGTGGCCCCCCGCGCAAGAGCCACACCAAGTCGCGCAACGGGTGCAGGACATGCAAGAGGAGGCACATTCGATGCGATGAAAGCTTTCCGCAGTGGTATGTTCCCAGCTCTTCTTTTCCACTAGTTCTTCCAGCGTAAGCTAATTTATACCCCACCCATCTAGCGGCAACTGCACCAGACACAACTGTCGCTGCGACTACCAGGACATGCCCGCCGCACAAACCAGTCCCCCCGATACACGCCGCGGTCCGGACCTGCTGTTGTCCCCCGACATCGAGATGGAGATCGAGAACTGGCACCACACCGGCGTGCCCCCATACCCGGAACTTCTCCAGTGCCCGCGTACCGGTTGGTCGGGCTTGTCGCGTGCCGACTTGCGCTTGATTCACCACATCATTGGGCTCTCTATTGACCTCCATCGGCGGGGTTTGAGTGGCACCACGGTGTGGGCGCAGAAGATGCCCAAGTAGGTCTCCAGCTTCCTGTTTTTAGTTGGCGTTGACTTTGTGTGACTAACATCGCTGTTAGCTTCCTTGCTATTGCGCTGTCCAACGATTTTGTGATGAGTGCCATCTTGGGTCTCTCGGCGTTTCATCTGGCCTTCCTCACGCGAGATAAGGAGACTGAGCAGTTGGCATATCATCACAAAGTCACAGCGCTGGGCGGCCTGCAGACTGCGCTTGGGTCCTTTTCCAAGGAAAACTGTAACGCCATTCTTGCCGCGTCTATCTTACTCTCTTGGCAGGCGACAGAACAGTGAGTGAACTTTTTTTTTTTTTTTGACATGCACCAGGAGGATTAACCCACTAATCTCTGCCATTCCAGACAAAGTTGGACGTCTCTGCAACAAGGGATCTCGAGCGTTCTCGAGTCCATGCATCCATTCTGGCAGCAGGAGTCTGAGCTCGCGCAACTCGTCGAGAGCCAACGTTCCCTAAGCATGATGGATCTCGCCATGGGCGCTGGATATCAGGCGCTGGACGAGGACATGCTGCACTTGGACCAGACGATCCAGGCGCTCCAACTAGCCCACAAGCGCGTGTCCCACAACCAAGAGCACACACAACGCCTGGGGGAACTTCTTGAGTTTCTCCAACAGTTCAGCGAGGACTTCCCCTCGCAAACAGCAGAGCAGTCCTTCGAGCGCATCCAGATCCTGCGCCGCTGGTTGTTCTGGCTGCCAGCGTCCATGCTGCGCGGCGGCGAAGGAGACCTCCCGGCCCTGGCAATCCTGGCCCAGTTCTTTGCCGTCGGCGTGGCCCTCGACTCTTTCTACCCGGACATGGGCGGCGCATATCTCGGCGCGTTATCTATCGGACCCATCGAACAGACGCACCGGATCCTGGCCGCGCACAGCGCAGCCGACCCCTTCAACGCCGAGCTGCGACTCGCCCTCGCCCTCATGGACCTGCCCCAGCGCATCGTCGCCCGCTACCGCAGTCGTCTGCCCTGGTCGCCGCGGCCCTCGATCGAGCACTACTCGCCGGGTCCGCCGAGTCCCTACCACACCCTCTCCGAATACCCATTCGCGTCATCGTCCTCTCCCGCATCTGCATCCCCCTCCTACGCTGCCTATACGCCACCGCTGCACTCCCCGCCCGCTGTGACCGTTGCCGGGTCCCCGTTCCACATCCCGGATGGCTATGTCGCCGCTGCCCCCTCGCACTCGCTTTACCCTTCCTCCCCACAGCTCCTCGATACCCATGACCCGCACTTGGGTCTATCTGATTTGAGTCCTGTTAGCTCCATCTCGCCCTCGTCTGCTTTTACGCCGCCTTATGGCGGAGATGTTATGTGTGGTGACTTGACGCGTGCCGATGGTACTCTGGGGCTTAATATGGACGTCTACCCGCACACGCAGACATTCGATGTGCCTGAGTTGGTTGCTCCAGAACCGGACTGGTAATGGACTGGGGCATGACCTGCATTATGCAGATATATATATAATCATACGGGGCTATGGAGTTATGTGATGGGATGGGGAAAACCTTGCGTTTGGTTAATGACTCGACTCTGCTTTTCTTCTTGGTTTTTGTCTTGATCATTTTCTTGATTCTTATTTTTTATTCCTTCTTCTTTCCCTCTATTATCTTTTATTGATATCTGTCGAGCATGAGCGTTGGTGCGACTGATTTCTTTTCCTCTTTTCTTCTTTGAAGTCCCACTGATGAGTGATATATACCCAATTTTTCTTTTGTGTTGGCATCTTGAGAGGAGATGTTCCAAAGCTACACTTCCAGCTACAACTGAAATAGAATATAGTGCAGATGGCCATGTGGTCTCTCGACTCTACTCATCACAACTATGTAAACTACCTTCTGTACACTATATAGTATGTATCTCCCAAATTTTACGGGTAAAACGCCGCCTGTATTGCCTTGGATTTCTCTAAAATTTCCCAGAGAATAGCCAATTAATCAGTAAACCCCAAAGGGTGTTGTTTAGTGTTTGTGTATAGGGCTGTGCAGGGACCCGTTGATTAACCCAGTCCAAGATCGACAGGTACAACCACCTTCCTAACAAAGTTCCTACCAAAGAGATGATGATACTATAAATAAATTCCCGGCATGTGGAAGCCATCCAACCGAGAATTAACCTACCAATATCCACAATCTTCATCGTCGAGAGAGTAAACCCTCAGCCCTGATTGGGGACTCTCCCCACACACAGCCCACAAATGCCGAGAGCTGCTCGTATTCGCCTCTGCACCGGCGTCATAGCTTTCCCACTTTTTCCTTACTTTTTCTTTTTCCCCTCTCTTCGGGCTATGCTCTTCTTCCTTCCCGGGATTCTCGCGTGGCAGCCCAGGGGTGGGCTGTGCATTGTGCAGACTCCACATTTAGGGAAAAGTAAATAATAAGATTGTTGTTGCTGATTTTAGCGAGGAGGGTTATATCAGACTATCTGCAGTGGCATATAGAGTTTAGTCACCGGGCTTTAGTTATTGGGGCTCAGGTTTAGGTTTGCCCTGCCTCTTTCTTTCTAGCGGGCTAACTCGCTACATCTTTTCCATCGAAATTTGTGTTCTCCATGTTTATATTTCCTTTTCTTTTCACCGTGTACTTGAAGTTATTTCTGGATCGTCTGTTCTATATATGGTGCTTGGTTCATGTGGATATCGTCATCTCTTATTACTGTGATACACATTTGTCTATATAAACCATTTATTGCGTGTCTTTCTGTTGTGGGATCGATTTTGGTGAAGCGATGGATGCAGAATATTCTTTATTGGCAGCCCTGAGTTCTTCAAAACACGTACGATATCCTCTAAGTGCAAGAGAGGCCAATCCGCTCTCCATTTAGGAAGATAAATTTACACATTTTACGTCATGTGTCGTGTCCTTCCAATAGCCGAAAGGTATACATGCCTAGGTAGGGCTAGTTGGGCTCACAGGACTATCGACAACCTATGCCAGCTCCTACATTGTCCACGAAATATTTCATGTCTACGAAACTTGCTGGGAATTTCACGGTATGATATGGGGAGAGTCCGTCCTCCCTCGTGCTATGTCTATGCGAAATGGCAAATCGTCCCTGAGGAAGCAGCAACTGCAATTACCGAATTCTACTCTATAATCGTCCAGTTAAACAAGCTGTTGTCCTGAAGACGTTCCATGGCTCCTCTCTCCAGGACAAATCTCAACTCAAATGGCTGCGACGCCACATCGACCCCCAAATCTCGCGCACGCAGAACCCAACAGACTCCCTTGACTTTCGTCTCAGGGATGTCGTATCTTTGGACCTTCCCCAGAGGTCCAAAGTCCAGATAAAAGTCCATCCAGCGCAAGCTTGACACGATGATGCTTTTCCCGTAAGCTGGAAAAAACGAGGAGAGGCTATTCCTATCGGAGATAGTGCGCAAGATGCCTCGCAGATAACTCTCTGAGAGTTGATCAATTTGCTTTCGCAGAGCGATGGCAATGCTACAGACCTGGCCTAGTTCGCTCTGGCTCAAGTTTGTCGGGATCCCTGGATGTGCTATCCCATGATTTTGCCAGAGGGGGTCATATGTGGTTTCGACCGCCGCGAGCGCATTGCCTATATAATTTGGAGCCAGCCCACATTGCTTTCGAACATTTGCAGCTATGATGACCCTTGGTGGTGAGGCAGCTTCAGGCACAATCTCTAGGCGGGCCTTGTTGCCGCAGAACCCTACTGAAGCTGTGATAATGTCGTTGGATGTACAGAGACTTAGCTTCCTAGGGGCGCCGAGAGGCTCAGAAGTAATCATCGTATTGCAGGCATCCTTGAGCAAGGCAATCTTCTGTGCACTGAGCTTAAAGTGCTGGCTGACGGGCTCCTGGCTAGGATCTGCTGGTGGGACTGGGTCGAGTGATAAAGGAACTGAAGTCCACTTGAATGGCAATGGCTCCTTGGCTTGGAAATCTCTGATATGCTTATGAGCAGTTTTCTCAGCTGCGTCACTGGTAGGGAGGCTGTCGGGTGCCGCATCAGGCGCTCTGCAGAACTCGGACAGAATCTTCAACACGACCGACACGCCCATGCTGTCCAACGCTCGATGGTTATACGCGACGCAAAGGATAATTTTGTGCCTCGTCACATTTGCTTGGAAGCGCACCAGAGGCATTGGCTCACCTGGAGTTGTCAAGAACGGGAGGGGCAGGTATTTCTGCTGTATAAAGTCGTCTTGCGCAATGTTTTCCATCTCAGGGCTGAACGCCACTTGGAGCATGGGATGCTTCCGAAGGGAGGCTGTGCTGGCTGGCTTGACTTCGAATAAATCTTTCTGCCTTGAAGGCTGACTTGATGGGACAACCTCTCCGGTCAGGAATGGAAAATATTCACTGAGCCGAGTGACGCCATAGCGCAGGGCCTCGATGCCTTCTATGGAGGCGTCTTTGAATGAGAGGAACAGGAAGATGTGGCAAGGGGGGAGGATGTGATCCAGAGAAGTGAGATTATACGCTGAGAAGGGATATAGTCCGTCCGGGACCGCATTGTCTTTCTCTGACGAGCTCACAATCGCTGGGGTGTTGATGATTTCTGATCCTGGTTGTGCCTGCTCATTGACTTCGTCGATGATATTCGAAAGAACCGCAGGATGCAATAACTGTAAACTGACTTTAGCAAGGAAAACTTCCGCTGTATAACGCTTGATTGGTCACGTACGGTCGAAGTATCGCCCAGCTCATGCCTTTCACCTTCGAGCATTTTTCTCAGTAGTCGACGCATAATTTTTCCTGATCGCGTCTTAGGGAGATCGCTCACGAGAAACACTTCTTGGGTACTGCAAAGCGACCAATAGTTTCCCCGATATGCTGTTTTGCTGATAGTCCGAGCTCCTTTTTGTCCACCTCGACCTGGTTCTTGAGGCAGACGAACACTTATGGCTTGGCCAGTCAGTTGGTCGTCGATGCCAACAACTGCAACTTCGGCAAATGCACCTGGATCCAGTGAGTTGGTGTTGAAGAAACATTCTAAAGGTCCCCTGGAAACTTACCATGATCCAAAAGAGTAGACTCAATTTCGGCCGTTGACAAGCGATGGCCCGAGACGTTGACAACATCGTCAACTCTCCCCAAAATACAGTAGCAACCGTCTCGGTCTCGGTAGGCGCTGTCACCAGTCGTCTTATAATCATGTCAGCGTGCACTTCTAAAGGTATACGATGAACACTTTCGCTCACAAAGTATCCACTGTGCCCCCCAAAATAAGTCTTCAAGTATCTGGCGTGGTCGCCCCACACTGTTCGCGCGATGCCCGGCCATGGCTGCTTGAACACTAGCAATCCTCGACTTTCGTCCCCCTCAATTTCTCTTCCAGAGTCAGGGTCAATCAGTGCAGGTTTGAAACCAAAGAAGGGCAGAGCCACAGTGCCAGGTTTGGTAGGAGTGACTCCCGCTAATGGTGAAAAGGCGTGGCATCCAGTTTCCGTCTGGAAATACGTCTGTGGCACAAAGGATCAGCTCCGATGTGGCTGCACATCAATCTTTGACTCACATCCAGAACATGCGCCTCTTTGCGCCCGAACACCTCGTAGCACCACTGCCACACATTCGATGCCAAAGGCTCACCTATCGATGCATTGACTCTCAGTCTCTCCAGCGGTATACTGCTTCCGTTGGGCCGCATCTTTCTGATCATCCGCAGAGCCGTAGGCGCTGCATAGAAGTGGGAAGCTTTGCATCGATCCAAAATCTGCCAGAATCGATCATAGCTTGGGTATGTCGGGGTTCCCTCAAACACCACAGTCGTGATTCCAAGCACCAAAGGCGTATACACGAGATAGCTATGACAGGTAATCCATCCAACGTCCCCGGCACAGAACATCTTCCTGACACGGCGCAACTGAGCAGGTACCCGCCAGTGGTATGCATGAGCCCTTTAGGCTTGCCTGTCGAGCCAGATGTGTAAAGCATGTACATTGGATCTTCTGTACCGATGAGCACTGGCTCACAATAACCCGGCCACTTGGCACATTCTTCATGCCACCAGAAGTCCTGACTTTTCTGAGACCAGGACACTGGACTTTGCGACCTTCATCGCCCGTGAGTGCGTCTTCAACAATATTTTTCATTTGAATGACTTTGCCGCCCCGGACGCTTTCGTCGACAGTGATGAGGACCTTTGAACGAGCATCATCCACTCGGTCTCGGAGTGACGGTGCCGAGAATCCAGCAAACACGACGGAGTGAACGGCGCCAATGCGAGCACAAGCTAGCATGCTGACGACTGCTTCGGGAATGTTGGGCAGATAGATGGTCACAATGTCTCCTTTTGTACACCCAGGCCTTTCAACACCCAAGACAACTTCGAGACATCTCGCAACAGTTGCCCATACGTGATTTTTTGAGGTGCACCTTCAGGGTCATCACGCTCATAAAGCATGGCCAACTTGTCCGGGCTCTCGAGCGCGTGTCGGTCCACGCAGTTATAGCAGGCGTTCAGTTTCCCACCAAGAAACCAGCCATGATCGCCGTGGTCGAAGCTCCCATGGTGGACTCGGTCAAAGGGAATGTCCCATTTCAGACACGACGTGGCCATTGATGACCAGAATTCGCTAGGGTTTTCGATAGACTTTTGGTAAAGATCGCGATACTCATTTTGGTCGCGCAAATGAGGCACTGAAGGGTGCTTTCTGTGAATCGCAGTCAGTTTGGCGGTCTGTAAAGCTTTTGTGTGTCTTGACGTACTGAAAATAGGTGCTGGGAACCGCGATCTGGGTAGATGAGGCATTGCCCTCTCTCCGTCTCATCCCAAAAATGGTCATTTTGGATTCGAAAGTTGATGAATTGGAGAAAGCCGCTATTGCCCCTTATGTTTTGTTTATAAGCGTATAATCTTCCTCGCATTGTTCTAGTTTACATATGCCTCACCACAACCCTGCTCCACTTGCGTGGGAAACACGGAATATTGTGACGCATTCAAATCCTGCATGCATTGAAGAAATCTCTCAGGGAGTCAACGCTGGCCACGTATAGGCATACATGCAAGCTATATCCTGCATATTGCATAATACCCCGTCAGGTAGTGATCGGCATTATATTCACCTGTCAGGCATGTGTGATAACCGAAGATCTGCAATTGTCTCATACGGAATTCCCTCTTTTGCTTCACGATTCTAGCACCTGTCACCTTGAACTTGGAGCCCTCGATTCATGGTTATTCTCATGGGTATTTCAAACCCTATATATTTTGGTACTTTTAGTTGAACAGAATCAACACTCTACTCATCCCGTCTTGGATATGACCTCTTTTGATTCCACTGTTCCGGCTAGTAAATTGCCCTTAATACAAGGCTTGTACAGACCCATTCTAGTTACAGACCATCCCCACCCGGAGATATGTGAAGATGTACGCAGCGTGACCTTGATGCTGAGTTGGCCGCTCGTGATCGAAAATGGTCTCGAGATCGAGGGACCCTCGTGTTTTCATTTAACATAGTCTGCATGACCACCCTGCATCCTGAGCATACACAGATACGTATGGTCTTCAGAGGTGTGCAGCTCTGCCAATCACCTGTTAAAACACGAATTGAAGCTTGGGTCGCATTGGATATGTAAGCACCAGCAATCTGAATAACGTAATCGGTAAGCGAGTGGCTCACGCAAGCGAGTGGATCACCCTACCAAGTATATAGAATTCAAATCGATTTATATTCGCCACAACGCCTTTATATACAAAAAAAATCTAATTACATCGTTTTGGACACTGTAATCTTCGATGTCCTAATTCGTGGCAGTCGCTGTAACGCGGCGGCGCTCGCTGAATTAGCTGCGAAGCTGCTTGATGAAGGTCTGCCGAAGCTGCTGATTAGGGTTCAGAGGCTTGGTGCGCTGTCGATATTAGCTCACGAGCCTCTTGGACTGATAGGCCTTGATCTCGAGGTATCTATCGATTAGATCTAGCTCGCTTTTGCTTCTGCTTCTTATTCGCTGCGCGTAAATCCTTATTTTCATACGCGAGGATCGTTGCGCTATACATCGCTAGCTGGCAGCCTTTAATAAGCTGATCTAGCGCCGCGTTAGTTGGACTTGGTGGGCTATAGGAGCGATGTTTCAATAGAGCTTTGATTGATAAAGCCTATCGATATAGCTGTTTTGGATTTTGGGGCGTTTTTAGCGAGAATTGACTGTTTTAGCTGCCCTGACTACTCCTAGGAGGTATAGACGTACGAAGCTGAATATCAAGCTTTTCGATAACCCGATTTAGATTATAAGGGACTAATCCAGCAGCTACGAAGCTATTTTGAATAGTTATAGTATTATCAAAGGCTTACGAGCGAGCAGTTGGGTAAGTAGCGAGAAAATCGAATTTGTCGATATAATTGATACCACATCGTATTTGCCTCTCAACTAAGCTGCCGTATACCTTTTTTAAAGGCGCAAAACAGCTAATATCAAGAGGCTGTAGAATATACGATAAATACGCCAATATACAAATTGGTATAATATTCGTATCGCTATATACTTTATCGAATTAAGGTATCAAATAGCTGCTATAGCTATCAAGAATCAGAAGCCGATATTTACCCTTCGTACGACTAGTAGTAGCTGGTATAAAGACTTTTTTAAGCCAGCGAAGGCTAATTTTATTAGTCATCTAGCCATTTTGGCTTACTTCGAAATACTAATCGGAAGGTAAATCGTCGAACCAGCCTTTAATATAGACCTTACCTTTGAAGATAATATATAGTAGCAGCGCCTATCTAGATACGTTTATCGACTCAATTACTATAACCTATTCGCGATTCCCAGGTTATAATAATAATCGCCGACCGTAGTATTCAGACCGAGTAATTACTTTAGCTATTAAGGTAAGGCCTATTACGAAACTAGTCTTATCGAAGTTATATATATCGTCGTATAGTATACCGTTCTCATCAATTATCTTTCGAACGCAGTTGAACCACTCATAAATGATTTTTGGGTCTTCATTTTTAGCGCGCTAATAATTATATCGACAAGAGAAACGAGTCTTGATTTCATTATATCGATTAATGAAATTATAGACCTATTTTTCGCCGATAGACTAAATAGGGGTAGATCCACGCTTAGCCAATAGAATATTAGCTATTTCTTGTATAGCTACTGGCCGAAGAGCTACTCTACGTCGATCTATAGAGAGAATCTATCGAAGAATCGATTCTTCTTCGATTTGGGTCAATTTCTGGCAATTGGCGCGTGTATCGCGTCGATTTGGTTGACCTGCGGCGCGGCGACGGAGAGTTAAAAATGGCACATCGAATCGGCGTGCTGCTTCACGAATTAAAGAGATTTCTTGCTTCTGAATAGCTTCGATAGCTAGTAAGACCCTACCCTCTTGCTCGATAGAGTTTCTAGTATTTTGAGAGCGAATTGGTGGCATAGTGGCTGATTGAAATTATGAGGTTCGCGAAGATGGCGCGATTTTTGAGTGGTGATCCACTCGCTTGCGTGAGCCACTCGCTTACCGATTACGTTAGCTGCACGGAAAAGTGGGGGGTGTGACTTGGAACAACATCTCAGCAGCAGGAAGTCGACTAAAGCATGTTCCCATTTCGGTCATTGTGCAGCAGCGAAGTCCTCCCCATCGTAAAAGGTGACCTATTGCTGAAAATAGCTTCCAACAATTCATGGTTGTCCGCTTCTTTCAAACAATTGGAAGAGAGTGCCCCATTGGGATCTAAGCGCCCACGTCCAGAAAGATGGCCGACAGAGACGAGTTCTATGTAGCTTTGCCCTCCATATTAACCGACCTGGAGCAAGGTCTTACTCGGAAAAGAGCGCCCAAAGCCCTCATAAATCGCTTTTTGACCGTAAGTCTCCACTCCATACAAGTCCATTAGAAACTATCTGACGACTTAGTGTCTGCAAACCAACGTCAAAGGAGGGAAACTAAACCGCGGTATTATTGTCCTCGAGACAGGCCATGGCCTACTACCTCGTCCCTTGACGGCGATCGAAACTCGACATCTCATTATTCTCGGTTGGCTCACCGAGTTCTTTCAGGCCGTACCGCCAGGACGGTGTCGGGCTCAGTGCTATCAACGACGCGTGTCTGATCAAGTCTTCCATCCAGGTGCTCCTGCGGCAGCACTTTGGCGATCATCCGGGCTACACTCAGCTGATGGAGCTATTTCACGAGGCTTCGTTCCGAACGGAGCTGGGCCAGCTCACTGAAATGGCGACTGGCAATAAATGCAATCTTGCTGAAATGACAATGGAGCGTTATGTGTTCTTAGCAGAGAGCAAAACGGCCTTCTATAGCTTCTACCTCCCCGTCGCGCTGGGCCTGCAGTATCTCCAGCGCGCAACCGAGCAAACTCTCGCAACTGCGCAAGAGGTCCTGTTCCGTATCGGATGGTATTTCCAGGTTCAGGATGACTACCTTGATGTGTTTGGAGACCCAACCCTTACGGGCAAGATTGGGACAGATATCAGAGAGAACAAGTGCACGTGGATCGCGCTGACGGCCTTTCAGCTCTGCAGCTCCGAACAGAAGGCTGTGCTTAGTCTCTGCTACGGAAGGCCGGACATGGGGAAAGAGGCCAGAGTGAAAGAGATTTTGTGCCAGGTGGATATCGAGGGCGTGTTCAGGAACTTTGAGACAACCGAGTTGGACAATCTTGAGAAGCGAATCGACCACATTGGAGAAGAGCATGGGCCTCTCAAGAATATTTTCAGATCAGTCCTGGAGAAGATTTCGCGGCGAGATAAGTGAGACATGAAATAGAAGTATACTGGGCGAAACAACATCTCTGCTATATAAACTACAAAGATGTTACTTCCAGTACATACGACCACAGGGTGTGGAGAACAGGGCTTCCCGTCCGCTCAGCCGTACTTAAACCACACGCCGGCCAGTTAGTAGTTGGGTGGGTGACCACCAGCGAATCCTGGCTGTTGTATGTTCTTTTTTTCCTTCTTCTTTGTTTTCCATCTGTCTTTTTGTTTAACCTTGTCGCTTTATTTAACTTTCATCCAGCCGCCTTACCCCGCTTGATCCGGTAGTGATCTTCATCGTCAAGAGTACCATCGTTTAGAGTTGCATCACCTTCTAGGCTATTAGTTTAGCTCTCAAACCATACACTATTGCCAAGACAATTCGTCGCCGGGCTTCGGGTATTTTGCAGAGTTGGTACATAATATCTCGTACATGATTTTCAACAGCAAGTCTTTTATATATCTCAAGGTCCCGCTTACTACTCAGCGGACGCTCTAACAAATCGGCGATGCCTTCAAGCGCGCTACTATCGAAAATAATCTAGGAGAATAGTCACTTGCTACTTGGAGATAGCTGCAAACCGAATTGTATATATCTTGCTGTGCACTGTATAATCTGTCTATGGAAAAAGGCGAGCGGGGCAGTATTTCTCTTGAGGGGCAGGGATCTTCCCTATTGTAGAACGAGACGGAGTTCTCACGTGCAAAAGGCGGGAGAGCAAGTTATGGCAGGTTCGAAGGTATTCTAGCAAAGAAGTCTTTCGAGTGAACTGCCTGTTTCGTTCTTCGGCTTGTCGTCGTTCCTCCTCAGCCTGCCTCCGCAGCTTAGTTTCTCGAAAAGTTTTTTGTAATTGGGTGAGCCGCTTGGGTTCATGGAGCTTTTCATACAAGTATTGCGGTGGTGTTGTGTTCGGCTCGATACCGTTGAAGTCGCGAAGGGTTCTTGGTAACGAGCTGGTCCAGTTCATCCATGAGTACAAACACAGGAGAAGTTGGGGCCGACTTCGGGATCGGACAAACCGACGGACCGGGCTCTAATTCCTGTCTGAATAACTCGGTCCGACACCGAGTCCACTTCTGGCCGAAAGCGATGTGAAGTCATGTGATAATATTACATAATATATGTGTCTAGTTATAAACATGATGTGTCCCTTGACACGGGAATTGATCCGGACACATCAACTTTTCGGCTATTGGCACATTATTTTCTGATATAAGCAAAATCGCTGATATAATCGATTTTCATCCAACTTCTATCACTATAGCAACCATATACTGCATATATGCTAAATATTCGACTACTTCTCTTCTTCTCTTCTACCACTACCCTGTTAGTTCTTCGCTTTCTGCCTACACTGTCTGCTTCGTCTACTATACCATGCATACCATGCAAACCAACCTCGCCATGCCTATCCCTAACACGTCTGCTGCTGCCGTCGAGTTGTATACTGATTTATATACTGATTTGCCTGCTGATTCGCCTGCTAGACCCCCCGCTTTGCCTACTGCTGCTACTGCCGATTTGCCTGCTGATTCGCCTGCTAGACCCCCCGCTTTGCCTACTGCTGCTACTGCCGATTTATATGCCGATTTGCCTGCTGATTCGCCTGTTAGACCCCCCGCTTTGCCTACTGCTGCTACTGCCGATTTATATGCCGATTTGCCTGCTGATTCGCCTGCTGCCCCCGGTCTGCTGCCCCCACCACAACGAACCTTCCCTAATCGGGATGGATTGGTCGAATTCGTGCGCCAATAGGGTATAGCGCAGGGGTATGCTGCTACTATCAAAAGCTTATCAGCTAATAGGCAGATCTATATACACTGCGATAGATCTAGGGTATATTCGGACCGAATCCAGGCACCTGCTGGCGCTAAACGGCGCAGAACGAGTACTCGGCGGCAAAATTGTCTATTTTTAGTATATGGGAGTCGCTAGAGGAGTTCTGATTGGCTGCTTCGGGTAAAGAACCCCGCGTATAATTATACAGCTGATACTAATATGATAGCACACCTAATCGCACGTTAATTTACCCTACCGCAGAATACCTTAATTCAATATCTATCTGCTACTAATATCAGACCTCGGCATATTATTGGTGCGCTACGCAGTGAGGCCCCAGCCTGCCAGCCAATTATATCGCGCGATGTCTATAATATACGAGCACGAATTCGACGAAATAAGGTAGGGGAGCAGAGTGTTCTTGAATATCTTCAAAAATTACTTAAAAAGGAAGGTTATAAGTATTCATTCAATTAAGATAATGTAGGCTATATCAGATTTTTTATTTTCTCTTATCCTCGCGCAATTCAATTGGCTAATAAATTTTATAGGGTTTTTATCATGGATTGCATATATAAAATAAATCAGTTTGGTATGCCTCTATTTCATATAGTAGGTATGACGCCGTCGAACCATACATTTACTGTAGCTCTATGTTTTATGCCAGATAAGGTTGAAATAAGCTATATATGGGTGCTTCGAACTGTTTTTGATTGGTTAAGTCTCCCTCCCAATTTTCGTCCAATTTTTGTAACTGATCGCGAATTAGCTTTGATGAATGCTATATATAGTATCTGGGGATATGATACCCCGTATTTACTATGTATTTGGCATATCAACAAAGCAGTTTTAGCGAGGGCAAAACGAGATATCAGCCAATCAGACAAAGATGATCTTTTTATGAAGCCTTAATTTGCTGAATTTATGCGCGTATGGAACCAATTGGTCCAATTATCTACTGAGGATGAATATAAGCTTAATTTGAATAAGCTTAATCAGACCTACGGGAAGTCTCATCCACTAATAATGCGCTATCTTGAAGACATATGGCTGATCTATAAGCAGAGATTCGTCTATGTATAGACCAAAAATTATACCCATTTTGGTAATAATGCATCATCACGTGTGGAAGGTAGCTATTCAGCCTTAAAAAGATATATAAGTGGCTCTACTAGTGATTTATTTACTGTATGGAAGTCTATTCATGATTCTATTAGCTGCCAGTATGATGAGGTTGATCGCCAGATTAATCTTGATCAGATAACCTAGCTTACTTTGCTTGTATCTGATTGGCTATATGTCTATATAAATAAGCGAATATCGAGATATTCGCTTAATTGTATTGATATGCAGCGATTTTATACTAGTCAAGCTACCCCCCACGCCCCGCTTAGTATATGCACTAATTACTGGACGAGTACTATGGGGCTGCTATGCAAGCATCGAATTGCTGATTTGATCGCAAAAAATGAAGCAATCCCATTGGCTGATATTCATCCTTTCTGGCGAATTGGGTTTAAAGATTCAGCTGATATTGCCTGGCGGCCCCTGCTGAATCCCCGAATTCAGCCTGCTGCTCTCCCAAAAAGGCAATCTACGCAGGTATCAGATAGTAACAAGGGGGCTGGGCCAATCAAAAAAAGAAGGCCCTACCGAAGTGTTCGAATTGCGGCGAAATTGGGCATACATGTCGAAGTTGCCCTGTTGCCAAATAGGGTAATCTGTTTTGGGCGGTTGGGATAAGAGAGTCATGTGATTAGTAAAATTTGATTACATAAGTCAAAAAGTTGATTATGTCAGAAAATGATGTGCCAATAGCCGAAAAGTTGATGTGTCCGGATCAATTCCCCTTGACACTAGGCTCGATGATGTAAGCTCTCTAAATAACGTTTCCTTTTTCTCTTCCCTATCCTTCTCCAAAACACCTCATTGCTTGATCTTCGGTACAGAGGGATAGCATCCGCACAATGCGCAATATACCTCGCCCATCCCCGATGGCCCGCAAATTCCTTAGCGCCATTGCCTCTAATATGACCGACGAAGAAATAAAGGCGCACTCGACCATATCTGGCACCTGTTGTGAAGATGGCTGGCCTCAAGACCCTATCCGAGACGAACAATGCTTTTTCTACGGGTCATTGATGGATCCACAGAGACTCTCTCAAGTCTTGAAATCATCTAAGTCACCCCCTATTATGCGTCGCGCTAGAGTTAGAGGCTATCGGATCAAGCTTTGGGGCCCCTACCCTGCTTTTATTGAGGGCCAGACATTCCATTTTGTCGATGGCATGGTATGCGAGCCTTTGTCGCCGACGCAACTTGATCGACTCGCCGCTTACGAGACGGACAAATATCGGCGTCTATCTTGCTTGATTGAAGTGCTTAATGACGACGATAGCATCAAAGAAACTATCGAGGGTATTACTTTTGCGTGGAATGGACGGCAGGATGAATTACAAGAGGGCACATTTGACTTGACGCAATGGAAAAAGGAAAAACAGTTGCAAGATTTGGATTAATAATTGGAGGTGATCTAGACCTCCAAGGGATTATTGCTATAAAAATTGAACTTTTGCTCGGAAACCCGGTATCCACTACATACTGTCAAGCTTCCTCATTACTTGACTCTTTGTTCCCTCTTTACTCTCCTTTGATCTGAGCTCCTCTTCCTCTGCCATGGTCAATTCTCGCATAGGGCTGGGTGCGATATATCCGGACTTTCCCCAGAAAAGTGACTCCAGGATCCCACGATTGAAGCCGGCTAACTGGAAATTTGTCAGAAATCTTCGTAGCCCCTTAACATCTCGAGAAAACGGACCGATGGTCCGATCAGACGCGACGATCTTGCAAGAATTGATGAATGAGGCGATGAACTCCACCCACGGTAAGCACGCCGTCTCATCTGTTGCCCCTGGTGCTTGGCGGAATTCGATCGTGGACTTGCCACCGTAATAAAGATTGGTGAAATTCCACGCAAAGTACCGTTTGCCGTTATCATTCATCAAGTCCGCGATTTCGACATGATTCTTGCACAGCTCCACAAGGCGCAAACGTTCACGCTCATTCTTCCCTCTGAAGTTGGAGTTATCACATGTATTGCTGGCGGCGTACGGATTACCTCGTCTATGATGTGGGACGATAGCGTTGATAGCACCCTCGAAGTACAGTATGCAGCGGCAAATCATCTTCAGAGTACAAATATTCCAGGGACTGCCACGGGGAGGAGATATGTGTACGTGAACGGCGCAAGATTGATTGGTCTGCACTTTGCAGATCAGGTTGAGTGCTTTGAACATATGCCGGACGTCATCGCGCCAATAGCTCCTGTCTTGATGGTGTAAAATTGGGGCGAGAGCTCTATCGGCCCTGGAATTCGTTAGTATGGTTTCCACGGCATATACGGGCATTTAAGCATACATTGTTCACTGTGGTCCGGTTTGATAGTGGTGTCATCCGTGAGAGACCACTCTTCGCAATCATCTGCACCTTCGTACATGCCGTCAACGTCATTGTGTACGCGAGGTCGAGGGAGGCGGGCAGCGTGGAAATGAGCCACGAGATACTGGGCGAAACGCTCAAGGTCTCGAAATTCCTGCTTTTTCTTTGTGCGGTGCTCCAAGAGGATCTCTATCTCGAGACCGATTCGAAATCCAAGGTCCATTGTTGCGCAATGATGGGTGCGTAGTAGGATGCGTAGTGATGGATCTGATCTCGAGTGAGGAAAAAGTAAGGACAGGGTTGGGAATGTTGAGACCTTATTAAAAAAGGCCTCGAAGGAGCAGGTGTGTCGAAGGCACAGAGAAAAGAAGAGAGCGGAGAGAGAAAGAAGGGGGGGAGGAAGAACATGAACATGAGAGCGTGATGGTGACGGGGATGAGAATAGCAGCAGGAAGTGGAATGGAACAAACAACAATAGGAAAACAAGTCAATTCCTCCCTTCAACAAATTACTCCTTTCTTCCTTATGATCTAGTTACATCAAGCCGACTTAATTGTCTTTCATTCAAATGCTGTCTTGATTAAGCATATGTTTTTCAATTGGAGATATTAAGCTCTCAATGATGAGGGTAAGACATTAATTCCGCCAACATCACCCCCAAGATATATCCTCCCATCATTCTCTCACCCACCCACCCTCAATTCTCGTCTTTCTCAAAACCAGCGCAGCCAAATCCCTCACCCCGCCACTGGTCAGAAGCTCCAAAACTTGCAAATGAGCCAATAACTCCTTGCTAATCCAATTCCTCAACTCGATAGCGTTAGCGAGTCTAACCTAGCTGCGGTAATCGATATTGAAGCCGGCTGAGCCTCCAATTCTTCTGGCGCTATTATGAGAATAGCTCCAAGCTTCTCCTGAACACTCACGGCAACAAGCCTTACTGCCTCTTCTAGCGAGCTTGTGTTACGCACTGCTAACCAGTCACGGTGAGTAGGGTCCTCAAAGGGCGATACTTCTCTTGGAATACTGCGAGCCTCAAGCGTAATCCGCAACCATACCAACGCTGCGCAGGGCCTTAGATGGACTCAGGTCTATAGGTGCTTGCAAGGTGTGACAGTTAGGTAGCGTCGATCAAGTCAGTCACTTAGAGATCAGAGATCACTAAGTAAGCTCCCATGATCGTTGAGGTATTTGGCTTTTATAGTCGAAACTGTGAATAGTACTCAAGTAACAATGATTGGAAGATTGATCACGAAGAACTAAATACATACGTAAAGGCGTGTCCTTATATATCCAGTCCTTCGTTCCTTTGGTGTATTCCATGGTCCTACTTCTGGTATACTCGCTGTAGACCAAAAGTAGTTCCGTTTGTATTCCATTAGTAGACCATTCCTTGGAGCTGCATCATGGTATATCTTTGCCAATCTGCTAGAGGCGTTATGCACAAGTGGGTACCTAGAGTGCAACTATGTACCGCATTTCCTTTGATCAGGCGATTCTGCCGATCATGTGCTCTGATCTTTCGCTCAGGATCAGTGATCATGGATCCATTGTCTCTCGGTGGCCCATCGGTGAGTTGGTAGTTGTAGGGGTCGTAACATCTTATCCCCTAATTCGACCAAATCTGTGTCTAATACAATATTATACCACTATATATGCCAGCATATTTATCTTATCTATTATAACCATTAGATATAGGATATTTTAGTGTTTTGAAGCATAAATATAGCAAATTGATAGAGGGGTATATATATACTAGGGTCAACTATATTGCTAAGCTAGATTTCTTGGCTAAATTCCCTACTATGTATACTGCTTGCTATAAATTAGAGACTATCAAAAATAGCTTTGCAACTACCGGTCTTATATCTTTTGATCCGAATGGGGTCATCAAGACCATCAATATTTAGCTCAAAACACCGACCCCCACCTCTTCTAGTAGCGGCAGTAATTTTTCGATGAAAACGCCCTATAGCCCTAAGCAACTAGATAAACAAGTATCCTTAGTAAAAGCACTGCATCGGCAACGCTCAGCTAGCCCTACTAGCCCTATCCAGCGAGCACTGGGCCAGATTATCAAGGGTTACGAGATAGCGATATATAACGTCACATTTCCAGCACACAAAAAGGAGCTATTGCGCAGTGCCAATGCAAAGCAGACGATCAAACGTGCTAAATCTGCGCCGCAGCTGTCGCATAGAGATAGGTATATCGCTAGGGAGACGAATGAGCCAATAGTTACTAAGAAAATTGCAAAAAAAGCAGCAGAACCAGCGCCAGCGGAGCCCTTAGAAACCATAGAATCGCTACCCCATAGGCCCCCCCCCCCGCGCGCTGCACTGAGTGCTTTGAAGTGAGACATCGGAGAAATCAGTGTAAAAAAACACACTGAATAGCTTTTTTTGTATATAAATGGTGTCTTCGGCCGAATAAAATATCTTTGAATTCAATGGGTTTGATGGGGTGGACGGCTCGCTTACGGGTTACGTTAGTTAACTATCAACAAAGAATCTCCTTACACTAGAACTGAATATAAAGAGAAATAGATCTATAATTTGACAAATAAAAGCGTTGTTTCTAAATCAGCATCACATGCAAAGGTGAATTCTAATAGGTAGAGCAAATAATAAGATAAAGGGGATGATGATCTTAGGGATTTAACAATTTAAACTAGCGATCATCAACTCAGGACCAGTCCTGGGGTCATAGCGCAACCTCTCAATCCCAGGACTTATATGCCGAAGGGGAAAGGAAAATTTACTGATTAAAACACTTAAGTGCCTGGCTGTACCTAGCTTCTGTCTGTAGGGGAACGGCTAGTGTAATTTGAGAGTTATCATGATCAATGAAGTTTATAATAATAGAGGAAAATTTAGCTTGGAATCAGATGTTTGCTTCATTGCATGATTGCCTTTAGGGGAAGCAGAAAGTGTGAGAGGACATGGGTTTTGGACTACGTCGGCCAACCTACTACGTAGGCTCGCTAAACCTTCTTCCTATGAAATGTGCGACGGGGCGTTTTGACAGAAATTTTGCGCCTCTAGGTACGAAGTATTTAGGTGGGTGAACTGTTGCCTGAATCCATCTGAAGGTGGGCTGAATAGGGCGGCGAGTCGCCTACGCCTGAACCGGCGGCGCTAGGTGACCCCCATCTTACCCTCACTGTTGTATGTTTTTTGTTTTCTACTTTATTTTGGCTTGTTCGTTCGACGTAATGCCCTTGCCGCCGGGTATTGATAGGGACACTACATGTTTTTCGCTATTGGCACTACAAATCTGACATAATCGGGTATTGATAGGGGCACTGCAGGTTTTCTGCTATTGGCACTGCAAAATCTGACATAATCCCTCTAGCTTATATAATTTAATCTTTCATCTATATTTTTAAGTATAATATAAAGATAATTTACTACTATCAAAATTATATAGTAGCTAATATTAAGAGAGGATTACAATCCAAGTCCTCGAGCTTAGCGGGGAATCTGGGGATTATCCGCAAACTTTTGAACAGGTGGAGTATACATTTTGGTCGCTAGTCACCCATAGCCCGAGCCCTGCGCGGCTCCCGGTTCATTCCTTCGGGGGCCATTCAAGTGCTGATAGTCCGGTGATCTCCTAATCTTTGCCCTCGAGAGGAAGCCCGGAAGTACACCAACAGTTCGGGAACGGGGCGCCATCTTGGCACATGTTGGTGCATTGTTAAAAAACGGCGTGGGGGCCATGGGCTGAATGGGAGTTTGTCGAATATTTGTCTATTTACTGTCTCCCTTTGAACAACAGCATGTCTCCAGGGAGAATTCCTTTCCTTTGAGTTCCAACTCTTCTGGGCGCTTTTCTTTCGCCCACCGGTCCCGCCGTGAGTGTGGTTATGTCTCTTCGCTGGTTGCTCGCGGTCACCTTGACTCTTTTCGCCCTTGTCCATGCCCTCCCACCTGATAAGCGTGACACCAATCCTGAACTGCAGCCCCCCCAGGAAGACGCCCCTATATTTCTGGGACTTATCTCGCGCCTAAAATCGAAAACGGCGAAATTTCGCCCTCCCTGGAAATATGACTACGACCCGTCCGCCGGCGAAGGATCTATTATTTGGCTTATAGATTCGGGCTTTGACACAAACACGCCCGAGTACAAATCATGGAGCCCTGAGCCGAGATGGATTATAGTCAAGAAATATCTCCCAGACGATACCTTAAACAAAGACGACCCGGATGGCCATGGGACTTGCAGTGGATCACTGATTTCGAGTCCAAAATATGGTGTGTCGAAGAAGGCGTCGCTTGTCATTGTGAAAGCTCCTATCGTATCCGCGCCTGAAATCACCCGTCATCATGTCAGCCATCTCAAGGCGACACTTTGGGCTGTTGTTGACGATCTGAAATCGGTTCTCAGATATAGACCGGATCTTAAGGGGAAGCTATTCGTCAACTTTTCGGCTGGTATGAGTACAGAGGAGGCGGAAAACGTAAGCAAGCGGGATATGTCGTCGATCAAAAAAGCGTTTGAAGAGATCGATAGCATGGCTATGATATATACCACGACAGGAAACCGAAACCCAAAGCAAAGGCGCCGTGATAAGCGGGAAGGCACTCACAGCCCCTTTTCGTCAGAGACAATGTATCTGGAAAGATGGCGAGATGACCTCCCGCACACAACATTCGTTGCTTCGGCCGATATCAACGGCCGCAGAAGTGCAGTATCAATCCCACCTTCACCGGGAACTCGACATCTATGGGCAGTTGCTCAAGATATTAAGTGCGCTCCCCTTTCTGGCCAAAAATCCTCAGATCATACATCGGGAACATCTCTTGCTGCACCTCAAGCCGTCGGATTGGCGGCCTATGCTGTGGGTTTACCACACAAGCCCTTTTCTCTTCCGGATCCCCAGGAGAATTTTGATGGATACGTGGCAGAGCTTCAAGATGTATTGGAATCGAGTTCTTGGAAGTTGCCGCCGTCGATGTGGATGAATAAAAATCAACCGGAGGTGCCCGTAATTTCGAATCGATTTTGTGAGGGTGTGGACGGCGAAAGTTCTGGGAAATGTGGGTGTTAATGATGTAATAACGAAGATATAGAACTATGAATTGTTTAATTACAACACCTTCTGGCCTCCTCACATCTTCCTGGCTTCTTGTATTATTGAAAAGTCCCCGACTTAGGGAAATGGAGAGGGAGGATGATTAGGAGTAGCGATGTTCGTGGAGACGGCCAGTGTACCTATACGCAAATGTCGAATCCTCACTTTCTAATTAGACAGGGGGCAGATATTTAGACTTAGAATTAGACGAAGATCATATCATATTTACAACGGGTGCCAAAAGTCTGCCGACACCACCCCAATTTAGTAAACTTCACATTCCAAACCCTATTTTCTTTTCTCTCTACCATAACGAATATACGATATTTTGGCACAGAAATTAGTGGAAATCGCAGGCTAAATACTAAATTATCAGAATCTACTCGCGCTGCTATTATTTTTGCTCTCGAAAGTAGTATAAGTTCCACTAAAATCGCTCGCGATTTACTCCACTCGCGATCGCTTTCAGCAACACTACATACACTCTTAAATCTAACCCCCGAAGTGGTAGACCCCTAAAATTAAACGAGTAGACTATTCGATATATATATTAAATAGCTCGTCGGAACCCTCGAATAAGCTATAGAGCCCTCAGAGCGAATACCTCTTGTTTACTCTCTCGAACAACAATTCGACGTATTTTAAAGATATACGGGCTTTAGAAATAGAAGAGAAGAGAATGCTACTCTTAACCCTAGTTATACAAAAAGAACGCGTTTTTTGTCTCGAATAGACACAATTTTTAGATTAGGAGAATATTATCTTTTCTAGCAAATATTCAGTCTAAAAAATATCAAATTCTAAGATCTAATTTATCTTCCGATTTACTTTCGAAGTATACTAAGCGATCTTGTGAACCTTAAAAATTAAAGTAAGAAATATTTCGTAGATAATTTAGGCTAGAATCTAGATTATTGGCTAAACAAAAACAATAATTATAAATCGTGATAAAAATATACCTACCTCAGTAAGATTAAACTACGAACTCCTATCTCGATACTCTAATAAGATAATATAAGGATTTATATAGTAGAAATCTCGTAAAAGTAGTTCGAAAATTATAGGATTTAGGTGGTCGACTGGCCCCCGTATTTGCTTAACCTTAAGCCTATCGAACTAGTATAGCGACTTCTGAAGATCAAAATTCTTCAATTATATCCTTAGCTAGGCACTAGAAGGTCTAAATTAAATTAGGAGGTCTTTAAAAAAGCCATATACAAAGTATAGGAACTGCTTAATCAAAACGTTAATGATAGCTTAATTCGATCTGTGCCTCGCAGAATAGCTACTATACGCGCAGCGAAGGGTTAGTATACTAGATATTAATCTATTTTCTTTGTATATTTAGTATAAATTTATATTAATCAATATCAGGGGAGTTATTCAAAATTTAATATAGTGGGGTAAATCGAAATTATAGATTGTCGGCAGACTTTTGGTCGCGTAGTGTATATTCAATCTATGAATATAAACCTTTCAAAAGTAATGATGGAGAACACAGAACCAGCAGACCCAGACTTCCACAGAGCTCACAGTTGGCCTATTGAAGTGGTGTAGAAGAGGCTTTTTCATCAGCCTTGCGCCCGTGATCGAAATATATATGTATATATATATATATTCACAAATCAGGTCTAAAAATAGCGGTGGGTCTGGCTTTAGACTCAACGGGCGTTATGGAAGTCTAACTAGAACCTAGTAGCCTTGTGGGGGGCCAGCCCCGAAATTCGGGTTACGACACTTTGATCAGAGTTTGAATGTTCGTTATTTTTTTTCTCTGCGCCCTGCTGGCCTGTCAGTTAATCACTCATTCCGTGTTTCTTGCGGCCGTCATGCTTCGAATGAACCGTTTCATATTGCCTCTTATTTGCCTTCCCTCGCTGGTATTTGGGTTTCCCAATTCTCCCGAATACATCCCTAATAGCGACTCGTGTTCGGCTATCAAGATCGATTTGGAGTGTGCATGGAAAGGCCTTCCCGAGCTGGCCAACTTGGCGGCCGAGAGTTTGATCAGCTGGGCCAGCTCGTCTGGATGCGATGACACTGAACTCGTGGACGATGCTATGAAACGCATTTTCAACGTCGATCGATCGATCATGAGTAAGGGCGAGGTAAAAGAAATATATGGGACAATAGGAGGTACGTACTATTTACACCTGAGAGAGCATTCATCGCCACTACTTACACATTCTCTTCCCATATAGCGTTTATGCTCGGGATCAATAGATTGCCCCAGGCCCAGGCACCTCTTTTAGCTTGCGACTGGAAATGGCTCCAGAACAAGCATGACGAAAAGACCAGTGACCAAGTATCAAAAGAGATGGGGCTTGATCGTGACAAGGAGATTGCTCTTTGGGATGATATCGAAAAGGCCTGGGTGTCGCTTCCAGCCCATTTTAACCAAAGTAAAAGCGACGTCCTAGCGTCTACTTACCATGGCGAACGAGATATCATAGTCGTTAGTGGTTTCCGCGGCAAGAACAGGGCAGTCTTGCGAGAGGGAAACAATCAGCCGACGAGGTTGGTCAATTCTCCAAGGAAAAGCACACTTCAGTTTGGAATTGAATGGTTGTTGGCCACTCTGACGGCAGCGTTGTTTCATGAGTTCACCCATCTCGAATCTGTGGGCGCATGTAAGTATTTGAATGGAGATCTTGGTTTTCGAGGGTCCGACTGAGTTTTTGATATTTTAGCCGAGGACCAACTTCTAAAGGACGGCAAGACGGTCGCCTATTCATGGAGTGAGATCAAGAAATTAGCGCTCGAGAAAGAAAAGGATGATGTGACTGAACTCCCGAAAAGCGTTGTGAATGCCCAAAGCCTAACTGCTTTTGTCCTTGGTAAGAATCATCTCAACCTAGCATCCTATGCTTGCATATCTGACCTAGATTAGTTTTATGGCTGCAGCTTAAAGGCCAATTCCGTTTTGACTATGATACCGGGATGTTCGTCCCTCCAAGCTCAAAGGAAAAGCCAAAGAGTCCCAAGCGGGATAGTATTGACGATGCGCTTAAATCCAACAAGCCTCCAATACCTACGAAGCCCGATTGTCTGAAAGTCAAGAAATTAAAGACATAGACTTCAACGAACACTGACCCATCTCATGAGAAGAATCATGGGATTCTATTGGATTCTTACGGCGGAAATTTCTTTGCATGCGTACGGCACAGCTAGGCTTATTCCTCGGAGAATTACTCCAAATGGTGTGTCTGCAAACAGCAAAAGTTTGATCCCCCTTCCCACATCTCTTGGTGTTGTATAATATTCTTCTGTGTAATATATGTATATACTCATAGCGTGTACCAGACCTAACTTTCAAAGATAACATCAAAATCTCAACATGATAGGGCACAGCAGCTAGCATAGGAAAGATGTTCCACAACAGCTCGATGCAGCTGTTATCACGCTGTTCGAGGAAAACGAGATTGTCGAGATAAATGAGAGGATTACAAACTCGAGACAAGATATTGCTGTCAAATCTGAAGCTCACAGCAACGGGATTTGTGTTCCTTATGTACCCTGTAAAGTAACTACAACTATAATGGCCTCATATAATCTAGTCATAGTTAGGTGAGTGACCACCAGCGAAGCTTAACGGTTTAACGTTTTGCTTTGTGATTTTTTGATACATTTCCTCTTATTCTTCTTTAAAGAAAATATACTTCTTCCTATGTCTCTATATAATGACTTCGAACTCGCTGTCTTAAAGTAGCAGCTTATGATTCCACCTTCTAGGGATATAGATCTTCTAATCCATGCCCGATTCCCAAGGCCATAAAGTCTGGATATGTAATCCACGTGACCTATGACATAAGTGCCTGTTAGGAAGATCCCAAGCACCACCACCTGGGCTACAATTGCAAACATCCATTGCCCACCACTCAGTGTCTGTCTTTCCCATTCGCCATGGCTGATGCCGGTGGCTGGAGCACTATTGAATCAGATGAGGTATGATTATATCTTCAGTCTCGGTATATCCGCACCAATCCACCGACAGACCACTAACACCAAGCAGGGAGTCTTCACCTCACTGATCGAGACGCTCGGCGTCCAAGATGTCCAATTTGAAGAGCTCATCTCGCTGGATGCAGATACAATCCGGTCCCTAGGGTAATCCCCCTCTCCTCCCTCTTTCCTCTTTTTTACCGCTCTGTACTACCCAATCCCAATCCATCACAAAACGCAACTAAAACTAACCACAACCAGCTCCGTCTACGGCGTCATCTTCCTCTTCAAATGGACTCGCGAAGCCGCTGGCGCGCGCACAACAACCCCGCTGGACGGGACCTACGACGCAAGCTCCACAGACAACAACGTCTTCTTCGCCGCGCAGACGATCCAGAACGCCTGCGGCACGCAAGCCATCCTCTCGGTAATCCTCAACCACGACAACGGAACAACGTCGCTTCCCGCAATCGCACTAGGAACCGAGCTGCAATCCTTCAAGGACTTCACAACAGGGTTCCCCTCAGAACTGCGCGGCGAGGCGCTCTCGAACTCCGAAGCAATCCGCACGGCGCATAACAGTTTCGCACGCGCAAGCCCCTTCGCCGACGAGACAGCACGCCCCGCGGACGATGAGCCCGGCGCAGACGTCTACCACTTCGTCGCCTATACGCCTGTCAACGGGGTACTATATGAGCTCGATGGTCTGCAGCCTCACCCTATCAGTCACGGACCTTGCGACCCTGCTGCGTTCCCGGATGTCGTGATTGATGTGCTGCGTCGTCGCATTGCTCGCTATCCGCCCGAGGAAACACATTTCAATCTTATGGCTGTTGTGCGCGATCCCCGCCCTCGCGCTCGGGAGATCGGTGATGCCGAGACGCTGGAACGCGAGGAGCGGAAGCGGGCGGCGTGGCAGTGGGAAAATACGCTGCGCCGATGGAACTTTGTTGGTTTTATTGGAGAGATGATCAAGGGTGTGGTTGCGTCCAAGGAGAAGCAGGATGCGTCCGGGGCTGCGTATTCGCAGTGGGTGGATGCTGCGAAGAAAGAGACGCGGAAGAAGTTGGAGATGCGACGATGATCCCCTTCCCCCCCCCCCCTTCTTTTCTCTCTCTGTTTCCATTCCCTTCTCATTTCGTATTATTCGGCTCTTGGGCTATATCCACCATATTTCAGATACCCTTGATGATCAATGATATGATTAAAATGGTCATATGCGCATGATATCCACTATCTCGGCTACTTGGCTACTTGGCTACGTCGCTAAGAAGCTGCCTTGAATCCCTCCGAAAGGATAACTATGCAATGCTATGTACTGGCGTGCATCGTAATTCATAACCAAAGCCCCCCCTCGAATCCCCTCAGTACTCAACAATCCGGGACTTGATATGCTCCACCAGTGGCGCAGGAAGCTCCTCCGCATTAACCAAGTTCAGCGCCAGCAGATCCGACCAGAAGAACAGGGCCCGGTCCTGAGAGTAGGCCAAGTAGTCGAACTCATCGCCTTCGTCGACATCCGCATCCACAGGCGGTGTCTTAGCGCTCTCGCCATGCCCATTCTGGCCGTGGCTCTTGTTCTGATCATCAGAGACCGTCGCATCATGCGTCCCGTTTTTGTCTCCCTGGTCATCTGTGCTGGCCATCTCGGCAATTCCCTCTTCCATGCCTGCTGCCTTGGCCTGCACGATCCCCCACGCCACCCATTGCGCCGAGTTCATCACGCGCCATAGCCGGGTCTGCTGCATTAGGTAGCGCACTTCTATGTCCAATTCATCTTGAAGAGATTTTTCGGCTTGCTGCTGTTGCTGCAGACTGGGGCCATCGGGCCCTTCGTCGAGATCTAGGGGAGTGATTGCGGTTGGGGTGCGCCCGCGGATGGAGGGGTTGATCATCGGCGAAGTCGATCCACCGGTGACAGTGGGCTGATGAGTGAGGTAGGTTGATACGAAGCGATATTGCTCTTCTGGCGTGGGGTAGACGCGGTTGTTGCAGGCCCATGGTCGTTCTTCGTCGTGGTAGTTGTAGCACCATTCGGTCTGTGGCTGTTAGAGGCAGGCCATGCTGTTGATTCGGGGATAGAAAACTTACAAAATGGTTGGCAAATTCAAGCCCTGGGGTATTGGCCGATGAATATTCAAAGTCAATAACGACAAGCTGCTTGTGCTCGTTCGCTGGGAGGAGCAGCGGCGACTGAGTGCTCGGCTCCAGACGAAGAAGATTGCCGTATTGGGTCTGAAGGCCAGTCAGTATCTTTATGAAGAGAAACAGAGACCAACACAGTGCAAGCACCTACATCGTTGTGGGCAAACACCAGCCGTTGCTTGATTTCCTGGATCCCACCGCAACTGGCAATCAGCCAGAGTCGGTAGTTATCCACGGCCTTTCGGAACAGCGCCCACGGCACTCCGCAGACAAACCCGCGGCGACGCCAGGGTTCCGATGCGGCCTTGGCCTCGTTTTGCGGGGATTGAATTTCCTTATCCAGCCACGTAGTGACCTGTTCGCAGCGATCTACCCACTTGTCCCAGTTTTTGAATATCTTTGGTCCACCTTCTCGCTCTTCTTCAAGAAGTTCGATGCCGGTGTGTAGCTCTTTCATCCGTTTGGCAATCTGCTTCGCGGTGTCAGGAATACGCAGATCTTTTGGTGTTAGCGTGCGAGCCTCGAAGTACTCCTCAAATCGGCCGTTTTGAAAGGTTCCAAGCACGCGGGGACCGATATTCTTGCGTCCAAGGCGACGTAAAATTTGCAATTCCTTTTCTCGGTCAATCAGATGTTCCACCTGGGGACCATAGATACGCAGGAGAAGCTTTCTATCATCCGAAAAGTTAGCTGGGTGTCCCGAGCTTCACCAGCCGAGGTCAACTTACGGAGGGGGCTTCCTTGAGACCAGCACGGCAGAGCCATCGTCGGCCTTTGGGGCGGGCAGGTGTTTCGGAGGTTTAACCACGTATACAGCGTTTGTGAGAGCACCACTAAGTCGAACCACCTCAATCTCCCCAGCTGCCTCCATCTGAACCTTGCGCCAGCCTTTGAGCTGCAGCGTATGCGCGATACGCAGAATGTCGGTCTTGAAAGTCAACCAAGCCTCTCGGTCTTTGGCGCGCCTCGAATTCACATTGTTGTCCGCATCTTCATCCTCAACACAACCGATGCTGTAGGCGAGTGTCTTGGAATTATCCAGAAAGGCATCCACGCTGGGCACGGCTGCCTCGACGTCCGTTTGATCTGACTCTGATGCTGATCCCCTTCGCAGGCCCTTAGGCCGGCGGCGTGTTAGCCGCCTCGGGGGTTGAATGGAACCCAAAACATTTCCCTGTCTCCGGCTCGCGTATTGAGCAAGAATTTTCTCGAGCTTGTCGAGAGAAAATGTGCTCTTCGAGCTATGACAATCCGGCTCTTCCACGGCACATTCCTCGTCTCCGGGGGGGCCATCTGTTGCACCAGAGAGTGCCTCGAATTTTCGTATCTTCCGAGCTTTCCGCCTAGTCTTTTCATGTTGCAACCATTCGTGCACTTGGTGGAAGAGGCTTAACTGAGAGTCTTCTTCGGGCTTGGTAGATTGCTCTTTATCATCTGGACTCGGGGCATCATTCTTGACACTGGACTGACTGCTGAGAGAAGGCATCGTTGACGTTTGCGAAATCGAGGTCCAGGCTGTCAGTTTCTTGGTCACAGGAGCCCGGTATTGTTTCAAGGTAGTGTCTGGTGGGGAGCTGGAAGCAGTGTCGCTGGCGTGTAAGACTTTGCGCAACGAAGGGGTATCCGGTTCCGTTCCCTGAATAGATGAATAGTCTACCAGGTTGTTAGTAGGAGATAACAAAAGGGAAAAAGGTTTAGAGATGTCGCGACAGGTCGGAAGTGGGGACTTGAAGTACAAGCAAGGGAGCAGTGGTCGGTTGGTTCCATAAAGCAATAGAACATAGAGTGCACGAATATACAGTTTCTTAATTACACGCGTGCCAACAGACTTGGAGTGGAGCAGACGCGAGACGGCACCTACCTGCTATTTCGGGACCGAGTGCATCCTCGGTGAAGGACGGCATGTGTTTCATGCGCGGCCAGCCGAGACGCCGCAGGAAGCCAGGATCAAGCCCAGTGTGTGTTTCGCATACACGATACCAGGCCCAAGAGTGTCTACTTGATCGGACAGTGGTTCAAATGGAGCCAAGTGGAAGACGGGGATAGAAAGGCGCAATCGAGGTGGGGAGGGTCCCCAGAAAAAAACCACGGTTTGCCAGACAGGATTTCAGCGGTCAGGGTCCAAAGGGGATGACAACGAAACCCAGACGGAGGAACTGGAACTAAGGAATTCGACTGAGCAGTCGGTGAAAATCAAGCCAGAAGACAGGCTCAACACAAGCAAAGATAAGTCTCGCGATCACGCGGAGGGGCTGAAGAGCCACAAAAAAGTGGCGAAAATTGGCTTATCGGGCTCAGGTGATCTCTGCCTGACGGATCGGGCAATCCAGGGTTCCTCCCTGCCCCATGCAGGCACAATTGCGGGCTGCTATCGATGATAAGCGTCGCAACGGGAGATTGCCATTATCACTGGTCTTGCGATACAGTACGGAGATGGCGCAGATGGCTTTGCTCAGTGTCGCATGTGGGGATATCATTGTGCTGTCATATTGAGACGCCCATGTGTTGTTCTCGGGCCTCAGGCCCTGTTTTCTAGTCAGATAGCGGGGGCCGGTCGAGTCTGGTTTGCCCGCAATCTAAAACAAGTGTGGATAAAGAGTCCACACTGTTGCTGGATGTCAAGCAAAGATGCATGGTGTGAGACCAAATTGGTCTCGGATGATATCTGATGAGAAGGACCTTATTCCACAGGAACGAAAGAGACCTGGGGAAATTGATGGATGGATGCAGATGGCAGGAAGCGGAGGGGAGTGGGGAGTGGATGGCCTGAGGGATTCATGCCTTGGTGCCTTGGGTCCTAAAGTCTCAGGCAAAAAGAAAGTATGCTCTTGCAGGGATCGGCAGGAAGTCTCCTCGTATCTAAGTGCCGATAACCTATGAGAGAGCAATGGGGATTCTGTGTCATTCAGTAGCTGCAACATCAGGACATATGATGGATTTCTCCACTAGTTGAATCTTTCCATCGCCGTCAAAATCATGAAGGGTAGAACTCAACCAGTTCTTTCCCGCGGCGTTTACCTCTGATGAGACATTGAAGTCGCAAATCCGCTGATGGAAAAGTGGAATGCATCCTGGTTTAGTGATCAAATCTTCCAGCCGCCCAGTCTCATTCAGGGTCATCATAGGGTTTTCCTCCAATGCAATGACACCGGCCATGAGATGAGCCGCGGGGATACACATGTATAGCCCCTGCACCGGTGGAGCTTGCAACAAAAACCCTAATGCGCGACGACGAAGTTGAGGGAAACGACACTTGAACGCGGTGATAAACAGTGGAAGAAAGACGCTCATTTCAAACATAAAGGGAGGTTGACTGCCATCGGTGCTGCGTGTGGAGGCAATGGCTGTAGGTGCATGATCGAGGATCAATGTGAAATCCGCCTCGTATGAGTCATATGCAGCCTGAGTGGGATCAATACAGGCTTGCGTTTCAACCATAATGCCGGTGTAGGCCATAAGGAGAAGTGAGGCTGTGCCACAGTCCCCCTATGGCTGCAGGGGGGTTGGTGTGCTGTATGGATAAAAAGTTATTATACCAGGCGCGGAGACGATCTTCTTATTTGCGCGCCTTGTTTATATGGAATAAGAGCCGCTTTTCGATTACCCTGCAACAGCTCAATTGCAATAAAGAGGATGCAGCTGATCGCAGAGACCGTCACATCAGCCACACCGCGGTGGATCCGTTGTCGCAAAGCAGCCAGCGAGCGCGAATACCAGACCAGAGCCTCGCGGTTGTAGTTTTGCTGCACAGCAGTAGGACTCTCGATGAGCGACGCGGGAGGCAAATCGGAAATAGGAGGGCGCTCGTATAGCGCGCTGAGGGAGATGACTGCATCCCAAACCGTCGGTTCCAGCCGACAGATTTGCAGGACTGAGCCCCTCCAGAACGCGAGATCTAACACGCCGGCGAGAGCAGGTCTAACGAGGTGAAAGTAGTATTCGAACGCACGGCGTTCTCGGTGTCCTGGATGCGAGGACAGGACAAAGCTTAGCTTTGGGGACTCCGTCGCCCTTTGCAGAGCGGTACTGTAGGAACACCGTCGACCAGTGCTGGTACATTGCACAAAATGCGGTTTTTCTTCTCCATATCTCATGCGACAAGTCCTGAGAACCTGTAGGTGTATTTTGAGGGCTTTCCTTCGGAGATGAGGCGTGACTGAAGAGTGACTCACTTGCAAGTATCACACCCTGTTCTTATTTTGGACTTGGTGCTGCCGATGCGGCCTGTCGTTTTGGAGGACGGAGGCATAAAATGAGGAATCACTTAGAGAACCGTTATAGGAACCGACCTCGGAGGCCATAGTATCTGGTAATTGTGATTGTTCTCGCTCAGGCGTCAGACGTGAAGAAGGGTGTGGGTCCGAAGGTGATCCTAACTGCATTGCTCTTGGTATAGCATCAAGTCTTGATTTGATTCTTTGCTTTTGTCGCCCGGTGTGTTGGAGAGAATTATGAAACTGTCATAGAATATCTATTTCCTAGCCATTTTCTGTCTCTTTTCCAGACACACACTGAACGATTGATTGTTGTCAGCCATAGAATAGCATAGTGGGCCATTAGCTATAGGCTTTTTTGTTCATATTTCTATTTCTATTTTTTCTTCTCTCAGCTCCTTACGGTTTCTGTCTTGGTGAGCAACAGAACTGGATCTCCAAGCTATCCATGGATGTAAGTATGACTGGGAAGTGGACAGATATCTGCTTCGATGGCCAGCAAATTTACCATGCCAGCACCCGAGAGCGCCGTTTTAAAATAAAAATAGATCTTGCAGACAGTCTGTGTCAGCGCATCCAAGATCAATTTTTCCCATGGAATTGTTGAGAGCAAAGTGAATACTCCGGTACTATCTATTCTTCGTTGAGGAAAGCCTAGGGCATTTTGCTATAGTTATTGCCTGGACGCAGCACCAAAAGACCCGGAACATCAGCTCAGGGCTGGATCGAAGATTAATTGAGACAAAGATCTACCAATTCCGAGACCATGCAAGCCATCCCCCGTATGGTCAAACTGTGGCTTTGTCCGGCGAATGATCGACATCCATCATACACCACCCCTCCGTAGTATATAACTCCACATTCCACAAGATCTAGTTTTAATGACTCGACCCCGTAGACTGAAACTGCATCTAAATGTGGCTTCCACCTCTTTGGGCGATATTTGCCTGCGAATTCATCGTCAGCATCCGAGAATCATGGGCGCCGTGCCAAGCGGCCCAACAACGAATCCAAGTCCATGTGGAGCGCGCAACTGAAACCTCATCACTCACATCCGGCAGATCGATTGTCTCGACCCGAGGTGACAATTAGAAGAGGTGGTTTTGGGTTGTAGTGCAGAATGAGATAGATTACTATAAAAGCCTGCGTTTTGCCTTCTTTTGTTCTAACATTGGAAACATTCCATCTTATCCTTATTTCTTGTATGTCCATTCAAGAACAAAACACACCAGTTTATTTGAAGGAAAAAAAGGAATACAAATCAACAATGAAGGTCTCTGCTTCTCTCCTCGCCGTGCTCGCTACCAGCGCCGCTGCATTCGATAAATACCAGCGTATGCCTTACCTACTACTCTTCACACAGAACCTCCACTAGCATCCCAACAGAAAACCAAACCAAGCTAACCAACCATTACTTTTCCAGCATGGGGAAAACGTGACTACGCCTGCGTCAACATCTACCAAGGCATCCCCAACAACTCAACCGTAACCGCAGGCCAAACCATCCACCTCCGCTTCAACCGCCAGCCCACAACGCACTGCGAGAGCCCGCTGACGCAGTACCCGGGCGACGCGTACAGCGTATGGCTGTACAACAACCCCGTGCGCGACCGCGACACCATCTCGTTTGACCGCTCTGTCAAGATTGTCGGCGATATTGCCGAGTCTACTGGGGCGGTTGATGTCAAGATCCCCCGTGATTTGCCGCAGGTGCGCGATGGCTCGGTGTGGTATTTGCGGTTGAGTACGTCGCTGTCGACGGCGCCGCAGGTTAGTCCTTTCTTTTTTTTTTCTGTTTCTTCTTGTCATTGCTTTGTTCAAGTTTGTTTGCTGGTTCTTTTCGAAATGGTGCTAATTCGACTGGCTTTTTATAGATGCCGACGCTGTACGACGCTGCGGGGCCGTTTAGAATTACTGCCGCATAGATGTATCCCCGTAAAGCTGGGTTGACTGGTATTTGATCGCATCTATAATATTGTGGACTCGCTTTGGTGAGAATGCCCAAGGCCCCATTTGGCAATGTCTATAGCGCTGCAACACTTTCAGGAAATAGTGGTATCAATGAATTTTACGAGACACCTCAACGTAGGATACAGTTGTTTATTGGTAAAGCATCAATTTCAAATTGCTACTTTAAAAGTGTACCTACACGCCCTTTTCCCCATGGAAAGCTTTATGCTCAAAACTTGAGATGCATTTATCTGAACAGGCTTGTCAAGACCACAGATCGACGCCCCAGAGCTATTCGTATGCGACAAGATATCTACATGCTTTATACTGATAGCGACAATCAAGGCCACAGCCAGCGCGACAGTCCACTAAAACCGCTGTCAAGTCATTCATCAGTCGTGATACGTCACACTCCAGACCTTGTACCCCGTCACCGGCCCGCTCTGCATAGTTTCCATCGTCAAGGATCCACGGGTGTCCACATCAATATACTGATCCCGATCGACATATTGCAAGGTATACCCGCGACCGTTGCCGAGGAATTTCAACCGCAGTGCGGCTGCGTCTGCGGACTTGTCCGTGGGAATGAGGGTTCCACGCGGCCCGATCCATCGTCCATCCACGGCGCTGGAGATATTGAAGATCCCACTCTCCTCGTCGTTGGTGTAGTGGACTACCCACCGTTGGGACTTGCTCCCATGGTCAGACGTTGTAGGGCTGAGGGTCAGATGGTCTTTTTGGCCCCGGTTCGTCAATGCTGCGCCGGCTTTTTCGAAAACCAGGTAGCGGCCCTCGGTCAGATAGCCCACGCACTCCTTGAAGCCTTCTTCAAACCAGAGCGCCTCGGTTATGTTATCCTGCTGGCCATATGGGACGGGTGGGCGCTGGGTGGCATGGCGCGATTGACATTGTGCTGAGCCAATGTAGTCGCCCTTGTCGTTGGTGGCAGGAGTCTCGGCCTCTGGAAGATTAGGGAGAGAGTAATCAGGCTGCCTTGGTAAGTCTTACTGCTGACAGCGCCACAGGACACATTAGGAGAAACCTACATTGTCTAGGTCCAATGCGTTGACCAAGTTGGACATATGGGATCGCCGCCACGGAACCATTTCGTTGGTTTGGATGTTCCCATAGCCGCGAGCGGCAAGCCACTTTTCAAGGAACAAGATTTGAGAGTTGTGATCTGCTCGCTCGGTAAAGACACGGTTTCCTCGGGTCCAGGGAGAGATCATGTAGAAAGGCACCCGAAAACCTAGACCACACAAAGTCAGAGTCACAAGAGAATCATGTCAGTCGAGCATCCACTCACCAGGTCCTACAAAAATATCGCCGAACAAGCCCGTGGGGTCTTTCATCCATTCACCCGGGGTGTTTTCTGGAGAATGAAATGGAGTGACATGGTCTCCGAACCCACCGGTTTCTGTGACCCAGTCAGTATGTTTTGATCTGGAATGTTGGCGATATCCCATTCTCACCGTCATAGCTAATCATCAACAGCGTCGAGCGGTATTGTGGGCTGTTAATGACGGCATCGACCACTTTCTTCTGCAGCCACGCGCCATCCTTGGGCTGGTATGGCGGGTGCTCCGACAGCTCAGCCGGGCCAACAATGAAGCTGACCTCCGGCAGGGTACCATTGGCAGCCCGCTTGTAGAAGGTGTCAAGGCCCACCGTGGTCATGCCCTTTTTTGTGAGGGGGGAGCTCTTGGGGGCCTTTTGGTATTGCTCGAACCAGGCCAGTGGGTTATCATCAAAGTTGTTCTTATCCTGATATACCTGCCAGGATACTCCGGCATCTTCATAGAATTCGAAAATGGTCTTCCACTTCAGCGGGTAACAGTTTATATTGTTTTTCTCACAGCCTGGCCATTTGATCCTGTCAGCTCACTGTTACAACAGGAAGGCCGACAATACATACCTGGCACCTCGTTGTTGTCGATGTACACACCTCCCTGGTCCGATCTCTGGGGGCTTCCCGGTACATTCACCGAGCCACTAACCAGCGTCACTCGGTTAGGGTTGGTGGAGGTAATCTGGCCCTCCTGGTACATGTCGCCCGAGGTCCAGCCTTCGGCGAGAGCAAACTGGACAGGAATGTCGTCCCGCTTCAAATACCCCCAACTCCATGGCGTATTGTTACGTGCCCAGTGGTTGTTCAACCCATGGTTGAGCGCCGCTTGGTTGTCCTGGTAGCCATTGTCGCCGGCTGCCATGCACTGGATGGCATCGAACCAGTCACCACCTTTATACCCCAAGTACCAGGGCAGCAAGGTGTTGGTCTTGTCGGACATTCCAGGGTCGACCTGTCTGGGATGGCTTCAGAAAATGATTTTCGCCAATGTGTTTTTTTCATACTTACTGGTACCAGATGGGCCGGTTGTCGTTGACTTGGACATTGGGGTCATTGAATCCTCGGACTCCGGCCATGGTCCCGAAATACTTGGGACAATGTCAGTCCTATTCATCTACTCCTTCTCCCTTGGCATGTAAACGACTTACCGAGTCCCAGGACCGGTTCTCTTGCATAAAGATCACCACATGTTCAATGTCTTTCAGAGACCCCGCAGAGACAGTGCTTCCCAACAGCGCGCCCAGAAGAATCACCCGTTGCAGCGCCATGATTGAACAAAAGGGATGAGCAGGGCGGACAGTCTCTTAGGGCCCGGAAATGAAAGAGAAACCAGCACTACTTAAGACTTGCAACCGGGCCCGACCCATCTGCAAGTCGCCGGAAACCCCAATCACACGCTGAAAAGGAAACATGCCGCCGTGGAGAACATAGACATCGGCACCTTCCAAGGTTCCATTGAGACCACAGGGATAGACAGGCACGATGGTGCATTCTCTCCAATCTGCGCGGCGAGTTGCCCCACGTGAAGCTTGTCTCGCCGCTCGACCGTGGAACCGCGCCTGCTGTTTGGTGCGGATACACAAATTACCTTTTTGGGCTATCTGATAGGTTCTTGCCGTGCATCAGTTTGCCAAAGTAGGAAAGGGTTGAGGGTTGTCGCAAAGATGGTCCTTGCGTGTGGATGCACGGCATAGCGCATATCCCTGGTTCTCCTCCACATTCCCCTCGCCTCCCGCAAGGGCCCAGCATGTCGATGTCATCGGTTATATCGTCGTCCGAAACCCTATAGGGAGCATGTCTGGGAAACAACCTCGGATCTCTGGCTAACATCATGGAACGACAGAGTAGTCAGAGACGGAGGACTTCTCTCCGTCAGTCGAGACACGCCTTCCCGATAACAACAGACCGGCATTCTTATCGGCCATGGCCCATGCTAAGCTGGTCGCTGGTAGCATGTCTGCTGATTGTGCTGGCATATCTCTTCCGACCGCCGAGCATACCACCTCTAGGGCATTGGGTGTCTCCGGCTTCCCATCCACACTGGGAGCTACATGATACCATCGCGCCCCGTCCACGGATCGAGCTTCACCCCGAGGATCATGTGTACCGCCCAGCACATACACAGTATCTGGACTGGCGCATCACTTCTGGTGATCGCAGACCAGATGGCGTGCTCAAGCAGGTTTATTTGATTAACAGTGGGTGGCCACATTCCCTGGTCGACACAGACAAGAACTCACAGTAGTAGAACTCTTTCCCGGTCCGACAATTGAAGCTCGCTCGGGTGATACGCTGATCATTTCGGTCACCAATGCCCTCCCAGAAGAGGCTGTTGCTCTTCATTGGCACGGCCTGCATATATCCAGTGAGTTAATGTCATCTTCGAGGCCCAAATTCTTCGATCTAATACGCACAGATGCCATGGACGGGGCAGCAGGCGTGTCGCAATGTCTCATCGCCCCCGGTAACCAGTTTGTCTACAATGTCACCATTCCCTCCCATCAAAGTGGCACGTTCTGGTATCATGCCCATTCTGGTGTTGCGCGGGCGGACGGACTGTACGGTGGTCTGGTGGTTCATGCCCCGGCTTCAAAGTCAGCTGTACGCGGATTAATGTCTCAAAGTCGCATTGATTCCCATCGGTTCGCCTATGATAAGGAGCTTCTGCTTCTGATTGGTGACTGGTACCACCGGCAAGCAACAGACGTCCTCGCATGGTACATTTTGCCAGGCTCTTATGGGAACGAGGTACAGTTCAATGTTTCTTGACCACAGGATGAAGATAAATTGACTCAAATTTCTGGTACTAGCCAGTTCCTGACTCTCTCTTGATCAATGGAGCCGGCCATTTTGACTGCTCAATGGCGGTCCCAGCTCGTCCAGTGGATTGCATTAACCAGCAGCTCAATCCATCATTTCTTGACCTCGATCGTGATACAACCTACAGAATCCGTGTAGTCAACACTGGGTATGAGATTTCCCGTTCAAGCGTGACAGATAATGACTGACCAGATGGGTAGGGCTATTGCGGGAATATCTCTTGTATTTGAACGCGAGCAACTAGATCTCATCCAGGTGGACAGTGTCGACGTGGAGCTTTCTAGGGAGAAAGGCATCAACTCTATTGGCACTCTGTTCCCTGGACAGCGCATGGACTTTGTCCTTCGCCCGCCACAAGGATCTGGTAAACAATCCTCCATGACCGTACAACTGGACCAAGAGTATGACAACACGCCTTATAAATTTGAGTATTAAAGCGAAGATAAATAGCTAATTGTCACCAGGTGCTTCAAATATATTAACCCAGCTTTGACTCCGGATCAAATGATCCCCATCAACTACGAGACTCCTTCACTCTCGGATGCCCCCGAGACATACCCAAATGTGCGGCACCACATCAACATCGAAGAGGTGCCATCCGCGGCCTCCCTGCTTCAGCATCTGCCAATAAAGGCGCAACAGACCCATGTGGTCTACACTAAGATCCAAAAAATGGCGAGAAACCACAATGTTCCATTTGGGTATTTCAACCACACCACATGGAAACCCCAGAAAGACCCGGCTGTGCCACTTGTCAGTCTCCCGAGAGGCAAATGGGATGAAAATCAATTTGCCTTTACAACGGGACCAGAATCTGCGTGGGTAGACCTCGTCGTGAACAATCTTGACGAGGGACCCCATCCATTCCACCTGGTAGGTCTATAACTTCTCTCATGGCGCTTCCTTTGCTGATCTGTATTTCTTCAGCACGGTCACCACTTTTATGTTCTTGCAGTCCACGAAGCCGATGTGGGCTGGGGATCGTTCAATCCGTTCGTTGATGCTGTTCCTCCCGGCCAAGTGCCTGCAGAGGCGCAGCCGGACATGCGTAGCTCAAAAAATGGCGAAAATCATCCCAGCATATTCTATCCTTACGACCTCACCCACGCATTTCTCCGCGACAACGTCCATATTCCCAGCCGCGGCTTTGCTGTCCTCCGCTTCCATGCCAATAACCCGGGCGTGTGGATGTTTCACTGCCATATTCTGTGGCATCTCGCTACGGGTATGGCGATGCTTATTGATGTACAAGGTGATCCGACGGGACTAGCTGCGCACGATGCATCTTTATTCTCCGCAGACGGAGGAGGATCGTGCTCGGTTCCTTGATCAGCGAGAACTGCATCCATGGTTTGCGTGGCGTCATTCTTCCCCCTTCGGGGTTTAAATACCATGAATTAGACAAGGAATCACATTCCCAAGATAATAGAATCAGCAAACTCGAACGACTAGTCGTCGATGCACGGGCAACAATCACTACGTCGGGGCCCCCCAAGGCCACCAAAATAGCACCCCCAGTCCGGCCGAACCGCCTTGTTCTGTATCCTGCTAACCTACTCGGCTTGGATAGAGCTCGTCGAGATGCTCGTTACGAAATGATCAAGATTGTGCAAGAAGTGAGTCCTCTTCTCCTAAAGCTAAGGTTGCGGCAGGGTGTTGGCCCCGAAAGAACCGATTGCCTGACGTGATTTACTTTCCTTAGGCTGATGCCGTTACGCAAGATCCCCAGGTTGCGGTTGGTATATCTCGAACTACCATGTTCCTGTCGCCAATCGTTTTCAACCTTCTTGTACCAGTGAGTAACAATGAAATCGCTCGGCTCCGTGAAGATGACAAGCTAACGTCGCGAAGCATGTCGGACTGTCCCCTAGCCCGAGCAAACTAGAACTGGAGGTCATAGAAATTGTGAAACAGCTCGAAGACTCCCAAGAGAAAGAAAAGGTAGCGGCCATGGAACACGCCGAGGCTATAAACACAAAGGAGCTAGAGCACAAAGTGGAATTGGCCAAGGTCAAGAACGAGCTCACAGAGGCATACAGTCAGATTTCCAGACTCCAGCCCATTGCAAAAAGTGGGAAACCCACGAAAAAAAAAAAAAGACTGGAACAGGAAGCAGAAAAGAAGCGCCAGGAAGAAGAAGCTGAAAAGCAAAACCTGGCCGATGCGGCCCGTCGGATTGTGGAAAAGCGGGAAAGTAAAATGGCAACATATAAATCCCAACTGAACGCCTTGCAAGAAAAAGACACGCAAGCTAAAGAATATTTCACAAAGATCCAGGAAGAATTGGAAGAGGCACAGGCCAGAATTACCACCCTGGATCAAGCCGCGAGTCAACACTCCGGAACCATCTCCGAGTTAAAGAAAAAGAAGGCAGAGTTCGAAAGAAAGTACGTAGGCATTTCTAAACAGAAGGAGAGCGCTGCCCAGGCATTTGAGAAGACCAACCAGACAGTTTCAGACCTAAACTGTGAGGTGCAGGATCTCAAAGACCAACTTTGCGAGAATGAGAGCCGCAACAATGCTCTGGAAAGCAGGAGCGATATCTTCGCCGGTATCCCCGACGATATCAACTTCTCTGGCATTGTGAGGTTGTCACCAGAACTGGAAAAGTCCGTCGAGCATTGCAAGCAATAGGCTCCTCGGTGGCGTCTTGGTGTGATTGCAGGCAATATGGACAGTAGCCTTGACAAAGGCACCGTCTGTAACCAGCTACCAAGTGCTCCCAATGGTCAACTGCCAATTGCTATTGCCATCCAGCAGCTAAACAGAGGGGATACGATGCACTCTATTGAAGTGGCATGGACCAGTGCTTCAACAGATGCGGTGAACTGGATTTGTAACCACAAGCAAAGTCAAACAGTTTATCTCCAAAAGGATGAACGGATTATCAAAACTGAGATTCAAGGGGGTGGTACTCCAAATTTTGGGACTACATTGTGGCACATCGACACTCTGTTTTTTGAGACTGGCTCGAGGCCGGACGCTGGGATTCCAGGCTGATGAGAGGAATCCATGCTCTCAAAAACGCTTTGGCTGGACAGAATTTGCGCCTGACAGTCTTCAAGGATTTGGGGGTCAGTATGGTGAGTTGCGGAACACACTGAGTCGTCTGGGGCCAGTGTGGTCAAACAGCTAGATAGATAGACATGGGGAGACGTGTATATAGGTATCTTTCATATCCAAGTATTTACCTCAATGGGCTAGACAAATGTCACGTTGTAAGGAGCAGAGGGAAAGATATAAATATAAGGCTTGTGCCATTGGTCTTTTTAAATGTTTTTTTTTTCTTGTTCTTTCTCTTCTTTTTGCTCACTATGGCCATCATATCCAACCTCCCCCTGAACCCCATCCAAATATCGCTCGAGAATTTGGCTTCAACAGGAACTCATGTCTTCATCCCATGGTCCAACTACCTTATTCAGCTCGATGCGGGATTCACGTCTCGAAAAAGCCAAGATGGCAACCCGTTCGAAGTCCCCTGCGCCTTTGCCAACTGGGCACGGGACAGTATCCCCATTTGCTACATTAATGACAATGGTCTTCGGGGTAGCGAGCTCAGCACCGTTTCCTCCAGCCACATTGTTTCGTCGGAGCATCTGAGTGTGTCCCTTGGCGCCTCTGTTGGCTGGCGCTTTGCAGGGGCCTCTGCCGTTGGGTCATACGACAAGGCTGTTTCGGACAACACAGACGTGAGAGAATGTCCTTTTTTTTTCTTTGGGAAATGCAGTTTGCTGACAACCCTGGTAGACATCCAAGACCTCTATCATAGCCTCTGTCCGGCTCGGCAAAGTGATACTAGCGGAAGAACCACCACTTTCTCGCGCAGCATTGGAATTGCTGTCTTTTCGAGACCCGATCAGTAAAAGATTGGCTCTCCACCGTTTCCACGAAACATACGGCGACTACTATGTGGCGGGTCTTCGGCTTGGTGGCGATAGCTGTGTTTTCGCATCCATCAACCAGAAGAACCGGCGTGATTCTGAGAAATACAATGTCAAGGCCGAGGCACGACTTCTCGTCCTTTCAGCCGCTACGACTTGGAACAAAGATATCGTAAAGGAACATTTCAAGGTATCGGTCCAGTTCGCTGGATACGATAACCTCTTCAACAAATCCGAGGTGATCGGCCCGGGAGGTTCGTGCCTCGAGGTCAATCAATTGGCGTTGAAGTATCGAAACGCAGGGCAGCAGATGACGCATCGGGCGGTCTATGTGGCGAGCGAGTTTGGATTTCGGCCTGATATGTCTGGGATGAGCGTGATATCGATGCGGCCGAGTCGAAGTGCATCTGTGAGTCGGGGCTGGTCATTGAGGTGATCCTCGAGCCTTATACTTCGCACCGGCAGTTTTCTTCGAGAATATATCAACATGCAACCAAGTAAAAGGTATCCCTGGGTCATCGCTGTCTATACTATGTTCTTTAGACTAAGTTTGAAGTCTATGAATTCATACCAAGGACTTTACTTGTAAAATTTCAAGTTTATAACCCTCTACACTTTTCATTCCTTTCTTTCTTCTTGTCTTTTCTGCCCTCTTTTCTCATCTTCTTCTTATTGCTCTTCATGCTTGAATTACGGCAGTAGATGGTATGAGCTGGCTAGAGGGTACACCGTGCTCCCCCCCAGGGTCGGATGTTTCCCTCTCAAAAAACATCATTCTCACTATGTCGTACTCCGTCAGCATCACCAGCACCATCTTCGTCGCGCCCTCGGCGTCCGCCCCATCTGCACCCTAGCAGTCAACGCTAACAACTGCGGATCGTGTTAAAGGCAGAGACCCGACCCCCCCTCCACATCTTGGTCGAGCCTACTGGTCCCAATGTCCCCCGGCCTGCCGCCGAGAGCCTGAATCACGGCTACGTCGTGTTTGTCCTGCCGCCCCCGTACGAGAACCTTTCCCTTTTGCCTTCTCCCTCCCTGCGTCCTGTGTTCGCGCCTGGCTGGATACTATTGACCACGGGACTGGGATCGTCCTTTCTGGGGGCAAGACATATGGCGTCGCATCCAATGCCGATCTCCACATGGTCAAAGTGGCCAATGTCAAGAAGGGCGAGGAAACTGACAAGACCAAGCTCAAAATCCAGCCCTTTGCTATCTAGGATGCATGCAATCATGTAATACACCATGCCATACCATGTCGACGAAAAGACAAGACAGGGCGGTAGTAAAACTTTTCTTTTGGTGAGTTACTTCTCAATGTTCAAGGGAGCAATATACGAATAGCATGGGATACGACTGGAAAGAAAGCAGTGTTTACGAAAGAACAGGAATTCTTTGATATGACCAGAGACTGATGTAATAGTGAATGCTGGACTCAACGGTAGCCCTAGAGGCAGGGCTACCAAAACCACTCAACTGATCTGGAAATGCTTGGCCCTCGGCCTTCGACAATGATTTTGGATAGGAAGTCCGAATAATACAAGTCTTAAAATACAGTTCATTCCTCACAGCTTCCATCAGGGCCAGGTGACTTGATCTATGCATTAGAGAATCATAAAGATAAGAAGATGGAGTGGATGAGGTGCCAGCCAGACGGCACAGACCAAAACCTAACGCCTCGAAAAAGATATTACAAAGAGGGCTTTTATCAAGCCCCAGCAAAAGCCATGAGAGTTGTACAAAGCCAGGGAGCAATACCAGCTTCGCCATCCCCAAAAACGCCTAGGTAGAAAGAAAGAGTCTTCTGGACATACACAGTGCGTAGGGGTTTCAGGTCGCGGTGGCCCACTCGACAACCTCCAAAGCGCACATAACAAGGATGAGGGTTGAAGGAAGGATCCTGTAGAAGATTCAATTGTTAGCTATGATCCTGGTTAGGGGCCAATAAGTCCCAAACAAAGAGAACTCACCAGACAACATAGCTCTGGAACAATAGCTTGGACATGGCGCCGACGTAAACATTGTTGATCTGGCAGATCTGGGCCAGCTGCAGCGCAGACGGGGCGCCAGTAAGCAAGAAGCAAACGATGATAAAGATAGGGTCGTCGAGGATGCTGACGGGGACGAATTTAGCGAACAGGGCGAGCAGCGGCGCCATGATGAGAGTGGGCAGGAGCATGCGGGCAAGGAGCGAGGCAATGATAAGCTTGCGCTCTTCGCTGGGATGCTGCATGTCGGCCAGGGCTTCTTCGGAGAGGGTGTTCCGAGCGAGGTTGGCACCCAGCACTACCAGAATCAGCGGCACTGCGACCTGGCCGTTCTGTTCAATGGCACGGGTGACTGAGTTGCGCACGAATGTACCCTCGTCGAAGAAGAGCCGTTGCAACCACGGCACGGACGCAACCACGATTGATACCAGCATCGCCCACAGCGGTGGGTTCATGAAATCCCAGAGACCGTGGAAGAAGCGCCGCACGCCGCGCGTGGTCTTCGATAATCCCTTCTGAACCTTAGTGGGGAGGCGTGCATACAGTGCCTCGGTCCGTGCATCCCATGCCCGTGCAAAACTGGCCTGCAGGCCACGGAATGATGTCTTGCGTCGCTGAATGAAGGTCTGCTTCCCAGCCTGTGCTTGTTGCGCGCTGACCTCCACATCCGGGAACGAGAGCATGTCACCCCGCGAGCTTTGGCGTGGAAGAAATGGGCCTCGTGGGGGCGGACCGATTACCGAAGGTGGTTCATCGGGCACATTGTCTTCGTCGGCGGCATCGTCCGTGTGGACCGAGGACACTTTCGAGTACGCGTAGGCACGGGTCGACACGGGGGTCTGGTCACCGGACTGGAACTCATTGGCGTGCGGTCCATGAGCCACACGATCGAGATCGTCTGAGCTGCGCGTGCGAACCAGGGGCTCGTCCGGATCTGTCTGCATCGGATTGTCACTGTAGCGGGCCTGGCCCTGTTCGATGCGCGAGTGACCAGTCGTCTCGCGGTCTTCATCCTCCAAGTAATGGGCCTTGGGCGCCAAAAGAACGTGGTACCCCCAGCTCCAGCGCACGAGTTGACCCAGTTGTTGGAAGATCAGGAGGTACAGGATACCCCGTGCCGCCACCTCGTCATTATTGTCGTTGGGGATTTGATCCCAGTGGAGGCCTTGAAGCGTCTGAGAGAGCGAGACGACGAGCGAGATTGGCAGGGAATTGGAATTGCCAAATACCTGCCAGGAAGAAAGAGTCAGAGTCAACCGACGACCAGGTCTTGCTCATCCCAAGGGGTCACATACCGCCATGGCCGCCACAAAGTTGGCTTGGCGTTTCTTGAACCGACAGCATCTTGTGACGACAAAGGCACAGGCATACGAGACGAATGTCTGCACAATGAAGATCACGGGAATAATCGCCAGGTCCGTCAGCTTTTCGGCCGTCAACTGCGATCCAAGCTTGATAAAGACTGCTCGAGTGGTCAGTGCCGATCGTAGGGATGAGTTTACCAGAGCGTCTGGAAGGAGAGTCCTCCATACCAAGACAAGGCGTGAACAATGTCACATTGAGATTCGCGACGAATTTCTGAGCTTCGGCATCGAACATGCCCTGGCGCGCAGCGATGTACCCGGGAAGGCTGACGCAAACGACTTCTAGAACAGCTTCAAAGACGAGCAGCACTAGATGGAAGAACGAGGGATGGCTGGCGTGGGCATTGGCGACAAAGACGCGATCGACGTCCAACGGTACCTGTGGAACGGCATCCTGAAAAGATCGGGGCGCAGTAAAAATGGCCATCGGGGAAGATGGAGGATGATGGGGGAGAAGAAAGGGAGCGTTCCGTTATCAAGTCCGCCATCGACCCCACAACACGGAGCTTTCATTCCAATCTGACATCGTGATGGCGCAATTGCCAAGTAGCCCCTGGCGTCGTACTATGCTGATTGCTGTGCGCAGCAACCGGTCTGGATCGCGATCGAGCCAAGATTTCCCATGTCTCGCAGTTCAATGGCCTGTTGCCATCGCGGTGGGAACTGTGACGCAAGCGACACTTCCAAGTTCCATTGGTAGTGGCTGATTCGGTCCGTGCGGTGGAACTGGGGAGATTCGATCGACACTGACGTAGACCTGAAGATAAGATACAAGATACAAGGTATTGGTGCTTTTCCAGAATACAAAGTGGTATAATACAGAGAAAATATCCAATGCGCCCGCTGCAAAACCGCAAGGCGCAAACAAAAAACCAAAAGGCCGTGTAACCGCTCATTCTCCAACAACCCCCAGCTTTTCGCCCACTTTGACCCGCTGGCCTTTTTCAATGCTCCATGTCCACCCGCTACTTTGGTTCTGGTCCGGCCAGCCCGCATCGAAGGATTTGCGAGCTGCCAGCGGTGCCTCAAAAACGAGCACAATCGAGCTGCCAAGCTGGAACCCGCCCATCTCTTCTCCACGCTGGAGGGGGTGTCCACCGAGGGTTCGACTGGCATGGCGATAGGTAGCTTCGACAAACCCTGGATACTGCTCTCCCCGCTTGGCTGCCAAGGCTGCTGCCAAGTCCGCAGCGGTGTCGGTCAAAAGACTGTTGGTTCGCAGCTCCGAATCAAAGTTGATCTTGATGGATCCAACGTTGGTCGCCCCCACCGGCGTGTAACTAAAGAATCCCCACCGCCAGCGTCCGAGGAGAGCAACGCGCTCGTTGAGGGTGAAGAGGCCTGGCAGATGCCGTTGCAGATATGGAGACACCGAGTATAGTTCACCCGCAAAGTGACGACGGCTCTCGACAACCCAGGGTGTGGGCGAGTGGAAGCGATGGTAATCGCCCGGCGCTAAGTAGATCACCACGTAGAACAATGCATGATTGGCAGCTTTCTTAGGGGCATACCACGGAGTGCCATCGCCACGGGCCAGTTCCTCCTGCACCTGAATCTCGGAGGTCGCCTTGGATGCCACGGACGCATCTAACGAAGCCCGCCGTTGAGCGGGTGCCCCGGGCTCGCCGGACAGAAGAGTAGGCAGGGTGTATGATATGCCGTTCATGCGAGCAAACTCCTCATGAGCAGCCATATTCTCGACATCTTTCTGGGTCGGTTCCGAGGGTTGGTCGACAAGTCGCTTGGAATGGTCGGCGTGCGCCGGTGTGGCTGCACCCAACAGGGCATCCAAGTTATAGGTCATCCCCTTGACCTGCTCGACCTCACCCCGTTCGATCATTCCAAACTGTAGGATTCGACCATCCGCAGGAGACAAGAGCGCGTGAGGATCGGGATCGAGTGGCCGAACGCCGGGCTTCAGCTTGCGATAGAAGAAGGCCGCCAGGTTTGGGTAGGTGTGCAGGTCGGGCTCCGCCACCTCATTGAGGTTGACGCCAAAGAACCACGAGTATAACTTGAACCCCGGCACCCGGAAATAGTAGGGAAGCTCGATTTCGTTGAACTGGCCCCATAGTCGCGACATGGCCTTCAGGGGTAATGTCGACATGATCTGCACCTGCCAGGAGCCCGTGGGCACGATGCGCGGACGACGCGGTGGTCGTTTTCCGTTCTCCCATTCTTCCTCATCGGTATCCCGGGACAGACGGTCGCGTTCCGCGCGTTGTGTCTTGTAGAAATGGAGCAATCCCAGCAGCCCGATCCCGAGTCCGACCGGGATCGGATACCACTCCACCTTGGTATTCCGCAGAGCAAATCGTAGCCGTGATCCAAAGCTTCCTCGAGCATGATGGTCATGATTGTTGTGATGGTTTTCTTTGCGGTATTGCCTCCAGGACTTGGAGGAGAATTGGCGCACGCTGGCCTGGTGGCGGGCCGTGGCCCGGAACGAAAGAACCTCCATCGAGGCCACCTGAGTCCCAGGAAAATGGTAATGCAATCCAGGGGATATTAAGAGGCGCTTGGCCATAGTGCTGTTGTCTTAGTCCATGGACCCGATCACCCTCGAGCGGAACCAGGAACAAGTCCCGGCATCAAAAAAAAGTCACGGGCAAGCACCTCGGGACCGATCCACCGCCGGCCACACCGCCTGGCAGAACCATGGTAGGCACGTGGCTTAATTCATCTGGTCTCTTGTTGTTGTTCTCTTCTCTTCTCTATGCTTGTGCATCTTAATATTTCATCCTAATTTAGATATACAATTGCAACTGGGCAGATGCTGTGTTGAATTTTGTTGTGGTATTAGGTCCGCGAAACCATTTACTCGACCCCATCTCTTATCTCCCGACTCTCGCCTTGACACCAGATCTCTCCACCCAACCCTTTGGTCTCCTCTCTTTCTCTTTTCCATTTGCCAATCCTCGAGGTCATATCAGAACCTCTTACAGGGATATCCTTTCCTCGAGATTTCAGAGGAGATACTATCCTGGCTGCGTCGCCCAGCCCATTGACTGAGCTATGCACGCATAGGCGTCCACGTCACGAATAGCTTCCCTTGAAGATCTGCAGAAATGACGACAGATGCGCCAGCAGCCATGGATGCCAATGAGAGTCTGAGAATGATCACCCTTCATGTTCTTTGTCCATCGCTTCCTTCTCCCAACCGTTTCACCTTCAGAGACTTGTCGCTTTCGGCCACTATTGGACAGCTCAAAGACAAAATAGCACAGTCCATCCCAGGTCGACCTACGCCAGAAAACCAGAGATTGATCTACAGTGGAAGACGTCTCCCCAATGATGATGCGACGCTCCAGGAGGTCTTTGAACCTGCAGAGGTTAGTGTGGCCATGAATCATCGACATGCCAACTGACTAACCCTATTTCAAGGCCTCCGAATACTCCCTGCATCTCGTCCTCCCACCAGTGCCAGCACCTACAGTGTCATCTGCCTCTGTTTCGAACATGTCGACTCTAACCAATCAAAACTTATTCGGACAACGAAACTCATTCCAGTCATCCACTGGTGCGGCGCCATCCACGTTGGCCCAGGCAGCTGAAGGAATCCGGTATCGCGGACAGGCAACCTCGACCAGAACAAATAGTACAGCACAGAGAAGCTTTCCAGAATCACTTCAACATTTGTTGAATGAGCGGCCTACTTTTGGGCATCCGCACAATGAAACAAATTCATCACGCCGAATCAATACTGGAGCCTCGCATGAAAACTTGGGCACCACTTCGCTGCTATCTAGTCACAATAACACGCAAACTGCGGCACCTTCAACTACTTCATTCGGGTCTACGATGACTTCGGTCCCAAGTTTCTCCTCGCTCGGCTACAGCACTTTCCCCGCACGACCCCCCACTCCAAGCGATGAACGCGAAATCCTTAATACTGCGCTCTGGCAGATTGTTGATTTCGAGAATGACTTGCACCGGGGTGCCATGCCATTGATTGAGCGAGTCATTCACATACGAACCCAGCTGCTGGAACTTCAAGACCGTCGTGTTCGAACCCGCTCCCGAACCTCAGGCGAGGTTGAATCGCTTCTCTCGCGAATCCTCAACATTTACCAGCGAGCCGACCAGATTCAAACTCAGACAGCCCAGATGCCTTCTCTAAACTTCAACCGGCTGTCCGAAAGATCCAATTTTTACTCTCCCCCACACCCCTTGTTCATGGTGACATCGCCGAACGGGTACCAAGGTCTGGTCACGCCCCCAAATACACAGAACTACGTTCCTTCCTCAGTTTCCGTGCCATCACCCGCGGTACAGCAGCCCCAAGCAGTGCCTCTTGACGGAACCACTCCTGGTCCCGCCGCTGCACCCGAAGCACCCGCCAACCCCAATGCCGCAGCCATCGAAAATGCCGTCCGCCGAGCGGCGCTGAACCAGCCGCGACGCAACAACAACAACAACAACAATGCCGAGCAGCCTGGCCTAGCCCATCACATGCGGCGCATCTGGCTTTTCGTCCGCCTGTATTTCTTCTGTTACATGATCAGCGAGCCGGGAACCTGGACGCGTATTTTCTTTGTCAGCCTTTCTCTTCTCGCGGCGCTCTTCTCCGATACCGACGTTCCGCAGCAGCTGCTCAGCACAATCGTCGGCCCAGTTCAGCGCCATCTTGAAAACCTCGTCCAGCCTGCGCAGCAGCCCGCTCCGGCTGCTGCAGACCCGAATGCCGGCGGGCCGGCCAATGAACTCTGGACCCAGCTCCGTCGCGTCGAGCGCTGGCTCGTGCTCCTGCTCGCAAGCCTGGTTCCAGGCATCGGAGAACGCCAGGTCGAGGCTCGCAACGCAGCCGAGGCTGCTCAAAATGCCGAACGTGCGCGCCAGGAAGAGCAGGCGCGTGAGCGCGATGACCAGGCTGCCAATGCCGCCAACGACGCCAATGCTCCCCCGCAGCCTGATCCCTCGACCAACCAACCCCCTCCTGAACAGGCTGGGCTCCCTGAGCGCGCCCATTAATCTTTTCCACGATACCCCCAGTGAGCACTGAGAGAGCCTAGGCGATTCAGCCACATAGTGATCTCATCTGCATTTCTTTTTCTCTTCCCCATCACGTTCCTCCTAGCGCTAGCGACTTGTCGAATTTATCTTCTCGAGACACCAGACATGCCCATTCACGAAATCAGGTCACGTAGCTGCCATACTTTTTGACATCTATTCCACCTGGATCTTTCTGTTATCTGGCTCGAATCATGTATGGGGGTATTGTGTGTATGTTCGTGTAGGAATCAATAAAATTGAACTCTACCATCGAGTCATCCCATTTCAATTTAGTGCATGCCCAAAAGACTACTATACGAGGCGCTCCCACAAATATAATCCTCTCAGCCGGAGGTTATTCCAATTCCCATGGACTTCATCTTGTAGTTATGACCTCCAATCAGCACTATAGAGAGCCATTCCAACGAGTCTTTGGTACTATCCACGTCGCAACCACACTCGTTCTATATACATTTGTATATTCATGATGCTGGCTATTTGGTCTACACTAAGTCCCATAAACTCTCCTTCATATAGGGCTATGCATCACACGTTAAAGTAAAATGGCCCGCCCGAGTACACGCCTCATCCACAGCGCACTCATAGCTTGGTATCGGATCGACTAGCTTCCAACATCGACATTGTGCGCGCCGGCGGTTCCGAGGGCAGCGCCATAGGACCCGTGTCGAAGGATTCCTCGCCATTAAAATGCCTGCCGGTGGTAAACATTAGCGTTTGCTTGGCAGAGAATAGCATAGGAAATGAAAGCATAGAAATGAAAATGGAAGGCAAGAAAGAAAGAAAGAGAAACACTCACCATCCACGCTCCGCACCTCCACTCAAAAAACTGCAATCTCCATTCGCGACACAATCCCATCCCCCTCCAACACCCCGTCCACCGCGCCACCCGGGGACACGGGACGTAGCACGAATAAGCCTCGTACCCTCGGCCAGGGGACTCTCCTCACCATTATCAGCACTCGCAGTTGGCTCCCCTCCCGTATTTTGTTCCTCTTCCGAAGAAGAAGTTATACCAACCCGTCGACGCCGAAACGTACTCAATGCCGCCGTAAACACATTGAAGTCCTCCTCAGAACTATCCTCCGGCATGCGCCCCGTCAAAACACGGCCCACGGCAATCAGCGGCGCAGCATGCGAGCAGATCAGAATGGATTTGCTAGTCCGCTGCGCAGGAGGGACGGTCGACTCCAGCGCAGAGATCTCGGCGTCGATGTCGGCGATGATCCCGGCTAGGGCGGTGGCGAGGCGGTTGTGCAGTTGGGCAATGGTTTCGCCGCGCGTTGAGGGGAGGAGGAGGGGTGTGTAGAGTGTTTCTGGGGAGGGGGGGAGCAGGGTAGGGAAGTGGGTGTGCATGGTTGAGGGGGTTGGGTGGGAGGGGTGGTTGAAGAAGGTTGTTGGACCGAACCATTCTCTGTGTGGATTTTTAGTGTGAGATTCATATACCAATGGATGTACGGTGTCGATATATCAATATCGACTTGAATACAACAAACGGGTAGGTTATGGGAATGTCGTTCAACGACTACTTAGTACTCACCCAAGCCCATTTTCAAGCCTCACATTCAACTCCGCATGTCGGTCAACCAACCCAACACCGCCAGACTCAGCCACATCTCCTCCGCCAGTTCGCTCCTGGTGCTGCTTCTTCAGTGTCTCCACCGAAGGCTGGATCGTCTGCAGACACCGGTAGAACGGGCTAGAGTAGACGCGAAACGGCTTCGGGTTGAAGTCCGCGCTGCCGATATGCGCTGCCAACTCATGGGACTGGCGCACGCCGTGCGAGGTCAGCGCGGGATCGGCTGGATTCCCGGTGGGGGTTGGGAATTGAGGTTTGTAGGTGCCGGTGCGGAGGTCGATGGTCCAGTTGAGGCGGTGCTGTCATATGAAGGTTAGCTTGGGTTATTAACAGGAATGGAAAGCAATCATTCATGTCATTCCAAACTTACACCATGACGAGTGAGGTATATTGTATCTAACGGCATGGTTGTAGCAGCATGTTATGAAGATCTCGTCGGTAGTCGATAGATTTGGCTTGCGGGGGAGGGCAGAATACTTTAGGCGGTGAAACCGAGCCTCGGTTCGGCTGTACTACGACTGGCCCATTGAAGAGACCAAGAAAAAAGGAGGGCCGTGATATCAGAGCCAACCAGAATCACTAGCATTGATTACGAGCATGTACTCTGCGAAACAAGCCAAGAAAGGGTATATCCACCGCTACTCGAGACTAGGTTACATTCCCAGCACCCGATCAACATGCCATGCGAAACCAGTTAACCAACAGAACTTTTTTTCCTTTCAGGGTTTTTTTTGTGCGACTCCCTCTAGTAGAAGAAGCCGAGGAGCTTGCCAGCAACGTGCTTGCGGCGAGCCTCCTCGTGGTCCATGATACCGGCCGAGGTGGTCAGGACGACGTAGCCGAACTGACGCGAGGGCAGCAGCTGGGTAGCCCACTTCTCGAGGTCACGGAGCTGGACGGGGTAGCGGGGGTTGATGACACCGCACTTGTTGAGACTGAAAAGAAGTTAGTCAACAGCACAGTAAATATGGAAGGAGACAAAAGAACGTACCGGCCGTTCAGCTGGATGACGATCTTGCCGGAGCGGTGGTCGTCGACCTCCTCGAACTCGCCAATGTAGCCTGCCAAAGAAAGAATGTCAACATGTTGCGAAGATTTAAAAGTCGCCAAATACAGAAACAAGAGCCATGACAGCGCCTCGGAAACATGTAAGATCTCCGCGAATGATTTCAATATATCGGGCACTTAAAAGGCAGACGTCGTGGGTGGTTGAGACCGGCCGCCTAGTTATCAACCCGAACAAGTCCCCCTCAATCCTCGTATAATTTGGAATATAAAGCAAAGAAAGAAAGAAAGAAAGAAAGAAAGATATACAATAAAATAAAAGCACAATTCAAGGAAAGTCGAACATACCGTGCTTCTGCATGACAGTGAGGAACTTGACGATGACCTTGGAGCTAGGTCGGACGAGGACCTGGCGCTTGCCGGCCTTCTCGGCGTTGTTCATCGCGTTGAGCGTGTCATTGAGAACGGAGGTCTTGACCATTTTGGCGGTGGGCGACGAAGTTGTCGAGATTCTCAAATCGATTGGACGAATGGAAAAATGGATATGAGGTATCTGTTCGACGAAGGCGCAGCCGAACGAACCTCCGTTTGGATTGCAACCAGCACGCACACAATACACAGGAAACAACACTGAGATTTTACACCCAACAGTGATGGCCGTGGTAGTGGCGGCGGAGCGTCCCAGATGGGGTCGTTCAGGAAGGCCGGTAAAGTCAGCCACCAGTAGTCTTCGAGCGCAAAGAGTGCCCCCCTTTCTCAATGAAGAAAAAAATGGGAGTTCTTCAGCCCGTGCCGGGATGGGAGAAGCGTATCATCATGGAACTGTCTATTCCCCCCCCGACCGCGGGTCGTTTCCAATCCACGCAGTCGCAGGGGCAAAAAAAAGAAAAGGAAAAGAACCAAGGTGATTGCTCTCCCAGACTAGCTGAGAGGCTGTTGAAAGGGGCGAAGGGCGAGATACATACCTCGAGCGAATGGTCCGTCGGGGGTCGATGGAGTGGCGTGTCGAGGGAAGAAATCGGCGTGGTGAAGATCTTTGCGGTTTGGCTTTCGCTGACTGTGCGCCCTTAGGGTTGGGGAGCTCCACAGCCCTTATCCACTGTGGTCACGTGTAGATATCTCCACATAATGTATTTGCCTGAGGCATCAATGACGAACGAAATGTTGATGGTTTTTAATTGCATTTTATATTCATAACCTTCGCTCAAATATCTTGTAGAATAATAAAAAGTTACATAGAAATGGAATATCGTCACGTATAGCCTCCTATACAGGGCATTCCAAATGGGGTGGCTTAGGGGTATTTGGGAGAGCGGAATATACGATGGAAAAAGGATAACTCAGGACAGCTTTTTTTTTTTCATGACAATGACTCTTTTTCAGGGGAGACACGGTTCAAGGGGGATACAAGATCAGGGGATACATGAGTTGGGGATACATAAGGGGGTACATGAATGCTTGGGGCTACATGAATGCTATAGGATGCGAAGGGGACGGGGAGGGGGAGGGGGAGGGGGAGGGGGAGGGTCTTGTCTAATTAAAAACGACGTAGGAAATTCAGGAAGTGGAAGGGAAAAGGGTTGTAACAAGGCCACGAGGGGAAGGGGAACTGGCTTTCATTCAGGGGGTGGTCATCAGGGGGGTAAGATTGGGGGTAGCGAGGGCCAACAAAGGGTAAGGGGTTAATGGAGGCTGAGGCCAAACGTTTGAAGATCAGGGAATTCTCCAGGGCTGGGGATGAAAAGGGAAGGAGGAATTTGGCTGACAAGACAGAGAAACAGGCCCGCCAGCGGCAATGCAGACAGGTTCTCCACTTACCTTCACGACACCGAGTTGACGTAAGAACTCCTGGTCACCGCACAGTCCAGTCAAAACCGTTGCTCGCAGGGAGTTCCTGGCCTTTTCGCACCACTGCCAGTCCTTCTCAGAGAGACAAGCGGGGTGTCGCTGAAAAGAAGGCGGACCATGGCAGCCGTGTTATCAATGGCATTACAGTAATCGGGGAATTTATGCCATGGCAGTGCTTAGGTTGACCTGGCGCTTCACCTGTTCACGGGTCCAGCGAGCAGTTTCAATTGTGCGCGGGCTGTACTGTCTGGTCGTGCGAGTCTCTCGAATCAGGCTGGTGACCCATTCATTGCGGAAGTATGCAGCAAGTTCGCCGTTGGGGAAGGCATCGGCAAGGTCACTGTGGAAATTAGCATGGTGATTCACAAGTCTAAAATGTGTGCCAGAACATACCCAATAACACCCATCGAGGAGCGCATAAGGCCCTCGCTACGATTGCCCTCCTGGGAAATGTTGTGCAAAAGCTGGAAGATAGACTCAACGAACGGCTGGAGTTGAACAACTGCAATCCCATTAGCAAACCATAGGCGTAGAATGCAACCAGGCGGTAACTTACTCTGAGGCTTGCCCTTGTAAGTGAGGAGGATACCACCCCAGGCATCCATGATACCTTCACGGAGAGAAACAATGTAATCCACCATGTCATACGGAAGGTCAGAACTGGTGGTCACAACAGAGGCCTGCTGGAGGACCGTGCCAACAGTAGACAGGTAAGTGTCGAAATTAGTTCCAATCGCCTGGGCGATGTCACCAAAGGTCTCCAGAATAGCCGGCTTGAGTTGGTTCGAGGAAGTCTTCCGGGAGAGTTAGCACACGAGATTTTCGCCAGCGTCATCAAAACGGTGATCTTACCCGGAGGGTGCTAAGCAGGAGGTTCATGAAGGTATCACAGTACGGCTGGACCTTCTCGTTCAAGGCACGCGAGATATCGCTAACCAAGCCAATGGCCATGGAGCAGAGACCAGGCTCGTCCTGGTTGCCCAATGCATTGTAGAGGAAGGGGGTGAATGAATCCATGTACTTAATGAAATCCTCATCAAGAGCGTTGGCAATAGCACCGATGGTGGCGAAAACCACGTCGGGCACGCTAGACTTGGCACCGACGGTCGACAGAACCTGGAGCAGAACGCTCATGATACGGTCGGCCTGCGGCTTGATCTCAGCCTCGAAACGCTGGACGATAGCCTGTGGAAGTCTAGTTAGCTTCGTGTCTCAACAACAACCATATGGATCAACCTACCAGAACCACACTGATCAGACTAGTTTGCATCTCCTCCAAAAGGATACGGTCCTCCGCGCTGACAACCTGTTGCTGCATAGGAATCGTGTGCTCGAGACGCTGGATAATCACATCCGAGAGCGTCGCAATCATGGGCAGGCTATCATTGGCAGAGTTGAGGACAAAGGAGTTGAGGACCTCGTATCCCGCAGTGCGGAGCTGGTTGTCGGCATCCTGTCTGTTCAAAGGGTTAGAGCCAGAAAACTTATGTAAATTATATTTACAGGAAACATACCTCTCAGTGACCTGAAGAAGCGACTTCACGCTGTCCTCAAAGTGCCTCGACAGAGGGTTGGTCTGCGAGCCAGCATCGCCGGCGAACCGATCTGCAACATTCATAAGAGCCCAGCAGCAAGAGCTGGCAATCTTGGGGGTACTCGCGAGGCCGTTGAAGAGGCAGGAAATAAGCGGGTGCAGGTGCACATCGGGGTCCAGAACCTCGGGGCAGCAATCACATACGCGACCCAGGGCATAGGCAGTAGAGTCTCGGACCTGGACGGAAGAGTCTTCCATCATACCAAGAAGCACCGACAACGCCTGCTTGATCAAAGGCTCCAGCACACGAGGCTCAGGGCCATCCATGATAGCACCAAAGGCAGCAACAGCAGCATCCCGATGGCGCCAGTCCGCGTTGCGAATGTTCTCCTCAACGAATGCCACGACGGGGGGATTACATCACCCTGTACGCACTGGGCGTAGAGCTGCAGCGCTTGGTAGGAAGCACGAGAGACGTTGTACTCATCATCACCAGCGTCCTCATCTTGTCGGCACATTGCCTGGAGCAAAACCGGGACGACCTCTCGGGTAGCCACGCGGGCGAAACCGAAGAACGGACGAAGCTCAATACCCTCCTGTTGGGCCTAGATACCAAAAGACAGCAGATTTAGTGGGTTTGCTACATTAAGAGCCACTTTGAATCTCCATGTCACTTACCTCAGCGTTGTCATCTTCGATGGCAATCTCCTCTTCGCAAACGGTGCACCAGAACTCGATAGCCAACTTTGCGACTTCCTCTTCCTCGCTCTTCATACCCATGATGCTCAGGCCAAACAGGGCCTTCTCCATGTAGAAGCGCATCTTCTCATAGTAGGCACCCATGATACGGTTCAAACAGCCGAACGCGCCAGCTTGCACGCTGATATCCTCGGCCTGAGTCGCCTCGCAGACCACCTGCATAATGTAATTCCGCTCTCCCTCGTTATCCATGTTGGAGCGCACGAAATCGACGGCATCACTAAGCGCGGCAATGGCAGCGTTACGGACGTTCATGTTCTGCTCCTCGCGTCGGGCACCCTGCACGACCGCGGTCAGGATAGCGTTGGAATGCGCGGCCAAGCTCTGGCGGAGGTCTGGATCTTGCGACTCGCAAATGAAACCGATGGTGGTCAAAGAGGACTGCTTCAGGGCGTCGGAGCCGCTCGCCACATTTTGGACGAGAATGCCCATCAAGTCAGGCCACTCATTGCGCGGCAGCTCGATCGCAGCAATCGAAACGATGAGGGTCGCGGCGGCATTCCCAGCTCGGGTGTCGGGCGAATGCAAGGTTTTGAGCGCAAGCTCCTTAACCTGCGCCTTGGTCTCGGTGTTGATCTGCTGAACCCATCGAAGCTGCACCTCCCGCAGCTTGGCCTGGTCTCGGAAAGTAAAGGCGTTCTTCAAGGCGATACCAGCAGCAACACGGGCCTGGGCGGGGCTGGTCTCGTTGGCCAGCTCCTGGCCAAGGGTGACGAGATATCCGGCCTATCGAAATACAGCGAAGGGTCATTAGCACAAGTATTCGAAGCCACCACGGAGCAGAATATAACACAAAATCGCAGGGGATAAACATACGAAGTCGACCTCCGCGGCGTGGGCGAGTTGCTGCTCGGCATTGGTACGTTCCGCCGCATCTGGGAGTAGAAAAGACGGTCAGCGAGGGGCTGTCACTTAATTTTTCTTTCATCGTCTTCCTTCTCAGGGTGATGTAGTCCGTGCGACCATCACCTGGGATCAACAACAAAACTAAATCCAAGCTTACCTGGTGCGAGGGTGCTCTGCAACACCTGACGAGCATCCATAGTGGCTGCACAGAAGGCAAGGGTGGTCGAGAAGAGATGTGGGGGAAAAGGGAAGGGGAAAGAGAAGGGGAAAAAGAAAGAAAAGGAAAGAAGGTCACGAAAAGGCAACGACTAAAAGTCCTCTCGTGTGGTCCAAGTCAATCAAAGTATTGAAAACACACGAATCACGGACCACTAAAGTGGACGTGGTGGTAATCCCTGGAGTGGAAGAGTGGGAAGGGCCTTGTTTTTGTGGACCTGACGAGGCATGCACCAGGTCTTTCGCACAGAGGAAAAGGTGCCTTGAGTGCACGCCCGGAGAAAAGCGACTGGGGGAAACAAAGAAAAGAAGGCTCCAGAGAGAAAATGGGTTTCAGAGGGATCAGAAATGTGTGGAAGAGATAAAACAGAGGGAGTCGACGCCGCAGGCAAGGTTGCGGTGATTGGCTGTTAGTCATGATGGCAGCCTCAGGCCACGGGGCTGTGACGACGTAGTTGACGTCGAGATTTACTGAGGATGCTGAGATGTCCATAGTACTATTATATATATGCACTTCGAGATAGTTATTCCCTGGAGATAATACCTTGAGGCAGCGGTGTCTACAAATTCCACAGTGCAGTGGAGGGGGGGGGAGTTGCCCCTCCATTCCGTTTTGCTTGTTTTGGTTTTGCTGGTTGAAGGAACCCACGGAGCAGCCGGTGGCCCCAGCACCCATCCCATTTGTATAAGAGAGAAATTCTCTCGTACAAAGAGAACAAACGCCTTGGAGAAAGTTGGAGAAACCCGTGCTTCGTCATAGTCAGGAAAATACAGACAAAAAAAAGGAATCACCGGTGACACAAGATGCCCATACCCCGAGATTGACATCTAAGACAGCCCCGGTTAATTCCAGCTCCAGTGCTAGATTCCTAGGGATTCTCCTTCGGATGTAGATTAACCCATTCAATGTTAATCCTCATTCCCTGTGACCATCTCCGGCTCCTCGTCCACGTCGATCGCCGCGTCCAGGTCCAGGACATCGTACCGCATCGCATCTCCATACAAGACACACACTGCCCGGCGGCCCTTCCGTCCATTCACATCCAGGTGGACTGGTCTTGCCTTCGTTCCTGATGAAGCAAACACATGCCTTAGTGCGCTTGCATGTGACTCCGACGAGAGATCAAGGGTTGTCGCTGGTACCGCGGGCTTGGGAGAGGATGGATTGCTATCGATTTCCACGTAATCAAGCACCAGGGGTGGTGGATCGGTATACTTGGGTTGATTTTGAGCAGTTGCTGGTTGGAAGGGGAAGTTGAGTAGGCAGGAGAATCCTGCTGTTCAGCTGGTTAATATGACTCAAGAGTGCAATAAGAAGAACCCCGATACTTACCCTTGTTAGTCCAGAGAATCACCAGCGTGTTGTCATCAACAAATTGTACTTGGCGGACTTCGCCTTGCTGGAGGCTGAGGACCGCAAGAGAGGTGCTGTGTGTCGAACTAACGCCGTTGATAGATTCCAGGGTCACGCGGTAGATGTAGACTGGGATGAAATGTCAACATTTTCGCCCCCCCCCCCCCGGTATTAGAAGAACAAGAGGATCACAAACCCAGATATTTATCAGTGGTCGACCTAGTAACAACATATAGGGAGCACGGCTGTCCCTCCTCAGCATCCTTGAGAACATGTCAGTCAATGTTTCGATAAGCAATCCCTGCACAGGCAATCTCACTCTCACCTCATAGCAAACCATAAGATCCACAAGACTGGGATCACAGTCCGAGTGAAGCGTCAGGGGAGACCGATGGAGGATACCCCTGCGCTGCGTCAACGCAATCTCACCAAAGACCTTGTCGAACTGGACTCCCAATCTCTTCGTCAGATCATGGAGCTTTGGTGCATCCACTGAAGTGCCATCCCCGCCTTCAATCTGGGCCTGCCGCTGCTGCTGCAAGAGGGACTTGAAGGTGTCGTAGAAGGACTGGTCATGGCCATCGGGAAGCCACTTATCGGTGGCAGATGGGGGAGGCGGAGCCACGCCGATCATAGGGAGTTGGCGGATAGAGCTGCGTAATGCGCTTTTGGTCAATGCCCCGGTGATATACTTGACGGTGGGAGGAATGTCAAACAAGTTCCTCTTCTCCAGTAGTTCTTCGAGGGATTGGGACAGAGGTTCGCTGTTGAGAACATGGATTTCGTGGTACAACCATCGGGAGAAAGCGCAGAATTGCTCCAGCTCCTGATTAGCGTGGCTAAGAATCCGGTGGGAGAGAAGCTGAAGGCAATCCAGTGTCTCGACGATGGCATTTAGCTTTGGCGTGTCCAGCCCGAGAACACCACTGAGCTTGTGGAATTTGGATAGTCCCACCAGTCGACTAAGGAGCACTTGACTCCGCTCGAGGGCCGGAAGAAGGCACTCGTGGGTTAATCGGCGAATGCTTTCGTAGCCGCCCGCGACTGCTTTATCCCATCTTTTGTATCCCTGTGCAGCTCGTTAGCAACCGACCGCAGTAGAACCTGTAAATAACATACTCTTTCCCCGACAATATCCACAAGAAATTCTTTCATCGGCTCGAAACAGTGACCCGTAACCACCAAGTGATAGATCGCAGTAATGAAATCGCACTGGCATTTCTCTTGCAGGTCTTCACTGACACTGCGCAAAAAGCGAGCCGGAAGCTCCTGTGCATTCTTCCATTCGAGCTCAATCTGCCGCTGCACCTGGCCAATATACCGGAGCAAGTTCTGAAGTTGGGTAGTCTTCGACGCCAGCAGAGACAGGTATCTGCCTGACTTGGTGATAAAGCGCAAATCCAGAGTGACCAAGTTGAGCGGCGATGGGCCTTGATCCAAAGAGGATGTTGCCAACATGGCATGAGTGGAGCTCAAAGGATGTGAAGCGTGGCGGAGAATCTGGTACGATCCAGCGTGGCCGGCAGCGTCGCCGACGGGGAACGAGCCTATCTCGAAACAGTCAAAGATACGCAGGTGGACATTGCCATCATCGAATCCGACAAAGAGCACATCCACCGAGTCGCTCGTGTCTTTCACCGATGAATGGAAGATAGCATCAATGGAGGTCCGGGAGCTAAACAGGTCATCTTCGCCTCCTGTCGCAGGCAGAGTACTCAGCTTGGGCAGTGAGCTTTCGATGTCCAGCAAGGCAAGCTCCCTCGGCAAGTCGGCCTTGAGAAAAGCAGCCACTTTGGACGGCTGTATCCCCGGTGTCAACAGATCGTCGACGGAGAGCTGGCCGGCCGCATCGCGCAGGTGCTTTTGCGCCGCTTTGCTGTCGGTGAAATTGACACCCCACCCCAGACAGGTTGCCTTGGGCATGGGCCGTTCAGCTGGGCTCGAGGCTTCTTCGCACTGTAGCTGGTACGCGGGGTAGTGGTGGACTGTCTTTCCACTGTACGAGCTGATAATGCGGACCGAGCCATCACCACAAGCGACGGCAAGGAGTCGGCCTGGCAAAAAGTCAGCGTGAACGAGACCACAACACAGCACGGGGATTAAAATGAAGAAAAAAACAAAAGTATCCAAAATATTTACAGTAAATTGAAATAAACGAGGGGGGCAAAAACACTCACCATTTCCCTTCCAGATCAGCCCGCGAATCTCGCCGTCCTCCTCATCCTCGCCGAGGTAGGGATCACCTTTAAACGAGCCCCCAAACACCCGCTGCCCATTCAATCTGAAGACACGAAGCTCATCATCCTCGGTAGCCAGCGCAATCAAGTCCATCGTGGGACAATACGCCATGGTGCTGGTCTTGCATTTTGCCGGCAGGGACTTCTCCCCCACGGGCGTGAGCTGCGGGCCGTCTTCCGCCATGGCGAAGTGTAGTCTCTCTTTGAGTGGATGAGCTGATTCAGCCCATCCTTGGTTTTAGAGATTGGTGGACGGAGGGCACTTCTTTTATGGTTGGCGAGATTCGACTTGTTGATCGCGATGCGTGGTGGATGCAGGAATTCTTGGCGCGTGGGTGTTTTGGTGTGGTGCGGCGTCTGCCTCACCCCATCGACCATGATGGATGTCATGACGATAAAGTGGTTTGTTTACTAATTCTCGAGAGAACTAGAATGATTGGGCTTGTTTTTAAAACTGGAGGATTATTACTGCCATTATTATTGTATCGTTGGACTTGAAATATTTCTAAAGTTGAATTCATGCTCACGTATGTCTTACTATATATCTACCTAACATCAAGTACTTGTACAGGGGCGACGACCATCACCCAAATCCCAGCGACCAGCACTGGAGATTGGAAAACAAAAAGAAAAATGATGACAGTCTGCCATCAGAAGGGAGCACCGTCCATCTCAGCCTGGATCATGTTCTTCAGGTAACTGAGCTCATCCATCAACTCCTGCATGGTCGCCTGTCCGTGGACAGGGCTGTCATTAGGACGAGACCCAGAGGGATGCTTTTTCTCCTGGTCATCGCTTTCTCGCTTCTCACCACCTGACTCTCTCTGCACGTCCGGGAGAATGATCGGAGAGCCAGTGGTGTGATTCCGCGACAGGGCCAAAGCCTCCATGGATTCAAGCGCGTTGAATAGGGCCGCGTGGCGCTTGGGGTTGCTTTCCACCTCGTCCATGTTTTCGATTCCGAGACCGGACGCGTCAATATTGGATGACGACAGCGAAACGGCGAGCTGGGGCAGCGACTCGTTCCACGAAGGGATGTCGCCGGACGCCAAGTTCGGAGACGACGGTTTGGAGTGCAGGGTGAGATGGGGTGTATTGGGGTCGGTGTTGGGTGCTGGATCGGTCGGTTGCGACGACAGGTCAGGGGTCCTCCAGCTGTCGTCGACGGCGGGCGACTCAGTCTGGTCGTGGTTGAAGGTCGAGGTGGACACCATCGACTCGGGAGAATTGTAGTCAGTGTCGGTGTCGGTGCTCCATTCCGAGAAACGGCTTTGCTCGCCCACGAGGCACGAGTTTGTGGAGTCGTCCACAGTAGTCAGGCTCGAGAAATGGCTGCGCAACACCTCGGCGTTCATGGCTTTGTCGGTCTCGTCGATCTCGCGGACCGCTTCGTCCATCACGGAGGAAGGCGTGTTGGGCAGTGTGGGAAGCCTCTTTTCACTGGTATCCATGCCCGTCGGGGTGGTTGCATCGCTCAAATTTGCCTCATGCCGTATGCTCATCGGGATCGTTCCACCATCTTGGTTCGCACGGGTATCATCAGCTGCGGCGCCTCGGGAAATGCTAGGCTTGCGACGCTCCGGGCGTGTTTGCACAGTCAATGCTCGCGCAGGCGCCACATCCCCGGCACCAGCTTTCAATGCGCGACGACTTTGAATGGTAGCCGGTGTAGAGGTTTCAACAGGCTGTGCGTATCCAGCGTTAACCTTGATACCAGGGACGTTGCGGCGATCATCCGGGACATCCTGCTGTGGTGGCAGATTCGGTACATTTTGCGGCGCCGCATCGGGCTGTTTCTTAGGATCCGTCCCATCCGTTGGCCGAAAGCCAGGCTGCAGCGCCCGCGATCTTGGGGGCGACACAGAACGCGCGTCTTTCGAGCTGTGGGCTCTGCGAGTGGCACTGTTGGGCTGTGATACACTTCGGTGAACCCCACCACTGCTGGGAGAGGCACTGGAGGGAAACGCCGGACTTGGCTGGTGATGGAGAGGGGCGGATGTTTGAAGACGGGCCAGGTTGGGCTTGGGCGGCTTTCGCGGGTTCATGAATTTGTCTTCGGGATTCATGGTTCGGTAATCGGATTTTGCGGAGCTATTACTGCCGGAGCGGCCATGGACGCGACTGTCAGGTAAGATGATGGGTACGTTGAGCACATTCATCGGCTGTCCTGGGAGAAGGGGACAATTGGTAACGACAGGCTCTGCCTCGTTGTAGTGCTCCAGGTCATCGTCCAGCAAGTACTGTGTTGATGGTTAGCATTCCCTACCCCCTTTAGCGCGTCGACTATCGTCGAGATATACTGACATAGTACCAGTACGTGGCACCCATCTTGAGACCGCCTGTCCGCCATTGAGATTTGTCGTTGGGGCCGTCGCCAATGATGTCGGTGAAGGTGTGGCATCCTCTCCAGTGTCCAGCACCAACGCGTTTGTCTCGCTCCATGGCGTAAGGCTTGGAGAAATTGTCCCATGATCCGAGCAGCTTGACCGATCGGACATTGGGGTCGGTAATCCTGGGACAGAGTTAGCAGATGGCAGTGCCGGTCCGACGAAGGGGGATACTCACAACAAGAAAGTCATGAGGGTGGTCGATATCATCGCAATGCAATAGTCAAGGAGAAGAAAAGAGAGATGCCGCTGTTCCGGACGAGAGATAGGAGCAGACAACAGAGATCAAGAGAAATACCACGCAATGCAAAACCAAAGAAAACCACGAAGCCCAGAAAAAGAAAAGGGAAAAAAGAATGACAACAGATATGAAAACAATATAGTACAAAGAGAGTGTTCAACAAAAGAGAAAGAAAGAAAATCCAAAGAGCGCCGAATATAAGACAACACCAGTCGAGCTTGCCCAGCGACCAGCCTGGACACAGAGACAGGGATGTTTCTATAATTACAGCACCAAGCTCGCGGTGCCTGTTTCGGAATCGAGTGACAGGGCTAAGAATAACCGTCGAAGCCGTTTCAAAGGAATCGGGGCCCGGCCGCAGGATTGTCACAACAATGCCATGGCCTGGCTATGAAACAGGCCACAAAACAAAGCAGTTTGACGCGGCTGCTTCAGGATTCTCAGGTACTGCGCAGGGGATGTTGCGACAAGCGTGGCCAATGGGAGGGAGTGAGGCGGAAGCGCCGAGTAAACGGATTGGCGGGTGTTCCTGGATCCCAGCGCTTCGAACTGGGGGGGGGGGGATATCAGACGCAGGAACGGAGAGGTAATCAGAGAAAATGAAAGCGTAGGTTCAATTTGATCGAGGGTATGTCGGTATGGGTCGTGGGATGGTAGAGCAGCAGAAGAAAATATGAGAGAGAAAGAAGAAGGGGAAGGCAAGAGAGATTTTTGGCGATGTGATCGGCACTGCGGGGATTGTGATGACTCTCTCTGGCTGCCGATCAGGGAATTAGTGATGCCATCGAGTGGAGTTCAATAGTCGATAAGCTATGGCGTCAGCCACAGTTGAGAATCCGAGCCAATAAATCAAATCACCAATTCACCAGGACAAGCCAGATCAGAGGAAGTTCACGAAATAAGTCAGGAAGAAAAGGGGGAGAACAGCGGATGGCCATATCCCGGTGGCGTGCACGCGTACCATGGTTCGCTTCGACCATGCAAGGTACACCCGCGTACCTGATGATTGCCTGAGGGTTTAGGCAGCCGCATAGTTCCATAGCTCCTACGCTATCTGACTGGACAGGTCAATATCGGGTACTGAAGCTCATGGGGCTGTTTGCTACGCCACAGAGTTTCTGCAAGCCATCTGCAGGGGTTATTCTCCGTGGCGTGGAGTCCCAGATCCACTCGGGCGGCTCCTAAAATTGCTGCGGCGCTTGCAGGTGATACGTTTCGTGATCTGCCAAGACGTAGAAAATATAAATAATAATAAATAATCAAATCATAATTCAACCCCAAAGAGAAATTTAAAAACAACCCCTCCAAGATCAAGCTGACCATGAAGTAAACACCCAACACCGGGGATATCTCAACCGAGGCAAACAGCCCATGACTAACTCCGATTGACCCGATCAACCCGTTGGAAACCAGATGCAAACAAAATTCAAGATACCTGCCGCCGATCAAGTTTCTTATTGACTGCACCCAACACACACTTGAGAATGCCATCAGCATCAAGCACCTGGCCACGGCGTCCCTTCCAGGGCACAGTATCGACGATATCACGCAGGCGCTCATCGCGACAGCGGGTCCCGAGATCATCATCCAGCTCCTCGAGGTAGCGACGAACATGCTCATCGGCCCCGATCTGAAAGAACTGAATACCAACCTGCCAGGGCAGCGCATTACAGCGCGGGTGATCGAGCGTGCGAGCCACCTGGACAATCACACTCTCAGCATCGTCCGTGAACTCGCCGTCGGTGATAGCAATAATATTGACAGGCTTAACAGCTCCAGCCAACTCGTCACCGGCCTGTACGCGCTCCAGCTGGCGCAGGTACGGCGCCAGGATCTCGAGCAGGCGCTTGCCGACAGGCGTAGCCCCGCGCGGACGCACGCCGCTGAAGATCTCCTGGACGTCGTCGGCGGTGGTGATGTTGCGGTAGGCGCCGGTGGGGTCGGAGTGCGAGGCGCGGCGGTGGTTGAGGAAGTAGAGATCGATGCCGTCGGCGTCGTACTGCGTGCAGATGGGCGTGATGGCCGAGATGGCTTCCTCAGCTTCGTGCCAGCGCGGCCCGCTCATGCTCGAGCTGTCGTCGACCAGGAAGATTGTGTCGAAGTCGCGCAGGAAGGCATAGCGCGAGTCGCTGTCGCCCATTGAGGTCTTGGTTGTCTGTGGCACTTTCCAGTCCCGCGATTCGTAGGCCGGTGGCTGCCACCGGGCTCGCTTGGACCCTGGTCGGAACCGCGACAGGAGGCTGCTGTGTCGGCATATTCGGGATTGTTCGTTTCCCATGATGCTTGCGTCGGGCGTGATGGCAAGCGCGGACTCGCGGTGCTGGTGTCCGCTGAGCCGACTGCTGGGGAAGGATGACCACAGTGGTGGGGGGACTGGTCGACCGAGGATGGACATGGTTTCTTAAGTTGATGGGCTTGAGATGATGCGTGGATACGTAGTGTGCAATATGAAAATTTTGGGACCCAGGGATTTAGGCCATGGGGTTCCAAGGGGTTTAAAAGCCTAAGGTGAAAGAGGACGAGGCTTGGGCAGTATACGACCAAGTAGGCTGTGGGCAGAACTTCCACAAAACACGCGAGGCTCATTCACCCTCATAACATGGTTAAGCCCGACAGCATGCAACCAGGCTCGGTCATTGAATCAGGGGTTTTCTTGCAAATTAATCTTAATCGAGTCGCGTGTAAATAGATCCATGGGTGTATCTGAATGCATCACGGCGCATGCATGGCCTTACAGTCCTCCAGGGCTGTCCCTTTGACCGGCAAGGATATCTGAGAACTAATACACTCTGAGATAGCAACTAGGCCTCCTTTGCTTGCCCATTAGGTGCGTATTTCCCAAAGGTAAAAACACACATTGTGAACAAGATCGTATGTCCCCGCAAGGCTGAGCCGACACAGCCCCAAACATCGGATCACTCGGTGTCCAAGGCGCAGCGAACATGTCGGAAACAGAGCGAGATCTACTTGGGCTCGTATATATTGCATCCACCAAAGGCTTATCATAATTAATTGTAGTGCGTACAAGTCGCTGACCTCGCTTTGCTGAGGCGGCTTTAGGAGATGGAGAAAACAAAAACTAAATTTTATCTCATTTGAGAGATTTTATTATTGATTTCATATATAGATAGCTATTTGACAACTACGTCTACTACTACAACTATTACGTCGCTAATGATTTTTATCTCTATATTTTCTAATCCTTTTTTCTAATTACTTATAGATCTCTATTCCTCTCCTTATTTTATTTACCTCATTAGTCTTCTTTATTCTCCCCTGGTCTTTCATTCCTTATGATCACTTTCGATTGGTGTTTATGAGCTTTGTTATTCTTTACTATACTAATGAGCTGAACCAAGGTCAGCGCTAAGAAGCTCCGAATGGGCAATTGTTTCGCTGCGGTTACATATTCTTATATTATAGATACCCACAGACCCCAGATCTTAGGCCAGAAGTGAAAGTAACTATATGCAAATTCCTAGGTACAGACAAAATACCATACAACTGTACAAAGATATAGACACACTAGTTCTCCAACGCCGGAAAGTCGTGATAGTAAACGTTGATAGGCGCAACGCGATGTTCCTTCCATGCTGGAAAAGAGAATTATTTGCTTCGGGTCCGGAACCTACACACCAGGAGAGGGGGACATAGGTGTAGGGGTGTTCCCGGGAAGCATAGAGTAGGGATCAAACTCTTCCTCGGGCGAGTTAGACACATCAACGACTGCGCTTTCATCGATGGTGTCCTTCAACATGCCTGGATTAGCATCCACGACCTCCACCAGGGCCAAAGCCTGGTCGATACCCATCGTGTGGCCAATCATGTGCAGACATTGCATAACCCACCGGCGCAGGTAATGATTCGGGCCCTCCGCCACGCCGGCCAGAAACAGGGGCCATAGCAGCATGAGACCGCCGAGGTAGCTCTGCGGTTTCGGGTGATAGGTCGGTACATCTTCCTGGTGCGCATCGAGATGGAATGGCACACTGCGGCAGATATCTACCGCGAGCCGTCGGATGGTGGACCGTAGGCTCTCACGGTGAAGACTAAGCTCGTCGGATAATACGCTTGTGGAGGAATTGTCCGAGAATTGTGGGCTATGCGAGAGAATGATATCGCTGACGATGATGCGCGCACTGCGGTACTGGTTCCATGTGTTGCAGACGAAAAGATCCGGATAGACGGAATACTGGTCGTCGTATGGGCTCATTCCACGACACTGGTGCTGGAAGGCGAAGTCGAAGGGAGATCGAGTGCGAACGGTATAATTAAATTCGGGCGTCAGAGCGGTCATCCAGGCGATCAGCTCGGCCTCGATGGCCGAGGCAGCCGAAAGGATCTCGGGATTATTCTTAAATACTCGGTAGCGGATATCAGCCCGGAGATTCGCCAGCTTCCCAATAGTGATGATGAGTCGGTTGCCATAAGCTGCTCTGGGTTCCAGGAACATTGGAACCTTGCTGCACTCGAGGAGGGAATCGGGTAATCGCGTAGCTCCTTGGATACAGGCGATGATCTGGGAGAAGTTAGCATGAACTTGAATATAGGGGGCGAATTTTTGACCACTGCTTACAGTTTGATGTCGTAGATGTAAAAAGAGACGAAGGCCGGCTTCGGTTTCCAGTTGTTCGGGGCCACGAAGGTCGAGTAGAGCTGTGGCACCGCGGATATGCTGAGTCCACATGTATATAGTGTGAGGAGGCCTCGAAGTGACAATCTAACGTAATTAGTATATATATATATATATATATATATATATTTCTTCCATACCATAGAAATACGCCGAGGTATTGTGGCTTACCTCATAAATGGCCATAAGTACTACGGAGCCCAGAACCTGGTTGGTCTTTGCTTCTTTGACATCGGAAAGGGCCTCGTTAATCAACCTTAATGCGGACCCATACTCTTTGCGCGCCATTGCTTTCAGCGGGGCCATGTCTTTGACGCGGGAGAGCATAGCCACGGCGGTCGCGGTCACACTCGCTCGCATGGCTCTCGCACTTGCAGGACCCCCGGTCTGGTGCAAAAAGTCGGACACGAGGCTTGTCAACCAAAACGTGCCGGGCGACCCATTAGAGTTCAGGAAATAGCATAGTGCCTCATGCTTGTGGGCCTCTAGGTCTGTTGGTGGCTGCATCTCCAGTGGCCGTTTCCATAGTTGACGCATAAGATGCTGGTGTTGTGGGTCTGAGTTGAAATCAAAGTGGGGATTCTCGGATGCGGGCTCAGGTCGCACAGAATTCCCTTCTGGGGATGCTGTGCGAGAGAGCTGCAACTGGTTTGATCTCGAATTTGATCTAGAAGATGAACTTTGAGACGAAGTTGCCGCAGTAGTAGAAGTACGAGAGGTATTGCCGGCCTTTCGTTCCACTGACTTGCTCTCGTCCCGGAACATGAGCGACAGGGGGTCACGGTAGCCTGGGCATTCTCGTTTAGCCCGGACGCATTGCGAACAGGCCGGTCGGGCTTGATCGCATCGAACTTTGCGGGACCTGCATTGACCGCAGCCCTTGCTTGGCTTCCCGCAGTATACCATGGGAGAATAGAGTACCCTTTGTAACTTGGTGAGAGGGAACTCGGGAAAAGATGGGGATGATATTCCCAATCAGTTGGGGGCTAAGCTCCCTCACTCAGCCCTGCGCGCTTAACCACTTTGGGCATCCACCGCGAAAGGGGAGGCTCTTCAACGCTGAGCCACTTTTGCTTCTTCTTCTTCTTCTTCTTCTTCTTCGTGGCTTCACCTTCTGCTAAGCTCTGGCTGAGACATTGTAGTCTACCTCGGCGAAGACACTGCCACAGGTCGAATGAGGCATGGGGATCGCACCAGAGATCTATAAAAGACCATCCGGCATGGACAATTCTCAGCATCCATCAGTCAACATTTCCATTGATCCGCGGCATCTATATTCACATCTATACTTTACAAGTCCATCATGGGGGTCACCTATCGCCATGGCATCTCTATCCTCCAATTGATTATCTACCTCCCGTCCTTTTTCATGGCATCATTCCTTGTGTTTCGCCATGGGTTTCGTCAAAATAGCGGATTCTTTTTCCTCGTTCTCTTCACCCTGACTCGCATTGTGGGTGCATGTTGTGACCTGGCGACGATCCACAATTCATCGACGGGGATTTTCATCGCCGCGGCCATCTGCGGTTCGATCGGCCTGTCCCCGTTGATGCTCACATGCTCCGGACTGCTTTCTCGAGCGTAAGTGTTGACTTGAAAAGCCCATCCATACTTATACCCCATCAGCAACAGAAGAAAGCAAGGAAAAGCTCACATGTCCACATTAGTAACCTATCCATCCAAAACACCACCGACCAACCAGCCCTGCACACCCTCTTCTTCCACTTCTTCCGCCTGATGACAATCCTCTGCATGGTCCTGAGCATCGTCGGTATCACCTCAGACATGAGCCCCGAGGGCCTAAGCCACCCCGACATCAAGGTCAAAGTGGGCGCGATTCTCTACGTCGTGACCTGGGCGCTGATGTGCCTTTACCTGGCCATGCTTATCTGGCGACGCTATGCGCTCGAGAAAGGCGAGCGCCGCACCTTGGTGGCGGTGGCCATCTCGGCACCGTTTATTCTGGTGCGCGTTATCTACTCGCTCCTCATCTGGTTCGCGCACGACTCGGCCTTCAGTCTGTTCAATGGCAGTGTCACGGTGCAGCTGGTTATGTCTGTTCTCGAGGAGTTTGCGGTCGTTATTGTTTGTCTGGGCGTTGGTATGACTTTGCGGATGCGGAGTATGACTCCTGCGCAGGATGCCAAGGCTTCTTCTGCCTATCCTCCGGCTTCGTATGCCAATGCTTAATGAAGTGAACTGGACTGGTGGCTGTCGAGTCAGAGGGATTTGGGTGAATGATGTTATGCCTGATGTGTTCTAGAATATAAACTTGCATTTTTCTTTCGTTTTCATTGTTGTCTTATTATTTTCTGGCAGAGCATATTTATAGTATTTAGTAAATACAGCCCGAGATTCCCTACCTCCTTTCAGATACGTAGTCTACATCCGGAGATTTCTTTGTTTCTTTCATGGGTCATTGCTTTTACTACCTAGTAAAAATGAAATGTCTCTAGTTCAACTGTTAATCTTTGGGTCACATGGCTGTACTAGAGCCAAGCTACCATTAGCTTAGTTCCCGTCCGTAATTAGACTGGTAATTAAATGGTCGTTGAGATTAAATCAGACTACAACTATCGCGTAGGTATGAGACAGAAGAAAGGCCTCAGAAACTAGCTGTGCTAGTTGGATGGAAAGAAAGATAGAGACAAAGAACAAGAAAAAGAAAAGAAAAACCGCAAATTCCACGCGCCGGGTATTCGTACAGGCATCAGTCGTCGCTCGTCACTCGTAACCTTGTTTTTTTTTTGTTGAGATCGGCAGAAGTGGAGGGTTCGGCCAAGCCACGGGAAGAAAGAAGAAGGGATGGGCGGAAACGCAATGTGGCTGACCGAAGCTCCACAACTCTGACATCTCCTAGGGGCTCCACCGTCGACATCACTCGCTGGGCTCATCGAGACCCAGGGCAGACAGGCTCCCTGCCATTTCCACGAACAGTCCGCGTCTGTGCAGAGTGCTCTCTGCCCGCATCTGCGTGTACATAGCGTGGACCTCAGTGTCGCGGGCGTCCCGGCTCTCAACGTCGAAGAACTTGGTCGCCAGGCTGGTCCAGGCCTAATGTCATATCGTCATTAGTATGAACTCACTTGAATAAGCAGAAAATGAAAGGAAAGTAATAGCAGACTTACCTGATGGTACTTCGCCCGTTGCTCCTCGGGCCCGACTGCTGCCTTCTCGGCGAGCATGTCGAGGTATCGCCGCACGCGAGCCATGTCCTTCGCGACCGCTTCGGTGGTCGGCACCGCCTCGCTGGTAAACACGGGGGCGGCGGGAGAGATCATGGTAGTAGCCGGGCTGGCGGCCTCGGGCGCTGGGATTTCGATCGCAGGCGAGCCTGCGGCGGCGACCGGCGTTCGACTGGGCTGGCGGAACAAGGTGAAAAGAGATCCGCGGGAGGCCGGTGACTCGGCACGGGAATTCATGGTCTCGAATGTTGCCGGATCCCGTCGCTCTGAGCGGTTCCGTGCGAACACCTGGCGCAGGCCATCCATGACCCCCAAGGTTCGTCGCTGGTCCGTCACTCGCACCACGCCCGTCTGGATCACCGTGTTCGCGACCTCGGGGTGTCGCGTGACAATTTCTTCGAACGTGATGGCGGTGGGCTCGTCGGGCATAGAAACCAACAAGGGAGGGAAAGGGCTTTCCATGGTCGGGGGCTGGGATTGATTGTCGGCTCCCTGAGCATGCAGTTCCTCTGAGCTGGAAGAGGGGAAGGAGTCGTAATTGGCGCCGTCACTTGCCATGCTGTTGCGCTCCAGGGCGCGGGGGTAGAAGGTGGTGCTCGTCCGACGGGTGAGAGCTCGATTGGCCGAGGAGGAAGACTCGCTGCCCATGATGTATCGGCTTGCAGCCAACGAGACGTACATAGCAGGCTCATGGCGCTGCCGCAGGGTGTTCGAATCCCCGTCATAAGCAGACTCCGAGCTGTCCGGGTCTTCGAGGCTGTCATGGATGCTGGGCTCTTCGACAGTTGTCGGCAGTCCAGCAGCAAGCTCCGGCTGCATGGTGCCCTGGAAGACTCGGCGTCCCTGAGAGGCCTCGATGTACCGGATTGTGCCCACCGGCGAGCTAGCTGATACCCTTTCGGGAGACCTCTGTGCCGAAGCACTTGATCTGCCCGAAGGGACAGGGATGTTGCTGCGGGGCGAAGGCACCGCAGGGCCCTCATTTGCCGCGTTGGAGGTGTGAGAGTGGGAAGGTCTCACACGAGGAATTCGAGAGAGCCCACCTTCGCGGCGGCTCCTCGGGAGAGGAGAGGGAGAAACAGAAACAGAGTCTGAAGACATCGCAGCTTCTGGTCGGTGTTAGTCTCAAGGTTTTCGACCGTGATGGACCGTGATGGACCGTGGTGGTTGACAGGAAAACTTACTTTTCTTTTCGGTCTGCTCCGAAAGGTGGCTCTGAGAGAAGATGGGGGTGTTGTTGAAGTTCAATGACCGCAAGCTCGAGCTGTGAGACGACGCAGCTTCTGCCTTGGGTTAGCGCGAATGCTTTCCTCCCACCCCAAGAAGCATAGAGAAGTCCTCACCTTTTACTTCGGTCTGCTCCGAAGTGCCCGCTTTAACAGTCGTCACAGTCGGACGTCTGGTCCGACAGGTCTAGAAAACGCATGGATTGTCAGCCTTCAGCTCAAAGACACAGACGGATATCTCCAAGAAACAATGAGCCTCCTTGGACTCGAGACATGACGGGGAATATGCTTCCCTGGGGCATACGCCAGGGACCACCAGCACGCATCTCCCCAGTCTGTACGGCATCGTTTTACTTACTGCCGTGGCTCAGGGCTCCAGCCCGCAGAGACGAGATCCTGAGAGGGAAAAAAGATTCCCTCGAACTTGAGCTCTCGCTCTCGTCGCTCTCGGGCGAGCTCTTGCATATCAATCTATTAGCTCCGGGCTCTGAGGTCTCAACAAGGGAAGGAGCACTTTTATCAAACGGCAGCATGGCAGGGGGCAGAGCTCAACGTGAGGCCAAAGCAATATAGCTGGGGGTAGCCAACCAGCATCACCAGGCAGTGCCCATTGCTGCGGCAGCAGGGGCGCCGACTAAGCGATTGTGCTGGGAGTGCGGGGAGGGTGTTGTCATTGTGCTGGTCACTTACCATCTCTGTCAACCACCCCGGCTCCGGCCACACGACCTCCTCGCCCTCGACCACTTGGTCAGCCTCTCTCGAAACCGCGAGGGCCCACTGGTGGATGTCACCAGCGCCGACGTCCTATGAGAAGAGAATCAGATCATTGTAAGGGAGAACCCAGATATTGGCTACTCACGTCGGTATTCGCGGGCTCACCCCAGTGCCCCTTGCGAGAAGAGAGCTTCTCTACCTTAAAGGATTCAGTTTAATCAGTGTTTGTTCTAGATTTCCCGCGGTCTGGCTCATGAGTACTCAGCACATGGGCAGGCTTACCGCAACCTTGAAAAATCTCTTGCATGCCTTTGCAAGATGCGCAAGATTCAGCTTGCGGCACGTCTCCAAGAACGCCCACTTGAACTTGCCAAACGGCCGCTCGCTGGAAGACGGCAGGGGGCCGCTGCGCTTGCGCCGCAACCCGGGGACGGGACCAACGGTCCTGGGAACGGGGAGCTTCAGCGAGAACTCACCTTGCTCCTTAGCTGTACTATGTTAGCCCATCAGGTCCCTCTTGGCTTACCATGCTCACAGGAGTGTGGGGCTGGGGTTCTACTACCTTGGGCACGACGTGCCAGCTCCGCCCCCATGGGGAGGCGCCCGACGGCGACGGTCGGGACTTCCACAGCCATGCTGTTGCCTGTGCTTGTTTCCGACCTACCGGTCGGCATGGTCACTACCCAGCCCTGTATGAATCAGTCTGGTGTACTAGTCAACCAACAGACATTTGTTTTACGTTTGGTACATGCTAGGTGAATGATGGTGCTTTGTGAAGAGAGGTCTCTGGATGAAAATGACTCTTCTGTTAGCTCTTGCTTTTGAGAGGCGACCTGCCAGACTGCATGCCTGACACGTTCGATAGGGCCTCTAGCATGAGACACCCACTTACTGGCCGTTGGGACTTGGTACAGCTTGCTTCGAAAAAGAACGGTACAGAAAGAAGGGAAGGGCGATGTGGATGGAGAGAAAAGAAATCTCGGGATTGTGCATTTCGAGAGAAGCGAGATGAGTTGCCTGGGGATAGGGCATTACCCGATCAGGAAGAAACGAAGAATCCCGTGATCGGCCAACGAGGAGAGTATCACGGGATCTGGGCGCTGAGTCCCCAACAAGATGTTCCTTTTTCTCGAAGGCTGGCAGTGCTTTAGGGCTTGCATGTACTTTGGGGACTTGGAAAGCTATCGCCCAACAGGGAGACCAGCAGGGAGACGGCAAGGAACTCTTACAGAAAGGCCGACTACAACAAGGAGCATTGATTGGGGATGAGGAGAAATATGCAGCATTGAAATGGGATAACTCCCCGAGAACTTGAAACTGGACGAAGAGAAGGCAATCCATTGCGTTCCAGGGCTGTCTCGAAATGCGAGAAGTAGAGACTAAACGTGGCAGACAAGCCACCGTCGAAAACTTGATCGCAGGAGATTCCTACGGGTGGAATGGAGCGCTCAGTCGCCGATTCAGCGCTTGCTGCAACTCCAAATTCCTCGTCGTTGGGGGCAGAGAACCGCGGCCGTTGCGGTATGGCACAAGCATTGATCATCTATACGAGATCCGGTCAGCAACATCCCGAGCGGCCAGGGTGCTACAAATACGCGCCATCCAGAGATTTTGATATTGATTTCAGTATCCGGTCCGGTAAATGCCTGTGGTACTCCTGGGTGTCCAAGATAACCACAAATTCAGCACTGGGGCGCTTTGGGTCAGAAGGTCCTGGGAAGATATCAAGATGAGATCTATAAGTTGCTGATATCTTCAGAGGTTACAAGACCCCTAGAACCAGAGACTGGGATTAGCCCACTGACAAGAAAACCTTCCCATTCCAGCTTCGAGCTTCTGGGGAGATTGGGCTATAAGTAGATTGAAATGACATTTAAGAGCCTAGGGCTTAAAAGAAAAACATCAAACAAACTACAGCTTCCACCGCATCTGCCGTGACCGATGAAAGCACCCGCAACAAAGAAAAAAAGTACAAGCAGTGGACTTAGTGCTAAATTTGATGCTGCTACCCGACGCCTGGCTAAACAACTCCTCCCCCATTACCGCCATATCTACTCCGTCCGCTTGTTTGGAGATGCCGCTTCCGCATCGCCATGGTGTCCCCGTTTTCTCTTGCCGGTAGCATGTCCATTCGACTCTGAATCCTCTTGCAAGATACCCCCCGTGCCATCATCATGCCACTCGCTGATCTCCCACTCTATTGACGTCGACTGATCATCACTAATCCCCCTCCCCCGCTTCGCGCGCATCAGACGGCCGAGCCGGCTGCCTTCCACCATCTCCTCGAACCAGGGAATGCCGCCGGCCGTGCCACGTCTGAAACTCCGCGAGAGATTAGGTGTATCGCCGAAAGATGGCACAATAACAGAAGAAGATTGGGACCGGGACGAGGACGCCAGGGCTGACGATGTGGAGATGCCCGTGTGTGGTGTCTCGTCTTCAAAGTCCTCAGGGAGCAGGCCTAGGTCTTCGAGCTCGCGCTGGTTCTCTCCAAATAAACTACCAATTGCCACGGACATGTACTCGGCTTCCTCGCGTGGCTCTTCCGTCCAAAAGGTCAGCGGCGTGCCGCAGAATCCGCAGAAGATGCGCCGTGTGTGGGGGGCATGGCGTGGTGTGAAAGAACGGCGGATGGACGAGTGTGTCTCATCGGGGAAGAATGAGTGCGTAGAGGACTGGTACCAGTCCAATGGCACGCGCAGCCATGCTGTTAGCGGAGTGCCGTGGAATCGGCCTGGCATTGAGAATTAGCGGCGATCTTTTTGTCTAGATTTTCCGCCTGGGAAATCAGAGAATATACTTACGGTTGTCTCGGCTGCTGTCAAAGTATACCTCGGCATGATCGGTCACATCATCGGGGATGGTGATCTGGTAGTTGTTTCGGCCACAGGAGCATGATCCATGCAGAGGCTCGTAGACCATGGTGGTACAAGAACGCGTGGACTAGTGAACTGAACCGGTAAAGGTGTATGGAGTATGAGAAGATCGGATAGAATTGGAGAATGAATGGGCCGCAAGAATGCGACGATCGAACTCGATTGGGAGGAAAGAAAGCACAGAAAAGAGATTGAAGCGCAAGAATTCCAAGATGTGTGAACGGTGGAGCCCGTCGATGACGTTGAAGAGTGCCAAGGCCCCGGGTGTTCTCCGCATTGGCCTTATCGGCTTCTTCTCCTTCGCAACCCTGCCACTCTTTTCGTATTCTTGTCCCCATCGTTGTCCATTTGCAACTACTGTTGTTTGGTCTCCATGCCGATTCCTTAGGTGGAGCCATATGAAGAGAGAAGAAAGAGACTGAACCGCAAATTCCTCTCATGCCCATTGCCCATCTACTCGTCCCCAGTATCACCCAGTACCCTCACACCACCCAAAGCCAACATGAATCCAGAAGACGGCGATGACCGGTCGTCCTCGACACCTACCGGCACCTCGAAGCAGCTGTCCGCTCAGGATAAGGACAAGCCCCGTCTGACCGACCAAGAAAAGAAGAACAACCATATCGCCTCGGAGCAAAAGCGACGTGCGGCCATCCGGGAGGGGTTCGATCGCCTGACGGAGCTGGTACCTGGTCTCGAGGGCCAGGGTCGGAGTGAAAGCATTGTTTTGCAGAAGACGGTCGATTTCATCCACTTGAAGCTGCAGGAACGACACGAGCTCATCGCCGAGGTCGAGAACAAAGGCGGCCGGGTGGACGACTCGCTCCGACCATCATGATCGCTTTTTCGCCCTTTGGATGTTGCAATCGCCTTCCTTGAGATCAGAACCTATCTCCTTTCCTTTCCCGCATCTACGCGATGACTCCTGCATCCTGCATCGACGTGCCGAGGTCCAAAGAATGAGCGGTCTCTGCACGCACACGACCACATGAACCTATGCCATCGATACGAATTTCTTTCCACCTCTCTCGCCTCTGCATTTTCACGAGAACTCGGAGATGATCAGCATCCGTGTCCTTTTTTTGGCGGGTTGTCTAGTCTGCCACCTCTCTATCATTTCCCCTTGTCAATACACTTGCCACCAACAGCCTCGGTGCCTGCTGGATTACTTTGTTGTTAATACGCTTACATGGTTGATTTTTTTTTGTCTTTCTCTTTCTATGCGTCTATTCGTTTATTGTGTCTATTGTGTGTGACTACATTTTTGGGTCATTTGTCGGGGTTGGGTACTTGTCCGGGGCGCCAGAATGTATGGATACGGCTGTTGCCGCGAGGCAACCGGGGCGTTCTAAGGGGTCGGATCCTGTGGAATGGAAATATTGACGTTATCTCTGCTCTCAACGAATATCCCCAACCGATCACCCCATCGCCATGGTCGGGCTCTTCTCGCGCCCCGACGATCCGCTCTACTGAATGGTCACGTGGTACATTCACCGCCTGCGATCTGCCGGATACGAGGGGGGTTGTTGGCGCGGGTTGAGTCGACGTAGACTGCACATCCAGTGACATTCAATTGTTGGCATTTCGGACTACAAAACCCATTTCTTGACATACCAAGCTGCAAGCGACAGTGCGCCAAAACCCCTGAGAAGAATATTCAGTCCGGCGCACCAAAACAAAACCACCAACCAACATCTCCCCGCATCACCATCAACTAGACACCAAGAATACGACCAAAAAAAAAACCATCATGTCCGACTCCAAGACCAACCTCCTCGCCCACATGGACGAGTCCACAACCAACCTCGCCGACCCACCGCCAGCCTACGACCCGCGAACCAGCAAGCCCGCGCTCCCACGCCCACCCCCACTCTCCCTCGCCGTACTCAACGACCTCCGCACAAAACGCGTGATCCTAGCCTCATCCTCACCACGCCGCCGCCAAATAATCGCGCACCTAGGCCTCCCCATCGAAGTGATTCCCTCAAATGCCGAAGAAGACCTGCCCAAGACACTAGCGCCGTTCGAGTACGTGCTGGGCACGGCAACAAAAAAGGCCGAGGCGGTCTACGAGCAGGAAATCAACAACGAGGCCCACGGCGAGCCGGCGCTGATCCTTGCCGCCGACACGGTCGTCGTTGATACGGCGTCTGGCTCGATTCTCGAGAAGCCGCGCTCCGAGGCGCACCATGTTGCCATGCTGCGGTCGCTGCGCGATGCCCGGGACCATAAGGTGTTCACGGCGCTTGTGGCGATGGCGCCGTTGGCGAGTGCGCGCCAGCCTGGGTATGCTATGGAGTCGACGGTCGAGGAGACGGCTGTGCGGTTTGATGGCGAGGTTACGGATGATTTGATTCTGGCATATGTGCGGACCCGTGAGGGTGCGGATAAGGCTGGCGGGTATGGGTTGCAGGGGCTGGGGTCGATTCTGGTCGAGAAGATTGATGGCAGCTATGATAATGTTGTCGGGTTGCCTCTGAAGGCTACTCTGAAGCTCATTGAGGATGTCATGGCTCGGGCGGATGATGAGGATCGGTTGCTGAATGATCCGGTGTTGGATCCTAGTGAGGATGAAGACGAGGAATAGTCGGGTATAAACGGTATAAAGTAGCAACGAACGTTCATGATGATGTTCTAACATGGCGAGCCTGGTTTTGCCATCTGGGAATTAGCAAAACCGCATCGGGGGAGCGATGAACTCCACTGTATGCTTGATACCCCGGTTTCTATACTTGAGAAACAAAACGGAAATTGGAATTGGAATCCAGCACCCTGTTCGGGCAAAAACAAATGAAATATTCGACATATACAGAGGCGAAACGCCCGGATAGACCAAAACATAAGAAAAATAAAGGAACTCAAACACCCTTTTCACCAGTTCTACATCACTCTATGCCTTCCAGATGCGTCGCAGACCCTCGGTCAGACCCACATCGTTCGTCTCGAACTCGTACAGACCAACAGCGGTGGTGAGAGTAAAACCGCGCAGGAGCCAGTGCAGAAAAGAGCTGAACTTGGGCACACGCTGCGGACGGAAGTAGTCGATGATGGCAGCCCTAATAAAGATGTTAGCACGGCAGCTCTACAAACTGAGTATTGCGTATGGGTTCAGCTTACTGGAATCCGATGTGCGAGTGGGCGACGATGAGCGAGCAGAGCACAGCGTCCATGACGGGGTTGAGCGAACCGGCAGCGAAGGGAGCGAGAGTGAGGGGGACCAGTCCAAGACACACGAGTCTATTGGGATATCAGCATAAGCGACGGTCGATTTGGGGTTTGACGAAGCACCAAGTAGAAAACAATGCTTGGGAGACAGGGAATGAACACGGACCTCTCGAAAGACCAGTGGTAGCTACCTTCTGAGGGGTGGCTCTCGGGGATCGGGGCAGGGTCGTTCACTATCCGGGGATAATCAGCTATCAAGGACGCAATTGACGAGCGACTCCCGTGTCATCCAACACAATCCACCTGTGCTGGTTTGCGACAACACCGCTTGAGATTATTCGCTCCAGGCGGTATTTCAGGTCGACAGCAGCGAACAGCACCGGACGGGATAGTCGTGTGCGAAAAACGGAGAGAGAAAAGACGTACGGGTTCCCTTGATTTCCTCTGTAACGCAAAGATCAAAAAGTCAGCCAGCGCATCCCACAAACAGCCCCGGGATATATCCCCATTGAAACTCCACCACCAATCTCTACGATGGACCCTCTACTTACGAGGCAACGGGGGCAGGATCTGCTTCCGGGCGGACGCATGGAAAGCGACCATCTGCGACACGCCGACATTGCGCTGCAGGAGCGGCGAGCGGGTCGCGAGGCTCTGCCGGAGCAGAGATGAGCGGGCAAACATGGCCATTGTGTAGAGCAGGGAGGGGAGTCGAGGGGTCACGAAGAAACAAGGAGTGACGCTCTAGAAGACACACTCTCTCACACGCACAGGAAGGTGGGCACCTCGGGAGCCGGTTCGGTATGTCATCCTATTGCGGGTCATGTGATTGGTCGAGCGCCCGACATTGGCCGATGCGCGAGAACATTTGCCCGGTTGCTTCATGAGGATCTTGGGGGCATTTTCTATGTTTTCTGGATTTGATTTGATTTTATCCTAGTCTCTTAGTTCAAAGATCAATTAAGGTCAATTCTCGCATTGTTTTCATGTCGAAACATCGTCGGGTTCATGTCTTCTACCTAGAGTAGATAACCGAGGTATCGCCAAATCATTGCGCCGCGCATCTCGTTACTTCATCTCGAAAAAGAAAAGCCAAAAAAAAAGAAGAAGAAGAAAACTACCCCATGATAATTCACTCTAAAACTTCAGCACGGCCTTGCCCTTGTTCTTCCCATAAAAGATGCCCACCAGACCCTCGGCGGCATTGTCGATGCCGACAGTTTCGTGGATGAGCACCTTGAACGAACCCTCCTTAATCCACTTCTGCACGCGCTGCTGGTGCTCCTTGGTGTGGACGTCTCCCATACCAGGGTCACCGACAATGAAGCCACGCATAGTGAGGCGCTTGACGAGGACATTGTGGATGTTGGCGATCGGGTACGGGGCAGAGTTGTACTGGGAGATGAGACCGCAGACGACGACGCGGCCAAAGTTCTTCATGGCATCCAGCGCAGCCTCGAGGTGCTCGCCGCCTACGTTCTCATAGTAGATGTCCAGGCCCTCGGGGGCGAGGCGGGCAAGGGCGTCGGCGGGCTTCTCGTTCTTGTAGTTAAAGCCGCCATCGAAGCCGAGCGTCTTGGTGATGTACTCGAGCTTGTCGTCGGAGCCGACAGACCCAATCACGCGCAGGCCCTCGTGCTTGGCCAGCTGGCCGACGATCTGGCCGACAGCGCCACTAGCCGCCGACACGAAGATGGTCTCGCCCTTCTTGGGCTTGCCGATCTCGTACAGCGACGAGTACGCGGTCAGGCCCGGCATGCCCAGTGCACCCAGGAACACGCGGATATCCTCGATGCCCAGCGGGTTTTCCAGCTTGCGGATGTATCGCAGTCCGTTGCTGTCCAGCGCAATGTATTCCTGGACCGGGACGTGGCCGATGATCAGCTCGCCCTCGGAGTATTCGGCAGTGTTTGACCGCAGCACCTTGGCAATGCTGGCGCTCACGATAGGCTTGTTGAGCTCAAAGGCCGGGGCGTAGGACTTGACCTCGACGGGGCGCATGCGGCCGCGCATGTAGGGGTCGTAACTCGTATAGAGCGACTGTAGCACCACGCCGTTCTCAGGAGCCGCAACATTGCTGTCATATGCAGCAGCCTCGACAGTCAGATCTTGCCCAGGGACAGGATATCCCTGGGGAATCTTTTGAAGTAAAGAGCCTTGTTAGGAGCCATGATGTCTGAAAGTGGTTTGAAGTGGTTTGAGGGAAGAGCAATAGAAGTAGGTAGAGGTGACAGGAATAGAAGGGCGTTCAGAGGTAAAAGGAAGGGATTCCAGTCTTGCAACAGACAGCATTTTATATGAGTAGTCTGTTACACCGTCAAGCGGGGCACCCGAGCCGAGAAGACAAGAGTTTGCATCTCATCATTATTAGAAAGCATTGCCGATGGGTCCCGGAGAAGCTTCTCGAGAAGCTTTCCCAAGGGTCAAAGGCGTCAAAGTGCTGACACCTCCACTCGGCCCACCGGTGGCTCAATAATCACTATTTCCTCCACAGAAACAGGCTCCCTTGCCTCGGCTGTTCAGTGAAATTGTCTGGGAGAGTACCCAGGTCCCTTTTGCACAATCCTCGGTGGCGATGGGGCGCAGTGGAGCTCGGAGGAACTGAAGACGAAGCCCGACGGAGCAACACCGTTCTGGGCAGGAGAACCGGTTCACGGCATGGCGACAATCGAGCAGTGAATCATCCATGAGTTTTGTGATTTTTCAGCCGGAGCTGTTTGCCTGTTGAGGTGAAGGTGGGGCAGATCAGCGATCCGATCGCTCCGGCACTTTGTGCATCTTACATAGCAATCCCTTGGCTCACAGTAAACACAGTAAATACATTAAACACATTAAATGTACTCTAATACTAACAGAAGATCTATTTAGAACTTGCCAGCCACCATATCACCTGCCTTGGTGATGAAAAAGTCCCGGCTCTTGACCATCTTCACCATGAAATTGAATGGTGTCATGCCGTAAAGCAGTCCTGTCCCACCGGCCTCACCCACCGGCACCACCATCAGAAGGCTGTCACCTTGGTTGTAGGTTCTTCGACACCCTTTGCCAAGGATATCATTCTTGAGGTTAGCAGCAACCACTGGTGCTTGCTCGGCTGCTTTGATAGCCAGGCGCATTGAACTATTTGTGATGTCACCAGCAGCATAGATTGGCAGCGATGAGTTCTCTGACAAGACATGCAGCTCCGAGTCTACCTTGACCCAGCCATTCTCATCAAGGAATTGTGCAGGGATAAAGCTGTTGTTCGGGGTGGCTCCGGTCGTGGGGATATACACATCGGCCGAGAGCGTGTCCCCGTTGTCCAGCGAGACCGTCCAGGCCTTGGATGCTTTGTCGGTGGAGGCCTCTACACCAGTCACCCGGGTTGAAACAAGGATTTTGACCTTGTTCTGTTGGAGGATCTGCTGAGCGGCAGAGCTGCCCGTGGGCTTGAGCATGGGAAGAATTCGATCCGTTGCTGAAACAAGAGTGATGGATACCGGATTGCCGCTCTGCTGCACCACCTCAGCAAGCTCGCCTGCCAGCTCAACTCCAATAGGCCCCGCACCGCCAATGACGATCTCCCGGGCATCCTTGATCTGCTGCTGAGCCGCCTCGACCAATTGTTTCATATCGTCTTGCTTCGATTGATTGAACGGAATGGGTGAGCCGGTGATGGACCCAGTGGTGGCAGCGCTGGTGCTTCCGGATGCGATCACGAGATAGTCGTAGGAGACCGGCTGGGCGTCGTCTTTGCCATTGGGGGTTACGGACACGGTCTTATTGTTCACGTCAATGGCAGTCGCAGTGCCAGCGATAAACTCGAACTTGTTCTCCTGGTATTTGGCGAACGCGTCCGGAATCGGGAGCAGGTATTGGTCTGGACGGAAGGCTTGCGGCTTGGCGACAATGCGCGGCGCGGCGATGTTGAAGTAGAAGGTAGGGGACGGGTTGATCAGAGTGACTTTGGCCTCGGGTACGTCGCGGAGGACCGAGTGGGCGACATTAAGGCCTACCACTGAGGCGCCGATGATCACCACGTTGACCGCCATGACGAGATGTGAGATTGTAGTGGGGATGGAGGTGAGTTGAACAGTGGGGGGGGTCCCCGGGACAGCAGGGAGTTCTTATAGCAGCCATCTCACCTGCCATTCCCTTGCACTGCCCTTTGACACGGCATCGTCTCCATACCGGCGAAATGGTTTCACCGACTGCCATGCGATATACACGGCTTCTGGACGTGTCAGAGAAGCGCTGGAGCCAAAATCACCCTTTGTCAGCGGAACATTGCTTCCGTGGCCCCGTGACCGGTAAAAATGCTGATAAATGCGTTAATACCTCCGCTTATTGACGCCTCCTGGGGAAATCCATGGGATGAATTGATTAATCAGAAAAGAGGAAAAAAACCTTAAATAACCCAAGCTGGGACCGATTGATTTATAACCAGAATCGGGCATGTGTCCAATATTTTGAAGTGCCGAAGGGTTGTCTCCCGATGACTTCGGTACCGAACCTACTCGGTGCCGAAGCAGCTCTCAGCCCCTCGAAGTTGTAGACAACAAGTATAAAGATATTTTTCCGCGTCCTTTCTCTACAAAAGGATTCGATATTCTACTACGTCGCCCTTTTTTCTTTTTTCTTTTTTTTTTTTTTCTTAGCCATCTTATCTTTGCTAGTGTCCAGCGTCCAAAGCACGTCAAGATGAGTTCAGAAAACTACCCTGTTCACCGCAATGGCATCTACCGTAACCTCCCCACCTTCGACCCATCTATCACCGGATTAACCGCTATTGTGACTGGCGCCAATGGAATCTCTGGTTTCCACACTCTGCGAGTGTTGCTGGAGAGCCCTGAACGATGGTCCAAGATCTACGCCTTATCCCGTCGACCTCCTCCCAAGGAGATGTTGGCTTTGCTCTCCGAGTCTCAACGATCGCGTCTACAGCACGTGGCCGTGGATTTCCTGGAAGAGCCATCGAAAATTGCGGATGTTTTGAAATCAGTCCATGTCACCGCCGACTACATCTTCTTCTACTCCTATCTCCAGCCCAAGCCACCAGTCGGGGCTCCAGTCTGGTCCAACGCCGAGGAATTGGTCAAAGTCAACAGTGCCCTCCTCGACAACTTCCTGCAGGCGATCATGCTTGCGAAAATTACTCCCAGACGCTTCCTGCTCCAGACAGGAGCAAAGCACTACGGGGTGCAGATCGGTCGTCTCCGCACGCCAGCCATCGAATCCGACCCCTACCTATCCCACCTGGAGCCGAACTTCTACTACCCGCAGGAAGAATCCCTGTTCAATTACTGCAAAGCGCAAAATACTTCGTGGAATGTGATCCGGCCGGCCTGGGTTCTCGGCGCTGTCACCAACGCCCAAATGAACGCTCTGCTGCCCGTGGCCATCTATGCAGCCGTCCAGGCCCGAAAGGGAGAACCCATTGCTTTCCCCAGTGATTGGGAGACATGGCAATACGAGTCACATCACTCGACGGCTTTGCTGACTGGCTATCTGTCCGAATGGGCTGTGCTAGAAGACAAAGCCAAGAACGAGGCGTTTAACGCGCAAGACACCGGCCCGGTGACCTGGGACAGATTCTACGAGGAACTGACCCACTGGTTTGGCGTTGCAAAGGGCGTCATCCCGCCGGAGGAAGATCTATCCAAGTTCGAGGAGTCGGTTGGAAAGGCCGGTGCAGACACACCGATGGGGTAAGTATCACCTGTCCATGAATAAATATATGGTCAAAGGTCTATGATACTCTATTATATGGATCACTCTGACTGACTCTGCTCTTAGATACGGTCCTCCATTGGTTCATCGAACTACCTTCTCACTCGTGGATTGGGCTTCCAAGCCCGAGAACAAAGCAGCCTGGTTGGAACTGCAGAAGGAATCGGGCGGCCAGCTCACCTCCAACCCGTTTGACGATCCCGAGACAAACTTTTCGTTTGGTGACCAAGCCTTCAGGAAAGTTCCAAGTATGAATATGAACAAAGCTCGCCGGCTGGGCTGGACGGGATTTGTCGACACGATCGAATCCTTGTTTGAGATTTACTCTGAAATGGGCGATTTGGGTATGCTGCCGCGCTTGAAAGCTGATAAGCCCAACCCGCTTGTTTGAGGATACTCTGGCTTTGCATATATATAAGAGAATGTAAGAAGCACCGATGATGGTTTTTTTTGAATCAAGAAATCCCAATATTTAAGTCTTATTTTGCGCAAGTTATACTCTGTTTAAGAGGGTATAGATAATATCTTTGGATAGAGAGCTATGATTACTTCTTTAAATGCCTGACTGCCACTCTTTCGATGCTAATTTTGTAATCCTTTAGAATACCCCTGTTAATGTTCCTTTTTTTCAGTTTCTCTATAATGTTTACTTCTCTACCTTGAGCTATCAGGGGAGTATACAGTCGTATATTATAGATACCTCCATCTTTTTCAGTCACTCACTAAAGCAAAATATACGGTTGCTACTAGAAAGACCTCACTCATCAGCTAAAATTGAATCTGTCGCAAGAATCCTTTAGTTTTGCGAATTCTGGGGGTGTAGGCACTCCTGGTGGGGGCTTCTCGGTACCGACAATATCCAAGTCCCGTCTCGGTAGATTCAAAGTCCCAGTTCCGCCACCGACTTTCGGTTGATTGCAAATGATCATGGGATTTCTATACCCGAAACATGTCTGTGGTCGGGACTAGGATGGATTCTGCGCCAATCTCGATGGAAATCCATGGCAAGGAGTATATAAACCAACATGTCCATTTCTCTCGGTAGTTTACAGCTTGTTCCTCTGGTCTATATATAGACTTCGACCCAAATATGTCGCAAGCCGAGAAACTCGCTGCTCCTGTAAAGGCTTCAGCGGATGACACGCCTTTGTGGAAGGCCATCTCAACTCGAGCTCGTCAGAATCTCTTCGACTCGATTCCATTGAAGTGGAGATTGCCTCCGACTTTTGAAATCCCCGATACCGACCTCCAACGCGCCGCGCGAGAAAGTGGGATTCTCACGCCAAGACAATTACAACTGACCGAGCTGACCGTCACCGAGCTCAGTCCTCATATTCTCGCCGGGAAGGTAACGGCGCTGGAAATCACAGAGGCATTCTGTGCGCGTGCGGCGGTTGCCCACCAACTCGTGAATTGCCTCACTGATTTCTTCCCTGACGAGGCTATTAAAGCCGCGAAAGCACTGGACGCCGAATACAGCCGGACTCGCACACCCCTAGGTCCTTTGCATGGCATCCCAATCGCCATCAAAGACACATGGAAAATCAAAGGCAAGAGAGCGACCAATGGCTGCGCTGCATGGTATGACCGCGCACCAGCAGAAGAGGACGCACCACTTATTCAGGTGGTCAAAGACTCTGGAGCCATCATATTCGGAAGAACGACTATGCCCCAGACCGGGATGGCCCTGGAGACCGTTAGCCCGCTCTGGGGACGCACTCTAAGTCCATACAACACCAGATTTGGACCAGGGGCTCCTCCGGTGGAGACGGCGCTTTGGTGGCAATGCGTGGAGCCCCCTGTGCGCCGTTGTCTTCGGACGTGGGAGGCAGCATTCGAGCTCCAGCGGCTTTCAATGGCCTCTACGGTATGCGACCAACCTCGAACAGACCTCCTCGAACGGGGATGGCCTCCTCAACATCAGGCCAGATCTCCATCAATGCATCCACAGGTCCCTGTTGTCGCAGCATGGCCGATTTGAAGCTTCTGACGAAACTCGTATTGACGCACCCGACTGTGCCGTACGAACACTCGTGTATACCTGGGTTTTGGAATGAGCCGCCCCGCAAATCGAAGCTTGCGGTGGGCATCATGTGGACTGATGAAGTCGTCACTCCTCACCCGCCGGTAACTCGGGCATTGAAAGAAGTTGCTTGTAAGCTTCGTGCTGCCGGGCATGATGTGATCGAGTTCAAACCACCAATCAACTTTTGGGAAGCTGCCCTGGCGACATGGATTCTCTACTTTCAAACCGGAGTCAACGAGACAAAGGCTGCGCTGGCATCCACAGGCGAGCCTCTCATTGCACAATTTAAATACAATATCGACGTGTTTAACGTGCGAGAACACACTGTCGCAGAGGTCTTGGAGGCCCACAAAAAGCAGGACGCATACAAGGCGGCTTTCACGCAGGCTTGGAATGCGACAGCCGACGAAAATGCTCAGAGACAGCCAATCGACTGTATCATTACTCCGTCAGGGCCAGTCGCAGGATCTCTGCATGATTTCTGTCTCTGGTGGGGATATTTCACTATTTGGAATCTCTTAGACTATCCCTCTATTATCATGCCGCTGAAAGGGTTCAAAATTGATCCCGTCAAGGACGCAAAAGCTGCCAACTATCAACCGCGTGATAATCCATTCGACAAAATGAACTGGGAAACTTGTGGGTTGTACTGAACGATTCAATTGGGGCGACACTAACATGCGTTGTATAGATGACCCCGAACTATGGAAGACGCAGCCTGTGACTTTTCAAATCGTGGGAAGACACTGCAGGGACGAAGAGCTCATTAGGGCGTCAGAAACAATCGACAGCGCTGTCAACGGGAATCCCATGCCCATAAATGGACAATAGGGCGTTGTAGGATAAAGATGGGCACGCCTTCAGGATTTGAGAAACAAGGCAATACCGCAAGTTCAAGTGGAATTGGATCCCTCGACAAGTAAACCAAGCAGGCGATGACACCAGTATCATGCTGATCTATCGACACTAGGCCCTAATTTATTATACTATTCCATGAGTAATCATTCAACCAGTCCCCAGTCTCCAGCTCTGTTCCTATATTCGGCATGCGATAATTCATCATGATGTCCCCCCAATCAATGTCGATTTCAGCGGGCAAGTGGGGGGTAGCCAAAGGAGGATCCTGTGCCTGACATTCTTTGATGATGATCTCGGCCCGAGCATTGAGGCTCTTGCAAAGTCTCCAGACGGCTTCGATGTTGGCAAAAAAGGGCGAAAGGGCGTCAGCTGGGGCGAGTAGTCTTTCTAATTGGCCCTGTGCAGAAATGGCCATGACGATAGACCCATCCGCAGCCCTCGATCGAACCTCACGAGCGAATTGAATGGCAGCGCCCATCAGTGCGGTGATACTGCTCTGGTGGCATTTTCGAATGGTGTTCTGCACAACCATGGCCTCTAACGTAACGAGGATGTCCGATGCGGCCTCGGAGCAAAGCTTGACTGCGTCTGCCGCGCTGCTGGTCCGATGCACGATCAGCACGAGCAGGCTGTAAACAAGCCGAAGTTGGCACGACCAGAAATCATGATTTGGCGGGATCCGCAATGCCACTGCAGCGAGGCGATGCTCAATGGCAGTCACTTTATGGCTGATATTTTCGGCTCGCGGGGCTCGGAGACTGAAAATGTCCAGTGCGGCCAGAGAGAATTCTGCCAACACGGAGCAGAAACGTCGATTCACCAGCTTATCCTCGGAGTCGTCCATGTTCTTGAAATCCTCGTCCTCCAGAGTCCCTACGTCAAAGTCCTCTGTGCGGATCATGCAGGGTCTGCCGTACTCGAGTGCCAACATCACTTCACTATATAGGACCATCCACCAGACCTTCTTATATTTGCGGTAGAATCGATTTCGGTAGGGCGGCACATATCGAATGGATGCGGCTCGATGCAGTCCCATTCCAAAAGCAATGCGGGTTGCATTGCCAACCCAGTAATATGCATTGCTAGCCACGGTGTCTGAGTTCTCTGTGTACCAGGCCATAAGAAGAGCCGCTTGGATGAGATCAACGCGGTCACTTTCATGCTTAATGTCAAAAAGCGTCTTGGTCCGTCGGAAAAGTATGGCTGTCGTCATTCCACGGGAGGCAGCGACTTGGGGATGGTCAGTGATGCGAGCCGCTGCGAGAAGAACGGCCTGGAAAATCAATAGTGGAGGTTGGTTCTCTGGATCGGCGTATTTTTGACGAAACTCGGCTTCATCTATGACCGGAAACCCGGGGTGTATGTCCTGAAAATACGTTTCCACGAGTGCATCTCGAACAGACTGGACTGGAAGACTGCTCAAATCGTTGATGGACTCGGCACTCAGATAATGATGGCTGCCAATTTCGGGACGGGGTTTCCAGGGCAGCTCATCTCGAATTGCAGGAAAGGGGTAGGAAAGAAAGGCGCTTCCAGGTGGTTCATGATCCCGGATCAGATGATGCATGTTAGCAACATCCGTGCCGATGTACACATTTCGAAATGTTCCATTCTCCTCAAAGCCATCCCATTTGGAGGAAATGATTCCTGCTTCAAAGAACCTTGATAAGTTGCCAGAGCCAAATACTGGACGAAAATTGGAATTTGAAGCTTGAGCTGGAGAGTGTTGATGTTTGTCCAGATCAGCATCTGGTAAATCTGGAGCCCGAGATTGATTTGTCCGAACACTTCTGCGCCGGCGGGTCATTGCTTGCAGTTGGTTTGGATGAGGACTAAGGTCTGTTTAGCTAATTTCCTTGGTCCATTTCTCTTCGTCGAATTACCTGCATTCCACCCCGGCCCGCTTGCATGAGGTACATGGCTGATCCGCTGAAGCATCACATTTGACCTTGCGCTTCCGACAGGCCCAACAAGAGGTGTTGAGCCTACGCCTAAAATTGCCAGAGTTTTCTCTTTGCATTCTGGAGAACTCCTTCGCATTCTATTTGAGAGCTATGTCGGAGAGTTTTTATGCTGAGACTATGCCCATCCTCGTAGACCAATTAATAATCACCATGTCGTCTACAGTCATGTGACCTTGTTCATCACAGCTGTCCAATCAGATCTTCCTTGAGGAGACTGCTTATCGATAGGGTCACGTGCTGGATCTTTTTTATTTTTCGTCCCCTGATGGCTGCAGGTTCGTCCTCATCCAGTGCCATTATCTTCGGGCCCTTTGAATTCTTCCCATTTGCCCATCATGCTTGGTGTTGTTCGCTTGAGCGCTTCCCAGGCTGTGCGAGCATCTGTCCCGCGCTCCTTGTCTACGCGATTGGCACCGCGACTTGTGCAATGGCAGTCTCCATTGACGCAGTCCCCTGCCATGGGAAGATTTCTGCATACCTCGTTTCCCCGGCTGAGTGCTGCTACAGCTGAGGCACGAGCTGAGCCCACCGAGGATGCCACGTCAGACGCGATCACCGAGTTCATGGACTTGAAGACGAAAGGCCTGATTCATCCCCGGATTGTTGACAACATCACCGATCCGTCGCGGATGGGCCTCAAAACCATGACCGAAGTCCAGAGCCAAACTCTCAACGAGATGCTCGGGGGGCTGATGTGTAAGTTTCTGTTTGAATATTATCTGGCCACGCTAATCCCTGTGGGTTCTGTGCAGTCTGGCGCAAGCCAAAACTGGTACTGGCAAGACGCTCGCGTTCTTGCTTCCAACTATGCAAAATATCATCAACGATCCCACGTTTAAGCCAGTCAACCGCGGCTCAAGAGCACCGCGCGGAGCACGTACGACTAGCGCCTCTGATATCCGCGCCCTCATCATCTCGCCTACTCGGGAACTCGCGGAACAGATTGCAGTCGAGGCCCGAAGGGTTGCCTATGGCACCGGCCTGATGGTACAGACCGCGGTTGGTGGTACGCAGAAGAGAGCCGGGTTGAAGAAGATTCAACAAGAAGGGTGTCATTTGCTCGTCGGCACCCCGGGCCGCCTCAAGGACATCCTTTCCGATCCCTCCAGCGGTGTCTCGGCGCCGAAGCTGAACACTTTGATTCTGGACGAGGCCGATCGGCTCTTGGATCAGGGTTTCTGGCAAGAACTCTTGGCTATCCAGGATCTCCTGCCGGACCCAGTCAAGGTGGACCGTCAGACGCTCATGTTTTCGGCCACGGTCCCCAAGGAAGTTATGCAAGTTGTGCGTCGTACCATGAAGCCTAACTTTAATTTCGTCAAAACCATCCGCGAGGATGAGGCACCCACCCATCTCAGGGTTCCACAAAAGACTGTGATTTTGCGGGGGTACGAGAACGCACTGCCGGCTGTGCTTGAGCTCGCCAAAAACTATCAGGCTCAGCGACAGAAGGACCCGGAAATGCGGCCCTTCAAGGCAATTGTCTATTTCAATGCCACTGCCGAAGTCAACCTGGCAGCGGCGACTTTCGACCGCATGGGCACGACCGCCAACGGTCGGCCAGTCCCGCACCCCCTGGGAAGAATGCAAATACTTGAGATCCACTCGCGGTTGTCGCAGTCGCAGCGCACCGTGAGTGCAAATTCCTTCCGGCGCGCAACCGAGGGCATCTTGTTCTCGTCGGATGTGACCGCCCGGGGCATGGACTTCCCGGAGGTCACCCACGTCATCCAGGTGGGCCCTCCCCGAGACCGAGAGACCTACATTCACCGTCTCGGCCGTACTGCTCGTGCCAACAAGACCGGCGAGGGCTGGACCTTGCTTCATGGCGGGGAGTATGAGGGTTTCGACCAGAAGCTGGGCGATCTGCCTCTCAATAAGGACTCGAAATCGCTGCTTACCGCTGCCGTGGATATGACTATGCAGCCGCTCCAAGCCTCTGACTCTGCCACCGAAACTATCACCCAGATCCGAGATGCCATGAAGCATGTCTCCTACGATATAAAGCGGCAGGCGTACGTTGGCCAACTCGGGGGCCTCATTGCCAGCTTTAAAAACCGACGGCACGCCGTGCAGGCACTTACCGACATGGTCACCCATGGCTACGGCTTGCCAGAGCCCCCGGCCATCCGTGCGAGCCTGGCGCGAAACCTCGGCATTGATCGTTACCCGGGTCTCAATTTGAGCCAGGGGTCCAGGTCCTCAGGACGCAGCTCGCAGTCGAGTTCTTCCAAGTTTTCAGGACGCAGCAGCTCGCCGCCCAGAAGATTCGCCCATCAAGACCTTGCCGATATCTTCCACCGCCGCACTCGCTACTGATTTCGCTCGGATGAACACTGCAAACATCAAAAAGTGACAAAGTTAAACCATCCCTGCATTGGGCGGCGTTCCTTTCTCTCTCTTTCTTGTTTTTGGATTATCCCCTTGAGGATTGTATTCTACAACCGATGTGTATTTCTACTTTTAGACTTCTCTCCTCATGTCTTGGTCGGATGCTTGTTCCCCTATTGTCGATTGCAGTTGTGTTTATGTGCTCTAAATGAGTCGTTCCTTTCTTGTGAAATATAAATGTATTAGTGTTTTGGCGGAGATATTCCATGATCTGGACCTCATTCGCAACTTTTTCGTCCCGGGAAGCTGTATCCGTATGTCCGGGCTTCGGAACCCGAATAATAGCATCCGGCCGTCTATCATCGAAGCTGAAGCGGAAGCTGAAGTTGAAGGAACCCTTCAGAAAACTAACAAATTTCCCGCTTCCCCCTCCTTCACGCCGTCCAGCGACAAAATTTGCCAATTCAGGCCTTGAGTTAAAAGCCCTACTTAACCAGGCCTTGCATTTATCATCGCCGTTGGTCTCTTCTAGCTTGTCAAAATAAGTCTTGGGTAAAGATGTCTTTTGTTGAGGCATATGAGCAATTAAGATGCGGGGAAGGTAGGAGAAGTATATACAGACCAGGGAGAGTAAAGATATGCAGAAAATATTACGTTGAAATATTCAAATCGCTTTAGCGATAGAACTTCGATCGTAGCACATAATTAACAGCCCCGGATATTAGACCGATATAGAAGAAAATAAGGGCCCTGGTCCTGGACAGATAGAGCACTTCTTAAGAGTTGCAAAAGGAAGTAAAAGAAATAAGCTACCTATTAAATAGGACAAAATAAGTACTAATAGGTTTTAAGTCCCACCTTACAAGGCGTATGGTAGGTAGGATAAATACTGCAAGTGTAGACCTGGGATTTCATGATTGCCAAAGCCAGAAGATACCTGCTGACAATACATTACAAGTTTTGCTTATGAGACCCGTGATATATATGAATGAAAAAACTTGATTTCTAGCTCTACCTTTCCCACGGCAACACAACCCCTAGAAAAGACCATAAAAAATTGAAAAAAAAAAAAAAAAAAAAAAGGGCTCAGCCGGGAATTGAACCCGGGACCTCGCACAATGAAGGAGTAATCTCCCGGTGTTACCCGAAGCGCGAATCATACGACTAGACCACTGAGCCGATCATTGAGTAAGAGTCGACTTACTTAGAATGGTTTGAGGAGAGACTATAGTAAACATTTTGTGATAGCAAACATAGCAGAAAAGTGGGTCACTCTTTTAACTGATGATGTGGTGGATTTCTTTTTCTTCACGTTGAATAGAGTAGATCTTAGTTTTTAATTTTGATTTAAAGACAAAGATATAATTTATAAGATTTCTATTTAAAATATATCGGGTATTTAGAATGGCTCTGGTATTAACAGTTCTAGGGACTTTTCTCTTATCCTTACGAGTGACGAATGGCGAATACCCCCAATGCCCGGGAAGTGTATGGCTTAGAGCATTGGCGTCGCAACTGATGGAAGGCTTGCTAAAGAAACTAAAGCGCAAAATTCTGAGATATCACCAGCCTCGATTAAGCCCAGCCTTATATATCGTACATGTGGCGCGCGCCCATAAACCCTCTACAACAAGGCTCAGGTGCAAGCATGTCCATTCGAGAAGGTAATATGTCACATCGAAGATGAGAATGGCGCAGAAAAACCGGTGTATAAAATTCGACCCCCCAGAGCCCGACTATACTGCATGGGACCAACACAAGACAAATCAAGAAGCAGAGGTCTACCACCGAGAGACCGTTTTCCGCATGAAATAGACAAAACATGATAAATCACAAAAAAGAGAAGAAGAGAAAAGATCTAATCCCGGAAAATGACGTGGTCCCGTGAAGGACCCGTCCCGATCCATTTGACGGGGACACCGCCGAGCTCGCGCTCAATGTACTCGATATAGGCGCGGGCGTTGGCCGGCAGATCCTCGTAGCGGGTGACACCCATGGTGTTGGCCTTCCATCCCGGCAGCGTGACATATTCAACCTCGATCTTTTCGACGACATTGGGGTCGGCGGGGAAAGAGCAGGTGGTGCGGGAGCCGTCCGGCAAGCGGTAGGCGACGCCGACCTTGATCTCGTCAAAGTCATCCAGGACATCGAGCTTGGTTAGGTTGAGGGCGGTGTAGTGGTTGATGGCGTGGGAGTAGCGGCACAGCACGAGATCAAGCCAGCCGCAGCGGCGCTTGCGGCCCGTGGTGACGCCGAACTCGCGGCCGACGCTCTGCAGCTTCTCGCCATCGGCATTGAGCTGCTCGCTGGGGAACGGGCCCGATCCCACGCGCGACGTGTACGCCTTCACGACACCGATCACAGACTTGATGCTGGTCGGGTTCAATGCCAGTGCTTGCACGGCACCACCCAGCCCCGTTGATGACGATGTCACGAACGGGTATGTGCCGTGGTCCAGGTCCAGCATCAGCGCATTGGCACCCTCTACCAGCGTGTTAGGAGATTCCTTGTGCTTCTGCAGAAACTCCAGCTGGTCAACGATAAATGGCTTGAGAAGCGTGCGGTATTCCTGCATTTCAAGTGTGAGCTTCTCGCCATAGGTGATGCGATATTAATTCTTCCTTTCATACCTTGAACCGCGTAATCTCCTCCTCGACATCATACGTCAACTCCCCGAACCGTGCCCGGTACGCCGTGTCCAGAGTGCGCAGCTTTCGCTCGAACGTCTCCTCATCCAGAATCTCGCCGACGCGCACACCGCGACGCGCAGCCTTGTCACTGTAGCAGGGCCCAATGCCCTTGCCGGTGGTACCGACCTTGCGGCCTCCGAGACCCTTCTCCTCCAAGCCGTCGACAACGGAGTGTAGATCGAAGCAAACGTGCGCGCGGTCAGAGATGAAGATGCGCTTGCCAGCGGTGGTCAAACCTTTGGACTCGAGGGCGGCCAGCTCCTTGAAGAAGCTGGGGACATGGACGACGGTGCCGGCGCCAATGAGGTTGATGCACTTGGGCGAGATCAGGCCCGAGGGCAAGATGTGGAAGTCATAGGTAACGGAGTCGTGGACAATGGTGTGGCCGGCGTCTAAAAGGACAAAAGTTGGTCAGTGGCTCTGTTCTCGAATTTTGCCCGAATGCAGCATCACCATGGCGCGGTGAGAAAAAAAAAAAAAAAAAAAAAGAGCAGACACGATCAAGATACAAATAAAAAGCAAAAGAATCCAACGTACTGTGGCCGCCCGCCGCTCGACAGCAAAGCGTCGCTTGCTGCGACAGCATATCGGTGATCTTCCCCTTCCCTGCTCGGCATGTTAGCCCTCGTTCTATGGATCCCTCGCTCTTCTCGCTCTCTCCGTTCAAGCCGATTTCAGGGTCCATGCGCACCTTCATCGCCCCATTGGCTACCTAAAACGATGGTCACCATGATCAATGCACACGACCAAGATATTCTCTCGGTCACAAAAGTTAGATGCGATATCGGTCAACAGTCAATTGCGCCCGGTGGTGGGGTGGTTACAAGGTCTAGAGGGGCAGAGTCGAATGGCGGGGCCAAGAGGTCTGTCTAGAAAAAAAGGTCAGTCCCGCAGAGGTTTCTCGCTCAGCAGGGGATAAATCCTACCTGGTGCGGTTTTTCGTAAATGGCACAATTGCAGAAAACCAGGAAATGATCTTTGATCGTCGCCGGTGAGTCAGACAATTTCCACTGCAATTGCGGGTTTGGCAGGTTTGGCGGGGTGGCGGGGCGTGGGTGCCTGAGGCATTTAGGGTAAGGGCTGCGGAGGAAGTCAAATATCAAAAACTATACAAATCACATTGATAAATCCAGTGGAGATTGGATTCAGGATATCTAGGAGATGAGAAACACATCCAGGGTATTCTCCAACACCGCGCCCATCATGCAACCCCCGACAAAGGAGGAGCCCACCGGCATCCTCAACTCATGCTATGCACAAACGCCTGTAGAGAACCAAAACAGCCGAAATAAAATGAAAATAATAATAACCATCGTAGAGCAGGCCCCTTTACACCACCTTCCCGCCATTCCGGATCCATTCGCGCAGACGGCCCAGATCGAAAATGCATTCGCGATGCATCTCACAAGCCACTTCCCAATGCTTTCGGACTTGGATGTCCTCCTCGATGCCGCGCAGGTAGGCGCTGAACCCGCCCTTGCCGCTGCCCGGGACGAGAGACTCATCCTCATTCTCGTCATCAGCTGTGAGGGCCGAGTCATCGTCATCATCGCCGTTGATTTTAAGTCGCGCCGAGTCTCCAACCGCACTGACCCACCCAGGCGCTAGTCCTGTCTCGATCGCCTCCTGGCGAGTATTGAAGTGTAGGAGCATGCGGCGGTTGAAGGCATTCCACTCGTGCATGTACGTGCCCATCGCCGACACGTACCAGTTCCACTTGTCGCGCGAGAGTGTGAGCTGCTGCGAACCCGGGTATACAGGCGCCGGTCTTGGCGCCCAGGGCCGTTTGGGAGGGTTGGGGCATTTGAGTTCTCGAGGACGAATATCCTTTTTCATCGTCTTCTGTTGTTTTGCTTGTGATTCAAACGGAAGCTCCGCCTCAACGTCGCCCAAGTTGTCAATGCCCCCGCTATTGGTAGTGGTGAAGGGTGCAGAATTACGGAGATTATCGAGGTTGAAGAAAGGTGGTCGAGTTTCTGCATTTGCAGCCGTGCTCTCGGTCTGTGAGGGCGGTTGAGATTTGCTCGCTGGCGTATGTGCATCTTGGGCGCCGTGAGAGTTAATGTCAGGATACATCGAGCGATATACATCCTGAGGGGTCTCGTCGAATTTGATCGGGTAGTCAGGCGGCGTGGATAAATCGTCCACATCCATCGACTCGGTGTCTGCTGTCCGGTCGGGTTGGGAAGGGTGCCGCTGCCGCTGCCGTTAACTGTTTCTCGAGCTTCTTCAGCCTCGGTTGCCACGCTCGCCGGCTGTGGAGCACTCCGCACTTTAGCTCCCAGCCTGGTCTGTTTCTTGGGGCTTCGGGACGGCGGGATCTTTGTCGATTGTGAATTGCTGGCGGCTTTCGGATTTGCCCACTGAAGATTATTGAGCTGCTGGATCCACTCGTCTGCGGAAAATTTCGCTTGTGCAAATGGAGTGGGCTGCTGCTGCTGTTGTGGCTGTTTTTGTTGCTGGGGCATGGCACCGAAAGGGTTCAAGTCGGGGGATGCTGCCGGCTGCGACGGCTGTGCTGGGCCATTTTGAGCCGCCGTCCACCCCTGATTCTGCGGAGTAGGCGAGGCCTGGTGTGGCGGTTTGGCTGCCGAGCTCGAGCCTAGAAAGTCGAACTTGTCCAGATGATCTCTCCAATCCTCAGCCGAGAACTTTTTGTGCAGGTCATTGGAGTGACTGCGGCCGAACGCTGTAGTTTGAGGCCGAGCTGTGTGTTGGGCCGTGCCAGTTCTATACATGGCATACGTTAGCCGAACATACATAAATCAATATAGGGCTGTTTCAGGAATAGTTGTACCGAAAAGGGTCATGGGAACTAGATTGCTGATCTGGCCGGTAGGAGGAGCCATTGGGAAAGGCGGCACTATCCGAGTTGTGTCCTTTGGCATCATCACTGTCAGCGGTCAAATCCACGAAAGTATAGCTCTTCCGGGATCCCCGAGAAGAGAAGTAGTGTTGCCGTGGCGGCGATGAAGGCCGAGATTCCTGGCTGCTCGACTGAGTGAAAGGATCCTCACCAGTTCCGGGACTCGAGTAGTCTTGGCGATGGAAGTCGGAGAACTTTTGATGTGGTCGAAGCCGGCTCTTCGGCACAGCTTTTGGTTTGAATTTGCTGCGCCGGCGTACACTCTCTTCTTCGTCGTCCTCCGAATCACTCGAGCTTGTGGATGCGGAGTAGGTTCGGTTTCGTCGATCCTTGGGGCTGGCGCTGCGGTGTCTGTCGGGCTGGGGAGGTACGGGGCTTGGTGGATTCGTACGCGAATTGGGTCGATATGACCCTGAAGGAGTCCGCACGCTTGCTGAACGGCCAAACTCATCGCTCGAGAAGAACGTCCTCTCGCCTCCCGCCTTAGCATACCGACTACTTGCCCGCTCAAATTCCGGAGAAACAAAGGTGGATTCCGGCTCCGCTGGTTTCTTCGCGGTTGGCGGAGGCGCAGCGTCAAAGTAATGGCTGGTCGGCCGATCACTCCGACTGGTATAGGAAGAGGTATTCCGGGCCATGGGCTCGTCTCCTCCCGCGGTTCCCGGGGCAAAGCCCTGTCTTTTCTTGGGAGACTGCGGGGTAGAAGGCTTCTGGGTCCTGTAATTTTCTCGGAAGTATTCAAACGCGGACTTGGGTCGTGCAGACTGCCCAAAGGGCGCATTCTGTCTGGGCGTGGCACCCGGATTAGGGGCTGCGCGCCCAGTCCGAGGATCAAAGTTTTGCCAGCTTCCTGTATTGGAGTTTCTCATTCCCTGGAAGCCCCGGAACGCGTCTGCCCTTGTCTGCGCCTCATCCTGTGGTTTTTGCCATTGTGGCCCTGCACGGGCGTGTGACGCATACCGTTGCGCGCCGGCTGAAGGGCCATTCGTTGAGGGGTTGGGTCGATTTGCAAACGGGGGTTTCGAGTTGGGTGTTTTCGGAGGGCCCGTGGGGGTATAGCTGGTGGGTTGGGCCTTGCGTTGGGTATTCGCTCGAGGGGGGCCATAATTCTTGCCGTAGCCAGCACGTAGGCGATCCGTGTCGTACTTAAGTCGTTGTTGGGGGTCGCTCAGAATTTCATGGGCCGCTTGGATAGCCTGGAATTTGGCAATGAACTCGACCTCTTTCCCGGGGTTCCTGTCGGGGTGGTATTTCAGCGCTAGGGATCCAGATTAGCGGTGCTTTTTCCCCCTTCAGACCTCCCTCGTGGGAAAGGTTCGGCCTCACCTAGTTTTCGGAATTGCTTCTTGATGTCTTCAGCTTCTACGCTGGGCGCCACTCCCAGGTCCGCATAGTAATCCCTTCGGACGTCCGCCTTCACCATGTTGACCCCTTGTTATTGGCTTGTCTATAGGTTTGCGTAGGGCTCAGGGTGCATAATCGATCATCGAGAAAGTAATCGGCGGTTCCACGCATGACCCCAGTATCCAACACGCAGCTCCGAGAAGAATCAAACGGGGATTTAAGAGTCGAGCTGGAGGCAGGGGGGAGACGACGGACAGGCGAAAACAGGATCCGCGCGCAATGTAGTCTCTGAAAGCCGAAGAGAAAGGGATTTGGCAGACAAACTTCCCAAAGAGAACACGGATCGCCACTTCACGTATCAGATGTCTCTCAAAAGGCGGCTCTGCTCACACGACGCGAATCGGAAATTTTGATCTGGCACAAACAAAGCAAAGCCCGTGGGGATTTGCGATGATAGCAAATAGGCCAAATATTTCCCCAGTCAGGAAAAGAAAAGCCAGGTGGGATCGGAAGGAGGAGAGACGGAGATGTCAGGTCTGGATCTGGGAGATCGAAATCGCAGATCGAAGTGGGCAGGCACCTGATGAGGTTGAGATCAGGCAGCTGGGTCCAAGCGCAAATCGCAGGCGAAGCAACCAACCAACAGGAAGAGCCGCTGTCACTAAGTGGGTGGCATCGGAGCCCGGGGGTTTTGCGAGTTGGCTGTGGAGATGCGAAAGGGAAAAAATGCGTGTTTGTTTGGGAGGGGATTGCTGCCCAAGGCCAGCATTTTCTCTACCAGACAACCATACAACCACGCTCGAAAACCAAGAATCAATTGCATCCTGAGAGAAATATCTAAATATTGAATCTCCGTCAAAAACTCATTATTAAGACTGTTTAAAAATGCCCGACTACCGGCATCCAAGGACATCGTCCTCTCCCTAGCAACGTATCAAGTACGAGCCAAGGGCAAGAGATTCTGTGTCTTTTCTTTCCTATTTTCTGTTGGGGCTTGCTAATTATCTATTATCCAGAGAATTAGTACATGTGGTTGATTTGTTGCACCAGACCGTCCAGAGTGACTTGAATATACCTCGGAAGATATATTTGCAAGCCATGACTAACAACTGAACTATATCCCAAACTATTCTCGAATGTCCCCTGAGTTATCAAGCTCTAGCTTTTGTTTATATTTCGCCTATATATACATGACAGGAGCTTGGGGGCGGCTTTGAGTCGAGTCTCTCTCCTAGGCCCCTTCTTAGCGGTGGTGATTGCGACCTCTGTATCCTCTGACCTGACCGTGGACTCCAATTATCCGACCATAGCAGTTGATCTCCTAACCAAAGCCTCCCTAATGAAGGCAGCTGGTCGGTATGCCTGGGCAAAAGGCCCATTTTCGCCTGCGTGTTCGCCGAGACTGTCCATGTCGTATGCTCCATAGGTAATCTCATTTAGGACCCATACTCGTGAACCTGCGGTAACTTCCAATTCGCCAATCCCCAGAACTTTATCCCCCTATCTCCCAGTGGTGCGAGATGTAAACCGCCTTTCGGGAGACCACAGCCACGACAATACAGCCTCAAAGCTGTCCCATTGTGCGTTTGAACGCTTCATTTTCCAACCGACGAAAGAATCCAACTGACAACTCAGTGCCACCATGTCTGCTATCCATTCTCCAAGACAGGGCATGGGTCATTTCGTAATCGAGATATCGAACTAGATCTCCCCCCCACCGACTATCCCACGGGTCGAACATCACACGCTTGGACAATTTCTTTTTATTTCGCTTGCTGAGAGGGCTCGATTCAGGCATAGACAATGACGCACAGGTAGAACAGTTTTGGCCGCATTGCTTGATGCTGTCATCTCGATATCGCAGCAGGTTGTTTGTGCTTTGGCTCGGATTCGGGTTCGAATTTGGATGTGGAGCAGCCACAGCCACCAGAACCATCATACAGAGAGCCCATAGCGGTAGTAATATAGCCCAGGGGCCAGTCGTTATCTTTCTCATAATTCAAGGTGGTCGCGTTAAGGTTCGTAAGCGCAGGAAGAACGGGGAAAGGAGGAGAAGGAGGAGCGAACAGAAGATGATGATTATAATAAGGAGAAACAGGAATAGAAAGAACTTGGAAGTATTTGGTTTCCTACTTGGGTAATTTATTATTCCCGCTGGTAAGACAGGATGAAGGCCACATACTTGATTATTGTAAGATTTTAGTTGAGCACCGGAATCATAAAGATCTACAAGATAATAATCTGATCTCAAACACAGTGAAATATACTGGATGAGGATGACGGACAGATGTGGATCCTGTCGAAGACATAAATGACCCCCACAGAATCGATTAGGTTAAAGTTGAGTCCTGCTCTTTTAGATAGTGTATTGCTCCCCTTTCTAGTAGTGTCTTCCTTACTGATCGATTTGATGATGGTTGAAATAGTTAGTGGCTGATAGCAACGTTCTTCCTTGGAAGTACATAGCTTATATTTGATTCATACATCTTAACTACTTCCAAATTTCTAGCAAGTTGGAATATATTAAGCATCTCTTGCTCCAGGTAATCTTAAGATAAGTTTAGCCTAAATTTGATGTATCAATGGTATCTAAATATCCAAAGGATCAAGAATGTGCAGGAAAAAGCAGGCTGGTCACCTTCACAAGAACAATATGTATAACTTCCCTGTTTTTTTTTTTGCACATACAGTCCTTGTGACTATACAGCCCCAAGAAAACAAAGAGACCAGAGTAGCAGAGGTTGTGACAGTAGAACAATGAAAGAGACAGGGGGAATGGGCATAGACGAAAGCAGAAGAAAAGGAACACCGCTGAAAAAAAAAGAAAGGAAAAGATTTCAATCATCCCCAGAAGCACCCGTCCCAGACCCACCAAAGAAATACCCCTCCAAGATATCATAATTCGGATTCTCACTCCAATCATGCTGAAAGTCCACTGCCATCCCAAACCCCAGATCAATACCCACATTCTGGCCGAGATTATGGCCAAGCGAGGGCATGGACATCAGGTTATTGTAGTCCGGGGTATTAGCGTCCGCCTCCACACCAGCCTGGTTGTCTGCGTTGCCAGACCCAAAGTCCAGGAAATCAAGGCTAATTCCAGACTGGGAGGGGTCCTGGTGGTCCGCAGAGGAGGGGTGAGCGGCATGGGGTTCACTGCTAGAGGGAGGAGCCACGCTGCCTGGGGATCCAGGTTGTTGCGGCGAGTTCGAGTAGTAGAATTGCGGTGGGGCCGGCGGGGACCCCGGGTTTTCGTATTTGAGGAAGTACTCCATGGACGGATCATGTTGCACATACGGTTGAGAGGCACCGTCGGTAGAGAAGCCGGGCGGCACGGATTCTGGGTGATCTGGTCGAACCGGGAAGGATGGTGCTCCGGGTCTGTTGTCGGTGCGCGAGCGGTCGGCTAATGGGGCACTGTCGCTGAAGAGGTCTGCCAAGTTCATGTCGAATCTGGGGACTGGGCGAGAAGATCGGGTTTGAGTTGCCCGTCGCACTTGGCCTTGTCCTGCGCGCTGGCGTTGGTCCATCTGGTGCTGTCGTCCCCGGCCGGAATGCAATGCACCGCCGGCGTGTGATGCGGCGTTTATACGGCTCACGTCTACCTGAGATCCAAAGCCAGTGGTGGACAGACACATTTGGACTGTAGCTTTGCTCATGCGCTCGAACGCATCTCGACATGCCTCGGCGGGTGGACATTTGTGCATCAAGTCACCCAGAACGGACGTTGCAGCCAGAACAGTAAAGTCTACCTCGTCGAGGGTCTAGTAAGAGAAAGAATGAGCACCGGGCTGGAAAAACGAAGGAGGAATACGTACCAGGCGGCTTCGAACCAGGGGCGAGTGCCAAATAGCATATAAGAAAGAGATTCCTAACGCGCGAGATTAGTGACAAGCCCTCGAAAAGAAGGAAAAAGAGCGCACGCATACCGGCCATGAAAATATGGTGTGTTGCAAGATAGGTATAGTTCACCAACCGCACCCGGTGCAGCTGTCGATAGATCCGGATGACCTTCTGGCCCGCCTCAGCCACATTGAGATACACATGGTCCTCCTCGTCACCTTCATCAAAATTAGAGAAAGATGGACTCGAAACATCATCCGCGGGGGTCAGTTCTCCGGCCAGCTCCGCAGGCACAGTCAAGCTTTGCTGGTACAGCAAGATAATCGCTTGCCAGTAATTCAACTCGAGCAATTCGATCGAGAACCGCACCCCCGTTTCAAGACGCGTTGGGGCGGTATCTTGCCACTCGACCAAACGACGATGCACATCATGGCGCCACGAGCGGAACGAGTCAAAGCCCTGAAGGAAAGGCGAAGCAAGTTCGGCATGGGGCAGAACCGCGGTACTATTTGAGGCCCGTCTTCGGATGGCGCGCGCCTGCTGATACTGGAGGACATCGTGGATCTCAGACTGAAGTAGACGCAGCTTGAAGTAGTGGAATGCAACATGTTTATAGGTCGGCGCGCCATCAGGTGGCGTCAACAGACCCGACTTGGTGATGTACTTGTCGTCTGTCATGGACGGGAATTCGGTGCTGATGGCCTGGTCGCTGATGCCGAAGGGTCGTCCGACACAGGTAGCGACGAGACGGTCGAAGCTGTAGACACACCACCACAAGCGACGACGCAGATCGCGCACCCATTCCCTGCGTCCTCGTTCGCGAGCGTCGATGCGTGATTGGGCCTGATTACCGTCCTTTGAGGCAGAGTCAATACCCATTCCATCTTCATAGTGCAACCCAAGATCAACGGCCAAGCGCATGGCCACTCCGACAATATACCAAAGACCTGGCGCAACAGGTCGCAGCAAAGCAAAGCTGGCCAGAAGGAGAACTGCCTGCAGTTCTTCCAACCCGCCAAAGCCCTCGCTCGAAGACGAACCCAGGAATGTTTCCAAATGAACAATTGCAGATGCATGGTACTCCTCCGGTTGATACTGATGGCTGGAAAGCCGAGGCCTCTTGGTCGTAGAAGAGGAGCGATCACGGCTAGTCCGGTTTTCGTCATCCGAGCTTTGGGGCTTATCTTCAAAAATGATTCCAGCGCCAATAGCAAACACGATATTGAGAATGTAAAGCGCGCGGGGAGAACGGTTCTTCTCATCCAGCAAATACGTGCGATCCAACAGCTCCATGAAGTCCCCGCGGTGGAGAATAGGCATCTGGGGGTTGGCGTGTTCAAAATAGAGATCAACCAGCCGTTCGGCCAGCTCGCGGTCCGGAAAAGTAGCTCGCTTCATCATCGGTCGTGTCTGTAACCCAAAGAACGAATCGCGCATCGTACTCCCACCGGTCCCGCCAGCAGTCTGAGGCAGCCGTTCGCTCGGACGAATCGGGGCGCGCTCGGGCATATTCCCGGGCAGCGAGCTCCTGACCGCAGCAAAGACTACGCGGGCGAAGGAGATCCCCGACGTCGACCCGAGATACCGGGGATCGGAGGTGCCCTGGACAGAAACCATGCCAATATTTGAGACGAGGTTGTGCAGCCGCCAATTATCCTCATTGGCGGGGTCGCGATCCCCGTCCGCATCACGACCCAGCTCCGCGTCCACTGTCTGGATGGAACGGCCGGTCTCATCGTTTTTATCCGCAGCTGAACCCTCGGCCGGCTGGACATCAGGACCGGACTGCGCGAGCGGCAGCTCGCCCTCGGTCTCTACTTTAACGGTCTCATCTTCGTCAAAGGCGACGGCTTTCTTGAATTCGATATTGTGGTCGGCCAACTGCTTTTCCAGGTGGGCGACGCGGGTCTCCAGGAAATAGACATAGCTGCGCGGGATCTCGCGTCGGGTGATGGGGTCGTACCCGACGCAGCGGACCCCCGCCTTCTCACAGGATTGGCAGCGGGGGAGGCGCTGGTCGCAGCGATTCTTGCGCAGACGACACCGGTTGCAGGCCGAGACATTGCGAAATGAGGACGAGGCGGTAGAGTGGGCGGGAGAGGCGGAGGGAATGGCAGTTGGGGCAGAGGCTTTGGCGGCCGCGGGGTCGGCATGTGTTGGGGGCGTGGAGCTGGAAGGGTGCGGCCTCTTCTTCCCGGAAGAGAGCGGCGAGAGAGGCGAGGGCGGGTTAGGCATTGTGAGAAACGAATGGTGAGAGTCGCGGGCATGCGATCATCTCTTGACGGTGGAGAGGTGCGGAGATCGCGATCGGGAACAGCGGCTTAATCCCCCGGACCGGATCAGCATTCATGATAGACCTGGCGAGAACAGTTTAGGGAGTTGGAAGGGGTGGTCTGTTGTCGGGCACAGCGCGGAAGAGGGGATTTTTCGGCCCTTTGCGATTCGATTCCCAGAGAACGATTGGAAGGGAAAAAGGAGGCCGGGGCACAAGGTGGGTGGGTGTGTGTGTGTGTGGTTTTGCGCGACCCGATGTGATCTCCGAGTGCACTCGACGGAGGGAGATTATCCTCCGAGTTCTGGGAAATGACTTGATGTTTGTGAGCGCAATTCGCGCCTGGCAAGAAAAACGATCTCAGCGATGGGCGAGAGAGAGAGAGAGAGGGAGATAGGGCAAGTGGCCAGTCGGAAACTAAGTTGCCCTCGGGAACGGGGGAGATACTCGGCTCACTCGGTTCCCCAGATTTTGGAAACGGGAAGGCTACGGCGACTAGCGATATGGTCCGAATTCCATGGCGATTCGTCTCTTGAGAGAGAATCCTTCATCGTTATTGTTGCTCGCATTTTCGACGATGCCATTACCGAGTGGGCCACTGTAATCTGGGGAGTGGGTGTCATTGGTGGGGGTGATAAATTGACAGCGGAAGGATGAGATGAGAGGGGGAAGTATAAGGGAGCTATATAGCACTGCAGAGCACGCCCCATCATATGATGCCATGGGCAGGTGCATAATACTATACGCTAATATGCTAATAGATTAATACACTAATTGTCACTTCCAGTGGATCCCTTGGCTGGCATAGACCCGAGCCTCAATTTAGGGACAAGACATGTGGGCCCTGAAGTATAAGTAGAGTCGAAGACTCGATTCATTGCTTTAACCTGAATGAGCCAGGCTCACAAGTCTATCGGGACAAAGTCCAAGATTGATATTGCAATAACACGCGAATTGATATAGAAAATCACAAAATACCTCCCAGATGCACGTGAGTATGATCATAATGTAGCCCGTCAATGCTCCCAATGATGAATGATGAGAGGAAAAGAAAGAGAAAAAGAGAGACCCAAGGTTGATGCTTTTTGCACAAGCAGCCACTCTATCATTGCGCCAGTTCCCGGTCTCAATAGAAAGAAAAGAGAAAAGAGAAAAGAGAAGCAAAGGAAAAAAGAAAAAAAAAGTCATGAGAAAAAAAAATGAGGTATCATAGCCGAAGCGAAAGACAAGTCCCATAGGATAATCATCCACAAGAGAGTCCCTTCCAGAAGGACAAAAGAAAAGAAGTAGGAAAAAGAAAAGGCGAGAACGAATGTCCACATCCCTAGATGCCACGTTCGAAAGGTGAATCCTTCTCGGACTTGACCAAGTCCTCGACCGTAGTCAAGTCCAAGTGCGAGATAGAATAGTCGTGGTCAATGCTGGAGCGCAGAGAGAGGAGTCGCTCCTCCTCTTCAGGGGAGAGATGGCGGTGTCTTGAGGAGCAAACTGGTCAGAAAGCACCTCACACTTGATCTCGGACTCGTTGATTTCAGGCTTCGTCTTTTGAAATCGCTCAGGCTCGGACGACTCCTCCATCCAGAAACTCTCGATAGCCCCGATCACACAGACAAGACCACAGGCCCACCAGGCAAGCACGGAATACCCGCTCTCAAGCCCCTTGGAGTGCAGCAGGCCCGTGATAGTCGGACCAAAGGCACGGCTGAGGCTCGCGGTAGACGCAGCAGCGCCATTGATGGAACCCAGCACCTTGGACGAGGGGGCGGCGTTGGCCAGCAGGATGGCCGTGGCGGGGAAGGCGATGACATGGAAGGTGATTTTGCTGATCAGAGCAACATACACGGCCAGCGTCTGGAGTTTAGCCGGCAGAAGAATGAGGTAGGGCACCAGCAAATACAGCGGCGGCCAGACCAGTAGGACGAAGCGGAAAGTGCGGAGCGTGCCGAAATGCTTGACGACAAACGGGAAGAGCCAGAGCTGGGCGATCATGGAATACACTCCCTGAACGGCCAGCATGAACCCGATAGTCTTGGTTGCCAGCCCCAAGCCGCCAGTGAACTTGAGCGGCAGCACGGCCGGGTCCTCGGATTTGGGGGTGCTCAAGAACACGGGCATCAGCTGATCAAACGACACGCTATGGCTGCAAAGTGAGGTCAGTTAGTTTGCGCAAAGCAAAACAAGTGGCGTTGCGGGGCCAACTCACTATGCCAGAATGCCGTAAGCAATGATGTTGAAGATGACTTGGCGCGTGAACGCCTTGGGCGTGGCGCTCTTCTGCCCCTCCAGGTCGGCATCCGGGGATCCGACATCTGCGGGGCGTAAACAAGGCGACGACTCGGCGCTTCCATATTCAGGCGGCTGATCATAGAAGTATTTCTCGTGGACGTCGGAATCGTCGGGAAGCTGGACGCGAGAACCCCAGCACAAACTCACCAACCAGTGGCCGAGCTCGAGACCGGGGTCCCGGCGATGTTTCTTCTCTGGGTGAGTTTCCTCAAGGAACAAGAAACCGACGACAATGCCACAAACCAGCACGACGATGCAGACGAGGTTGGGCAGCAGAAACGGGAAGCGGTCCAGCAGAGTGTTGCGCTGGAATAGCCACGGGTAGTTGTCGCAGGGCTGGGCCAAAGCGCCGCCCATCGCCGGCCCAATAATCGAGCCCAAGCACCACACAAACGGCATGATTGAGTACGCCCGCGGCTGGTGCTCCTTGACAGTCACGATCTCCGCGACGGTGGTTTGCAGCACGCCGATGTTGCCGTTCAACAGGCCGCCCAGCGCGCGCGCAATCATCGCCGTGGCCAGGTTGGGCGCAAACCCAAACACAACCATGCTAATGGCTGTTCCCACCAGGCCCATGATGAGCACGGGCTTGCGTCCGATTCTGTCACTCATGCGACCCCAGAACATGCCCGCCGAGAACTCGGCAAAGGTGAATGACGAAGTGATCATTCCGGCGTACAGCGCGATCTTACGGTCATTGTCTGTCACATGGAATGACTCGACCATGTGATAGACGTAGGGAAATATCGACATGAAAGCAATTGGCTCACAGATGCGGCAGAGCGCTGGAGAATGTTAGTTCGGAGTATTCATGCTCACACGTCGTGGCCAGATATCTTCATAGTTCGCAAAAGTACCCACACTTACCTAAAACAAACAATTGCCGGACTGGAAAGGCAGACCAATCTTCGCCAGCGCCATTGCGCTGCCGCCGGCCCTGGAAACAGGACGGGCGTTGAAACATCTTCACAAGCGCAATGAAAAGCGAGGAAATTCTTCCAGAAAGATGGAGTAAATAGGTGGGAGAGAAAGGGAAAAAAAAACCCCCGCTTCCCTCCAGAGGAGAACCAAGAAAGGGTTAGATAAAAAAAATAGATAGAATAAAAAAAAAAGTACCGACGCAATTGTTCTTTTTGTTATTCCCCTTAATTTCCCCAGGTTAATCTCCTGCGAGGTGAAAGGGGAGAGAAAGAATGCGCTTGAAGTGTGGAGGCTGGTTGTATAAGCGGAGCAAGGAGCGATTTTGGGGAGTTGTTTTAGGGCTTCAGCATTGCTCCCCCTGCGGTGGAAATTCTATCGGGGATCCGATAAGGTAGGGTGGAAGATCTTCGGGGTCCCAGGAGACTTTGAGACAGCTGCAAGGGGGGAAAGAGAGGTTTCCCTGACGCAACCACCGTCTCTTTAAGAGACAGACGAGGGGGGAAACCCGGAGGGTTAAAAGATCAAAATCCAGGAAACCCAGAGAAAGTTTGTCTGGGAATACTGCGAGATCGACAGGCCAAATTGCCAGATGTGCAAGTCGAGGTGATGGAGGAAGGGTGGTATTCAAGAATGGGAAAGGGATCTATGAAGAATCCCCAAAGAGTATAGAGAGGGGAGGGAGAGGGAGAAGAGAAGAGGACTAAGAAGTATAATTGCGAGAGAAGAGAGGAAGAAATGGAGATCATTTCAAGAAAGAAAAAAGCAGAGGGGGAAGGGAAGCTGTTATAATAATTATTAAATATAGAGGTTGACAGTGGATAGCTCCATCTATAGAATTAGATGTGATCAGGCGGCAAAAGAGCTCGAAACGTCAACCGTTCACTTTGGGCCATATTTCGGTTACAGCTGTACAGACAGGATGCGGATGGCAGCAAACATGTTGGATCAGGATAAAGACGGTGGGGCTGATTATTATTTTTTTTTTTTGATTTTTTGATTTTTTTGATTTTCCATTGATTAAATTCTGATATTATGATTTGGGTGATTTTCTCCCATGAACGCGCTGTGTAATTCCCAATCAACAGGGCAGATCGGGGCCATCCCAGTGGCCCCGGAAATGGGATCGGTCTGTATCGAAAAGAAAAAAAGCCGATTCAGAAATTACACGTAGAAAAAGAGAGAGAAAAAGAAATAGAAAAAGAACTGTTTAACAGGGGGCAAAAAGACAGACCCTGGAGGCAAGGAAAGGGGGTGGAGCCAATGGCAAATGGGGAATCGAAGGTAGGGCTTCATCGTCATCGCCCTTTTTGAATTTTTATTTTTTATACATTTTTTTTTTGTATGCTGACCCTTGTGAGTATTTTTGTTATTTGATACAACGGGGGAACTATCAATTTATTCCGAAAAGTGAAATTCAAGTGGGAAACCACCCGAGGGGGGTGGGTGAATCCAGGATCAATCAGATCAGATCAAAGGGGATTTACCTAGGAAAGGGAGAGAGAAAAATGATTATAATTGTAATTATATTAATAAATGGAAAAATAGTCAAAGTTTTGTGATTCGACAGATCCACAATTCCTCCCCCCCCCCCCAAAGATCTGGTCAGAAAACAGTAAAAAAGAGTGTGAGTGATACTTTGCCCTTTCGCCCTTAGTCGGGTACGCCGTACTTTGATGGATCATCGATACACCCAGGGGGGCCCACAGGCCCTGAGCCCCGGGCTCCCGGGGAAGAGCTGTAGGGAGGGGCCCCCTAAAAAAGTACGCTAAAAAAAATACTCTCCCGTATGTTCCGTAAGGCATGATCGGCCGACACGCTTTTTTTCATTTTTCTTATCCTTTTCTTTTTGGCCCGAAACTCTGGGTTTAGTGTGAGTTAGTGAGATGATAGATCTCAAGGTACCCATGGATGTCTCCCTGTCTTCCCGAAGAACAAAGAGCTTAGGAAAAGGATTCGGAGAAATGATGGTTTTGAAAAAAAAAAAAATTCTTTTTTTGCTAATATTGTTTCTTCTCTTTCTCTTTCTTTTTTGATACCTACAGTATTTAATCATTGTGTCAACTCTTGCCATCCCCCTCTGATCTGCGATCCACCCGACTGGATGCTCGGAATTCTGGGAATACCCAGCCGAGTGGGTAAGGAAAATCAACAGAGAGAGAGAGACGGGACAAGACAGAACTTAGTTTCACTTAGTTCCTTGAGGATCGCCTTCCCCGAAGACTCTTGACCGAACCGGCTGATTGGGGCCCGGCAAAGGCGAAAGTGGTGGAACCCTCGCCCCTCTATCCCCATTGGGATGTCATCCATGAATGTCCGGAAGTATATCGTTATGACCACGATGCCCTTAATCAACCAGCAACAAGGACAGGGCGTGTGTTTCGCATTGATTCGAGCGGAAGAATGCGGTGTAGTCGAGGGCCAAGGTTGGGCATTGCAGAATATAGTTGGACTTTTCTTTTTACCTTTTTTACCTTTTTCCCCCTCTCTTTTCTTTTCTTTTTCTTGCATACGAAACCGTTGAGAGGTTTATCTCTCTAGGCTAGCCCCCACTATATTGGTAACTTGGAGTCAATCCCCTGACGCAAGAGAGAAATGGGCTCACGATTGTACCCAAAGCCGCGGGTCGGGTAGCGCGTTCTCTGATACTTCCTTCGCAACCCCAGTGGGTACCGTGAGAGAGGGTAAAGGGATCCATCAGCCAGCACGCATGGCAACAACGACTGATTATTGGGGGGTTTTCAGCCTCTCGGTGAGAAAAGGAGAGCTATTGAATTGGGTCGGGGAGAATTGTCCGAAAGAAAAAGAAAAAAAGAAGGGGACGATCGTCCTGTCAACCGGTAGGGTAATTTACTAATGTCGGTATGTAATAAAAAGAAGAAAAAAAAAAAAAAAAAGAGAGAGGAGACACCATTTGACTCGTTAGTTTCTTGCGTGATCTTCTCGAAAATCCCAGAGAAAAGTATCAGCTGAGCCTGTCACAAATTCACCAACATTTGCGAGCCTCCATTTGGGGTGTCTCGAGGGTAAAACAAGCTGATATTCGCCGCCCCCCCCCTTTTTTTGGATATAAATATAGAGATAAACATGAAATCGTCTGCCAATATTGAGAATGCCTGATATACCTAAAACAGGAGATCTGGCTGATTCAGACAATTATTAGGTGACTCCATGGAAAAGTCGGTAAAGTGCCGACCCAGCAGAAGGGGCCAACGCGGAGACCCAAGGGGCAGGGAAACCTTCTGGATTATTGTATCGAATACAATGTATATATAACAATACACCCTGAACAGTGAGTACTGGAGCCACGCGAGTCTGGGGCATTTGGAAATGCCGGTGAGAGCCCCAGTAAATCAGGCTGTCAAGGAGAGAACTCGACGTCATTGTGCCGAGGCACTAAAACGGTAGTGGCTTGAGTTTCTCAGGGGAGAGAAAAAAAGAAAGAAAGAAATTTGTACTGTGACCAGGATAGGATGTTCCAGGGAGTCGAGTTGAGTAACGGTGTGTAGAACAGAGTTATCGGTCAATGTAACCGGGAACCACGGGGTGGCTTCGAGGATCCGGAGCAAACATTGTCTTTTTTTTATATATATAGAATTTACTCTATTGGATTTTTAGAAAGGGATTCACTCATGATGAGCCAATGCAGGCAGTTTCTGTCAAACAGGGTGCGTATATTGACAAATCCTTCTATGCACGCAATGCATGGAAATATTATACCCTGCATTTAGAGCAGGGGGCAGGAATCTCCCACGATGGTAGCTATACAAACCGAACCATCAAGGGTACTAGATTCATGAGCCAGGGGGAAAGAAACTGATTTGACGTGATTGACTCGGCAATCTAGCGGTGACGCCTATCACCATACAATGGCATGCATCACGCGACAATACTCCCATCGTGTCAGCCTCGAAAGCCATTCGGACTGTTCGGAGGATCGGGGTGAAGCACCGCTCGGCTCTAGTGAAAAAGCCGATGCCATCCGTGTCGATCATGTAAGCTTGATTTCAAATTTGTCTTCGAGAGTTTGCGGAAGCAAATCCTGGCAAAACCCTGGTCAGAACCAGCTTGTGGCCAGTAAGAAACATAGTTGCAAGCTGTTGGTTTGGAGCGGTGAGCCGCTTGGCTGCAGCTGGTCTTTTAGTTTGTGTCGAACAATGCTCTCTTGCAATCTGCAGGACTCGAAAGAAAATTAATCCATAAAATAATAAAATAGAAAGAAAATACTCGAATGACTGGACGGAACAACCCCGATTTGCGTCTGCACCGCCGGTAACCCGGATCGATATTCAGACATCAGCTGGCTTCAAAAGACGGTGAGAAGGGGTGTACAACTCAACTCGGCCAAATCACGTCACCCCAATATTGTCCTGTAATTTTTTAGATGAGTTCATACTCCTTCTTCACCTTGCCAATGGCATTCTTGAATATTGCCCAAGGATCTTCCCTACATTCCTCCATAGACTCTATCTGCATTGTTCACAACTACTCCCAAGTCTCCCTTTCTTGAAGCAACTGCTAGCAAGGGGGGCTCCTCCAGTCTCTGACTTGGCCAGTATCTAGAAACCAAATCTTGCTTGATCGTGCATTTCCGCCATGAGACCCAGTCTAAACAAACCGATCCAAGAAAGGAAATTTACAAACAAACTTCCTCCTCGGGACTTTCTTAGTTCCCGTCGGCGTCTTGCTCAGATCCCAAAGGACCAAATAAAAAAGTCCTCGAACAAGAACAAAGCTCAAGATCGACAGCAAGCGCAGCTGTCGCGCCGGGTTGTCGGGTTTCCAGTTCAGACCCTAAACCATTACCGCGGATCCTCGCCAGAGCCAACTGAGAATCAAAGAAGCTGGGGAAAAGAATTCCCCTCGTATACACAACATCTATTTGCCCGGAGTTGTAATTCCCTGCAGCAAGGGAGAAGCACTCGGGCATAATGAACCAAGGGGCTGGTGCTCAGGCCTTTGATCTTCTTTTCTTTTCTTTTCTTTTCTTTTTTCTTTTTTTTACTCCCCTGACGCCATCCGTGATAACCGCGAAAGATTTTCTTGCGATGACCTGTCAATTTTCCTTGACTTTTTTTTCCCTACATTCCTCAAGTGTGATAAGATCGTTTCTCACTGGGAGAGGCGAGTTCAAAAAGTGGAGATCCAGGAAACAAGGGCTTCCCGCGTATATCGCGTACATACCGAGCTCGAGCGAGTCGCTAATGCCATTTTGCCGTGTCTTGAGAACATGCACAATGCAGATCCTACGGTTCGTTTGTGTCTTTCTCTCTCGACCGTGATCGGATTCTCGATTCGGAGAGATGCAGGTCCATTGTTTCTGACGGCACCTCCTTCGACTAATGGATCTGGTTATAGTTGATTAGTCCGATATACGTAACTTCCCATGTCCGATCGATCGAAGACTTGACGTTTGTCATTGGGAATTGATGCTAGACCTTGCAGTGTCCTCTGAGTCGCAACTTGTTGGAGGGTCCCTTTCTTCGGCAATCGCAAATGTTATATCTTACTACTTTGGCCTTTCCCTCCCCTGCTGAGTTGACATGTCTATATCCACTTCGTCCTCCACTCTGATGGGGGGCTGGATGAGGTCGGTGTTGAATCGAGGCCTTTGATATTTCGATATAGCCGATCTAGATATCGGCGATCATGGCGTGGTATACCCTTCGCCACTACGTCTGATGCTTGTTGAGCCTCCAGGATGCAAAATCAATCCGCGTACTTTTGGCATCGGGGAAGGATACAAAAGTACGTATCACAAAAGCACTATGAGCTCGGACAACATCCCGTTCCAGGTTCCTGGACCGGAGCCACATCCGTCCATGACGAGCTGAGTCGAATCCTGGAGCTTTGTCCGGCAGCTAACGGTCACATCCGCGGTCCAATCAGAGTGTTTACATGGGGTTTTTGGTTTGAATGCCAAGTGGATAAATGTGGATCGGCTCCCCGGGTTCGCCCCAGGGGAAGTCGGAAGTTCAAAAAAAAAAAAAAGAAAAAAAGAGAGAAAAGTACGATACCAGGTATAGTACAATATCAATCACCCATTGTTTCACTCGGTCTTTGGAACTACCAACGGGATCTTTCCCTGTTTATTTCCTACTCCACTGGTGTTCCCCCTGAAAGGCCCCATCGGAATGCAGGATCCGGTGCCGCGGTGACGGGTAACGAAGAAACAAGCCTAGTGGAGATGTGAATCGCGATTTTCGCAACTATTGAATCGGCTTTCAGTCATGTGGGATTCTCTGGCGCTTCGCTAGGGTTTCGATTCAATAAGAAAGCAATGCTGAAATTGGGCTGATCCACCTATCCCCGTTTTTTTTTTTTTTTCTTTCTCTTTCTCTCCATTCGCGGGACACTCTTTTTTGGTTCCATGCGATTCTTTCATAGAGGGTTTACGGACTGACTCCCGTAACAGTGCCAAGTTTCCGGCCAAGCAGGTCCATCACGGCTTGTCCTTCGTCATGGCTGAGATTTGAGATAGTCTGGTGTGCCACCCCGCGGGAGTGGACCGCCTCTCCCGTACATGGTTCTTTCGGAGGTTCCGTCTTTTTTTTTTTTATGTACTTCCGCGGCACAGCGGGGGTTGCCTAAGGTGATAGATGTGGCTGTCTCTGCAGTTCTTCTCTCAACCTGCCTATTTCCGGACCCTTGAGACAGAATGGGTTGACCGAGTCGGGATGTTCTTGCGATCCCGTGTGACAACGTTGTCTGTGGTAGAGGTTATACAATATCATAAGATAGCGATATAGTTTAGGGTTGCTGTTTGGGTGGTACATTTTCTGTCTACTTGATAATGAATGGCCATCAATACTCAGTCTATTCTAGGCCGTAGTCCAGGCCATACTATGCTGTGCTTCATAGATCTAAGAAATGTTAGGGCTAGCCTCTTTTGATCGATCTACTCAGAAAGGATGTATACCTCAGTACTTTTGTTGTCCCGTCACTTGCTGTAAGGGTTTCCAAAAAGAGTGCTACACTTAAATGGATATTAAATTATTTTATATCGATGTGATGGCCTGTCTGTGATAGACCTAGCATCCCACGTAGCATGGCGAGCCAATCACTACATCCTACCACACTCTCAAGAGGTGACACAATGTCTCCCTCAATAAAAATTCCAAATCCATGGCATGCTCAACAAGACTGATTACTATATTTGGATGCCCCCCCCTGTATCCATAGATGCAGACATACATACTCTACAATCTATAGATACGTACTATTGACCCCTCGAGTCTATCTACTTTAGCATTCATGCATGTCGCCCCTTCTTGCATCTGCATATACTCAACCCAGACCCTTGGACTGGGATCATCCTCAAGAGACTCGGGATGCTGCCAATCAAACTAAAAAAAAATCCAGATCGCTCTTAGGCCTCCGGAACAGAGCTGATCAACAGGGAATCGAGGTCTAATACAGATCGAGGTCTGCACGGCATCGATCCGGGCAGCCACACCCGTCTGTCGCGTAGACAATTTGGCAAATGGTGTCACAGAGGTCTGTCGCATTTGCTCATAGTCTTCATTGGCTGTCACACTCTTTTTCAAAATGTGACTATCGAACACAAATTGAATCCTTCCCTGCTCGCCCCACCTCATGAAACACCCGAACAGTGTCTTGCTGATGATCCTTCTTGCTTTGTACTTGGCGTAAATCAAATCAAGTTTGCGTCAGACTTGCGAAGCTGGGAAAACATTGGGAAGTGACAGCGCAAAAGTACCGGGACCTTTTTCCCAATTGAGTCTCTCGTTTTGTTGTCACAAGCCGGTTCTATGTATCGAATCAAGTAATTGTAAGTGCTGTCGTCATACCATGCATCTCTTTACCAGTGTCCATATAACGCAGGAAGCCGATATGTTTGTATAGTCAAGGACCTCGAAGAGCGGTCACCACCTGGAGGAAGTGTAGGCAAGCCAGACTCGAACGATTATTCCTCGATGTTAGCATCTCGACAAAACACCCTCTTATCGGTCCGCCCGTCTGCGTGCATCGGCAATTGCAAGTATAGAACCCTGCTTGACGAGTGTAACTACTTGAAGATCAGCCCATTCACCGAGTCCGTATCGTTGATTCATTGGAAGTTTTGGCAAGCCACCACAGCACGGCGCAGCTGCAACAGCGGAAACCGTAGGGCTATTGGAACGGCATGTAGACGTCCGCTCGAGCCGGGCCAGGATTTCAAATTAATTTCGCAGGGATTACTGGAGGTGGCGACGGGAGAGCGGGACGATACTGTTCAGCGTTGGATCAGTCGGTTTGCTTATCCTCGCCATTGTGACTGTATAGGAAGGGTACAGGGGTCATGAGCTCGCCCTCTTCGGTGTCGAATGAATGGTGATGCTCGTATAAAGAGGTTGTGAATTGCGCTGGGACGCGACAGAGACAACGAGGGCTTATCACCACGTGACCCCTGATTTTCGGAGAAATCCACGCGCGGCCATGAAGTCATGCAAGCATCGCATCGTCGCAAAATTGCTATTCCTTTGCATTCTACTCGAAATAATGTTGATTTAATTGAAAAACAGATTACTGGACAGTGTTGCATATTCCAGAATGAGCGCAAGATAGCCAAGCGCTGTACAGCATCATGGCCCATCCAGGAGCATATTTCTACCTCCCCATACGGTCTCTTCGACCCAGACGCGCATACTGCCCGGTGACCCTCCGACCACAACCATACCCCAGGATATCAGCTCAATGCCAGCGATGGCAGAGCAGTCATCCCGGAAGCGCGGGATCCGATAACGCCACGACACACCTAGAACCACCTTCCCCGGACTTGTCGCACTTGAACCCGGCGCCGGACGATTACTCGCGGTTTATCTTCCAGGACAAATGCCAGGTCACCATGCATGCTGGCGCCGGCGGAAATGGCTGTGTGTCGTTTCTGCGCGAGAAGTACATCGAAGAGGGTCCTCCGAACGGCGGCGATGGTGGTAGCGGCGGTGGTCTTTACATTCAAGCTGTCGAGGGCTTGACTAGTCTACACAAACTGGCGCGCAGGGGCGTGATTCGGGCTAGTCGGGGCAAAAACGGGCAGGGAAAAAGCAAGGGTGGCAAGCGCGGCGACGATATCCTCATCCAGGTCCCTGTCGGGACGGTCGTCCGAGAAGTGGAACGGCATGACCCGGTCGAAGAGGAGATTGCTCGCAGAAGGATTGAAATGAAAGAAGAGGCGAGGAGGGCTGAAGAATTGAAAATGGCGGAAGAGATGAGGAGAGGCGAGGAGATGAGAAAGGCCCAAGAGATGGAAATGGAAGAAGGTCTAGAAAGGAAAGAAGAAGAAATGGAGAACGAAGCGCCCGAGATCGAGGAGGGAGAGGCGTTTGCTCCTATCCGGCACGATCGCTGGGTGCTTTACCCCGGCGCCCACCCATCCGATTTCTTGACGGTGGCCTTTCCCAAGATCAAGCCCCGCCGGCAGCAGATCGCTGCCATGGAGCCTCAAGCGCCCATTTTTCTGGACCTCTCCAAGCCCACGGAAAAGCCAATTCTTCTGGCTGCGGGCGGCGCAGGCGGATTGGGCAACCCGCATTTTGCGTCTCGCTCCATGGGCCGACCGAAGTTCGCTGCACGCGGTGAAGGGGGCATGCGATTGGAGCTGGATTTCGAGCTCAAGTTGCTTGCCGATGTCGGTCTTGTTGGAAAGCCCAATGCAGGCAAAAGCACGCTGCTGCGCTCATTGACCAACAGTCGCACGCGGATCGGCAACTGGGAGTTCACCACCCTCTCGCCGTGGATTGGCACCGTGGTCATCGATGACAACACCGGTCGCCCTCTTGTTGAGTCGAAGGGAAAGACTCGTCGAACTAATTTCACCATCGCAGACATCCCGGGCTTGGTCGAAGATGCCCATTTGGACCGTGGCCTCGGTCTCGGATTCCTTCGACACATCGACCGGGCCGGCATCTTGGCTTTTGTGCTTGACTTGAGTGCCGGGGACCCCGTGCAGGAGCTTCAGAAGCTGTGGCATGAACTTGGGGAGTATGAGCGACTGCGCGATGCGGAACCTGCTTCTGAGGAGCCCGAGGATCTCGAGGGTGTGATTGACTGGGGCCCATCTAGCAGTGGTCTTCCCGAGTTTGATCGCCCACAAAATCAAGACATTGAACTTCTTAGCCCCAATGAGGAGTCAGTCAGCTCGCCATCTAATTCCCACGCCCCTCGTGCCCTACCTCATCTCCCTATGCCGCCTCTCCACACGAAGCCCTGGTTTGTCGTGGCTACCAAGGCAGACCTGGAAAACACACAAGACCGATACCGAGCATTGCAGGAGTATCTGTCAGCTGTTCAAAAGGGCTTGACTGAGCACCCGTCTGGCAATCCCAATGGATGGAAGGAGAGACTCCATGCTGTCCCAGTCAGCGCTATGCGCGGTGAAGGTGTCAGTCACATCCCCAGGCTGGTGATGGAGTTCCTGGAATAAAACCATGGCCGTAGCTCCGCTATTGAGTGATTGAGTCTGGTTTCTTGTATATTAGCAATCTCATTCCATATTGAATTGTATTTTTGTCTCTCATTTCATAAGCGACGTTGCGTTGCGTCCAAGCCATCGCCGGGACGATGAACGAACGGGGCCTAACTATCATTTTTCACCCCATGGCAACGTTAGGTAACGCGGTGCACTCTTTTTGAAATGCATCCGAAACCTCCCTGACCTTTCTTCCTTTCGTCAAACCTCATGTGCATCCTCCCGACAGCTGTCCCACATGTCTAACGACATCAATCTCACCACTGCCGTCGGCCGAGCGGTGGCCGCCATTGCGGAACCCCTCGCTGACGATCCTATTCTTCAGAGCCACAACCGGGTCCTTGACCTCCTCTTCAACCACACTGACGCAGCCATTGAGCTGGCAGATGCTCAATTGCATGTGTTTCCTTTCAAAGACGTCCACCTCCGCTGGCGCCGTCTGTACACCGACGCCTCCACCCTCAAAGCATGCTTCCTTATCATCCATCACCGTGGCTGGAGTCAGCTGCCCGGAAGGGGCGGTGACCAGCACCTCAATGTCCAGGAGCTCCTCAAAGACCTTAAACAAGTGGAAGACCTCAGCAACTCATCCCCGGAAGCCAAAATCAGTTCACGCGCGCCATGGCTGTCGGAGGTTGTCCGCGTCTTGGACAAGGCTTTGATCATGACCGGGGCCCCGATGCGCGAGAAGACCGTTGAGAGCTTGTTCTCGACCTTGCAGACGGCAGTTGAATCCGAGACTTGCCGCACCATCGATAACCGCGACGAGACGATGCCGCCGCAACCGAAGCGCCGCAACTCCCTGCCGCCGCCGCTTTTCCCTCCGCACACGATCCGCGAACCCGAGCTGGTGCGCCCAATTCGACGCATCGAGGCGCCGTCGTTTGGGTTAATGCAGCAGCATATGATGGACATCCGCACCCCGCTGGTCATAGAGCAATCCTTCGACTACTGGCCGGCCCTGTCGACTCGCCACTGGTCGTCGCGCGATTACTGGTTCGATCGCACGTTCGACGGCCGTCGCCTCGTGCCCGTCGAGGTGGGCCGATCGTACACCGACGAGGGTTGGGGCCAGAAGATCATGCCGTTCCATGAGTTCGTCGACAAGTACCTCTGGCAGGACGGGTCGAGTTCCGCCGCAGGCCCGGAAACCGGGTACATGGCCCAGCACGACTTGCTTTCGCAGATTCCCGAGCTGCGCAAGGACATCAGCGTTCCGGACTTCTGCTACATTGATCCCCCGGGCCCGGAGCCTGGCACGCCGGTGTACTGGGCCAAAAAGCGCGAGTGCGACCACCAGGCCCAAGCGCATAGCGCGCAGACCGGTAATGCTGCCAATGCTGCCGCCGCCGATAGCAGCAATACATCCGGCTTGGACACAGGCCCGGGCGTCACCAGCGACCCCATCATCAACACATGGATCGGCCCATCGTGGACTATCTCGCCGCTGCACCACGACCCCTACCACAACATCCTCGTGCAGGTCGTCGGCACCAAGTACGTGCGCCTGTACTCGCCCAACACACCCGCATCCAAGATCCACCCGCGCGGTATGGAGACCGTGGCCCCCGCCGACCACATGGACCTCGACGACGACGCCCCCGTCCCGGAGAAGAAGATAATCGACATGTCGAACACGTCGCGCGTCGACGTTGCCGCAATCGAGCTCTCGCCCGCCGAGTCCGACCAGTGGGACCAGTTGTGGCCCGGTTTCCAGGATACACCCTACGTTGACACTGTTCTGCACGAGGGTGAGGCTCTGTATATCCCCGTCGGCTGGTGGCATTATGTGCGTGGCTTGCGGGCAGGGATTAGTGTGAGTTTCTGGTGGAATGCCCCGGGAGAGTGAAAGATGACAGCGAGGGGTGGAGGGGTGTAGGACTCGGGATGGGGAGGCTGCTTCTTTGTTTATGTTGTTATCGCTGGCTAAGAGCCACATGAGCTATGTGTCCCACGACTTGATGAGCTAGAGTATTATGTTTAAATGACAGAAATCCAGGCACTCGCATGAGGCCTGTTGTATGTTGTACTCTGTTTCCTTTCTCTACTCACTGTCACCCTCGAATACTATACAAGTAGTTGACGTACAGAGTGAAAAGTCTCCCGTTGTCATCTATATATATCACACAAGAACTACGGCTACGCTTCGCATAGCCTTATTCTTGCCCCTTCGGGGTCTAGAGACATGGCGGGGGGAAGTGAGTGTGAATGTATGGCTTGTTGACATGTTGACACGCGCGGTCTTGTCTAACTCCAACTCTCGACCAACTCGCAAAGCGTCGACTCCCCACCCACATTACCAGGGAAGACCACGAACGGAACACCACAATGGCGAGATGTAGCCTCATCACAGCGCCACAGAGGCACGCCGGGCGCAGCCTGGCCGACAATCGTGGCGCGCTTGATATTTAAGCCTTTGGTAGCGGCGTCTGAAGAAGTAATGCCGCCCTAGCAATAGCCATCATTAGACCTATACAGCAGAGTTATAGGGGGAAAAAACAAAACAACATAAAGTCAACATCACATACCTTGGCAATGATATACCGCGGCCTCACCTCAACCCGCCGCACCACACCAACCAACGCCTCAGCAACAGCGGCCCCGATCCTCAGCGACGCTAGCTCGTCGCCGCCCGTCACCAGATCCCGACTCGTCATGACGAGCGTATCTGTCCCAGTCAGCAACGAAGCCTCGGTCTCGCGCACGACGCGCTCAACCGTATGTGCGGCTCTTTCGGACGACATGATCAGATCGTTAACATTCATCTCGATGATGGCCAACTGGTCTGTGCTGCCGCGCTGCGAGGTCAGCACCTGCAGCTGGGCTGTGGTCTTGGGCACGTAGGAGCCGGCGACGATGAGCGCGCCGGTCTGGCGCGGCGAGGGGAGCTGCAGCTCTGCGGCGGAGATGGGTGCTTTTGATCGGATACCTAGGCGGGTGGAGACGAAAGCTGCGCCGGTGCGGTAGAGGAAGTGTTTTCCCTTGGCCTCGGCTGGAGGAGTTAGCTGGTTTCAATATAAAAAGATAGAGTAAGAAGCACAATTGTGGTGTTAGGAGGGAGGGGGTGGTATACCAAGAGTCCCGCGACGAATACATGCATATCAGACTCGGCCGCAGCATTCACCACGACCACCCCACCCGCAGGCAACTTCACCAGCGTCTCACAAACAGCCTGCGACCCGCCGCGACGGATATCAGAAATACTCACCGAGCACAGCTGACTTGACGTAAACCGGCCCGGCGCTTTTTCGAGGACATAGTCGTGCAGATTCGAGCTGCGATACCCGAACGACGCATCGCGCGCAAACTGCGTACGCCCCGCCGGCACGAGACTATCACCTTCGGCAACATAATGCACATCATCGATAGTGAAGCGGCCGCCCTGGAAGAAGAACGGAGCCAGCACGAGGGCATCGGCGGGCCCGAAGACGAACTGCGCGACGTCTGTCTCGAGCGGGAAATGGCCGCGCAGCGTGCTGTCGCCACGCAGGACGATGTCCACTTGCTGGCTCGTCGACTGTGCTGCTTCGTGCACGTTCTCGCAGATGGTGCGGATGAGGTGCTCGGCTTCTGTGGGTGGCAGGGCGCGCGAATTGGTGAGGATGAAGAAGCCGCGCGAGTCTGTTTCGAATTCGGCCTTCAGCGTCGCTATGTCCCAGACTGTTAGAACGTTGATGTCGTGGCAAGTTTGTGTGCCTGTTGGGTCGTCGTCTAGCACTACTAGGCGGTTGATGTGCGAGTTGGAGAGGATCTGCGAGATCTGGTCCTGCGCGTCGGTGGGATACTCGGCGGGCAGCTGTGCGAGCGTGTGTTGTCGCGAGAGAGAAGGGTATTCGCGCGCCATGAGTAAAATGGAAGACAACAGTCGCTATTGTAAGAATGATAGATTTGGATCAATTGGGGGACCATGAGGTTTAAAAAGGCAAAAGGAAATCGGAGAATCAACATGCGGGGGAGTCGGAAAGAACGCCGATCAAAAACATTTTCAATGCAAAAAGATCTAGAGACATGACAATTCGCAAATCAGGGCAAATCAACACCGTAAAACGCCATAGTGCAGAGACCGCTGCAAGATGAGCATGACGAATGCTTGCAACGCGGGCAAAGGTCATGATAACATCAATTCCCCCCAGTTCCCTCCCAGTTTCCGGCCTCATCCCTCCATGCATTGAAACAATGATAGGTCGTATACTGCGTAAATAAATGCTTGCGTCCAGCGTCTTAGCCCACCACGCTGCGGAAGCTCAGGGCCTCGAGGAAGCCGCCGAGGTCATCTTTCTGCACCTCGACGACGCAGTGCTCGAAACTGTCTATGCGCACACGAGCGCTGGTTTCCTGGACCACCTCCTGGAAGGCAATACCGAATCGGTTGCGGAGAAGGTGCTTCTTCCCCCGCGAGTCATCTTCATCTTCAGATTCGGACTCGGATGACGACTCCGACTCCTCCGATTCTTCCTCCTCATCGTCTTCTTGCTCAGCACGTTCAGCAGCTCGTTGGGCCTTGCGTTCAGCGCGTTCCTTCTGCTTCTTTTCCTTTTCCTCTTTCTTCTTGCGACGCTCCTCTTGGCGCTTGGACAAAGCCGCGAAGTCAATGACACCACCGCCACCACCAGTTCCTACAACCACATAGAGATCGCGATCTTCATCAAGCCCGGCGAGAACGAGAGGGGTTCCGGCTGCTCTCTTTTTGCCAATTTTGACGGCGTCACCACGTTCGCGCTCTTGCACTCGAATTGCCTCTGCGACCCAGAGGGCCAGTTTCGTCAGGGCACCGGGGTTGGTGAAGAGCTTGACGTCCGGGCCATCTTTGACGACAGCAATGCGGAATGCTCGAAGATGGCGGATTTGATGCTTTGAAAGTAAAGATGTGCCGGTCCGGAGGATGGCACGGTGCAGGTGTTGCGCTAGCGGGAGCGATTCCAGCAGGAGCGTGGGTGACTCTGATGTCAGTGAGAGAGCATCGTATGCACCCCAGAATCGGGGAAGAAGGCTGGCCAAATCAGACTCAGCCGAGCCACCATTTTCAGTATCGTCATTTGCGGGTCGTGCTCGGGGCAGACGTTTGGCATCCCACGATCCAGAGCCCTCGTGCGGCCCAACCTCCAGCATTGCGCCTATAATGACACCCACATCCGTTGCAGAAAGACAAGCTTTCCAGCCCCAGCAGCGCACAAAGCCCCATCCTTCGCGGGAACTAGTATGTCCAGATGGTTCAGGAGGGACGAGTCCATCCAGACCGTACATAGGCGCATACTTGAGCAGACGGCCCCGTAGAACCCGTTTCAACTCCATGTCCATATGCGTATAATATTGGTGGCACTGGGTCAGACTAATACCCATTTTGGCCAAGAGCTTATGCAGTCGCTTGCGGCCGTTCTCGGTCCAAACATGAAGTCGTGGCGCAAGGTAAGGGCTGTGAAGCATGCTCTCATATAGCGACCAGTGTCGGACAAGCAAGAAGCGCGGCTCAGGAGAGAGCCGAATGGAGGTGTCGGTAGGGGACCTCGCCGTAGTCGGAATGACGCCATTGATCTCGCCCCGGATATCTCGGTCTCGCTCGAACGGGTCAGGCGGGTTCAGACGATGGACCTCGTCTCGCATTATTTGGCGGATATGTTCGCCGCGCTGTCCACCCCAGCCTGCTGATCCTCCTGATTCCGAGGTGTTCGAAATACCCACGCCGGTCATTGTACGGCCGCTGAGTTCCAGACTAGAAACACCGACGATGGCAAGCCATAGAAGATCATTGTCTTCACGTCCAAGTTCAGATGCGAGCGAATACACCAGCGACGAGATTGGCTCGGAGTAGGAAGTTCCGGCAGAGTAATATGTCTGTAGCACAGTTTCGTGTTTCCTCTTGAGACGAACCAGACGCCGCTTCAATGACCGGGCTGAGGGCTGTTTCGGCTCTTCCGGCGAAGGCGAGTCCGTTGTAGGAGTTGGCGAACGTGATGAATTGGATGAATTGATCCCGGTCCTCCTTCGGCGACTGGGGGACGATGTTAATGAAGAGCCCTGTAACTCGCGTTAGTACCGCACCGATAATGTAGAAAGAATATTCGTACTGAATTGCTTCTCCTCCGCTGCCGAGGAGGCCCGTCTTCATCCTCCGAGTCATCCTCGTCTTCGCGCCCCGACCAAGATTTACGCTTCTTGGACCCGGACTTTGTGTCTTCCTCTGCATCACCAGTAGATCCGTCGTCACTCGCGTCATCTTCATCGTCATCGACCTCGGGCATCTCCAACAACGCGTAGTATGCCTCCCGAGCACTGCCCAGCTCCTCTTCAATATCGCCGTCATCATACACAACAATACCGCCACTTTTCGACGAGTAGGCAGGAGTAATGCAGCCCTTATCGACTCCGCGGCCTCGCCGTCGCGCGTTGACATCAATTTCCGCCATGGCCTGACCGAGACCCGTTTGTCCGCCGAAGACGTTCCCCAGATTCCACGGCCGGCGCGCGTCAAAGATCCAGATCTCGACGCCTCCCATATCCTCGACCTCGTCTTCCGGGTTGCTCAGACACAGAATCTCGCCCAGATCGACCAGTCCACCGACGCCCAGGCAGACTGCGACACCGCCGCTTCCACCATTGGTGGTCTGCATGGGCCGGACCAATTCCTCCCCGCGCGCGCCAGGTCACCATATCCGGCCACTGGTTGGATCTTATGAGGGATGTAGTCTCGTTTCAGCAGGGCCGTGAGAATTCGACAGGCACATAGCGCGTCCGGTTCGAGGGCCACGAGAATTAAGACGGGTGGTGAGAGCGGGTGGTGAGACCGGAGGAGTTGTAGGTAGAGGTGTGAGATGAGCTGGCGAGGGAGATACATGGCCAGCTATGCGGAAGGTCTAGAGGCTCATGCGGCAGAGCATGAAGAAAGACTGGTGGTTTCTTTTTTTATTTCGTCGGTGCAAATCGAATGGTGAGGGAGGCGCAAAGCAAAGACGCAAGGCGCGCGACGCGTCGGGCCGCACGTGCCAAGATTCCATTCCTCATCACCTCGACAATCGCTTAGCTGCAACTCTGTCGCTCCTTGATTCTCAGGGCTGATCCTAATTAATTCAATGAGAAAGTATTTGGATTCTCATCGCTGATATTGGTATATGTCTCGGTGTCCTGGTTGGCTCACTGTGACGCGCTTGGCCTTATTGGCGTCGTGGACTATAGACTACTATATCTTGGTTTAGTTTTACTCGAAGATCTTCAGACCAGAAGACAGTCAAGGAAACTGCAGAAATTGATATCTTCTGTAGGTCGTTTAATGGATAGACTGCTTTATGGCATTGCTGGCTCGCTGGTAGAAATTCCACCTCTAAGCAGGTCTTTAGGGTTAAGCATGTGTACGTAGTACTTTGGGTGGGATGAAACGAGATATAGATCAAACATAATGAAAATATACACATCCATTGTACCCAAGTCACTCCCATACCTTCAGCGAAGCTGGTCCCGGAGCGAGTCAATCTTCAGCACAACCTCCTCCGGCAAAGGCCCCTTAGCCAGATGCTCCACATTCTGCACAATCTGGGGTATTTTGCTCGCTCCCAGGATCACCCCGTCACCCTCACGCAAAATGGAATGGTAATAGATCCACCGAAGACACGCCTCGGATCCAGTGATCTCGAGTGGCTCGATCGTGTCCTGGAGGTCGGTTATCGCGGCATGCATCTCGGGCTTGTCGTACATGGTATTCAATCTCCCAAAGACTTGGTTTCCTGGTGCGAATCGTGTGCCCTCGATATCGCCGCGGGTTGCTCGCCCTGTTAGAAAACCGCCTGCGAGAGGACTGGCCGCAATAGTGGGTTAGTTTGAAACTTTTATATCTAGCACGGTAGAACTAAGGCATATATATCATACCTATAGGCATTGAATGCGATACCGTGTTGCCGCAGTAGTGGGAAAAGTGTTCCTTCAGTCTCCCGGCTCAGGAGATTATATAGACCTTGGTACACGCACGGCTTCAGATAGTTCTTGTCCTCGCAAACGGCGAGAAACGCTGCCACCATCTCCGTTGGAAAATTTGACAACCCGAACTAGCAAAAGAGTCAGAATATTCAAAAAAAAAAAAAAAAAAAAGACAAGGGAAAGCGGGTCATGGACCTTTTCAAAGCGGCCCTTCAAATATTGTTCATGAATTGCAGCAGCTTGTTCCGAGATGGGTGTCTGCGGATCCGGCTGATGGAAATAAAGGACGTTCACTTTTTCCAGTTGCAGTCGACCAAAACTTTCGGTAATGGAATTCTCAATAGCAGCTGGAGCAAGTGTCCCCGCGCCATCGCCACTGGAGGTTCCCACGGTATTGATTTTCGTGTCGATAATGAAATTCTGCTTCACGGCTTGCGTCTCACCAAGCAACCTCTCCGAAGCGCCTGGGTTCGTGGGCGAGTACCGGGCTGCAGTGTCGATACGGTCAATCTCCAGGACCTTTAGTTGGTCAAGAAGTTCTTGAACTTGCTCTGGGGTGGTGAAGCTAGTGCCTATTAGGGCACCACCAAAGATGGTATTGGGTCGGGACATGGTATAAACTGATTATAAAGGGCTTATTTAGCTCTTGAGGTTAAATTGTGTTTTCTTCGCGTTTCTTGAATTTATTGCATGTTAAATATTCCTCCCCTGCCTGGTCGGATATCGTGTCTCCGTTAGCTCCGGGGCGGACGGACGGCCGGCTATCCCGAGCCGAAACGGAGTCCCACTTCCCGGCGAAAGCTGTCAGGACCCGAGTCGGATTCTATCTGATCTGCTGGTCTAGAAATTGTGACTGCATAGGAAGTTAGTGGGGGTGCCTCTTCATTTGGGACATTAGAAATAGCAGGATCGCTTGATATTCACTTTAAGTAACGCCCGGCACCAAGTTCGCATGCTACACTACGCGGCCAAAAGTCTGGGTACACTCTATAATTCAGATTTACCCTACTATATTAAAAACTAAATAACTCCCCTAATATTAATTAATATAAATTTATACTAACTATACAAAGAAAATAGGTCAGTATCTAGTATACTAACCCTTCGCTACGTGTACAGTAGCTATTCTACGAGGTACAGATTAAATTAAGCTATTAATAACGTTTTGATTAAGTAGTTCCTATACTTCGTATATAGCTTTTTTAAAGACCTCCTAATCTAATTTAGACCTTCTATCACCTAGCTAAGGATATAATTAAAGAATTTTAATCTTTAGAAGTCGCTATACTAGTTCGATAGGGTTAAGGTTAAGCGAATATAGAGGTTAGTCGATTATCTAAATCCTATAATTTTCGAACTACTCTTATAAGATTTCTGCTATATAAATCCTCGTATTATCTTATTAGAATATTGAGTATAGTTTATATATTAGTAAAAGACCTTCTTCGAGAGTATTAAGATAGGAGTTCGTAGTATAATCTTGCCGAGGTACGTTTTTATCGCGATTTATAATTATTATTTTTATTTAGCCACTAATCTAGATTCTAGCCTAAATCATCTACGAAATATCCTTACTATAACTTACGAGGTTTATAAGATCGCTTCGGTAGGCCTCGGAGGTAAATCGAAAGATAAATTAGACCTTAGAATTCGATATTTATTAGACTAAATATTCGTTAGAAAAGATTAGATTCTCCTAATCCGAAAAACTCGCCTATTTATATACAAAAGCGCGTCTTTTTTGTATAACTAACTTTGATAAAGATATTTGTTTCTTACTCTTCTATTTTTAAAACCCGTAGCCTTTTAAAACGTATCGAATTATTGATCGAGAGGGTAAATAGGGAGTATTTACTCTAAGGGTTCTATAACTTATTCGCGGGTTCCGATAGGTTATCCGATAGGTATATCGAATAGTCTAATCGCTGATCTTAGAAAGTCTACTATTTCTAGGCGATGATTTAAGAGTATAGTGTTGCTAAAAGCGATCGCGAGTCCGGTAAATTGTAGTACGGCTAAGATTTAAATTACGAGCGATTTTAGTAGGACTTAAGCTATTTTTGAGAGCAAAAATAATCGCTACGCGAGTAGATTCTGATAATTCATTGTTTTGCCTACAATTTGCACTAATTTCAGTGCCAAAATATCGCATATTCGTTGTGGTAGAGAGAAAAGAAAAAAGGGGTTAGAATATGGATTTTACTAAAGTGGGGTGCTATACCCAGACTTTTGGACCCCGTTGTATATATGCCCAAGGCTATCACGCTATAGATCAAGACCCAAGCACCAAATATAGGGGCTATAAACCCTTGTGAAAATACAATAATTAACAAATCGACTCTAGACCGATGAGTGACCTAAGATAGACCCTGCGACCCAGATGGCGGTACATGCGCCCACGACAGACAGTCCGACCAGCCGCTTGCTCCAGCTGTTGTCCTCGGCCATCTTGGTCGGCCCAACCGTTTTCTTTGGGGCCAAATGCAAGGAATGAGATGAGGGCGCATCCGCAGTGTGATTCTTGGATGAGTCGCCAAGAATAGCAGAGTATTCTTCGTCGCGCTTGCGCCATTTTTCAACCAGCTGCGCAATCTCAGCAAGATCTTCCTTGAGGGAACCAGGGTCTGTCGCATTCGCGTTCTCGACCTCCACATTTTGGACGTTGCCGAAGAAGTCCACCACAGTCCGGAGGCGGCCTTCCTGCTCGCCGCCGGGGAAGAGATCCCACCGGACACCCGGTTGCGAGTGGATTTTAGACTCATCGTACGAGTCAAACAAATCGCCCAGGGTTAATTTTGACGTGGCGCTCGTCACTTGGGTCTCGAGGAACTCCAGCACATAGTAGGTCCAGCGGTCGATGACGGCGACGCCGACATCGTTGTCCGCGTGGTGGGAGTATGAGGACTGGTCAATCTCACTGGAGCCCGTGGCGACGATATTGGGCGAGTAGAAATGGGTGTACATGGTGTTGGCCTGGCACGTATCGATCATGAACAGCAGTTCGTGGTAGCGCTTCTTCTCCCACATCTGGCCAAACGCGTCCGCCAGATCCCACGCCCCGATTTCCTCGGCGTCCTGGAACTTCAGGAACTGGTCGCCTCCGTGCCCAGTCATGTAAACCAGCACGTTACTACCAGCATCCGAGCCCAGGCGCTTACTGCGCGGTACGTCCTCATCAAGGCGGTCCGTCAACAGTCGGATGAAGTTCTCCACGGTCACCTCATAGCCACGGTAGTCCACCTCGATGTTGTCACCGTAAAGATCAACGGCGCGGTCCGCATTGCTGTATACCGTGCCCGGGAAGGCGTTGCGGGGGTTGCAGGCCATGTCGTCGGGGAGCATGAGGATGATCTGCGAGTCGGGAATGCCGAGGCGCTTGACGGTCCGGTACAGCGAGAGAACATTGGCGAGATGGCGGTAGTTGAACCAGAATCGCGAGGTGGACACCAGCACCGCCCAGTTCGAGGTATGCTCAGCGGCGACAGCGCCGGCGAGCAGCAGGAGGGAGAGAACCTGCAAAAAGCGGAAGAGCAGAGCCATGGCCGAATGTAGGATCAGGTCATACTCAGGAAAGAAGGTGGAGCCCAGCCAAAGCTGGCGGAAGAGGAATTAGCAAAAGAAGAGCGAGGGAAGAAATGAAATGCTTTGAAGTCGACCTCCAACAGCTATCCCCAGGCCATCATAATGGCAGGGGCAAGATCGATGACAAATGGCGGGTGGGATTTGTGCCTAAGTTTTGAGGCGCCAACAAAGCACTCGACCACCGCGCTGCTCAGGTCAGCCTCTTTTGGGTGGCACTAGAGAGGATCTATATTTTGACAAGACTATCCGCTTTCTCTTTTGCTTTTCAACTTCAATTTTAGCCCCTTGAAATTATAATAAGTAGAAGAAGGATTTCGTCACAATCATTTGTTTAGTCAACAGGCCACCGCCTTCATCGGAGCCGGCATAATTGCCCTGCGAATCAGGTCATTTTCAATCAAGACCCGGCTTTCTTTTTCTCTTCTCACATTATTTTCCCCCTCGGATATTGTACAGTTGTCTGTCGTTTACATACCGATAAAATGGGAGGCAAGAAGGCCGCCGGAGAAAACTCCAAGAAGGCCGCCGGTAACGCTCGTGTAAGTTTTGATGCCCCGCCCCCGCCACCATGCCACTCCGAACGAGTCGACATAGGCGACAACCGACAAATCACTGACCATGGCCATATAGAAAACCGACGCGGCCGCACAAAAGAAGGCCGTGGAAGACTCCAAGCGCGCCGCGGAAGAGGACAAGCAATGGGCCAAAGGATCTAAGAGCAACTCAAAGAAGTAAGCGCACTCGGCCTTCCCAAGCCCGACAGGAAGAAACATCCGAAAGATCTGGTCGATTTTAAAGCTAACGCAATTTTTTTCTCTTCTCACAGAGAAGATGCCGACGCCAAGAAAGCCGACGCTGCTCGCAAGAAGGCCGAGCGCGATGCCCAACTCGCCGAGGAGGAAGCCTCGCAACCATCCAAGGCCAAGGGAGGCGGTGCCAAGAGCGCACAGAAGAAGTCCCGGGGGCTGGATCTGTCACAGCTGGACGATGGTCCTGCCGGCAAGAAGGGATCTTCACTGAGCGCGTCTGGTATCGACAACGCCCTGGACGCCCTGTCCCTGACCAACAAGGACACCTCCAAGATCGACCGACACCCTGAGCGACGATTCAAGGCCGCCTATGCCGCATTTGAGGAGCGACGGTTGCCCGAAATCGAGGAGGAGAACCCCGGTCTGCGACGACAGCAGCGTATCGAGCTCTGCCGAAAGGAATTTGACAAGAGCGAGGAGAACCCGTTCAACCAGGTGCATGTGGCTGTCAACGCGACCAAGGATGAAGTTGCGCAGGTCAGGGATCAGGAGCGGAAGAAGGTTGAATCCAGACTCGGCAACAAATAGATTGGCGTGTCGAGTTGCTGGCAACAGGCAGGGGGGATTGCGCTATCACAGCCGTCATGCTTATATTATCGCGCGAGATGAATGGTTGACATCGTCGACTGTCTACGTTCAACCGCGGATACAGCTTCTTCGCCAGCATGGGGATTCTACTATCTGGAGACGTGCTCACGCGGTATAGGAGCAGGGTGTCGAGAAGATGGATCTCGGCTGATTTTCCCAGCCATTGCCGGTCTCACTTGTTGTGCCGCTTGAAAAAAGAGACCCGACACATGATGGATGAACATAGAGCGCGAGTGTGCTGTATTACTTCCAGATTTGCTTAGCTCAGACATAAACTTACGAACTGGCATGATTTTAGGTGTTTTGTACTCTTGCGCTTCCGTAGAATGTAGAGCCCCGCAGTATCATACAAGAAGACAGCCATCAAAACACATATGTACTTGCCGGCTATAACGTTGTGCATGTTCAAAAAGACTAGATATACCATCAAACTCCGGACCCTGCCAGAGCCATAAAAGAAAATGGCGAAGAGCCACGCATCTATCCCATTGCGCCTCGAACATCCCACACATAGAGGCTCTCATCCCAACCAACACTAGCACACCAGCCCTCACTTCCAAACAAACACCAGTCCACGCCGGTCACGAACTCGGTATGTCTCGCCATCCGGCCCAATTCCACCCCGGCCACCGGGGAGACGGGACCAGAGCGCATCAAATCCACATCGCTGCCTGGACCTGCATCAGAGGGGTCATTCCAAACACGACAGGTCATGTCGTAGCTGGCACTGAGAAGAACATTCGACAAGTGTGGTGACCATGCCACTTTGCGCACGGCGTAATCATGCCCGAGCATTGTAGCCAAGGGTCCATGTTGCGGGGCGCGAATATCGAATGTCCGAATGGCGCGGTCGACGCCAGCAGTCGCGAGAACGGTGGGGCGGTATTTATTCCAGTCGTGTGTGAGCGCCTCGGAGGGCGGACATGATGCAGGTGGCACACCCGGCGGGCCGGGGATAGCCGGGGCAGCGGGAGCAGCGTGGATGGGGATCTGGACGGTAAGGTGGTTGGAGGCAGAGGCTGGGGTGCGGAGGTCGAAGACGCGCACATACGAATCTGACGTGACGCACGAGACTAAGTCTGGGTTATGTGGGCAAAAGGAGGCCGAGTATGTGCAGCTGTGGGTGGGGAGGGTGAGGAGGGACTGCGGGCGATGCGGCGACCAGACGCGGACGGTGCCGTCCCAGCTACTGGAGCAGAACCGATCCTTGGCGATCATATTCCAGTTGACGCTGAATACCTCGCGCGCATGTTCTTTCCAGTTTTGCACCGGGAAGTCATTGGCCGAGCAGTCGAAGAGCTTGATGCTGCCGTCGCCCGACGCTGTGAGTACTTGGTTCTCGTGGATCTCGGACCATGCTAGGTCGTAAAGGGAGTCTTGTGTTGTGAACCTGGCGATTGCAAACCTGGAGCGTTAGTATCAAGCAGCAACAGTGGTGCTGAACAATCTGTCTTGCGCGGGACTGACCATTTCATCGGCACGATCCCGTTGGGGGTCAACTCCAGAATATATAATCGGCCATTTCCAACAAGGCCAAAATTGGCCGAACTGGCAACAGCTAATCGATTGTCGAAGAAGGGGGAGTATTTGACTGCACAACCGTTGTAGCCCTGTGTGCGGTAGTGGAGCATGGTGAAGGACGGATCGGGCGACGCCGATCACTCACGGGAGGAAAGGAAAGAAAAAAGAAAAAGAAAGCCTCAAAGCTATTTGGGGTATCACAAAGAAACTAAAGCTCGGTCATTATAGGCGGCGCACACGGAGGATGGGGAGGGATCGAGTCGGGATTGCGGGGGATCAAATGCGATGGACCGAGGTCCGCATATTCAGGCTCCACTCAGGCATACCTCGAAGTAAATGAGAGCTGACATTGACTTGCCTTTTTGCTACTAGTATGACATGGATATTTCTGTATTTCTATATTTCTATATTTCTACTTTTTACATTTTGTAAAAAATGGATTAGTTTTTGGACAGAACGTGGAATTGTATATAACCATGTCAACTATATATCTGGTGACTTTGATGCCAAAACTTCTTCATTTGACAAAGATCGGGGTGATTGAATTTATCAGACTACAAAAACCGTGAAATTAACACAAGGAGGGGATTTAAGTATCGATCAATCCCCCGTTGCACTCCTTCAGCCCCACCAGGTTTTTCTGGCGCGGATAGAACTCACACAAGGCGCCCACTCTCCATACGCGCTGTAGCATGATTGGCTTGACCATGGAGGCAACTTTGCGCAGGATCAAGAACGCCTCCGACTCCCGAAGGCGTTGTTTTTCATGGCAGTATTCTGAGATCAGGGCGTCAAGTTCCCTCATCTCGAAAGATTTACTGTAACGAGAGGCTTGAAAAAAAGACTGGGTAGGCAGGGATGGAATAGGCATAGAGTCTGCGCGCAAGATGCAGACGTTACTGCCTCTGGTGGAGGTTCATTCTCTAGATCGAGAAGATACGATCTAAGAGAGCCTCACATGAAAGCAGGGGTGAATACACCTACACATAAAAAATGAGGGTAGAGGGGCCAGCTTTCAAAGTTCTGGCTCCGGTTTGCTTTTTGCATCGTCCTCAGCATCGATAACTTAGATGTTTACACTTAATAACATAATATACGTTATTTGTAAGAGCTAAGTTTCTGATTATGTCTAGGCGACAGCCTGTTCCATCGATCCATACAGATTTTCCTTATACTCACGAGGGAGTAGGGATCTGGATATTTTTCTTCGAAGGTACAGGGGGCTTTAAAGAGATAGAGCATTTCTTGTCCATGTAGACGTTCTGGAAGATTCACCTGGTTAGATATGCTGTTTTCACTCCAGAATTCTTTCGTGGATTATCTCACCATAGTATAAAAGGCATAGCTCTCAGGGTTCTTGAAGGAGCGGCACGGGTTGCATATCACACCGCATTCTTTGGCTATTTTGGTGGCATTGTAAGGGTCTAAAACCTCCTGATCGTTCTGCAAGATCTTGCTCTGTCTAAATAAGGTTGAACACATTAGTTTATTATAAGAAGCAAAGGATATTCCAGAAAAAGAACCAAAGATCACTTACTCCCATTCCCTCATCGTTATGTCTCCAATGAAAGGGTAATGTCTATTGAGATAAGGTTGTTAGTTAATACCATGCTATCTCTGACTATAAGTGAAGTGGTAGTGGTCACATTAGCTCGTGTAGTACTGTCATGACCAGTTCATACACGACAGAAAAGTTGACGTAACGGTTCTTGATTTGAGAACACTCGGTGATTTGCCTGTCGTGCATGACTGGTACTTGGTTCAGACAAACATGAATCAAATAGTCATGGTCCTTCATCTTATCGCGATTGCTGATTCTATTAAACCAGTCGCTCCTCTTTCTCACTTGAGAGACAGGCAAGGAATAACCAGCACTCTCTGCTTGGCAATCTTCAGCAAAGTCGGATCTGGTGATCCAGATTTTTCGATCGGTATCATTCCATGATCCTGTTGGAGAGATGGCTGTGTGCATTCTGTCGAAAACTGTTTGCACCAGACGCTCTTCCCCAGATCCCTGAGGAGTACCAAACCATCTCTGGTATCTGCGATCTGCGGCATTGGTGTGGCCGATATCGTTTAGGATATCATAGAGGTTTTTCCAAACAGACTCAAACCCTTCCACGTCGACATGGTTTTGCAACCATCCATCGTAATAGAAAGCTTTGCCTTTCGAATATCTTGGTGGGACTGGAGGAGCATCATCGCGCTTGAGGGAGTTCTTAAGGATTGTTTCCTTGCTGGTGATGGAAGAGCTATCGATTCACATCATCATTAGATCTCTGTTGGCTTTGCTTTCAACGCCCTGTGGTTATAAATAGAACTCGGAACACTAACTCTGGAAGGTATCGAGCCTGGGAGGATATCACCAGCAAAAGCAGAAGGCTAAATGACACTTCTATACGCATCGTTGCGGTGACAATGCCAGGGTTGAGATCTAATTGACACAAAGTGGGTTGTCGAGAGAGGGGAAAGTTGCTAGTCAAGTACAGTGGCTGATCAAAAGTTTTTGGACCCTACCCCTGACCCACATACTATTTATATACAACGGGGTCCAAAAGTCTGGGTACAGCACCCTATTTTAGTAAAATCCATATTCTAACACCTTTTTTCTTCTCTCTCTACCATACAAAATTAGTGCAAATCGCAGGCAAAACAATAAATTATTAGGAACCACTTATGTAGCGATTATTTTTGCTCTCGAAAATAGCTTAAGTCCTACTAAAATCGCTCACGATTTATATTTTAGCTATATTATAATTTACCGGACTCGCGATCGTTTTTAGTAATACTATACTCTTAAATCATCGCCTAGAAATAATAGACCTTCTAAGATTAGCGATTAGACTATTCGATATATCTATCGGATAATCTATTAGAACCCGCGAATAAATTATAGAGCTCTTAAAATAAATACTCTTTATTTACTCTCTCGATTAATAATTCGACGCGTTTTATAAGGCTATAGGCTTCGAAAAAAAAAAAATAAGAAATAAATATATTTATTAAAATTATTTATATAAAAAAAAATACGTTTTTATACGTAAATAGATAAGTTTTTCGATTAGGAGAATCTAATCTTTTCTAATAAATATTTAGTCTAACAAATATCGAATTATAAAGTCTAATTTATCTTTCGATTTATCTCTAAGGCCTACTAAAATAATCTTATAAACCTTATAAGTTATAATAAGGATATTTTGTAGATAATTTAGGCTAGAATCTAGATTAGTAGCTAAATAAAAATAATAATTATAAATCACGATAAAATATATCTTAGTAAGATTATACTATAAATTTCTACTTTAATACTCTCGAAAAAGGTCTTTTATTAATATATAAACTATACTCGATATTTTAATAAAATAAAATAAATATTTATATAGTAGAAAACTTATAAGAATAATTCTAAAATTATAGGATTTAGATAATCGACTAGCCTCTATATTCGCCTAATCTTAACCCTATAGAACTAGTATAGCGACTTCTAAAGATTAAAATTCTTTAATTATATCTTTAGCTAGGTAATAGAAGATCTAGATTAAATTAAAAGGTCTTAAAAAAAAGCTATATATAAAATATAGGAACTATTTAATTAAAACGTTATTAATAGCTTAATTAGATTAATACCTCGTAGAATAGCTGCTATACACGTAGCGAAGGGTTGGTATACTAGATATTAACCTATGTTCTTTGTATATTTAGTATGAATTTATATTAATTAATATTAGAGGAGTTATTCAGTTTTTAACACATAGTAGGGTAAATCTGAATTATAGAGTGTACCCAGACTTTTGGCCGCGTAGGGTATTCTGCCAGGTAAAAAATCTCTTCATTAACCCCTATACTAGTACTATACTAATATTTAGTACACCAACCCCTACTTCGATAATAGCTTTCACCTGATTTAGCATCGAATTCTATTCAATCTTATCCTATGCTTTTTACGCTATATTAACCAAATATTCTAGTATAGTACTATTATTAGATATATCTAGTAGCTCAGGAATCAGGATATAGCTTATAGATTTTTGTCTTTAATAAAGCCTATATATTCTTAATTAGATTAAGACCTAGCGAATAAGGTAGCTATACTATAGTATTAACCCTCTTTCGCTCTAAAAGCTCACGTATAATATACGCGTAATAAACTAGCGTATTATTATATATAAAAATAGTATCCAGTCTAAATAAAGTAAGTAAAATAGTACTATATAAATTATAGATAACCTCTATATCCACGCCGCCGCGAGGTGTATTAAGATTATTATATAATATCTATAGATTAATATATCGAATCCTACTAAAGAAAGTAGTCTAAAATATCTACTTTACTTACTTTCTATATAACCTTTTATAAATATCTCGCTCGATTTGCTGCTACGAGGGTCGATTAAAGATATAAGGCTTTCTATAACTAGTACCTCGCTTAATAGTATATTAATTAGACTAATAAACACGAGCCTAATCTTTAGGAGTAAAATATTGATATATTTTTACCTAATAAAGTCGTTTTGCTATAGTTTTATTATCTAAAGCAGATCGATCAAGCTACCGCTATTTTCGAAGCCCTATCTTATTTAAAAGCTGTCGAATTGATATCGTTTTAACTTTATAATCGATATCAACGAGTAAGTCTTATTAGCGTACGTAAGAGTCGGTAGTAGCTCTCTTATATATTCGATCGCGATTATCTTTATTAAGTTTGCGAGGTGCTCCGGAGCGATATTTTTAGTAAATACTAAACCTCTTACTCTCATTTTTAATAGTATATTAGATTATTGATAGAGGTATCGAAGGGGTATGCTTTATAAATTCTCTTATACCCCTATTAAGCAGTTGAATGAAGCTCGTAAATACGAGTGCGAGTATAGGGGTCGAATTCTTATGATGGTCGATGATGCGGTGCTCTCGCACCTAACATGCGTGCTAAATATGTCGGCTCTGGCAGAGAAGGATGCCCGACGTGGGCCGATGCTGGGTCAAGGTTGTCGAGGAAAACTATCCTGAACGCGGCTGGGGGATCAGCCTTTTTTAACCGAGATCGATGTGAATAATGAGCCATATGGACTCGGAAATTCCCGTGGGATATACAGGGGATGGACGAGTGTGGCGCTTTCAGCACTGGTCGAGGTGTTTGATGGGCTTCGACAGACGAAATGCCTGATGGAAGATCATAGGGAGGGGCGAGTATATCTGGGAGAGGGGAAATGGGGTACTCGGTAGCACAGGAAACCAAAGTATTCTCTTGATTTATATAGCGCTAGGAAGTAGATCTATGGGCTTGGTGTATGATTGGCCAGTTCGCGGTCAATCAGGTGATGGGCTTATCGTCCTCATCGCGAAACATCGCTCTTCTTCAATTTCCATGCAAATGGGTGGTCTACATGGCAGCTCAGAGAACACCGATGGATGCTTTCATTTCAAGAAAGCGACCACGGCTTTCCACGCCGGAGACATCCAGACCCAATAATGGCGAGACCGGAGCCTCAGACACAGAGGACTCGACTGATCTCAAGCTGGCAATGCTTATATCTCTTTTTCCGAGAACCAAGCAAGAGGAGCTCCTGGATATTCTCGTCTCATGCGACGGGTCGGTCGAGGCCGCTTCATCTCTGCTTTCATCACAAGGCTCCGCAGTACTCTCACCAGCCACCAAAAAGCGAGCTACGTCGGGCTCATCGCTCGGCGTGCAGACATCGCTATTATCCCATGTTGTGACAACAACCAAAAACGGAGTTCTGAAACAAGAAAATGAAATCAAAAAGCCGCCAGCGATCAAAAAAGGAAAAACATTGCATCTCTATGCACCCGAAGACATCGCCGCTTCCACGCCGTGCACAATTATCCACAATTTCTTGCCCGCTGAAGAGGCAAACGCACTTCTTGTTGAATTGCTAGAAGAGTCGCAACATTTCTCCAGATACGAGTTCCAGCTTTTCAACCGAACGGTGCAGAGCCCCCATACAGCATGTGTGTATGTGTCGACGCTCGAGGAGTATCGACAGCAGACCTCTGAGTATACGTACGGCGGAACATACCGGTCAAACGTGCGACAGGCTACCACCGAATTGCGCTCAGTGTCACGTAAAGTGCAGCAGACCGTAAACGCCGAAATCCAGAAACGGATCTGTGAGGTCTATCCGGGAGGCAAGAAGCTCAAGTACCAGTCCCCGAAGGAGTGGCGACCAAACGCAGCCTTCGTCAACTGCTACGACGGCCCTGCAGAAAGTGTGGGCTTTCACTCCGATGAACTGACCTACCTCGGCCCACATCCAGTAATTGGCAGTCTCAGCCTAGGAGTGGAGCGAGAGTTTCGAGTGCGGCGAGTCGTGGCTCAAGACGAGGATGATAAAACAGACAAAGATGGCAAATCAATACTCGAACAGAAAGACTCGCCTTCAAAATCTAGATCAAGAGAGCACCATAATGCATCCGCTGCCCGCGCAGACGCCCAAGGCCAGATCTCTATCCATCTCCCGCACAATTCTCTGCTGGTCATGCACGCCGAGATGCAGGAAGAGTGGAAGCATGCCATCACCCCAGCACCAACTATTTCCCCTCATCCGGTTGCTGGCAACCGACGAATCAATATCACCTACCGATGGTACCGCGATACTCTCCATCCCCGATATACGCCGCGATGCCGGTGCGGGATGCATGCGATTCTACGGTGTGCGCAGCGCAAAGCAGAGTCGCGGGGACGATATATGTGGACATGCTATGCTAGTTTTACGCCCGGCAAGCAGGGCTGCTCGTTCTTCCAATGGGCCGAGTTTGACGACGATGGCGATCCGGTGTGGGATCAGAGACGGAATGACGACGAAGCGCCGACTTTGGCCAATTTTTCGGCGTCGCAATAGAGGCTCAGCTCCTATATAAGATTTGATTTGTCATTTGCGAGTTGTATTTAGAGCAGTCCGTGAAGTAGTTATTTTGAATTAATGATAGGACGATCAACTAGAAGAACGGAAGGTGAGCACGCCCCTCCAGTTCCTCGACTCTGCACATCAAAACCGCGGACAAGGGGAAATCCCAGGAATCAGCTGTTTGGAATAGCAGTATTAGAGATCACAACCACCGGAGTGGATAGAACATGCGGGGTCTCTAGTGGAGAATGTGTATACCTCCCCAGATTCCGCTCCATGTTCTTCCATTATACAAGCTTGTTCCCCGGACGACCCCCAGATTCAATCCGCCATGGATCCTCGCAGCTTAGTTACAGGGGAAAAGAGCAGATCCAATCACACCTCAGTCACACTCAGCAAGACTGTCTTCTTCACCTCTTTTCTTTCTGGCTGTGCGGGACTCGCCCCGCGCATTTCCGTTGCACAAACATACTTCCTTTAAGACCGAGACGCCCCCAGGAGAGCTGGGCTGTTGAGCGCCAAAATTAGTGCTTTTGCATGGAAATCAGGTATCTTGCGTTGATCATGGCTTCTTCGAAGACTGAAGGTACCTATGACTATATAGTCTGACAGATGGCCGCTCGAGGACATTCTCTGCGCGAAAAGAAATCATCATCTCCGGCGGCGCATACTGCAGCCCAGCCATTCTGCTTCGCTCGGGAATTGGTCCCAGAGAGGAGGTGGACCGGCACGGAATTCCATGCATGGTGGATTCTCCAGGCGTGGACAAGAACCTGATGGACCATCTGGTAAGTAAACCCGCCACAAAAAAAAGAAGCATGAAGCTAAGAACATGATAACACAGATTGTATTCATGTTCTACGAAACCGAGCAAAAAGGCCTAACAACAGACACGCACGTCTACCACGACGACCAACGCCACCTACAAGCAATGGCAAGACTACAAAAATGGCTTTCTATCAACCTTCCCCTTCGGCTCCTTCGCCTTCGCCCGCCTCGACGAGCACCTCAAAAATGAACCCCTCTGGCAGAACGCCCCTCGCCAATCCGACCGCGACCCAATGGGCCTAACACCCAAGCAACCGAACATCGAATTTTTCACGACTGAGTGCTACAGTGGCCCAAAACAGTACAACCAGTTCCCAACCAACCACCAGCACGCATTCTCGATGATTGCGGAGCTCTTTGCGCCGAAGTCGCGGGGCTCTGTCACGCTGCACTCTGCAGATCCGCTGGATAACCCGGTTGTCGACTGCAACTACATGGCGGATCCGCTGGATCTGCTTGTGCTGAATGAGGTGTGCCGGTTTGGGAATGAAGTTGTCATGCCTGTGTTGCATGGAGGGCACACGCAGATGCCGGCGTATGGCATTGGCGAGAAGTGCACATCCTGATCAAGGAGACGTGGCGGATTGCCGGGAATGTTTATAGTCGTATTTGAGAGATTAGCGAAGCAACCCAGTTAATAATTGACAATATGGGCATTTCTCAATTCGAGGCTATACAGACACGATGACTGGACCTTTGATTAAACCGATAGCAATTGGGAGAACAAGAGGGCCAATAAAAATAGCGTATAGAGTCAAGCCACAGAAACCTCAAGATAGACTGGAGGGAGTTTCAATCGAAGATCCAAGACTGATACTCGAACAATCATCTTCTTCGTCAGCCTCGGTAGTCAATGTTTTTCCAACATTCCATGATGCACCCAAGGTACGGTCCGCGTGTCGAAGAATAGTGCAATCAGCTTCCAGGTGAACAGCGCTGGGTTCTGGCAAGAAGGAGTGTTTATACTCGAGGTGCGCTGTCAAGACGTGCTGACCAATCTCCATTGAGGAATGCTCATTCAAGAGTGTGTTGACTTGGTTGAGTAAAGCCCGGATTATGGGATGATGATCTTGGTCGGTTTTTTGACATCCAGCCAGACGAGAGCGCTGCAAGTCAGCGGCCGGTATACCGATTTGAACCGGGACGACCCAGCTTTCTCCTGGTCGCAGATGTGTGAGCTGACAATCTCCCAATACTGATTGAACTTGACACCCATGACCAGGTATGACAGAAAGGTTCAAGTCAGAGATGGCTCCAGGATTGATTCCGGTCCGAAGTTGTCGAATGGCCTTTGAGACTTTTTGGCTGAGATAGATATCCCTGGGAGGCGCATCATCTGAGGTGATTTCGTAGAAAATATGCCAGCCAGGTGGGTGGGATGTTTTTCCCAGCGGAGAACAAGTCTGAGGAGTGATGGTGTGAAAGCCGATAGATCTGTCAATCCCAGGCATTGAACAATGACCCTGGGGGGTGGAAGAAAGGAATACTAAATGACAGAAGGCAGGTCGCGGAGAGTGGCAAAAGAGCTGAGAGACCTGGCTGATGGCAAACTCCAAATCTGGAGACCCTCTCCTTTTGTTTGATACATGACGAGACGCAAATATATTCAGCGCAGACTGGGACGTTTCGAAATGGTGAAATCCCAGAGGGAGCAGGATCTCGAAACCGCTTTTGGAACTCCCGTCAACGCATGCCAAGGCGATCCTGTCGTGGTTATATACTAGGCTCGACGCTATGGCTGAGACCCCAAGGGCTATCTGAGTCAATCGACTGACAGAAGGGTGTTGTCTAGCCACAATATGTTAAACAGTTGACAGTAGCACGCAGGCTGGGGGTAACCTACAACCGATCCAAGAGGATAACCAAGTCAAGTGGGGCGAGGGTTGAAGAGTCTGGGAGCGAAATCGAACTGATATCAGCTAGAACCTCGACTGTTGTCCATATAGACAGGGGATTCATGCCGATGCTCGGGCTATTTGGAGCTGCTCGCAGATTGGCAAACGAGATGGGAAGATCCATTGGACTCAAGTACTGGGAACCTGGTTGTTGCTGGGTGTCTGATAGAGACTGGACCAAACTCGGTGGACAAGAATCCTGAACTACGAGTGTGGGGAATTTTGTATTGAGAAATTCCTTGGTTGATGAGCGTGACGAGAGACACGGATCTATCGAGTCCCAGGACCCGGAACTCCAGCGCACAAGTACTTGGGGGATGGCTCGGAATTTGCCCAGAGCTTTGCGTTTCTCACAGGCCGCGATTTTGGATTGGAGGCCCTATGCCAATCAGTTAGCGTACAAACAAGCCCCGGAGTGGAACAGCAATCACTTGATCCACGAATGGGTCTTCCAACGCGTCATGACCGCTCTTGAACCCATTCTGAAGACCTGCACCGGCCTTTCGGACTTTGGTCACATCGATCTGATAGAGACTATCGCTGAGAGATGGCGTCCGTGTCGACGTTGCCGGGCCATTGGAATCGTAGCTTGCGCTCGCAGAAAGCGAGGACTGCCGGCGAGGAATCGACGGATAGGACGAGGTGGACACCGAACTGAATCCGCGACAAGAGCGCTTTTTGACAATGAGCGGCTCCGGCATGGTATCCTCCATGTCTTCGAGGTGCTCTAAACGTGGTCCTTGCCGACGACAGGCTCTTCGTACTCGAGCTCGAACCCCGACGATTCGGTTTGTCGCGTTGTAGAGCCGCTCTCGGGGTCGGACTGTCTGGTCTTTTGCCTGCGATGACCTTTCCTCCAACGGAAGCACGAAGGGCACGAAGGCTTGCAAGATCGACGGCCCCAGAAGTCGGAGCAAGCAAGAGCCACGGCCACAGCGCAAAATAGAATGACAATAGGAACCAAAACCAATGCGATAAGTAAGGCTGAGCTCTTAAAATCTATGGATAAAGTATTGGTCATTTTGTGCGGAAGATGTACCAATGCAGCAGATGTTGGGAGAGCCAGGAAGAGTCTGCGACGTCGTGATAGAAGCAGCCGACGCCAAATCGAGACGCGGCCAACGTTATTGCCGTTTTCTGGTCATTTTGGGGGATCAACAAACCGATAATGGAAGGAGCAGGCTGATATTTACGGTTCCAAGGTTGTGACGGGTTAAGACGTCAAATGGCATTGCTGGGTATAGTCGACACAAAAATATTCTGAAGTTGTGTTCATGCTCCTTCTCCAACTGTCGCAGCCATCAACTCCTTCACCGAAGTCAATGTTGTATCATCCATCCGCGAGAATCGTATCTGAGAGCCCTCGGATTAGTACTGCACCAGATATAACCCATCAGTCAGAAACCTACCATCTCATCGCCACCTCCACGAGCAGCATTTCCAAACAACATGGGGTCGGAGTGGCATGTCTCAATCTCATGCTGCACCCGCTTGGCCCAGATCCCATCCCAATGCCAATCCCCGGGCTGCCTAGCATGCGGGCTGTCCCGTTTCAAGTCGCCCAGGCCGCTGCCACCTCGGCGATGTGCCTTCCACGCATGCCAGGCCCCTGGGTTGCCTGCTACTTCAACAGGTAGGGCGTCCAAAACAGTTTCGTCGTCGAATGTGGAGCGAATATAATTCAGGATGGTCAACACTGGGACAATCTTCTTTGGTTCTGTGAATCGGTTAGCCGAAGGAACCTGGGCAACAGGAGCATTGCCATCATTCTTCAGCGATTGCTCTTCGCCAGCTACAGGGTCGCTCGACGGTTCCGCTGATGGCTTTGCCTGAGATAGTGCCTCGCCATCTATTGTGGGGCCGGTAGGTGCCGTTTCTCCCCCAGAGTGTGCGCTGTTTCCGCTCACGTTCCGTGATGATGCTCTTGAACTCAGACCACTCCGCTTTGTCCGGCCAAACCAATGTGGGAACCCATGGCGCAGGCTGAATCCGCCCGGTGGTAGCCGCTCCTCGTCCGACGCGCTGATCGGGTTATCACTCGGCGAGCTGGTGCTGAATGTGTATGTGGTAAGGGGTACGATTAGGGGATGGAACACATCGGTCGTAAAAGTGACGAGCGGCGGGAGATCGGGGTAGGTATCGGGGAAGCGGATCTGGAAGCGGAGAATGGCTGAAGCGTAGGGACCTGGGGATGGGGCCGAGAAATCAGTGGAAGGTTGGGCAGCTTTCCGTCAGATTGAAGCTCACCGGAACGAACAAAAATGACTCCATTCCACAGCGTGGGATCCCCGGGTGCAAGGGTCACATAGACACCGGGTGGTGGTGCATGCCTCAAGCTTGCGCTGCAGATGGTCAATACCTTAGGTCTCAGTGATGCGGGGCGCCATTGAGGTCTTACAACTCGAGATGAAGCTGCTGCTTTCTTAGCGATGGAATGGAAGGTAATTTAAAGGTCGACATGGTCGAGGAGGTCGGCCGTCGACAGTCGAGTTGGAGAGAAAGGAGAGATCGCTTATCAGCCATCCTTATCGATCTGAAGTGAAAGGGACAACCAGCGAGATGACACACGATGAAGACCTGAAGTTTCAGAATGCAAACCCACTGCATCGGCTGAAGAGTCTCCATCGTTCAACATCTTCCCAACCCGCCTATTATGAAGACCATCGGCATCTGCATTCCCACCATCGAAGGTGGGGTAGTCTGCCATCAAGAGATCGGACGAGAAGCAACCAGGCGAGGTGTTGCCTACCCTGCGATCGCTACACATACGCCACTCTTCGAGGAAATTGGCCGGGCTGTCCAAACAAGTGACTTCAACTCGCTGGCGGCGGTGCTCAGCGATTCGATCAACCGTATCGCGAAAGCCGGTGCCGACGTTGCTATCATTTCCGCCAATACAATGCACATTGTTTTCGACGAGATCGCCGCCCAGTCCCAGATTCCAATCCTCAGTATCCTCGAGGTGACGGCGGAGTATTGCACAAAGCATGGTTACCAGCGCGTGGGTGTGCTCGGCACAACTCCCACTATCACCAGACGCATTTTTGATGCACCATTGGAGAAGAGAGGCATGACCACTGTCTACCTCTCTCAGTCTGACCAGGATGTGGTGATGGATATCATTCATAACGAGTTAATCCGGGGCATATTCCTTGATCCCTCGCGCCAGCAGCTGGAGCGCATTGCAAAGCAGCTGGCGACGCAATGTGATGCCATCATCCTCGGTTGCACCGAGCTGCCGCTGGTTCTGACCGAAGAAAGCTGTCAGACCAAATTCGTGGATACCACCAGGGTTTTGGCTCATGCAGCGCTTGACCATGCGCATGAATAAATGGTTTGTTAGCGTTGTATATGGCATGGATGTATAGTTGTTGCATCTGGCGCGGCGAGTACAGATATGTATTCGAATCAATGTCTACGTGATGTTTGCATTGACACTTGATTCAACTCCAAGCCCGGTCCCAGTAATCCGAGATGCAGCATGCCCTCCCCTACCCCTTCATAGATTCCACCCGCCACGCCCTCGATCCACCAAGCCGCAGCACTCGACACCGCAGTTCCAACCCGACCCTCATTCATATTGAGCACAGTAGACCCAATCTGGGCACTGCTTTTGCCCAAGCCATCGGCTGTGTCCAGAGTAGCTGTGACAATGCGCTCAGTGATGCGATGGGACCGCTCATATTCGTATAGCCGACGCAGCAAAAGCCTGGCAAAAGGGAGCAGAAACCGTACCAGCAGACAGAATTGCACAATCATACAAGCCAGGAGTCTGTGGAGGTACGATCTAGCGGGCAGTTGGGAGTGGGAGGATGTAGCGGGATCGACATGCTCACTGTCTGGCTGGGGACACGAGGCTGGAGATGTTCTGACTGAGTCCGGGATGTGATGCTGGAGCAAGGATGTCTCTTCAGGCGTGAGGTCAGAAGGCAGGGCCTCCAGCAGATAGACGAGCGCATTGAGATAAAGGGATCTAGCCAGGGTGCCGTCGGCATGTGGCTGCTGAGCCTCGAACCCGGCATTGCGCAAGAGATTGAATGCTTTTTGAAAACATAAGAAAAGTTTCTCTCAAAATGAGATATCATCTTCACCCCCCCCTTCCGAAATCGTCTTCCATCAGCAGTGCAAGGAGGGCGTATGTGGAACTCACCAGGAACGACACGGTTCCATCGCAACCCCGACTGCGTTTCATAGTTCACCGGGCATCCTGCCCCGTCGAGCCGGGGGCTGTCTGATATTCCAGAAGCGGAAGAATCAAACGAGTCCCAATCGCCACTGGCCGTTGCAGGCCGCGCCTCGGGTGTGGCTGGCGCCCACGTCTGATCGTGACACAACAGGTGTGGTTCCGACGAAGCCACCAGCCCCCGTCGCGGATCCCTGCTGGACTCGTGGCTCTTGGGTGCAGCCCTGTGCGAGGAGTACAGGTGGAGGATGCGACGCCGGATTGAGGCTGGGATCGGCGGGAAGAGGGGGAGCCCGGAGTAAGCCATGGATGGTGTGTTTCTGTTCTTGCTGTGTTTGCGATGAGGTGAAACCCAGAGTCTCAGAGTCAGGGGAATTGAGAGGAGTCAGATCAGAGCTGGAAGGCGATGGGTTATTGTCGAGGGTGCCTCGTATGACAGATAACGGTCTTGCATCTTCTCGTGCAGAAGCCGGAATCTCCAGTTTCACATGCCAGTCTGATCGATAAGAGACGTGGGGCTGGAGAGGATCGTGTCTTTTGATAGAAACAACTGTAGATGTAGAGAGTAATGACCAGATTTCGATAGCCTTGTTTAAGAGGCTTTATTTTTATCTATGCATGGCTACGATGACTACTACTATTTATCCTCAGGATGTTGACTATTGTTCCAATACCTTTGGCGGTGGACCAAGTAGACGCCATTATCTTCGTGGAGTCATATAGGGCTGCGGCAGATCTCGCACCATTTCTTTCCCAGTAATGAGACCAAGTGTGACGAGCTAGACTCGATGGATCACTCAGGCTTGATATATCAGGATTCAATGGTCACGTACCAAATGAAATCCTTTGTTGACTCCGAGCTCACGTCTATTTTTCTTGCTTGAACGAGTTTGTTTATATTGCCTTGTGGTCGCATTGGTCCATCATCTATGAACATAAACAAAGCCCGTTGGGCCCGCAAACCCCTGCAGCCGGTGAAGGATGCGGCTGCCACGTGTACAGGCGCGGAGCTGTCTTGGGTTTATATCTTCTCATTCCTTTCCTTATCCTCTTTTTCTTCTATTTATTGTCCATAAAGATCCCCTCCCCCCAACTTTGGCTACCTGTCGTGGAATACTTCATCTTTCTTCAACATATCGCAGCATATCACCGACTACTATGGATCCGCTTAGTGTGACAGCCAGTGTGCTCGCCCTGGTGACTGCAGCGGCGCAGAGCTGCAAGATAACTTCCAGCTTCATCGACGGCCTTGCAGAGGCGCCTCAAGCTATCGCCGCTTCGAAAGCCCTTCTTTCAGAGACCCTGAATTCCCTCAAAGCTCTGGAACAGACGCTTGGAAATGACCGCAGGGCGTCACCCAGCGTGCTCGATTCGACCTTGCGGGCGATTAAGCTCGATAACACCCTTCAATCAACTCAAGAGGTCTGTGATGGGTTTAGCGCAACGATCGCTAAGGTCACCAAGCATTCGACCGAGGAGAGATTCAGTACCCGCGACAGATTGGCAGCACAGCTGCGCGAATCGAAGATCAACCGGTTCAACCAGCAGCTGGGAGACTGCCAGAGAACCGTATCTCTGGTTCTGGGTTCGATCACCCTGTACGCTCTATGTATAACGACGCCGACAAGCCCCGACTTGATCTGACAATGTATAGGATTATTTCCAGCCATACATCGGAGGACATCGACCGTCTCGGTAATCGCTTTTCGGCTCAGGAAACAGCCCTCGTTAATCTTGGTGCGCAACTACGCAACAGGGAGATACCTGAAGTGACAGAAAACGAACGAAGCATTCAACTCACCGACAGGCTTCAGCAACTCTGTCAAGACGCCCTCTCCGCAACCCAGGCAAAGCGAACTGGGCAGAGTTTTGGTGACCTGCGGGTCAGTGACAACTCTGGAGCCATGCAGGGAATCGCTGGTCAGGTTGATGGTAAGGCTGAACAGTCGTTTGGCAATCTAACTGCTACACAGAGTAGCAGAGCCTTTCAAGGCCAGATCGACGCTGCTTCTTTTGCTGTGATGTTTGGGAAATGATCGACCACTCATACTTATGTATTGCAATCGTGGACATGTACCAAGTTTCTATTCTCTGTCTTCAATTGCCCAAAAAGGATCTCTGCCAGACCAAAGTCGAAATACCGAGGTGCGCATAGTAGGTGGCCGCATCTTGCTCACGATAATAGCCAAAGTCCCTCGGGTCAACCTATAGTAAGTTAGATATGAAAAGTACAAGGAAGAATCACCAACAGAAGAAAAGTCAAAAGCTATAGATAGTATGAAAAAAACAGGAGCCAAAACGAGACTTATCGCGCGCTGTCCAGTCTGCGTGGCTACGCGCCACGTTTTTTCAGCCGCAGCTGCAGGGGTCGAGTCCTCAACGAGCTTTGACCCTCCTCCCCTCTCACCCAGTACCTTCCTCAGTCCCATCCGCAATGGGAGAAGAATGATTCGGTATTCCAATATTATGTAACTGGCCAGGTGTCGCGATGCAAGCTCCAGGGCAAAGTACGCAGTACTTCGGCAACCTCGACGCATCAAACGGTGCTTTCGCCTTTCAAGGGATCGTCAATGGAGACATCCACTTCGATCGTGAGTTTTGAGTCTGTTAGTTCTATTTTCATCGCGACTTTGCGATTTCTCCTAACTTGATCAGAGCGCCCTCATAGGCCACCAGAACTTCCCGAAGGTCTCCCAGACGCCGCCTTCAACGCCGCCAGCAAACAACATGCATCTCTGTGTCTGCGCGGCACTCGATGCAAAGTACTGGATCAAATCAAAAGCTGGGCGGATGGCAACGAAGAGCGACCGATATATTGGCTGAAAGGCATGGCAGGTACTGGGAAGTCTACCATTGCTCTGACAATTGCCCGAGAGTATTATGACTGTGGTCGTCTCGCCGCGAGCTTTTTCTTCGCACGAGGTGGCGGTGACCTTGCATCGGTAAATCGATTTGCACCGACAATCGCAAGCCACCTTGCAGACCTCTCGCCGGAGCTTCGTAACTACATCTCGGATGCAGTTGTGTCCAACCCTCGTGTTTACAGCCTAGGGTTAAACGACCAGTGGAAAAAGCTCGTCCTTGAGCCGCTATCACGATTGAGCCGAGCTGCTTTTCCGCACCCGCTTGTGATTGTGGTCGATGCGCTGGACGAGTGTGAAGGAGAAGAAGAAGTCTCTGGGTTGATCCAATGCCTGCAAGCTGCCACGCTGGTCAAGAGTGTCGAGCTCCGAGTCTTCGCTACCAGCCGGCCTGGTCAACCAATAAATGTCGGATTTAACAGAATTTCTTTGCTGGCCCGCCAAGATTTCATCCTCCATGACATTGAACAATCAATTGTCAACCACGACCTGGAGCTCTATTACAAGCACGAGCTCGCCGACATTGCACAGTGGTCAGGAATGGACCACCATCTCCTGTCCGATGACACAATCGAACAGTTAGTTGAAAGGTCTAATGGACTATTCATTCACGCTGTCACTGTTTGCCGGACTATTCGCTTCGGAAGGCAGGTGGTTGCTGGCGACCGCCTCCTTTCTCTTCTGACTGCAGGAAATCCTTCCGTCGAGCCGGAGAAAGAGCTAGACCAGATGTACACCACAATTCTGAGCTACTCATTTCCAGAATTTCTCACGGCGCACCTGCAACCTCCAGAGATGACCAAATTACGCCAGTTGTTTCATCGCATCGTTGGGTCCATTGTTGTGCTCTTTGATGCAATGTCTATGGCCAATCTAGCAGTGATGGTCGAGGAGACGGAAGAGAAGATTGCTGCAATACTAAGTTCTCTTCATTCTGTCATCGATGTTCCGCAGCACCGGCAAATCCGCCTTGTTCATCCGTCATTTCGTGATTTCCTCCTCGATCCATCGAGATGCTCGCATGCTACTTACTCGATCAACGCTGAAGAAGTACACGGTGACCTTTTCACCCGTTGTCTCCGAATTCTGTTAGGTCACCTACGGCGTAACATGTGTGGTCTTTCACGACCGGGTACACGCGCCCGTGTTGTCTCGAAAGTCAATGTTGACAAGTGCATTCCCGTTCCTGTTCAATATGCGTGTCGCTATTGGATTTACCATCTCCGAAGGAGTGCCATCGACCCTAGAGAACATTCTGATATCATGGAGTTCTTTGAGACTCGGTATCTCTTTTGGCTTGAGACCCTTGCCTTGATGGGCCGGTTACCCGACGGTGTTACCATGATCCTGGAACTCGAGAAAATGCTAGCAGTTAGTAACTCACTCCCAATTTAGTTAACGTATCAAGCTTATTAACTCTTCCCAGAAAGGCAATGCTGCCAAACGCCGTACCCTGTGTTCCATGTGTGCTAAGGTTACGGCAAAATGGATGCGTGGGTCTGCCATCAGAGCTCCCCTGCGGTTACACTCCATGGTGTACGATGCCAAGCGATTTCTCCTGAGCCATAGCTCAATCATCGAAGAAGCACCACTGCAAGTGTACTGCTCGGCACTGCTGTTTAGCCCAAAAAACAGCATTATAAAGAGACTTCATTCTCACGAAACCCCGACCTGGGTGGTGAAATCTCCTTCCGTTACCGAAAACTGGAGTCCCTATTCGCAGATTTTGAGTCATCCGGACTGGGTGACGGCAGTGGCATTCTCGTTCGATGGCAAGGTTGTGGCCACTGGATGTGTCGACCATATCGTGCGACTCTGGGACGCAGTAACAGGGACACAACGACGCACATTGAAAGGGCATTCCAGCAGAATCACACAAGTGGCGTGTTCCCCTGAGGGCACTATAGTCGCCTCGAGCGCCCGAGATAAGACGATACGTCTTTGGCATACAGTGACGGGTACTGAGCAGCACGTCCTGCCTTGCGATAGGTATTCTCAAATCGCATTCTCATCCGATGGTGGGCTTATAGCCTTCACTCTCGATAAGACGATTCAAATTTGGAACGTGGCGCAAGGGACCCAGCAACATACCCTTCGGGGTCATACGAACCGCGTGAATACAGTGGCCTTTTCGCCCGATGGTAGCTTACTCGCCTCTGGTGCTCAGGACCAAAGCATTCGGCTCTGGAATGTGTCAACGGGCGCAGAGCAGCGCAGGCTCAAAGGCCATACGGATGATGTAAATGCAGTGGTCTTTTCGCCTGATGGTAGCTTGTTGGCTTCTGCGTCTTTCGAACGAAACATACGTCTCTGGAACGTCGCAACAGGCAGCGAGAAGCGCGCACCAAAATTTTACCTCGGATCGTTTGAAACGCTAGCATTCCGGCCTGATGGCAAGCTACTAGCCTCCAGGTGTCATGGCAAAATGCTCTGGATCTTGGGAACGGCCATCGATGCAGGGCAGCGAATGTTGGCAGGCCATTCAGACTATGTGACAGCAGTGTCATTCTCACCCGACGGCACGTTGGTGGCATCTGGCTCGCACGACAAGACAGTCCGGATCTGGGATACGGCAAGTACAGCGCCGACCAAGAGGCTTAACTTGAGAGGTTCTCTCGATGCACTGCGGAGAATGGAATCTCCGCTTTATTGGGCCCTACACGCCGACGGCTACAGAAAGACAATTTGGTTCTTGCATTTCATTTTAGATATCAAGCAGCAACAAAGGACAGGTTTCCGCCACGAGGCGCGGGTATTTGTCTTCTCACCTGACGATAGGCTGGTAGCCTCTACCCTCAACGACAACCAAATCCATCTCTGGGATACAGCAACAGGCACAAAGCGATGTACGCTGAAAGGACATTCCCGCTTCGTCACGGCGATAGGTTTCTCTCCTGATAGCAGGCTGGTAGCCACCTGCTCGGACGACACAACAGCCCGTCTCTGGAGCATCGCAACTGGCGTAGAAAAGTTTTCTCTCAAAGGGCATTCGGCTGGGGTGGTAGCGTTGGTATTCTCACCTGATGGTAGGCTGCTGGCTACCGGTTCCAGTGACCAAACAATCCGTGTTTGGGATACCGAAACAGGAACGGTGCGACTTGTTCTGTCAGGGTTTTCGGAGTGGGTAGCATCGTTGCGGTTTTCACCGGATGGAAAACTACTAGCCGCTGGGTTCCTGAGCGATCCAGTGCGACTCTGGGATACGGCTACAGGTCGAGAACGACACACTATACCGAGTTCATCGGATGGGCGAATGGCATTTTCACCCGGCAGCAGGTTACTGGCCATACTTGAACTGTCTTCTATCCGACTCTGTGGCACCCTTCCACAATCCACCCAGGATGGTACTACGAGCGACGAAACGACCGAGGTGATAGAGAGAAGGAGCCAGACTGGTAGTCTCAGCCTCACCGAAACCCAGGATAGGGATATAAGGGCCTCGGAAGTACAAGGAATCTTGAAAGGACATTCCGGCAACGTGAAACATGCGGCCTTCTCACCCGACGGCAAATGGCTGGCCTCTAGCGATGACAAGACAGTCCGGTTGTGGGATGTGGCGACGTGCAGCGCACTAGGCGTAACCACGACAGACACGCCCTTGCAGCATCTGTCCTTTTCCTCATGCGGCACGTACTTGATCACCGATTGCGGGATTCTTCTGCTTCGTCTGCTTCCGGACACAGGGCGATTCTCTCCTCGGGTCTTCGCCTCGGGGACTTGGGTTCGGGAGAATGAGGAAGAGATTTTGTTTATTCCTCCGGACTATCGCGAGGCTCTTCTTTTTGTCAACGGAAGCACCATGGTTTTCACGGATGTTTCCCATCGTGGCTCGATTTTGCAGCTGAGTTCGTCGGCGAAGTGTATGACAGGCGGTGCTTTGGCAACTTCTTGAAAGGATACCCACGGCTTTTGGAATGCTTACTTTATCACTTTCACTCAGTGTTGGAGCTTTTGAGATATACCCCAAGATTTCTTTGAAACAAGTTCAACAAGCGAAGTCTAGAAGGTTCTTGCTATATTGCTCGAATAATGCCGGGTCCCTAGACCCGGATATTCAGACGCACTTCAGCATATTATAATCTAGATAGGCTTTTTCCTTTCTGTAGTTCTATTTTTATCCAACTACTTGGTTGTTTTTAGCTCTTCTTTCTTTCATCCTTTCCAAGACACCCAAATAGCTAAGTTGATTCAACGAGATATGTCAATCAAAATTGATCTCAGCAACGTGCTGGAGATACCTGTCATGACTCAGTCTGTCTATTGTTTCCCTCTAAAGAAACCACCGCGAGTTCAGCATCTTTCAACGAAAGATTGCACTCAAGTATACTCCCCGTCTCAAAGTATGGTTAGACTCAAAATGTTAATGCAGAACAACCTATCTAAAGATCGAGAAAATTGAAACAAGACATGAACCAGAGACAACCACCGAAAGCCCCCCTTATATACGATGTAATCACAGTTTAATTCACACGAGCTCTAGAGAGACCCCCTGTCGAGATAGCGTTTCTTTTGAACATAAGGCTTCCAGTTAGGATCATCCTCAGTTATCTGAGCACAAACAGCACGAGTCCACCCATTATCATTATCTCGATGTGGGGTAGAAAGATCAGCATATCTCATGCCGACACCCAAGCACAGGGACTATCAATCGACCTACAGTGTTTGTAATGGACTGCACCGCACCTTTCCAGAGCATCCAGCCAGCCGCAATAACTGCCACGGGTATGATAGATCTCCAGGATCTGCTGAAAGGTGCGTGGGTTAGGTTCCCACACCCAGACCCCTTCTCCCTCCTTATCCCAACCCATAACGAGCCATTCGGCGACTTGTTCCCGATCATGCTGGCTTTTGCTCACGTCGGTGATTAGGCGAAGCTCCGTGTTGGCCAGGAATAGTTGACACTCTTTATGCGGACCGTTTCCATTGCCGGTTGCTGCGGCGGCATCCATATCATCCCAAAAAAGTTGTCTCCACCATAGCTGGTCGGGGGATTCCCGCAGATCCAGTTTAGCTTCTGCGACTGCGGCCATTTCGCGTATCGATATATAAAAACGAGCGAATTGCAAAAACAAGGCGATTGAATGAAGCCGGGAATCGAGATCACAAAACTGCGAAGTTTGATTAAAGCCTGATGGAAATGATTCTTATAGCAGGTTTGCTGTTGCCTGTGACGTGCCCGTCATGAGACTTCTCGGGCGCATCCACAGTATGAAGAGGTGCCTATCACGGCCGCCAGAGACGAGGCTCGGGTCCCCGAGAGAACAGAAAAAGCCGCATAATCGCCCCTGGCTTCCCCGCACATAGACATAGTTTCCAATCACAGCAATTGTATATAACACTGCCACGGAGAGAGAGAGAGAGACAGAAAGGTATTGAGGATTGCCCGATCGGGCCGACGATTTCTTGTCGGGAATAACAGTGGCTGCTTGCTGTGGTTCCGTGTTGTTTATTTGCCCGGCAATTGCAGGAAAAGTTTGATTGGTTGAAGTGTGACCCTTGAGTCTCTGGAAGCATCAGAGATATCCTGCGTGGGGCTCCTCGTCTACTTCATCAAACAACAATGGCCAGTTTTGAATACCCTGCTGTGACATCGACAAACCCTACAACCCTAAAGTTGTGTAGTTGAAGAGAACCGCCAATTGATTCCCCATTGGTTCTCATAATCTGCACATGGTCTAGGAACCTTGGAACATCTCAATGGAATAATCTAGAGGAGGGGAAAGAAATACTCATTTCTATATCTTTTCCAGGGAAATCCATTCTGGGATAGGTGTGTCCATTCTTGATTAACATAGGATTTTCAGTTGAGAACTATATCCAAGGCTATGGTTACTCTTAATTTTATTTCTCTTTGTGTATTTCTCCTGCACTATTCAGCACTGGAGAAGACAGTTGTCTCTCCGATATCGCGGGGGGGTGATTCATTCCTGAGGCCCCGCAGCCCACGCTTAACCCAAATAGGCTTGGCGTTGTCACCGAAGGGCGCGACTTCTGATCCTCCACGGACCTTGACTCCCTCTCCGAGACACATCCACCAGCTGAATCGGCGGTCCTCACTGAACATGACGTGAACCCATGGCCTTTTGTCCAGGAAGGTTTTCTCCTATCGGCAATCCCGACCCTCCGAGCCATGCGGATACGAGAGGGGCTCATGTGCCCAGACCCCCTCATTATGCACTTTTTATGACTGATGCTTATCGGTTTCCCTTAGTCGTCTATGTCTGGGAATACCTCGTACTTGGGACCGATACTCCGAGTGAAAGCGTAGCTGATCTTAGCGGCATGTGGTGGTTCCAAGGTTGCTCCCGACTCCACCATTGATTATTCACCCGGCCCTCTCTCTCTACCCCGGACCAAGGGTTTTCATCTGACCGACTCTTCCCTATTCCTATTCTGCTACCTATTTCTGCCCTCAGAGCTCTACTCAGGCAAGTCATCTTCATTCTCCTGTGCGGTGTTCCTGGCGAATACCAGTCCGCAACATGGAGTATTTCGATTTTGAAGGGGCCTCGTCAGCCCATGGTTCCAACCAGCAAGACGACGATGTCGCCTCGGTTGATCTTGAATATGATTCCGCTGAGGAACGGGCGGCCAACTTTGACTCGTTGCTCCAAGACCAGCCATTGGAATTTCCCAACGATTTGCCGGTGCCGGTGCCGGTGCAGGCGGAGCAGTTGAAAGAGAATCTCCCGCCTGACCAAGATAACGGGGTCTATCCCATGTTCCGGGCCCAAGAGCCCTGTGAATTTTGTCGTCGTATGGGCCTGGACTGCTTCGTGGCCAAGCGCGGAGTGATGCAGAATGGCTGCACTTGCTGCATCTCTCTCTACCGCGAATGCAGTTTCACACATGCCAAAGTCCCGGGCAAATTTCTCCAGACTCTACATACAGTGTCTGAGAACACTTACATTCCCACCGGGAGTCTGACGGGGAAGAGAGTCCTCAAGTCTGTTTCTTATGGCACTTTTGCAGATGATTCTGATCGCTCCCGTAAGAGCAATGCTCGGCTGTCGCGCAATGCTGTCAATCTCTTGAAGGGCTGGCTCCGAGATCACAACGAGAACCCATATCCCACAGAGGAGGAAAAAGACCAGTTGAAGCAACACACAGGCTTGACCAGAACTCAGATTTCCAACTGGCTCGCAAACGCCCGAAGGCGCGGCAAATTTCGCCTGGGCACCAGTGCTCCCGTTCCAGGAGCCGTGAACATCCCCGGCCAGCAGCCCGCAGACGTGTCGCTCATGACACCTTTGGAACGTTGGAAGTACTCACCCCCTGAGAACGAACCGGCCACGATCAGCGATATCAACCGCGCTCTAGCCAACCCACCCTTCGATCCCTCCCGTCAGCGCCCTGGTCACGTGAGGCGTCCGCCGGGGTCCAGCAACAATGAGTCAAGCCATGCCAGTTCCGAACATAAATTGCATACTCCCTCGGCCAGTAGTGTGGAGACCAGTCATTCTTCACTCTCTGACCTTTCCTTTGCTTCGGCCTTTTCTCATCGTTCCTCCTTGGGGTCCTTTAGCTCAATGGACCGCAAAGAACGTCGTCGTCGCCGTAAGGCTTCGGCGCCTGTCAATACATTTAATCATCAGAAGGCTCGGGCTGTTCGTCCCTACCAATGCACCTTTTGCACCGACTCCTTCCCGGCCAAGTACGATTGGCAACGCCATGAAAAATCTATGCACCTCATCCTGGATAAGTGGAGTTGCTCTCCTCAAGGAGGCGTGTTTGAAGACCACGGCACACCTCGTTGTGTCTTCTGCTTGGCAGCTAACCCAGATGGTGAACACCTAGAAACGCACAATTACATGAGCTGCCAAGAGAAGACGCTGCAAGAGAGGACCTTCTACCGCAAGGACCACCTCAATCAACATCTCCGACTGATGCACAATGTCAAGTTTCAACCTTGCATGGAGAAATGGCAAAGTAGTATCACGCAAATTAAATCTCGCTGTGGATTCTGTGGTGCCGTCTTTGAAACCTGGAAAGAGCGAGTAGACCACCTCGCCGGCCATTTCAAGAACGGGGCCTTTATGGCTCAATGGCAGGGCGATTGGGGCTTTGAGCCTTCGATTCAGAATCGTGTGGAGAATGCCATCCCACCGTACCTGATTGACTATGAATGGCGATCCCCCGATCCCTGGACTACTGCACAGGCTGAAGGAGATGGCACCTCGCCCCAGCTGAACGTTCCCAACGACGCAAACTGCTATCTTCGTCTGTCACGCGAACTCACCGCTTACATCCACCACAACAAGTCTCAAGGGATCATCCCAACAGATCAGATGCTCCAGGCAGAATCTCGTCGAGTCATCTATGGATGTGATGATCCTTGGAATCAAACCTGTGCCGACAATCCCATGTGGCTGAGTGTTTTGAAGCGGGATACTGGATTGGAGAGTGCCGTCCCAAACGACAGCATCCACTTTGCGGATCTGAACATGCAGCCCCCCTTTGCCATTCAAGGTGGCTTGCGGGCGCCTCCCCGAGACAGCAATCTTTTGACTCGGAACACCGGCGTCCTTCATAGCCCCGTCTCTAGCCCTAGCCTCCAAAGTCCTGCCTACCCCGCAACAGGTTTTTCGTCTGCCGTGACTAGTGGGCCTGGAAGTCTATCTGGCAGTTATGCTGGGAGTACAGGGGTGATCTCAGCTGGTGCCGAGCCCGCCTTTCCAGCTGATTGGGGTAATAGCCTCGCGGCGCCTCAGTCATCCTCTGCGCCCGCGGAAGCTGACCCGTTGGTGCAAATGGGATTTGATCCGGTGTTTCTGCAACAACTAAACGACAGCTACAGTGAAATCAACGCTGATGATATGGAGGGTTTACAATTAGAGGGCGAGGGCTCTAAGAATGTTGGGGAACAGGGATGGTCGCACGTCCAGCCCCCGCCGGGTGTGCCTGTTTCCCCCGTTCCCATCGCCCATTCCAAAGCCGACGGCTCTCCTGCGTCCGACACCCAACGTGGCATGTCTGCAGTTCTTGATGGGCCTTTTTGAATTTTGTGGCTATTATTTTGATCGGTGGAAGGAAAATTGCCATTTCTGACGGGGAACTATTCTTAGGGTTTTGCGTACAGGGCATACATAATACGGGATGATCATGTTTGAGAGGGTGCTACAAAATCGATCAGCGTTTCATTCTATTTTTCATTTCTCCTTTTCTCTTTTCATTTCTCCTTTTCTCTTTTCATTTCTCCTTTTCTCTTTTCATTTCTCCTTTTCTCTTTTCGTCTCTCATCCTCGTGGAGGGCTGGTTGCGTTTGCAACTCGACTCGCACACGATGCCTTTGTGATTCATAGCATTGCGTACCTTGATCCACTCTCAGACACGTGGGGTCCTGGGTGTACAACGAGAAAATGAGGGTTGAGGTTGGGATTCCCTGGGATCTGGCGATTGACTCAGCGATCATGATCCCAACCGACATTTTCTTTCTTTGTCGATAACCCAGCAGATTGGTCGAGCGTGGTCTACATGCAGAGTGCCGACCTGAGTCAGGCGCTCCCACAGCTATGGAAACTCTGCGTTCATCGTGCATCATTCGTTCCTGGGCATCTCAGTTTCCCGAGGCTTCATACATGCCATATCCCAGCCCAGATAGGGCTGCGCGTGCCCTGCTAACTACAACACACGTCAGGGCTCAGCCCCACCGCTATCACCTCGTAGGCTGATTTTCTTTTTATCCATTTATTATTATGAAGGTGATTATTTGTGGTCATTTCCTGTCTCCAGATCCAGGGCCCACCCATCCAACCTCAGAAATCACCCCTTTACCACATCGAGACACCTGATGCGAGAGATGGGTCCCGCGCTAGCGCCACGGTAAATCTCGTGCCGTGTTATTGGCTTCGTTGCAGATCAAGATCCAAGATCCCGGTCTAATAGATCGACGGTCGGATGAACTACCATACCGCACTTTTCTTCAGCATCGGAATGTTGCTGGGGTCTATGGTCCCCGACGGAAACCTCGGGGAGCTACTCTTGCTCTTTGTTCGTGAGGTGAGGGGGTTGGGGGAAGGCTTGCGACCTGCTGGAAGTATATGCCCGCCCCTGTCAAGAAGCCATGGATTGCATGAGAACCCCCTTCAGGCGAAATCACGACACATGTACCCCCGGGGGGTGTTTCTGGAGTTTCTTCTCTGCCCGGTATATAAGCCATGGCAATCCATGAGGAAGTTGTGTTACCCAGTCGCAATCTTGTTCGCATCGCTGTTCTTCTTTCTGGAACTCGCCTACCATGAAGTTCTCTGTTAGCTGGTCCCTGTTGCTGCTATGCCTCGCTAAATGGGCGCATGCTGCCACTGTTCGCTTCCCGGTTATGTTGACGTGGGCAAACCGGACTGTCGCTGGCCACACCAGGAATGTTATTTTGATGAATGGCCAGTTCCCTGGTCCTGAATTGCGGTTGAATCAGGGCGACAATGTCGAGTTTCTCGTGACAAATCGTTGTCCTTTTTCGACGACGGTGCACTTTCATGGTAGGGCTTTGTGGTCTTTTCAGTTTGCTTTTGGCGTCACACATGCTAACTTGAGATCTATAGGCATTGAACAGATTGGAACGCCCTGGTCGGATGGTGTTCCTGGTATCTCTCAGAGATCCATTGAGACAGGACGCTCATTCATGTATCGGTGGCGGGCAAATCAATATGGATCTTACTTCTATCATGCCCATCACCGCGGCCAGTTCGAGGACGGCCTTTATGGATCAATCTATATTGCCCCCTCCAGTTCTGAGCAGAGACCTTTTTCTCAGATCACAAACGACAGCTCTCAGCTCCAGGCCATTTTGAACGCTGAGCGCAGAACGAGCTCGGTGGTTCTTTCGGATTGGCGCAAACTCACCTCTGAGCAAATCTGGGCCGCAGAAGTAGCTACGGGACTCGACGGGCACTGTGCCAGTGCTCTCTTGATTAATGGAAAAGGCTCGGTGACTTGCTTGCCAAGGGACCAACTTGACGCTTTGACGATCGACCGGCAGAAACAGATTCTCGGCAACGAGTCTCTGACTGATATAGGGTTAATTGCAAATTTCGTGACCGAAAAAAAGAACAACACTAATGTTTTCCAGATGCTTTCCTCCCAACCTCCCTTCAATTCAGGGCAACTTCCCGCACAACTTCAGCGCAATCCCGCCCACCCTGTATTTTGGCTGCACGGCGTCTCGTGGCCCCCAGGAGCTTTTTACCGTCAACCCAACGCAGCAATACGTGAGCTATGACCTGATCAGCGCTTCAGGCTTGCTGAGCCTTACTTTCTCAATCGACGAACATGACATGTGGGTGTACGCCATCGACGGACGGTACATCAACCCGAGCCGCGTCAACGCGCTCACCATCACCAATTCGAACCGGTATTCAGTACTAGTGCCTCTCAACAAACCAGCAGGCGACTACACCGTGCGACTAGTCAGCGCTAACCTCAACCAAATCCTCAACACCACAGCAATTATGCGGTACCAAGCACCACCCCAACTAAACCGGCCTTCGAACCCATGGATCGAAATCAACAACCAAAACGCCACCGCAGAAACAGTCTTCCTCAACGAGACACAAGTCATTCCTTTCCCCGTCGTCGTGCCCTCCGCCACCGTCGACGAAACCTACATCCTGCGCATCGGCCACTACAACGCGTCGTACCGCTGGACACTCGGCAACAGCAGCTTCGGGCTTGAACTCGAAGACTCGCAGCCCTTGCTATTCAACCAGTCCTCCATCCCGGGTGACCTCATGATCCGCACCCGCAACAATACCTGGATCGACCTGATCCTGCAGGTCACCGCGCCCGTGCAGCCGCCTCACCCGATCCACAAGCACTCCAACAAGCACTTCGTTATCGGCGAGGGCAACGGCACGTTCTCCTGGGCTACTGTCGCCGAAGCCATGCAGGCGATCCCCGGGTCGTTCAATCTTCAAAATCCGCAGTATCGCGATACCTATATCACCCCGCCCTCTATCAATGGCCCCACTTGGCTTGCGCTGCGCTACCATGTTATTAATCCTGGTGCGTTTGTGATGCACTGCCATATTCAGAATCATCAGAGTGGCGGGATGAATTTGGCTATGCTGGATGGTGTGGATGTTTGGCCCACTGTTCCGCCGAGTTATCGGTATGGCTCGGGTTTCTACTGACAACAACCTGGACAGATATATGTCTGAGAAAGGAAGGAGGTATACCGAGGATGGAGTATACAGGGGATAGACTGTTTGTTGTACATGGTGTGGTAGATGGGGACTAGAAGTTGTGAGGCATCGATGGACGGCGAGGGCTTTGCACAGTGGCCTCTTGGATTCTTGGGGATGACGGGGCTCTCATTGCACAGTAGAAATGGCTTTCCTTGATCGTCACCCACGCACGCTCCTTGAATTAATGGCGGTGAACAATGTCGGCGTTGGATTCAGATTGGTATTTAGATGTGGTCAATCTTACTATGAACTTGATTACCTGCGAGGGTTTATCGTGGAGACAAAATGCTCTCGAGTATAGATCTACACGCATTCCAGTTTGTTGCTCGATGTTTGTGCTCTTACCACGTTGTTGACATTCCATTTCTCTCTATGTTCTGAGATCTATAGAAGTTCATAATACACGAAGAGCTTCAATTGTATATAAAGGAGGAAAATAGTAAACCAAGAGCTACATGATCATCAATTGGCATAACACAATTCAACGAGAGGCTAGATGCTAAATCAAATCAAGAAAAAAAGAAAAAAAGAAAAAAAGAGAAAAAAAGAAACGCCCACATTCAACATCACGCAATAGTCAAAAGAACATATCCATAAATGGCCCGAACATTTCGCCTCGTATCATTCCGTCGTAATAGTATAGTTGGGGGGTGGGTGGGGGAACACATTGCGTGTGCTTGTTTCCCCCGGTGTATTGCGTGCGTGACCCGCATTCATATTCAAATCTCCAGATTTTGAAATCAATATGTTTCTTCAGGGACCTCTTCTGTCTCGAGTTGCGCTTCTTCCGGTGCGGCAGGTTCTTCTGGGGATTCTCTCTCCGCCTCTTCTGCATCCATTTCCACTGCAGAATCTGTTGGGGATGCCACTTCAGGTTCCACTGGGTATTCCGCTACGAATTCCACTGGGACTTCCACTGCAGGCTCAGGAACGGCTTCCGCGGGCTCAACCGTTTGTGTAGATGATTGCACGGCCTCGGATGGGGAAGAGGCTTCCTCCTTCACTGCAGGCGTTGTCGTTTCAGACACCGGCACGGGTACTGATGGAGTTGAATCCAGAATGTCCGTGCTAGCCGAGCTGACCATGTTTTCAGAAGAAGACACTGGAGCCATTGTCGCCATGCTCAGACTTGGCAGTGCCGATGATTCAAACATTTCCCGAGGAAAAGGACGCACATCGAACGAAGGTGGCGGTCGCTGATGGGATCCAATTGCGAGGAAGGCCACGAGGATGCTCAAGACGACCAGGGCCACATTGCGTCGGTCACCCGCCAGCACGCGAATATAGTTGACGATAAGGGTTTGAAGCGCAACCTCGTGCTGTTTTTGGCCCTGTCGCACTTCCAGCGCTGGATGGTGTCGGTCTTCGGTGGCTGACAACCTGGGAATTGCGACATCGGGTTGAAAAGATGTATCACTGATACCCCTGGCATGCCCCTGTATAGAAGAGGGTGGCGATGTGGGAATAAATTGCAGGTGCTCTTCCATAGCAGCGGAACGAGGCTCCTCTTTGGCTACAGCCATCCGCGCCTCAGACAGTCGCTTCTCCAAGGCCCGTCGCACATCGGAGGGCAGCCATAGTCCGACCTCCACATCAACCTTCTCCATCTCTTTCCAAGCGGCAGCCCAAGCTCCGGCGCGCATCAGTCCATTTGCAGCGTAGACCCTGATTTCCCACTTGCGATTACTGTCGCCGTGGCGAAGAGCATGGCCACCGCAGTCGGGGCACTCTTCGCCTTGCTCGCCATCTGTCTCGCTCTCATCCTTCTCAGAGAGCTCTGTCTCTGAACCAGGACCGCTTTCGTGTCCAAGGAAGTGCCCATTGCGTACTCGTGAGTGTTGAAGTTCCAGACTCTCCAATAGGCGCTCCTCGAGCATGTCATACACATCTTCGGGGTGGGAAATCAAGACACCTCGATCGCGCAGCATGCCCGACCCCGCCTTATCCTGGAGCCTCCTCCACCGCTTCCAAAACTGCGAAGGCAGGACTTCCTCGAGAATCTTCTCATTTTGAGGGTTGGCCGCACCGGGGACGGGCAGAGATGGAGGAAGCAAGTTGCAGTGTAGGAGCACGAGCGGGAACTCCTTCTTGGGCTTGGGCTTGTTCGCAGATGCGGTAGGTGAGTAGTATGGCGACCGTTTCAGCGGTGACGAGCCCGGAGAGCGCATGCCAGGCCGGCGTCGTGGCGGGGTCAAGAATTCATCGGAGTCCGCCTCGTCTTCCGTGTGCATCTGCATTGCTCGCACCGAGCTTGGCTTCCGGAATGCCGCCTCACGGTATCGAATGGAATGAATTGTTCTTGGAGGAGGCCCATCGAATCCCCCAAAGCTGGCTTCGTCTTCCTCCGTCGTATAGCCTCCCGCCCGCTCATGCGCTTCGATTGTGGGAATGGGCTTTTGCTGTTCGTACGGATGCACCAGAACGGATGCTGGGACCGAAGAAAACGAAGAACGACTAGACGCTCGAGACTTCATTTGCTCCAGCTCATCGTCTACCTCGCGACCGAAAATGTCACTTGAGGAGTGCCGTGTCGACGATGCGGAGGACTGGTAGCCATAGTCTTTGACTGACACCGATGCGTCGTCTCTGACGGAATCGGCCTCGCTGTGGGTGTCTGGCGTGTCGAGCGTCGAGGTGAGGTGCTGTTTATTCGGTGTACAGGGCGTCGGGCTCAGTATGTCGGTCGAGTGGACCATCGAGTCCTCTTGATCATCATTCAACCGCGCCATTCCTCGACCAGCAAAGCTGTACGTGGAAGAAAAGGCGTGGCTTCAATAGCAAGTCGAGGACCACGCGGGAAATCCAGATGATGGTCGATGTTGACAGTCGCTCACCGCCTGGTTGTGCCGGGCAACGCGACGTTGGCGGTGGGCCTCCGGAGCGTCTCGGCTCCTCCGCTAACTTGGTCTTCCCGGCAACTGGCACTCGGTGGATCAAAGACCCTCAACTCACTCTGACCGACATTGGTGCGTATTTCCTGCTGCAACTGCCTGGAAGAAGGCTTTATCTGGCTTAAGCCGATGCAAAAGCCTCGGCGGGGACTGAAGACCCTCATGGTCGATGTAATTCACCGCATCAGAAGCAGCTGGCGTCGTAAGGGTGACGAGCCCACCTTGGCGAAGTCCAAAACACGCCCATTGCAGCATCCGCCGACCGATCGAGCAAGTTCTGAATCTGCTGCCATTCCCTCTGCCACTCAATTGTCCACATCCGTGGCCTCGCGACCTGAGACCTCTACCCCAGGAAAGAGATCTGAGCTGTGCGCATATTTTATCAAGACAAAAGAAGGCACTTCAATGGAGCAGTTCCAGGCATGGATTCAGGATCTCGACGGCGCAGCAGGGCAATCAATAGCTTTCGAGCTCGTCCCTCACCAGAGCTACGTCACCTACCTTACTACAGCACAGGCCGAAGACATCAAGCAGCTCGATTTCATTGCTGGTATTTGGGAGCATGTGCCAGTGGACCAGCTGACACCCGATACTTTTTGAGTGATTTGTCTTCATTCTATGGATGTAGCGACGTCTGCAATGGGATCCAGTTGGCTCAATCTGATCGAGGGGGTTGCGTCAATAACCCAGCGTATAGTTAAATAGCCATATTTCCACCCCTCAATATAAACAAATTTATGAATGAATCGCCCCCATAATGTGCTGATTTCTGCCGCTCTGATGTGCTCCGAGTATCCGGAGGATCATCGACAAGCTTCACCCGTTCCCCACTCCGACTGATAACCCGGCCAATGCTCGAAAATCCATCCGGCACGGTTTCCCGAGTGAGAACTGGATTTATAATCGCGAGATGTGCAAGTCCCAAGTTTGTTGGCACTTTCACACAGAATTAATAATACGACGCTCGTTTACCTTGCATGGTCGATTAGGGCAAAAGCACCTCACATAAATAAAGAGACATAGCCTTCCCCCCATGAGTCCCCTCAATTTAGACAACACCATCCACAATCGCACAATGCTGGAATTGCTAATCCACCGCGGCCCCAAGACCGAGTTAATCGAGTCTCCCATTCCCACGCCCAACGATGACCAAGTTGTTATCAAAGTGATGGTGTCTGGGAGCAATCCCAAGGATTGGAAGAGACCCGAATGGTTTGACGTGCACATCAACCAAGGCGACGATATCTCGGGGATTGTGCATTGTACGGGCAAGAATGTAACTGAATTCAAGGTATGCAAAGGTCCCATAAGCATGAGAGTGTGGTCGCAGAGCTGATCAGCGACGATCTAATTACCAACAGCCTGGGGACCGGGTTGCTGCCTTTCATGAGATTATGACGCCTGGAGGGAGTTATGCGGAGTACGCTCTTGCTTGGGCATCGACGACGTTTCACATCCCGAACCATACGTCTTTTGAGGGTTGGTTCCATCTTTCTAATACTGCTGTGAAGAACCTATGCTAACCATGTTTCTTTTAGAAGCTGCAACTATCCCGTAAGCCTTCATAACTTGGAGAGTTGACTATGGCCGTTGATACTAAATCAAACTAATACTAGGCTTGCCGCAATGACGGCCGCAGTGGGCCTGTTCTCGCGACTAGAATTACCAGATCCGTGGAAAGACAGTCCAAAAGAAACGCCAGTTCTGATCTATGGTGGTGCCACAGCTGTCGGGTCATTCGCCCTGAAACTGGCTGTGAAGGCAAACATCCACCCGTTAATCGTCATTGCAGGAGCAGGAGCCGCACATGTTGAGTCTCTTATCGACCGCTCCAAGGGAGATGTGATCATCGATTACCGCCAGGAGCCAGATACACTAGTGGAGAGCATTCAAGTAGCACTCAAATCACGCGGGTATACTAAGCTCTATCATGCTTTTGATACCGTTTGCGGACACGGAAGTGCCTCCAACATCCTTCGTGTGGTCCACCCAGAGGGAAAAGCAGCATTCGTGTTGCCAGTTGACGGCCAACTATCGTCTCCGCCGCCATCCACTCTTCGCATCTCGGAGACGGGTGTTCGCAGTGTGCATGGACAACCAGGCGGACGGGCCGGTGACCCTGATCTCGGGTTTGTGTACTTCCGATACTTCAGTCGGGGACTAGCACAGAAATGGTTCCGGGGTCATCCCTATCAGGTCCGAGAGAACGGGTTGGATGGAGTCAGAGATGCCTTGGCAGACTTGAAGGCAGGCAAGGCGAGTGCCGTGAAATATGTTTTCCGGATTGCAGATACGCCGGCATTGAAAAGGGCAAATACAGTGGGCGAGTAGAAAGCAGTGGATAGTTCAGGTGTCGGTTTTAAATATTTATTTAGTTGACCCTAAAAGAAATGCCTTCTTGCTGTATTTTACGCATCACTTTGACTCTCCTATCGAAACTGCTCACATCTATATCAAAATGACATCCACTCCACTCCCGGACTACTACGATGAGTCCTGTTTGGTAAGTGTATTTTACACTTTTTATCTTCCCACTCTCTCTACTCTTCTTGTATATTTTTCCCCTCTCGAGAGGGAAATAGCAATAGAAATGGAGAACCAAAGTAGATAAGAATGAGTGCTATTGTACGACTGGCTGATATGGACTATTTCACTTGGACGCCCAAGTTACTATAGTTAGTAGTACGGCTAGGGAATTATACCAAAAGTCCTTGGTTTTGTACAAAGGCCTCTGAAACCACGATGAAACACCAACTAGTTTCGCATTGCTGGTTACCACGGCAGTGATAAGTAGGTACCATATCGGGATGTGATCGGCTCACGATCGGATCCCTGCCACCACGTCAGATCGGGTCAGGCACGCAACTTGGGTAGGAAGGATCGAGTCAGTCATAAAACCTGAATGTTGGAGCGAGCTGTTTATATCTTGTTTAGAGGAGACTTGATCTATTTATACTTAAACAGCGGTGAGATCGAGGGTTGTCGGGGTATCGGCGATGTGTAACAGAAAGTCAACTACCCAGCTGAACACAAAACAGAAATCACATTACAGTGGCGAGGAGGATAGACCGTGGTCAGTGTGGCTGGTGAGAGTCCAAATGGGTTATTATGACCGCAGAAAGGTGATATCACTTCGAATCGTGGGCTACAGTGGGGCGATTAGGGTCAGGCACCGCTTGGATCTCTCAATTCTTGCAAGATTTGTTTGTCCACTTGGTTCCAGGCCCGGCTGATCCTGCGTAAAATTCAGTCTGTAATATCATCTTGTGCTTTTCTTTTTCTTTTTCTTTGTCTTTTTCGTTTCCCTGTTCCACTCGTTCCTCGATCAACTAGCGTAGTTTAGTCAGAAAGGGAGAGCACCAGGGCTTCTTCTGCTTGTTATCGCCTTGCATAGTGTAAATCTCTTCACATTTGTCTTGCCATGCCCACTTTAGACGCTTCTCCTCGTGCGCCACTTCGGTCATAAAATGCGCCCTGGTCTATCTGCAAGGTATGCCATTGGCGCCAGCCTTGCTGTCGCGCTTCCCTTCGCCCACGCGTTGCTGCCGCGCTCGCAGATTGCTGACGCCTATGATTTTGTGATCGTAGGCGGCGGCCAAGCGGGACTCGTGCTGGGTGGTCGTCTGTCCGAGGATACTAATCATACGGTGCTGGTTCTCGAGTCTGGCGGCGATGGAGACGAATATCGGCAACGAATAGGTGCACACTCCTACATTGTCACATTGTCTTGCCCAATCTTTTCTAACCCATATAAAAGATACCCCCGCATATTCATATTTCGATTCTCTGTGGACGACGCCGCTGAATTGGGCTTTTCATACCGTCGCCCAGCCCAATGCAAACGACCGCGAGATCTATTGGCCTCGTGGCAAGGTTCTTGGAGGTTCGTATCTGCGTCTTTTTTTGTTACAAGACAGAAAATTAACACACTATTACAGGCAGCTCCGCCATCAATGGCTTGTATCTGACTCGTCCGGGCAAAGACGAAGTCAATGCCTGGAATGGCATGCTTGGCGACATGGACGGCGCCGACAAGTGGTCGTGGGATTCCTTCTACGTGGCCATGAAGAAGAGCGAAACTTTCTCGCCTCCTACAGACAATGTTGCTAAAGAGGCTGCCATTACGTGGGAGACCTCAAGTCATGGCACCGACGGGCCTATTTACGTCTCATATCCAGGCTTGTATGCTCAATGCCCTCTCGGTGTTTCGTACATCAAAAGCTGACCTTTTCCAGCACATTTCCCGAAATTGGAGAGTGGTCCAAGTCTTTGGAGAACTTTGGCATTCCCCCTTCGGATATCTATGGTGGTCATAACTATGGGGCTGAAGTCTCGACTTCAACCATCAACCCGCACAACTGGACGCGGTCCTATAGTCGATCCGGGTATCTTGACCCGCTCCCGGATCGCGGCAATTACGACGTGTTGGCCAATGCCCATGTCACTCGCATTTGCTTTGACGACTCTTCTCCCTCAGACAACTTGACTGCCAATGCTGTCGAGTACACGACTGATTCTGGGAAGACAAAGTCAAAGGTCAAGGTGAAAAAGGAAGTTATCATTGCGGCTGGCTCTGTTGGAAGCCCGGCAGTCCTGCTACACAGTGGTATTGGGCCCAAGGACGTTCTTTCTAGTGCTGGTGTCAGACTTGTCTCTGAGCTTCCTAGTGTTGGACAGCATCTACAAGACCATGTTGTGAGTGATAGCGTCTCCACAACAGAAAGAACATGGACATGGCTAATGTGACCAGAGCGCTACCGTCAAATGGACCACCGATTCCGAAACCGCGGGCTCCATTTTCTACGACAATGGCAGCGAGAAGGTTAGTCGTATTGCCCCAACATATACTACAGTTATATACTAACAAGCATAGAACAATCCAATGTTCCTCACATACATCGACTCCGCCGTCGCCTACGTCAATTCTACGAACATGTACAACGACAAGACTCACGAGATCGAGGCAAAGATCCTAGCCCATCTGGACCAATTCACACCAAACACAACCGATGACACGAGCGTCATCGCCGGTTACAAGGAAATCTACAAGACAACAGCATCAAAGATTTTCCAGAGCCCAACAGGCCAGATCGAGCTCCTCTTCATGAACAGCGACGGCAACGGCGACATCGGGATCACAGCAGCTCTGCAGCATCCCTACAGCCACGGCCGGATCTACATCAACTCCTCAAACCCGATGGAGGATCCCGTCATCGACCCGAACTACCTGAGCAATCCCGCCGGTGAGTACACAACCCCACGACACAAAATATCGTCAATGCTAAGATTCCCACCTCTTTTGTTTTATAGATTACGAAATCCTCCGCACAGGCCTCAAACTCGCCCGCCAAATTGGCGAAACCACCCCGTTAAGCAACAGCCTCAAGACCGAGAAATCGCCCGGGTCAGCAGTGCAAACCGACGACGATTGGCTCGAGTGGCTGCGCAATAACGCCAACACGGAATTCCACCCGTCCTCGTCATGCGCCATGCTGCCCCGCGAGCACGGCGGTGTCGTCGACGCCTCTCTGCGCGTCTACGGCCTCGCCAACGTGCGCGTCGCCGACGCCAGTGTACCCCCCATTGCGCTGTCGTCGCACCTGATGGCCTCGACGTATGGGGTTGCCGAGCAGGCGAGTGAGATTATTCGGGCGTTTTGGAATCAACCCGCTTCCGAGCGGCCGGCTTTTAGTTCTTCTTCTTCGGGCTCGGCTGCTAATTCGAGTACTGGTCATAACAAGGGAAGTACTAGTGGTGCTGGTGGTGGTGAGGACTCGGGTGATGCGAAAGGGAATGGAGCTTGTCCCGGGAGGACTCCGTTGTTGCTTGTTTGGATACCCATTGTTGTTGGTGCTGGGCAGCTTGTTTTCGGTTGATTCTTTTTCTTCGGGTTGGCGTGGGTTCTTTTCGGTTGTGTCATTTAGCGAGGCAATCATGAAGTCAAGGCAATATGAGATTTTCGGAATATGAGATGAGCTATGACATGGTGAATAGACATGCATCAACTAGTGCAGGGCTATGGCGCCTAATCTCTTCTATCAAAGACTCGGATTGGAATCCGTCTTTACATTTCCTTGCAGGATAGACTTCGCCCCGCCAACTACATGCCGGCTTGACATGCGCAAAGAATATTGACCAGCACCTGACACTACAATACGCAAAAGAACCATGTAGTCTCAAGATTCGGGAGGCTTGAAGCAGATCTCTGCCAATGTACAAGCTCACCCAGAATGGAATTCGGGTTGGCATATAGAACCCAACTACCAGTAGATGCCTCGTAGACCAAACAAATGCAACAAAACTGACCAAAATAAGACCAAAAACGATGATGCAAGTCTGCGACACCTCCGAAAGAACAACCCAAAACGAAAACCCAGACATCTACCTGCACAAGGATATCATCTCTCCACCAGACGCCGGGAATCGCTCCGCTGCAACCCGAGAATAGAAGCAAAAGTGCGACAGTCGCTCCAACATGCAAAAATCGTTCCAAAATACATGATATGTATACTGCACGAAAACAAGAAATCAGACATCTCAAGGGGGCCGTGGCGTGGTATCGTCGGGGCTCATGAGCGGGTAGTTATGGTTCTCGCCAAAGAAGCTGAGCACATCTTGTGGTAGGTACTCCAGCCACGGAAGTATCTCGCCGTTCGAGAATGGGAAGGACTCCTGGTGATGGAGAGAATTAACATCAACATCATGGCTCTCGATCATCATGCCCCCGGGATTAGTGTTGATGCTCGGATGGAGATCCGGTCGAGATCCGATCTGGCTCGTGCTGGCTTGCGAATCGGCCGTCCCAGGAGGAACAGAGTAACTGTAAGCGGGGTGGTGACCATCTAACTGCGAGGACGAAAGGCTCGGGTTGTATGTTGGGTGAGGTGCTGCCGAGGTGCGCGGGCCTGATTCTGGATAGGGCGAATGCATGCCCAAATAGTAAGATGAGTCGGGATTCATGGGTGTGGCTGGCACCGAAGGGTATTTCGCATGGCCGGCAGCGAGTGATGAGTTCCGTGTCTCTTCCTGGGTTCGAGTTGTGGCGAGAGGCTGGGGGTATGAGGCGCCCGAGGTCTCCCCGCCATCTGCTTGGACAGGCATAGATGGGTAGCTGTGGCTGTATTGGGACGAGTATGCGGGCTTGCTGGATGCGGGCTCTGTCGGTGTCGTGGGCATTTGATACAGCACACTTAGATTAGGCTGCGAGGAATTTGTCGCGCCCGTGAGTGCCCACCCAATAGCTACCAGATAGTTAGCGAGATAGTTCATGAATACAAATCGTGAGAGGCGTTTTTACCTTGGCTCGGATCGATCCTTGGGGACCATTTCCCATCCGATGAAATGTCAGCCACTCCGGGGGCCTCTCTGGATCAAAACCGGGGTCCATTGGTGGTCGGGCTCCAGGCCATCCATGATGTGCGAAAGGCTGCACGGAAGACAGTCCCGCGGTATTTTCCATGTCCTCAGTAGTGTAGAGAAGAGGGTCAACGATTCCCTTGGCCTTCTGGTCCAGTACTGTCAAGATGTACCTGGTTCCCTCCCAGTACGTGTCCAGTGCCTTCAATGCCTTGTAGCATCGTTGATAGTTCTCCTTGGCTGCGGAGGCGAGCAGGATGTGCTTCGCTGTGGACTTTCGTTCCGAGCCGTTAGAAGATTCCATCGTGGGCATCACGAATCCACTCGATTGATTCGCCAGTAACGGTTCTGGATGAGACGAAGCAGATCCCGAGGTGGGTGACGAGTAGTAGGCGCTCTCCATGAGAAAGGCACACGCAGCGATGTACATGGGCTGACTCGTGAATGGGTTACCAATGAAGCTCTTGCCATCTACGAGTTCCGAGAACGACAGAATATCCGCAATAGTCTTGGCCGACGACATTGACAGTTCGCGACTGTTGGGATACAGATGCTGTATTGTCCCGCCAAATGAGTTCAGAAGTGTCGGCTGGTGAAGTAGGACAATAAGGGTATGAAACCACTGCCACTAATTAGAAAATTTCTGTTAATCAAAGGAAAAACGGCTTACAAAATGGAGAAGGATAAAATTGGTTCCCTCCTTGGCCTTGACGTAAGCCTGGAAGTTCGCCGCATTGAAGTGTAGTTTTGGTGACAGACGCTGGTAGATGCCTGTCCAACAGTATTAGTCGTGATTCATGGATATCCGCAATCGAAAGCCATACCGGTTAAATCACTTTCCATCCCCGCCAGCCTCTTGAGTGTGTCCGACGTGACGTGATTGACATCCTGAATGCCATTGATGAGGTCTGTCACTCGGCCATAGAGGTGAATGATCCGAATTAACGGTGGAAAAGGAGCGGGCCAGCCATTTGGAAGTTGAGATTCGGACTGCAGGGGAAAGCATAGCTCGATGTCTTCGTCACGCAATGTCACTGGTCGGCCCGTACCCGAAGAAATGACGCGATCGAGGAAGAAGATGCTCCAGAATGAATCCACCCGTTCCCGCTCTCTTGCCCGTTCCGTCCCCACCGCAGGCGGTAAGGTTTGAATTTGGCTGGCATCCAGATCATCATACTGATCTTCCCTTAGCTTCCCAGCCTGCCCCGTCACAACCTCGCTCGGCATCACACCACTCTGGCCGTAGTTGTGTTTCAGTCCTTGAAACTTTTGCAGACCAAGATCTTGCGCCATGCGAATCGAGATCCCCAAGTACATCCACAGACCACTGTCATGGTTTGAACCGAACTGTTCATAAGCCAACAACAAGCAAGCTTGTACAGCAGACAGGGTCGGGCACGACAGAATATCCACAAGGGCGCTCATTGCGCGTTGAGCGAATGGCAAACCACGGTCCCACTTCCTGACAACTGGAGGAGGCAGCGAGGGATCGATTGGTTGAGCTTGAGGAGATCCCAGTAAGGGATGGGGAGAAAACCTCGCTGCTAAAGAACAGACCGCATCCACTAGCATGGTGTCGACCTTTTTCTCCTTCAAATCCTGCAAAAATCTTTCACGTTGCAGAAAGGGGAAACTGCATCCCAGATGGGCAAAAAAGAGCTCACATAGATGCGAAACCAGATTTGAGACCGGAAGGGTGTCATCGCGATCATAAAATGGAATGGTGTTTGCATCACGAGAGTCACGGTTCTCTGCGGTAGTGACTGGAGGCGAGGGAGCAGCATCAGGCAGTTTAGGACTCCGGGCAGGGGAATGAGATTCTGGCAAGTCGCATAGCTGACATTAGTCGAAGCCCTCATACAGAATTGAGCTGAGGCACAGCTGGTAGATACTCACCCGAGGACAAGGATTTGCTCTTGCGTGAACCTCGAACTTGCACAACCTGAACATCAATCAGAAATAATGTCACTTGGAATACATGAACTGGCGGGGTCGAACCATTTGTTTAAAGCCAGGCACGATCGCAGTAGGCCCAAAATACCGAAAGTATGGAACATGGGTACGACTGCCAGAGCTCACCGAGGTACGTCCTAGGGACATGGGTCAGTGACGTATCAAGATACGCTATTCACGAGTGTCACTCACCACTGTCAGGGCTTTCACTGACTGCTTGAGAATCGGGTTCTTTGTTGACTCGCCCCGCCATCTCCCTTGACGAGCCATCCTTGCCATCCGGTAGTTTTGATATTCGAGGGGATTTCTCGACTGCAGATCGCGGGATGGGGGCAGGCGGCGGCTCCGGAGAACTACTCTCTACCACTCGAGAGCCACGCTGGCTGGAATCGTTGACAGCGGAAATGTTGGGCAAAGGCGGCGCTCGAGGGGCGGAATCCGATTGCGATCGCAAATGCGCAGTCGAGTCGGTGTAGCCCAGACAGACATGCTTGTAGTCAGAACATGTTCTACATACTGTGCGCGTAAACCTGTGAGTAATGGGCGGCCTGAAAAAGGATAATAGAAACCTGGATCGATCTCACCTGGTTGTTCACCCGAGCATCGAATCTTGCGCCGACGACAAGTCAAACAACTATAGCAAATCATATGTGATATCAGTTTCAAGATCTCCAAGATGATGCGAAGCAGCTCGACGTACGCGGCGTTGACTCGGCGACGTTTGGTCTGCGGCTGGCCGTCGGTTGCGACGAAGCGAATCTGTCTCGGAACAGAAGTATTGCCGCCATTCTTCTTCTTGGGAGAAGGGGGGCTCATTGCGAGCACCGTGATTATCCGTGATCACGACCCATTGGGCACCTGCACGATTCCTAGATCTCGACGGTCCGTGTGTTGATTCTCGGCGGGGCTTATTTCACCGAAGGTATCGGGCAGATGAAGCGAAAGGGTAGATCGTGGGAGAGGAGGATGGAGAGCGGGAGAGAACACTTCATGAGGTTTAGCGAGGGGGGGGACGAGGGGCGAAGGATCCAGTAAAACCGAACGGAGACAAAAACCGTTGCGAAAGGGAGAGAAAAAAAGAGACGGAGAAAAAAAAGAGGGAAAAAAAAGAAGGAGGGGAGTGATAAGCCTGAGCTTTCGAACCTCGTGATGTCCTCGCTTCCGCCCTCTCCCCACGCCACTTGGGCGATCTTTGAAATCTACGCCCTGTGGCTTTTACCCTTTCAGTTTACCCCAACTCTCTAGCAATTCTGACCGTTTTCACCTCAAACATTCCACTTCTTTTTGTTTTTTTTTTCGGACAGACCCCTTTCTTTTTTTTTCTGTCGCCGCGCGATGCGGCCTGACCGCCGATTTCCTACCGAAAACGGTGGCACGCAATGGCTCAAGGAACACGACTTGGTCCACTCTGTACCCCCCAGCTGGAGCCACCAGAGACAATGAGATTCAAGATCTGATGGTCATGGGGTCTTTGCCCTGGTGGGGCTGGGTCCATCGTGAGATTCATTTGCCATGGCAGACGTGCGTTGGTCCACGGGCAGACCGGGGGCCAGCTCCAAGGACCGTGGATCGTGGATATTCTCGGCCGGGATTTGGTTCGGGCGTGGTGATCGTTCCTGCAGCAAGTGCCGGGGAACAAAACCACATGAAAAAGCACCGGTCACCATTCGATCAGGACGTCTGGAGTCGAGACTCCGGGGTGCTCCATCAAGGGCTCCATTGTTTATGGGGGCCCTGTGGATGCGATTATCCACACCACTTGGGCCACGCTCAGCATCCCGTCCCCGCGCTATCAGTCCCTGGGCAATTTCCTCGGCGTGGCCACGTTCCCAAGGTTCTCGATGTCGCATCCGTGGATTTTTTGGGCCCTGTTCGTGGCCCCTGAGTCAGTGCCCCCTGCTGATTTAAGCTTATTCTGAGCATTGGAAGCCTTGTCCGGGTGCTGGACGGATTCTGGAATGGATTTCCAAGCGCCACCATTTGTCGTATAGGGTATAGGGAGACTGTACGGGCATGCAAGTATTCCCCGGTCATTTTTGTTCGGTTTGGCCATTGCGGGGAATATCCATTGAACATCTTCAGTGCTCTCCGGGTATTTGATGCTGCGAGCTGCCATGTCGGCCCGAGACTCGGTAGTGCACGGAGTATCTCCACGCACCTCTCACCACCACCTGCAGCTTGGAGCGGCGTGGAAATAAACCGGTTGCACACAACGATGTCCGTGGAATTTAATTTCGCCGTCCTTGCGACTGCGAGTTGATCCGCTGATAAATGCGACCAGCCCCAAATCACGCCAATCCGTCTCGCACTTTCATGCATTTACTCGCCCGAACTGCTCGAAGGTCGTCTTCCCAGGTGCTGTGAGTGTTCCGTGATCATACAGGCTCGCCCAGGCCTGTTGGTTGGGCAACAGTGCCTCCACATGCACCGCGGGGTAGCTTCAGACGTCATGGCTAATGGATGGTAGTCGCTTTGGCCTTGATCGCGCATATCTCCCCTTCCGATATTCAACCCCTCGATCCTTCTGTCGCACGTCCACCATGTTCAAGGTCGGCCCTGACTTCGAAAAAGCCCAAGCCTCCCGGCCGGATTTCCGTCGTGACGCCGAGGTCACTTTTTCCAAACCACCTAATCCCACATGGAAGGAAGGTGATGGCGCAAACGATGACGGAGAGAGTCTCAAGAAAGATCACGTCGAGATTGACCCACACGCCGAGGGACGGCCGGTCGCGTCCAACTACAAGCTCCTGATCTCGGGAATGGTGCCTCGCCCGATTGCCCTGATCAGTACTAAGTCCGCCGATGGAAACACCACGAATCTCGCCCCGTTCAGCTACTCCCAGGTCATCAACCACGACCCGCCACTGTTTGTTGTTGGATTCGTGGGCCCACTGGAGAAGGCCAAGGACACACTGAAGAACCTGCACGAGACGGAAGAGTGCGTCATCAACATCATCTCGGAGCATTTCGTCGAGGCTGCCAACGCGACGGCCATCAACGCCCCGTACGGAGTGTCTGAATGGGAGACCTCTGGGTTGCACCAGGCTCCCACCTCTGTCGTGAAGCCCGCGCGAGTCAAGGAGTCGGTGCTGGCCGTCGAGGGCAAGCTTGTCGAGACCAAAGAGTTTGAGAGCCGCGTGACGCCTGGGAAGAAGACGGGTGTTTTGGCGATCATCGAAGGTGTCCGGTTCTGGGTGAGAGACGATGCCATTAACGAAGATCAAAGCGTTGTGGACCTCAAGGTGCTGAAGCCCATCAGTCGACTGGGTGGCATCTCCTATGGCCGTACAACCGATGCCATTGAGATTCCTCGACCACAGTTTTAACAAGCGACTAGAGGGTATCCCAGGATATAGATTCACATGCAGTACATACATTGATCAAAGCGTCTCGGGACCTCCCGAGCCATCAACGCCAAGGTTAATTTAAGTCGCTCCAAAACCGGTTTCGAGGACTGTCGATCCTTAACGGTTTTTACTCGTAGCGCCTTGACGTTTGTCCCTGTAGGGCGACCAATCGATTCAGTCTTATTTTAAGCCCCCTTTTGCCCGACTATCCACGTTCCCCAATGGCCCCAACCGCATCCCTTTTCCGGGGCCTATATACAATGCGTCGATCCACTCCAGCACCTGCCTTGGCTCAACCCGTTTAAAGTAATCAGGCTCAATAACGAATTGCGCACAACGCCCTGCTGGTTTATCAACAGCGGAGCGGGGAGCGGAACCTTAAACGAGCCATACCCCGTTCTTCTCGCCAAGATCCAGCCCCAGAGCCTCATAGACGGGGCGTAATATATCAGGCTGTCTCCACGCAATACCAAGCTTGCGTGCATAGTCATTGTGGGGATCTGTCAGCACGTAAAACCGCAACTTGTGCTTTTTGGCCATTGTCATCGTGTTGTTCGGCAGTTCGGGGGTATGGCGACCAAGTTCACGCCGCGGGCTTGGAACTTGGGCAGATGTTTTTGAAACCCCGCCATAGTAATATTGCAGAATGGACACAATTCGCCGCGTTAGATGGTGATCACTAGCGGTCCCTGCGAAAAGAGGTCGGTGCTTCTCTGTTCGTCGCCGACGGCGTTCTTGAGGCGAAATTCTGGGAGACGGTCGCCCACTTGGATGACCTTGGCGTGTTGGAATGACTGCTTGAGCTCTTCTTTTGCGTTCATCGCGGCTGATTTTACCAGCTCGGGGCATTGCTGTTGATTTCTTGTTGTAGTGTGGAGAGTTGGTGGCCGATAATTGACATGGTGGCTAGGGCTTCGTGCAGGGTCTGGCTGGGCAGTAGGTGGATGTTGGCAGTAGCCTGGAAGAGGATAAACACCTTTATATTGATGGAACAAAGCAAACACGTAACTCTTAAATCATGACAAGCTGTTCTTGATGGGACGAAAGGTCTGAAAACGGAATTATTCCATTGCCTCGAGGATCAAAATCGAATGATAATGAAGCGCGAGTCAGGTATCTCACGGAGTTTTCCGGTACTTTTGAGTAAAATAGTAAGCTTATTGTTAGAGATGCTATTTGAAACTGGCAGTCAAATACATGGTATGGTTTTACTATTTCTTAGTACTATTTCGGGCGCCCTAAACTTCTCTTCCTGATCTTGGGGTGGAGTACTTGAACATAGTGATGCAGGAAACCGGCGACTTTTTATGTCCCGGTAGCTTGGCAGGACTTTGGCAATGCTCCAACGCTTTTTATTTTGGAATATCATGCGACATTATGTACGAATCATCCATAGTCCTCAAGTTTGCACACCAACCACCCGATGCCAGCCGTGGGCGTGCGGGGAGCGGGGTTGCCTCCAACCCAAACTATACATAAACAACATCGACCCCCGTCGGAGGTCTCCGGACCCAAGCCATTTATCTCTATTTTCAAGTTCTACCTGAAAGAGCCTATACCGAGAATGACAGCCCACGACTACGAAACTTTTAAATTAGGGGACTGGGAACTCCAGAGTGGGGAGAAGCTCGCCGACGCGCACATCGCCTACAAGACATTCGGGGACCGGGCTTCGCCGGCGATCGTGTACCCAACATGGTTTTCAGGCTGTAGGGTTCCATTCTCAAAAATGTGTCTTTTTTGAAAGACAGCAGGATTTCGAGAAACTAACATGTGGCGTCAACACAGTGCTTTTCGACAATTTTTGGCTGATCGGGGAAGACAAGACCCTTAACCCTAACAAGTTCTTCATCATCATCCCCGCCTTGTTTGGGAACGGCCAGTCTTCGTCTCCTTCCAACCAGCCGAACCCGGGGCCATTTCCGAAATGCTCCTTCTATGACAACGTCCGAGCCCAGCATATGCTCGTCACCAAGCATTTGGGCATCACGCACCTACACGCTGTTGTTGGCTGGTCAATGGGAGGAGCGCAGACCTTCCAGTGGGCAACCCAGTATCCAGAATTTATGGATTTAGTGGTACCATTTTGCACGTCTGCGAGAACCTCAATCCACAACCAGGTCTTCCTCGAGGGCGTCAAGAGTGCTCTGCTTGCGGCAAAAGGTACTCGTTCGGCTGGATCAGGCGCAATTGGGGTTCGTACTGGCTGTACAGAAACTCATACGTGGACAAACGAGGAAAGAGATATCGGGCTCAAGGCAATGGGCAGAGTGTATGCCGGATGGTAGGACTTGCTTTTTAATGTCACTTGCTCCATACAAGCGCTCATGCATGGCACACAGGGGATTGAGCCAGGCCTTCTATCGACACAAGTTGTATGAGACGGCACTGGGATATGAGGGTCTGGAGGATTTCATGCTGAATTTCTGGGAGAAGTGGGCTTGCTCCAAAGGTATTGCCAATCTCTGAATATAGATCATCGCAATTCTCACCCAGGGATTTAGACCCCGAGAATCTGCTGGTGATGATCCAGACCTGGCAGAACGGAGATGTCTCCAAGCAGGAGCACTACAACGGCGACTTCGAGCAAGCCATGGCATCCATTAGGGCAAGGGTGCTGGTTCTTCCAGCAAGGACTGATCTATATTTCCCGTAAGGTGAAGCAGTGTTTCAAATGATGGTTCCAACGTTCTGACCACCCCTCCAGACCGGAAGATTCACAATATGAAGTTGCTTGCATGAAGCCCGGGATCGGACGGTTGGATGTTTTCCCTTCAATTTGGGGTCGTAAGTACCCTATTGACACAAGAATTATCAGCCAAGCTAATTTGTCTGCATCTCCCAGACTGGGCTGGAGGTCCTGGCAATAGCAAGGAGGATGTTAAGTGGTTGGATCAGCAGTTGGCTCAATTTTTTGCTGATAATGCCAATGCTGTGGGTTCTTAGAGGTTACAGATCCCATCAACGTCATATCCATAGTACAACTCCACAGGAGTATGATGATGAATTAAAGTGATCAAAATACAAGTTGAACCCTCGTAGATCGTCGTGGGTAGATATATCGAATCACGTGCACACTGAATAAGCAGCTTGGCCCATGGAAGCGCCGACGAACCTTTCGCGCCTGCGACCTTCATTCCCGGCCGTCCGACCCTCGTTTGATTCACGTCACTTTCCAGCTTGTTTCTCCTTTTTTTTCTCGCTGGCGTCTATTCCTGCTTCCTCGTTTTTTGTCGTTCCTGGCACATTGTACCTCCGTCATTTCGACTCCCCTTCCGTTATCTAATCCCCATCTTGAAGCTCGAGTCGGGGTAGCGGCGCCTAATCCAGAGTCCGTCGCTGACGACCCACTACCATGGCGACGCCCTCAACCCGACAGTGGGGTGTCACGCCCCCAATCTCGACCGTCCTGCCTACCCAGGACGAGGTGGCCGCGAACGATGATCTGATTGCGGAGCTCAAAGTACAGAACAACTTCGAGCTCCCAACCGAGACAGAGCGGAGGTACGTCTACAAGACACATGGAAGGATGATGATCAGATGGAGCTTACATGGGATAGAGTGCAATCTCTCCAATTGCTCCAGCGCGTCGCGCTGGAGTTTGTCAGGGTTGTTAGCCGCAAGAAGGGATTAACTCCTGCGGCAGTTGAGGCAGCAGGAGGTAAAATATTCACGTACGGTAGTTATCGACTGGGTGTTTATGGACCAGGTGAGTCACACTGCCAATGTAACATCATGTCCGTCTATTTACTGACAATCCTCGTACCCTAGGGTCCGATATTGATACTTTGATCGTTGGCCCCAAGCATGTCTTGATTGATGACTTTTTCTCCGATCTTCCTCCTATCTTGCAAAAACTGGCGCCCGAAGGCGCTATTGAGAAGATGACCCCGGTTCCTGATGCGTTTGTTCCTCTCATTAAACTCGAACTGTCAGGTATTAGTATCGATCTGATCTTTGCCCGCCTTATCGTCCACTCCGTGCCAATGAATCTCGACCTCAAAAACAACGACTACCTCCGTGGTTTGGACGACAAGGAAGTTCGTTCGCTCAATGGAACCCGTGTCACCGACGAGATCCTGGAGTTGGTTCCCCAGCAGAAGACGTTCCGACTTGCACTGCGCGCAATAAAACTCTGGGCCCAACGTGAGATACGCTTTTTGAAACTCCCGCCCGTTCCATACTGACTATTTTGGGAATAGGGCGAGCCATCTACTCCAACATTGTGGGCTTCCCCGGAGGTGTCGCATGGGCCATGCTAGTTGCGCGAGTCTGTCAGCTGTACCCGCAGGCGACAGGGTCAGTGATTGTGGGTAAATTCTTCAGGATCATGAACAAGTGGGCTTGGCCTCAGCCTGTCTTGTTGAAGCATATCGAAGATGGGCCTCTTCAAATGAAAGTGTGGAATCCGAAGGTGAGTACTCGAGATCCATGGATTGCGTTTGGCATGGTCTCACGTTCCACAACAGATCTACCATGGGGATCGATTCCACCTCATGCCCATCATCACCCCTGCCTATCCGTCGATGTGTGCCACTCACAATGTCTCAATGTCAACCAAGGCTGTTGTTCTTCGTGAGCTTCAACGGGGAGGTGACATTGTGGACAAGATTTTCATGAAACAACTTTCTTGGAACGATCTATTCGCCCGCCACACATTCTTCACCCACGATTACAAGTATTATCTCAGCATCACGGCCTCGAGCAAAACCAAAGAAGCGGAGGCTGTCTGGTCCGGTCTGGTTGAGTCCAAACTGCGGCACTTGGTTGGAGCACTGGACCGCAAGGCAATCATCGGTGTGGCCCATCCATTCCCCAGGGGATTTGAAAGAATCCATGAGGTCTCCAACGACCAAGAAATGGAGGCCGTTAAGAATGGCTCAACCAATTACCAAGCCAAAGGCACCAAAACCGAGATGACCGATGAGACAAAAGATGCCGCCCACCAAGCTGCAGCTCTGAGCGGAGTGGAAAATGCTGATATCCCCGAGCCTACTGAGAAGAAGGCAGGAACTGACAGCCTGACCGTTTACACCACCACCTATTACATTGGTCTGGAATTGAAGCCTCTGGAACCCGGTATGAAACCCCCGCTCCAGCCGTGTACCATTCTTCTAATGTAAGAAGGTGCTCCGCGGTCGCTGGATATTTCCACAGATTCGCAGGTTTTCAAGTCGACCTGCACATCTTGGCCCGGTTTCCAGCTGGATGTCAATGACTTGGCTGTTACCCACGTGCGCAAGTGAGTAACTGGTGACATTCTCATATCCGGGTTCATTGCAATTGACGTGACCTAGCTTTGATTTACCGGAGGATGTTTTCCAGCCTGGCGAGACCCGACCTTCACGACCCAAGAAGAAGGTGGTCAAGAAAGCCGACGCCGCCGGTCAAAAGCGAAACATCGGCGAACTCGACGTAAGTGTGCTGGAGAGGGCACAATTAACCTGACTCTGCAAGACATCGACCCTGGAGTTCATACTCCCATATCCCGCAAGACAGGCGCTCATGGTGTCGACAACTGACAATGACTAATTCCCATTTTCGTTTCCCAGGATCCATCGCAGGGCGCCGCAAAACGCCAAGTCACTTCGAACACCGTCTCCAATGCTGCGGCTTCCGCTTGAGCTCATTACCACATACTCTCTCCAACCTCCCACCGGGCTGGCCCCCATCACCACTTCAGCACACCATACCGTCTCTCGATCTTGTAATATGACAATGTCTCCCCTGAATCTAGCATTCGAATCTCCATCATCCCGGACCGGTTACCAATCTCACTAGGGAGCTTTCCACCTCGCTGCATCAGCGCAAGGTTGGTTCTTTCATTTTCCTCTTCTGCCCCTTTTTCTTCGTTGCTGGTCCAGCGACTAGACTAGAGGCTGTCATTTTTTTCTTCAGAGTTCGGCCGCATTTGCTTCGTCTTGCGTTTCTGCATAGGCTGGATTCCTTGCCTTATGTACATCTCATCCCCGAGACAGTGGTGCATTTTTGGCACTGCGGGGCCTCCTTGCCGCACTGTACGTATCACTTTGGCGTCTTGCAAGGTAGCTCAGCTAGGCTAGTCCAATAAACGTTTCTGTCCCGTCGTATGCGGGCTACACGTAATCGGCAACTGCTCCTGTCTGCAATTACTTTGATTGTTGTATGAGTTAGAAAGACTAGTCTTGGCTGCCAATGAGGTATATACCTCGATTATCAGACCAGCCGAAGGCACTTTTTCGGCATCTCCGTTTGATGAGTCCTGGGAAAATGTATGAACCAACACCATCTGGGCACGTAGAATGGGGCAAATCTATACCCAGATGGGTAACCACCCATGAATCGTCAACACTACCTGACCATTGCAAGTCAGTTGCTAGTTGGAAGTGGTTCAGATCCGAGCCCAGTTCCGGGGTCACCATGTCAAGAAACCGAAGCACTAGACTTTTGAATTTCAAGTAATGCTATATCCAGTGTTCGGGCCAATTAATGAAACAAGAGACCCCCTCCCTTCTCAATTTACAAGATCACTGCTTGGCAGTATAGAAGGAGGATCCCAGCCTGTTATAGATCTTGAATTCGCGAGGCTTGACAAACATCGACTCCGTGGCGGCGAGATAGTCCTTGTAGTAAGGCTTGGTAATTTGTTCCTGAATGCAGAGTTAATTGCTTGCTTGGTCACTTAAGATTTATATCCTTCCAAATACAAACCTTCATGAACCAGTCGGTGGTTGCGTTCCTTTTTTGTTTGTAATATTAGCTATATCACTCGTCCCTGGACCTGACTTGGAGTCTCATCATACCAGTCTTCCACCCAGTGCAAGGTCCCTGGCTCCTCTTGTAACTGGTACACCTCGAAGAACTGGCACTCGGGCTCGGCTACCACAGCGTCGTAGGCTGGTTTGATGTGCTCGAGGAACTTGGGGACATCGTCGGGGTTCAGGTAGACGGTCACCTGCAGACTGAACCCGGGGGTGGAAGACATAGTCGAAAATATGTGTTGGGTTGGAAAAGGGTTGAGTTGAGGGAGTTGCTTTCTGGCATGAGAGAGTTATGGGGTCTTGGACGCAGGGAATCTTGATCACTTTATACTTCGTTATAGCCCGAAAAGCCGGCAACTCCGGGTGAGCGTTTCACCAACGTGTGGGGGTGCATCCGTCGAGTCAGATTCGGGCCGTAGGGTCTTTACGCTTATGCTTATGCCCAATCTCTGGACCACAATTATCGAAAATCGTGCTATATAGCTCTATACACGTTTGCAGAGAGCTGTTAGCTAGAAAATATGGACTTGAAGACTTGAAAAGCACATGGAAAAGGTCATTTCTTTATATTTCACTATTTTTTAATCTGTCCGGATGACCGTCAGATTGCCTGTACCGCCAGCGGCCGGTAGGGCTCCTCCAGCCATGTCATCTCACCGTCCGTAAGCTCCACCTCGAAGGCCTCGACCGCCGCCTCAATCCTCTGAATGCTATTCAGACCGACAATCGGACAAGCGCCCTTCCTCAGCAGCCAAGCCATGGCAACAGCACCCATGCCACACCCCTTATCGCGGGCCAGCTCCTCGACCCGATTGACAATCACCTCATTCTGGTCACCAACAAACCACTTCTTCGTCTTCTGATCCTGGTCGGCCCGAGCAGACTTCTCCTGCCACGGTCGCGCCAACAGGCCCCGCGCCAACGGACTCCAAGGAACCAGCCCGACGGCCTCGGCCTGGCAGAAGGGATTCATCTCGCGCTCTTCTTCGCGGTAGAGCAGATTGTACAGGCCCTGCATGCTCACGAATGTTGTCCAGCCATTCCTCTTGGCTGTGTATTGCAGCCGCGCGAATTCCCAGCAGTGCATGCTGGACGCGCCCAGGTACCGCACTTTGCCCATTTGCACGAGGTCGTGCAGCGCCCGCATTGTTTCTTCGGGTGGTGTGTTGGCATCTAGCCGGTGGAGCTGGAGGACATCGATGTAGTCTGTTTTCAGTCGCCGTAGTGATCCTTCGACTGCGTCGAAGATGTGTTTTCGGCTCAGTCCCATCTGGTTGACGAGCAGACCTTCATTGACTGCAGGGCTCGGTCGCAAGTCTGGAGTGTCTTCTAGAACTGGATAGTAGAGTTTTGTCATGATCACGACTCTGCTTCGTGGGATGTTGTATCGTGTGAGGGCTGTTCCGATGATCGATTCGGATATGCCGTTGGAATATGTGTTCGCCGTGTCGAAGGTGTTGATTCCCATGTCGTATGCTTTCTTTAATATAGGTAGTGATTGTTCCTCGTCTAGAACCCATGGAGACCCTTCCCAGCTCGGGTTGCCGTATGTCATGCATCCGAGAATGATGCGCGATACTTTGAGGCCGCTGTTGCCGAGCCGTTGGTATTCCATCTTGCGTGGGGATTTATGTTGAACGGATTTTGAGATAAGACAATTTTCCGATATGATAAACTGCAGAAATTCATGTTGTCTCTTGAAGTCTTATACTTCTCCGCCCAAACCCCGGCCGAGGGAGCCCGCATATCGGAGAGTTGTCCGGGCTATTCTCCGGCTGTAGAGCTACTTCTACCGTTAATATACATGTCAGCTCTGAAAAGTCGCACGATCTAAATAATGCGTTAAGATTCTAGAAATGTGAATTAAATTTCTCAAAAGACTATGTCATGCCGTTCGACATCATCCCAGGGAACGTAAACTCCCCAAAGTCCGCTAACAAAAAGTCATCTACTGGCGTCTCAAGGTCATCCCCAGGAAACGAAAACGAGCCTTCTGGTGGCTGCAAGTTCCCCGACACCGGCTGTAAGTTGTAGTCCACTGCCCCAGTTGATGTCGCCAGCGAGGACATTAGATGGTCATTACTGCGATGCGCAGCACCAGCACACTCACGCAATTTGCGGATAAGACCCGGCGTCATGCGACAGATAGGATGCTGCTGCACACAGGGAATATTTTGGAAAAGCTCCAAGACCTTGCGAATCAACTCAAAGTTTTCATTGAGTGCAATGGACAGTTGGGCATGGTAGTTCATGGTCGCTTCCAACAGGAAATGACCCGCAAACGCAATCATGATATGGAAATAGTGCGGCATGCCAATCAAACTCTGCTGGAGATGCTCCTCGTGCAGGATCATTTCAAAGATAGCCACGGCCGCCTCGTGTGCCATGCTAGCCGCAGTCAAGAAATGCGGCGGAATGGCGTCCCCGTTGAGGCCCTTGAACACCTGGTGTCCGAGGTAGAGCTTGCCGAAATGGTAGTGTAGCTGCAGCCCGCGTTTGGGGAACTCGCCGATATAAGGGTCTGGTTTGAAGAGTGCAGAGAACTTGGTGAACCACCGATCCAGCTGCCGCGAGTAGTGGATAATCTGGTGTGACAAGGACTGCGGGACGCGAGCCTCCTGTTCAGAGCCTAGTAGGTCGCGGACTTGGCTCATGATCACGAGCAGCGCGACCTGTGAGATGATCCGCACATCGGAGTCGGTTGTGTCGTCTCGCGTGAGGAATGTCTCCCAGTTCAGAGCAATTTCTTTATCGCTGCGCAGGAGGGGATCGCGGTTGTGGAGAATGGAGAGATGCTGATCCGAGATGAAGGTGAGGTACCATAATCTCACGCGATCTTTCAACACGCTGGTATCCGGGGATGTTGGAATAAAGCCATGATTCTCGGATATTAACCGAGGATCCATAGGAGTTGACAGGTGCTCGAAGTTGCGGTACAGGCGCATGTCTGCTGCACGGCGAATGGCATCGCTAGAGAGAATCCGCGACGCATCCGACAACCAGAATGAGCTGATGCATAGTGCGCGAACATATTCCAGATCGTGTTTCTCAAATAGTGATCGCGACACAAGACGGCGGAATTCACGGTTGCACGCCTCGTAGGTCGGCTGGCCTTGAGGGTCCTGCAGTGCTGACACTGTGCATATCGCAGCGAATAACACTGGCGATTTATCTCGAATCTGCTGGAGATTCTGATATCCACTGCAGATGCCATAGAGGTATGGGTCGAGCCGCGTAAAGTATCGTTCGACAAGGGTGTCGGCCACACTGGAGCTGATCAGACCCTTGCTAATGAGGTCCTGCGGTACTGAATGTGGTCTTTGGCGCGTCGTGCTTGGTGGCGTATTTTCGGACGATCCTGGGCTGCCGAGTTTCGCGATATCCAGGTATGTGTCGATGGGAGCCTGTACAGCGGATGGGGTGTCGGGTGGTGATATTTCACAGCCATCCAGGTCTGGATTGTCACGTTCCAGTTCATCTTGGCTGGGTTCTTTGCTTTCCCCTTCGGTTGACTCGATATTCGAGAGTGGTTTTGGCCGAGGTAGACTGAGGTGCTGGCAAAGGCCGTCTAGGACTTCGTGGATATTGCGCACATCATTTTGCAGAGCATCGGTATTTCTGCAACGCATCTGATTAATCGGATTTACTCTGAGGTGTATTTGTGATGGGGTATCTCTTACTTGACTTCTTCCACCAAAGACTGCAGACTCTTGTTCAACACACACGACAAAGACCGTCGATGGCAGCGAGTGCAAGGCGGGCCATTGCTCATGTCACATTTGATCTAAGCACGTTAAAATCGATCCAACCAAATCGCTCCCAAATGGAATCACTCACCTTCTGCTTCCTACATGCTCCACACGCAGTAATCTTTCGGGTAATCCCCGGCAAAACCCCAAGCACGTCCGAATCTTTCGCACTGGAGACACTTGACTGCGGCAAAGGCCCCGGTGCCTCCTCGGGCCAGGTCCGCTTTCGCTTTACCATTGTTATGACAGCACGGCTATGAGGGAAAGGTCAGCAACGGTCACCAAAAACGACTGGGGGGCCGGTGAGCACCCCGAGGGGTTTATTTATGGACAAAGAGGAGGGGAAGAAGAGCCACATTCTGACGAACTCCCACAGGCTCATTCGTCAACAGCTAGTGCCTTTGCTTATGGCGTCGGAATAAGCAGAACAGGAATGGATCTACTGATTCTCCAGATGGTTCACCACGCCATCCATCCAGTTCATTGGGGCCGTCCAAGCTTCCCCCGCATCGGTGGAAAAGAGTCCGCGAAATCTCGGAGACTCGCCGAGGTGTCGTGGGGGTTTTGCTTACGAGGAATTGAAGTATAAGGCCAAAGGAATACTGGCCAGCACGCACGGATTATGATCCCTCGAACTTTAGCTGATTATTTTGAATTATTTTCGGTCCCATCATGACTTCCACCATCGCCACGAAATCTCAAGCCCTCCCGCCAGGAATCTACTGTCCTGTTATCTCATTGTATCAGATTACATCCCGACAAGAGATCGACCTCGTTGCATCCTACAAATTCTTTTCCTACCTGATCCGTGGAGGTGTTGACGGTCTTGTACTTGCCGGAACCACCGCCGAAGCTGTTTTGCTCTCCTCAGAAGAGCGAAAAGAACTAGTCAAAACTGCCCGAAAAGCAGCGACTGATCTCGGCCGTCCAGACTTCCCAGTTGTCACGGGAATCAGTGGCCAGTCCACAAACGAATCCATCCGCCTCGCAGAGGATGCCCCAGCCGCAGGCGCGAATTTCGGCCTGTTGCTGCCCCCGAACTATTGGGCGAAAGCCGTGACAAAGGATGTTCTGCTGGGATTTTATCGGGAGGTCGCTGATGCAACAACTCTACCGATTGTCATCTATAGCGTAAGACGTTTCCTTTCTAGTCGAGCTTCCAGGCGAGCCTAACCAACTGTATATAGTTCCCTGCCATGTGCAACGGCATAGACATGAACTCCGATACCTTATCCGAGTTGGCACACCATCCCAATATCGTCGGCGTCAAACTGACCTGCGGCAATGCGGGCAAAGTGACACGGCTGACGCGAGAATACAAGCACGGCCAGTTTGGTGTTTATGCCGGTTCCTCGGACTGGCTCATTCCTTGTCTGGCCGGTGGCGGCGGAGGTTGCGTCACTGGGATTGCCAACGTGTTCCCTAAATGTGTTGCGAGACTCTATGCACTGTGGAATGAGGGGAAGGTCAAGGAGGCGAGTGAGCTCCAGGGTTTGGTTGCCCAAGCGGAGAAGGCGTGCAAGGAGGGAATTGCGCCTACCAAGTTTGGGGCTGCACACTTTGCTGGTCCTCCTGCTGGAATAACTGATGAAAAGGCATTTTGGCCCCGGAAGCCTTATGCGCCCTGTGGGGAGGAGAAAGCGTCGTGGGTGGTGAAGGTGATGCGGCATTTGGTGGAAGTGGAGCAAGGCTTGCCAGATGCTGTATAAACATGAGAGATATCATGGTTATTGTTCTCTAATAGAATTTTGCTGGTAGAAAGCATTTTTTCGGTTTATCATGTTTATTCCTTTCTTTTGCCATTACATGCATTCAACCCCAATCTATAGCCAGAGCACCGCTTGACCTAAAATCACCAAGTTCTTAATTTCATGCTTAGTTTTTATAAACCGAGAAGAATTAAATCAGAGGGTACTTTTTATGCAGTACAATCAAAAGCCTTTCGAACTGCAAAAAGACTTCACGCAAAGAAATCACTCCCCAGACGCATATACTTGATCCGCTGTCGCCAGAAGGTGTACGCAATATGGATCTTCTCATCCGACTCAACAAGAATGCTGGGATAGGATAACTCGCGGTTCAGCTTCTTCTCGCTGTTGTTTGTCAGACAATATCCGTCTCCCTCCTCCAGTGTCTTCCACTTCCAAGTACCACCATCATCATCACTCCATGCCACACACAAAGGCGCCCGCGGTGCACCCCAAAATGCCTCCTTTCCATGCTTGTTAGCCTGATTGGGTCTGCTATCTGTCCCGTCACTGATATCATCATACAAGCCGTCACGTCGACCGAGGGCGTCTTCTTTCGAAGAGTGATTATACACAACGACCGCCCGTCCAGAAGGCAGTACCCCAAGACAAACCCCCGCGTTCGGGTTGGGCAGAACGGTAGGTCTGGGCTCACTCCAGTTGATGCCATCGAGAGAAGTCGATAGATAAACATTGTCAGCCCATCGGCTTCGATACAAGCCAAGATAGGAGCCATTCTTCAGGCGCTGGATGTTCATATGCACGCATCCATAGCTATTGGGGATCTCTTTCTCAGTCCAAGTCTGGCCTTCATCTGCGGAAATCCGAATGCAAGAGATATCGTCATTTCCCAGCCAACGCTGTCCGGGCTCAGCACGACATTTAAAAATGGGTACCACCCACGCCCCGTTGTCGAGCACAATGACAGGCTGGCGAATGAAGGTACCAGGCTCGCTGAACAGTACAGTAGGGTCATACCAGGTTACTCCATTGTCGACAGAGATCAATTGTTTGACAATAGCCGAGTCTTGGTTCCCCGCGTCCTGGGATGTGTAAAGCAGTCGGATATCTCCTGTGGCTGGGTTGCGGAACAGGACCGGGTTCTGCTCGCTGCGGGTGTGGTCATGGGTCATTTTGATTGCCTCTGTCCAGACCTTTTCTTCAGCTGGCAAACGCGACATATAAATACAGATGTCGGGTCGTCCTTCAATGCTGCCACCGAACCAGACACAGAGAAGGTCGCCGTTGGGCAATTGAAGAAGGTTTGAAGCATGACATTGTCCAGTAATTGCGGGGATATATGCTTCAGAATAATCGTATGGCTTGCCACACGGTGTTCGAAGGAATGGATCAAACTCGACATGAGTTTCGAGGGTGGTTGTGCTGGCCATGGTGGAGGATGTATGCAATCAGAATTTGAGAGTATATCAAGGAACACAAACTGAATGACGCACAGAGATATTTTGAGAGCTAATTCTTATCTTATCATGCAGCCTCTGGTAAGGCTGAGCAGAATTGCCGAAGCCAGTGCCTTCATCGGTTTGCTTTCCGGTCCGCACCGACCTCTGCCACAACACGGAGGATAGTCCGACAGAGCGATCAGCACCATGCTCCACTTCCCCCCTTCCCCATGGGGTTTGCAGATAAATGTCTGGGCATGCAGGGCTTCCATTTTGACAGAAGGGGTGCAAAGGTGCGGTTCATTGGAGACTTTCTGCATGGTGGTGGTCTACATATTTGACCAGGCATCACAACACTGACCTGGTCCAACCTGGTGGTCAATTTCTACTAATATAGGGTTATTTTTCTTTCCTCTTGTTTCCAATCACACGAAAGCACCATGGCAGGAGGAACCAGCATTTGGTTCAGCAGCGAAGCAAAGTCTGACCCAAGGGAGATTTTCAATCTTCGCCTGCTTTACCTACTTGTCGCCGTTGCTTGGGGCGGTTCCTTTTATGGATTCGACACCGGCAATATTGGCGGGATTCTCACTCTTCCCTCCTTCAGAAATGCATTTGGATTAAACGACGTGTCCCAAGCTGAGCAGGATAACCGCAAGGTATGCGCCTAGTCTACTCCGGATCTCATTTGGCAAAGGCCTGACACAATCCAGGGAACTATCGCCTCAATGCTTGCTGCTGGTGGATCTGCAGGAGCCATTCTAGCAGCTCCCACCTCAGACTATCTCGGACGAAAATGGTCTGTTTTCGGCTGGGGTGTGGTCTTTGTCGTTGGTGCCGTGATGCAGATGATTGCCGACTACGATGTCTTGTTAGCCGGTCGTTTCATTGCAGGTATGGGCGTCGGTGCATCATCGATGCTCACGCCACAGTTCCTAGCTGAGAATTCTCCCAAATCTGTTCGAGGCTCGATGACTGCCACCTACAACCTGATGATTGTCTCTTCTCTCATGCTGGCATTCTGGGTCAACTACGGCGTCTCGAAATGGACTTTCGCCGGCGTGGAACACGATGATACGCAGTGGCGGACCGCAATGGGAATACAGATTATTCCCGGTGCTCTTTTGTGCATTATGATCCCCTTTGTTCCAGAAACGCCTCGGTACCTGATCAACCATGGCAAGTCCGAGCAAGGACTGAAGAACATCTGCAAGTTGCGCAAACTTCCGGAATACCATGAGTATGTGCAAATGGAATATCGTGAGATCGAGGCGCAAGTCAAGCACGAGCAGGAGTGTTTTGCTGGGCATAATTACTGGGTTGTGCTCAAGGATATCTTCACCTCAACGAGCAACCTGCAGCGCTTTGTGTTGTCCGTGATGCTGTTTTTGTTTCACAAATTGACTGGCACGGACTCTCTCAATGTGGGTTTATGCTCGATATCACCCAAGGGATAAGTGCTTGCTGACCCATTGGCTAGTACTATGCCCCCGAGATCTTTGCGTTGATAGGTGTGAAAGGTGGCTCCTCCAGTCTTCTCACCACTGGAATCTACGGAGTTGTGAAGACCGTAGTTACAATCCTCTATGTGGGATATCTCGTCGATCGCATCGGCCGCCGAATCCCCCTTCTCGTTGGGGCGACCCTCCAAGGTACTGCAATGCTCTATCTGGCGTTGTACCTTCGCTTCGCGGGTACGAACACAGAATCTGTCGGCGGAACCCCGGCGGGCGGTATTGTCGGTATAGTTTGGATCTACATATACGCATTTGGATGGTCCTTCGGACACTCGGTTGCATGCTATGTGGTTGCGGCCGAGGTGTTTCCCACGAGAATTGTAAGTAGCCCCCTCGGCTCCCTCAGAGCTTCTGGATTTGTGGATATCTTCTGACAGGATGCAGCGATCTTTCTGCATGTCGATTTGTTTCTTCATCAACTGGATTGTCGACTACGGTATTACGAGGGCAACACCCAATATGATCACGGAAATGGGGTGGGGCGTCTTCTTGCTCTACGCGATGCTCACCTACCTTGGTGTTGTTTTTATCTTCTTTTGTCTGCCCGAGATGAAGGGCCGATCGATCGAGAGTATGGATAACTTGTTTGAACGGCCGTTGTGGACCATGTGGAGACATGCCTATCCGACGGAGGAAGAAAAGATCAGGCGAGATGTTCGAGATGACATGATGGCTGGGAAGATGCATGCGGAGGAAGATGGAAAGAAACATCGAGTGGATCATGTTGAAAGTGCGTAGTATGGCCCGGGACTCGAGTTTTTCGTATCTAGTGACTTTCCTTCAAGAGAAATGGCATATTACTTTCTTTTTTTTTGTCTAATACGTTTTCTAGATCTCTTTTCATTCTTTTTTTGCCAAGTTATATCATTACGAACTAGTTACTTTCTTGCCATTTCCACGATTGACGGTGCAGCGCCAGCGTTCTTGTTCCAATGTTAAAACACGCAGTCAAGTTTTAGAAAGTCCTCGACCACATGACGGTTGAACTCGGCATCATTCCGACTATCGGGGAGGAGCAAGTTCTCCCACGCTACGGTCTTCTCTCCGGGTTTAGCGTAGCACAGTTGAGCTTGGAGTGGACAATCAATTGCACTCTGATAAAGATAAATGGGAGCTCCAAATTCTCCAAAGACAGGTGCAGATTCCTGCCTATACGCGCAATGACAGAAATTCAACAAAAGACCTTTATCCTCAATACCGGGGCAAAGATTCCGGCTATTGGCTTCGGCACATGGAAAGCTGGTCCTGGTGAGGCTGCTGCAGCCGTGCAAGCAGCATTTGAAGCCGGATATCGGCATTTTGTATGACTGCTCTTCGATATCTCAATTACGAATACCACAGCTAATTGCATTTAATCTAGGACTGCGCTCCTCTTTGTTAGTATCGTTATATGAGACAAACAGAATCTTAACAAGCTAATTACATTCATTCATATTGAAAGATGGCAACGAAACAGAAATTGGACAGGTCTTTAAAACTACCAAGGTGCCGCGAGAGGAATATTTTGTGACTACAAAGCTGTATGCCCCCAGTCCCAGCCAACTCTACAAAACTGGAGATAGACTAAGTCAGGTGCAAAAAATAGTTGGTCCTCTGATCACCGCCGCATTACATCCGCTCTTCAGAAATCTCTAGATGATCTCTGCCTCGACTATGTCGACCTTTACCTCATGCATTGGCCTGTCCCTTTACCCTCTTCGCCGCCAGAGACATACGGAAAAGAAGACCGTACTACGCATGATTCTCACTGGGATTTCACCGACACCTGGCACGAGATGGAGAAGCTCCTTGAGACAGGCAAAGTGCGCGCGATTGGAGTGGCAAATTTCTCAACGGTCAACCTAGCGAAACTACTCAAGAGCTGCAAGGTTGTTCCAGCGGTCAACCAGACGGAGATCCAGCCATTACTGCCGCAGAAGAAGCTCAACGCAGTCTGTGTTGAGAATAGAATTCACCAAACAGCATTTGGCCCTCTAGGAGGAAGTGGGAGTACACTGCACACAGATCCAGTGGTGAACCGTATCGCGGAGAGAAGGGGATGTAGTTCTGGGAATGTATTGCTGAGCTGGGGGATCAGGAAGGGATGGAGTGTGGTCCCAAAGAGCACAAACCTGGCAAGGATTCCAAGCAATCTGCAACAGTGCTTTTCGATGGATGACCAGGAGACCGCGAACCTGGATGGACTAGTGAGAACGCTAGGAGGGAAACGGTTCAATCGACCGAACTGGGGAACAGTGATCTTCCATGATGACGAGGAAGAAGATGTGCAGTAATCTCAGTCCATTCGATCCAAATTTATATAGTTCACTTCCTGCCAAATATAATGTATAACTCATTCACGACGATGGGGTCGGCTCGATGGGCTTCTTCTCGCGCGAATCGGTTACCAGCCACATCAGATCCGGTCGACTATAGTGGCCCACGACATCGATCCAGCTCTTCACCGCGAGGATTGCTGACAGGTCTAAGTCTGTACGCTGTTGGGAGTTGGGTCAGATACTCATTCCTGTAGATACCTTCAAAGGAAATGATCTGCATTTTATAGCCAGAGATATTCCTTCAGTGTTGTCTATTTCTATGGGACTTCGGAATCTCTGTTTACATCTCAAGCAAGCTGCGAAATCTCAACCTTCGACCACCAGAACTCCGTTTCCTCGCGGGCCCAGTCATCGTCCGCGAATTTTGCAGCAGGACCCACCGCGCCTCCAATTAATTCCTCATTGTCTTCTCCGAATATCAGGACCTTTGCAACATCTGGCTTGTAGGGTCTCCACTGCGGCCTTTGAGCATATCGGCCCGGCAAAGCGTTGGGATCACCCGTAGTAATAAAGCTTGTAAGGTACGCATGGAGGGTACCAGAGAGCTCTTTCTGTGAATCCGAGAGCCCGGTGATGGTGCTGGTGTAGGTCTCGTAGTACATATTATCACCATGGTTCGCGCGACCCACGACGGTTCGTGGCAATGCCCAATGGTATAGATAGACAGGTACTCCCTGCGATGACGCAAATTGTGCCGTCTGACGGACGGGGGCCACATAGGCATAGTGGGCATAAGCAGCCTCGATACGCTTATACTGGGATCCGAGGCCGTGTCCCTTCCGGGTGTCGATGTATGGCGACGAAGAATCGGTACTCGGGTCAGGGTAAAGTTTCTCGATCGTGTCTAGGTCTGAAGATGATAGCTCGGGGAGAAGACTATGCCAGAATGCGCGGAATTGAGATGGATCCGACATCTTCTTGTCGACGTAAAACGTGCCCTCGTTGGTGTTGAAGCCCGTCATGATGGGCACTTTATTCCACATCTGGGAGTTCCATGCGTCAAGTGGCTTGCGGGTAATGATATCGCCGTCGATCACTGGCTGGAACGCCCATCGAAGCGATGGGTTATACTTGTCGAACACGGCAGTTTGCGCTTTGGTGACGGTTGAGCTTGGCAGTGACCGCAGAAAGGAGAATATCTCAGACCCCGGCAGATCCTTCGGGCACCCGACCTCTTTGAGGAAGTCTGCAAATTGTTGCTCGTGGACTTTTGCATCGTAGGGACGTACGGCCCGGGATGTAGCCGCACCAGACTCCAAGATAACGCGATGAAACAAGTAAGGCTTTTGTTCGTCATAGCTGAGAAGATGGTGGCCGATCTATTTAGTTCAATTAGCATGCTATCAAATAGCTCTTTAATCCCAATCCATACCGAGTGTGCTCCGGCAGACAGCCCAAACAAGGTGACATTTCCAGGATCGCCACCGAATTTGTCGATGTTCTCTTGTACCCACTGAAACAGATGCACCTGGTCACGCAGTCCCAGATTCAGCACACCCTCCTTCTTACTCAGGCTGGAGGGCAGGAATCCAAGTGCTCCTATGCGATACCCGAAGCTGACAGCCACGAAAGGCGCCTCGGACCAAGCCACCATAGATGCGGTGTCGTGCATTGCAGCGGCTCCGCGATTGAAAGCACCCCCATGCAGGTAGATTGCCACCGGCAGCTTTTCGTTATCCGTGGTTCCAGATGGCCGAAAGATGTTTGCAGTTAAGCAGTCCTCGCTTTGCTCGAGTTTCGGCCCGGCAGACAGCAGAGCTTTCCCAGGAGCTGCGGGGCCAAACTTGGAGGCATCGATGGTGTCTATTGAGTTGGGGACTTTGGCTGCAGGTCTGAATCGTCTTTCCCCAACAGGTGGCAGGGCATATTGGACACCTAGAAAGGCATCGATGATTTGCGGGAATGACTTGTTGAGCTCAATTCCCACTACCTGGCCTTGTGGAAGAGTGACCGAGGGACGCGTGGGGAATACCGTCATGATGGCAGTATATCAATTGCAACTTTGTCACTGTAGAGCGCTCGGAATGAGAACAGAGGCGGGATATGGGCGACTAAGTGTATCTCGCCGGCAGGCAGAAGTAGCTCCGTGCGGGGAATGACCGAGTGGAGACACCATGCGTATAGATAGGCCGTGGTATGCTCTCTTATCTTGCACCGCAACTGTTTTAGCTCCGGAAAGAGTCCGAATAGACAAGATAACTCCGCACTATCATTTGGTCTTGTCAGGCCAACTGTCCGCGGAGATGATAACGGTGTTGCTTAAAGGTCTGAGATATTCTCTTCCAAGATGACCTAGTCAACTGCTTTACACGGAGCTATCTCTCTCAACTACCTATCCTATACCTCGAGTTATGAAGGAAGACACGAAGAAAGACTCCATCACTAATACGGATGAAAAGGACGTTCAGATCGGCACCATCACAGACCTCGATGAGGGCGAAGTCTTTCTTCGTGATCATGGTTTCAGCCCAGCTGCTGTCCAAGGCTTGATGGATGATCCCCGGCGCAACAGGGCGTTAGTTCGCAAGGTTGACCTCATTCTACTGCCTCTCCTGGCAGGAACCTACGTCCTGCAGTACATCGACAAGTCAGCCCTGGCCTACTCGGCCGTCTTTGACCTCCTGCCGTCAACAAATATGACCAGTGATCAGTACAGCTGGCTGGCCAGTATCTTCTACTTTGCATACCTGGTTGCCGAATACCCCTGGAATATTGTTGCACAGAAAACCAGGTTGGCAAAGGTGGTTTCGGGCAACGTGGTCGCCTGGGGCGCCATGCTGATGATCACCGCTGCCTGCTCGTCGTTCACGGGCATGGCTATCTGTCGCTTTCTGCTCGGAGTGTTCGAGGCCCCAATTACTCCATGCTTTATGATGATTGTGGGCATGTGGTATACCCGTGCACAGCAACCCTTTCGCGCCGGAGTGTTCTATAGTTGCAACGGGCTCGGAGCAATGCTTGGTGGGCTGTTGACCTTCGGAATTGGCCAAATTAAGACTATTGCAGTATGGAAGGCAATTTACCTCATTCTAGGAGGCATCACTGTGTGCTGGGGCTTCGTCATGCTGTTCCTCCTGCCGGACGACATCATCTACGCGAAGCGTTTCAAGCTGGAGGATAAAGCCCTACTGATCGGACGGGGTCGACTAGGCCGGACAGGCATCATCAACCACCAAATCAAATGGTATCAGATCCGCGAAGCGCTGCTTGACCCGCAAGTATGGATCCTATTCCTGTTCACTCTCTTCAACGAGACCGTCAACGGCGGCGTTGCCAACTTCGGCAAGCTCATCATCAAGGGCGTGGCCCATGACCCGCTCTCCACGGTTGCGCTAGGCATTCCTATGGGCGCGTTCCAGATCTGCTTTATATTGTCGGGAACTTATTTTGCTTCTCGTTTTCGAGATTCTCGGACGATCGTCATGGTCGTGTACCTCATTCCAACCATCATCGGCGTCTCCCTCATGTGGAGACTCTCGCACGATACCCACAAAGTTGGCGTGCTATTCAGTTACTATATCATTGGGGCTTATGTCTGCTCTCTGGTCCTGGCGTTGCAGATGCCTGCCACGAACTTGGGTGGCTATACTAAGCGCTCCACCGGCGTAGCCTTGGTTTTTCTGGCGTACTGCGCGGGCAACATCATCGGACCGCATGCATTCCTTGCAAAGGAGGCTCCGAAGTATCAGACCGGGTGCAAGGTCATCCTTGCTTGTTCGTGCACACAGGCGGCGCTGGCTGTCTGTCTGCGATTGTTGCTAGTTCGCCGAAACAAGCAGAGAGATGCGATGGCAGACGCAGGCCAAACTGAAGCTCTCTCGGAAATGGATGAGTTAGCTGATCTCACAGACTTTGAGGTAGACCTCCCTGCGCAAATTCAGGTTCTACTCCTACTGACTTTCATAGAACCCGAACTTCCGCTACGTTCTTTGATGTGTTTTTATTTCAGTTCGAATGAGATGACTTCAATTGGACATATACAAGCTTGCCTTGAGACTCAGATACTTATCCAGTAGTTTTAGCATATTCAACATTTATTTCCCCTCTTAGGGTCAACATAATCACCACTTCATCAAAGGAAACGATAGATAAGGTGCTAGACGTAGCGAAGCCTAGCGCTGAAAACTGGAGAGATCAAGGCCAGACATCAAGACACAATCCTTCTAGATATTGACCCAAGCTGGTTTCGCAGAAGAGCACTCTACGCCCTTCATTTGACAGAGGGTGTCCACAACCCATTCGGTCCCCACCAAGCCCCGCGGCTTGGGTCTATAAAACCAGCAACCAACTGCATATCCCACTTGGCCTACTTTCTTCCCACTTCTCTCCTTCTAGCTTCCATCCACCACATATGCCAATTGTATCCTAATCAACACAATGGACCCATCAAAGCTCCCACCCTTCCAAATCAATGGCGCCACCAAATCAATCCCCAGCGTGGAAATGCACACAGCGGGCGAACCAACCCGCATAATCTGGATGGGGTTCCCCGAGCTAAAGGGGACACTGCTAGAGCAGCGCGCGCAAGCAAAATCCCACTTCGACCACTTCCGACGCCTCCTCATGCTCGAACCGCGCGGCCACTTCGACATGTACGGCGCGATCCTGCGGCCGCACACCGAGCTCGTGGACGCGGGCCACGCAGATATCGGCGTACTTTTCACGCATAACGAGGGGTTCTCGACCATGTGCGGACATGCGACGATCGCTCTGGGTCGGTTCCTAGTCGATGTCGTTGACACGGCTATCTTTCCTCGTAGACACCAGCTTCGACATGATACTATCTCGGGGACAACTAGACTTACCTTGCATGTTCCCTGTGGTCTGGTCGAGGTGAGCGTGCCCACGTTGCCGACGGGGTCGTCGGACCCCTCGCGTCCTGTGTCTTTTGTGTCGGTGCCCTCGTTTGCGACGGCTATCTCCTTGCGCATTCCGCTGGCTCCGCAGTACCGCTGGCCGGAAGTAAAAGGGCGTGACTCGGTCACGGCGGATTTTGCGTATGGCGGAGCGTACTATTGCATGGTTAGTGCCGAGGAACTGGGATTTCCGCGCGGGCTGGCAGAGATCGACGTACAGAAGATGGATCATGCCACGAAGCTGCTGAAAGAGGCCGTTGTTGGCAACGCAGAGCTCGAGTACCTTACCAGAGACATCATCACAGGGGAAGAAGGCTTTCTCTACGGGATTATGATCACCGATGGTCGACTGGGCCATGTGCATTCCTCCGATGACTCTGCAGGCGTGCATGCACAACGCGATGCAAGCAGCGAGGAGACCGGGTTGTGCTTTTTCGCCAACCAGCAGATCGACCGGTCTCCCACGGGTGGCTGTGTTGCGGCGCGCGTGGCTCTGGCACATGCGAAAGGGGCGTTGGCCGTCGGCGAGAAAAGGATGTATAATTCGTTGGTCAGTCGCGCTTACAAGGGGCTTTCGGGGTTTATTGGGTCGGTGGCTGGCGAGGCCGACACGAACAGCAAGGGACAGCAGAGCGTGCGAGTCAATGTAGAAGGCTGCGGGTATTATACCGGGTATCATTCTTTCGTGGTGGAAAAGGACGATGGGCTGGGTGTGGACGGGTTCTCGATGAGAGATCTCGCCCTCTAAACACCAAACCAACCCAAGAGCACTCATGAAGTGATATACACAAGATCTCTTCAAGACGCACCGGTCCAGACAAAAGAAATGGAGCTTGTTCAAGGCAAACGGAGACAAAGTATTGTACATCATAGTAGAGGGATGGACAAGATCTGGAAAGAAAAATCTATGGGTAGTCTCTATAATCCGCCCGCGTCTACAACACCAAAGTCCTCTATTTGGCGATCTCAGCACCACCAGTGACACCCAAGATGCGCTTGACGTCACCGTTGATAGCAAACTGACCGGCAGTAATACCGCCAACCATGAAAAGACTGTAAAAGTCACGTTAGCATGTTGCAACGACCCAAAAAAGCGCACAGGAGCGCGGATCACATAGGATAGAGGGGGGGGGGGGGGGGACGTACCGAGCACCAATGCCGGAGTAGGAGCCGCGGAGGCCGAGCTCCTTACCGATCTTAATGAGACGGGAAGCAGTGCTCTCACCGGGGAGACCCTGGGTCTTGTTGATCTTGGAGAGCATAGTGTCGGCGGGCTGAGAGACAATGGCAGCGGCGAGACCGGCAACGAGACCGGCACCGAGGTTGACACCAGTCTTGGCACCGGCGGAGAGGTTGTCCTTGTCGACGAGGCCGTAGGCGGCCTCGGCGACCTTCTCGAACACGACGAACTTGGTCATGGTGTAAGGGACCCTGGGAGAAGAGTGGGTTAGTACCTGGAACTCAAATCGCAATCACCCATCAATGGAAAACGGTGTGCACATACTGCTTGAACAGGATGGGGCCGAAACCGGAGTAGAATGCACCGATACCCTCCTGCTTCAGGATCTTACCAAAGCCGCTCAGCAGACCGGTAGCGAACTGAGGGTTGGAAACGAGACGGATACGGGTGGCCTCGAGAGGGCAGAGACCGATGGAGGCGACAGTCTCGGCGGCGGCAGCAGAGGCCAGGTAGACAGCGGTACGGTTGTTGCGGGCAGTGTCGTATCCGAGAGTGTTGATCGACTGCTGCTTGAAGAACTCGTAACCACCGAACTTGGCGGCACCCTGGACGAAGTAACCGGCGGCGGTGGGACCGAAACCAGTCAGGAGAGCGCCAGCACCCTCGTTGGCGATGACCTGACGGAAACCACCGATCATACCACGGTTGTAGGTGACCGGGTCCAGCTGGATACGGGTCTTGACGCTGTATCCGCAATTAGTCGTGTGTATACCAACGGGCGGTATCGCATGCGAGACTTACACATCAAGAGGAGTGGCAGCACCGTGGGTCACACTGCAGCAGACCGCGCCAGCGAAGGCGAAGCCGGAGTACAGAGCGACACCAGACAAGGGCTTGTTTTCCTTAGTAGCAACAGCCATTTCGATGGAGGGAGAGGAGATTGGGGAAGCGGAAAGAGTTTGGAGGGAAGGAGAAGAGTTTGAAAGGGATGGCGAATGGCGCTAGTCCGGATTGGGCAAGGGGGCTCGGGCTCCCGGCGCCTTCCTTTTTTCCTCGGGCCAACCCGGAGTGATCTGGCCAATCAGCGAGCGCGGAACCGGCACATTTCTGAACAAAGAAAAACAAGGCAAGTTATACAGTGAAATATCCTTCTATGAAAACATCTGAAAACACTAACAACCGCTGATGGACTTGTTCTGATTGAATCCGATGATCGACCGGGTATCACCTGACATCGTACCTCCGCTAACTCCGATCGCCGGGCCAACCGGGCGTCTTTTTTTCTCCCAAGCTTGTCTTGGGGGAGTTAGTGGGATTAAGCGCAAATCGAAAATAGAGGTGACTTGGGAGCAGGGCTGAAGATCGACACAGTGCCCGAACACCAGCAGGGCACTCGAAGAGAGGCATCGCGCGGTTCAATCGAACGTGAAACCGCCTATTTTTCTCTTCAGTCACTGCGACCAAAGCACTTGACCTCGTTCGAGATATCATTCTTCTCCCTACGTCACTGTGGACACCGCCAAAACGAAGGGTCCATGATGTGGTACCGCCCTATTTTGGTCACAGACACTCTTGGCGGCGTCGGGCGGCTCTCACCCGGGCGTCTCACGCATCTAAGACGGACTGGCGCTATCCCACGAATCAACAGCCCGGGTGGTCGGACTTATTTCTGGCATTTCTGGCATGTTCGCGATTGGCCATGTCCCATTGTCGGATCGCGGGATCGGAACGGTGCAAGGGTGCTAAACTCTTAAACTTCATTGGACTTGACATATTCCTTTATACACGTTCATATAAATTTCTCAGCTTTGCGTAAAGCAGTGGTGATCTGCCAGAGGAGGGCAGTAGAGCAGTTGGCTATAAGTTGGGAGCCTCGCTATCCATGGATATATATCGCTATATTTGAAAACAAACCCAACGATGGAACGGTGTCTGTTAACCCACGCGACAGCTCCGAGATCCAAACAAATCAAGCATTGTGCTAGAGTCATCCTAATTTATCACAATAACCCGGAGCCCTTGATTGATGCATGTCTGCCAAGGTATCTCGTACAACATCATGCTCGTGTTACGATTTTCATGTTTGCCCGGCCCTGCTTTTTCAGGTCTTTTATCTCACTTCCATCCATCGAAAAAAAAAACTTAGAAAGAATTACTTGGTTTGTTTTCTGCGCATCACCGGCGCCCATTCCCCAGGGGGGACATTCTCTTGACTCATCGGCTCTATGTTATCCTTCCTCAATGGCTGCCTCAAGATCCGGCGAAAGGCCAAAAAATGGAGAGAAATTGAAGGTGAGTTCGCTCATTTGATTCCAAACAACCTGTCATTCCCATTCCTATGATCTCACCACCAATAGACATTACCGCACACCTCGAAAAGCTGCCGCTGGAAAGTGGTAGCGAGAACATGCTCATAATACAGGGCTTCGAATGGCACGTGCCGAGTGACCAGCGCCACTGGCAACGCCTTCGAAAAGCACTGCCCAGCTTAAAAGAGATCGGCGTGGACAATATATGGATTCCGCCCGGCTGCAAAGGCATGGACCCGTCGGGTACGGGATATGATGTCTATGATCTGTATGATCTGGGAGAGTTCGATCAAAAGGGAACCCGGGCGACGCGATGGGGCCCGAAAGAGGACTTGCAGGCGCTTGTACGAGCTGCGCAGAATATCGGCATAGGCATTTATTGGGATACAGTCTTGAACCACAAGGCCGGGGCGGACTGTACCGAGAAGTTCCTAGCCGTAAAAGTTGATCCTAACCGTATGTTTGTTGAACTTGAAGGACTAAATCATCTCAACACAGCTAACAGATCCAGAGCGAAACACTGAGCTCTCAGAGCCAGAGAATATTTCTGGTTGGGTGGGATTTGACTTTGAAGGCCGGGGTGGGAGATACAGCGCCATGAAATATCATTGGCAGCATTTTACAGGAGTCGACTGGGATGATATGCGCCAACAGCACGCGATATACAAGACTGTTGGGCCAAACAAAGGCTGGTCCAAGGATGTCAGCGACGAGAAAGGCAACTATGATTACCTGATGTTTGCCAATCTGGACTATTCCCAGCCCGAGGTGCGAGCTGATATCCTGAATTGGGTTGAGTGGATCGGGACCGAGCTACCTATCCGCGGCATGCGAATTGACGCAGCTAAACATTACTCCGCAAATTTCCAGAGGATGTTCGTCGAGCATGTGCGCAAGACTGTCGGCACTGATTACTTTCTAGTGGGCGAATACTGGAGAGGAGAGGTGCAACTTCTTCTCAACTACCTCAAGCTAATGAACTATGAATTGTCTTTGTTTGACGTGCCTTTGCTGGGACGCTTGTCAGCTACCTCTCAAGCTGACAAGGGCGATATGCGAAGAATCTTCAAAGGCACCCTGGTGCAGCAGAGCGCGAAGCATGCAGTCGTAAGGCTCTCCCATAATGCGGTCATCGGTTTATGCTAAATCTTGGTTCGATCCTCAGACATTTGTTGGGAATCATGACACGGTATGTCAGTGCATTATATGCAGACGGACTAAAGCTGACTTCTTCAAAGCAACCCGGGCAGTCACTAGAGGTGAGCCTCAAAGTCTGCATGTGTGTACTATCTATATCTCAAGAAGAGGCTAATAGTTTGTCAGACCCTCATTATGCCGTTCTTCAAGCCTCTCGCCTATGCGTTGATTCTTCTCCGAAACCAAGGACAACCATGTATCTTTTACGGCGACTTATACGGGCTCAATGGTGGACCGCAACCTTGGCCGGGCCCTTCGTGCGGCGGAAAACTTCCAATACTGATGCGTGCTCGCAAGCTATATGCCTATGGCGAGCAACGAGAATACATGAATCGAAGGAACTGCATTGGTCAGTATGGTCTTGTCATTTCCAATTCTCTCTACTGACTTGTTTTCAGGTTTCGTGCGCTATGGCGACTATCAACATCCTTTCGGTCTCGCATGCGTCCTCAGTAATGCAACCGCTTCATATAAGCGGATGTATGTTGGCCTTGGACATGCTGGGGAAACATGGACAGACATCCTGCAGTGGCGGTCCGATCTTGTCATAATTGACTGTTGTGGCTATGGATTATTTCCTGTCGCTGCCATGAGTGTCAGTGTCTGGGTCAATTCCCGGGCACCTGGACGGGACTTTCTCAACGAGCCTTTGTGAGTCGCTATATGTCCCGGGAAAATGCTGTTTTCGTCTCAAGATATGCCGACAGTGCTAATCAAGCATACACAATAGTGATACAGATATATACAGATTCTAGGCACAGCTGTTCCTTTCTATAGGGCAGACCACTCATCCGTCTAGATTAATTGTTAATTAAAGAACACGTGCTTTATATTCGACGATAGAGGTATACTGTAAAAGAATACTTCTGATGTTTTAGCAGGTCTCCCCACCGAGACTTATCAACTTCTATTGTCATATTAAGCATTGGCATATGGACCAGGTTCTCGTGGCCACGAGGACACTACTTTCTGCTACTCTGTCGTAATAACTAATAAAAGGTTTCCAGTTACACCTTTCATTTGCTTCAGAGTAACATTCCATGTAATCCGATTTGATCAAGTGGCTGCAACACTACAAGACAAGGGTACCGCCACATCAACGCCGGGAATCACGGGCTATACTGCCGTTTAGAGCACAGGATCTTGTCTAAAGATTGGGACAGAGAAGGTACCTGGGAGACGCCCATAACGAGTATCTGCAAAATCAGAATACCTCATAAATTCAAGCACGATAATTGCTCACCAAATGATGCGATGAACTATAAGTTGCTGCCTGAGGCAGCAAGGAACACTCCCTTGGACACCCTCGATCTCTGCAGTCAACACATTGATCACCTTCCATCTTCCATCATTGGGGTACCCCCTGTCAAGGACCTGATCACAAATGACTCTTGACATGGATTGCCCTATTCTGCACAGATAATGGTGCTGCCAAAATTTTTTTTCTCCTGTCAGTGGGTCAGCTTGGCAGGTCGGCCAGAAGTCCGAACCCAACAGTCGGAAGCGCATCCGAAGTGACAAAATGTAGTCTTGGCTTTGTCGAACTTCATTGCAGAACAAACCTAAGAGATGGCGACATCATTCTTTTATTGACTCGTGGCTTACAGCATGCGACAGCAAAGGATCATCTGCCTTACGCCGGTGTGTTTGTCGACTTGTGCTGAACAATAGACCGATGATGAAGCGACGATGTGGAGTCGGGCTTGTGCCCCGAGATAATAATGAGTCAAACCCACCAGATGGAGTACCCCTCGTTCCCGTTATTCAATCCCCGGGATCAGAGTCCCCACTGAAAGTCAGGGAGTCCCTTGTGGCTAAGACTTGACCCAAGGCTTGCGCGATAAGCATAAGAGCTAGGGCCATCTCGAGGCCAGAGATGAACTCCATTTTTCGGCATTGGGGTCTAGATCATCGATCTTGAATTCGACGTCAGTCAAATCCTGGCACGCCGACACTATCATCACGTCTGTCCCGCCTCTCTTCTGGTGCCCAGCAAGAATGACACTCATCGGACAGAATTGCAAGCGGTCGAGAGACAATGGCGTCGCAATCCTTCTGCGACACCTGTTTTAACTTTCCACGGCCTTGCAACCGACGCATAGAGTCATCGGGGTTCCGTGCGAGGTCTCATGTGAAGTCATGGGTAACACATTAGGTTGCCACATCGAAAATCCTCCTGACCCGAACCTGCGCAAGAAGCCGTCCTACCCGAGCGAGATCGAATTATCGACCGATCAACAGACCCAACTGCCCCATTGGACACAAAAAGCCCAGAATTTGTCGCCATGTTGTCCAGAATTAGGGCGCACATAGACTCACTTGTTACTGCTAGGGCGCAGGATGCAAGAAAAAATATGTACCAGATGTGGATCCCTCCAAATCCACATCCAAATCCACATTCATCTCGACTTTGATTTGTTCCATTCAAACGGTGACTGGGACCCTGCTGGTGGGGATGGGAGCTAGTGCTTGGATTTTTCAATTTTTTACAGGGCTTTTTAAAAGTCCGACATTCCACCTGGATCTTCGTCTAGCGGAGAATCTACCGTTTTGATGGTTTGATGGGTATACCTCCAGACTGTCAAGATGTCGGACCACTTTCAAACGGAGGAGAACATGCAAAAGGTCATGTCGACTTCAGGTTCGTTGGATGCTTTTTTCTTATCTGACTATCTTGTACAACAATGCTGAATTCCACCCATAGAAGGCGTAGTGGTTTCCCCTCATGAGTCGCCTCGCGAATCCGAAGACGCAGACTCTGAAGTCGCCCATGAGCCGATTCAGGAACGCTATGGGAACCCGTCATATTCACGGTTCCGCCGTGTGGCGTCCAAGACTGTCGTTTCCTTTGGGTTTCAAGATCCAGAAAACCCCGTAAATTGGAAGGGGGTGGGAACCCCAACATCTTCTATCCCTAAAGACCATCTAGTCAATGCTAACGCATCCAACAGTCAAGAAAGTTCCTCGTGCTTGTCGCCGGTGTCATGCAGGTCATGAACAGCACCATCGGCTCGTCGATCTGTAGCAATGCCATTCCCCAAATCGCGACAGAGTTCCACATCACCAACTCGGAGGCTCTCGTTCTGCCTATCTCGGTTTTTCTGATCGGTTACATTATTGGCCCGCTGGTGTGGGGTCCTAGCTCGGAATACTTTGGGCGTAAAGGTCCCTTGCTCATAGCGTTTTGTGGCTTCATTATCTTTATGCTGGCGTGCGCTGTGGCAAACTCGTACCCTTCGTTGCTGGTCTTTCGCTTGCTCAATGGCATGGCAGCATCTGCGCCGATTGCTACTGTTGGTGGATTATTTGCGGACGTCCACGATGACCCGACGAAGCGTGGACGTCTCATGGCGTATTACATGGCTGTGAGTACCATGGGCTATCCAACTATTTCCATATCGCCGCACTGACATGTTTGTAGTGCACCACTTTTGGCCCCATCATCGGACCCTGGGTATCCGGCTTCGTCGCAGTCGTCAGCTGGCGTTGGTGCTTCTGGATTGGATTGATCTGTGCAGGTGCAACCCTCCCGCTGATCATCTTTATGCCCGAGACCTATGGCCCGGTCATTCTGAGGCGTCGCGCGGCCAAGCTCCGTAAAGACACCGGCAACTCGAGCATTGTGTCGCCACTGGATCTGGAGAGTCGCAATGTACGGGAGATGTTTTTGATCACTATTTCGCGCCCATTCCGCATGGTCATCCATGAGCCGATTGTGTCTCTGACATGTTTGTACCTTGCGCTGGCGTATGCGATTTTCTATCTCTACTTTGAAGCATACCCGATTATCTTCCAAGGTCGGTAGTTATCGTATGAACCATTGTTGTTTTGGAGTTGATGTGATGTGCTGACGCGAATGGTGTAGGCATCTATGGAATGAGTGCCGGCATTGCAGGTCTTTGCTTTCTACCGAGTGAGCCGACCCCCCTTCAAGTTTATCATCCCGAAACATTCTCTAATATCTTTGCACAGTCGGCGTCGGTGCCGTCCTGGCCTGCTTCATCTTCATCTGGTACGACGGCTTCCTCGCACGAGCCAAAGAACGCAATGCCAGCTGGGCCCACATCGAAGAATACCGCCGCCTACCACTAGCCTGCCTCGGCGGGCCATTGTACGTGATCTCCCTGTTCTGGGTTGGCTGGTCCGCCTCGCCGAACATCCACTGGGTCGTTCCCTTTTTGTCGGGTATCCCGTTCGGCATGGGGTATCTACTGATCTTCATGGCGATGCTGAACTACCTGACCGACGCATACGAAACGCTGTCCGCTAGCGCGCAGTCCGCCGCAAGCTGCGCGCGCAGCATCCTGGGCGCGGTCCTCCCGCTTGCCGCCAAGCCGATGTTCCACCGACTCGGCGTGCACTGGGCCTGCAGTCTTATTGCGTTCCTGAGCCTCGGTGTCTCGGTGATCCCGTTTACGTTTATTCGCTATGGTGACCGCATCAGGAATAAAAGCAAGTTCTGTCTGGAGCTCAAGCGTATCAAGGAGGCTGAGCGGCTGGAGCTTGAACGCGAGGAGGGCCTGCGGGATGACTCTGATGAGCTTCAGCATGTTGCTTCTTCGCACTCGCGCCAGATTTCGCGCATCGATACGGCTCGCAGCCACGCAGAGAAGTCGTCGATTATCTGTTAAAGCATCAAGCATCGAGTGGGCTCTCGCAGGGTCTGCTTTCTATTTTTGAAGCGCTGAGTTTGCCGATCTAAAAGTTTTGATTTCTTACGTCCTTCATCCGCGCAATCTTTGCATCTGGAGATTGTGCTACGACCATATACCTATTATCTAATGTTTAAGCGCATACAGGGCCTCATCCGCTGCGTCTGAAGCCATTCCGACGAGGACGATGTACAGGTGCCTGTCCTTTCCATTGCTTTCCCCTCATCATTTGTGGCGTTTCAGCGATTCATGCTTGACTCTTGGCCAGGGATTGTATACCGTGAAATTGACCGCTCCAGCTTAGATAGCTCTCAATCAAATTCAGTCAATTCATTTTTCGTGGAATCTATATTCTGAGTCCAATATAAACAGTATGTCCAAATCAAATAGACACTACAGTATTTACTTTTCTCCAAATCATTCTCTCTTCAATCCCACCTTTCCCACCTTGCGCAGCCCCCAAGCCCCAACACCACAGGCAGCAATCATCAGTCCAAAACACGTCCAGAAAACAGCCCGGTACCCGAGCATCAACGCATCGGGAGATCCTTTATTACCATAAGACGATCCCTGCGTGACGCCCGCAGAGATAATAGCAAACGTAGTGAGTCCGATAGACGTCCCAAACTGCGCAATCGTGTTGAATACTGCGCCGGCCAGGCCCTGCGTTTTGGGTGTGAAGGCATCGGTGATGATCAGATTGGCCACGGTGAAGATAACTATTTCAATCGCGTCAGCTACAGTCAAGGTAGATATGAAAAAGAGTTTCGCTCACCGTCAGCAGACAATGGTCCTAACAAAACAGCCCAAAAGGCACAATACCACCACGACCAGTCTGGATCAACAATTGCCATCAACAATGGGGAGCCGGCACTGAGGACCGAGCTGACGAGCACCAAGTGATTGGCACGCAGACGGTGAACTAATAAGCCCGTTCCGACATTGAGGACGATGCCGATGAACACATTGGGTAGGAATCGGAGCGCAGCCTGGATGGCGGATAGATTTTGGACTTCTTGGAAGCTATAGAGATACGTTAGAGAGAGTCTATCTTTGAAATGGCATGAGAGACAACTGACAAAAGACTGAGAATTGTCTCCATTCCATTGAGCACAGCCCAGGCCAAAAGAACCATCACGCAGATCGAAGCAAAGGCCGTGTTCCGCCACAGAGAGTTGGGGATCAACGCGGGCTTGCCATTCTTCTCTCGCCAGTTCATCCAGCCCCAGAACGCGGGGATCATCGCTGCCGCGGCACACAGTAAAGCGATGTTTTTGGCTTGGTGGATGTTTGCCGGGTTATCAGTGATGACCCTACATCATTCTCATTAGTCGTGTCCCAACAACCAGAATTGACAGTAACATACGCAAACACATAAGAAATAATCCCCAAACAAGAACTGGATAGAAAAACGCCCATCCAGTCAATCTCAGTCCGGAGTCTGCGAAACGAGAACGGCTCTCGCTCCTTGTCCCTAGGCAGCTTAAACAAGCTCACCACGGCGAGGGCAATAGTGATACCCGCGCAAAGATAGTACCCGAATCTCCAATTGAGAGAAGAGCCTTGGAAGAGTCCTCCAAAGACAAGCCCGACTGAGAAACCAAAGGGCTGGCCGAGTCCCAGACAGGCGAATCCGATGTTTCGCCGTTTACCAGTCGGCATGGTATCGGTGAGAATGCTGAACGCTGTTGGAAGACACATTGACGTGGCAATGCCCTGGAAGGTGCGGAATACAATCAACTGGATCCCAGTCTCGGACACGCCACAGGCTAGAATGAAGGCTCCCAACAGAAAACAGCCGATCAGGTTGATCATTCGGTTGCCGATGAAATCGGCCATAGACCCGGCGAGGAGCAGGCAGCATCCATTGGCAAGGCTATGAAGAGTGAGCAAATTGTTCAATAGAAAAGGATTTAGAAGAGCGATATTCAAAGAATGACTCACGAGTATACCGAGGCCGGCCTGGCAAGAGAGCAAATCAGAATAATGCCCACCTGTGATTATAGTGATTTTTCATGGATTCAGTTACTTACCAGAGCAGCAAGTTATCAGCCAGGTTCAAGTCTTTGGCAATCCAAGGCAATCCAATAGTCAGCAATCCACTGGTCATACTACCCACAAACGTGATGCCGCTCAAGGTAGTAATCAAGATAACCCCCCTGCTGCGCGAAAGGCCCGCTGGCTGAGCCTCGTAGATTCTGTCAGAGACTGGGCCTTGGGATACTGATCTCTGAGACTGTGAATCTTGTTGGGAATCACGTTCTTGGGAGTGCAGCATAGTAAGATGGTGTGAGTCATCGAGGTTCAACCCCGAATGCGCTGATTGAGTCTGGACAGTGATTTGCGCCATTGTAGGGCTGGTTGTATACCCTTGATCTGGCCAGTGTCTCTGTTGCTATCTTCCACGAAGATTACCACACGGCCAAATATGGGTTACGCAGAAATTAACTGGAAGTTTGGTCCATAGCAAGTGGACGGGGCCACAGTCATTAGTCATGGTGTCTCATGTTGAAGACCATCTACCAGCACCAATCCTGGACTGACCTACATCTGCTAGAAAAATAGAATCACGGACTTTCGCAGGGGGAAAAAAGAGCATGGTAGTCCTGTCGGTTTTCTGCAATATCAAATTCAGATTGAGGTAAGGAAATGCTGAGAAGTAAGAGCAATTCCCCTAGAAATGTAAGACCGCAACCTAACAAGATCGAATTCACAAAGCGATTAGATTGAAGCGACGAGTCACTTGTGGTAAGGTGGTGTGTTAATATCAAAAATGAGCATTAAGGTCTATCCCAGTGGCCTTCCAAACTGCGTAAATCTAGTTCTCTTCCCATGCTCTGTTTCTGGTATTTTCATACTCCCTGAAAGGAATAACGGTCTTGGATCTTGCTGTTTCGTCTTCAGAGACCTTCTGAACGAGTAATTATCAGTTGATATCGCCCAATTTTTCTTTGCGGCGGATTCCATAAAGTTCTCAAAGGTAAACAGCTTGAAGATAGCATGCAATCTGCTGCGCAATATAAGCGGCTAGCAGTGGTATATTAACAGACATCCCAGATAACATATGGTTGCAACCTGTAACAAGCCATAACGTTCTGAATACACGACAGAACAGTGCAACGTGAATGCCATTGAGACAAGTAGATCGTGTTTTCAAGGATTCCTCTTCATCCACAACAAAGAGGCAAAATGAAACCAAAATCCTGAGCACGGTCCTCCATAATCACAAGTCCAGTCCCCCAGCACAGCCCGATGCCCAATCCCTATTTGCCGCCACATTGCCAGACACCAGCGGCAGCCCAACGCAAGAAATCGACCCCCGAGGATAGACCTCCAGGATGAAACCCGAATGGCAATGAATCATGCGAGAAATGGCCTGCATTGGGACAGCTGATCCTCCAGGTCCGTGCGCACATCCCCCCTTGCCAATGCAGTGTGGCTTGAGCGGGCAAGTTTATGTGACTCGCAGCCGTCCCCACTTGGATCATGTCAGTGCGATTGAGATCAGGATCAAGCTGAGGTATGAGATCAGTAGGGGTAGTAGATAGTAATGGAAATAATTTGATTGGGATTAATCAGTGACGAGCCAAAATAAAATAAAAAAAGAGCAGTTGTGGTTGGAATTGGAATTGAAGATGTGGTTGTGGCTGGATATATGGTTGGTTATTTTGCTAATGAGATGTCTGATGATGGCGACTCGGTGTATGGCAAACATGACTCTCATTCGAGGCGGTGGTGACCATCACCTATTCGATCAATGGGCCGAGGTATACTGGGAGTATGTATATGTCTGTTGAATGGCAGCATGGAGGGCATGGAGGGGCAACATGGGGTATGACAGGAAAAACAGGGCAAAGAAAATTCAATTAAAAAAATCAGACAAAATAAAATAGATAAACATAGCGACGCCAGAACAGAGAACAAAGGGAGAATGTCGAGCTTGGACTATCAAATTTTAGCACGGCGGCAAGCGCGCTTTGCGCGAAAGGGGGGAAGGAGCGGTTGCAGCGGAAACCCCAGATGAAGTGGAGTTTGGATGGAAAAGGTGGAGGAAAAGGTGGGACCGTGGAACGGGGCACAGGGCAATGGGGAAATAATACCTGATACCTCTGAATAGTCCTGGGGATCTCATGATTGCCCGTATTTAGTTCTGGTCGAATATGTATGTAGGACAGGGATGTTGGAGCAATTCCAAGTCCAAGAGTAAAATCCTATTCATACTATTCATACTATTCATATTATTCAGGTAAACCAGTCCAGTGCCAATGCCATGAAGTACGAAGTATCCGATTCCCCACACCCCCGGGTTCCCTCTAGTTCGGTGACGGTGTGATATTCAGGATTCGATCCGGAGCCCCTGGCCAGTCGGATCGGGCATGTTCGAAAAGAACCACCGTGCTTTGGACGATCAGTCGGGTCCTGGTGACTCTGATCAAACATCGGCTCTGGCCGTGCATTACGTATTGTACATCAGGTGTTTACCACCTTTCTTTTCCACCTTTTTTGTTTTGTTTTGTTTTATTGTTTTTTTCCTTGCCGATGCTACCCGGCTGTCTGGCAGTCTGGCTGCAATAGCAATAAGCTGGCCTCGAGAGTAGTTTCCCGATTGTGGTTCGGCCAGGTCCACGGGATTCGCGCGCACGGACGGAGAGCTTGACGATGGCGAGGCTAAATAGAGATTCTGGTGCCTAGATCCATCACTTGAGCAGCTAGGGACCCGCCCAGCAGACGGGGTCTCCGTTCTCGCCCGCGAAGTGCTCGGTGTTATACGCAAAACAATTCTGTGCCTCTCCGCTCCACCCGGTGAATCACAGTGGAGCTGGAGACAATCAAGCACAGCCTGGACTCGACCCATCGATGACTCCAAGCTGAAGACTAACATGCCAGTGGCTTGCTGTCACCCTCTTTTTTTTTGTTTTTTTTCTTTTTGCGGGGAATCCCTGGGCGTATCACAGCAGTTCCACCCTGCGCTTGATCCGGAATGTGGGAATGCAGCCCAGCGCCTGGAGGTATCCATTTTTTGACTGGAACTAGTGTCGGGTTATTTGTCTGGTGATCATTGTGTTTGTTGCCTGGGCCCGCTTGTGGTTTCTCTCTTCCTTGGACATTGACGATATATAGAGGAGGGTGACCCAGATATGTAGATTGAACTATGAGCAGACCTTCCCCTGAACTTCATTCCATGTTCATACTTCGAACCAACCCAATTACTTGTCTTGAATAACACCCACGGGAAACAACCAGAAAAAAACAAGAACTTCAAGAGGTGCCGCATGAGACAAAAGCATGACAACCTTCTCCTTGGTGGTGCTTCCGCTCCTCGCCTGTGTCTGCGCTATACATTATCGCAAACAACTACTGCAGTGGCTATCAATCCAGCTAGGCTTTGTAAAATCTGCCAACCATGGGTGCTGCGCCACTCAGTCTCCCGATCTCAAGCGCATGGCGCCATACCCAGCGCAGCCCATCAAGGGCCGGGAGCGATACCGCGTCATGATGGACATCCGCAAGCTGGACGTCCAGAACTGGCTCACCATTGACAAGAACTACATGGCCGAGCACCGAGTGCGCTCGCAATTGCTGCACGAGAAAAAGACCCAGGTCCTGCAATGCCTGCCCGAGTCGCTGGATGCGTGCCGCGAGGCGCTGGATGAGGTGGCCGAGTTTCTGTGCCGGCGGTTTCCCTGCATGTTTGAGCGCGCTGGTGATGATGGGCTGCCGTTTATTGAGAATCGCATGACGGGCGAAAGGTTTGCGCTTGGTACACGGGACCCGCAAGAAGAGTTGACGGCTGCTCTGGAGGCGGCCGTGCGGCTTACCATGGAGGATCTTAGTATCCTGTTGATGAACGAGGACGGCGAGTACTATCTGTATGCTGCATGATCCCCAATCGTTTTGTGGGACTTGGCTGATAATGTTATTTCCAGCGCGGCCAGTGCAAGTCTCTTCCCGACGGGGTGGACCGTCGAAGAAAGAATCGGCTGGACGATATCGCGCCTACACGACCCAGTCCCACTATGGCACCAGCATGTAGCCAATTCAGTCAGCAAGTAAGCCAGCCAGCTAACCCCCTAGCAGATACCCCAAATCTTTGCTAAATACCTCCATTCGAACCGAACCAACGTGCTAATTCTCATTTAGATTCCTCGCCCGTCTAACCCCAACCTCCCCAATGGAACGCTCCAACTACTTCATAGAAATCAAACGCCCCAACGAGAACCTTTTTGAAATCTTGTACCGGCCCAACACGCTCTGCGAAAAAGACCTCGACAACCCCTCGCCACAGGAGATCATCATCCGGCGCGAGCGCCAGACGTTCCGCCGGCTGCCGCGCACGGGGGCCATTGTCTTCGGCGTGAAGACGTATCTCACGCCTCTGGACGAGCTGCCGATGCAGGAGCTCGAGAATCTGGCCAAGGAAATGAAGAGTTGGCCCGATTATGTGGGCGAGTATAAGGGGAGGAATGTGTGGGGGCGCAAGGTTTTGGAGTATTGTGCCACGCGCACGAGCTTGGATGTTCTGATGGGAGAAGTGAATGAGAAGGTTGAAGTTTGATATTTGGGGGTTTGGATGTGTCTGGAGCAGGCTTCGATATGGCTGAAAAGCCGGCAGAAGTATATTGACTTGTAGCAGTATGTCTCTCAGCCTTGCCTTTTTTTTTATAACCTTTTGGCATTGGGTCGGGTGCATTTCATGGTGGGAGGCTGTCTGTCTTTTTGCAACTCAAAAGTTTTGTTGTTTTGATGCAATGATGAGATCAAAATTGAGAATCGTTGATGATTGAATGTGACTGTCGTTGAAATGATAGCATGGAGCATAAGAAAAGAAATTGGCCAGCTTGGTATAGTCAAATGACCACAGAAATCTCATCAAAAGTTATCAAGTTATCATTATTCAATGGTGTTGTAGAAGAGTCGGTCTCAAGAATAAGGAGAGTAAGCTCAAGTCTATAGTCAAAATATGTATCAAACGAAGGAAAACAACCGAAAGGAACACGGTCCAAAAGAAAAGGGTATAAAGATCTGTCTAGATCTTAGACAGCGGTGGCTTATCCTGCTTTAATCGCACGACACCCTATAACCATATATCAGCATCTGGTCAATGCAACACAGCAGCCTTGAAAGACATACCTCTTGTGTGCAAGTCGCAATCAACACCCCGTCCTTTGACCAAATCTTCTGAATTGCCAGCCCACGCCCCTCTCCGGCCCACGGACTCTCCATCTCCGTAAGCATCCACTCATCAGCGCGGAACGCCCGCGGATTATGGAAGTAAATCGAGTGGTCCAGGCTGACCATCATGCCCACCTCCTTATGATACTTTTGGTCAGTAGCCTTGCTGAGTGCGCCCTCCAAGCGGCGCCGCAGCTCAGCAGCTTCCTCTTCTTTCAGCTCTTTCAGCGCGCGCGTGAGATCCTCGTCGTCGAGATCGGACGGGTTCTTCAGCGCCCGCAGTAGCTTCTCGAGCTCGGCCGGCGACGAGAACCGCGGGATATCGTGCACGCGCGAGATCGTGCCGATGAAGTAGCTATCGGTGATGTAGGCCAAAGCCGACAGGTGCGCCTGGTAGCCGCCCTCGTCGGAGATATGGCCGCGGGCGCGGACGAAGCGCCGGACCTTCTTCTCTTCGGGGTTGGGAGAGATACCTTTGGCATATTGTCAGTATTCGTCTGAAATCATTTCCTTTTTTTTTGATTTCTTCCAGTATTCCTCGATACATACGGTTCACAATGCCCGCCTTCCTCGCCTCAAACGGTCCCCCGCCCGCATGGCTCAGCGCCTTCATCGTCCCCGGCTTCGCATCCTCCGGCAGAGCCACCACCGGCTTCGACACTGCGTGGTCGATCGTCTTCGCGCCGCCGCTGCCGACCCGGCTAAAACTCAGTGTCGTCGTGAAGATCGGCCGCCCCTGCTGTCGCGCTTGCACGGTGCGGGTTACGAAGCTGCGGCCGTCGCGCACGCGCTCCACATGGTACAGGATTGGGATCTCGGAGTCGCCGGCCAGCACGAAGTAGCAGTGCATACTGTGGACGGCAAAGTCGGCCGGCACGGTCCGCATGGCGGCCGAGAGGGATTGGGCGATGGCGGCGCCGCCATAGATGCCGCGGGCTCCCGGGGGATGCCATAACGGGCGAGTATTAGTGAAGACATCCTGCAGTACAAGAAAGGGATATTAGAAAGACAGGAGATCTTAGGGTTGTTGCGATAAGAAGTCATACTCGGCCGAGGTCCACCACTGGCGTCAGGTCGAGTACATTCTCAATGAGTGCCTTGGAATGATCTTGCTCTGGAGGATCGAAAATCGTCACACGTTTGGCCATCTTGAGCGAAGAGTTGTGCGAGAACAACAAGAGAAAGAAAGAAAACAAAGAAAACAAAGGTTTAATGACTCGCCGAGAATGGCGGTTTCCTGGTGTTTTTGAACCTGCGGTCGGCCCACGCGAACAGCCGAGGTCCAACACTGGCCCCCCCTATACAAGTCACCACTGCAGTTCAGCATTTCAGCATTTCAGCATTATAATTTCTTCTCATGCTATTTCGTTTCATATACATCACATGTGTGCCAGCCACGAACCAAAACAACGCTTGACAGATTATAAATTAAGAAAAAGAAAAATACCATCATCACCATCCCACCCCATCAAACCCGTCCCCGTCCTAAAGGCGTCCGCGGAGGGGCCATGTGTCGATTCCAGGGCTTTTGTGCCGGTTCCATGTTTGTGGGAAGGTCCAGACGGTAGGTATTTTGGATGAGATCCGGGGAGGGCGCCGCGGAGTTGCGTTCCTGTAAAAGCCGAAGCAGCTGGCGGCGCTGCATCTCTTCCTCGCTCAGGAGCGGGGTGCCGTCTTCGGCGCGATGGCCGCGGCTAGGTCCGTATTCGCGGTAGACGAGGAAGGCAGCGATGCCGTAGATCACGGAGAATGCGCTGGGCAGGCCGATGCCGACGACGCGGAGCGCACTGAGCGGGAAGAGATCGCGACCGAGGATATTGAAGAGAACATTGAATAGAGAGAGCAGGTTGATTATCATATAGGGCCTGGGGACTCGTCAGTGGCTGTCGAAGCACAGAAATTCTTCACCGAGGGTGGGGGGTTCCGACATGAAGACCGAACGAAGGAGGAAGAGCTTTCGGTGGCGCTGAGCGATCGCAAGGACCACCGATGCGGAGTATGCGATGGCGATGAAGAACAGGGCGCAGATTGTGCTCGCAGATTTATGGACCAGGAGTTTCTCGTTGGGTTTGTTAAATACCACTGAGAGAATGAGGTAGCTAAAGGGGGTAAACCGGTCAGCGAGAGGTAATTTGTATAGACAGATCCCTGCAGTGAACCAACCCAAGAAGCAGCAGGATGGCACAGAAGCCTGCGAGGAGCTTCCACGCTCTGGAGACTCGACTTGGATTCAAGATCTGGCGAGTCGCCAGTCCATCCGACTCCAATTGAGCGGATTGCATGGCGAACAGAGCATGTCAAGTCAATTCATGTCGGAAGGCAAAAGACAAAGCAGAAAGAAAAACGAAAGAAAAAAAAACGAAAGAATGAAAAAAGGACGACGAGTGGAGTGTGAAGGCAAAAGAGTCAGGAGGGAAGAGGAACCCCCTCTCGAGCCGCAAAGTCCCGTGGGGCCACTCACTTCTCTGCCTGATCACACAGCCTTCCAACACTCGCACATCTTGTGGCTATGGGCCTTCTATCTTACCGGGGACACTATCGGGTCCCTCTTGTGAGTCTACTGGACAGTTTACTGGACAATCTTAGTGAACTGACTCGGATCCTGACAAACCCCTGCCAGCATCATAATCCGATTCTTTCGTTTTGGCCATAAAACAACGCCTTCGGCCCTTGGCAGTTCAGGTCCATTGGCCGACGAAATCTTGCAGTCCAACAGTTAACGGGAAATCCACTGCTCGCCCCCACCGCGCTGTACGCCAAGTGCCACTAGGGATGATCCGAGATGGTTTCCACCGACAGGTTCTTCGTGATCAAATGGAGATCGAAGGCATCGGGGACCTGGAACCTATTTGATCTTAGTGTTCAAATACTTACAGTCATACTCTCTGTCACAAAAACATACAAGAGAGCGCACTCACTGTACTCGGTTGCCGCGCTCCCCGGTGATCTGGCCCCCAGCCGACATCACCAGTGACTTTAGCCTGCGGGACGTGAGTGGATCATGGTGTGCCGCTTCGCGGGGACTACCAACCGGTCTTTATCCGATTCCGTGATGCCGTCGTGGAGTATTACCTGCGATTGAGGATTTCAGTTTCTGAGCGAGCCTTGCTAGCTTGGCTCCACTTATGGACCTATGGACCCCTGCTAACCGTGTGGAGAGGCATGCTGGAGGAAGTAGTTGCATATGACACGCCGAGATTTTTGGGTATTTCTCAAATTCGGGAAATGAGACAAGACAGAAGAGCGAATTGTCTGATTGAGGTTGATTAAACTATATCCTCCACTCAAGGTCCTCATGGACAAAGTCATGATGATCTCATTCATTGCCTCTTCTATCAACCATATCAACAATTTTGTTACTCGAGATCTATGTCTTGCTATTCAGTCTCCAGCCTGTCTCTCCGACGACTGGATGAAATCGCGCGTCTTAAAGGCGTTGGTATTGAGCGCTTCGTCGGGCACGTCGTATCTAGACGCATTAGTTTGTGACGGCGCAAAACCGGAGATGTAACCAACATGTAGCCCTTGCGGAGACGATTCTCTTTTACAAATAGCCCGCCATGCTCTTCGAGCTCCGACATGAACCTAGGTGGGGAAGTTAGCAGTGTCGGTTAGTTACTGTGGGCATCTGCACGCACTCTTTCTTATTGCCCACAGTCGTGTATGGCTTGAATTTGATCTGTGGATTGGTGAGCTTTGACGATTATTTTTGATGGGTTCAAATTACCAGGTACAAAGGCATATTGACTTCCGAGTGTCAAGGCAGGGATAGTATGTAGTTCATTCAGCAGACAGTAATTCGTGTTCAAAATATTCAGCTAGTGATGTTATTTGATTTGCCGCTTACACTGGTCATGATGCTATCATCGCCAACCCTAAGGAAATATGATCCTGCTAAACGAATGGCAAAGCTATGCAGGTGTCAACTTTTCATTTGGAAATAATATGTCCACCGTCTAATTACTGATATAAACATGTCCACTCAATAATAGTCAGCCGACTACAAATAAACAGCCATAATGACCCTCGCTTGCAACCATGATTCAAATTCATCAGCCGTTACTCATCATAACAAACCCCCATACTCAATACTCATATAGTAAACAAACACCAAAAGGACCAAAAACCCAAAGACCAGGTTTAGCTCAAGGTTCGGGTCGCCATGCATGCTGACAGGCACCTTAGTCGGTGGTTGGTTAGACGGCTAAAGTCGAGTTCTGCATATGGCGGATGACGAGGTATACAGAGCCGAGCTCACGCAACTGGTGGAAGCATGTCTTTCCTATATGCCAATATCTGCACACTTAGCATATGACAGGACCCTCGATTCGCACCACGTTTTCGCTTGGACCCTGTTCATGTTGTTGCTCTGCAGGCCAAGAGAATATAGCAGTGATGCTATACAGCTACTAGCGGACGCAGTCAGCCGCCGGGAAATTACAAAACCCTTTGTCATGGTGATTTAGGACGAAGGTGGAGGTGAGTATCCTGAGGTATATAAAGGGGGTAACGGCTGTTATCGAGAAAGGCGTCAGGAATCAAACCAAAGCACCCAGAAACCCAAAGCCAATTCACTTTCTCGATATTAAAAAATCAACAGAAGATGCACATCCTCAGAACCATCCAAGCTCCAGGCAACCCCATGACCAGCACAAAGAGAGAGAGAGAGAGTTAACGTACTTGGGCGGCCTGATCAAAGCTTAGGCAAAGCTTAACGGGAGGGTCTAAGCTCCATGACCCAGGGAGCACGGAAGCGGGCAGTGGAGTCACGGCCCCTGAACCTCGATAGCCTCCCATTTCAGAAACAGCCTTGACAATAAACCATTGGAAACTATCTTGCAGGGACAGGCACCGAGATTCCTTTATGCCTAATATTCCATAGTAGTATACTTTATGGCTTTAGGACGGCGTTCTTGAAACTGGGCCCAGTGGTCTTATCCAGACCCACTAGAGAATCCGGTTGCCTGCGCTGCAGTACCTGACTCGAAATCTGCATCGTGATAACCGTATGCGGATCAAGGGTGTGGATCAGTGGGTTGGTTTACGTACTTCGGATGAATACGTACATAGCCTTGAGGATCGGTACGCCTTTGGTTGGGCTATTGTATACTCCGTCTCGGATTCACACTTTGAGCTCATGTCTGATGGAGACAATAAGCAAGATGCTATAGTTAAATGGCTTGAACAGATCAACCAAGCCTAGATTTATCAGCTTGACAGAACATTGAGATCTAAATCCAAGTACAACTTCAAAATCTTGTATGCATGAGACTATATACATAGGAGGTAAGGGTTAAGGGTTATAAACATGTATCTGGACGTGGGTATCGGCATGCAATATTTGCAAGGAAGATATAGATCTCACTCGGAGATGATCATAAGAGGACATATGTATGGAGGCCACAGGAGATGAGCGGAAGTGAGTACTGGGAGTGTAGAACTGGCTGTGGCCTGGAAGATGCTTTCAGTGAAATGATTATGCAAAAGTATTGAGAAAAGATGTCATAAGAAGATGAGAAATGCTGGCTCCCAGTTACTGGCACAGGGTAAGTTGGGCGCGTGCAATGCATTCATCTGCACTCCAATGCCCGGTATCCCGATTAGACCATTGGGTGTCCACGGGTCCGAGATTTCTCAGATGTTGAGAAAGTCTGTGAGGACGATAGCTACTCAAATAATACTAGCAATCGTCATGCGTGAGTGGACCGAGCTGGTCCGCTGCTCAGTATTATCTGAAGCGGGCGCTTCGGGAGTGACCGCTGCCGATTCCTTGGGTTGAGGTATGGGAGCGGATGGCTGATCATAGGCCCTCTGACGCTGGTCCACAAGAAGATGCTGGACGGTATTCTCGATCCAGTCCCAGCTCAGCCACTCGGGATCCGGCTCCTGAGACGTGCGCTGGCCCTCGGCACCAGAGCCTGCTGTTGGGGGGGACATGGCGCCCAGCTGCGAGCTGGTCTCGCTGCCCTGCCAGACCCAATTGCCGTCGCTGGTGCCCTGCATATCGCCCGATACATAGGCCATCAGTTCCTCGTCGTGGTCCAGATCGCCCAGGTCGGTGCGGCGCATGCGGTCGAGAAGGCTGCGCAAGAAGAATCCCAGGTAGCGCCCGCATGCGGCATTGATGGCTCGGGCATCGCCGATGGCTGCGCCCGCTTGGACGCAGACCAGGGCTGAGGCGAATTCTTGTCTGAAAAGGAGAAGGAGCGCACAGCGCCAGACATGCGTGCAGAGCAGCGTGCCTGCGCAGGATGCGAAGGCGGGCCGCCAGTCGCTCCCTCCAGCAGAAGTGGGATGGATCCGCATAGTGCGTGACAGAATATGGGCAGTGTCGAGCGCCGTGGAGACGCTATAATCCTTTGCCGAGGCGCGCACGGCTTCCGGGCAGAAGGGGGAAATGTTGTGACGGTAGAGCAGGAGGCGGGCGTTTTGGAGATAAATTATCGGGGCGAGCGAGCGTGGGTCGAGGTCTTGGTCGGTCTGTGGATGGGATTGGGCGGGGAAGGTTGCGAGACAAGTATTAAAATGCCGCTCGAAGGTCTCGAGCGTCGCCGGGCTGATAGCAGATGATCGCAGGGTGCGGGTGAGCTGGCCGATGGAGCGGACGACATGGATCGTTGCCAGCAGCGGCGTAGTCTGCGGGCCCTCGGGGATTTTGCTTCCTTCTGTCATATACTGCTCATCCAATGGACACGGCAGGTCGATGTCGCAGTCTTGGTCGTTGATCAAAACCGGCTTTCCCATCTCGAGGGCAAGTAACCTATACAAATGAGCATTTCATCAAGAAGAGTAATCGCAGTCTACCTACCGGTCCCAGGTGTACAAGCCCCACCACAGGCGCTTGCGCATCTCTCCTTCCACGGCAGGCCACGGCCCCGAGTCGATGTGAAGTCCAATTTCTTGGGCCACACGTACTGCCGAGCCGATCCACACCCAGCTAGCCGACTTCGAGTTGACTTCGTATAGAAAGATGCTTGCCAGTAAAGCGGCTCGTGCTCGATCCAGGTTGAAATTGTCCTGCCAGACATCGATAATCCCGCAGGAAATGCGCACATATTTCTTGCCCTCCTCTTCGCGGTTTGGTTCAAGCGTGTGGATGGCACCACATGCGAACACACCAAAAAGCACGGCAGCCCATTCGCTCGAAACGCCCAGCAGCGAGCCCGACCGATAAACCTTCTCGTAATCCGCAACAAAGGAGGGCCAGTGGAGGACCGGAAGTACTAGGTGGATGCAGCTGAAATACTGGGCGAGCAGATGATCAGCTACATTTTTGGAAGAAGTTGCGGCGCATCGCCGGTTACTAGAGACTTGGCACCCTCCTGCTGGTACGGGTTGGGTGCCTTCAGAAGACCACGACCGTAACGGCGCAGGTTTGACCGCACGCCGGACAAGTCTTGGGCAATGGGTGCTTTCAGCCGGCGCGTGGAGCGGTATTCAATTTCGGGAAGCTTAATCACCGGCTGAACAGCAGATTCGTCGACGTCCATCTGATTATCGGGCCGGAGCATGCCCGATCGCAATTGTTGCAGCTGGTGCTTGGTGGTGTGGAGTTGTTTCTCCAAATCCTGGACTTGCTTGATGGATGACATGCGGCGGTTGGTCTCCTTGGTGAACTGGCACTGCACGCCACGGTTCTTACATTCAGAGCAGCTATGCGACTCGGAGGCGTCGCATTTCACTTTACGCTCGCGACATGCATCGCAGCTGGGATCTTTCCTGCGCTGGCGATATGCTCGCTTCTGCTGCAGCTGCCCGGGACTCGGCTGCTGGTGGCCAACGGGGCTGGTTTGGTAGAGGCCCGCGTTCCCCGGCATCGACCCCAGCGGCGGGGCATCGGGCAAGGTACCGCTCTCTGCGGGCGACCCCGAAGCCGAGTCATAGAACCGCGGGTACGGCGACGTTGATGGGCCTGGCGCTGGCGCTGGCAACTGGTGTTGCTGTGCATGCTGGGGCATAGGCTGCAGTAGATGAGCCATGCGCATACCGCTGTCGGGTCTACTTGGCGGCGCCGATAGTAGTGCCCCGGGGGCCGGGGGAATGCGCCCGACGTCACTGACTGCATCGGTGGTAACTCATATGAGCTACTCGGGTGATGGCTCCCCAGCCGGAAAGAAGATGGCTGCATCTTCTTTTTAAAAAGTCAATAGAAGGGACTATTGCCCGTCCGGAAGATACTCCCGACCAGCAACAATGTGAAAATGAAGAAGTCAGAAAGTGATTAGACACCAAAATTCAAAAAGATCCAGTCGAGTCAGGAATTCCACCATTCGCGAGTTGAACAGTGTCATTTGCGGGGACACCGCAGCTCCAATGAAGCCATAGTCGGGGAGGAAAAGACAGTCGGGTTTGGCTGGGATTGGTCGGAAAAGACGGGGGAATGGAAAATAAGAAAAATAAGAAATCCCCAAGCCACGTCTCCAGGTCAATGCAAATGCCGAGGTTGGGCGAATGGACACTGAAGATCCAGGAATCTTGTGAATAGCCGAGAGGGGGAATGAGCCCGGCTGTTCTTGTCCCCTTGAAGAAAAAAAAAAGAAAAAGAAATTCGTGTCCTGGAAGACAAAGGGAGGAAAAGAAAGGAAAAGAAAAAGTGCTGGGTCGAAGGAACCAGATCGACAAGGCAAAGAGAGCGAAGATTCATGGTATTACGATCACCGTTCCCACTCCATCAGGGTCCCATAGTCAAATCAAAGTTCAGATCGCGGAGAATAATGGGAAAAAAGAAATGGAAAATAGAAAATAAAACAAGATTGGATTTAGGAATCTTCAGCCGAACATGACAGCGAGAGGGGCGACTCAAGGATCCAACGAGGCTCAACCATTCATGCTTCACATCTGCTTCCAATCTGCAGGGAAAAAAGGAAATGAGAGCCCAAAATGTGGTCAATTCGGGCTCAGACCTCTGTCGACGCGTCCCGAGATCGGCAGTGGCAGTGTCGATGGATACCTGAAGCAGTTGCTCCCATTGTCAAGGGAGAGGGGGATGAACCAGCTGGACGCCCCGATGTCCACCGGCCCACCACGAGCCTGGTATTTTGGTGAACCTTCCGTTGAGTTTGCTCGATCCGGCGCTGGTTCCCAGACATGCCAGTGTCTGGTACGGTGTCCCTAGCTTCACAATCGGCAGAGTTAGCGGGATCCACTCTGGATGACAAGTGAGGACCATCCACTTCCCAGGGTCGCTGGATGAAATCCAAGAGGGGGGTTGGAATGGACATGAACACTAAAATCAATGAAACCAATGAAGTCAGGAATCATCGAGATGAACTCGTGGTTTTTGAAGATGTGGAATTGATGGAGAGAATCAAAGCTGGGCAGACTTCTGCACCGAACGGTATGAAGATCTCGGCGGCCACCGTGCCGTCCCAAGGCCCCACCGGCAGTCACCGCTTTTGTTTCATCTTTCCTTTCTTTCCTTGTTTTCCCTGCAAAGCTTCAACTGATGATCGACTCGGAAGTCATGCACCGGAGACCACATGGACCGGAATGACCTCCCGGATAAGTGGGCCTGGGAATTTGAAATGCCACTTCTTGTTGGCAAATGGAACTGCCGAGCACTCGCCTACGAGGGCTGTCCCCAGTCGAGAAGCCCCGAGGCTCTCCCGAATCACGCTTTTGGCCCCGGCTTGATTCCTGGATCTCTGAACCCAGATTATGATTGTTGACTGCTGGCTGCTGACTGCTGACTACTGAGGCTGCTCTGCTCTGCTCTGCGCTCTCGCATCCACATCGGGGTGTTGTATCACCGGGGAATGCACGAGAACACATTCCCGAACACGGTTTAATGCCGGAGATTATCTCCTGAGCCACTGCCCTGGGATGGACGGTCACCAGACTATGCAGACTCCTCAGCCCCGTTAGGCTACATCTCCGTTTCGCTTGACTTGATCGCATATCAAAGCAGGAATGAGGGAATGGGCCATGGCTCCCTTGGCACGGATCCATTCCGGTCGGCAATGCAGAAAAAAATTTTGACCAAATCTCTTGAAAAATACATCTATCAAAAAACAAATATACCCGGATTCTTCCCCGCACAAATCGGCTACAGATATTCGGCCCCCCCTCTGCCGCTCGCCTCAAAATCCGGATACCCTGTCGCGCCCTCATTTTTTTTTTTTTTTGGCACCATTGAATTTTAGCGTGGGCTTTAGTTTGGGTCGCTGAACTCAACTGGTTTCCTCGCTTGGACAAGCTGTCTTCCTCGTCTTCGGCAAATACCCATTGCCCTCCCGCTAGGGACGTGCGCCGCTTGCGCAACTGCATAAGCTCTCAGTCCACACACAATTCCGTTAGATTCGAACGGCCGAACCCTCCCCTCGGTTCGCACCGTTGCTTTTTCCTGCTTTCCACTGCTTTGGCTTTGTCTGCATCTGTGCCCAACACTTCCTCGGAACACCCACTTCGTGCATCGTCTATAATTCAGTCTTTTTCTGTTTTCACTTCGTCTTTTGCCCATTGCCCAATGCCCGAATCTTGCCTGTAGCTTAGACCTCACTACTGTATTCCTCCGGAATCCTCCCATCAAAGGTAGTTCATCCCTGACCAAGCCCCATTCCCCATTGTTAAGAATAGATAAAACCCAACTGCCAGGTAGTCACATCCCTGCAGACAGAATAAAAAACATCTCTGAGGAGAGTGATACTCAGCTGCATGAAATATATCTAGTTGTATATTCTAATGCTTTTCTTTTCTATATTTCTATACTCACCAACACCCTGATGTTTGGAGTATATCAATATTTTTACCCTGACCCACAGCGGATCTGAGCGATGAAACACTCACCCGTCAGCCGAGTCCTTCCGATTTGCTCTGCGTGCCATCTGACAACGGCCATGCTTTTAAGGTGAGACTTCCGGGGTGCTCCGGCTGCGGATCAGGGGGGTATCTCGGATTCGTTGCCGGGGGTTGCAAGGCTGTAGGTTTAGTTAGGCTGTGACGTCGATTCATACTGGGACTTAGTCTTAAAATGTAGACATGCGGTGTGCGTAAGTATAGAATGAAGGATTCACGGTATATTGGATTTGATCAACTACAGGCTATATGGTTTTATTACAAGTTAAAGTTTTTGCGTATAATCAAAGTCAATTTGCACCTCTCTTGCCCGTGGGTTTATTATCCCTACTGTTCACCTTATATGTCTGTCCATGGTTATTAGCTCTTCTTCTGTTAATATTTCTCGTGTATATCCATTAACCCGCGAGTTAAACAATATGCTGGCTAATATACGTCCGAATCTAAATACATCCACATATGCCTAGAATAATATACGCGAAACTACCTGATCTATTTTAGATGTATATTTCATATTTTGTATCATTTTTTTCTTGTTTCATATTTAGTGGCAATTTCATGAGATATTTCATGGCATTTCTCATCTTCTTCTCTCATTCATGCTCTCTGGACCTTGTAGGATCAAGCATAGCTCTTAATATTGTGAGCGTTGAAATGCGAGACAGTCTGTACAATGAGATAGCTTTTATGAACTTGGAAGCTATTCATGGATATCATCCTCATAGTTATCGTAGAAACTCATTGCGGTCTGTCCGAGTTCCACTGTATATTTCCAATTCCTAGCGCTAGGGAAGATCTCAAACTCGAAGTGAGCGAAATACTGCTAGGGTGCTGGAGTTGAGAAAAATAAACTGAAATTGTAAGTGAAGTGCACATTCGGCTTTCAAATACAAAGTCTAGCTCAATGGTTTTGATCCCAACAGTTTGAGCAGTCATGGCCTCGGGTGTCGGTTGTAGTCAACGTTGCTAGACCGACTTAGAGTCTGGACCTGCACAGACGCACTCTCTATATTGGATAGCGTGTCTATTTTCACTTAAAGACTTCTATACCAGTACTTCTTTTTCTTGCTGTGAGCTAGCAAGCATGAATTTTTCGGCTTCGGTTCAATATCATTTGATGACCATACTCCTTCAACAAAAGGACATCTTCCACTCGACCAATACAATACATTCGACCAAAGAGCCGGGAGCATTCATGAATACACAAGGTCGGATGTAGTCCTATTGATATCAGACTATTATCATTCCGCTCTCCAGGCACTGAACTCCAGAGAACAAGTGATCATTTGATTTGACAAATCCAGACTGATGAGTGAACATTGTATTCAGTTTAGAGGTGTTTTGATCTTCTCGGATTCTATCCAAGTCGTTCAACAATCGTGTTGACAATCTTGGTCAGCCCTTCCATTTCCTCCTCCACCGTCTGCTCCAGGGCGTTGGGATTGATGCTGCATCCAACATAAACCGGAGCGCGGATCCTTCGAGCCACAATTTTGGCTATGCGTGTCGTGTACTCGATGCTGGAGGGTGTTGTGTAGAGCGTGGTGGAAATGGTTGAGTTTGGAGAGGTACGCTGGACAGTGTTAGTGGGAGATCAAGATTCCTTGAGATGGCCAGAAGATAGGAAAGAAAATCTCTAAAAAGCAAAAAAAAAAAAAAAAAAAAGTCGAAACCTGAACATAAAATGAGAAGAGCAAATAACAAAATGCAAAACAGTATGCGAAGGGCAGGCCAATTCGATATATATGCCGAAATTTCAAGATTCTCCTTAAACAGAAGACCTTACACACTTCGCTGTATACACCTATACACCTTTTGATCCTCTCCGGGATATTGCTCAACAATCGACAAACTTACATCCGGCATGGCATAGACAAAGCTCCCCATCGGTTTAACGGACCCCGCCGAGTCGCCCGGCGTGCTGGTCGCCAAGAAGACCATGGCACATTGACCAAAAGAGGTCAAGTGGATGTGCGCCGTCGTGTGTAAAGCCTTGGGAAGAGGGAACGAGATTTCCTCGGGCTTCAGAGTGGAAGAAGCGGGTTCCGTCTGGGGAAGCGCAGGTGATGTTGCAGTCGCCATAGTTGCTTTTTTTTGTCGACACAAGAACCACTTCAAATACAACAAAGAGTCTCTAGGAGGTGCAAGACGATGTCGTCGGGAGTAGTAGGTGCAGGTTGGAGGTTGAACGATACGATCTCCCCGCCAGACAATCTGCGGCTCCACCAACCCCACCCCAACCTTCTCCCCACCACACACTTGCCCTCCAGATCGACGTTGTTTATATTCACTTCGCACGCTGTAGATTGACCGGAGATGCCATTGTGATGCGAGAGGAGATCTGCGTTCGATCTTAGTTATTCATTTCGCCATGGCATCCGACACCAATCAGCCTCCGCACGAGGATGGCAGCTGGGCTGGTGACTTCGACCCTTTTTCAGATCCCGAGGAGCGAAGGGTTCTTTTTGCTGCATTTGACTCATTTAGGTGAGTGTTGTCACATACATGGGAACATAATTTCTCAAGTGACCAGCTTTGGTACTCCATTGATTGCGTCTCTACGCTTTTTTACTCTACTATTACATGTCTACTAACGAAACCATAGGCAATACCGGCGAACTGCCCATATGAACACTACCCATCGTCGCCGACAGGCGTTCTACGCCCTGCCCTCGGCGCACTGGCAAATGCTGGCAGAGCCACCCTTTTCTATATTGGACAACTTGAATAAGGTCGACGATGCGATCGACACCAACGCCGAGATCGCCGATGCGATTGTAGCTGTGGGCTTAGACTCCTTTGGATTGTCTGCCAATCCGGACCAAGATGACCCCTGTAAATACTGGCATGGAACGGCTACAGCAGGAGACGTGAACAAGGCGCATTCGACGATCCGCCAGTTCTATCGCGACTGGAGCTCCGAGGGAGAAGCGGAGCGCGCAGTATGCTACGATCCTGTGCTCCAGGATCTCCGAAACGAGTTCCAGACGCGACGCGACTCCGGCGAGCAGGTTCGTGTACTCGTCCCTGGTGCCGGTCTGGGGCGATTGGTGTTTGAGATCTGCAGGGCAGGATTTGCCGCCGAAGGGAACGAGATCTCGTATCACCAGCTCTTGGCCAGTAGTTGGGTGCTCAATCACACCGAGGGGCCCGGCCAGCATGCGCTGCATCCGTTTGCGCTGCATTTCTCCAATCTCCATTCGCGCACACAACAACTGCAGCAGGTCCAGATCCCCGACGTACACCCAGGGTTCGCCATGCAACAGGCCGCCGAATCAGGACCTGGTCAGGGCTTCGGGACCATGTCCATGTCCGCGGCAGACTTTGTGGTTCTCTATACACAGCCCACCAACCACGAAACGTTTGACGCGGTAGCCACCGTCTTCTTCATCGACACCGCGCCTAATCTCATCCGATATATCGAGGCAATCCGCAATTGCCTCAAACCCAACGGACTCTGGATCAATGTCGGACCACTGCTCTGGCACTTTGAAGACGGCAACCCCCACAGATCGACCGAGGGGCCAGAGACCGAGGGGGCGGGCATTGGGGAACCGGGCAACGTGGAATTCACTGAAGACGAGGTGTTGTGCCTGGTCGAGCGAATGGGATTCCGCATTGAGGCGCGCGACGGTGATCGGCGGCCGTGCGGCTATATCCAGGACCCAGACAGCATGCTTGGGAATTTTTATTTTCCGTCGCACTGGGTGGCTCGAAAGTCGCTTGGGGCCTAAACAGTCTCCAGAGGGGCCGGAATCACAGCAGAACCAGCGTCGAAAAGGGGGCCTTGATTATTCCCTCCACATGGCCCTTTCGGTTGATTGGGGGCCGAAAAGTGGCTTCGGGACAAAGAAACGCGGATTTGGGTCAGCCCGTCGCGTTCCGTGGTTAGTGGGAGTCGAAGAGGGAAAAAAACATCGCGACTTCCAACACACAAAGAGAAACGTGCAAGTGTGTGTTGTGATATACCAAGCGAACTAGACTCGTGTATTGAGCGATGTATTGAGTCAAGCCACAAGTGTATCTTGTATCCCGCATGAGTTCGACTTCATACCTAAGCAACTTAGCTCGTTGACTCCAGAATTCAGGAATCAAAACAAAAAATAGAACAGAAAATCTCCCCCAAAGTCCAATGGCGCAAGACCGATTCTCTCTTTCTCTCTTCAGCTTGGACCGTTGCTAAGTATAACTTCGATCGTCAGCCTCAAGCCCCAACTCCCTCTCTTACTCTCTCTTTTTCTTTTTCTTTTTCTTTTTCTCCCTTTTTTTCTCTTTATTCTTTGATTCCCTTCTCCTCTCCTATGGACACTCTGGTCTCCGAGGGGTAAAGAAAAAAAAATACAATAAACCTGTGATTCTCTGCTTATTCTTGAATCTCCACCCCGGCACAGCCTGTTTCTCTCGTATCAGCCTCAGCCCCCCTCTTTCTCTCTCTCACTCTCTTCCTTTTCCCTTCTCTCCCTTTAATTCCTCACCCCCCGGTCGCCGCACATGGACCTCATGAGCGCTCGACTCAAGTCTTTTGGCTTCAAAAACAAAAAACAACACACCTCCGGATCCAGCACTTCTCATCCTAATCCCCTGGTCGTCACCCCCTCCAACGGTACATCCCCCAGCTCCCCACCCTCCGGCCACAGTTCGTCCACAACGAGTCTCCCAATGAATCCGCAATCGCAACTCGGTCGCCCCCCGAGTTACTCTATGGGCCGTCCCACGAGTCCGATGGCACAACAATTCAGTCAACACCCGCCCCCACTCAACACCAACATTCACTACTCCCAGCCTGGCGTCACCCAGCTCAACGCACCACCCTACCCGGGGATGCAGCAGCCCATGCAGGGCATCCAACAAACCATGCCTCAGCATCAGCCACAGCCTCAGTACCGCAACCCCGCCATGGAGATTGAGGCCGCCAACCGCAGTAAGGCCCAACTGATCGTCGGTATTGACTTTGGTACCACTTTCTCTGGTGTCGCATTTGCCTTTGCGACCAACAATGAGGCCCGCGAGGACATCATCACCGAGTGGCCGGGTGCCGGTACCCATACTAAGCAAAAGGTAAATTAAACCCTCCTGTAGTTTTCTTGTTTTCTTTCTTTGATGTCTCATCGACGCTAATTTCTCTTGGCTGCCAGATTCCCACTGTCCTCTACTACGACCAGTACCAAAAGGTTGTAGGATGGGGCCCTGACATCGCCGATGCCCTCGCTCCCACTGGATACCCGAAGCCTGGAGTGCAGAAGGTCGAATGGTTCAAGCTCCAGCTGATGCTCTCCGGCAACACGTATATCGACCCCATCAACCTGCCGCCGCTGCCCCCGGGCAAGTCAGAAATCGATGTCGCCGCCGACTATCTTTTCAAGCTGCGACAGGCCATGCGCGCCCAGCTGCAGAAAACCCTGGGAGAGGTGTTCACTCGTGAGGAACGTAACATCCGGTACTACCTCACTGTGCCTGCCATTTGGAACGATGCTGGCAAGGCTGCGACGCGTGCGGCCGCCATCCAGGCTGGTTTCTTGCGCGACGAGAATGACAACCGCCTGACACTAGTCTCGGAGCCTGAGGCGGCTGCCCTATTCTGTGCCAAGACCGGGTTGTTGAATTTGAAGGTCGGTGACGCTATCCTGATCGTGGACTGTGGTGGTGGTACCGTGGATTTGATTGCATACGAGGTCGAGGAGGAGCAACCGTTTAGTGTGATGGAGTGCACGACAGGATCTGGAGACTCGTGTGGTTCAACAGCCCTGAACCGGAATTTCAGCAACATCCTCCGGGCTAAGATTCGCAAGATGAAGCTGCCGGATGGCTCTCGGACAGCGGGGAAGGTCTACGCCAAGTGTATTATGGACTTTGAGAACCGCATCAAGGCCGACTTCCGTAACAACGGTCAAAAGTGGGCCGTGGATGTCGGTATCGAGGCCGACTTCCCCGACGCCGGTATTGAGGAGGGCTACATGACCTTCACCAACGAGGAAATCCTGCAATGCTTCGAGCCTGTCGTTAACCGCATTCTCGAGCTGGTTCGGAACCAGATCATCGCCATCCAGGCCCAGAACCGTCTTCTGCAGGTAAGATGACCCTTTTTCCCCTACTCTTCTCCGATATGTCAAGCTAACGAGATTTGGTAGAATGTCTTGGTCGTCGGAGGATTCGGTGCCTCGGAGTACCTTTTCCAGCAGATCAGACTCCACGTCCCGCCGCAGTACCAGTCGAAGGTGGTTCGCCCCATGGACTCAGTTGCCGCCATTGTCAAGGGTGCCGTCACAGCAGGTATCACGGAGCGGGTGATTACCCACCGTGTTGCTCGTCGCCACTACCTGATGGCTACTCTGCAGCCGTTCAAGGAAGGCTACCACCCGGAACAGTACCGAGTGCCCAGTCTGGATGGGCGGGACCGGTGCAAGTACACGCGCCAGATCTTCGTGCAGAAGGGCGAGCGTGTCAAGATCGGCGAGCCGGTCAAGGTCAGCTTTTTCCGCCAGGTCGCACCCGGTGCCACCCTCATGTACGAGGACGTGCTGTACGCCTGCGACGAGGATGTGTGTCCTGAATACACCAAGGATCCTCGTAAGTGCCAAATACCCTTGTTCAAACAAAGTTGAAGCCATTGCTTACCCACTTTTTCTTCACAGGCATCAAGGAGGTCGTCACCCTCACCTCGGACCTGTCGCGCAAGAACCTTGAGACCGATTTCGAGCGCATGGACACGCCCCAGGGCATCTTCTACCGTGTCTACTTTGACATTTACCTCACCCTGGACGGCAGTGAATTCAGCGCCGAGCTGGTCTGCCAGAACGAAATCATGGGTCGTTGCCGGGCCAAGTTCCGGTAATGGCATGCGTCCAAAGCGAGAGTCACCGAGAATCAAAAACCAAAAATGCACAGTGTGGGGATCCTCTATTCCACCCCGGTCGAGGATCAGAATGGTACGACATATTTGAAGATAAGACGGGCATCACCGGTGAGGTGTTTGCCTGGGCCGTCGACCACTCCCGACTGACTGAACAGCAATACACTGGAGAATGGGCGTTATTTTGATGATTCATGTCGAATCCTTGTCCTGAATACATGCCACAGTGTGCTTTGTTTTCATTTTATTCTGTTTATCCTTTTTTTTTTTTTTTTTTTTTTTGTTGTTGTTGTTTCTTATTATCTGTTTTCTATTTGGCGGATCCCTTTTCTTTCTCTTTTTCCATTTATCTGGTTCTCTTAGATACCTCTGGACTTTTTTTATTGGTTGATTTCAAATGAGATTTACGAGCTGTGTTACCATATTGCACTTGAGGCTGCAGATTGTCCAGGCATAGGTTACTAGGTATACTATGTATGATATCGGCAACCCTGTACATCAATTCTTTCTGGAGATAGAATTCTTTTTGTTAAGACAGACAAGTAAGAGAGGACAACTCAGCTCTCCAGGTTAATACTCCTCCCAAACCGCGCATATAGCGCCACCTTGAGCTGCTGCAGCTCTCCGCGCAGCTCGCCCAGCGAGTCCTCCAACTTCGATACGTCCGAGTCGATCTGCTCTGTGGATGTGGAGAGCATTGACTGTGCGTCGGAAAGGGGGAGTTGGAAGAAAGAATCCCCGATTTTGTAGCTGCGACATGAGCAGATTGTGTTAGCATCATACTTATTCTTTTCTTTTCCCTTTTCATTTTTGTCTCCTTCGTGAGGCCCCCACCTCGAGGCGCTAGAGGTGTCTAGGAAAAGAACTCGAAGTAGGAAGGCAACAGGGGAAAGTGAGCTACTTACGGCACCAGCTCGTCCTCGTCGGCGAGTTCCAGCTCTGTGGAGACTTCCTCGAGGTCTTCCTTGTCTTTCTGTGGAACTGGTCAGTTCCACAGTTGTTTTTAATATAACAAAGATGAAAACAAGAAGGTGAAAGATGTGGCGAGATAATAGCCGGAGAATCACCCAATTGAGTCAAAATGTTGAACATACCTGCTTCGCCTTCAGCTGCTCCTCCAGCACTGTCTCCCGCTGGTGCAGCCGGCTAAACCGATTGATCTTGTCCTGATCTTCGCGACGGACTTCATTCTCGTCGCCTGTGGTGCCTTCGTCATCTTTGGCAAGCTGGATGTTTGGATGTTAGATTTGGGTTGCTCTGCTCTGCTCTTCTCATGTCCCCCTCTGCGTGGGGTTTGTTACGTGGGGGGAGATAGAGAGAGGGGCAGGAGCTGGTGACGGGAAGGGGTTGCTCAAGGCTCGTTACTTACCATGCGCGGCTGCATCATTTTGAAGGCTGTGGGGGTTCAGTGGTTTACAGCACTGGGAACTGGAGGGCTACTGGAGATGACTCGCAATCGCTGGGGTCTGCGGTTGGAGTTGGATGGGTTTGAAGTGTGGTGTGGTCCGTGCGTGGTGGACCACGCGAGATGGATGTTGATGGACTTGTGTCCTTTGGCCAGTAGTAACATTAAGTAATTAATGAAACCATTTTTGCTTGCAATATATTTTCCCTCTGATAAGCCAGATTGGTGGTTCATCTACAGGCGACATGGCTAGAGCAGAACTGTGGAATCTTAGTCTTGACTGTATAGGCAACTCTATACTTGGTGCCGACAGCCAACTATGTGCCATTTGGAGGTGACCGCACTCTATATTAAGTAGCTGCATCGCCCCAACACTACATATATTTATGTTCTTCTTTCCGATTTCTAGAGTAAATTCCAGCCCCGAAGAGGAGAGGAAACCTCCCTATTTCTATGCAGCGGCACTCAGCTTATCCGGCCGAGTTGTTCTATGCAGTCTAGAAGCAAACGAAATGATATTTGACCAAACCCTGAGTGACTATAGAAATATTGCCAAATCCCTTCGCTGTAATTGTTATAAATTCTATTAGTCCTTTGCAATTCCTCCCAGCATGAGTTTACTGGTGGGTGACATCATCCTAGCTGGGGGCCTGGGGAAACAGGCAGAAACTCATCCCCAACTCGCCAGCGGCAGCAGTGCTATCCTTATCTTTCATACTTCTCAGCGCTTGCCGGTGGTGCATCCAGGAACCGCCGTGTTACTAACCTCATCATCGCCGATCAACCCTTGCCTCGACCAACTGGTATCTTCGATAATACCGACTCCGCCTCGTGATCTGCAAGCTGTCCAGCTTCCCTCGCCCTTCCCGCATCGTCCATCGCATCTCCCTCTCCCCTCCCCCAAGCTATAATCCTGCCATTTCCATCATGCGAATAAAATACAGCGACATTCCTCTGTTCCTCTCCGCGCTCTTACCCAGCCTGGCCTCGGCGTCCGGCTTCGACTGCGCCCACATCAACACCGACGGATACAAATACGACCTCAGTCCTCTCAAGGGCGTGCATGAAGTGTACCATGTTGAGGAGACGGAACAATATGTCACAAATACGAGCTATGTGCTGAACATCTGCAACATCCTGAAGGGGTCCGCGATCCGCGGTGATGCCAAGTGCGGGACATCCAAAAACAGTGCGTGCCTCAACCCCAACCCCGATTGATTCCCGCCTCTTCATCTGCTGACTGCATTTCTTTCTGTCTGCTAGTTTGTGGATTTGTACATCGAAATGCCAAGGACGGCCACGGGAGCAGCACGTTCGGCTTCCCCATTGTCGGCCTCGACCATCTCGGCCACGGCTCGAAGGATCCCGAGGTGACGCGGCTGAAGAAGATCGACGCTGATCGTGAGGGCCTGCTTGTGAAACTGGCTGGTGGAGAATACCGCGAGGACTTTGACAAAGGCAAGACCAAGAACGCCGGTGCCACCATCGAGTTCAAGTGCGATCCGGACCGGTCTGGGCTTGAAGGCCTGCACACGACCCTCGAAGACCCCGATCCGGCGAAGCGGCTGCGGCGACGGGCTGGGAACTCTACACAAGGTGACGACGCCAATGCCGGAGACCGCAGCCTCCAGTTCAAGAGCTTCGGTCAAGATGGTGATTCCTACGTGCTGAAGCTGGACTGGCGCACGCGGTACGCCTGTGACGACTACCAGCGTACCAAGGGGAGTGGCGGGTCCGGCCACTGGGGGTTCTTTACGTGGCTGATCATCATGTAAGTGCGGCTACATTTATCCGCAAATCCTGTCTTTGATATTGCTGCGTGTAATCATTTTGCCCAACTCACTAACCCGGGCCTGCATCTAGTGCCTTCCTGTTGACCGCCGCCTACCTCATTTTTGGCTCCTGGCTCAACTACAGCCGCTACGGTGCTCGCGGCTGGGATCTCCTCCCTCACAGCGACATCATCCGCGACATCCCCTACATCTTCCAGGACTGGCTTCGTCATGTGATCAACACCCTGCAAGGGACGGGGACGGGTTCTCGAGGCGGATACAGCGCGGTGTGATAAAAAGCCTTGTCTACGATGTTGTTCTTTTTCTTCGTTGTCGTTTTTTATTTTTGGGGGAAGGGGTATGGCCCGCCTTCCTTTTTCTGGGAAGTATAGCCAGGGTTCTGTAGTTCTAGTACTTGCAGGTCGGCCTGTAACTGTTGATTGGATGCCTTGACGATGCTAGATGCTGGATGCTAGATGCTGGATTCTTGATGATGCTTGGTTGACTGTGGGATGTGCAATATACAGATGCCCTGGTTTCATGCCTGCCCTTTGTGGTTTATATCAATGCCGCAGCTAGCCTGACCCTAGATGGTGTGGAACATAGAAGCCGGACCCCTGACACCTTTCTCGGGGGCAGAACAATAAGCAGGACCCTCTAGGATGCCTATTTATCAATTTTCTGTTTCAAAAAAGAGTCTCTCCAGGCTTTGAGACTGACGCAACTAGCTGCCACTCCAAGGATAGGGATTACAGTTCCTCTTATGTCCTAGGCATTTGGACCACGCCCTTTATGAATCTGGGCCATGTTATTCTAAAATAAGTGAGTATATCTTGGCTGGTCTCTGTAAGAGATTCAAGGATTGAAGGCCTTACGGGTGGTTTAGCAAAAAAAAAATATTTACCTTTAACGGTAGAGTATTATTTCTTTTCTTTGTGGCCTACGATGCAATTTTGGTTCATTCAAAAATACACTCGAATATCGACTAATTCCATTGTAATTAGATGTTAATGGGGATTTTCTATGTATTTATCAATAAACAAGAGACAGATGGTGTTTCCTACGTCTGGACAGGCGATTTCCCAAATAGGAAACCCTACTTACATCCACCAGCGCCTCTCCCGAGTCCCAAGTTACACATCGTTGCACTGCTACTTTACTTATACATAACTTATACATAGTAAACACAGGGGTCAAATCAGTCAACCCGAAAGATATAATCGTAATAATCGTGATAGACACATCAATCTGCCAACACGCAAAGCAAAGTGGAGCCGATAGGCGATTAGATCGCCGACATAGACGAGCACAAAACAACAGAAAAAAGCGGCAAAGCACAAAAGACAGTCGGTGAAGACAAGAGCACAGCATGCAAGATCGTCATCAACCAATCCCCGCAAAGGCCCCCCCGATGGTATGAGACGGGGCGGAGATGGCGTCATCCGGCCTAAATCGTTCTCATACGCAATTTCGTAGAAAAACATGGGGATACCCCTTGGTCCCCCCTGTTGACTGCTCTCTTCTCTGCTTTCCATTCTCCCACAAACCCTCTCCCCCTCTTTCCTTCCTCCTGGATTCTTCATAATCTACACAGCCTGTCCAGCAGTCTAGACCTTCACGGCAAACTGCTTCAGGTGCAAGTAGTCGGCCATGTTGTCGTCGACCGTCTTGCGGATGAGAGCGGCTGCCTTCTCGCCGTACTTCTTCTGCCATTCGGCGTCGAATTCCTCCTCGGTCTTGGCAGGGCGTTTCTGTTATCAAGCACGTTAGCCGACACACTCTTTGGCTGGTTTACTCTCCTCATTTGTCTCTGATTGAGACGTCTCGGACAGCTTAACTTACTTGAGTTCTCGCCTCCAGACCCTTGGACTCGATCGCGTCGTTATGGAACCCACGCCATTTCTCAAATGCCGCCTTCGCAAACGCATGATCTTCCTCCGTGTCCCACCGCAGCATCGCCGGGCTGTACGGCAGGCCAACACTACGGCAAAAGGCTTCAATGGTCGGCGGCGGAGTGTCCAGCATGTCGTCCGCGTCGATCACACAAATCTCGTGGACAGTGGTCTGCCCCGTCGATTCCGCCTCCGCGTTGAGGTCAGGCCGGGACGCCACGCGCGGTCCGACCAGACCCTCGCCGCGCAGGTAGTCAAAGTGACGCCGCAGCTCGTCATACCCGGCCTCGAGGGGATCATAATCATAGAACCCCGTAACCTCGTCCAGAGGCGGGATCGTGCACCGGAAATACGATGGCACGCTGTAGTGCGGGTCGCGGATCAGGAACGCAAAGTGGAACTGCTCCTGGATTGCACGCGGCATCACCGTCGGATTCCTGGGTTCCGCTGGCGTGTCATACGGGTAGGGCTCTTTGCTAGCCCCGTTGGTGTCGCCATGGTGTCCGTTGACGCCGTTGGCGGCCCCGTTGGTCACCGCGCCATTCGAAGTGCCGTTCACTCCGTTGGTGGCTCCGTTGACTGGCGCGGTGGAGTGGCCGTTGACGTGAGCGGTGCCGTTCACGCCATTGGCCGAGTGGTGTCCGTTGAGGGCTTCTTCAGTCCCCACCCCGCGCTTGATGCGTCGCAACGATGGCGCAACACTCGCGGGCTTGCCGCTCGGCGGAAGCAGGTAGTGGTCGATATCCTTGATGAAAACTCTCTTCCCCTGTTTGCACGGTAAGTATCCCCTCGGTGAATCAAGCTCAAGTTACGCGTGACGGAGGTCTAGGACCATCCGGTGCTCTCTCTCGGCCTTTGCCGCCATGTTTTATCAAGTGCACTGGGAAGGAGAACGCTAGGCTTTTGAAGGTCCAGCTTGAAACAGAAGAAAATGAGGGCAATGAACTGGCAGGGGATCTTCCCCCGTGGTCAATCCGTAGCGGAGACCCGGGGAGCATTTACGTCAAAGAAAAAGAACAGAAGGAAAGACGGTTTCGCGGGAAAAAGGGTCGGACCTCAGAAGCTTCACGATCAATCCTCTCCAACACGGTGCTGTAGGTCGACTTGCTGAACCCGCTCTCCAGACGGGCCTGTTCGTCGTGGGCAAACCGACCGGAGAGGCGTTCGGGGCCGTAGTAGAAGGCGTCACCGAACGGCTCATGGACACACTGGATGGTGTCGCGTTGAGTCATGAAGACCTACTAACCGTCAGCGTTCGCTCAGACAGATCTATGAAGGAAATACAAATCAGGAAAATCATTCAGAATTTCATACCCGTTCAAAAGCCGTCGAGCATGCTCGCGGATGCGTAGCTACGAAGATCGGCTTGTCCGACATCCTTGCAGAAATTCTATGCGCCTGCAGAGATTCTCAAGGATTTACAGTAAGAGTTACCCTGCACGAACCACGCGATGCAGGGGGATCAGGAACCGAAGGGGATAAAACGAGAACTCAAAAGGCAATCGTCGATAAACTCGTGGAGATCGAACGGTTCGATCAATGAAAGCTGAGATGATGCAAATATTTCCCCCACGAGCCGTTGAGATTTGGCTCGGTTAAGAAAAAAAATCTGTGATCGACTAGCGGGACAAGCCTTAACAGACAAGGCCCCGGTAGCCTTCAGCGAATGCGAGGGATCCGAGATGAGTTCAGATGGAGCAGCGATGGCGTGAGAGTGGAGGAATCAAAGGGACGGGGGGAGAGAAGAAAGTCTTTTATATGAACAGAGAGGGAAGGAGGAAACCGGCACAGGAGCGCGAACCGGCTTTTTCCTCAAGAGAGCCTCGGGCGGTTGTCGAGGTACCGGCGGTTGATTACCATGGAAAATGCAAAATGCTTATTCAGGGCGTATGTGTCGGACAAAGTCCTTGAAAGATGAGGGGAATAGATTGAGATCTACCTGCGTTTTCCCTGCATTGTACACAGTATGTCGCAGGGCATGAGGACGTGGGTTGCCTCGACCCTCAATTCTAGCAGTAGCTTCAACACTACTAATCGCTGGCAGCCCCGCAGGAACGTTGCTTCTATTTTCTTTTTCCATTTTCACGCATACCCGCGCCTCCATCCCACGGCGGGCGAAAAGTCTAGGGCTCCTGCGATCCAATCGGGAACGCACTGGTGGGCAGCAGGATGGATCGATCTCCATGTCTGGACCTGCCGACTCGGATCGGAGTGTCCACTTGTCCACGGTCTAGTGTTGTCTGAGCTGCCCTTCAAGCTGAGACCATCTCTGCAAGAGTCCGGCCGAAGGCAGATACGAAACAAAACCCGGAGACACGGGAGGGGAAGGGGGGGATTGAGGCATGTTAGTTTCTTTTTCTTTTTTCTTATTGTGCTTTTTTCTTTCGTTTTTCCATCCTCGGCCGAGTTCCCCTCTGGTGGAGGTCTGATCCCGGGTTGCGACGGGAGCTCGAAACGAACTCTCCATTCTCATTGCTCTGGGCTTGTCCCGCTTGACGTCATGAACTGGGCTCTGGGATAATTTCCGTCGGCTAACGTGGGAAACACGGATAAGATGGCATGACCAGAGACATGCTACAATTGGGGAGAGAAAGTCTTCATGATCGTGGAGATCAGATGGCTTGGTCCTTAGGCAGGCGTCAGTCGCACTGGGTCATACTGTACTTCCAAGTCTCACCGATCTGGATTTCCCCGAGACTCTTCCTAAATCATGACTCCACCACATGGGTCACCGCACGCAACGCGGTGTGCAACCCGCCAATGAAGGGCATTGGATCAGGATTGCATTCACGAGTCCACCAGCAATGTGGAGGAAGAAAGCTCGGGATGTTCCACGGTTTCCTGTTTTGCGCGATTTAAATCTGAGTCAGGGCTGAGTCATCAAATTTATCATGTGATCGTAACTCAATCCAAAATAGATCGATACACGTGACTTTGAATCAGTACGTGTCATGTGACGAAGAGCCCCGCAGCTTCTGGAAGGCGGTGGAAGCGTCTCGTGGCGTCATGCATTGGGAAGCAGCTTCGGGCATCGCAGCCGTCGCGAGTATATGAGCCCACTTGCATCATTGACGGGCCTCGTCTCATTTCCTTGTTTTGTACTCATCACAACCCTCCTACCTTCTCTCTCACTTTTTTTTTTTATCCCTCTAAACAATTTCTACCGATAAACCTCGACTGATCTCTCAACCCCACCCTTCCGTTCAACATGAACGGCACACAGTTCACAGACCGGGCCAACAAGGCTTTGCTGGACTCCAGCGGCCTGGCCGAACAATACGCACACTCTCAAATCCTCCCTATTCATCTAGCCGTCTCACTTCTCAACCCTGCCCCGGACGACTCGGAAGACGGGCAGCCTGCCGGCCACCCCTCACACGATGGCGCGTCGATGCCGCTTTTCCGCCAGGTTGTCGAGAAAGCTCATGGTGATCCTCAGCTTCTTGACCGATCCTTGATGAAGCTGCTGGTCCGCCTGCCGAGTCAAGACCCTCCTCCGGAAACCGTCAGCGTCTCTCCTCAGCTCGCCAAAGTCATCCGCGCCGCTACCGACCTGTCCAAGACTCAGAAGGACAGCTTCGTTGCCGTGGACCACTTGATCCAATCGATGGCCCAAGATCAACAGGTCCAGCGCGCTCTAGCGGATGCCAACATTCCTAATATCAAATTGATCGACACTGCGGTTCAGCAAATCCGAGGCACGCGACGAGTCGACTCCAAGACGGCCGACTCGGACAGCGAGAACGAGAACTTGAAGAAATTCACCATCGACATGACCTCCTTGGCTCGCGAGGGTAAAATTGACCCCGTCATTGGCCGAGAGGAAGAGATTCGCCGAGTGATCCGCATCCTGAGTCGGCGAACCAAGAACAACCCCGTCCTCATTGGTGAACCTGGTGTGGGTAAGACCACCATTGTCGAAGGTCTTGCCCGCCGCATCGTGAACGCCGATATCCCCGCCAACCTGGCTCAGTGTCGTCTGCTCTCTCTCGATGTCGGCTCGCTGGTTGCTGGCAGCAAATATCGCGGCGAGTTCGAAGAACGCATGAAGGGTGTCCTGAAGGAAATTGAAGATTCCAAGGATACCATTGTTTTGTTTGTTGACGAAATCCACTTGCTCATGGGTGCGGGATCCAGCGGCGAAGGTGGCATGGATGCCGCCAACCTTCTCAAGCCTATGCTGGCCCGCGGCCAGTTGCATTGCATCGGTGCCACGACACTTGGCGAGTACCGCAAATACATTGAAAAGGACCAGGCCTTTGAGCGCCGATTCCAGCAGGTTCTTGTCAAGGAGCCGTCGGTTTCGGAAACCATCTCCATTCTTCGTGGACTTAAAGAAAAATACGAAGTCCACCACGGTGTCAACATTCTGGATGGCGCTATCGTCACCGCCGCCACCCTTGCATCTCGCTACCTGACAGGCCGTCGACTTCCCGATTCTGCGGTTGATCTGATTGACGAAGCCGCTGCCGCTGTTCGTGTCACTCGGGAGTCTGAACCCGAGGCTCTCGACACTTTGGAACGAAAACTGCGACAGCTTCAGATCGAAATTCATGCTTTGGAGCGCGAGCAAGACGAGGCGTCCAAAACTCGCTTGGAGGCCGCCAAGCAGGAAGCAGCCAACGTCACCGAAGAGCTACGACCCATGCGCGAAAAGTACGAGAGCGAAAAGCAGCGCAGCAAGGAAGTGCAGGACGCCAAGATCAAGCTTGACTCCCTCAAGGTCAAGCGAGACGAGGCGGAGCGCATGGGCGACACGCAGACAGCTGCTGACCTTGAATACTACGCCATCCCAGAGACCAAGACCCTCATTGAGCGACTGGAAGCCGACCGGGCCAAGGCCGATGCCGAACGTCGCGCTAACCAGGGCGACACTGGTGAGGCTTTACTTGCCGACGCGGTTGGCCCTGACCAAATCAATGAGATCGTCGCTCGCTGGACCGGCATTCCTGTCACACGACTCAAGACTACCGAAAAGGACAAGCTGCTCAACATGGAAAAGTATCTGGGTAAGCTCGTCGTCGGCCAAAAGGAGGCTGTTGTCTCTGTCTCCAATGCCATCCGTCTGCAACGTTCCGGTCTCAGCAATCCCAATTCTCCCCCAGCTTCCTGTTCTGTGGTCCTTCTGGCACGGGTAAGACTCTGCTCACCAAGGCGCTGGCCGAGTTCCTCTTCGATGACTCCAAGGCAATGATCCGCTTCGACATGTCCGAGTACCAAGAGCGCCACTCGCTGAGCCGGATGATTGGTGCTCCGCCAGGCTACGTCGGCCACGACGCCGGTGGCCAGCTAACAGAGAGCCTGCGGCGCCGCCCCTTCTCGATCCTGCTGTTCGACGAGGTCGAAAAAGCCGCCAAGGAGGTGCTGACTGTTCTCCTGCAATTGATGGATGACGGCCGCATCACCGACGGCCAGGGCCGAATTGTCGACGCGAAGAACTGCATCGTCGTCATGACCTCCAACCTGGGCGCCGAATACCTGGCCCGGCCCACGACCCGAGACGGCCACATCGACCCGCAGACCCGGGAGCTCGTCATGGGCGCACTCCGCGATTACTTCCTGCCGGAATTCCTCAACCGAATATCCAGCACCGTCATCTTCAACCGTCTCACTAAGAGGGAGATCCGCAAGATTGTTGACCTGCGCCTCGCCGAAGTGCAGAAGCGGCTTGATCATAACGGTCGCAACGTCCTCATTCAGTGCACCGAGGAGGTCAAGGATTATCTCGGTGCTGCGGGCTACTCCCCTGCTTACGGTGCTCGGCCACTGGCTCGTCTTATCGAAAGTGAGGTTCTCAACCGCCTGGCGGTGCTTATTCTGCGCGGCAGCATCAAGGACGGTGAGCCTGCGCGGGTTGTTCTTCGCGACGGACGCATCGATGTCCTTCCCAACCACGACCTCGACTCCAGCAGCGACGATGAAGATGAAGCCATGGTGGACTCGGACGATGCGGTTGCCGAGATGGAGGATGGTAGTGGCGATATGGATCTGTACGAGGAGTAAATGACTCCTGTGCAGTGATGAAATGGAACAAGTAAACAAAAAGGGGGGCGTTCATTTTGAACATACCGAACACGACATGATGATCATGATTGTTTTCTTCTGCTTTCTTTGGCATGGCGTTGGATGCTTTGATGACATTTGCATTTGTGTTCTTTCAATCTTCTTAGACTTGCTTCTCTCTGGTTTATGGGAGGCCAGTTCAATCCTGTCAATTAATTACAGATAGCACAAATGTGACCTTGAGCCTTGGGCCCTCGGTACCTGCATATTCTACATCCCAATTGAACTGTAGCACTTAACAATAGACAGTATCGCCATGAACCACCAGTCATTCCCAGTTTAGTCTCTAGAATCCCTCTGCTTCAATCAGTCAACCGGAGTTTTCTCCCCCCCCCCCCCCCCCCCCTTCCCTTTCTCAGGGTGGACACTTCCTGTAAAGGACAGCCACTTGTTCAATCCAAGTTTTGATATCGGGTGCATCATCCAGGGTGAGCAGAGAGTACTCCGGGCAACCAGGCAGAACGGTGACCCCGGTAAACGCATGGTCCGGTGCAAAGAGAATCAGATGGCCATACAAGCGTGAGATTCCCATTAGCCTCCACCGCGACGGCGTAGTACTCTTCAGGCTGGATGTGGATGTTGTGAAGGCTGGGGGCTATTTGTGTTGCCGAGCCTCTATTTTAGTGTTCAAAAAACCAGTTGAAATGGGGTTTGTCAATCCCAGCCTCCAAGCCTTGATTCATACAACGATAACGCATGAATAAATTTATATTATGAGTACATCTAGTAGATTAAATATGAAGCTCAATTATACCTCATTCACAGCTAAGTTGATAGTATTTATTCTGTTATCTCATTATATAAAAAGCGTAACCCTTCGGTTCTGTTCATCTTCTCTTATTCTGACATCTCTCATTCGAACCCTTCACGCAAGACCAAGAAAACTGGACGCGGGTGCTAGTCTTGGAGTCGACATAGATGCTGAAACCATCATGCAATCTCCCTGGGACTGAGATTTCCTGCGACCAGCGAATCATTTCGCTTTGACATCGTTAGCCAAATCGAGTGCGAAGATTTCCTAAAGTGGCGATGAGATCTTACCTGCTGCGGTTGCAGTTGGAGCGGGAGTATACGCTGCTTGCGTCGCCCCATGCTTAGCTGGCCAGGATAACAAGTTACTCATGTCCGCAGTCCATGAAGCAATCGGATATCTTTTCGTCAGTTGGCTCAAAGCAGCAGTCTCCTCAGGGGTGGCCTTTTTGTTTTCAGTTGCCGAGGAGTATCTGATAGACATGACATTCGATGCGTGGTTCAACCGGGATGGAACATAGCTTTCCATGAAACTTGAATACGCAGGCGCCCATCCACCTTGTGGAGCCAGTCCCGGACAGTCACTGTTAGGAGGACCATCAAACTCATCGCGTAGGTATTTGTAGATGCGTGCGTTGGTTGTCTTGAACTTGGTGTAGACATCTTCCATGTTCAGCATATCATAGACCATCGCAACGTGGTAGAGTCCCTTGATCTTTTCTTTGAGCTTTCCACGCTGAGAAAGCTCTCCGCCGAACATCTGTTTGAAAAAAATAAATAAATTAGAAATCAAATCGCGAGCTGAAAGGCATCCTATCCCAATAGAAGACCTTTGACGTACATTGCCCTTCCAATCGTTGACCAAATTATCGAGTACGATAAATTCCGGGTGATCCCAGCTAGGGAGCTTGATTTTGATGTCAGAAAGACCAGTGCCACTGGAGAACAATCTTTTGCTTGATGGAAAAGGATACCTGATTAAAGAGATCTTGTGCCAAGTTGTCATCAGAGCCTGGGGGGAATAACTTGTCGTTGAGGTCTTCACAGGAGATTTTGTTGTTCTCGATCAGCGAAACCAGGAAAGCCGGCAAAATTTGCAATTCGTCTTTTTAATTGTGATTGACTGTTAGCAATAACTCTTTTCGTGTTGTGGTCCCCCAGCCTGATTGGAATACTCACAGACATGCTCAGTAGTCACGTATGGAGGATTATTTGTTCCCATCGCGCCGTATTTGCTCTTCTTCTCATCGAAATGTGTTTTTTTAGTTAATTTATCCCAGTCGGGGAATACAGTCAACTCCGGGACAGCGCATTGGTCCTCCTTGAGTGGGACGATATATGCGCCTTTCAATTGATCCCTGAAGGTATCCAAGATTGTGCCGGGACCTGGGTGCGGTGGGTACGACACCCCGTTGTCATTTCTCAACCTCAGCTTGCACGAGCCGAAATCTCGCCAGCCTTTTTCCCGCCTGCCGCCTCGTCGCACCAAAGTGCCGGGCCCTCGGCTGTTATCGACCGCGCGCTTGCTATCCGCAGTTTGTACGGGGAACAGATAGCAATCTCCGTCTGATGCTGCCTCCCCCGGGGCTTCACTGCTCCCGGGGCAGGCATGTCACTACCACTGCAGGCGGTAATCATAGAGCATGCTGGGGTGGTAAAGGTCGCGGTGGTCATTCCAGCATTGTTGACGCCATAGCTGGTGGACGGAGTGCAAGAAGAGGTTTCCGTGATTGTGCACGAAGGCACAGAGGAGCCATACGAGGTTGTGACCAAGTAGACGAAAACCCCTAGGGGGCTGAGAGACCTCATATTAGAGGTTTGTTAGAGTTCGTTCAGTAAGAAAGAATTAGAAGATAGATCAGAGAAGATTAAGACTAGCAGTACAGTGAAAGAAACGCGGCTCCCAAAGGAATCTTTGAATCATTAAATAACAAAAAAGTAAAATGAAATGAAAAATAAAGAAAAGGAGAAAATGCCGAGGACATGAATCGCAACGAGGCGTGAGGGCGGGATGATAGGGAGATGGATTTAGTTCCCTAGAGTCAGACCCACAGTTTCAGTTGTTGATCCTCCATATAAATACGGACTTTCTTATATTCGCAAATTCTATTCTTCTTTGTCTTCTTACTCCATGAATTCACTAAAAGAATCAACAAAGTAGTAAAGGGTCTTCTGTAGCTAATTCGCTTTTTTCTAATATCGATATTTTTTTTTAAACCCTTTTCATATGATCAAAGATAGCTATAAGGCTGTCTACTTTTTTACTTGTCAAGTATTTTACTGTCTTTTTGTATTCTATGTAGAATTTAATTTATGGAGTTCTAAATCATTCGAATTATAAACAAAAAATTGTCGTAAATTAAGATAACGAACCTAGCGAATAATTTTTTTTTGAACTTACTAAAGGGAATATTACCCATAATCTTAGCTATTCTAAATAGCTAGCCATAGATTGTAGTGTGAAGTTAATGCCATAAAACGTTCGTTTTCGCGGTTGGCTGCTTTTTACACCTATATAAGGCGACTCCCAGTATAATCGATGGGTTTTATTTTAGTTGGTACATGGTAAAGAAGATACAGAATAAAAATTCGCGTATCTATCGTAAAGCGCGTATTCATGTGGAGAACGACCAGCCGAAAGGGCTATGGCCGATCCGAGGGAACGGCTATAAGAACGGCTATGTATAAAAAAATGTGGATTGCAAGGCCGCAGCCTCGCCTTTCATAAGTTTGGGATCAAAGCGAGATTTACATCAGAGCGCCAGCGTGATACTATAAATAAGTGGGGCTCTACCACACTACGAGTCAGGGCTTGATTCAGCCTCCTGTTAACCGCAGTGCTCTCCACCTTCCAACCCATTCCCGATGGAATCCTTTACTTCCCATCTCCTTGAATTACCTCCTGAGATCCTCGAAGCCGTTCTCTTGGCCCTTCCTCCATCCTCGTCAAGACTTGCCGCTGTCTCCTGCGTGTGCCGCAGGTTGCACTTTGTGTCTATTCCTCTGTTGTACCGATCGGTGGCTCTTCGTAGCCCCGAACACGGAAAGCAATTTTGTTGGACAGTGCGCCATGGCGCAGATGTGATTCCTCATGTGCGGGAGCTACAGATTCATTATCATGAGACGGATGATGAGTCGGATGACTGTCCAGAGGATCTCTATCCGGTCTTCACACAGCTGGTGAACCTGGAGTCGCTAGTGGTGAGGAGTGACTGGTTCGACCCCAAAACTGCTTCAAGAACCAGTCTTATATCCGGCCCCCAAGAAGTTCTCCCCAATCTTCGCTGTTGTAAGTATACGGCTCCACTGGCGTATCCCACGTATTTTAATCGCCGGGGCTAATATTGACAGGCAATTTGGGCTATGACTACTACTGCGATGGCTTTTGGGCACTAGATCCCTATCAAGCTCTCTTCTATCATTCCGGTCTACGCAAATTTGCCATTACTGGAGCTAAAGTGCAGGCAAGATGGCAGTATCTGCCGACACAAAAGGCAGCTCCCCGCTCGACTCAACTGGAAGAGCTCCAGTTTCTGAACTGCGACATTCCATCGTTTGAATTACAAGAAATGCTCCAATATCCACGTGCACTTAAGCATTTTACCCTCAAAGGAGAGACACCGATCCAAGGCTCTCATGGTCCTAGGATCGGCGAGCCGGACCGTATGAATTACATCAACGCCCTACACCCGCATTCCTCGTCGTTAGAGACTCTTGATCTGGATCTCTATCGTGAATGGGAATGGCCCGTCAAGTTACATGGTTTCACCGCTTTGAAGCAGCTTACCATCACGCCGAGAATGTTGATCGGTGATGATCCCGAAGGCCGCCCCAGGGCTGCTGCCGTGCCTCGGTGGGAAGACGTCCTCCCATCTGGTTTAGAAAAACTTGTATTTCGCAACGATGAGCCTGAGTTACCGCTTCTCGGAATCTATGAGACGGTTCGCGATGGATTTCTTCCCCATCTACGCTTATTCACCTGCGAGGTCCCCTCCAATCGCACGGATGACTCCATGGTTCGAGCGTATGAATGCACAGATGGAATTCCTTCTGCTCAAGCTTTTGCTAGGCTGGGTGTCCAGTTCTCACTTGTCCAGGTGCCTGATTCAACCGAAATGCCAGAGAACAAGGCATATCCATGTCAGTGCTGGATTTATAGGCATCGACCTGACGACAAGTATGCATGGTAATTACATATTCTATCTGAACCAGGATACCATTTCAATTGACAGTTCTTGGGGTGAAATAACGGTGTTTATTTAACGATTCCCTGATTTTATGCCCATTTCCAGGTCTTGATTTTCCCAACGGTTAATTATACTTTGTCTTCCTTTCCAAAAGCTCGGCATATTAGAAGACGTGAAACTTGAAGAGGAGAACAAGGATGCCCCTATTAACCAAATACCCCACGTAGGGGGGTTTGTGATTTTACACGAACTTATGCATGCGACAACCTCTGGAATCGATCATAGTAAGTGAACATCCTAGCCCGTATCGCAAGTGTCGATTATACCCTAACATCTTCTAGTCTGGGATCAGAGCTGGGATGATGGATGTGGTCATAAATGGGGATATGGATGGGGAAACTGCGTGGAGATGGCTCACATGGGCGGGGCAAGGTGGATTGCTGATACATATTCTTTGTTTGCATTGTCAATGTGGCTCTATGTCAACATTGACTGGGCTGGGCCTGACGGGAAATAAATCCTTTGCCAAGGTTTTTGATAGCGTGGTCTTGCTTCAGCATAACATCGGGATTCCACAGACTCATTGGAAAGGAAAAGATATCCACATTGTAGAAAGCTAAAATCCATACTGCTGAAAGCACGTCGTGCTGCTTTACAAAGATCGCATGCACTTGTGATGCTAAGATAAAAATTGTTTATATATATAGGGACGCAGACGCGATCAGGGTAAATCTTTAGGGCTTCAAGGAGTTCTTCACACAAGGTCGCAAATTTCTAGGGCTCGAGCGAGCCGTGAGCGCTCTGCCGCACAGACTCGAGACCAGGCTCCATGGCAGATAGAAGCTAGTATGCAGGAGGATTAAGTTGGGGCTACGGTGAAGTAATGGTCATGATAAACAATAACATTTGGCATAACTCTAAACTCTCCTAGCCCGCCCCTGGGGCCATCGAGAGCCCGGTAGGATTCTCAGAAGGGGTCTGAAACTGGGTATGAGACACTTCTCTTTCTCTTTCTCTTTATTGCCAGTGGGTAACCATATATTCAATATAGTCGGTCAGGAGAAACGCCAAATTTTCGCTCTAGCACGGTGATGTTTTGGTTCCAAGCGCTTTGGGCTCCTTTGTAGACATTTATAACTCAGAAAATTATATGTTGTACACATAGATCAAAAGTGAATATATTCGAAAACGTGGTTTCTGGTCGGGAATGGGATTGTAGCGAGTATCCCGCAAGGTGTGGGGGCCCGGGGCATAACTATAGCGACCATAGAGAGAGAAAAGGTTACAAGGTCATTATTGCAAGAATACCCCGTGCAACACTTAGAGATGCGTTTTGACAAACTTGCGACGTATCGCTGCCCAAAAACTTGGACCCCAAGTACATATCGAAGGTGCACTCCCCCCACTATGTCGATAAAGAGGGGCCACTAGTCAAGTTGCCCGGCCCTATTGTCCAGGAGGGCCGGCCCCATTTGCACCAACATGGCCCAAGAAATAAAGGGAATGGGTCCGACAATCGAACAATCGATTAAGCACCGAAATCTTCCTCAAATATCTTTCTGGCCTAAATTCTATGGTGTCATTGGCTCTATGATCATGGTCAGCCTGGGCCGGAAACTACAGCAGAGACCCAGTCTGTGGATACTATATCTGCTGAGCATTTGGGTGCTTGGGACACAAGCCAACTTTGTCGATGTGAATTCCTGCAGCAATTGGCGGCAATACAGCGATACGCGGGGAAACATAAGAAGCTATGGCAACAAATTGACTCAAGTCGAGAGCGCAGTCAGCGAGACTGCTAAAATGACGACCGAAGCCAGCCAGGCGATTGCCGCCGTCAAGGCCAAAAGAGCTGGATTTTTTGACCGGATGAGAACCCTCATGCTTTTCTTTGCTCTCTTCGGTGACGCTGGAGGACAGCAAGCTTGGGATGATGCTTACAGTACGCTTCTGTCCGATCTGGTCACTTCGCCTTGCAAAAGAAAAAGTCTGACAACCTTCGAGGTAAAACTCAACAATTGCAGCAATTTTTTGCAAATCGTCATTCTAGTCGAACGCCCCAAATATACTGCGGAGATGCTCATCTCGAGCTATTTCATATCCTTAAGGTTAAGGGTAAAAAGTATACGGTCAAAAACATCCCTAAGGGAGGCGAACGAGATGTGGTTGGCTTCAGATTTAGGGGTAAGTTGATTCCCTGACCTTGTTTTATTCATCCACTGGTTTATGCTAGGGCCCAAGAGGAATATTAGTATATTGATACCTATCTGCTTGAATTACAGATCCAATCCTCGCACGAGACCCTAATGCGAACCGGTGGTGGCCCGAAAATGAGCGACCTTGTGAACCCAGCGATGATCATTTTGCCTTGGGCGCTGACTTCAAATATGTGATTTTGTGCCATAAAGCACTGGAGCAGAACGGTGTGACGATTGCGTAGGGTTAATTGGGCTAGTTCCCGATATGCGACGTCGAGGAGGCGGTACCTAGAGCACTGGGCATACTTTACAAGCTACAGCGTGCTCCACGAGTTTATCCACAACCTTTTTCACCGTGAGTTTCGCCTAATGGCCTGAGAATATCACTATCGCTGACAGCGGCTTCTTTTCATAGTGCGTGATATTTCCCTGAGACGCCCCGCCTTCAGCCATTACAAGAATCGATGGCATCGTCTAGCCTACAAGTTCTATGCTGCAGTTGCGTTGTTATCTCAAAAACCGTCCGAAGTTGACATCAATGTTGATACCCTGGGAATGTTCATATTAGGTGAGTGGAAGCCCAGTTTGACACGATCCACCCGACACTATGGGTATAACTAATTGTTAATGATCTAAAGGACTTTTTATGAAGGCCTGTAGTTGGAGCGAGGGAACAGCTGAAAGTGCAGCACAAATTGAAGCCCAATGCCAATGATATCTGATGTTGTATACGAATATTTGTTTTCGTATTGAGGAATCTAGGTTTAGATCGCCTATGTGTCAATTGAGATCTATTTGATGTGATTTCATGAGATGACTACAATAGCGCTAAGTCAGGTATAAGCAAAACAGAATATACATATAACACGGCGGGCCAATTAAGACTCATTCTGCTGCTAATCCTGGGCCTGGGACTTGGCTTAGAAGGGTTCAAGTACTCTTTCAACGTATCCACAGTGCCACGGCTCCCCTATTTGAAGGGTTGTGGGCAACATGGCTGTTGGGCCGGTAGCTGCTTGTGATGAACTCTCCGATAGTCACAGGAATGCTATGATCTGGCTTATAAAAATTTCTCTCGAGTTTGCCTACAAAGGCTTTAGTATGCAACTTTGGTAAGATAGACTGAAGGTATCGGTTTGGGATCTTCGGAAGTTAGACAATCCACGAGGCGTATCAGAAGGTCTCATAAAAACCTCTAGGTCGTTCTACAAACTACTAGAGGAAGCTGGGGCCGTATACCATAAGCTGGCAACTCGAGCCATGCATTTGTTCCCTTTCTTTTAGCAATAGACTGGAGATATTGACTTTGTCTTCGCATGGTATCTTGAAATAAGATCTCAATTGATGCTTTATATGAATTCGCATACCGCTAAATAACAATACAAAAAGCGCGTTTTGCCTGACTCGGGTCACTCGTCGAGAATGGCACTTATAACCGTCCAGTCATCGGGGGGAGAGGTCTTGCCTTTGGTATCACGCTTCAAAAAACACCTATGGAAATGGTCGGAATCCCCGGGTGCCTCTTTGTCCCATGATACCCCTGAGCACTTGATCCTGCTTCCTGATTTATTCCAGTATAGACACCGGCTGACGCAGTCGTCCAGCGACGTCTCGTGAAACTTATCCGTTTCGATGGTGCTGTCGGCGCAAGCTTGTCCCGTGCACAAGTCAGTGTCGCATAGAGCAACATACGAGGTTTTGTGTAGGGTGAATCTTTTTTCGTTGGAGGCAGGGCAATCGACGTGATTGGGGGTGGGTGTTGGGGTGGATGTGGATGTGGTCGATGGGGATGTCGATGTCAAAGAGGAAGATGCTTTGTCCGAGGATTGATTTGAGTTCGGGGAAGAAGTGGAGTCACTGAAAATAGAGACTGGGGTCAGCTTCCCGTTCACTTCTAATGATACAGATGCGCCTGTGATATAAACCAGCAAAAGACTCACCTCGAGTTGTTATTCCTCGTCGCGAGTGAACCACCCACACCTCCCGCAATGGCAGCCGCGACAACAACCATCGCAACAATAACCCCAATCCAAAAGTACCGCGCCCGAATCCCGCATATTGTTTTCGGGGAAGACTTTTCCTGTCCAGGGGCCACAATCGATCTCCCACAGGCTGGCGGCATTGGCCCCTGAATATTTTCAGCAGAATAGGGGCGGGTATTGCGCTGGCGTCCGGCCCCGGCAACCATCAGGCCATCAGGGACGACGACCTCCAGCCCCGGCTGGGCGGGCGGATTTGGTTTAAAGTCGAGTGGTCCCATCGCAAGAAGAGATGGAGGGCAATCGTTGAGGAGATTGATCCATAGAATAGGGGAATGCGATGCGATGTTAAATCGCATGCGATGGGGAAATCCTCCCCCCTTTTAGCAGAGGGAGGAAGAGGGAAAGTAAAGCTTGGCAGGTTGCGTGCCAGCAGCAAGCTCTTCGTCTCAACTATTCATGTCGCAGGCTGCTCATTGGACGTTGCCCGGCGCTGGTCTGTGTAACTGTATCGTCTAGTTGGCCCAGCACGAATCAGAGACGCCCGAGAAGTGCGCTAAATCATTGTGGATCCCAGTGTTAGATGGTTGCTGCGGTTATCCCTCCCGAGGGTCCAAGTCAATCTAGGGTTTGGTGATGTCTCGCGGGTTGAGGGTTGGGCTACAATCTGCAGGAAAATATTCCAAGGTTGCTGAAATGTAACCCGTTTCCTTGCAGATTTGAGGCAAAGAATCCATACTAACTGGGCCAGGGATGGATCAGCACTAAGGACATATCTTCCCCGGTTGCCTTGTTTAGGGTTTTAGGGTTTGGGTCGCCCACGAGGCTGATACCCATCGATCTAGTTGGAATTCTGTTATTCATAGTTCTGGGTCTGACCCGCAATCCTGTGAACGTTGCCAAATATAACATCCAACGCATAGTCGATCATTTAATTTCGAATGTTTTTCTCCCTCCACCACCGCGCAATCTCTCCCGTCTGCAAAAACTCCACCTGCCCCCCTCTCTCCCACTCCTTCAGCCATCGCAGCATACGCTCTAGCATCCCAATAACATGCGCCATGCCACTGGTGTCCGGGTGCATCAGCAACGGAAACACAGGCTCTTCCTCATTTTCGAGAATCCACAAGAACCGATCACGCCAGAGGTTCTCAATCACCCGCACATCAACATACCCGTGCGAATTATCTGCATGAGGCAGAAACTGCATCGGTGTCATGTCTTCCATGTACCAGTTGCAGGGCACGCAGACAAGCGGGCGGCGGTCGGGCGAGGATGGCGGCTCTGCAACTGGATGCATCCAGCTCGAGGCAGGCTGCGAGAAGTCGATTGGGTGGAGTGGTGGTCGTCTTGGTGCGAAGAATGGGTGGCAGTCGTGGTCTGTTAGCGAGGCATCTGAGTATCAATGGTGAGTATGGTCAGAATGTTTGACGATGATGCTGAAGGAGGTTGCTGGTGCATACCATATTCGAACTCGAACTCCTCGAGCAAGTCCAGTGTCGACTCTCGCAGTTGATACAATGGTGCCCTGTATCCCACTGGTTTTTTGCCTGTGAGGCTTTTGGCGATGTCCATACACCGCGTCAAAACATCGCGCTCCTGCTCAACGGTGAGCTGGTACGCGCCCTCATGCGCGTACCCATGCAGCCCGATCTCGCAGCCCGAGTCGACAACTTGCTTCACTTCGTCGAGGAAGCTTTCTGCAGAGTGGCCCGGGATGAACCATGTGCAGCGATCTGCCAGGTTTAGTTTCTTTAACATCCGCAGGAGTCGGGGGACTCCAACTCGCGCTGCGAAGAAGCCGGCCGAATAGTCTGCCAGAATGTTGTCTGGATGCGAATCTATATCATGCCATATGATTAGCTTTTTCGTTTTTATGGGTTTAGTATGGGTTTAGCAGGTCACACTTGTTCCAAGCCATCCTGAAACGGCGTCCAGGTCAACCGATACTGCAACTCGGATCTTGTTTCGTTTGGGGGCTGCCAGTGCTCTGGGAATGGAGTGTTCGGGATCTCTTGTTGCCATGTCCTTGATATCCTTGCAATCATCTGGCCTGGGCCCCTTGTTGCCCCCAACACGGATGTATTGGCCAGATATCTGTCCAGCTGCTCGTCCAGATGCCAGAAAAGCCATCGTGCGCGCTACGGCAGCTGGCACTCCATTACTCTGTTCGGTATCTGCGGCAGTGATGGCCGAGTTAATAACATTGATGCGTCCGCGATGATTAATACGCAGGATCTCATTCATGACTTTGTTGACGAGACCATGGTGCAGACTCGAATTTCCATCGAGCCCCCCGGCAATCCCGGCCTCTGCCACAACGATCGCTGGACTATCAAGCTCCGCTTTCCCTTCCTCCTGGTAATCCTTGATGTGCCGCAAGAAATGTTTGATGGCCAGAAATGTACCGCGCACATGGGCACTATAATTTTCCTCCCACTTGTCTAGTGGTAAGTCACAGATTGGCTGGTCACGGGGGATATCACCCTCGCTAGGGTTGACAATCAGAATGCTGGTAACTCCAAACTGAGTTTGGGCCTTTGAAAACCCTGACTGAATTGAGTTTTCATCATTGGCATCGCCATTGAGAATTTGAAGTCGTGGGAATCGTTCCGCGTCCATTCCTGATAACTGGAGCGGGTGGCAGTCGTATGCCGTGACACGGCATCCTTGATCTATTAAGTGAGGTTAGGACATGATCTTTCCCAGTGTAGCAAATAATAGGGGCAATTGAACAATAGCACATTGACTGGCATGGATGATCGATGGGAAGCAGAGCTTTTGCTAGAAACTGAATGGCTGCTTGTACACATTTCTGAAGTAGAATAATCAATCCAAATATAGGAGTTTTTGGATATGCCATAGTACATGTTCTCCCCAGCGAGTGTTGTCTGAATCATAATACAAATAGGAAGTCAAGGAATAACAGACTTGAAAAGAGTGCTCCTACCTAGAAACTCTCGAACAGCCTCACTCCCAATGGCACTCGCAGCCCCAGTTATGAAAACGTGGTGGCCTTCCAACCCGAGAAACGACTGCTGAGTAGACATTCTGATCTTGATATAGTGAGCTGTGAGAACAGTGTCTTTCTCAGATGTACTTCGACGCTACCGATCTGACATCAAGAGGCTTAAACATCTGACGAGATGAATGCACAGTTGTGGGGATTTGGCACCCATGTGGCAAGACCTCTGCTAGCTTCAATGCGCTCTCTTCCAAGAGCTAGAATGAAGAATAGTATCCACAGGTTACAGCAGAGATCAATGAGAGGCAGGGCCCAGACCTAGACTATAGTTAGCTATGCTCTATGTATAAACTCGACTCTTTCCACAAGGAATATACATAAACAAAACTTGGATAGAGAAGATTTCAGTCTCCTCTGGAAGGAGGGTCCGTACCTACTAGAGAAACCTTTGAATAGACCTAAGTGCATCGATAGCCTCCCGAGGTCTGCTACTGTAAGTCTGTGCGGTTGATAGTTCCGAACAAGCAACCGGGCCAGTCCAGTCTAGTTAAAGCCAGTGGATATAAGCAAGACAAGACACAAAACCATAAAGAATCCCCGATAAACTTCCCACAAAGATTCAATAGTGTGAAATGGCTTGCTAAGGACCAATCTTGGAAATCAAGTGGACATGCCGTGCCTTGATACCGCAAGGTTAAGGTTCTCGCCGGGGCAGACCGAGGACTCACATTCGTAGTAAAAGGGCCTGAGCAACAGTGGAGCCTTATCATATATCCCGATACGATGAAAAGCCCGCAGCTACGAGTGATTGGTTTAACCGAGGGCTAGTGCTGCATGCTACTCGATTCGGTCTATCCCCGAGTCATTGCACGCATCGACGCCCAGATCGAGTAAAGATACGCCCATTCCCTATCTAATACGTAAGGAATTAGGCATGGAGATAGATGAGGGCAAGTCCTGGCGTGGTCTTGGGAACTCCACTCATTTTGTCTGGTATCTATACAGAACATATATACCAATCATTCGAGTACTGCAGTAATCTGGAGATAATACTGCGCCGTGGTTCAGGAATTGGGACGATCATCTCTCCTAACACTCGACATACAGGCATATACATGTGGAGAATGGGTCGAGTTGGAGATTTGGAGAGTTTGGGTGTGGGGCAGCGCAACTCTGGTGTAAACTCTGATAGTCTTTCGAAGGGACTTGCGTGTGTTACGTGGCGATATTACTATAACCATGCTGGGTAGAATGTTTTTGAGGATGGTTAACGTGAAACCAGAATATTGATGGAGACCTAGAGAATATTCTGTATATTCACTAAGACCATCAGTAGTACGCAGTTAGTACTGAAACAAAGAAGCCATTGCCTTCTTATCATGTCAGTCTCGCAACATATATGTCCAACAAAATAATACTTCGCATCCGATCCGTGGGCCGGGGAATACCGATAGACAAGGGAGCCAATACTCTCCCGAAGACGGGTGGTTCCGGATAGAAAGAGAGAAAAGGAGTGTGTTTTGGAGTGGAGCCCTCAAACCCTTCTGACAGGATGAAAAAGACTTTGCAGAGATGTCTTCTCCCTAGCAAAACAGGTGCGGCTTCCATGTTCCTCTTCAACTTTGAGAACGGGACTGCATACTCATTTCGGCAGGCGTGCCATATCTTGTTAACCCAAAATATCGCAAGATTGAAAAGGTTTCGTGTGTGGGGGTGAGCGGTAGCCATAAAAATGATAGCGTCGAACGATCTACATGGAAAATGCCGGAAACCCATACTTTCATATTCTCCATTGGAGTCAGGGGAGACGATAAGGTGATTTTCTGGAAAGCTCCCTTCCGAACCATAAACCTGCCTTCTGCACTTTTTTTTCATTTTCTTTTCTCCATTAATTCGCATCCCCGGGTCGGGGTGACAAACTGCGCAACGATCGGCGCTGGCGCAAGACGGGAGATCGGCGGTGTCCCACCATGCTGTGTTGGGAATTGATATGACGGGTCTCGTGTGAAAAATTCTATTACGAGTATATTTCTGGGTTTGGAGATGCCCCTGAGGGGAATGTCAAAAAAAGAAAGAAAGAAACAACCATGATCATGGTATGTTCAGATATTCCAACACCGAAACCCCAATTCTATACAAGTATACCCCTAAAATAACAAGCCACTCAAGTCTAGAAGTGAATATGTACAGCAAAGCCAATATGTAACACGTAATTAAAATAACATGGTATCTCCCGGACGCCTTAAGAAACAACTTTTGATCAACCCGAGTAAGCCGCCCGAGACTAGACTAGACTTGCTCGGATCCACGCGCAACATGCGTCGAACTCGACTCATAATCAGGCGGCCGCGAGTCATGGTGCACAGTGACAGTGATATCCTGACGAATACGCAAAGCACGCGCAGAACCATCATCACTGCTGATATCACGCTCGTCGCTGGGCAGACTGGTATCAGAAACAGTCGCCTTCTGGGGTGGCACAGTCGCGCTGCGCCCCATATCCTGCATGCCAAACTCGCCCGAGCGCAGCTGGCTGGATGGCCCATACGGCCGAAGATCGGAGGCCTTGCTGGCCCATGGCCCGGACTTGTACCGATCGGTGCCTCTCTTCGATCCCCCCGTCCAGCTCTTCAGGGCTGGGAACACATCGCGCAGAAGCGACCAGATCAGGGGCAGGTTGGTCACGAGGATTGCGACTGTTGCTTCGCGGAAGTACCAGTTCATGTAGACGTATGAGATTAGTGAAGGGACCAGGCAGTAGACTTTTGTTAGGATCGCGGCGATAATGACGAAGATTCCCATGCCAAAGAGGAGGACGAGGATTAGCTTTTGCTTGACTGGAACCCGCACTTGGATTAGGAGTGGGATGGCAACGAGGAGCATGAAGAAATCGGCGGAGATGGAGATGCATCCTTGGACAATCTCGTAGTGTTGATATGAGGAGCATTGGTCTGGTGGTATGGTCAGTGAGTTTCTTTAAGCAAACCCCGTAGTGCGTGCGTTCTTACAGTTCGGGGTTGGGACGGCCCAGTAGTTTGACAGCGGGCGACAGATCAAAAAGAGCGACAGCTCCGTCGCGACAAATCCCACGGCAACGTAAATAGCGATGTAGTTGATCCAACGTCGTTGACGCAGTCCTTCACTATGAAACCGCAGTGTTAGTTCAGCCAATGCACTCGGGGCTCTCAGAACATACGTGATACGCCCATAGATCACCAGCATGCACGCCTTCAAGCTCCACACGGTGAGTACAAAAGAATGCTCCGAGACAAACACCCATTTGCTACCACGCTCCCGCTCAGCATGGATTTGGGCTGTCATGGTTCGAATATCCTCCTCGGTCATCAGATTCGACCCGCCGCCAGTGGCGACTTGATTCAACGAGACACAAAGAAGCGTGTACCAGAAAATAGCAAATACCATCAGGTAGTCATCACTCTGCAGATTTCGGATGCCCAACCGTCGGATTCGTGCAGTGCTATCCAACGCATTAGGGTTAGTCCACCATCGCCATCCGGTAACGGAACAGTCTACTCACAATCGCAGCACGGCACCCAAGATGCCAACGGCATACAGAGTCCATGTTTCACGAACGAATCTGCGGCCAAAGTCACCTCCCAAACCAGACATGGTGTCAGTCCTCAACCTGTCGAGTTCAAAATGAGGCGTTAGTGTGCGATCATTCAGCGCAGCTAGGGCAAGAGGGGACCACCCACATTTTTATAAAAAAGGGCAAAAATAAAGCAGGGATTAGATATTATGCATAGACTTTCCGGGGACAAGACATCTGCCGGAGAAAGGCACGATAGGGAGAGTGATGAAGGATGGTTCATCGGGGCCCGGTACGTGTGATGAGGATTATTGAAATTGGAGGTGCATGGGCAGAAGTTTCCTAGGGATGGAAGGAAAGTGCTGATCATAGGCGAGCAAGTAGATCTCCGATGGCCGTGTACAGCCAACGAGAAGACCTCGCGGGTCAATGGATCAATAGAGGGTGGGCGGTTCCATGGCTTGCGATGGAGGCGGCGTCCTTGGGACCGCGTTGGTTTGGCTTCAACCAGAACAATTCTTGTGCCTGACCGCACTGCAGAGATGGATCCACCCTCCATTCAGCTCTGCATGTTCCTTTTGCTTGGAAAGGCTCTTTCTTCCGGCTACGTAAGGGGCATGCCCGCCGGAGGAGGTTTGCGGAACACTTGCAGGGCCAGTCTACATCATCGTTGGTCCTTCCAGTGTGCCAAGAGTTGGCCGATAGAGTCGAGCAACAGCATACTTTTCCCTCAAGGTAGATTCGGAGTGGCACCGCCTGAACTCAATCGTGCCAGCGCGGTGGTCTTTGACAAAGGAGAGAGACTCGCAGAGTCCTTGCGGAGGCAGGTCAGTCCCGCAGTGGGGGAGAGCAATCTAACAAACGATTGAATATCATCACCGATCAGCATCCAATAACCCAGGAAAAGAGTTCGGGGTCGTCCTCTTTACTTCATCCGGGCAACATCCGCGTGTGATAGAGTTGCCACTAGTCACGGCCGCGATGGGTCCCGGTGGGTCGAGGGAACAACGGCATCGACGAATTCTTTTGTCTGATTTGATCAACCGCCCCGCCCTTGCAGAATTGAGGGATTTTGATAGTGGGGATCCGGAGAGCCTGCGGTGGGTTGGAAGTGTGCCCTCTCAGAGGCCACCGTCACATTCCTGGCATCACATACACTTCCCCCTAATCAGTCCTTGCGAGTGGGGAATATGCGACGTACCTGTTGAAATGATTTATGTGTCGCATCCTGATACTGGTTCCAGGGTGTCGATCGAAATGATCCCTCATATCGCAGTGTGTCTATTTCTTCCAGATCCTGGAGAGATAGAATCTTGGGTCGGCATTGGCTGCCACTGTGTTGGGCAGGACCATGACGATCCATGGTGTGCTCGGCGCCGTAATTCCATCAGATCGTAGACAAACCTGAGTCGCCAGAGACCATCATGCTGTGATATCAAGATATCCACATTACGCTGATACCCATTCCGGAGTGTCCATGATGTGTGCTTGGTCGATCCGTGGACCAGGATCCCAAAGTTGGTGTTTCTTGGAGAACTGGAGAAGCCATCGAGCCGACCGAGGCATGGTTTCAGAATCCTTGTCCGAGTTCGAGTCTCCAAGGCCAATTAGTGACTCGGTATGGCAGAGAGCCACATCCTGTGATGTGACTGCTGACTCGAGTTGGTGAATGAGATTGGAGAAAGACCAGTCGCGCGGTCGGTTGGAGTGCCTAAATACACCCTGAGAAGTAGAAGGAAGAAAGGAAGAACCATGCGATCCATCACGAACTGTCGCATCTGCACATCTTCCAAGAGACAAAAATCCTGTCTGTTGGAGCTCCCCTTCTGGGTAAAGCGCGAGATGATGGGATCTCCGCGTGTGCATCTCTCCGTTGGAGTTTGGCTCAGTCGCCTCCCCAATTGCTGATGTTCCTGCCCCACGTCTTGACTTGGCCCGTTGAAGTTTTCGATTGGAGATTAGCCAGTGGAGGTGGTGGACCCGGAAGTCATTCGCAAGTGTCGATACTTTCTGCCCAGGACACTGTTGTACACTCCACCAGAATAAGAAATTCTCCTTTTTCTTTCTTTTGTCTCCTTCAATCTTCATATTGCCTGGTGGTTCATGCTGTGGTGTTCCCATTCCATTCTTTAACTCGTCTGGGAAAAGATACTGTCTTCCCCCTTGCCGCATCTCTTGATCAACTTTTTCTTCGATCTGGTCTTGGGCGGGAAAATCACTTCAAGTGAGAACTCACCATGTCGCAATTGGCGGAGAAGAAGACCTCCGAGTCTGCCTCGGAGGAACAGTCGCAGGGAGAGTTGATCAATGCGTCGGGCCACCGCCAGGAACTCGATCGGAACTTCAGTCTGCTCAGCATCTGCGCCGTCGCTGTGACCACGGGAAACACGTGGATCGCGCAAGGTGGCAGTGTGGTGACAGCATTGAACAACGGTGGTCTGGCTGGATGCATTTATGAATTGTATGACTCCCCGCGACATGCGAAAATTGCGTATTCTAACAGTCGATGCAGCATGGCAGTTTCGGCCTGCTACTGGCTCGTCGCAGCATCCATTGCGGAACTGGCATCGGGAATGCCCTCGGCCAGTGGAGTGTATCACTGGGCGACCATCACCGCCGGAAAGCATGGTCGCATCTGTGGTTTCTTTGCTGGTTTCTGGAACTGTCTGGCCTGGATCTTGGGTGCGGCCTCGATGTCCTCGATTCTGGGACAGCAGACGGTATCCATGTATGCGCTGATGCACCCTGGTTTTGTCCCGCAAACCTGGCATGTCTTCGTGAGCTTCATCATCTGTACCTGGCTCTGCTGCTGTATCGTCCTCTTCATGAATCGCTTTCTGCCATATATTGGCAACCTCGGCATGTTCTTCATTCTCGCCGGTGTGTTGATTACGATCATTGTGTGTGCTGCCATGCCATATGTGAACGGTGTGGGCTACGGCTCCGACTACTCGGTCTGGCAAGAATGGACCAACGGAACCAACTACTCCCAGCAGGGCTTTGTCTTTGTTGCCGGCATGCTCAACGGTGCCTACAGTGTTGGCACTCCGGACTGCTCGTCCCATCTGGCCGAGGAAATCCCCAAGTAAAAGCTCCTTTTTTTCTTCGCCTTCGCTATCATTTTAAAGCTAACTCTCCCTTGGCAGGCCCAGTCGGAACATCCCCAAAGCCGTGCTAGCCCAGATGGCCGTCGGCTTCGTCACCGGCGTCTGCTATATGATCGCACTCTTCTACTCGATTCAGGACCTCCCACAGGTCGTCAAAAATGTCTACAACTTCCCTTTGGCCGAAATCTACTACCAAGCAACGGGGTCTCGCGGCGGCGCTCTCGGGCTGTTGATTGTCGCCTTCCTCCCCACCGTCATCACCTGCGCGGGTTGCTACATCACCGCGGGCCGTACGCTGTGGACACTCTCCCGCGACCACGCCACCCCGTTCTCGAACTGGCTGGGCCAAATCAACCCGACCTTTCACAACCCGTTCAACGCCACCCTGGTCTGCGGCGGCCTGATCACCATCCTGGCCTGCATCTACCTCGGCTCGACCACCGCCTTCAGTGCCTTTGTGGGCTGCTTCGTGCAGTTGTCCAGTCTTTCCTACTTTATGGCTATCTTCCCTCACCTTCTGACCCGTCGCTCTTCTTTCGTGTCGGGTTTCTTTTTCATGAAAGGCCCGATTGGTTTCATCGTCAATGCCCTGTCCTGCGTCTACATCCTCTCCTTTGTGGTCATCTTCTGCTTCCCATACGCTTTGCCCGCTGAGGCGCAGTCCATGAACTATGCCAGTCTGATGACCGGTGGATTGTCGATCTTTGTTGCTGTCTGGTGGTTCGTCCGCCAGAGTAGCTATGAAGGGCCGAAGAATATCCCCTTGACCGACAAGGCGCTGATGGAGGATGCTCAGTGAAATGATCTTTTTGGGATTATGGGCTCAAACTCCCCTTTCTTTTTCTTTTCGTTGCATATACAATCTCTGTCTATATATACTTTTTCTTCAATAATGATCCATTTATGACTTTCAGGTGCTATACTCCTACTGTGTGCCCATAAATGTTGGTTTTGCGAGAAATCAAAATTAGAGAAAATATGTATATACAAATTAATATAGTTGCAGAAGGTAAATATACAGCTCTGCAATTAATTAAAGAAGTTTGCTACGATTCTTCCAAGGTTCAATCTACATTTCCTTTCTCGGTTTTCTAGTTGCAAATCACGTGGTTTCGCGTCTGCGCGACCAGCGCGTCGGCAAGCGTCGTCCAAGTGACAAACTCCGTACACTCGCCATGGTCTTTAAGCCCTTCAAGCCCCCCTTGATTAAGAAACCCTCTCAGCCCTCGAATGGTAATGGAGAGCAAGACCACCCGGCCAAAAAACCACGCCTGCACAAGGACGACCCAGCGCCCGATGTCGAGACGCGACCAGCTATAGGCAATCGCAAGCCTCTACTACAAGTTCGAAATAGAGGCAAAGAAACGACAACAAATTCAACCTCGGAATTGCCATCGAGGAATGTTGTACCTGGCGAGAGATACTTCAATGTCCTTTGGTAAGTGTCCTGCGGAAGATGTATCGGGGGCGAGCGAGCAGTGCTCTCCGCAAGTTCGGTAGCTAACCCTGCTAGGCGCAAACCGAGCGGCAAAAAGCATAAAACATGGGACGGTGATGGCATCCTCTCTGCGCGTGGTGGGTTTGTTTCTCTGCGCGATGTCGGAGGCAAGGATATGGGGCGCATGATGCACGAATCTCCGCTTGAGTCTGGTTCCTCGCTGTACATTGCCGGGAAAGAGGTCGAAATCGACTCTGAAATACCCCGTGCGGAATATCTTTCTGGTAGACGGTTCTTGGAAGGAACGAAACCTGCTCCAACGCCCGCGTCGAAGGAGTTTGTGCCGCTCTCGAAGGGTGAGGGACGGAGTACGCCCACGCTCGCTGCTTCCAACAAACCCCAATCCCTCAAACGGAGTTCGTTGGCGCTGGCTACTGGTGCTGCTACACAAGAAGCGGCAGCCTTTGGTGCCTATAAGAAGCCGTTGCTCGAAAATACAATTGTTCCGCCTTCCGCTGGCAAAGTCGTTCCCCGCCATGATCCAAATGCTCCCGGGGCCCTGGTTCTACCCCGACCTAGCTCAGCTCCCAAGGGGAAACAGATTGTTGATGTGGTGATGGATCCTTTACTCTCCAAAAATCTACGTCAACATCAACGTGAGGGTGTCAAGTTTCTCTACGAGTGCGTGATGGGAATGCGACCATTCAACGGTGAAGGCGCCATTCTAGCAGACGACATGGGGCTAGGCAAGACGTTACAAACCATCGCCTTACTCTGGACCCTTTTGAAGCAGAATCCCGTTTACGAAGATCCACCCGTTATCAGAAAGGCCCTCATCGTCTGCCCAGTGACACTCATCAACAATTGGCGGAAGGAATTCCGCAAGTGGCTCGGCAATGAGAGAATCGGGGTTTTTGTCCTCGATGACCAGAGGAAACGTCTGACCGATTTCACCAAGGGCCGTGCTTACAACATCATGATTGTGGGGTACGAGAAATTAAGGACTGTGCAGGAGGCTCTAGCCAAAAGCGCGGGCGTCGACATTATCATTGCAGATGAAGGACACCGACTCAAGACCCTGCAAAACAAGAGCGGACAAGCTATCCAATCCCTCAATGCCACAAAAAGGGTGATTTTGTCGGGCACGCCAATTCAAAATGATCTGCGTGAGTTCTTTGCAGCCGTGGATCTCGTCAATCCAGGAATTCTCGGGACGTTCAAGGCTTTCATCCGGGAGTTCGAGGTGCCAATTGTCCGAAGCAGACAACCAGAAGCCACGAGCAAGGATATCGAGAAAGGCGAATCCAGAAACGAGGAACTAAGGGAACTCACATCGAAGTTCATACTCCGCCGAACCGCCGATGTGCTGGCCAAGTATCTTCCCCCGAAGACGGAATACGTGCTCTTCTGCAACCCGACTCGCCCTCAAGCAAATATATACCAGGGCGTTCTCGCATCTCCTGTTTTTCAATCCGCTCTGGGCAATTCAGAGAGTGCACTCCAGCTCATCACCATCCTAAAGAAGCTTTGCAATAGCCCGTCATTGCTATCCGCGAAGAACAACGACAACTCGCCCAACGATACCATTGCCACGCTCTTATCCTCGCTCCCTCCAAATCTCCTCCGCAACTTCTCCCCCTCGTCAAGCGCCAAGGTGCGCGTCCTCGACCAGCTGCTCGATACCCTACGCACCAAAACCTCCGAAAAGGTCGTCTTAGTCTCCAACTACACATCGACGCTAACTCTTCTCGCCACACTCCTCACCTCGCTCGGCCTCCCCTTCCTCCGCCTAGATGGGGGCACGCCCGCCCAAAAACGCCAGCCACTAGTCGACGACTTCAACCGCCTCCCTGCCGAAGCCTGCTTCGCATTCCTGCTATCCGCCAAGGCAGGCGGCACTGGTCTCAATCTCATCGGCGCCAGCCGGCTCATCCTCTTCGACGTCGACTGGAATCCAGCAACAGATATCCAAGCCATGGCGCGCATCCACCGCGACGGACAAAAGCGTCACTGCCGCATCTACCGCGTGCTGCTAAAGGGCAGCCTCGAAGAAAAGATCTGGCAGCGCCAAGTCACCAAAATCGGACTGGCCGACAGCGTCATGGAGCACAAGAACAACGTCGCGCAGTTCTCGACCGCCGAGCTGCGCGACCTCTTTCGTTTGGACCAGGAGAGCCGCTGCCAGACTCATGAGCTGCTGGGTTGTGACTGCGGCGGAAAGGGTGTTGCGGCTTCTTCTTCTAATTCTTCTCCCTCTGTCTCTACCTGCGGCACAGCTACCCCCAATCCGCGCGATGGTAACGATAATAATGACTCCGACGCCTTTGAGCTAACAGAGCTCTCGTCGGACGACGACCTCCCGGATTTTCCTACCCTCATGAAAGCCTCGCAGGTCGACATGGAGAAGCAGGAGCGATCCATTCGCGATGGGTCTCATCGCGCACGGAATCGAAAGGGCAAGAAGACGCGGAAGTCGGAGGACAAGATGCACCAGTCTTTGGCGCTGTACTCGCATATCGACCCGTCTTTGCTCTCACCTTTGTCGAAGGATGATGGCCAGGACGATGATGATAACGCTGGTCTTGCTTCTGCTATCGATGATGATGTGCTGGTGTCCCTGCTCAAGGACGAGTGCAATCGCATCGGGTATATTTTTAAGAAGTCTAATGCTGCTGAGGTAGAGGGTCCGTCTGATGCTGTCCCCGGTAGCTGATTTTATGGATGAGGTCTGGAAGTCTGGAAGATTGTTTTTGTTTAGGGATTAGTTGGGGTTATGCCATGACCTCGAGAGTTATGCGTGGCATGGATTGCGGACTGTGGGCATTGATATTGGCTTTATTTAGACTATATACTACTCGACGTCCTGAGAAATGCAAATCATTTGCATTTGATAGGACATCTATCCAAGGTAAACCACACGTCCAACTACATCTCAAGAAAACTTTTATGGTAACAAACACCAAGAACCAAGTTCCATGCAGTCAAGGTCTAAATGTACAAAAAAGAAAAGTCGAGAAGCGACAGACAATATCTAGATACTAAATGAAAATGAAAATGAAGGGAAAGAGAAAAAAAAACGAGAACGAACAACCATTTCGCCATGTAACCGTCCCATAACCCCCGAAATGCGGATGCATAGAACATCACCCATCAACCATCAACCATCAATAGCGTAGCTTACCCACAAGACCAAAAGTATAAGCAGCCTCAGCCTCGCTCTTCATCTGGACCATGTAGATGCGCTGCGAGCTGCTAGTGACACCGCCCTCTTTCGCGATGGCGCCGCTCTCCTCCCAAACGGAGACTGCGATACCGGTGCGGGCAACACGCTCAAAGGAGCTCTCGCCAAGACACACATCCAACAGAACCTCGCCACGGGTTTTGCCACGGACGATGATACGTTTCTCGGGCTCGACTTCGCGGCGGGGCGAGGCAGTCCCGGACGCAGGCGGGGAGCTTGTGCCATCGAAACTGTCCGGGTGCGGAGTGCTACTACTGTCGCTGCGGCCGCTGACGGCCGTGCCGGGGCGCGAGGGCGGGTTCTTGGGCGGGGCGGGCATGATGGTGAGACGGGCGGCGCCCATGTCGCGCCACTTGGAGGCGGACTCGCGCACGTACAGGCGGATCTTGGCGTTGGACAGGCCGATGCCGTCGGCGCCCTTTATGGCGGCGGCGATACGGCCGATGCCCGAAGTCGGGGATGTGTGAGTACCTGAGTCTGCGGAGCCCGAATACAGACTGTCTTCTCCGCCGTTTCGGGAGGTCACAGTCGACCGGGCAATGTTGAACATTCTACTACTGGCGCCGAACCGCTTCAGCGCTGAGAAGGCGCTGCTCATTGTTCCGACACTGCTGTCGGAGCCTTCTGCCAACGATCGTGGGGCGCCGGACGCGCGGTAGCTCTTTCTGCGACGCGGCCAGCCGAACAGGCCTCCACCGGCTTTGGTGGCTGGCTCGAAGGATTGAATGGGGTCGTTGATGGGACCGCGCGCATTTTGAAGAGCAATATAGGTGGGGTTGTTGATCCGTGCTTGGTTGATTAGGCCGTAAAGAGCGTCGCATTCGTCGGGGTTGCGAGAACGGAACATGATGTTGCTTCTGGATGTGATCTTGGACCGTTCGGTAGGAGGCGAGCGGATGCTGATGTCGATGGCAGTGCCGCGGCGGATGGGAACGAGTGGTGTCAATTCAAGGGAAATGAGTGGCCGAGATGACCTGGAAGCCTTGTCTGCTCGCTCCGGGGTGTTGTTGGGATCGATGCCCTTGAAAGCTTCGATGAGACCGGGGCTGACGATGATGTTGCATTCGTCAGGGAGCACGCTGTCCCAAGTTCCCTTCTCAGACCAAGCAAAAACAGACGCAATGGCTTTGGAGAATTTGGCGGGCTGTAATGGAACGGCTCGGTAGCCACTTTGCGATGCTGAGTTCGATGGTGATAGTGAGCTCGTTTCCGAGGTGACCGTGTCATATTCTCGTAGTTTGGGAGGTGGTTCGTAATCGTCCTCTGAAGTCGACGAGTACTCATCTGAATCGGACAAGGATCTTGAGTATTCAGATGAGGAATAGGCATAGTGCCGCACAGTCGAGGCGTCCGAGTCAGAGTCCGAATAGGAGTCTGAAGCTGTGGAGGGTTCATATTCATGCTTCAGGGGAGAGGAGCCCCGTCTTTTGAGCGGAGCACCACTTGGGCTAAGAACTGGGGTATTCGAGAGCTTCTTGGAAGCAGGACTAGGCGAGCGATGAGGCGGCGGTGGCGGCGGAGGCGTGTCCTCATGGTTCGATTGTCCCCGAGACTTACTCCTCTTGGCCCTTGTAGGGGTCTCGGGAATATCTTGATCAGGTAAGGACTCAAGTGGGGGATAGTCCTCTTCCTCGGGTTCGGTGTTGGGCGTGGACAAATGGGTCTGACTGCTAGCACTCCGGATCTTGGGAATCAGGGGGAGGGTTGCCGAAGGCACGGATGACAGGCGTGGCGATTCTCTCTCCGACAAATCCTTCACAGGTGATTTCTGAGGTGTTCTCTGGGCAGTCTTCTGTGGGGATTTTTGCAGGGGCTTCTCCATGGGAGATGCTGTGTCTTTGGCCAAATCTTTGTCTTCGCCGTAGAATCTACCCCGGGAGGACGGCGGTTCAGCCGCCTTGTCAGATACCACAGTTTTCGGGGTGGTGGTTTCAGAGGCAGCCGGGCTGTCTCCGTAGCGGGACTGCCGCTTTGCTTTGGATCTTTTTAACCCAGGCGCGCTCTTTTCTGTGGTGACTGTGGACGGAAGAAGCGGGAGGTCAGGGCGAGACGGTTTGATCGACAGTTCTGACCCTCCGGTAGTATAGTCTGTATCCCGAGTAACTGTAGAGTATACCGAGCTTCTAGTTTCGGCGGCAGAGGAACTGACAGTGCTTGGGTCTGAGAACTGCTCCTTGGGGGTGAGAGAGCGTCGTTTGCTGGTAGCTTTCTCGCCAATTGGAATATCAACATCACTTGGATTGGGTCTCGGTGGTGATTCATTTGGCGCGGGTCTGCGGGCCTTGTGTTGTTTGGCTCGGCTGATGAAGCTCTGGCTTCTGCAGATCGAGGGTGGAATGGGATCCGATCCTAACAGCTGGATCCACTCTGCCCCAATATCTTCTTCGTCAATCCGGAGTGAGATTAATTCCTGCCAGTATTTCGTCTGTTGTCCCGGAGCGCTGCGTAGCATGACCACAATCTCGCCCTTGCTATCACCGGTGCGAGCAGAAACACATCGAAGGTCCATGGGCGGGAAAAGAAGCCAACGATCTGAATGATCAATCTCACAGATCAACAAGTCCCCGCCCATTCCCTTGCTCGGGGTATTGTCTCGGTATAGTAGCTCGGCTCGACAATCGACCAGCTGACCGCTGGAGTGATACAGCGATAGGTTGAAAAAGTCCCTTGCCCGGACACGTCGGGATTGGTCAACCGTTACACCACGAAGGACACCCAATGTCATTGGATCTCTGACGCGAGTCGCATCGATACTAGCGGCGGATTCATCTTCGAGTCTTGCTCGTTCATCTCGAGCACGTTTTCGAGCATCGATAACAAGAGACTGGTACGCTGTGGCGATCTCCTCGGCCTTGGACGACGGTTGAAGTGTATTGATGCCTTTGAAGCTCTTGGCGAGGTATTTGAGCCGCACCAATGGACGTTTGAGCAAGTATGCGACATCAACCTTCTCGCCTTCGCTGTCGATCACATCACCATTTTCATCTCGCTCCATGCCTTCGTCCAAGCTCTTGGTATCGGCATTGTTTCCATCGTCCCCTTCCTCCAGAGGAGCCAGGTTCACAACAACATCCTTGAATCCCAGCCTCCATGCTTTGAGATATTCGCGATAGACTCGCTGTGCACCCTGTGCCCAATTAAGTAAAGCATCCGGATTATCTTGTGGGATTCTCTTGTGTAAAGTTTTCAGACGCTCTACCGCAACGCCCATGTTGACAATTGGTTTCGAAAAGTTCATGTCATCTTTGGGGTCCAGCGACGGTCGAAATAGACCCGCAGCAATGGCAGAGTCGGAGCGCGAGAGGACGCATGTTAGCAGCACCGGAATCACACCACCGACCAGTGTTTTGAGCTCGCGCATGTATTTTGCTTCGTCCGCAGAGAACTCCTGTAGTAGATCGGCAACAGTGGCATGCGCCAGACGACTCTTGTTGGATCGAATACTTCGGCCAGACCGAATGCTTCTGCTACGGCTTGCAGGAACTGACAAAACGGACATGAGGTCATTGTGGGTTGTAAGCCGCCTTTTCAGTTGTGATGAAACGGCTGGAAGCGAGTCTGGATCGAAGTGGTCTTCTTTCTCGGCTTCTTCTGCTTCTTCAGTGAGCGTGGTAGAAGCGGTTTTCTGCGGCACAGGTGCCGGTCTCTCGGTAGAGGTGCTTATCGTTTCAGCGGAAGCAATCGTTGACAATCGATGATACCCGGTGCTGGGGAAGGGGCGCTTGCGGCTAAGCGGAACAGGTGCATTATGGCCAGAAACTTCAGACCCTTCGGAAGGAGGTTGTATTTCCGAATTCAGTTCAGAATGCATATCAGAATCCGATAGCGCAAGGCGCTCCTCATGCGGCTTATCGCGTACTGGTTTGGCGTCTCGGGGCTTGAGCGGTGGTTGATGGCCTCTATCAGTGCTTGCTCGTTTCGGCTCTGAAGTGGCATCGCGTTCTTGGGCTTTATGGTGCTTCGGCGAAGGACCATCCCTCTCTTTGGAGTGTCGACTGTGGGAGCTCTTCGGCCGAGACTCGCCATCCTGTGATTTCTCAAGTTCGGACGCACGATCAAGATCTCCATCCGCCAGTCTCTGAGATCTCCTCGCCCGGGCTGCCTTGGTGTCCAAGGGAGCTGGCATGTCACTTTTAGAATCTTCTTCATCTAAGAAGGGATCTGGCGTCCCCGACAGCCACGCTTCGATCTTAGCTCCACGATTCCCAGGCGGATTGGACTTCGGTGGTTCATGCTCCGGCTTCGCAAACATCTTCTTGGATTCGTCAAACATATGCGAAAAAATGCCCCCTTTTGGCGCTTTGGGGCGACCTCGGGCGCGCCTCTTCGACAGCTCGGAGAAGTCGGCTTCACTTGGTGCCCATTCGATGTCCTCTGGGGGGGGAGAATTTGATCGTAACTTCTCCGAAACCTCAGAGAGCGCGGCCATGGATTTCGGTCTAGGTGGGATCGATTCGCCATTTCTCCGAGGTTTCCATTCTCGAACAGGAGACCTGGAGCCTGCTCCAAGGCCCCGATTCGCCCCGTGCCGAAGCGATTCCCGGCCCTTTTCTCTATCATCATGCTTATCATCTCTCTTCGCTCGTGGAGATCCCGTGGTGTCGTTGACTGTATATTCAGAGATGCGATTCGGAGCAGGCAGGTTGCGCGAGGCCGTTTGAGTGGACGATCGATTTCGATTTTTCTTCCAGTGCTCGTCGCTGATCACTCGCTTCCGGGGTGTACTATGGCTGCGCTTCCTGGTTGGCACAGTCAACACAGTCGACACGGTCGACCCATCCTTGTCCGTCCTGTCCGCTCTGTCTGTCTTGTCTATCCGATCCAGCCTGATCTTGCCGGGCTTGGGCTTCGTTTTCGCGTTATTTTCGTCGCCGTCATCAGCGTAAGGATCGTCGATTGTAATCACGCCTCCGCCATGTTGTTGCCATTTCCGCACTCGCGAGCGAACCGTGTTGGTGTCGTGGATTCCCAACGGTTCTCCAATGTCCAGCGGCTTTGTCGGCGTAGGTTTGGCACTCTCTCCTCGGTTGGAGGGCCGATGCGGCGTGGCAGGAGACGGCATCGATACCTAGAATCATGAAACAAAAAAGAAGCGCATCCATTCAGCTAGAGATCTTCGAGTTTTGTTGCCAGAGCAGCTAGCCGAGACATCCCCGGTCGGTGTTGACTCACAAGACAACCGGACCCAGACGCCTCTACCTTAGATCAGAGAGCACATGGACCACAAGTATTTGCTTTTTGTTTTTTGGATGATCTTTTTTTTTGTCCCGGTTCGAATGACGATGGGCGAGGGATGTAAACAATCCAGATAAATCCAGATAATCCGCTGACAGGACCCGATAAGCGTGGATCTCTCTGCCCCCTCCACTAATCGGTTGCTGGGAAACCAGGGGGCGATCGCCGATCGCCTCAAATCGACGTGTGATCTGCTTCTGTCCGTTTCATGCAGGGAATAATCTTCTGATCCTCGAGACTTGTGATGTGGTCTGGTGAATGTTCGCTTGATGGTCACCAATCCTCGGGATTCTCGACATCACCCTCTACCCAGAGACAAAGAGACAAAGAGAAAACGAGGGACTACAGGAGGGAACGAGATGAGGAAAGATCGGAAAAGAAAAAAGAGAAGACGGGGGGGCACTCCAGTTTGGCGCGTCAGGTGGTGCAGCGTCATCGGATTGACCATCACAGCCCATGTCCATATGATGCGGATTAATGAAGAGAGAAATCCCACGGTTCGATGAGATTGAATTTCTTCTATGTTCTATGTTGGACAAGCGACTGTTCTTGAAGAGGCTTTATTATCTACTTCAGATGTCTTTGGATAGATCCATGGATAGCTATGATACAAGCCTTTGAATACCGTCTGGAAACCCCTTTCTATTCAGTTTCTCTTTCGTTTGTTTTCTCTATAATGTTTGTTTCTTTCCCTTGGGCTATGAGGTTAGGGCCATATACTCATATATTTTCGCCCCGACAATCTCGGGTTCTTTCTCCCAATCTCAAACCCGACCAGCGCCTTAGCCCTCATGCGCGCCCAACGCCTCCACCAAGTCGGCCCGCTGTGGCGAATAAGACAGAAAATGCGCTATTGTGTTTTACGGCCTTCAGCGGACTCCTCATGTTTTTTCAAGGCTGCCGAGATCGTCGTGATGCTGTCAAAGAGATAGTCTGTGCAAGTAAGCAATAGTTCGGTGCAAGGGAAAAGGAAGAAAGAAACATACAGGATGGCACGACGATCCAGATGAAATTCATGAAGAAATAATATACCCAGAAATAATATGGCTCGGGTCGGCAGTATGCCCGCCCGTGGACATATTCATCGAAGAGACTCGTTGCATAGTACAGCGCGTCGCCGTAGAGATGGCTCATGCAGACGATGACCTGGATGGCGTGGCGCAGGGAATGGCGATTTGCGATCAAGTATGCAACGACAAAACAGAGAGGGCCCCATATCAACTATAGAATTGAATGGGATCAGAGAACACAGCCTTCACATTCATGGATATATCCATGGATCAATGTCCGGTACTCACCACAGTCATCGTCTCCATGCACAGCACCAGTGTGTCGGCAGTCATGTATCGAGAGTCGGACAGGGCATACTCCTTCCATAGTTGCCCAAAGAGATCTTGGGCCGATGCCATATGGTCATGGTGAATCATGAAGTAGCCCTCGAAGAAGCAATGCAGACTTCCCGCTGGAGATTATGCTGGTCAGTCCCCTGTCTTTTCGAGTACAGCGTGTTCAACCAGAGTCATACAAAGCACAAACCACAAAATGGCAATTCGATCTGCCATCCGCAGGGTCGGTCGCACATAACTGACCACCGCCAATGTCACCCCCAGGAGGACGATAGATGCCGCAGCAGCCAAAAAAAGCAGCTCAAGGACTGGTGTCTGGTTGGGCGAATAATCCGCAATCTTTGCCCCTAGGGGATAGTAAGGGTGAGTGAGCTCCGCCATTGCTGAGGCAGTTAAGTGTCAATGTCCACAGGTGCATAGAGTGTGGGAGGGCAGAAGTGATCGAATGGATTGTTTTGCTTGACGCCCATGTGGAGCTGGGAGCCAATGAGGAGCTTCATTGGCGATCAGAGCGAAGTTGCAAAACTAATGATTCTGTTTATATTGCCTTGTGACAGAGAATATGTACGCTGGCTCAAGACTGTGGAATAGTACTCCTTCAAGAGAAGATGCGGCTTGTTTTTTTTTTTTTTTTTTTCATTAATATAGCCATGGTATGGTGTGGTGATATATACCAGGAGATATACCCATACATTTACACATTTACCCCAACTATTTGATCATGGTGACCCCTTGTTTGAAGTCCACAGTAAATATCATCTTTTAATCTGGTAAGGGAAAGATCTATATTTTACTACAATAGACACTTTGGTAGTAATTGCCAGTAACACAGACAAAGCACTGGTCGAGTGAAACCAGTGCCTCAGGCGCCCATACTCGAAGGTCCCCCTGTGGCTCGGCCCCTCATGCGATTGCCGTGAATCCCCGAACTTCCAGGACTTCAATGGCGCCCGGATACTCTGGACTTTCCCATGGCATCTGAATCTCCCACAAAGCCCTCGGGCATTGGTTTTTCACGTTCCCCCATGGAGTCGCCGCCAGGCATTGCCGCCTTGTTCGTCATCCGTTTCGACATCAGGACCGGGTAAGTGTTACTCCCAACCGCGAAGCTGCCTATCGCTGACGCGCCGTGAGCACAGATATGTGGTTTCGTGGAAACGCACCGTACCGGGAGGTGAGTAAACCCACGCCAAATCTCGAGGCGACCTCATTTCGATGCGCGCGCGAAGCTGACACAATCCGGTCGGATAGTTGATGTCGAAGGGGTGGTCGAGTACAAGTCGCTGCCTTCGGGACTGCACCATGTGACTGAGGATTTGGTGTATGTCGCTCTTGGTCTTGCAAATGGTTTAGATTGACCTTACTGACCCATTCTCGTCTGCGATAGGTACTTCGTCCATGAAGAGTATGCCGGAATCAGCTCGTTCCTCAACCGGCCTGCGGCCGAGGCAGAACGCAATGCGAACATGTTTGCCATCGGAGTCCTCGTCCCTCTTAGCTCTGGCAGACTCGGCAAAAGCTGGAGACATGCTCCGAGACTCAAGGAGCTCACGCTGTGCGTCTTCCCCGGTAGTCCTTCTCCATCCATGAGTCCGCTACTGACGTTCGAGGTTACCGGACAGGCAATACGCTACGAACATGTCGGATGATCAGCCACTGTCGGACTACTGGGAGGCTTTTCAGATTGGCGGAGCCGACTCGGCCGCACCGGATTCCCCTGTTGATTCACCCGTCAGCCTTCGATTCCGACCTGGCGACAGACCTGAGGCCCAGCATCGCAACCGCGCCTTCAGTGACGCAATAGTGCTGGAGACATTCAGGCCGGCCCTGACACCCTTCCATCCTGCGTCGTCGCTCCCTGACTTTATCGATTGCTTCGGACCATTGATATTCCCCTTGTACAGGGCAGCCTTGCTGCGCAAGCGCATCCTTTTCATGGGCGAGGCCCCGGTGCATACACCTTGCAACTATGGTAATACTTGTCTACATACAGCATACGACCCGCAGCTGACCCAATTCCAGTCTATGATCTCTCTCTGTTGGCATCTCTGCCGAATTCCCTTCTGCAATTACTCCCAACGGACCGCACCCCGCCACTGCGTCCACGTCCACTTTTTAATATCGGCATCCATGATATTCCTTATCTCGCTTCCTTCGACACCACCCGAACATCATTCAATTCCGAAAAGGATCCAAGCTGGATTGCCTGCTCCACAGATAGCGTGCTGACTATGAAACCCGAACTTTACGATGCACTTGTTTCCCTACCCCCGCTGTATTCACGCCATGCCGCTGAGCGGACCTTCCCGAAAATCTCCATGATGCAGGCGGCCACCAAACACACTCCAAACCAATCCGTACAGCTCAAGGCAACCCAACGGGACGCGCGCCGGTATGGAATGCTCCGCCGAGGCCTGCGCCAGTTCTCCCAGGACAGACTGGTCTCTGAAGCAGAAGATGACTCCGATACCGACTCAACCCTCTCATCGAGTCCTGTCGTCGAACCCCAATCTTGGGCCCGGCTCGCGTATACCTCATTCATTTGGTGGGCCTCTGCCGGCGAGAACAGGGACGGCCTGTCCGAAGAAGAAGAGGAGCAACAAATCGAGCAAGACACCCGACTTCTGGCAAGCGTGGAGAGTCTCGCCCATCCCCCCTCTAACTCCATTGGCCGTCGCTCAATCCACCCCGAAGAACCAGGCCAACAACCCGCGGAAATCGCGCTGGTAGCCTACTTCCGCCGCCTGACCACACAGATCTTCGTCACGCTGGCCGGCGCCGTTGCACGCAACGATAGCCGAGACCGCCACGAGGACGATTTCGGTGACACATACAATGACGCACCGTATCAAGACGACCCGGCCGATGACGATACGGACCTGTCTCTCTCCATGCCGCGGCAATCAATCCCTGGAGATGACGGCAACACGCCTCTGCTGCGGCAAAGGTCCAACGCCAACATCTCCTCACACCGCCGTTCCAGATCCGCGCAGGAGCCTACGGAATCAGACGACCCGGTCACGATTACCATTGCCGATATGGCGGAGATGGGCCTCGACATGTGGAGTGCCACAGACCGCATCTTTGCTGAAGAGCTGGTCTCGCTATGGTGGGGACGGTCTGCCCATGTAGACAGCGCACGCATTAGGTGCTGTGGCATTTCAATCTTGTAACTGGGGATTATAAATCTGCAATTTACCGGCGTCGTACTTCAATCGTCTTTGCCTGGTATCTGATATCATTTGAGGATCGTTTCTTGCTCTTGTTTCCCATGCACTTCTTCAATGTCTTCGGTGTCATCTGTATATATCTCTTGTCTTTGATATCGAGTCTGGCAACATGTGTGACAATACGGCAATATACATCAGCATTCCTCTCAAGAGAAAAATCCAAGTTATTGCATCTGATGTACACCTTAGAAGACGCGAGAGAAGAAGCCCAAAAGTAAATCGATAGGAGAACCCTTACATGCAAACCTATGCTGAGGTATATGCACAGAAAGGAAGCAAAACAAAGGAGACCAAGAAAGAAGGCATGAGAGCGAAGTCGAGAAAGGGCAAAAAAATAATCCAAAGAGGAAAATGAAGGAGAGTAAATGCATATAGAGTAGAATGACACTGGAACGCCACAGCTAAACGAAAGACGGGCCAGACTAAAGCAGAATTATTACTTCCAAAGGCTATGCAAAATAAAAAAGAAAAGCAAGCATAGGTAAAAGATTGTGAACCAAAACTGCAGATGCAAAAAAATGCAATGCACCAGCGCCGGGGGGGGTATTTGAAAGAAAGAACAAGAAAATCGGCTGACCATCCTGAGGCCAGAAAGAAAAAAATTCACAGACATCGAGCCCTGAGTTGCATTACCTCCGGAACATACGGACAGGAGCACTCAGGTCCCTGCGTTCGCCGAGATCGTTCTCGCTTTTCGAGTCGGCACGCAGGTTTGGGATATGCCTGGGGCCTCGGGCAGGCGTCGCGTTCGATCCACCGGAAGAGCCCCCTGCGCGAGCTGCGCGGCCTGCCTCATTGGCGCTCACGGATCGCTGCTTGCTGCGCGCTCGTCCTCGCCTAGCCCGAATCTGGGCCAAAGCCTCTTCTCGGTTGATGGGCGTATCGGGAACGGTGCCTTGGAAGCTGCCTCGTGACTCTTCCTCTCTTCGGAGAGGGACCCTTTGGGAAGCGGAGTGGTGGTCGTCGTAATTCTCTCTTTCAGCACGTCTCGTCGGTCGAGCTTCCCTGGACATCGGCGCGTCCATGTGATCATGAATGGCGACATCCGACGGGGTGGCACGAGATATCCTGGCTCGCATCGGCTCTCCGGATGGGGTGTGAGATTCAATGACCGAGTCACGGTGGTCATTGGCCTGGAGCTCTACCTCCTCGGATGTACCGAAGGACTCCATCCGTAAAGGGCGAACATCATCTCGAAGGGGTGATGGAAACGTCTTGAAGGTACCGGTCTCCGGAGAGAATGTTACCAGAGGCTCGGCGGGCATCTGCATCGTCTCCGGTGGGTCTGCAGGCTCAGCCTTCACAACAGGCTCGAGCTGTTGATGGACAGGGGTGGGAGGGCTGGCGTCGGGAGTACGGGTTGGCCCAGGATCAATTTGTTGAGCACTGGCTTGCTGAGCTGCTTCAAGCTGAGGCTTTTGAAACTTTTCAAAGTATTCCGCGTCATAGATATAGCGGCGACCCTGGCTCTCGGCAATACGGCAAGAGCATCGTTCAAATTGACACTCTATGTTCAGGAAATGTACCATTTCCTCTGCCTCGACGCGACGTCGCTTTTCGTGCTCAAGCTTCTCTGTCAGATCATCCAGCACATCTTGTTCCGTATCGGACAGAGATGTAACAGGCTCGACATCGGACTCCTCGCGCTGAGGGACACAGTCGGACAATCGCTGTCTCTTGGGTGGTGTGGCCTCTGCAATTTCGCTGGGCTCCACTTCAGGAGCCGGGGATCGGACGGAGCCTGCAGCGGCTCTTTTCGGTCTTCGTGGCGTGGTCAAGAAGGCAAGGTCGCCTTCTGCGAGCGACAGTCGGCCAAAGTCCTCTTTCCGAATTTCATGGGCTCGGACTTCCAGTGTGCTCGAATGGTTGTTGGCTTCTACAGAGCGCAACTTGCCTTTGAGTACTTCAAGCTCTTCAGTAAGACCCGCGAGGGCATATGCGCGCTCAAATGCGTCCTGCTTCGCCTTGTCTTTGGCATCTCGCTCAGCTGAAACTTCGTCTTTCAGGGCTTTGACTTCGGATTTGGAATGTTTCAGTTCTTCTTGCGTCTTCACCAAGATTGATCCTGCTCTAAAAGCTTCCTTTCGGGCTTTGCGAATTTCCTTCTCGAAGATTGACCGTTCATGGGCCTGGCGCTCTTTCGTTCCGTGCAGTTCCTCGAGCAGTGATTCGAGACGCTCGCTGATTCTGCGCTCCCGCGCCTGGGCCTCGGAGAGCTCTTCTTGAACAGTGGCTAGAGTAGATTCGGCTTCTTCTCGGCCGAGGACCGCCCTTTGCATGGCGGCGTGGTTGGCCGCCGACGATTGTGCTGAGGCGGCAGAGCCCTCTCCTGACAGACTGTTGAGGAAGGCGACTTTGGCCTGTACTTCAGAGACACCTTTGGTGTTTTTGTGATGGAGTGTCAGGAGGTCTGATGGTAGCGAGGGCGAAGCGGGGATAGTTTGTTGATTCATCCGTTCCGGCGATACCGGGTGGAGGGCCTTTGAGGGGCTGAGGATGGGACGCGTTGGAGACTCCATCGCGGGTGTTGAGACAAATAATGTATCCAGCCGGCGAAGAGGCAGACGTTATAGGAAGAGCATCTCAGGAAAAAGGAAGAATCAAGGCGAGAGAGCGGAAGAAAATCACCGTTGGAGTTGGGCCCAGTGACGCACCCACACGGTGTGTTTATTGCCATCTTTGGAAGGATCAGGTGACCGTTGCCCTGGACACCAGTGGTGCCTCCCCAATCAGGCTAGCGCTGTCTCTACCCCTCACGTGCGGTGTCTCGCCTTCATCGGGTTTAGCGCATCATCCGAGTCAATGTCTGTGCGTCTGCCATAGCACCCGTGGAAGATCACGATCTACTGAAGAACTGGTCTCAACCGAGTGACCTCCTCGTTTCGACATGCATGAGATTGTCACGCTGCAGCTGGGTCAGCGGGCGAACTACCTAGCCACTCATTTCTGGAATCTGCAGGTAGTGCCCTCCCCCGCGGTTCAAGTCCCGCTTCTCTGATATACAAGCAGGAATCGTACTTCACATACAATGAAGGAGAGGAATCCCCAATTGATCATGATGTCCACTTTCGACCGGGTATTGGGGCAGATGGCTCTGAGACCTACACCCCCCGGACCGTAATCTATGATCTCAAAGGCGGGTTTGGGACTCTTCAAAAATATAATGCGCTTTATGCAATGAGCGAAGACCCACCGGCTGGTCAAGGCTTATGGTAAGGCTTGAAGTATGTTGATCATGAGGTGTTCACTATCTTATCTGGAGGCAGGGATGGTCAAGAGGTTGTGCAAAAGCAGACCCCAATCCCGCCAAGTGACTACCAGAAGAGCTTGGATGAAGGAACTCAAGCTCCTCGACTCACCTCAGGAACCGTGAGATACTGGTCCGACTACAACCGGGTCTTTTATCATCCACGGTCCATTGTACAGCTGAATGAGTATGAGTTGAACTCTCAGATCATGCCATTCGAGGACTGGAATATCGGCGAAGAGCTTTTTAATGACCTCGATAAAGAGCATGACCTCTTAGACCGCGATCTCCGACCATTTGCCGAAGAGTGTGACCAGCTCCGGGCGGTGCAGTTATTTACGGGGTCCGATGACGCCTGGGGCGGGTTTGCCTCCCAGTACATCGACAGATTGAGAGACGAGTATGGAAAGAAAAGTGTTTGGGTCTGGGCAATCGAAGATGGCACAAAAGTGCAGCGGGTAAGAAAAAACACCTTGACGGCTGGGGAAAATGAAGGATGTGTGTTTATTCTTTGCAGCATCACCAGTTCAAAAAAGATACCAACAAGGCCCGTTCGCTTTATTCGATCTCGCCACAGTCGACGCTTTACGTACCAACCATCGACATTCCTCAGAAACTACCCAGCTATCTCAATGTTGATCGCCAATCAGAATGGCAAACCACGGCTTTGATCAGCTCGGCTCTTGAGACAGTAACATTACCCTCACGCCTACGGCCGTATCATGATTTCGAGGCCTCGCTCGCCGGAGATGACGGGACACACAACATCTTCGAATTACAGTCTACCATCAATCAAGATTTTCTTGGCCGCAAGAAACAACCTTCCGAGAACGAAAGCTCCTCGAAAACCGAGACTAACTTCGATATTGATTTCACCTATAACGAGGACGAAATCAAGCCTGCACACATCTTCAATCAAGTGCAGGTCACGCGTGGAAATGAACCCGGGCAAGATGCGGCATCGACGGACGACGGTGACACTGGGCGCCTTCGTAAGCTCCGATTATACAACTCGGAGCCCATGCTTCAAAGGTATTGTGCCAGACACTGATCAAACTTGATGCACGCAATGGGACTAACATGACATACACCATTTGACAGCTACCACACGCCACTTCGTCTTCCGATCCTCGATAGCTTCCCGCATCACATGTTCCCTTCCCCTAAGTCCGAAGCTGGCCTTAATGTGTTTTCCGCGTTGACTGCCTCGACTCGAACAGCGGAGAGAATCAAGGCAATCCAGTCGACCGCGGCTCGCATGGTATCGATCGATGAGCGGGAAGCAATGGTTAATGGACTGGGAGAAATCCGTGAGTCTTACGAGACTGGGTGGAGCAGCGGCTCCGATGAAGAAGATGATTAGACCTATTTCTAGATACCTCATTGATCTCTTGACAGTCAGGCAGTCATAGCTACCAGTCTTGGCGTCTGACTCGAAGAATATCCTCCGGGGATGTCGCCTGTCTTTAAAAGCGTTGTGGCGGCGCCCCATGTCAGAAGCTTCAAACTTAGTCTGCTTCGGCCATTTTGCAGTCTTCAATGCTTGATTAATAGAAGGCTGAATCTTCTGAAATTCTCGAATCCCAACTCTGTATGTTTTGTTTGGATTAGGCCATTTTGATATGTCTTGGTGGTCCCAGTGAAACACAAATCAAGTGACGCATCTTTCTGGCACATCTTTCTCTCAGTCTCATCGCTCTGACTTTCTCACAATTCCGAAGACCGGGGACCAGGTCTCTTCGGCGCACACGAGTCCCATGGCTCAAGAAGGGGTGCCCCGCTCCATTTTATTGTCAGCGCACCAAGCCAGGTTGGTCTAATTGACAATTCCCAGCGACCCGGGTGAATATGAAACTCCCAGGTGTCTAACCTCAACCATATTGCACAGACAATCTGTGGCTTCGGGCACATAGCGAGGGTATACTCGTGGACTGTGAGACATGTTGGCTTGGAAGTCAAGCCAGAACAACAGGGCACACCAGCATGGATAGCGCATTTGAACTCACTTTGACATCATCAAGTCGGTATCTGATTGTCGACTGACATGACACCAATCGTGGATCAGCACCTATTCTGCTCCGACTCGCTTGAGTCCCATTCCCAAAACATGGGCCTTTTGTGCGACAATTGCAAAGTGAAGAGCCTAGGACATCCACTTCTGAACGTCACCCAGTTCCTCACGGGTCCCAAGTCCCGGTCTCAAAGACAGGTAAGGGGTGGCTGTCACGTAACGTTACTTGCATGAAGCACCTCAGGAACACAGTGCAATCCCAATCGACTCCAAACAGAGATGCTGTCTGTAGTTCTCTACGCCAGGCCTCGGCGAGAGAGCCGAGTTCCGAGCGTTCTGGCTAACCTATCGCTCTGGAAATGAAGGGGACCAACTGCAGGAACTCGTGGAATGCATGAGCGACCAAGTTCAAAGACCATGAGGCCTGATATCCGGGCTCAGGCCAATGCCCAAGTATCACAAATCGTCAGCTTCCTCTCCGAGTGGGATCAGATCGACCTCATGGCAGCTTGATCTTGTGAAAATCAGTCTTAGTTGTACGAAAAACCATGACACCGGATTCCATTGGCTTGGATTCCCACGACAGATGGCATTCGCGGTGTTTTCCCGCATGAAGCAAAACATACATGTGGCAGTGATATCTATGGATACATGTCTGGGCTTGACTACCTGGAGAATTTCTTGCAGAAATCCCCGGGTCATGATGTGCGGACAATTTGTAATAGAACGAGAGGCAAAAATGAAAAGTCCTATTCAACTGTCCTCGCTGAAAGGCAGGATGGGAAATGCCATGGGCACTTTCTTGACATGGATGCCATGACTCCCCACCTGGTTGAGCCATTCCTTGGTCCTTTTTGGCATCGCATGGTGGCAACACCGAAAAACAGACATCATTGGCTCAATCTCTGTTCTGCTGAAGTGTCAGTCTCTCATCCCCTTTCTGTTGAGCAGTGTGTACCCTGGTTAACTCTACAATCAGGACAATTCATCATTGGGTGATTCTCAGAATCCATCGGCGAGGCAACCGAGTTGGTATACTTGCGCTAAACTTCCCGTCTGCATCGAGACCCAGTATGTCATACATCATGACCAGTCTCCATGGCAAAGTACACAGAAAACCTGCTGGCCGCTGGAAGACTCGCCCATTTTGAGCCTGGTTACCTTTTCAAAAATGGGTGGCACTGTTGAATTCAGCGTCTTTTGGAACCAGAGTCGTACGGGTTGCTTCTCAGCCCGGACGAATCAAAGCAGAACAACCGAGCATATCGAGCAATCAAGATGAGGCAATCTAGCATCGTGGCTCGAATACATAAATCAGCTCGTCGCCCTGCTATTCCCTCAGACGTTGTCCTGGAATTGGGGTGTGCCAGCTTCTCGGAACTCTCTCGCTAAGGTCCCTACAGTCCTTCGTTTAACGGAAACACTGCATCAGCATCGTTTGCCTACGCGAAAAGCTTGTCTAGGTGTTCCAGCTTTCTTTAGTTCGTGTGATTGCCAGGATGTTGGGCATTTCGGCCGTCCTGGTGTACGCCGCGAGCCTGGCTTCGGCCCGTGCCGTCATACCCAAAAACTCTGCTGGCGATACTCTCGCAGCTCGCTGGCTGGACCATCATCCCCTTGAGATATGGCCGTGGCCAGAGACCACGCCGTGTGAGGCGGATGCTCCACCACCTGTCGTGACTATTCCGCCGCCGCCTCCTCCTGTTGATTTCACGACTCCATGCGAGACGGAGACTTCTCTGCCTCCGCCTCCACCACCAGTCTCGACAGCTCCTCCTCCTCCCCCTCCTCCTCCAAGCTCTATCCCTCCTCCGCCGGTATCTAGTGTTCCACCTCCTCCTCCACCCCCTCTAGTATCAAGTGTACCGCCGCCGCCGCCACCGCCGCCAAGCACTATCCCCCCTCCACCACCTCCGCCGAGCTATATTCCCCCGCCCCCTCCTAGCTCCATTCGCCCTACGCCTCCGGTATCTAGTATACCGCCGCCTCTACCTCCTCCTCTAAGCTCCATCCCTCCTCCGCCGCCGCCTCCGCCGGTATCTAGTGTTCCACCACCTCCTCCCCCGCCAGTATCAAGTATACCGCCGCCACCACCTCCAGTATCTAGTATACCTCCGCCGCCGCCGCCGCCGCCGCTAAGCACTACCCCCCCTCCACCACCTCCTCCACCGAGCTCAATCCCTCCTTCGCCTCCGAGCTCTATTCCCCCTCCGCCCTTCCATCCAAGCTTTACGCTTCCCCCTCTACCGCCATTCACCACATGGACCACGTCATGGTTTACCACAAGCTGCCCTGGTATGTCAAACACACAGTGTGTCAATGCTATAGCATAACTGATCTCTATAGTTACATGGACTACTATCACGAGCGGGTCAACCGCTATTACCCACCCGGTTACCCAGACCAGTTCTTATATGCTCACTTCTGTTGTTACCTGTACCGAGTCCTGTGCTCCGCCTACGTCAGTGCCAGCTCATACTCTTCCGGTTGAATTCCCGTCGGCTGCTCCGTCATCCATGCCGACTCCCAAGCACCCTGTTGAGCACTCATCGTCTGCCACTTATGTTGGTTCCAGTGGGCAGTCATCGCCCGCAACAGTCTCTACATCTACAGCTGCGCCGTCTCCTTCTTCTTCGCCGAGCTACAACGGCGCCGCTTCTCAGTTCCACAAGTCCTTCGCGGGCATTCTCCCTAGCTTTGCTGTTCTCCTGGCATTGGCCTAAGCCTTTCTGGATATTGGAAAGTCCTGGGTTGAATTGAATCTTGGTGTCCCAACTTTCGGCACAATCGTTTTCTATATTATCCATTACACCTATTATTCGAAAATATGAAGAGAAGAGGGACCTTGTGGGGTTCCGGAAACAGAAATATCAGAAAAGAAATTTTGAAAGTTAACGGTTTGTTTGGATAGACAATTCAAGTTCCTGCCCTAATTGAGATCTGGCAGAATGAGGTTATTAACAGCCGTTATAACGGTTGTTCTGGGGTGATGGCATCGGTTTCCTAATATAGTTACACCTAGATAGTTCATCGATCGAGTCCCTTTGTTGCAATCACATTAACATGTTTTGTGGGAGTCGTATATGATGGACAAACGAAACTGTTTGTGACGCGGTGGGAAACAAATAAATCTAGCCAGATAATTGCTTTCAAGAGCCTCAAAATGTGGTTGTCTCAAAAATGCAGCTCGACAGGCGTGGTTTAACATTCGTCGCCTGAGGCCGAAACAATTAGGGTTGTTACATAAGCCGCTATCAGATGGCAGTGCAAACATGTTTGCATACTGAGGACCCGTGTCCTCAGTAAGAGAGAGCTTCTTCGAGATTCCAGGTGACTGCCAAAGTGGCCACTGTATCCTCTCCCGCCCTGATGGCCTAGCTGTTAACTGGCTTTCGACTTCCTTTCCCAATTTATTATCCGCCCATTTTATTCGACAGCCGACTGCACTCCAGCAGCTTCATAAGTACCTCCCGTCTGGCGCGCGGCCAAGCTTCCGCCCGATCCCTTTCGGCTCTCTGGTGGAGCATCTTTGATTTTGTGTCGATCAGTTGTTTATATACAGTGATTTCCTTGTACGTCGGGCTTCAGCACCTTGCTCAGCTACTCGAGTTGGCGCGCATGCTAACTTCTGCAGTGAGGAACATAGGCATACATCATGGCTTTGCAAAAACTACCGACCTCTCCGGTCCTCTCCATCGTGGTCCTTCCATTCTTGATATTCCTCCTCGGTTTCGCTGGCCCAGCTTCCGCTGTTGGGTCCGCTGTTCTTGGTATTGATATCGGCACCGAATATCTCAAGGCGGCTCTCGTCAAACCCGGTATTCCTCTCGAGATTGTCCCCACGAAGGATTCAAAGCGCAAAGAGTCGGCTGCTATCGCATTTAAGCCGACTAAAGAGAACAATTCCCCCTTCCCGGAACGTTTCTACGGCGGTGATGCCCTCGCTCTGGCAGCTCGGTACCCGGACGACGTCTATATCAACCTGAAGACCTTGTTGGGAGTTCCGTTCAATGACGGAAATGACGAGACGGTCAAGAGTTACTGGAGTCGGTATCCCGCCCTGAAGCTAGAGGCTGCCCCTGATGGTCGCGGCTCCAGCGCCCTTCGCAGCAACCGGCTGGGGGAAAAGGAAAAGAAAGAGGCTTTCCTGGTCGAGGAGGTCCTGGCCATGCAATTGAAGCAGATTAAGGCCAATGCAGACACATTAGCCGGAAAAGGCTCGGATATCCGTGACGCGGTCATCACTTTCCCCGCGTTCTACACTGCGGAAGAGAAGCGAGGCCTTGAATTGGCAGCGGAGCTGGCAGGTCTGAACATCCAGGCCCTGATCACTGATGGTTTGGCCGTTGGCGTGAACTACGCCACTAGCCGTACCTTCCCTAGCGTCTCGGATGGGGAGAAACCGGAATACCACATCGTCTATGATATGGGTGCCGGGTCGACCACCGCGACTGTCCTACGCTTCCAGAGCCGCCGAGTCAAAGACATTGGAAAGTTCAACAAAACCGTTCAGGAGGTTCACGTTGTGGGAGCTGGATGGGACAAGTCTCTCGGAGGCGACTCTTTGAACGACCTCATCGTCGACGACATGGTTTCCAACTTGGTTGAGGACAAGAAGCTCAAGGACAAGGTCACACCGGCTGAGGTCAAGGCTCATGGAAAGACCATGGCTAGGCTCTGGAAGGATTCCGAGAAATTGCGCCAGGTTTTGAGCGCCAACACCGAAACCTCGACGAGTTTTGAAGGATTGTACCAGGAAGAGCTCAATTTCAAGTACAAGCTCAGCCGCGCTAACTTTGAAAAATTGGCTGCACAGCATGCCGCCCGTGTTGGGGCCCCATTGGAGCAAGCGCTGGCGGCCGCTGGCTTGCAACTAAGCGATATTGAGTCCGTCATCCTGCACGGCGGAGCGATCCGGACGCCCTTCGTACAAAAAGAACTTGAGAAATTCAGCGGCGAATCCAAGAAAGTCCGCACGAATGTCAACGCCGATGAGGCGGCTGTTTTTGGTGCCGCTTTCAAGGGAGCCGCCCTCAGCCCTAGCTTCCGAGTCAAGGACATTCGCGCCAGTGACGCGGCCGCGTACCCTGTTGCCTTGAAGTGGAACTCGGATGGCAAGGAGAGGAAGCAGAAGCTGTTCACTGCCACTTCCCAGGTTGGCCCAGAAAAGCAGGTCACCGTGAAAAACCTGGAGGACTTCGAATTCAGCTTCTCCCAACAGGTCAACCAGGATGGCAAGGAATTGCCTCTGCTGAGTGTCCAAACTCAGAATCTGACCGCGTCTGTAGCCAAGCTCCAAGAAAGCTTTGGTTGTTCGACTGCTAACCTCACGACCAAATTTTCGATCCGCCTCAGCCCCATTGACGGTCTTCCCGAAGTTTTGAGCGGGGACGTGAGCTGTGAAGTCGAATCTGACAAGAAGGGAAGTGTTGTGGACGACGTCAAGGGCTTCTTTGGTCTGGGCTCCAAGAAAGATGGTCAGCAGCCTCTTGGTGACGAGGAGGGTGAACCCAGCGAGTCGATTACCCTTGAACCTGAAGCGGAATCCTCCACAGCATCCTCTTCCAGCAGTACCTCCGACACTAGCGCTACCAAGGACGATGCGAAAGCCACCCCACAAACTCGAGTTGAAATCATCCCGATCAGCTTGAAGGCATTGCCGCTCGGAACCCCGGCACCTTCCACTTCCGAGCTGGGTCGTATTCGGGGCCGTTTGACTGCCTTTGATGCGTCGGACCGTGAGCGGATTCTACGCGAAGAGGCTCTCAATGAGCTGGAGTCTTTCATCTACCGTAGCCGGGACCTGTCTGACAACGAAGATTTCGTCAAGGCGATCAAGCCAGACCAGCACGCTATTCTGGCGGAGAAAGCTGCAAAGGCCAGCGACTGGCTTTATGAGGAGAGCGACAACGCCAAGACACCTGATTTCAAGGCGAAGCTCAAGGAGCTCAAGGATATTGTCAATCCGGCACTGAAGCGGGTGAAAGAGAACACCGATCGTCCAAACCGTGTGCGGCTGCTTCAGGACATGCTCAAGAACGCCGAGTCAATGAAGCAGATGATCGAGAATCAAATCAGCACCGACGATCAGGCGTACTCATCCTCTCTTTCTGCCTCGAGCACGTCCACCAGCGAATCCGACAGCAGCTCGTCGACCACTCCGGCTGCAAGCGCCTCGGGTGACCCCCTCGACGATCTCGATGATGACGCATACTCGACTCATTCGTCCTCTACCGCCTCCGCAAAGACCAGCGCCCCTGCGAAACCCAAGGGTCCCAAGTACACCCTTTTCAGCCCGACCGATCTCACCAACGTCAACCAGATCTTGGAATCCACCAAACCCTGGCTGGATACCCAACTCGCTCAGCAGGAGAAGCTGACCGAGTCCGATGACCCAGCTCTGACTGTTGCGGAGCTCGACAGCCGCATGCGTGAGTTTGAACGCGTCACGCGCCGTCTGTATGAACGAATGACTGCGGCCGCCAACCAGCAGGCTAAGAAGGGCAATGGCAAGGAGAAGAAGGAGAAAACCGACAAGAAGGAGAAGGCCGCTAAGAAGGATGAGGCCCAGCCTGAAGCCGACAAGAACAAGGGCAAGGAGGAGCAGAAGGAGGAAGATACTCGCAAGGATGAGCTTTGATCCCAGCCTTGGCTCTTCCATCTTTTCTGTTTTTATTTTTGTTTGTTTGCATTTTGAGGGGGTTGTTTTATCTTCCCTTCCTCTTTTGATCGTACAGAGCATTCTTCACGTATCCTATGTACCATGAACATTGTCTATTTAAAAGATAGAAAAGACTCACAATGGAGTTGTTGACTGAGTGTCGTGCCCCGGTAAAGGGATCCAGGTTGGGTACACCCACATTAAGAAGTATCCATGAATTACTAGTGTAGCAGTGGATCCGACAACTCTATTTTGAGTTGAAAGATACATTCGGAGACACTATTCTATTGTTTGGCTCGGCTTAGGGAGAAATAATGCTTGAGGTTCGTGATGAGGTTCGTTCATGCAAGTAGCAGTTCTAATCCACTGCAACCCAACGAATACATAATAGAATCGAATGAAGTTTATTTCGTATTGCTCATTAAAAGTCATAAAGAATCCATTCTAGTTTGGTTCGCTCTGTGGTTCCTCAGGTCTCAACGATATAGCATCGGGACGTGCATGGATATTTTTTCGCCTAGGGTTAGAATGCCAGCATCTCGACATTGAGATAAAACCGGCTATGCTAGCAGCTCCTGTCATTTCTGAATTTTCCTTAACAAGGTTGAAGATAGGATTTGACTAATATCTTGATTTACTCCGCTGAATTCCCTCTAATTGTATAATTTTTTCTATACATGACGTCATACTCTGCAGCCCATCCATATTCTTTCGTTTATCTACTTAAAAAACTGGTCATTTTCAGACACCTAATGTCATCACAATATTTGGGGCTACTGCTAATGCCACGAATGGGTATAAGCGGCGAACAAGCAAGTAGCGATGTGCCTCGAAAGCAATTGAGTCAGCTGGATGACAGCACCCCGGAAGACTTGAAGGAGACTCATGGTTTCTACTTGATGCCTGGTGCGCAGTATCCTCGTGTTGAGAAAGATCTCATTTCATTCGCCATCTGCCTCGAGTGCTGAGTTTCGACGCTCTCCATTCGCCGGCTCTGTTTGATTGTGTGACAAGGCGGGCTCGCGCTGACATACTGAAAAAAAAGAAACTCCGATTGGAGGCGCGAGAAAGAAGGTTATTGTCCCTGAGGGCTCGCATATGGACTTGTATGATCAGCTCGAGTATGCTGGAGGCGCCCTGAAGGATAGTATGGAGTTTACGGATAAAAAAGTATGAGAGTGTTGATAGTCTCGGAACGGAGCTAGCTTTGAGACCAAAATTGGAAGACATATTCATGTTGCTGCGCGGCAGACGATGAAGGAGAAAGATAGCAATGGTACATAACATGGTGGTACAACGAATCAAACAACAATGGGTATAGATACAAATCGGAATGAGCCAGCAGATGGTGTACATGGTGTCAAAAACAAAAATCAGAAATCAAAAAGCACAGAGATAAAAACGATCAAGTTTTTCATCTCATCGGGAGGGTTGCACATTGGATCAACCAGCAACAGAAAGGTCGCCATCCAGTGGCAGGAAACAGAAAGCAAGGAAAAACAAAATTCAGCAGATCAGGCCCAATCCATTTGGACGTAATCCGCATCCACCTCTTCCCGTCGACGGAGGAATGAGGCTTCTTCAAAATCGTCCACATCCATCGTGGGTTGCTCTGTTGCAAACTGACTTCGCTGGGCAGCAAGAACACGGCGTGCCTGTTGTCCCAATTTTGGAGAAAGGATTCTTCGTCCAACAGGAGCACGACCGCAATCATCATCGGTGGATTCAGGATAGTAATCGTCGTCAGGGAAGATGTCGCTATCTAGCCCTCGTTTCTGTCCGTTCATGGGAATGGAGAAGGAGGCAGAGGATGTGGAGGATTCTTGGCTGCTTGCTGGAAGGGAGAACGCATCACCGTCGTCGGTAACAAAATAATTTGGCGGGTTGTAAAGTGACTCAGGTGTAGATTTGGGGAAGCCAGAGAAAGGCGCAAGTTCAGCATAGCCGTTGCCGCGGAAGGAGGGCCGGACGCTCGGAATCTCGGGCGTCGCGGCTGGCAGAGAGGCCTTTTCGTCCGTCTTTGCCAGGTTGGTTTTGTATCCATCTGCCACGGACTTCCGAACTCTCATCCCGACGGAGAGCAGAGAAGCCTGAACCTTGAGGGGCACGACGGGTGTCGCTGAACAGGTTGGCGCGGAGTAGTGGTTGTGAGATAGGGCGTGGGTGTCGGATATGGGCTCCGGAGACTGGGTAGAGAAGAAGTTGGTGATGGGGGGTTGGAAGCGTCGACGCTTGGAAAAGGTGCTGGTGGCCGGCACCGTCGGGTTGCTGACCACGGCGGGCATCATGGACTGCAGAGATTTTTTTCGGTGGATTTGAGACTCAATGAAAAGCAAGTGGGGGTATGGTATAGATGTTCTCAGAATAGATAATGCGGGGTGCAGGTATGCGAGGTACAGAGATGTAAGGGATGAGAGAGAAAGAATGCGCAAAGCCTGGAAGTCGACGGGGCTGGAAAACGCGACGGGACGCGGGGAGACGCGCGCGACACGTGGATCCTATTAAACCGTTTTCGGAACCCAGGGCTTAGGGCTTCACGTGGGGAGTATACAATCTTGAAGACATCCAAGTCAATCTTTGATGGACATGGCAGAGCTCGCATGCAATCAACAAGTATATTTTTTATCTCCTAGTCTAATTACATCTATTCACGTAATTATCAAGTACCTGCGTTTCCTCTCTTGCCGCCTCTCTTCCGCCGGTCGTGATGCGCCTTCAACACCGCCCGCGTCTCCACCAGACTCCTCTTGTTCTTACTCTTCGCTTTGCCCAGTGTCATGAGGAAGTTCTTTCGGCGGGCCTTCTCCTTGTTTGTGGTACTCTTGCCTTGCTCCTGCTTGCGTTCCTTGCGCTTAGCCTCTCGGCTCTTATGCTCGGACCGATCCGGTTTGCCTTCTTTGGCGTGAGCAATTCGTTCCTCGCGCGTAGCTTTACCAGCAGAGAGAGCGGCCAAGCCCTCAATTTCTTCGGCAGTCAATGGGTCATCCGTGTGTCGGGCAGTAGATGATTGCCCGGCGCGGCGGGATTTCGAGCCCGGGATAAGAGCATCGACAGATGCTTGGGTTCGGAGCTCCGCGAGCTTGGCCAAATCAGCCGGCGTAAGAATTCGTGTTGTCGCCAACTTAGAAATATTCGCCTCTTGATCAGTCTCTGCATTGGGCTTGGCTTCGTCCTCGGCCGACTTGGGTTTCTTCGAGGGCGGAGCGTTGTTCTCATCGTCTGAGTCGCTCAGGTCGATCTCAACGTCACTCTGGACGTTGACCCAGTCACCCGAATCATCACTGTCCTCGTCATCCTCAACGTTCCAGGCTGCCCAGTCATCATCCTCGTTTTCATCCTCATCATCCTCGGCGTCGGATGGGAGGCCCTTCTCCTCTCGCTTCTTACGTCGTTCCTCTTCCTTGAACTTTTCCAAAAGATCGAGCCCTTCAATGCCCCCAAGCTCTTGCTGACCAAAACGCTTTTCTTGCTTTCCACCTGCCCGGAGACCCATGCTGGCTTCCTTGCCACGATCGCGTTTCCGGAGCATTTGCGCTCCCACATCGCGGTACAGACCGAGTAGACCCTTGGATGCCATCATGACACCTTTATCCTTGCTCTTCTTGTACATGACGAGATCCTGCAACAGTGTCTCCTCTATAGCCAAGGGCTGTCTGGCGCAGATCTCACGAATGGCGTTGAGACCCGCAGTAGCAACTTCTCCTGCCGAAGCCTCGGAAACAAACTCATTCGCGATCTTCTGAACCAGGGGCGAAAGGACATCTGGAGGCACAAGGTCATGCGAAGCCTGCGCCAAAGATGCCAAGAATGAAGTGACCGAAGGCTGACGGGGAGTCAAGAACTTCTGGAAGTATGAGTAGAGAGGCATGATGTGCAACTTATGCAGGCCCACCAGCCGCGAGACCAGTTGCAGCACTTGCAGCTTGTGTTCCAGGTTCAGTTTCGACTTGGTGTTTTGAAGGTGCTTGGAGAACAGGGAATCGGCAAATCCTTGCGGGTCGTGCAGCAGGTGGAGCGCCGAGAAGTTGAGGAGATGCGGCTGGGTCTTCTTTCGCTCCTTCTTCTTGATAGTTGCCAGTGCTTTTTCAGCAGCCCGGGAGTTCTTCCTGGTCTTCTTGTTGATAGTGAGTTGGTGTTTGACACGGCCAGGATTGACGGCGTCCTCGTCGCTGCTCTCATCTTCCATCTCTTCTCGCTCCTTGTCTCCACCGAGGAAGAAGCGCACTCCGCCGATGATGACTTTCTCGTTCTCGGACAAGTTGGCTTCTTTCATGACTTCGACTGCTTTCGCATCTGTCCAAATCTGCCGCTTCCATAGCTCTCGGGTCAACTTGATTGCCCAAACACCCTTAGAAGATGTGCGATCAGATGTAACCAAATTGAAGAGCACTGTTTGCATAGTACGGTTTAGCTTGTGATTGGTGGTTTTTGAATTCGCATTTCGAAGCTCCGACAGAATCTTCTGGAAAATGAAAGCTCGCAATGTCTTGCTCGGCGTGGAAATGAGAATCGGGAACAGTGTATGGAGCAGTCTGCAAGTAAATCAATTAGCATGGCGCCCAGATACCTTCGAATTTAATCGGGGGGTCATGCATACGTTGCCGAATCCAAAAGATCTTTTTTCTTCAAAAGAACCAGACTCCCTACAAGCTTTTCTCGCAAGTCCGGTTCGAGCACCAGGTGGTGCTGCATCAGCATATCGATGAGTTGTTGCGGGAAGTCCTTCAGAATTTCCGGGTAGCAGTCGGCCACATGAGAAATGAAATCAATCAAATCGCGAAGAGAGATAATTCCGGTATCCGTGGCCGACGTGGGTGCCGCCATGAAAATCTCTCGATGGGACTCATATTGGTAGTGCTGGGCGCGGAAATCTTCAATGTAGGATCTAAGCCGCGCAAAGACGAGATTAGCTCTGATCGAAGAAATTCATACAGGAAGCAGTCAACTTACTTGGGGTCTCTTCGAATTTTATGCTGCAAATTGGGCCTGCGCGAAGGAAAAGGTGTGAGCATGTTTTCTGATCAAAATCTCTGACCGACGAATCCTGGACGCATTGAACGGCCACAAGCAGAGCGCACTTACAGATCAGCCTCGACCTTTTCCAAGGCCCCCAGCTTTCTTTTCACCATGATTTGAGGGTGTGCAAATGCGTAGTGAGGGAACCCGCTGGTGATGGGAGGGAGAGAAGTGGTTGGTGCTGAGACCGAAACTTTTTTCTGGCCGTATCGATAAGCGACCCGACAACGCCTGATCGAGTGGTCTGCGGCTGATAACATGTATTCCTGAGGACGGTCTCAAAGGGATTTACAAGCCTGATTCTATAATTTGCTACAATTGAGACAGTCGGCTGAATTAGAAGAAATTTTTTGATTTTCATAGGAAAAAGTGGCCACGACCCAAGGCCTTCATGATCGCATCTCAACTACTGCAGAAGAAAGCCATCCGATTGCATTCCTTTTTTTTTTGGATATCGCTCCCTTCGTGACTGACTCAGCATATGTACAGCCACGCAGATGCATGCAAATCGACTGAATCCCGGTGAAAACCCCCCGTCCACTCCAGTATACGTAAACAGAGGACCAAACGGAGAATGAACCCAACACGCTAACCCTTTACCGGTTGCTCTTGGCAACACGCTCAAGCTCGTCCTTCTTCTTGATGGCGTAAGAGTTCGAGCTACCCTTGGCGGCGTTGATCAGCTCCTCAGCAAGGCACTCGGCAATCGACTTGATGTTGCGGAAAGAAGCCTCACGAGCACCGACGGTCAGGAGGGCAATGGACTGGTTGACACGGCGCAGAGGGGAGACATCGACGGCCTGGCGGCGGACGGTACCAGCGGAACCGATACGGGTGCTGTCTTCGCGGGGACCGCAGTTGACGATGGCGTCAACAGCGACCTGGATGGGGTTCTGGTCGGTCATGATGTGGATCTACATGGGACAAGTTTATTAGTGCCTGTAAATTATAAAAGGTCGGATCCAATGTGGGGGAAAAGACATACGATCTCGAAAGCGTGAGCGACAATGCGCACAGCCATGAGCTTCTTGCCGTTGTTGCGGCCGTTCATCATGAGCGAGTTGGTCAGACGCTCGATGATGGGGCACTGGGCCTTGCGGAAACGCTTGACGGCATAGCGACCAGCAGAGTGGGAGAGGTAGACAGGGGAGCGGATCTGGATGTAGTCGCTGTGGGTGGGCAATTGGGTCAGTACATTTTGCAATTGCAGCTGGATATTTCATGGTCCTTGCGCGCCAGTTCTGTATCCCTGCCGTGCGAAAATCGGGTCCTTCAGTCCTCCGGCTGCCTTGCCATCGAAAATTGCGATTCTTGTGGATTTTCCTCTCCGTTCATCTCATGCAACCCAGAAAACTGCGACCAAACTATCCAGACCCATCGCATCGCACACGACAGGAATCAAAACGGCGTACAGGTACCCTAGAGAATAGGCACTCACGTCAGGGAGATGTCCCGAATCTCAACATCCTCATAGCTCCACTTGTTGAACAGCTTGACGCTGCCCTGCTCGGCCAGGACCTCCTTAGGCAGGACAGGGTAGGCCGCGACCTCGACTTCCCCGTTGTCGGACATGTTGACTGTGTCGCGGGAGGGATTCGTGGGAAAGGTGTCGGTGGGTGGTTGTCGAGATAACTCGGACTCGGTAATCCACGAAGGAAATTGCGACTTCTCGCTTAGGTGTGTGTGGGTGTCACATGAGTTAGGGCAGGCGGTGGACCAATCATGAGAGCCCTATCATGTGACCTTGATTCCTGTCTCTCTGCCTGGTTTTTGCCTGACTCATCCCTAATAAACTAGGCAGGAACCAGGCAAACATCATCCCAACTCTGTTCATTCAGCCTGATGTCTCTCTCCACAACTTGAGTAGAAATGCTATGGATTGTACTTGATGGATGAAATATCATCCCTATATCAGTTTCTTATTTCTTCCAAATCACCAATTGAATAGGTTCGCACACAACAATCCTCTTTGTCTAGGTCCACTTGCGTAGTTCCAATAGTACATAGCCGTTGGTACCTGAGAAGCCACTTTCAATTACAGCCAGATCTAGTTAATTGTATCTTTTGTATGGCATCAGGGCCTAGTCAACCAGCTATCCTGATGCTGAGGCCGATCTGTGTGGACTCCGTGCGCACACGGCTCGCTTGACCGCCCTTAGCGGGTGACGTTGTGGCTGTTTGGCGCGGAGCCAGAGACGTGAGACACCGACGATTGTGCCAAGGTCAACCACCCCCCCGTCAATACGATTATTGACTATCACAAGGGGTTTGGTAATCTCACCCCTCTCCAAATTGTGCCTCGAGACCCTTATTGCGATGAGGTGCTCTTGACTGCCTGACTGTATCCCTCCCCCGCGCTCTCGATACACTGCCTCGAATTGAGGCCCCCAAACCATGGCGGAAGAGACCCCTGAGCTCCAGGCCGCTCTGCGGGAGCTGGATAGGGAATTGGAGGTATGGCCTCATTGTGCGCAACCATGATTTCTTGTGCTGACCAACTGTGTGACTCGTAACAGGAGGGCGATATCACCGAGAAAGGGTAAGCGAAGTGGTCAAGTCGATGCCCCTCGACAACGACCATTTCAATGGGCCAATCTTCCAGTGGAAGTGTACATGGATGGTTTTGCCTGTTGTGAATAGTTGTGCGAGGCTACACGACATCAAGTGAACTAACAATGACCCAAGGTACCAGAAGCGCCGCACCCTCCTCCTTTCACAGTTCCTCGGACCCAACAAGCCCCTCGAGATCAACCCCCATGCCGATGCAGCCCTAGATAACCCCCATGACGACATCCAAGGACCTCCGGCTATTTTGAGTGTTCGCCCACCCACGGCTGACTCGACGAAGCATGGCCTCACTTCCCCGACTTATGCCGGAGGATATGATAGCATGCAAAGCAGCGGGAGCCTCGGATATAGCCAAGGGGTCAGTATGGATATGCCGGATATGTCCGTGGCACCTGCCGCATCCTATGAGAGGGATAGCACCGGGATGCTTCAACCTCTCGATCGAATGCCGTCGTCTGCCTCGTATGATTCGCTTTTTCTTCCCAAGCCTGCACCTTCGGGCTCACTTGGCCCAGATGGCTCCCGGACAGCGACATTGGTGAGCCAGAACTATGCCTTTAATCCCAATTCTCAGCCCGAGTACGTGGATGAGCCAATGGGTGCGTATGATCCTGCTACGGGGGTTGCGACTCCCTATGATCCTGCTTCGGGGGGCCCGACTCGGCAATCTACAATGCTCGATTCCCAACAAGGGTATTTCTCCGACTTTGCTGGTCAGCAACATGACGACTACCGAGATAGCTATGGAGGCGGATTTCATCGATATTCCCAGTCTGGAGAAGCTTTCTCACCGACAGCAAACATGGCGCCACCGTTGATTCCTGCTTCAGAACTTCCCCATGGACCGGCAATTGAGCACTTGCTTCCTCTCGAACCGCGGGAAATCCCATTTGGGGTGTACGACCCGCACGACAAAAACACCCCAATGTCGAGGTTCGACAATCTCCCCACAGTTTTACGACATCGAGCTCGAGTTCATCCGAAGCAGCCGGCATATTGGGTCTTGGACCAAAAGGGGAAGGAAATTGCATCTATTACTTTCGACAAGTTGGCTAGCCGCGCAGAGAAAGTCGCTCAAGTCATCCGTGATAAGAGTAATCTTTATCGTGGAGACCGCGTTGCTCTTATCTACCGTGACGCCGAGATCATCGAATTTGCCGTCGCTCTAATGGGTTGCTTCATTGCGGGAGTGGTTGCGGTTCCCATCAATAGCCTTGATGACTATCAGAGTCTAAACCTTGTGCTCACGTCGACCCAAGCGCACCTAGCCCTGACAACCGAGAACAACCTGAAAAGCTTCCAGCGTGATATCACCGCGCAAAAACTAAATTGGCCGCGCGGGGTCGAGTGGTGGAAAACAAATGAATTCGGCAGCTTCCACCCCAAGAAGAAGGATGATACGCCTCCCCTGGTGGTCCCCGATTTGGCTTATATCGAATTTGCAAGAGCCCCCACAGGCGACATGCGGGGTGTCGTGATGAGCCACCGTACTATAATGCACCAGATGGCCTGTCTGAGTGCGATCCTCTCTACAGTCCCAACCGATTCGAGCGCCAGACAATATGGAACCCGAGGCGAGACCATCATCAGTTACCTCGATCCAAGACAAGGTATCGGGATGATTCTGAGTGTTCTTTTCACCGTATATGGAGGACATACAACTGTTTGGCACGAGGATCGAGCCGTGGAGACTGCCGGCCTCTATGCCCACCTAATAACCAAGTACAGAGCCTCCGTCATGGCTGCTGACTATTCCGGATTGAAGATCGCCGCCTACAACTACCAGCAAGACCCGATGTCGACCAGACATTTCAAAAAAAACGCCGAGCCTAATTTTAGCTGTGTCAAGATCTGTTTAATTGACACTCTTACCCTCGACCCTGAGTTTCACGAGATCTTGGCGGACAGATGGCTACGCCCAATGAGAAACCCACGGGCTAGGGAAATTGTAACTCCAATGCTCTGCTTGCCTGAGCATGGCGGGATGACCATCAGCATGCGCGATTGGCTTGGCGGCGAGGAACGCATGGGATGTTCTTTGACTCATGAGATGGACCCAGCAGCGCGCGATTCTTCCAAGAAAGACGACTCTAAACTTGAAAAGTCGGAGAACAACACCGGCTTCGGGAGCAGTCTTCTCGGTGGTGGGTCACGGGTGTCGGCCCCGAAAGAGCATGCGAAGAACGAACTGGCAGAAGTCCTTCTCGACAAAGAAGCCCTAAAAAGCAATGAGATTGTCGTCTTGGCCATGGGTGAAGATGCCCGGAAATACGCGAGCAGTATGCCTCACGCTGTGCGGGTTGGCGCTTTTGGTTATCCGATCCCTGACGCAACGCTTGCCATTGTCGACCCGGAGACCAATCTCCTGTGCACCCCAAATGTTATTGGAGAAATTTGGATTGATTCACCGTCTCTGTCCGGTGGCTTCTGGGCGCTGCCCAAACACACAGAGGCCATTTTCCATGCTCGTCCATACAAGTTTGAAGAAGCAAACCCGACACCAATTCTGGTGGAGCCCGAGTTCCTTCGCACGGGTCTACTCGGATGCGTGATTGAGGGCAAACTCTTTGTGCTGGGTCTCTATGAAGACCGTCTCCGGCAGAAGGTGGAGTGGGTTGAGCATGGCCAAGAGCTCATCGAACACCGCTACTTCTTTGTCCAACACTTGATTGTCAGCATCCTGAAGAATGTCCCGAAGATCCACGATTGTACGGCTTTTGATGTTTTTGTGAATGATGAGCATCTTCCGGTCATTGTTTTAGAGTCCTACTCTGCATCAACCGCCCCCACAACGTCTGGTGGTCCTCCGAGACAACTCGACTCGGTCCTTCTTGAATCGCTGGCAGAGAGATGCATGGAGGTCCTGTACCAGGAGCATCACCTTCGAGTCTATTGTGTTCTCCTGACGGCTCCCAATACGCTCCCACGCGTCACGAAGAATGGCAGACAGGAGATCGGCAACATGCTCTGTCGTAGAGAATTCGAAGCCGGCAATTTGCAAGCTGTGCATGTCAAGTTTGGAGTTGAACGAGCGGTTATGAACTTGCCGGTCGGCATTGACCCCGAAGGAGGTATCTGGTCCCCACTCGCACTGGCATCCAGACAAGACATACTCGCCTATCAAGAAAAGCAGTACTCTGGTGTCGACTACCGGGATGTGGTCATGGATGATCGTACCTCCACACCGCTGAGTAATTTCAACACAATTGTCGACCTCCTTCAATGGCGAGTCTCGCGCCAGGCCGAAGAACTGGCTTATTGCACTATTGACGGTCGTGGCAAGGAAGGAAAGGGTATTACGTGGAAAAAGTTTGACCTAAAGGTTTCCGCGGTAGCAACATATCTGAAGAACAAGGTCAAGGTCCGACCAGGAGACCACCTGGTGCTGATGTACACCCACTCCGAGGAGTATATCTACGCCATTCATGCCTGCTTCTGTCTGGGTGCCGTGGTCATTCCGTTGGCACCAATTGACCAGAACCGTCTGTCGGAAGATGCCCCCGCATTCTTGCACGTCATTAACGATTTCAACGTGAAAGCCATTATCGTCAACAGTGAGGTCGACCATGTCATGAGGCAAAAGCTCGTCTCTCAGCACATCAAGCAATCGGCTCAGGTTCTCCGGATTGGTGTGCCAGCAATCTACAATACTGCAAAACCTTCGAAGCAGTCCCATGGATGCCGCGAGCTCGGCTACACCATGAAGGATACCTGGCTCCAGGGGAACTTGCCCGCTCTGGTCTGGACCTACTGGACGCCGGATCAGCGAAGAGTTTCTGTCCATATCGGCCATGATACCGTCATGGGCATGTGCAAGGTGCAGAAGGAGACATGCCAGATGACGAGTTCAAGGCCTGTTCTCGGTAGTGTGCGCAGCACACTGGGTCTTGGTTTCCTTTACACTTGTTTGATGGGCATCTATGTTGGTAAGTGCTAGATAACATTGCACCACAAGTCTTCCGTTCTAACGACTCGAACAGGCGCTCCGACCTACCTTGTCTCGCCCGTTGACTTTGCTCAAAATCCCATGGCTCTCTTTGTAACACTTTCACGGTACAAAATCAAAGACACTTACGCCACGAGTCAAATGTTGGATTACGCAATGACTGCCATGGCCGCGAAGGGCTTCCAGCTTCAGGAATTGAAGAACTTGATGATTTCAGCGGAAGGTCGACCCAGACCCGACATCTGTATGTGCGCTAAACCTTTTTATTGTCGTGCAAGACTGCTAATTCCGATCCCACAGATCAAAGAGTGCGTCTGCACTTTGCCTCCGCCAGTCTGGACCGGACTTCAATCAACACTGTCTATTCGCATGTCCTGAACCCCATGGTTGCCACGAGGTCATACATGTGCATTGAGCCGATTGAGCTCTGGCTTGATATACGAAGCCTGCGACAGGGTCTGATCTTCCCAGTGGATCCGGATGCAGACCCTACTGCGCTTTTGTTGCAGGACTCAGGAATGGTGCCGGTGAACACTCAGATCGCGATTGTGAACCCAGAAACTTGTACTTTGGCCCACGTGGGAGAATACGGTGAGATCTGGGTGCAGTCAGACGCTTGTGCTCAGGGATTCTACAAGTCAAAACAGGAATTTGATGCCGAGCGGTTGAATGGTCGGGTTGCTGATGGGGACCCGAGTGTGCCGTACATTCGAACTGGTGATCTTGGTTTCCTCCACAACGTTACTCGGCCAATTGGTCCTGGAGGGCAGGTTGTGGAGATGCAGGTGCTCTTCGTTCTTGGAAGCATCGGTGAGACTTTTGAAGTCAACGGCCTGAACCACTTCCCTATGGACATTGAAAACTCGGTGGAACGCTGCCACCGCAACATTATGAATGGAGGATGGTATGTATTACATGATACTCTTCTTTCTCTTTACGACCGAAGCGCTTACAGTCTCTAGTGCTATTTTCCAAGCCGGTGGGTTGATCGTCGTGGTGGTTGAAGTCACTCGCAAGGCGTATCTAGCCTCCCTTGTCCCAGTGATCGTGGACTCTATCCTCAATGAGCATCAAGTGGTGGCAGACATTGTTGCATTCGTATCTCACGGCGACTTCCCCCGCTCTCGTCTGGGTGAAAAGCAACGTGGAAAGGTCCTCGCATCGTGGGTGACCCGAAAGCTTCGCACGATTGCTCAATTCAGCATCCGCGACATGGAAGGCTCCGATCCGTTTGGGGAGATGCCTCAGCATCGCAGCAGCCGAAGAAGCTCTAAGCCGGACAGCATCATGGGTAATAGTCTCCGGCGGTCGACGCTCAACCCAGAGAATGATGCACCTGCTGTGCCGCGGTCCCCGGCCCCGGTGGTGCTCGAGGAGAGAATTGAAGCACTACCGAGTGCGTATCAGGATAAGCCGGTGCCAGCCTTGCCGCAAGAGCTCGACGTCCCCACCGACAACGCCGTTGCCGCCACACCCGTTCCTGAGCCCACTTCGGCTGTGCCTCACATCCGGGAACCGCAGTCAGCCACCATCGTGAGCGAGTATGACGATCACCCGCACATGCTAGAGCCGGTTAATGTTCCCGACGTGAGCCCGGTGAGCCCGGTGAGCCCGGCCAATGACTTCCGTTTCAGCTTCGACATCATAAACACGCCAATGGACCATCAATCGCAAGAACCGGTTTCCCCCGTTGACCCGCCCTCCACCGGGCGAGACTCGCTTCCCAGCCGTCAGCCATGGCGATACAGCAGCGCCCCTGGCATGGCCAACACCACCCAGGACGAGAAGCCGCGGCCAGGCACCCAGGAGAGTGGATTAATTGACGATTGGCCTCAGGAAGCTCTCATGTACCAGTCGACGCTGGGGGCGGAAGACAGCCAAGGAGTCCATCGCACGCCCAGCAGCACAAGCGCTGCCGCGCGAAAGTGTTATGATGGAAGTGGCTACGACTCATGATGGGGGCGAGGCAGACTGGGTCCGCTTTGAGGTGTTCCAGATTCCATCAAGGCCCAATCTTGTTCAGCCTTGCCATGCCTTGAAGCGTTTGAATGTTTTGCTATTTTCTCTTTTTTTCCCCTCTTGCATTGCGGATTGTTTCTAATATCCCTGACTTTTCTCTCACCCCGATTACCTGATGCTTGTCAATCTTGTTTTGTCCCCCTCCCGCATTTCATCTTGCTCTTTTGTACATATTTGAAATCTCACGTGCATAGTCTCCTAATTTCGTTTTAGATCTCTTCCAAGGAGGAGCCGACGTGGGGGGTGCCTTGGGCGAAATGTGTATCTCGCGTGACATTTGCTTGTATTGAGGGCTGTGTACAATTGCCAAATATAGTCCTCCCCGAGTGTACCTATACTGATGTTCCTAACGTAACGAAGAGTAAATAAGAAATAAAATAAAAGGAGCTCCCGAAAAGCCCCTGACACTGACACGATCGTCTCCCGCCGGCGAGTCAGATTTGAGTTAAAACAGAAATGATAGACGTCAGACCCAGTTAGGCTGCCTTACCGACATTCCAGGCCCTTGATCTTCCTGCGGCTCATGGCGAGCGAAATGGTCCACTTGTTTTGGCAACCTAGCTCTGCTGCTTCGCATCGAGCTTGCCACGGGCCTTGATACTCGTAGGCTTGAAGCCAAAGTTCGGGACCCACCAGTCTCCTTGGCCGTTGTTGAAGCTCAAACCACCAGTGTTGAAGTCCATGCCACCCTTGTCATCGTCTGAGTAGTAAAACGCGAGATTGCTGTCACTGCAGAACCACGGAGCATCCGCCTGGAAAGTCTTGTATTTGTCTGTTGCGAATTCGATGTGTTAGCAAACCATGCATAGAAGAATCAAGGTCACGAAACACGGAAGAAAAAAAAGAAAAAAAAAAAAAAGAAAACATACCGTTCGACATTTCGCACTGCTCCGTGTCCGGGTTGTATTTGCCCATACCGACGACGCTGGTGTCTCCCGTGCATTCCAGGACGTTGTTGAAGTAGAAGTTGCAGGTGCCGTCGTCGTTTTTCAGCTCAAATGGTCGCGTCGTCGGCAAGAGTGGATGACGGTACTGGGGCGCGGCTGATGGTCGTTGTCGGGGCGGCGGCGAAGGCCATGGCTGGGAAGATGGCGGCAGCAAGAAGGGCTTTGAATTGCATGGTGAAATGGGAGCTTTCTTTGGAACAGGATATAACGGAGCAAGAGAGAGCTGGGAGGGTAATGGTTGTTGCCTCTATTTAAACATTGGAAATGAAACGCATAGTACAACTGGGGCACGAAGATTGGGGGCGCCAGCTTTAACCAAACTGGGCCATTTCTCGGGTGCTTCGGGGGAAACTTGGACTCTTAACGTCCGGAGTGAGAAAGCTGAAACCCCCGAATATTCATTGTTGTCCACTGCCTCACCATGGCATTGCTTCAGTCCGTAGTTTTTCGTCTCAGTAGGATGTAATGGATCTAAACCTCACATCGCCTCTATACTGTTCATAATTGTATGGCCAGTACCCGTGTACTTTGAGTTGAAATGACGAGAAATTTAAATACTATATAGACTTAATGAGCATAATATAGGCTAGGAACTATCCATACATCCCAGACGTAGCTCCGATAATCTTCGCCAGGCTTTCTCCAAGGCGCACAACTCCTTGTATAGAAAACACTGCCTTGCAAGTATCTTGCATTCAATTAGATAGAAATGACCTTCAGCAACATCCCGATTCAAAACACCACGGTACACCATATTCAATTTATAGCTCGAGTACCGAAAAATTCAAGTCTCAGTAACCTCAGCTTATGCGTAGCCAGTCTGCACAGATTTGAGGTTTCCAGGAACCTTGAGAGTATTTGGCTTGACACCAACTTGGATAATATATTGACCGTTGCCATTGTCAAACGCAACATCTCCCTTATCGCTTTGGAGCCACTGGGCATCCTTTGACGAAGCGTCTATTGCCTTTCCGTCCGATGTGGTTCCGTCTAATTGAATGTTAAATCTGATCTCCTATAACCCGATTGCGATACAAAAACTTCGTAATAGTGTCAATCTCCTATGTAGAAAGATGAAAAATGCGACAAACTTTTTACAGCCTACTGGGCTTCGGCTTGTTTTGTCAACTGCTCGATGTTGACCTTGGCGCTCAGATCACCGTTGGCAGTGACCGCCTCGTTTGATCCGGTCAGCTCCTCGAGGGCCTGCAGATCATCGGTGGTAAGGATATTGGAGCGGATGGGACGGAAGGGGGCGGGCGAGCCGGCACGGGAGGTCAGGAACTAGTACAGCGAGTTAGTTATGTGATATACAGTCAAAGGAGACAGACCGAAGAAGAAAGACAAAACACAAGACAAGAACTTACCGAGCTGGCAGCGCTCAGCAGGGCAATCAAACTAGCCTGGACCACGTCCTGGTGGATGCCAACACCCCACAGCTGTTCCTTGCTACCGGCCGCCGTGCACTGGATGTATGTGGCGGCCTTGACTTCACGACCCAGACCGGTTGCGGGCTTGTTGACTTCGCGGTTACCGCCAATCGAGTGCTCCTTGTAGTCGAGTACATCCAAGTCAATACCCAGAGTAGACAGAGCGGAGGCCAGCGAGGAGATGGCACCGGGGCCGACACCCGTGATGGCATGCTGGACATTGTCGATCTCCACGATACCGGTGAAGCGACGCTTGAGGTTCTTGGTGTTGACAGCCTTGCCCGGCTCGGGCGGGGCGGGCGACTGGGAGCGATCGGTGGTGATGTTGTAATCGACCAGGTTGAAGCGCGGATTGGACTTGAGGTGATACGACTCCTCGAAGAGGTGGACAATCTCCGACGGCCGCAGTTCCCGGCTGACAGCCTCGGTTTGCTTCTGCACCACCTTGCTGAACTCGACCTGCAGCGCGCGCGGGAGATCCAGCTCCAGGCTGCGCAGGATGACCCAGGCAGTGCCGCCCTTGCCGCTCTGCGAGTTAACACGGATGACAGCCTCGTACGTCCGGCCGATGTCCTGCGGGTCCAGCGGCAGGTATGGGATGGCCCATTCGTCGTCGTCGGTGGCGGCCCCGTCTTCGCGCAGCTTGAAGCCCTTCTTAATCGCGTCCTGATGGCTCCCGCTGAATGCGCAGACGACCAGCTGTCCACCATATGGCCATCGCTCGTTGACAGGGATCTTGTTGCTCTCCTCGACGACCTTGATGACTGCGTTGATATCCGAGAAGTCGACCTTGGGAGACACACCTTGTGTATACAGGTTCAGCGCCAGGGTGACCAGGTCGACGTTGCCAGTGCGCTCGCCGTTACCGAACAGCGTGCCCTCAACACGCTGGGCACCGGCCATCTGCGCCAGTTCAGCAGCCGCGACGGCACAGCCTCGGTCGTTGTGCGGGTGTACCGACACCACGAACTTCTCGCGCTCGGGCATGTTCGTGCAGAAATATTCGATCTGATCGGCAAAGATATTGGGAGTGGCCATCTCTACTGTTGCGGGCAGGTTGAAAATGAGCGGGTTCTCGACGGTAGGCTCCCAGGCCTCCTTGACGGCCCGGCAGACCTCTACGGCAAACTCGGGCTCAGTGTCCGAGAAGGTCTCGGGTGAGAACTCGAACTGCCACTCGGTGCTAGCCATAGACGGGTCATCCTTGGTGATAGAGCGCGCGTACTTGGTACAGCGCACAGCCATCTCCAGACTCTTTTGCCGGTCCATGTTGAAGACGATCCGTCGGAAACAAGGGCTGGTCGCGAGGTAGATATGCAGGATGGCCTTTTTAGCGCCCCTCAGAGATTCCACTGTCCGTTTGATCAGGTCTTCGCGGCATGGCGAGAGAACTTGCAGCGCGACATCATCGGGTGTGAGACCGGGCTCTTCGACCAGGCGGCGCGTGAAGTCGAAGTCGATTTGAGATGCGGACGGGAACGACACTTCGATTTCCTTATACCCAATATCCACCAGCATCTTGAAGAAGCGGTATTTTTGCTCGACATCCTATTGAGAGGCAAAAAGTCAGTTTCATTCCATCAGAATTTCGTCTTCACAGACATAATCCTACCATAGGATCCGGCAGAGATTGGTTGCCATCGCGCAGATCAGTGGCCAGCCATCGCGGAGCCTTGTCAATGATCTTGTTAGGCCATTGGCGATTCGGCAGATCCAGTGGCTTAAACTGCTTATATTTTTTCGAGGGGTCTTTCAGCCTGTTCGATGTCAGCACACCGTTCATGTGTCCCATGCTACACGACCTACATCGGCATGGCGGCGGTTGGCGGGGTACCGCGGGGTGTGTAGTTGATAAGAGGCGATAAAAAACACAGTCGGGTGTGACAGAACGCACAGAGGTCTGACCAGAGGAAAATACTCGGTTCTGGCCAAAATAAAAAAGTCGAAGTCCTTTTAAAATAAGGCTAAAGACCAATGAAGGAAGCGGGATTTGCTGTGACTCAAAAAAAAAACACCAGTCGATGACGCCGAGTTTTAGGCGCCGACAGCGGAGTCACGTGACATTCTTCGTGCAATGTAAGGGCGTGCTGATCGGCAGCAGAAGGAATGGGCGGGTTGCATAGGCAATGCCATACCATAGCCTCCAGGAGCCATTTTCTCACAATTGAGTTAATTTTGGGCATCAGCACAGGCAATATCCTGTCAGCTTTCACGCGAGTGCCCCCGAACATCGGAGCCGTTCCTGCCTCAGGCGGCAAGGGCCGCGGCTAACCGCAGTGGGAACTCAATAGAAATAGAAATGAGAAGAATGGCTGAATTGTGCTTGTATAAATTGCCTGGTTCTTTCACTAATGCAAATAATTGAATAATATCGGTAGTGTACATTGATCAGGAAATATGACGTATAATACAAATGCAAAGCTGAGGAGCTCTTATAAGAACTTTTTCTCGAACTCCACCAGCAACGGGTAAACCTCGTCCACTTTAAGCTTCACGGCCCGAGGATTCTGCAGCGCACTTTCACCAAGTTCGGCTTTGATCAGTGCCTGGAGCTGTTGCCCATCGTGATCGGTCTTGCTCTGCATCTGTCCGGTGACATCCACAGTGATTCCACCATCCGCCAAGTCGCGTGAACCCAAGATGAAGATGAGATTGTATTTCATCTGCTTCGCGCGCTGGATCTTCTTGCCCAGTGTTTGCGGGCTAGTGTCGACATCCACCATAAAGGTCGGATCCACCGCCGAGAGCGGGCGCGGTGGCCCTGCGGTGCCATCATGGAGGAGTGCGCGGAATCCTGAAAACGCGGCTGCTGCCTCCTGGGCCTGGCGCACCACTGCGTCGTCCTGGTTGACCGTCAAAATGATGGCCTGGCGCGGCGAGAGCCAGAACGGCCAATGGCCGCCGTGATGCTCAATGAGCAGCGCCAGGAACCGCTCGATTGAGCCAAAGATGGCGCGGTGGATCAGCACGGGTGTAGCAACGCCAGGCGTGGCAGGGTTATAGTCCTCCTCGCCCTCGGAAACCTGATATTCCAAGCCGAAACGCTGAGGCAGATTCATATCAAGCTGAATGGTAGACAGCTGGTGAAACTTGCCTGCTTGGTCTTGCAACTGGATATCAATCTTGGGGCCGTAAAAGGCGCCGTCGCCCTCATTCAGTGTCCAGTCACGACCCGTGCTATCCAACGCCTCCTGCAGTTGCTTCTCTGCACTGTCCCACATCTCCGGGGTCCCAATTAAGTCGGTCTCGGGCCGGGTCGATAGCACGAGTCGGTACGGGCCCAGGCCGAAAGTGGTCATCGCCATGTCGACGAACCCCAGTGCCGATGCGATTTCCGATTTGATCTGCTGCGGGCGGCAGAAGATGTGTCCGTCGTCCTGGTGGAAACGGCGCACGCGCGTAAGGCCCGTCAAGGAGCCAGACACTTCGTTTCGGTGCAAGGGACTGAAATCCGCATAGCGAACAGGCAGATCGCGGTAGGAGTGGTTCTGCGATTTGAACAGGAGGCAATGGCCGGGGCAGTTCATCGGTTTCAGTCCGTACGATTCGTCCTCGCCCACCTCGCCGCTTGTCTCTCCAGTCGCTCCGCGACCAGTCACCTCGTACATATCATCCTTGTAGTTTTGCCAATGACCTGACACTTCCCAGAGTGATCGTTTGTAAATCGATGGCGTCAGAACCTCGCGAAAGCCGTATTGCAGATACTGGGTGCGGAGGAAGGAGAGGAGCTTGTTGATGACGTGTGTACCTTTCGGAAGAAACAGGGGAGATCCAGGGCTGTAGACAGACGAGGTGAAGAGCTCTTGTGTCGTTCCTAGAGCTCGGTGGTCGGTGGGTGGTATTGTGGAAGTTTCGGGGTTGGCGTTGGCGGCCTCAGAACACGAACAAGGGCGAGCAGCGGTCGTTGACAGCCATTGCCATCGTGCTGGCTGCCATAGCAGCGCTCTATTAACCACAGGCCGAGTGCCGAGGTGTGGGCGAAGCCGGGTCAACGGGCGCATTGTGGGTTGCACTGAAGACCGTCGCCCGTTGTGTTTCCTGCAGATCCCGTCGGCTTTCCCCACCGCTTTGTCGCGACAGGGAGACCCCAGGCCACTCGTTTCACCTACACGCCCTTCTTCCTGATGGTTGCAGATGATCTTCCTGGCTATTATTTGTGGCACGAGTCCTTGAAGACCTTTTCTCAAGCTCTAAGCCCTTGTTAAACTGCACCTGTCGCGTCGGGCTGACATGTTTACTGCGCCATGGCGGAACATCAAGCTCCAGATCGGTCGGTTCTGGGCGAGTCGTGGGTGATGGCATCGACTGCTTCTGTAACCGAGAGGGACACCGAAGACAAACATGAGCCAGGCAGCCCCAGCCCACAACCAAGAGAGGGCAAACCCAGAGATGGCGCAAAGACCACAAACCAGGGATCTGGGTCGCTGGCATCATCTTCGTCGTCATGGTCTATGTCAGGCCCAGAGCTCATTATGCCTTCTATTTACGAAGTGCCTATATCAGAAGCGTCGTGGGTAGCGCCGCATGTGCGCTCGAAAACGCACACCATGAGGAAACGCCGCAAGGTATCGGCCGATGGAGGCTTACTGCGAGAGAAGCACCGGTCTGATACTGCCACTGACAAGGCAGACGCTGGCTCGTCTGTTACGAAAACAAGTCCTGCCGGCGATAGCGCGCGTGTGAGCGTAGTCACCAAACTCGCTACCTTCTGTCGTGAGCGACGCGCCCTCTTGCGGACAGTGCTCAACGCAGTCCTGATGTCTGCCATCCTCCACCTGCTAGTTCTACCAGAAGTAGTCTACCAGACCCAAGACCTTTGTCACTTTCCCGTTGTTGCAACCCTCTACCCCGACAGCTGTGTGCGGCTAGACACGACATCCCCTCCACGCAGCCCCTTCCGCCACTCTAGCCCAACATCCCCAGAAGACACCCTCGTCGCCTCTCAAAAACAACTGGAATCCATCTTCGACACCACCCTCCAGACCCTAACACCCTTAGCAGACATCCTAAAACAAAGCGAAAGCATGCTGCGCGACCTAGAAGACCAGCTCAAAGCCCACTTCCCAGACGCCAAGAACGCCCTCGACCTTGAATTCCAGGGCAGCGACCAGGCCGTGCGGACCGCCGCCTGGGAGTTCGATTCGCTGCGCGCGGACCTGCGCTCGGCGGTCGACAGCCTACTCGCATCTCCGCCAACGCTGGAGTCTGGCGGATCCATCGCCCGCGACACCCGGCTGGCAACCCAGCTCCGGCGCCGAGAAGAATATCTCGACCGGCTGCGCGCTCAGATCCGCACCAAGGCCGACTCGCTTGGCAGCCAGTTTATCACGCTGGACGACCACCTCGAAGCGGTGGACGGGATCGTTGCGCGCGAGGAGCGCAGGGCTGATTTCCAATTCCCTGCTGCGGACGCCACCGAAGACCGTTTTCAATCGCTTCTGGACTCGCTCCAGCACTACGTGCCTTTTGGGTCGCTTTTTTCCCAGCCGCACTCCACGGCTGATTCTCCGTCGTCGTCGTCGCCTTCCTCCGCTTCCGCTTCCCGGCCCTCGACTTTGGCTCTGCTGCGGCTGGCTGCGACAAACCACCGTCCTGTGGCCGACTCAGTTTTGCGTCTGACCCGGCAGCTGCGGGATGTGCAGCGGGTTCGGCAGGGTGCCACTTGGTGAGGGTCAATTTAGAAGTGAATTTGCGGTTCGTTCATGATTATCGCAATTTGTAAGGTTTCGGGTTTTTCTTATGATTTCTTTGATTTGTATGGATTGGGAATTGCATATTTCCACAGCGGGAGTGAAGAGGGATGATCAGGTGAGTTGAATAATGAGCTACGAAATACATGACTTTATTTACTTCTTTGGATCGGCTTGTGTTTACATAGTTTCATTCTCGCCTTGGGCCCTGGTTTTAGAGGTACCAAGGACTTTCTTTATACCGGATGTAAAAGAATATTTTTTTTTTTTAAAAAAAAAGGAATAACTTGTGATACGGATAGCTGAAGTCCCCGCTTGTGGATATCCATGGATACCCCGTGTATCTAGGGCTGGCGCAGACCAGAATGAAATGGGATCAAGGCGCGTATGAGCCCAGATTAAGATCAAGTCGATGCATGCATTCATGCAGCCATCCAGGCAGATCAGTTCATGTATACTTCCCAATAAATTCTAATGCTATTACGAGACAAGAGCATTGTATGGCGACAGATATGGATGGATAGATACATCGGAGAATGAAATGAAAAGGAAAAGAGGATATCACCGTCCCCGAGCACAAAAAAAAAACAAGAGGACATGGAAAAGTAGGAACAAGATCCAAAACCAGGCGATATAAACTTCCCTTTCCCCAAAAAAAGAGAAAAAAAAAAAAAAGTACAAGAAATAGCGACATCCCTTCATCCCAATTGCCCGAATCCAGCCCAGTTTTCCTCAGTTTTCATGTAAATTAAAAGGAGAGAAAACGAATCTGCCGGATGGGCAAAACAAAAAGCAAACTCCATGTTGATCCCGGTGCTTTTTGCGCTTTACAGCTGGAAGAAAGCCGTGAGGATGGCCAGCAGCGACAGGGGCGCCACGTAGGTGGCGGCCATGTTGGCGGCGGCGTTGTACGACGAGCTGGGGCTGGCGCTGCTGCTGGTGCTGGAGCCCGAGCCCGAGCTCGACGGGGAGCCAGAGCCAGAGGCAGAGGCAGAGTCCGAGCTGGAGCTGCCGCCGGAGCTCGAGGAGTCGGCGGCCGAGCTGGAGCCCGAACCGGTGGACTTGGAGCCAGACGACTTGGTGGTGGTGGCCATGGTGGAGCTGGCGCTGGACGAGCTGTCGGTGGAAGAAGACGAGTCGGACGAGCTGGAACTGGAGCTGGAGGACTCGTCGCGGGAGGTGGCGCCGCTCTTCTTGATGCTCTTGGCGTCGCCAGACTTGTCGGTCCACTCGTACGACTTGGCGGGGTTGTCATTCTTGATCTGAACCTCCTTGACGTACATGGTGAAAGGAGCCTTGGAGTAGTCGGTCGAGCCACCGGCCCACTCGATGGTGCCCTGGCCGTTGGAGGGGTCACCGCCGGCCCACACGCCGATGCGCACACGCATGGGCGTCTGGGGGAACCGGCTGCCGCCCTTGGCATCGGCCTTCTTCACAGTGCGCACATCCTTGTCGTCGATCTTCCAGGTGATGTGGTCCTCGGCCCACACGATCTTGTACTCGTGCCAGGTGCCCTGCGGGTCAGACACGGGCGGGTAGGTCTCGCGGTCGTAGGTGGTGGTGTCACCCTTGCCGAAGTAGTTGGTCTCGATCTTGTCGTTCTTGCTACCCAGACCCTCCTGTAAGATAGGTTAGTAAGGGTGTCGAATGTTTCTAGGGAAACGCTATGAGATGCAGAATCGAAACACGTACCCAGTCGATCTCGTCAAGGTCATCCGACTCCATCACAATGGAGCTGACGATACCAGTGCCGGGAGCAGCCTTCATCTTGACGGTGAGCTCACCGAAGAAGAAGTAGAAGGGGGTGTCGATGGTCGGGGCATCGCCCTTCTTGCCGACGGTGAACTCGGCACCCTGGTCGCCAGTCTTGACCTTACCGCCGGTGGTCTTCCACTTGTCGACATTCTCCTGCTTGGTAAAGTCGTAGGTGATGTGAGACTCGGTAGTACCCTTGTTAGGGGGGCAGGACTTCTTCATCGGGTTGCAGTCACTGTGAGTCTGGGCCGAGACGAACGGGGCGGCCGCAGCCAGAGCCGCGGTCGCATACTTAAAGAACGACGGCATGGCGGGATAATAATAGGGGTGTGGTGAATTGAGGGGGAAAACAAAAGTCAGTGAGCGGGAGAAAAGTGAGCGATATATAAATCCGCCGAAATGGAAGGAATTCCAAAAGAATGAAGTGGATCTGGGAAGCTGAGCGAGCGACGGTCCCCGAAAACAGTATGAACAGAAAAAAGGGCTCCACGGGTTGCCAGGGGATGGGTCACTACTTTTTGTATCTGGACACCACAACACTAGCGAGGGGAGTGGACTCTTCGGAAAAGGAGGAGGCGGAAGATTGGCCAACAGGGATCGCACTCCCCTGAGTGATGCAGTGGGCGTGGAGCTGAGAGGTCAATGGGCGCTCGGGGTGGCGATTGCGAGACACCAAGAGTGTAAGACGGGGCCTGATGTGGACCCTGCTGGGGCCGGTCCCATCGCAGGAGCTGCTGGGGGAACTGAGTGGAGCAAAGCTTGTGCTCGCCTCGGTTGGGTTGAGAAGGGTGAGACAAATGAAATAGGGAGATATGCAAGCAGACGTCAGTTGGGATGTAATGGACGCGATCAGGTTGACCTTGGATGTATTTTGGGGGAGAGTGGTGTCTGGTATGGACGCAGACAGAAGTGTGTCAGGTCGAGGATCGGCCGATCATCTCGGGCGATCGCTGTTACACTCCTTTTTCGCTTCGCAGTGTTATGTATCTTGGCTGCCTGAAAACACCCAAGGTGATAATCCATATGAAAGAGAGGATTCTTGGTCCAGAAATTAGATCCATGGATCACTAGAATACAATTGTGATACAATTGTCCCATTGTTCGCAGAGATGGAGAAGAGCGTGGACGCCGAAAACGGGCACTAAACAACGTACTGTACTTGGGAGTTACCCCAAGTGAGACACACTGAGACATGGGGCGATTGTACATAATAATCTTTTTCATAAAATAATAGCCTTGAATATCCCTCGAGTGGCATGAACCCATTCAAGACGCGTGAACGAACGGCCTGTGCACTGGTGGCGCCATGCGCAACCGATGGATTCAGGCCACAGTGAATCCCTCGAGATAGCTTTGACGTACGCAATGACTCGATTCATCGATCTTCAACAAAACAAACACAAGAAACACAATAATAAACATCGGTGGATGAGCCCTAATTCCCCCCCTAACTGACCCAAAGGAACAGCTGCAGGGGGCTCTTGGCGCCGAACACTTCATTACATGGATACTCCTTGGTTTACCATATTGTACGATCCATGGATATCTCTGGATGTATCCATGTTCTTCTGTTCTTTGTACTTATTTCTGTCAATTTCTGCCTTGAGAGTCTACGATCCACTTCCCGATTATAGTGATACAGGGGATGTCTCTCCCTACAAGTGGACCCCTTCCCCCCCCTTCGACACAAATTTAAGAATAAGGGGTTGACTCGATGTGATGATGGCATGTCTCAAATTGGTGGGATCAGATCAACTATGGCTAATGGTGAATAGCAGCATAGAAATGAAAAGATCAAGAAACAATTTCCCTCGAATGTCACCACAACCCCCATTTTCCATTTTTCGACATGTCCCACTCACAGACGCACCTCGGTCGGCCCGGTCAGAGCAATGTTCGTCTTCTTCGTCACGCTCTGGCGCGGCGCATCAGACTTCACATCCCGTCGACGCTCCCCGGTCGGCCGGGTCGTCTGGCCGAGCAGCGTGATAGCCTCGATGCCCACGTCCTTGGGATGGTACCCGAACTTGCCCCGAATCGTCAGGCGGCCACCACGGTACTGGAATTGGATCTCGGTGGTCGTGTGGGGGTCAATCGACTCGCCGTCATCCAAGTACAACTGGCCCGATGCGGTGCCATCCAGTCCGGGGGCGATGAGCAACTCGAAGCCGCGGCGGCGCAGCTCGGTGGTGGTCCGGGCACTCTTCGTGCGTACGGGGACAATATTCCCACCGCGGATGTGGATTGGGATGTGGGTGGTGTTGATGCCGGACATTGTGATGTTGGACCCGTGGCCACGCACCGCGGCTCCTGTGTACCAGTCGTAGAACACGTCGTCTGGGAAGTAGGCGTCCACCGAGGTAAGTCCCTCATCAAGCACTGGCGAGATCAGAATCGAATCGCCGTAGAAGAACTGCAGTTGGTTGGAAAACGTCTGTTTGTCTTTCGGGTACAGGTAGAACAGTGGCTGCAGGAACGGCTCGCCTGTCTGCGACTGCCGGTGGAACGAGGTATACAGATAGTCAAGCAGCCGGTAGCGAATGTCAATCACCTTGCGGGCTGCCTCGACGACCTTGGGCCAGCGGTAGAATTCCTGTGGGATGGACTCGAGGGCGTTGTGGTTGCGGAAGAATGGATAGAACCCGCCCAGCATGGCCCAGCGAGAACACAGTTCCTCGGTCGTGTTTCCGCCGAACCCGCACACGTCGGATCCTATCATGGGGACCTGGAAGATCGAGGCAAATGCTAACATCTGGGCAATCGATGCGCGGTAATGGTCCCACTGGCTTAGGTTGTCGCCGAGCCTGAGAGAAATGTTCGTTTAGAAAGACACCTGTGAGTTAACATGTACTGGTACTTACCAGTGACCAACATGGGCGCCGGCGCCAGCAAAGGTGCTGCGCGTGATCACCAGAGGTCGAACCTTTGGCCGGCGCTGAATCATGGCCTCGCGGGAAGCAGAGCTCATCACTGGAGACGGTGTCAATAATGGTCACAAAATGACTGCGACAGACGTACTAGTGCCATAGAGATTGTGCGTGTCATACTCGGCATAGCCCTCACCGGCATGAACAATATCAGTAGCAATCGTCTTGTTGCTGAGAGATCCAGCAGCATTGGCGATCTTGTAGCGAGGGTTGATGAGATCTCGGCCAGGAAGACCGGCCTTCTTGCCCTTTGTATTCTGGCTGCTTTTCTCCTGGGTCTTTTTCGTCAAGTGCTGCGACGAGGAAGGCTGAAAGTCATCAGGGAAACCGGGTATATGGCGCGGAGGCGATCGGACTGGCGGGGGCGCAGGAGGCAGGTTGTTATTCTCGGAGTATGCCGCGGGATCTTTGCATGGCCAGGGACAGAAGTTGGATGCCTCGTTCATATCGATCCACAGGCCGTCGATATCCACGCCGTCCTTGCTACCGAAGAACCGTTTGAATTCGCCATTCCAGTAATCTTGGGTTTTCGAGTTGAACCAGTCAGGGAACACAGTCAACCCGGGCCACACAGCACCTGCGTTGGTGAGTATGTATTTGCAACATGTCATAAAGAATCATTCGACTTCATACCCTGGTAGAGCGTGTCATCTTCATGGTACAGGAAAACGCCGTTTTTCTGTCCTCGATTGAATGCACCATTGTCTGCGAGAGAGCCTTGATGTCAGAATCAACTGTAGCATTTTAATGGCGTTTCGTAGCTCAACATACTACTGTCGCTCACAGCTGGGTCCACCATGACAATGTAATGCTGATAATGGTTATGAAGATAGGACACTAGTTCGCGCATCTTCTCTTGAGGGAACCGCTCAGGATCCAGCGTAAACACTCGCCGGCCATCCATGTAGTCGATATCAGTCCACATCGTCTCGAGTGGGATACCGGCATGGCTATAGTTATAGACTACCTCGGCGACATCGTAGACATCGCGGTATCCGTATCTGCAGTTGTGGAACTACATAGAAAGAAATAAATTGTAAGTTAAACCAAAAACCACTTTGAAATGAAATCCAGCAACATACCCCAAAGGTCCAGTAGCTCTGCATGGCCGGAAGACCGACGATGTCCGAGTACTGCGCGCTGACATCCTTGGGGGTTGGGCCGGCCATGAAATAAAAGTCGAACACCCCACCCAAGGTGTTGTACTCAAGGTATTGCTTGCCTTCATCATCCTTGTCGATCTTGATATCCATGCCGTTGGAGTTGAGGAAAAAGACACCATGAGTGCCTGCCTCCCCACGGTGATCTATGTAGATCGGGTGGTTGCCATAGAGATTCGAGTTGTATGGAACACCGTAGGCATCACGACTCCATAGAGTACGGGTGTAGTTGGTGGTGGACAGGCGCAACGAATCGCTGTGCTCTCCGAGTCCATACAGATATGGGTCATCAGGAAGCCAGGTGCGCAGGTTCAGGTACTGAGTCTGAAAGACCAGGTTGGAGGCAGCAGTATCAAAGAGGACCTCTTCATCACGCAGGACTCTGAAAGAGAAGGGCTCCTCTTCATAGTCAAACTTCAGTGCAGACTGCTTATGATGATCACCATGATCACCGTGGGGCCGTGGAAGCACAGACTCTGGGACCTGGTAGACTTCTTCATCGGCATCGTAGATCATCACATGCAGACGATCCTCTAGGCAACGTGAGTAGATGGTGTCTTGCTTGAGGTTATCGACTCTCACCTGTCTGGTACTCCACGAGGAGCTTGAGCTTCTGGAGGTCAGAGCCATACGAATCACAGGGGTCCCCCGCAAGAGTCAAATCTGCCGTCAAGGACTGGCCCCGTTCTTCGACATTTGAGGCCTTGTAGCCAGGGCATGGGGTAGGACTCTCAGACCGGGGTCCCAGGGCAGCAGCACCCACGAGGGGAGCCAGGAAGAGCAGTGGACCTCTCATGTTGGAAATTCAACTTGAGTTGGAAGCACAGCAGGGAAGAGATGGGTGGAATGGAAAGAGCTGGGATTTATGTGAGAACAAGGTCGGGGTAAGTGAGGAAGCAAGGAGAGTGCGACTGTGTATGCAGGCAGCTACGCCTGTTTGCCAGTTGCTTCTCTTCCTGTGCAAACATCTCACAAAGGCAGCGACGACCATCCTCCATCATTCTTGCCATCGCGGGGAAAAGTGCGGAGAAGCATACGGGTAATTGTCGGGCTTAGCTCTACAGGGTTTCTGCAGGGTTGATCCTGGATACGAGTGGTTACTCTATGGTGCCAAGCTGCAGCTAGTTCATGATGATTAATGCAGTATCAAAGCCTGAAAGTTAAAAGCGATTTCGAGCCCTTATGATCCTTTCGATAACCGAGGTGATCTTCCTTTATGCCTAAGGGCGGGCACTTCTTAGACTAACCAGAAAGTCTTTACAATAATATCATCTTAAAAGGACACAATAAGTAGGAACTAAAGCTAAAAGATGAAATCGTTGATTAGTTTATCTTCGGCTCAAAGGTTTTGGATGTACATGGCAGCCCTAACATATTGGTTATGCTACTCATTCGGCTTATGACTCCAGTTCAACCACTTCAAAATTGCATGGAATTAGCTCCAAGTTTTTTCATAAAGAAATAGTGCCATCGCTCACCTCACGTCCTTTAAAGCGTGGAGAAAGCTGGTAGATATCATGGCATACCACGCGAACTAGTTAAGCTCGAAGTAACTTCTACAAACAATCTCTATTTGTAAATTTGCCGTGCTAGAATTTTCTCTGAGTTGAGCACAAATTTACAGTTTTTAAAAGTGCTTCGACGCCATCTATACACCCCCAGGATCTGAATCAAGAACTGTAGAGTCTGGAATCAAGTCAGAAAGCTCTCCTTCATAACTACCGGCAAAAAACTGTCCATCAGCCATAAGCATCCAGTCCAAATCCGAATCAATCTGGAAATCCGTCTGCGCATTGAGTCTCGCAGGCGCAAAAACATCCTGTCCCAGCGACGCTGGAAGAGGGAGTTCATTTGACGCCCGTGAGCGCTTCCGCGGGATATAAGTAGGTTCGGTGCGTCTCCGGGATAGCTTGCTGGGATATGTTCGGACTTCCCACCGTCGCTGTAAACTCACGAGGAGGTCCTTTCCCCGTCGCGCACTGTGCCAGGAAAGAGCGAATTCATCGAGTGCGCGGAAGCAGGTGCTTAAATGGGCGGCGATCTCACCCGGGGAGTGAGATGGATACTGGGACACGGCGGCGAAAAGGAGCAGCAGCACGGCGGAGGATGTGATTGACACAGCCTTGGCATTAATATATCGCAGCGTATATTGGGTCTCGTACAGTACGAGGATCTTGGAGATGGCGATGGCGGACTGGATGCACATTTCGCGCGCATGCAGATAACCTGGGCCTTTGGGGGGTTGTGGTTGGATGTGGCTTTTTGACATCCAGGGCCTGTGCGCGTAGATCATATTTTGATAATATTGCATGCTTTAATTGGAAGATAGTTAGTTTGGTCCTCGGCTTTTAGATACATTGAATGCATTGACTTACTGGAGCAGCAACACATGTGGAAGATATGGCGAGGTCATGTCGTGGAGATTGATTTGTAACATGGGTGGGAGCTTGGCCTTCCATCTGCGGAGCTCGAGAACGACTTTTTCATTCAATTCTTGCAGAACTGCCTTGGAGATATTTGGTGTGCCGTACCTGAGAGCAATATTGAGCTGCGTACCTTCACGGGTAGTAAACTAGGACTTACAGGAAATACCCACACGGGGCCATGAGGTCACAGAGAGACACCAGGTGCTGGCTCACGGTTTCTGTACAATCCGGTAACTCGGATGAATTGACAGCGGGTAAAATATAAGGGACCCATCTGCGTGGTTCTTGTTCATTCACTTGGTCGCTGGGCTTACCAACCGTCACATCCTCCATGTTGGTGCGGAAAGGTCTCCCAAGATAAAACCCCAATTGACTAGATTCTCGTCAGACTGGATCTCTCAAAGGAAAAGCCTGTTCATATGAGAATATGGATACTGACTGGTCAACAACATAGGCAGCCCAGAAAATCGTTCGCCGGAGGTCCGCATCCGCAGCAGAGATGAACCCCTTGGAAACATACTCTGACATGTCCAGATGTAAAGCGAGATCAAAGGCAAGCCGTATGGCCATTCCTAAGATATGTTAGCTGTTTTCTGTAGCATAGGACACTCAGAATAAAACCTACCGCTGTACAACCATCCTCGAGCATCTTTGCCATTTCCAATCTCATGGCTGCTCAGGATGACCATTGCCTGCACAGTCGCCACACAAGGGTAATCGAGTTCACTCTCAAGAAGGGACTTCGCGCGATCACCGAAGAAATCTACCAGTGTCTTTGGATATGTCACGAAAGTGGGGTGGAAGCGAGTCTCGAAAGCACTGCCGAGAGCACACCTGCCACAGCTAGGTTAGATGTTCTGTTTGCTTTTCCCTGTGCTGTAGTGCTCACATTGCGTTTCGAAGTGCCCCTGAAAAAAACGGAGTGTCTTCCATCTTATGTCGCTTTGCCTTTGCCTCTTCATACATCTCTCTGTCCACCACGTGGAACGATGGGTCCTGCCAGCTGAAATAGAGATTGATCAGGTGCTCTTCAAGACCCATAGGGACTTCGATATCAGCTTCACAGGAGTTAGAGTCTTGTAAGGCATATTTATCAGGTGTGAAGTGTGGCTGGAGATCATCGGAAAGAGGCACATCTGCCAAATTGAACGTCGATGTCGGGCCATAGAAGTGAGTCTTTCCTCCGGGTCCAATCCGCAAAGTTCCAACCCGATCAGAAAGTTCGTCGACGAGGTCTTCGATTTCCGCCGAGGCCCCCGATTCCTCAACGAGGGTAACTTCATCATCGTTGGCCACCGAGTCCATTGATGTGGGCATTTCTTCCAATGTCGTGGGAATCGTGCCATGTGGAGAATCAGAATCCAGCAGAAATTGCATGTCCGGCGATGTGGGTGCAATGCACGTCCCGAGGCCTAAGTCCAGATCCAATATGTTGAAGATATAGTTCGAACGATCCCCTGTGCCGTGCTGGTTGTCTTTCGTAAATGGTAAAGCGGAGGCATCATTGTTGACTGGTGTGGATAAAGGAGATATTGTCTGTCGCTGTGATGCATCGCCTGACCTCGCCTTGGGCAAATGTGTCGGAGATGGTTTGGGACCGTTCTTTGCGGTTCTTTTTGGAGTGCTTACAGCAATCGGGGGCGAAATGGGTTGGCATGAACCTCGACTCTTGTTCGCATCTGCGAAATTCTCTCCCTCGCATCTTCCCGCATTAATCGATGGGGCGTTTATCTCCGCCAGCTCAAGATCTTTGAGAACTTTTGTCAACGTCGAATCCTTCTCTTGTGGCATCGGCGGGGGCTCGAGCCCATTCTCGCAGATAAAATGACAAAGCTGATCCACTCTACTTGACAGCAATTCAATTGCAACGCGCAAAGGGAGCCTGCATAGATAAAAGCGCATATTAAAGTTAGAGCAGCAAATCCATGGAGTGGCAATTACTCCCAGTTCAGGTTGGGAGCTCAGCACTTACTTGCGCCTGTCGACAGACTGATAGCGACATTTCCGGTTTTTGTTGATACAGCTCGAGCACGTCGGTTGTGCGCCGTCGCACTGTGGCCATCAGCCCTGGTCATTTGGAGAAGAAATCCGCTCGGGTTCCTGTTTATACCTTCACTTTGCTCTCGCGGCAAGAGACACAAGCCATCGAGGCATTCTTTCTCTTTGCTGAGGACTTCGCAGGAGGCATCTTTGCAATTTTCCCAGTGTTTCAATCTTCATGAAGTGAATTCTTTTACGGCTCCAGATTGGAAATCAGAAATCTGCACGCGGGGAAGAGGTGGAGCGGGGGAGAGTCGTGAGATAATATCCGGGGTTGATCTGCACTGAGATGCTATTCAGACCGAGTCGCTCGGGCAAATTTCCCATTGTCGTAAACAGAGGTTTTGGTCCAAATCGAATTCTGGGTTGAAAGCATTCACGCTGGATATGCCATGATGTCGCATCGTCTCGCTGGCTGCCGAGGTCGTGACCAGGTATCGGGAAATGGTATCCGAGGGCGAGAGAGTATACAGCAAGTCCATAAGAGTATTATCCATGGTAGATGTGCCTATTTATCATATTGAGGTAAAAGGGGTAAAGTATTTCAAGAATAATTTGCCGTCGGGCGACTTGGAAAGTAGAAACACGAGGAACCATCTGTTGAACAAGTATTTGCAGGCACGGACAACCGAAAGTGAAGTCAAGACCAAGTGCCTTGTGGGTATACACTCTGCTGTGCCTCTTTCCAATCCAGCCCGAGTATCTGGGATCTTGAATAGCTCAGCGATTACATAGCGGATCACTTAACAACATTTAGTTATTCAACCACGCCTTGAGCATTGCTAGCACAGTGTCAGAGCTTGATAACACATCAGAAGGCCCACCATCGTCATTGTGGTTAAATGCAAGTAGCTTTGCGAGGGCCAGACCAGGGGAACTTGTTGCAATTTTTTTTTTTTTTTTTTTTTTTTTTGCAATTTGCTCCATTATGAAAGATGACAGATGTTGATGGTAGCCAGAGTCAGTGCCACGAAGATGCGAAGGCGGCAAGTCATGCTGAAGTAGGTATTGTCGCAACACAGGCATGGAGGCCAGAACTACGGTTGTCATCGAACCAGTCCATATGTGACGTTGTAAACACAGCCTTCCTGAAGATCTACAGTTATCTTCATAAGAGTCAAGTGTAATTGAGCCATCAAAGCCATCATGTCCCTACATCGCGCGGAAACAGCAGACTTTTTGGCAGGCGAAGCCCAGTTGCAGATCTCATTTGGTCACCTTGCATTGATGCTGGAATATAAGTATATAGAGTGTATTCATCTTATAGGTAAACTTTGTCTCTGATCATAGATGGGCTGATAGAGTGCAGAGAAACTCAGGCCTAGCATACCGCATTTATCACAGCCTAGATAGCTATTGTGAGAACTGGGAATTGTATTAGGCAGATACCTACCTCAATTTGGAGATATAGAGGGCTCTCGAAAAGAGGTTGACCTGGGAAGACCTGTCTACACTGACAACGTCTAGACCATCTCTCTTCGACTCTTCGCGCACATCAAATACCGTCCTGTTTTCTTTTTTGTGTCCCCTAGTTCCTAACTCGGTATACCATGGGTATATGCCTAGATCTACTCTACAGGATTTTGTTGCCTGGGTTGTCAACAAGGCCTTTGGTGGTGGTCGTGGTGATGATGGATTACTCTTGAAGCAGGGCGTCTCTGGGTGGAGTCATCAAGGCTTGATCAGACGGGAAGTGGTCTATATTTCAGCCATATTTGCTTTCTCGGTTACGTCTGAGGAGTGCGGCGAGACTCATCGAAACAATCTATATCATTATTTCTTCCATCGAGGTATTCAGCGCGAGTGGAATTCTGGATAGTCATCTTCCTAGGTACAAGATCCTTTGTTTGTGCTCTTTGCCAACAATGTTAGCTGCATTTCAACTTGCTTTCTGAGAAACTATTGCTCACTGCCCGCTGTTTCTGCTTATCTCTAATTTGTATTGAGGCAGTATCTGCCATCTCCTTACAGGGAGATTGTCCTTGGATCTAGTAGTACCCCATCTATATCAGCATTGGAAGATTACTCATGGTCTGGAATAAAGACTTGCCAACACAAAATCAATTCGAGGTAATTCCTCTTTAATCCTACCAGGCACCGGATCTTAGATAGGAGAGAAAGAAAGAGAACTCAGTTCGATCAAGATATACAAACCCACAAAAGAAATACATCGGCTTTGGCGACCCTTGCATCGGCAACCAACAGAAAAGCCTCAAATGCCCCGGGCCGATTTTCCCCTATATACATCCTCCGCCTGGGTGACAATAAACCGAAAGGAGAAAGGAGAAAGAGGAGAAGAGAAAGAGAAGAATTAGAAAGGAAAGAAGGGAAAGGAAAGAAGGGAAAAGGAAAGAAAAAGGATAAAGACACAAGGTCAACACGCGGCCCGAGTTACTCCGTAGAACACAAGACTTTCCAGACATCAGATCGTTATCATTCCAATAGAGGGCCGAAAGAAGCGCCCTCAAAACCACGCAGACACGCTCATGCGTACATCATGTCGTCGCCAGTGCGCGACATGCCGGCATCGACCTTGGTGCCCAGCACGCTGCTCAGACAGTCCATGAGCTCAAAGTCCTCGACAACCGCGCCGAAGCCATAGCAGCGAACTTTGGTGTTGAGGGTTTCGATTATGATCTTGACATCGTCGCGGCTCAAGCTGCTGTAAAGTTCGTGGTTCTTGAGGCATTGCAGCGCCATGATCGGGGTGATCTGGCCATCGAGGACCAGCTGACGACTGAGGTTGAGGAGGGTGCTGAGGTTGGGGTGTGGGAGATCGTAGGTCTTGTGCGGATACTTCTCTTCGGTGTTGGCGATGTAGCTGGGCGGTGGGCAGGTGGCCATCAGGGCATGGCCGGAGAACGGCATGTCCTCGTCGTCAGCTTCCTTGACGGACCGCCGGCATAGATAATCTGTGTGTTCACGGCAGGGCCCTTCCAATCTGTTCATCACGAAAACAAAGTTGATTAGCCAGCGTATTCTTGAACACTATGAACGGACCATAAAACATACGTTAAGATGAAGTCGATCTGCAATTGCGGGTCGGTTTCGAACACGCCTTGCATGGTGGGCACGGGCCGGTCTACCGTCATAGACGCCGACCGATCCAGCCCGCCAGACGGTTCCGTCGAACTCGTCTGATACACCTGTTGCTGCGGCGCATATGCCAGCGGAGGCGAGATATCGGAGTGGTCCACACCACCATTCACCCGGGGGCTCATGCCCGAGGTGATAGTCGTAGGCGGAGTTGTGTTCTGGTTGCTGGCCGAGTGCGTGAAACCTGCGGTCTGCGATCCGCTACTGCTGTTGGCGACAGGGCTCGATTGGTAGCCGACCGCTGGGGGGCGCTCTGATCGGCGCCGCTCCACCTCGGCCTCGTATTGGATTCCGTGGGCGTTGAGGATCTCCTTGAGAATAGCGTTCTCTTCCTGAATCGAGTGTATCACATCTTTTTGCTGGTGGACCGTTGCGTTGGCTTCGGCAATCTCGTTGGTGTAGGACTCTCGTAACCGCGACACTTCGGTCTCCAGCGCCCGCATGTACTGCTCCTTTCGTTCGCGATGGGTCCTGCGGGAGTTAGAATCTAATCACATAAATGGCTCTCAGATCTCTCTACCTCTGAGCCTGACGGTTCAATTCCTGCCGCCGCGTTAGAGCCGGCTTGCTGTCGGGCTTGGGTCCACGGCGTTTCGGCGGTTGACCATCTAGGGCGTCTGTGAGTTTATGGCATCACATCGTAGTGGCAATCCCAGACACCTACCTCGGGTGACTTTCTTCGTTCCTCCACCAAAGATCTTGAAGAGATCCTGACCAAATGATCCTTTACTTGTTGGGGTGGATGGCTGATCTGGAATGGGTCACACCATGCACTGCTCTCGCGCCATGGAGGCATCGAGAAGCGAGCATCGGTGTGGAAAAGTTAGAATCGGAACTTCTGAAAATGTATTCCCGGGGTATATTGTCCGTCCTCAAGATGGGTGCGCTGGATGGGATATCCGGTGGAGGCCGGAACGCGACACGTCTGCAACGGCAAGATCCGAAGAGCATTCTCCTGTTCAATCTGCTTGCCGGCAAGGATGTTCACTCGCAGTGCAGACGACACCAATTGCACCCGTCGTTGAGATAGAAAGGGACGAACCATCTCCCCCCGGTCGGGTGCCATGGCGCCCCCGGACACAACCAATGAACATCGCAAGCCTCCCAACCAACGCAACCCATCGCCGTCACAGAATAAACCCTCTGGTATCAGTCGTCGTTGGACTCACCTAGCTCCTGCTGCATTTCATGGTCCATAGGACAGGCCCCGCCACTGAGAGCCATCCCGGCGGTACTTTGCGATCGTCGAGAGGGGGAAGCGAGGAAGCGAAGCGAGGAAGAAGGCAAGGGAGAGGAAAGTTTGAAATGGCGTGGAGGCGAAACAGTCGAACAATTCACGAACCCCAAAAAGAAGGGAAGAAAATGGAGAAGGCGAAAAGGTGAAGATGAAACGGACGGGAAGAAGTGGAGGATGTAATGGACCAAGCAGAGGGCGATCTTGGCGAAGCTTCGTAAAGTTGAACTTCGGCCAGGTTTTCTCGATACAAAGATATCAGTCGATCTCTAAAAATACTCAAATCATTAAGGCTCGCTCTGCACGAGTTCTAGATCTTGGTCATTTTCCTTTCTTTGTTTCTCCACACTATGAAAGGGCATTATGAATTGTCCTCAGACCATCTAGTATAACGTCTCTCTCCTCATAGTACCATCGTCTATCCCCAACCCGTCTCTCCCGTCCCACCCCAAGTCGTACGGCGCTCCAATTTGATTGGCACTGAAGTTAATCGAAGAAAAAAAAAGAAGAAAAGAGAAAGAGGAAGAAAAAAAAGAGAGAGAGAGAGAGAGAGAAATACCATTGAACTGGTGGGTCAGGGAGAGCTTGGTTGGGTTCCGGGAACCAGGATGGTACTGGGGGACACTATGGTTGCCCAGTATTCACAGCAAGTACCACACAAGTACCCAGTACGCACGGGCACGGGTTGGGGGAAGTGACGAGTCGGATCGGCCAATGATGAGGACTGGTGGGGCCAATAGTGTCGGCACGATCGCAGTGACAAATACTCCATAAACTCAGGGCGGGATTTTGTGATCGTCCATTTCGTACATATCGATCTTATTCTCCGTCGATTCCACGATTTGTCAAGATCGGAAAGGGGGGGGTCGCGGTTTCTCAAATCCCGGGGAGAACAGATATGCAGTCATCTGAGCCGGTAATTGATCGTGTCGAGCGTAGACTCCAGGTCCCTCAGCCGGCGATCAGCAAAGGCGAGCGAATCATCCATGAACGGGTCGAGGTCGAATGACTCCGCCAGCCCGTTCTCTTGAAGCAATTGAATGGCAGATCACGTCCAACTAACACAGTTCTGGTTCGGCGCACCCTTGTCCGGCAGTGGCAGTGATTCGAGAAGGGTGCAGATCTCCTTGATAGACACCCTATTTGGAATCTTTCCGATCATCGCCCGTGCGAGCAGACTCGTACTAAAGTCGAGAGTGATCTTTTTCTTGTCTGCGAAAGTGCCAGTCACGGTTGGGATTGCGGTCGATGAGCTGGACAGGGTCTGGCATTGCGGCATCGCTCACATCGTACGCGTAGCAATCTTGTCCCCGTGAGGCTTTGGGCGAAATGAAGATCCCCCAATGGTATGCAGCGTAGACCAGCCGTTGTCGGTTGTCGCCGAGAGATAGTGCGCTTCGATGATGCATGGTGACAAAAACTCGGCGTTTGTTGCTCATTTTGCAGCCGTTGGTCTTTCTCTCGGGGTTGGGATCGTGCGTAACAGAGAGAAGAGAGAATATAGTGTCCCGTCACTATAATTCAGAGTCCTATCCCATCAACAGCCATTCTGCTAGTAAATGAAGACTGGCGCCGAGCGTGGAGGGAGTAAATGGAGATCAACAATGAAGGGACGGTGGGGCTCCCGGAACTTCGGGACTCTTCCAGTCGCCGCATAGTGACCACACTCAACCTCCCATCATGGACTGATGGAATCCGAGATTCTCGTCCACGTTTCTGCGCCCAGTGGACCTCGCGATGACGCCCGATATCGTGCCCAGGTGGCCGCCATCCTGGAGTTCCAGAGTGTCTCGCGGGTTCTGGTCAGCAACACTTCATCCCAGGACAGTGATCCTCTAGACCATGCAAGCTCTCAAGAGTTGCCAAATTCACACAATATCTCGCCTGAGGTTATTCCAGTGTCTTCTTCTGAGTCTAGAGGGAGTAATCACGAGGAACTCAACCCTGCCCGTGCTGGAGAGGCGCTCCAGGATGCACTTTCCACCCTTTCCTCGGATCACGATGGGCCTGAACAAGACAAGGATGATCTAACGAATATGACTTCCGGGGTATCCACGGCAAGAGACCAGCCCGAGTCCCTGGAAAGCCCCATCACCGTGATCCCAGACTCCCAGCCCGAGCATGATCCCAGTGATCCAGCATCGCCTTCACAAGATGCAGCACAGAAAATAGCAGAGATCTCAACCACGCCCGAGAAAGGCGCCCCAGTCTCCAAAAGGCGCAGAATAGACCCAGGCTCTCTAGCAACGCAAGCCATTGTTCACCCAACGCCAGTCCCGCAATGTGTTCCCACAGAGACAGCACAGATACATACACAATGTCCGCAGCCTTCTTCCACTCTTCAATCTCCTCCCCAACCCATCTCAGAATCAAAGGATCACCACCTCCTACTTCCCCTTCTTCTTCCACTAGAGATCAGGGCACCACTGCCTCCTGTCTCCAACGCCTCCTTTGTCTCCCACATCACCCCGACCCTCGCCATGCTCACCGACCGACTTAAGCCTGCACGCACCTATAAACCCACGCGCCAATCCCGGGATTTAGATCCGCTGGAACGAGGGTACTGGGCTGTGCGAATCAACGTGTTGGATGCGTCCCAGGAGCAACAAGATCAATATCAACATCAACATGAACCAAAAGAGCAGCAGCAGAAGAAGAAGCACTCACATACCCCCGATAATCAAACAAAGACAAATTGCTACAACTGGCCCGCCCCGGTTTTCCATCGTTTCTGGACCTTCCTCTCAGATTTCATTGCGCGAGATGGACGCGCCGGCTGGGGCGTGTGGTGTATTCTGGAACGCGCGGATGCGATTCCCCCAGGCCCTGACTTCGACCCAAGCCAAGACTCCAACCCCAACTCTGGCCCCCATATATGCCCTCCCTCTATAACTCCGGCTCTACTCAAGGTCTACGCATGGGGCGAGGTCGCCATGCATATCTACCTCCTCTTGTTTTTGGCGAGTGAGCGCCGGATTCGGGGGATGGGGGTGCAGTGGAGGGATGCGCGCGAGGACGTGGTTATTAAAATGCCGTGAAGAAGAAGAATGATGATAATAGTAATGGTAATGGTAATGGTAAATGTCGAAGTTCACTCTGTATATCGATGGACTTTTTGGGCAAGTCCATTGGTCATACAAGCTGGACTATCTAGAAATACAAAATAGTTGGCGCGTGCCTATACTATACAATTTACATTCTCCTATTTGTCTACTCACGATTGGAAGCACTTCAAACACATCATCTTCAATGGTCGCTTCACATATTGTACATGCTAGGTAAAGATCGAAAAGCCCATCCGGTGGAAGATGCAACTCGGACAAAGAAACACAAAGGAAAAGAGATGTGGTTTCACAGCCAGAGATCCTTGGGCACACATTTGACACCGAGCATCAAGAAAACAAACAGATAAAAGCGAAAAAGAAAAGGGGCGGAGCCATGTATGTGTTCCCGTTCATCCTTCCGAAACGCCGGTAGAAAGAAAACAAGAATCGTGCAGGTTGAAGCGAAATGGCAAACTAATAATTCAGCTCGCCGCTGCCGGAGCCATCGACGGCGTCCAGGTCTTCGTAGCTCTTCAGGCTACGGCCCTGGACGGCTTCGCGGGGTGGCATGGCTTGCGGCCCACCGCCAGAGCCCATCGCATCCGGGAAAAGAGCAGGCACGGCCATGTTGGCTGCCGGGTGGCCAGGAGGCACCGCGACCCCGGCGGACGGAGGCCGAGCGCCCGCCCCATACATGGGAGGCATGCCGCGGACAGGACTCAGGCGACCATTATTGTTGAAGCGGCGGCGGTCATACGGGCCAGGGCGGTTGTTTTGCCGGTTTGGGCCGCGTCGCATCGCGCCGGGCTGATGCAGGCCAGACCCATCACCAAGAACCGCCATGTTTCCGCCCCAGGCACCCACATGAGAGCCTGCTGCCATGAAAGGAGGCATCCCCGCCGGTGGAAAGCCAGCGGGCATCCCACCGGGGTTGCCGAGATAAGGCATGTTGGCAAGACTGAAACCGCGCGGAGTTCCGCTCTGGGCTTGACCGGAACCAAGCGGGAAGTGTCCGTTGCTGTTCGCATCAGACCGTGACGGGGAGATGCGCGCTGGGTCCAGGACGTAGGCGTTCACAAGAGACAGCTATAAAAACAGTTAGTAACTTGATAGACACTTGGGGTGAGGAAAGGACACATACGTCGCCCTTGATATTGTCAAGCCATTCCGTGTGGCGCTTCTCCACGTGCTTGAACCAGAAATTCTCTGCTTTGAAAAGTTTCGTACATTCCGGCACCTTACAACGGTACCGGGAATCATCTTCCTGCTTCACATACTTGGACAAATCATCCTCGAGCGCCTGGTCCACTGGCTTGCCACCAAGCTTGCGCAGGTCGACATTCTCGGGTTCCAAGATCTGTAGCAGCTTGTCTTCAAAGGTCTTGACCCAGTTGAATGCACGTTGCAGCTGCTGCTCCGACTTGGAACTAAGCCGTTGCGGCCGCTTCTCCTGCGTAGGCGAGGCACGTTCCTCTCCATCCTCGCTGGGTTCCTTCTTCTTGACCGGGAACGGCTGTCCGAGAGCACTGGCCCGGGCAACGTCTTTGGCCTGGTTGCTGAGGGCGTTGCGAGGACGACGAAGGTGCCCGCCGGGACATTTGCGGCCAAGTTCATGAACCGAGTCGCTCTCAAACACACAGAAGAAGCAGAAGTTGTAAACCCGTCGCAGGTACTCCACCATCAAGTCCAGCTTTTTCTTCTTCGCTAACAGTTCTTCGTCATCCACATCTTCCTCTTCAGAATGCTCTTTCTCCTCACCTTCCTCCATCTCCCCTTCATCGGGGTCCTCTTCGTCGTATCCGTTCTTCTGCTTTTTGACACTCACGGGCCCCGTCACAGGGGGCTGTAACCAGCCTTTGCCGCGCAGATCCTCGACTCGCTCCTCGATCTTTGCCGATCCATCCACACCAGCTCCCATTTCAAGATCGAGCTGGGAGACCAGTCGACGGGCCAGTTCGAGGTCACGTTCGATGCGTTCCGGTGCAGAAAACAAATCCCACAATGCCTTCTTCCGCGGCTGCGAAGCCGGGACATGCACCCCAACATGACAGACAAAATCACCATGGACAGAGTCGTGAATTGTCTTGTCGTTGACCGCCTCGAGGGCTCTCTCAGCCGTGGACACAGTGTTCCCGTTGAGGCCAGTTTCGTGGTCCATCTCTTCGCCTTCTTCTTCGCGCCCGTCACCCCTGTCTACCACGGTTGTGTCGCGAGCGGGATGCAACATGATCCAGCCCATGCGGTGGTACTTCTTGGAAGGGTTAGGATCGCTCAGACTGAGCCACTTGAATCCGCCATCGCTTTCGCCGAGATGCTCCTTGCAGAAGTCTTCGATCTTGTCTCGGCTGACGTTCGGTGCCAGAGTCTTGATGAGCAGGGCGGGTTGGGACAGAGCTTCGTCACGGAGTTCTCCCCCACGAACAGGAAGCAAATCAAGAACGCCGAGGGTCTCCCCAACAGCTGTGGTCTCGCCTTCCTCCTTCTCAACCACGCCACCAGCGCCGTCGCTATCACTCTTGTAGATGCCTTCAAGAGTGAATTCATCAAACAAGCCCGCCTCGACATCACGCACCCACTGATCGTAGGCGCCCTGCCGGAAGGCCATAAGACGATTGCGGAGGGGATCCCTCACTTCGGGAACATAGCGCTCCTTGAACCACTCTTCGCCCCGATGCTGCTGCACAAAGCCTCGTGACAACTTAATCTGTAGATCGGCCTTGTATGCATCATAAGCAGCCTGGATCTGTGCGCGCTCCTTGTCACGCTCCTCGCGAGCCTCGCGCTCTCCCCGAACCCGATCAGATGGTCGGCGTCCGCCGTTCTTGGCCCGTTCTTTCTCGTCCTTGATGGCTTGTTCCGCGCGCCACCACTCGGCGAACCAATTGAACCCCACCTGGAAATCCAAGGCAATCGGGTTTGGAAGGGGGTTGGTCGGGAGCGGACGCTTTCCGGAGTCCTGTCCAGGGACATAGCGGTCGATGTTTGCGACGTTCGGGGACCGAGCACGTCGGCGATCCTCGCGGTCTCGAGCGGCATGCTCGCGCGGCGCGTTGTAGAAATCCTCACGAGGGCGACGATCCGATGGTTCATACCGGTCTATCATGGGCGAACGCGAGCGTCCGCGTCCACGGCGCCGATCCTGAGAGACTACGATGGCGTTAATCATCCCAAGTCGCAATTCGTCGATGCCCTGTAGCGACTTACCAGGCGACCGGCGTCTGTAAGAGTCTCCCGATGCTCTCCCTGGAGAGCCATAACCCTCGTACGAATCCATTGTATGCAGAAGATCTCACGGGTGTAATTTACAGCTGTCGCTGTTGTCCGGGTGTCGAAACGGGGCCCACGGACTTGGCCCGGTTAATCACGGGAGAAGCGAAGCAGCCAGCGAAAGTCGAACGGGTGTCGGAAACAACGCGACAAGCTAAGATTCGGCATCGTCAACATCAGACAAAGTCATCTAACAGAGCGGAAGAGCGGTGGACGACGGCTTGGAAGTTCAGGATGAATAACAGAGACAAAAAAGGAAGAAGGGGATCGAAAGACAATATCAAGCAGCTGTCGGACGTGTGGAGACCCCCCGAGCTTGGGGGGCCATAAGACTGCCACATGATCACAGCGCATTGTAAGAGGAAAGAGAGAAGATAAAGATAAGAGGGTCGGCGCGCGGACACCAGACGCGTCTAAAGGTTCAAGAGAATGACAAAAAACCGTGGGACCTGACGACAGTGCGACCACGGCCCTGGGGGGAGAAGAAGAAACGATAGGGAAACAGTCAAGGGACAAAAGGATTGGCAGAAAATGAAGGGGAAGCACCGAGAGCGAGTGGGCAAAGCATCACTAGCTTGAAAGAAGAAAGGAAGTAGATATAAGGGAGGTAGGCCACCTACAAGAAGCCTTGAAGCAGAGCAGATGTGATGGGCGAGCAGAGTGGATGAAGGAGAAGAGCGAGTGAGGCGGGAGTTGGAGAGAGCTGGAGAGCGCTAGCCGAATGGGGAATGAACAAAGGATAGATGCCTCAGGTATAGTAGACACCTGAGGTGTAAAAAGGTTCAACAAGCTACCACTGATGTATCACTGGATTTTGCTGTTACAATCTACGTCTCTTATGGAATTAAAATATCTATGTCGATTCATAATCTTGAATAATACTTTCAAGTGTTAGAATTCAAGAACCCCTGATCCCATACATTTGACGATATCCCTCATATTCTATGAGACAACCACCCCTCAGATCTGACGATATACTCAAACACACCATTGCGAGACAAGTAAACACCACTCTATACGTCAGGAGGCTCACCTGAGACTGCTGAGGCGATAGACGAATCAATCCGAAACAGCAGAAGCGCTCGCCACCTATACATGGCGGTCTAGCTCGCAGCCACGTGCGCATGGACGAGTTGTAAATAAGAGATCTTGCGCGGAGACGATCTCAACCCAATCGCCCACAGAGCCTCCACAGCGGGCTGAAATACATTCTTCTCCACGAGACATCGTTGCTCCTCACATCGGAAGCCCGATCAGCCTCCCCGTTATTGGGGGGTGCACTTGATTGGCCCACGCGCAAAGGAGCGGCACCGACTCGCCGTGCCCGCATTCCACTCCTCTCGATTAAAGAAAAACCAAACCATGTCCGATCTGCTCGGCTCGCGCTGGGCCCCCGGCGCGAGCGAGACGCAAAGACCCCGAGCGCCGCGCCAACGCTCTCCGTATCACTCGCCTCTCTCCCACTCCCACAACCCCGACAATGGCAACGGCAACGGCGCGCGCGCATCGGTGGCTGCGCCCTCCCCAGGGGCCCTGCTACCCCCAGCAGAGGAACTGGCGCGGTTCATGAAAATCGTCGCGCGGCTGCGCTGGAAACTGCCTTTTCTGGCCGAGGGCTACCGACTGGCCACGCTGACGGTTGGCAACGGGGTGACGGACGCGGAAGTCGCGCACGCGGAGATCATGTTCAAGATCGATTTCCATGAGTACTATGCGCTCCTTGAGCGAGCGATCGTGCACCTGCTGGCCGTGTTTAATGTGACGGTCACGTCAGCGCCGCGGGGATCATCGCGCGCGTCGCGGGTCCCCGCCGAGAACGGGGGAGCCCGTCCGTGGGGATTCATCGGTACCACGCCAATGTACTGGAAGCGCTGAAGGAGGAGACGACTCCGTTGGCCCCGATCTTGGGGAGTGGCCATGTCCACGAGCAATTGCAAAAGGCCAAGGAACTGCGTAACCGCTGGAAGACGGCGGATATGACCCGCGAAGAGAAGGAGCAGAATTCGTTCGCGGCCAAGCAGGAGGTCATGCCACTGGCGAGCTATGACTTGGAATCCATTTTGACGGGGATATTTGCGGGCTTGGAGGAGGCTTATGGGCGTGCTCGGGGTCATGTGGACTGGTGTAAACGGCCGGGCGAGGCTGCCGGGGACGAGATGGAATCGGAGTCCGACTGGGGATTCATGGTCGATGCCATGGACTGGCAAGCTGTATGAGGGGGGTTGGGGTATCTTTGACTGCATGGGTAAGGCGTTTATGGATTGAATCATTTTGTACATATTGTGCCTTGTTGGCAACCGGCTTGCTATTTGTTGCTAGATACATACCAATGAAGTAAAACTGATTCGCCAGTATGGCTTCGCCATAAATCACGGCTATGAATTATTTGGTGGCCTGGCATAAATCTTCTTCAGGTGCCCCATCTAGATACTAACAGCCTTAGGATAAGCACATCTACAAGCACCAATTTCTATATTAACCTAATATTGTCTAGAAACCAGACATGCACAACGGTGCATATGCTCTCATATCTTCATGCCATTGACATTGTAGGCGGCAAATTCAATTGATATCCATAAGAATAACCAGTCTTCCCATATCCCGTTTTTCCAGTGATGGAGAACCCGTCCTCTAAATCCCAGCCGGAACCCAGAAACGCACAACGCAGAATAGACACCGAATGAGCAGTCGAAATGATAATGGAAACAGACAGCGCCGAAGGGAAGTTGCTGTACGGTCGATCGATATACACAAGAATGAGGCAGCGTTCTGCACTGCGATCCCCTCGCATCGAGATGAACGCACGGTGCATGCAATCCTCCAAGTCGGGGTCACGCGGATTGCCATCATTGGGGAATACTAATAAGGTAGGGGCCAGCACAAACAAGAAAAAGAATATCGTCCCCAGCATAGCAGCTATAAACAGACATCAAGGGAGAGGGGGAGGAAATGACAAAAACAATCCAGGCATAAGGGGGGAGGGTAAATAAGAGGAAAAGAAAAGAAAAATCCAGACACTCGCTTGCTAGAAAATAAAAAAGTCCAAGACGTCCATCCATAAAGCCGTAACGAAACAAAGGGAGGATAACAGAAAATAAAAACGAATCACCGAACCGAGGCAGATTCAAGCCGGGCAGTAGCCGTAATACGACTCGTTCAGCCTTCCTCATCCGATGGCTCGGCAGAATCTTGCTCACTTTCAGCGCTGCCGCTCGTCTTGGTCTTCTTGACCGAGATGGCGTGGTCGTCAATGACGTCGCTTGACTTGCGTTTGTGCGATGTGCCATTCTCGATCTTATCCATATCCCCCACATCAAGCTCACCCTCGGATTGTTTCTTCTCCAGGGCCGCCACTTCATCCGCCGTCAAGAATCGGCCACCGGGGCCACGAGGTCGACGCATGGCATGATTGTGACGTGACTCGTGCAGGTAGGGCTTGCGACCCTTGGACGTCAAGCGCAGCTGCTCCTCCAGTTTTTGGCGGGCGACGCGGCGTTTGAGGATGCGATGGAATTGTTTGGCGTTCACATACAGAGGGGACTCCTCCTGGTTGTTGCCGGGTACCAGCTCCGGCGAGGGATGGCCCTGCTGCACGGGAGCTTGGGGTGCCGCCGACATCGGTGGAGCGACGGAAGGCCGGCCAACATGGCTCAGGACCGGTTGCGCGCTTTGGATATTGGGACTCCCCACATGGCTCATGCGACGCGGAGGCATCTGCGAATGTGGCGCCATCGGCACCTGCGATGTCATTGGCGGCATCTGGCCAGGCATTTGTGGCGACCGAGGATTGCGATCAGGCTTCATCTGGACCCCCGCCATGCGCGGCGAGCCTCGAGACCCAGGGGCCATCTGTCCAGCCATGGATTCCTGGTGGAGGGGGTAGAACTGCCCCGACGCAGCCGCGGTCGCCATGGCAGCTGCCTGCGTCGGAGAGATCCCATACGTCTGAGGCATGGCCGCGGGGACGCCGTAACCCTGAGGGAAGTTCATCTGCTGGTGGACCGCTCCGGGCGCATTCTGTTGCTGGTAATGAGATTGCGACGGAACGATGGGGGAGGTCTGGTGGGCGGAGTGTGTTGGTTGCATGGGTGTCTGAGCGTTGGTAGGCGATGTCATCGACCCAACACCACCAGCATTCGGCGGCGCAGCCTGGTAAGGTCCGGGGATATGAGAGGGAGCGTGTGGGTGTTGGCCATGGGGCTGTTGATACTGTGGAGGATACTCCATACTGAAAGCGTGGGTTCCGTCACACGCGGCGCGGCACGGTGACAAAGAGACTGGTTAACGCGGGCTATACACCAAAATCACCAATCAGCGTCAAGAGATCGATGGGCCGTCGCAGGTCAAAAAGGACCCAGGTGGGCTATGGGTTTTGTTTGGGTAAAGGTGATATCGCCCGGGCGCGCAAGAGGGAAAGCGACCACAACCGTCGGCGTGGGCGACCGATGATTCGACGAGGGGTCTGCGAAGGTCTGCAGCCTCGGGTCTTCGCGTCAGCAGAGCGCAGCACCGAGCGGTCACTGGATTTGTGGGTGGGGGGCGATGGGGAACACAATCACAGGGACCAGACGCGTACCTGAATTGCCGGCGTGGCCAAGGGGTTTTTTTTTTCTTTCCTCAGTCCACCTCTTGGTTTGTCAGGAATAATCTCGAAACTCCTTCACCACGGAGGGTTTGGCTTTTTTTGTGAAAACCCCGTCTACGCCCACCGTCGGGTGTAACGTGGTTGGGCTGTGATGCAGCGGGGGGAGAAACCCCTCGACTAGATTGCCGCACTTGATGCGTTGTCAAGAGGGTCGACGTGATGCCAAAGCAACCGAGGCTACGCAGACTATCCTCATCCACCGTTTCTGAGGGCAAGCCTTTGCCACGTCTGGATGAAAAGCAGACCTGGGGCGGTGCGGACAGTGATGCGATGCGCCTCGAATTGATGTCAGAGCGCGTCTGCAGGGTCAATGGACCGGGTCTGTGGTCAATCATCAGCATTGCATCTTCTGGCAAATGACAAGCATCCATGACCATGCGCAGTCCCACGATCAAATCCAGGACCTTGGGAGATCCGGGGCGGGTAAAGCCGGTGCAGGCTCAGAGGGGCAATAAGGGTGTATGCGTTGGCAAGGCGGGAGTTGGAGCTGCCGACTTACCTCGATCTGCAGAAGTAGAAGAAGTGCCCAGGATTTGAGGCAAGACTGGATGGCGAGCGAATCAATTTGCGCGACTAGATGTCATCTGTTAGATGCGACCGGATAACCCACGAGGGAACATGATGTAAATGCGGACGCGTGGGGGGAATATGGGTCAAAACACAAGGAAACGCGATTGGCAAAAGGCCAAAGGGCAAATGACTCAAGGCGCCAACTGAAACCAAACACCATGCGACAGTAAAGATGGGCGCGTGTTGTTTTGGCCCATCAGAACGTGGGATTGGAGCTTGAATTACCTTAATGGAGTGGGTGAAGAGGGGGATAATCTCCGGGCTTTCCAATCTCCAGTCCAGAGATGATTTGACTGGAGAGAGATGCCAGAGAGCGATGGGGGGGGTCCGGGCAGTTCCGCGGTGTTTACACTGCGGAAATTGGGGAATGTTGAGTGTGTTTTCCCTTTTTTTTTGGTCCGTATTTTGTCCTTTTTCTTTTCTTTTCTTTTTTTTCTTTTTTCTCTTTTTTCTCACTCTTCACCAACAATCAATGCAACTAGGACAAGATAAAAAAAAACATCAACTTACTCGACACCTGAGGTACAATGATTGGACTCGCGAATTGGACCATGCGAGGGGCGAATGAAATAAAACGAAAAAAAGGGTGTGCGATGGTTGGAGGGCAGATGCACTGGAGAGGGCGGGCAACCAACGAGAAGAGGCAGAGGGAGGAAAGTGAAAGGGCGGGCGATGGGTCATTTTGTACCGCTTCCCCCCAAATGACTGGCCGGCGGCTTTGGGCGGTCGAGGGCTGCCCGAGGGCGACGTATCAGCGGCCGTGGAGTCCGGTGGGGCTGCACCTGGCCAAGTGACTGGGGCGCTGGTACTGTGACGGTAATCTTTCACTCCGGCCATCCCGGTCCCTCAGTATACTTGAGTATACCTACGTGTATGTAGACCTAACTCTTAGGCGACAGTGCCTACAGGCATAATTATCTCACTATACCCTCTCAAGCCAAATCAATATTATTATTATCTATTATTATATACAGAAATATCTGGTATCATGCACTGTCTGTGTATCTATTTTGGCTTCTTTTCTTTTCCATCGTGCCCCTCCTCGGCTCAGTCTCCTATTCGGGGAACTCTCCTCCACCCCATGTCCCCTCTCAGCCCCATGCTCCCAGCATCAAGCGCAAGGGTTTTTTTCTGCACATGATCCTGCCTTCATGGAAGATGGCATTGTAGTTCGGACTTGATCTTCGACTCTATTCATCCCTCGATCATAAATATCATCAATACATAAATAAATAAATATCATGGCCTAAACCCCCCTTCTCGACTATTGATTTCGCAATTAATAAATTCGCATCTGGACGGAACTATACATGTACGGTACGTCTCGATGCAAATAATATGGCCATGACGCAATGTAATCAGACTGCTTTGTTCTGGGTCCCGATGATCTCTTCCAGAGATTGAGAGGTCCCAGTGTTCAGCTCTTTTGGTGTCTGCCCAAGACAGCCCCAAGGTCGAAGTGGGAATCCTTTCGTCCGAAACAGGGCCCCTCTTTTTGTCCTTTTTTTTTCATATATTTTTCCTCGTCTCTTTCCTCCTTTTCTGAAGAATTATATCTACCAATTTACAATCTATACAATCCTCTTCAATCTCTCGTGATCACGTGTGGAAAGAACCAACTTTAGTTGCGCCCATGGGCCATTCAGCTTGCGTCCCTGCGATGGTCCGATTCGCAGCAGATGGGTCCCGATCTCCGTCCCCACGGGCTTGGTTCGATTGGGATTGGCTCTCGTAATCAGATGGATGGGTTGGTTCTATTGATCAAGGTAAATATCAACGAATGAATGATTCATGGCTGCATCTTCCAGTTTTAGTTCAGTCCTAAATTGTAGAAGAAAATACAATTCGTGTGGGTGGTTCCGATCTATTGATTGAGTGTTTATATATTATATATTTCTGCCTCGACCCCCCCAATATAATAATATATCTTCAAAATTATCCTGTTCAATCCTGTACATAGCCAATAATCTCCATCTCAACTGCTAAATTCTAACCCTGACCAACTAGTTCTACAGGTGCTAGCGGGAGTCTAAGACGGGACCGAAGATGCGTTTATCATATGTCTTGGCTACGTTGTATGTAGTTGCTCCGTTGTATGTAGTTGCTCCGTTGTATGTAGTTCTTAACTTTTCTAGCAAGATCCCATACAGTGTCAAACCCATTATAAATGATGAATCGGATTTCTAGTGCTATCTTACTCATCCTAGAAGCAAGTACATCGCTTAAATCCGTGTAAAGCAGACTTGGTGCGTCACGTCGTATCCTGAGATCTATTCTGCAAATTTAGCATAGTGAAAACTGTTCTCAAATCGTTCGAAGAAGGTAGCATATGTTGGAGGTCAATGTTAAAGACAATAAACCAGTGCCTGGTTCTTGTTTAGTGGTATTAGGTCTCACATACCCCATAGCCCAAAGGCAGACTGAGGTCGTCGGGATGATAGCCAATAACTCGGTCGTTGTGAACGGTATATATAGTGGAAGCCTTGTATCCAAAATCTTTCATAGAGAGACGCAAGCTTGGAAAATAAAATCTCTACAGCAAAGACACCGATAATTCAAGTCTCCAGTGAAATAGATCTAGTAGTTCCAACATTCTCTGGGTAGGACATGTCCACATTACCATCCGAAAACTCGACCATCGCCAAGTCAACGCTGCCTTCTCCCCACATTCCACAAGTCATGGAGATGGCAGCAATACTCACCTCCACCATAAAAAAACACCCACAATGAACATATCGAATATTTAAATGGCCCTATTTCCCTACTTCCGATTCAAGTGCCCCGGATAATAGTGTGACAAAGTGGCCCAAACCATATCCACAATGTCAGTCCATTGCAAAATCAGATACTTTTTTTCTATCAGATCCATCAAGAACATTTGACATCTCTACCTTGACATCTATGGATGTGATACTCACCTTCGCAGTTTGACTCGACATCGCGGGCAAGTGGAGTGCTTACTCAGCGCAAGGGGCCCCCGGAGACTCAGGTGGCTTTTCCCGCATGGCAGGTTGACTCGACCACAATCGCATTCCCTCGTCTCCGTGCTGCGAGCCACTCCCGTCAGTATCGTGGCGTCCTGTCGACAACCGAGCGAGCAGCTTTGTCAAACCCAGACGGCTGCGCTCACCGGAAACCCCCAACCCACAAAAAAAAACATCACAGACGCGCTGGATCAATATTGGATTGATCCATGACGTCTTTGTTGACACCCACGGCTCCGAAACTCTCCTTGAACCAGTCTCCAGCGACCGTTTCCAGACAAACCACCTCCGACTCGGACTCAACCCTCTTGCGGTATCATCCCCGGCCGCGCTCCTCGCGGAGTTCGCGCATCGGCGTGTCCCTATCACCGCTCGCGTTGATCTGTCAGAGTCTGGATCCTACACCCGTTGATTGGTGAAAGTTCCCCAGTATATGGGGTAGAGATCCAACATGGCTCCAGGTGGTGCCGGTAATATTAAGGTGGTGGTGCGGGTGCGGCCTTTCAATAGCAGAGGTGAGTGTGGGGCATGGAAATAGGTTACCTCCGCTGGGACTCGCTGACCGGTGGTTTGTGTCGATCTCCAGAAATCGAACGAGGTGCACAATGTATCGTGCAGATGAAAGGCGCCCAGACCGTGCTCACAGCACCACCGGGCGCAGAGGATAAATCGCGAAAAGGCGCAAAGGGTAATGCGGTGGAGGGACCGAAGACCTTCGCCTTCGATCGATCATATTGGTCTTTTGACAAGAAAGCCCCCAACTTCGCCGGCCAGGATGACCTCTTTGACGATCTGGGCATGCCGCTATTGGACAATGCCTTCGGTGGCTACAACAACTGTATTTTTGCCTACGGCCAGACGGGTTCGGGAAAGTCGTACTCGATGATGGGATACGGCAAAGAATACGGTGTCATCCCCCGAATTTGCCAGTCCATGTTCGAACGAATCCACCAGATACAAGAAGACAAGAGCCTGAATTGCACGGTCGAAGTGACCTACCTCGAGATCTACAATGAACGAGTCCGCGATTTGCTTAACCCGTCGAATAAGGGGAATTTGAAAGTTCGAGAGCATCCGTCTACCGGTCCCTATGTCGAGGATTTGGCAAAACTGGTGGTCCGCTCTTTCGAGGAGATCGAAAATTTGATGGACGAAGGTAATAAGGCCCGAACAGTGGCCGCGACGAACATGAACGAAACATCCAGTCGATCACATGCTGTCTTCACACTGACGCTCACCCAAAAGCGCCATGATTCAGAAACATCAATGGATACCGAGAAAGTGTCCAAAATCAGCTTGGTTGATTTGGCAGGTTCGGAGAGAGCAACCTCCACTGGGGCCACTGGTGCACGATTGAAGGAGGGTGCTGAGATTAATCGTTCTTTGTCAACCCTCGGCCGTGTCATTGCTGCCCTCGCCGACGTCTCCGCCGGCAAGAAGAAGAATGCTTCGATGGTCCCGTATCGTGATTCCGTGTTGACATGGCTACTGAAGGATTCTTTGGGAGGTAACTCCATGACCTCAATGATTGCAGCTATCTCTCCTGCAGATATCAACTTTGAAGAAACTCTGGGTACTTTGCGGTACGCCGATTCGGCCAAGCGAATCAAGAACCACGCTGTTGTGAACGAAGATCCGAATGCCCGCATGATCCGCGAACTCAAAGAAGAGTTGGCTCAGCTCAGGTCCAAGTTAGGAGGCGGTGTGGTAGCCGGAGGAGCTGCAGGCGCTGTGGCCGGGGCAGCGGGTGCACCCCCGGCCGAGGAATCCTACCCCCCAGATACGCCGCTGGAGCAGCAAATGGTTTCTATCCACCAGACAGATGGCTCTGTCACCAAAGTCAGCAAAGCAGAAATCGTCGAGCAACTCAACCAGAGTGAGAAGCTCTACAAAGATCTCAATCAGACCTGGGAGGAAAAGCTGCAGAAGACCGAGTTCATTCACAAAGAGCGCGAAGCTGCATTGGAGGAGCTGGGTATCAACATCGAAAAAGGCTTCGTTGGACTCAGTACCCCAAAGAAAATGCCTCACTTGGTCAACCTCAGCGACGACCCCTTGTTGGCAGAGTGTTTGGTCTACAACATTAAACCAGGGACCACCGCTGTGGGACACATGGACCAAGGAAGCTCTATTGAGATTCGACTGAATGGCTCAAAAATCCTTCCCAAGCACTGTACCTTTGAGAATGCGGACAATGTCGTGACCATTGTCCCCACCGAAGGCGCCGCGGTCATGGTCAATGGCCTGCGTGTTGACAAGCCCCAGCGTCTCAAGAGCGGCTACCGAATTATTTTGGGCGACTTCCACATTTTCCGTTTCAATCATCCTCAAGAGGCTCGAGCCGAACGAGTCGAGCAGAGCTTACTGCGCCATTCCGTCACGACTAGCCAGCTCGGCTCGCCGGCACCGAATAAAACGCATGATCGAACTTTGAGCAAGACTGGATCTGAAATCGATGGAGACTCGAGCCGGGCCGACTCTCCAATGCCTTCACAGCGTGGCCGTGAATCGGATTGGTTTCTTGCTCGTAGAGAAGCCATCAGTGCTATGATGGGACCGGATCAGATCTCTCATTTACCGGACGATGAGCTTGATAATCTATTGGAGGATGTACAGAAGGTACGCGCGGTGCGCCGTGGGCTGCCAGAGAATGAAGAAGATTCCGACTCGCTCAGTTCGTTCCCAACTCGTGACAAGTACATGTCCAATGGAACCATCGACAATTTCTCCCTGGACACCGCGATTACGATGCCGGGTACTCCGCGGCAAAATGACGACGACGAATCGCCCAATGGCATTGCGTCCCTGAATTCAACTCGCCAGGACATGCAACGGCAGCTGGATCGACAAAAAGAAGAATTCCAAGACAAGCTCAAAAACGCGGAGGCTTCTCCTCACCAGGACCCAGGGGAGATACGGTCTGAGAAACAGCGGATGGAGGACGCTTTGCGCACTGCCAAGGAGGAGTTTGAAGAGCAGCTGAAACAACAAAAAGAAAATTTCGAGACCCAGATGCGAGACATGGGCAAGCCCGTCCCCCAGATCTATGAGAACGGCTTTGCCAAGCTGAGTCCGCGAGAACTTGAGGTTGCGCTATTGGTTTTCCGCCACTGGTCGCAGCGCAATTATGTCCGCATGGCTGAGAAGGTCCTCCAACATGCGTCGCTCATGAAGGAAGCACAAGTTATGAGCCATATCATGGACAAGAATGTGGTCTTCCAATTCGCCATAGTTGACCATGGCCACAACATGGCGTCCTCATATGATCTCGTGTTGAATGGAATCTCTGGCGACGAAGACGTCGTCCTGGACGAGGCTAAGAAACCGTGTGTAGCGGTCCGGGTCATTGACTACAAACAGTGCGTAATCCATCTCTGGTCGATCGAGAAGCTCCAGCGTCGTCTGCAGGCCATGCGCCAGTTGCACCAGTACATCGATCGTCCCGACTACATTCAACATTTCAAGCTTGATAATCCCTTTTCCGAGCCGTGCTCGCCGCAATATTCCCTTATCGGCGACGCGGATATCCCTTTAACTGCTGTTTTTGAGACCCGTGTGCAAGATTTCTCCGTCGAGGTCATGTCGCCATACACCCAAAGTGTCATTGGAATTATTCGGTTGTCACTCGAGCCATCCTCGGCCCAGGCGCCTTCGTCCACTCTGAAATTCAACGTGGTCATGCGAGATATGGTCGGGTTCGCCGAGTGGGAAGGGAGTGAGGTCCATGCGCAGCTCTTCGTTCCTGGTATTTCCGAGGAAGGGGGCGCAACCACTACACAAATGATCACGGGTTTTGATGAAAGCCCGGTACGATTCGAAAGTGTCCATAGCATGAGCCTTCCACTCTCCAGCCCACGGACTGCTGCGCTAAAGGTCTGTGTCTTTGCTCGCGTGACATCGGTGCACCTTGACAAGCTACTCAGCTGGGACGACATGCGCGACACGGCAGAGCCTACACCTCAGAAGCGGACTGCTCCCCGGATTGCCGAGTCGGAATTCTATTCGGAAGAAAGGCATGATGTTTTCGCTCGAGTTCAGATCCTTGAGCTCGCAGAATCTGGAGACTATCTCCCCGTTGAGGTCGTTCAAAGTAACAACCTCGATGCCGGTACCTCGCAACTTCACCAAGGTCTGCAACGCCGTATCTCGATCAATCTCACGTATAGCTCGACTGAGAGTCTTCCGTGGGATGATATCAATAACGTTCGCGTTGGTTCTGTTCGACTCCTCGACCCCTGGGGCAAGATTCCAGATCAAGATTTGCAAACGCCGGACATTCCGTTGAAGTTTGTTCAAGAACCCATGGTCAAGGACAACGCCGATGGAACCTCCAACGTCACGATTGTGGGCCAGTGGGATTCGAGCTTACACGGGTCCCTTCTGCTGGACCGTGTGACAGCCGACAAGTACCGGGTACAGGTGACGGTTCGTTGGGACCTTGTCTCGACTCGGCTGCAGGTCCCAGTCATCTTCGAGGCCGATCAGACAATTCAGATTTTGGGCCGGACGTACGTTCGCCAGCAGTCCATGTTTAAACAACTGTGGAACTCAACGCGGGTTGTGCACTCGACGACCCGCATGTATTCGTTGGTCATTCGTCCCATCTCGGCCAAGCGTGCCGCCGACCTGTGGCGGATGAATACCCAAAACGACTACGTGAAAGGCGAGGAGCTCTTGACGACCTGGGCTCCGCGGAAAGTGTCGTTAGTTCGGGATTACGTTGCCGCTCGCAAACGACGACGGCGGGTGGCGGAGTTGCATGCTGCCCGAGGCGCTCTCAGCGCGGGCAGCCTGATGGCTTCACCCGCTCGGAGCAGTGGACGATCGACACCGATGCGCAACCAGGATCTCAATGAGCGCAAAGCCAAGCTGCTCCGAAAATATCTTGATCTTTGGTCAGCCAAGAAGGACCCCACCGAGACCATTCTGATCCGAAGTAACACAGAGCCCCCGGCCAACGGCGCGGCTTTTGCCTCCCATGCCAACCAAGCGAACGGGGGCATCTCCGACAAGATGTCGCTCAAGCCGCGCTTTGTGGCCACGATCCAGACCCTGCCGAAGAATCCGTCTGCGCTAAAGTCGGGCTATGTTTTAACTCCCGACGACGCTAACCATGTCTGGGTCCGCCGGTTTGTGGAGCTCCGCCGGCCGTATCTCCACGTCTACTCGGTCCCGGAGGGCGACGAAATCAATGCTATCAATCTGCGCAACTCGCGCGTTGACCACGCGCCCGACTTTGCGCGTCTGCTAGATGGTTCGGGTGCAGGTGCTGACCGGTCGCTCTCTCGTGGCCGCCCGAATATCTTTGCGGTGTATGGGACGCAGAACACTTTCTTGTTCGCGACGCGTACCGAGGCACAGAAGGTGGAATGGATCTTGAAGATTGACGAGAGCTACTTTAGCAGTCATAGCGGCAGTGCGGCCGCGAGTGGTGACGAGCGATGAACTCTCTGATTATAAGCAGGCTGGTCTTTCGCGTTTTTTTTTTTCCTTTCGCGTGTTCTTTTTGACGATCTCTCCGACCTGGCATCTTGATCTTTTTGCCCCCCATTTCATTTCATGTTGAGATACCCCTGAATATAGCAAGTCGCGACACTTCTCCCGTGTACATACATTCGAGCTTCATGGATTTGATTCGAAGCAATTTGTGACCGCCCCCGTATCAGTCTAGTTGTATCTAAAGCACTTAGCAGATCATGATCTTAATTTGACCCACCCCAACCATGGCTTTGATTTGCTGCTTATTGCCGTGGTTGCCCCGATGCCCATACGATTGACAGGATTAGAGGTATCTTGTGCAACTTTAAAAATTAAGAGAATTTTAAGGTGTGGCTGAGTTGGCAAGGCTACACGTGTCTGTTGCTTCGAGTGCTGATTTGTCATTCAAAAGAGGGTCTAAACAAAAAGCTGCCAACTCCAGGCCAATATGAGCCGGCCCTCTCCACTCTCGCGGCTCTTGTTACCGTTACACACGGATCTGCCGTATGATTGGTGCTTACCTTACGCCGTGAGGGGCTTGTTTTTTTCTGCCGAAAACGGACCAGAGATCCCAAGGATTTGATTGGTTGCTGCGCATCGCTGGGGGTGATGTCCGGAAGAGGCAAGCGTTGATGCCTGGGGTCTTTTTCTTTTTTTTTTTCTTGTCTTCCGAGGACCTCACCTCGAGGTCGACGAGGTGAAGAGGTGTGTTCTTCGAGGCGCATAATACACACTCTCTGTTTTCATCGCCCAGACCTTTATTTCATTCGAGATGGAATCTGATTCAAAAGCATTAAAAAAAATTTCACGATGGTATCATCCTGTCTGCGTGGACTCCACACCGGGAGGCGTTGTGGGGCCCGTGTCAGTGCGGTAATCTGGTTTTGCCATTTCCCCCGTGCAGGACCCCCCTCCCCTGAAGCACGTTGGAGCCCAAGGGCAGCTCGCGCATCCTCTGGAGATTCACGATCTCACGTCTCCCTTCCCACCCCCAGTCCATCCCCAATGGACCCCCAGTGCCGTGCATAGAGACCATCTCGACTCGGCCGGCCAACCAGGGAAGACAACCCTTGCAGTCACAGAATGCTGGCACAACGACCGTCCTTTCGCGTCATCGTCACCGCGGGCGCGGTGGCGTCGCTAATCCTCTTCACCTTCCTTCTCTTCCTCGGCCGCGGTCCTCGCGATATCTCGTCTAAATACGTCCTGAAAACGCCCTACAAGCCTGTTAAAGAGAAGCCCACAAAAGAGTGCCCGTCTCCGGCTCCCGTTCACAATGAAACGTGGCAATTTCAGACCGAACGCGATGCCCTCAACTACGGGCTCTCGGAAGAGCAGTGCCTCAGTGCCTTCCCGAAACTGTTTCTTGAGATCGACAAGTCGGTGGCGCAACGGCAACAACACATCACTTTTGCCGAGCTGGAGTCTCGGACTGTCGAGGATAACCAGGCCCGCGTGATTGTGCATAAGGGAGAGGTTGGTTAACATGGTTTTTACTTGTTACACGTCGGATTCTGGTGCTAATTTTCGTCGCTAGGTATATATCGTTGAATTCGGCGAGATGACCAACACCGCGAGTCGCGCGCGTGCCACGCTCCTCGCTCTGCAACGGGCGCTGGAGGCTGTCCCGGACCGCCACTTGCTGCCGAGCATCGAGTTCTTTTTCACAGCGTCAGACTGGCCACACGACCCCGAGTCCGGCCCGCCGATCTTTTCATATACCAAACGTGATGCACACAACGCCACTTGGCTGATGCCCGACTTTGGATACTATTCCTGGCCCGAGGCGTCGATCAGCACATATAACGAGGCGCGGCGGCGGATGATCGAGATTGACGAAGGGGAGATCAACGCCGATGGCACGCGTTCGCCGGGGCTCGCGTTCCAGGACAAAAAGAAGCAATTGATTTGGCGTGGGAACGTTGATACCAACAAGGAGATCCGCGGCAAGTTATTGGAGGCTTCCCAGGGCCAGAGCTGGGCCAGTGTCCACCATTTCGTCTGGGGCAAGGACGAAGTTCTCCCGCTAGAGGACCACTGTCGGTATATGTTCGCCGCACAGACCGAAGGACACACCTACTCGGGCCGCGGCAAATACTTGTTGAACTGCCGCATGGTTCTTGTCGCGCACTCGATGATTTGGCGCGAGGCCCACCACGCGGCTATGATCGCGTCGGGCCCCGAGGCTAACTACGTTGAAGTCGGCACCGACTATTCGGATTTGCCCCGCAAGATGGAGTTCCTCATCGATAACCCTGAGGTCGCTCAGCGCATCGCCGATAACGCCGTGCGCACCTTCCGTGATCGTTATATCACTCCCGCCGCCGAGGCGTGTTACTGGCGCCACCTGATCCGTAAGTACGCGTCTGTCTGTGACTTCAAGCCTTCCTTGACCCAGATCAAGGACGGGAAGAAGGTGCCTCGTGCCACTCATCTTGAGGACTGGCTTCTCCTGAAAACCATGATGAAAACAGACACACAACAGAAAAAGAAGGTAGAAAACATCAAGACGGAAAACACTAAGACGGAAAACACGCAAAACAAGGAGCAGACCTGATCTGACGCAGTATCTTGGGTGTACATCTTCGCACATCGGCGTTCACAGTATCTTCTTCTCGGTGTTGATATTTGGATCATCTTTTTTTTTTCTCTCTCACTTTTCTGTATATGCAGCTATCTACATGGGTTGAATGCATCTCTTGGGCACGTCTGTCTGAATTTTTTTTATTTTATTTTATTTCATGTCTGGTTTCCGATTTTGTGTCTACTACCCATTGGCCATGTGTTTCTCTGTAGCTGAAGAGGTTACTGAATCGACGTTTTGACAATTCTCGATGTCCATGGATATGGTGGTACCTGTGTATGTGTAGTATACCGGGCAGTGTTTCCAGCGAGATGTCCCATACTCTGCAGGATAAACCCTTGCCAATCCTCCTCTTTCCATCCACGGATCATGGATAGCTCCATTTCATTGCTCGTAGCATATCAGAATGGCCACGACCACAATCTAACGCCAGTGTGAAGATGTCTGGCTTGTGCTGCAGTCTGCACACGCCCCTGCCTCGATCCCACTTGACTGAGGTTTCGTCTCGTCTATATGCACATCACGCAATAGCCAACGTTCGAGGGTGTCTTGTGCCGCTTTCCCCACGGGGAGTGTCACCATCCAACCCTTCCAGAAGCACTAGACCCGACACCGGCTCATCGAGCTAATGCGTTCCTGTCCCACTAGCCTTGTATGACAGCTTGGTTCTGGAACACTGCTGCTTATAGACCGCAATCTTGATCAACTGGTCAACCAGTAGATCTGTGGAATCCTGTGACTTTCAAATCACAGTCTGTGGTTAGCAACCGGGTAATGATGAGTCGTACGTAGTGAGTAGCACCTTGGTTTCCAGCAGGAAGTATGGCAAGATTGAGCCCTGGAGTCTTGTGAGCATTCGGTTGCAAAAGACCCGCGGGTCGTCCCTCCGAGTTATATATGTACAAACCTGCAGCCTTACCCCCTAGTCCTGAATCTTCGTTTCCCATGTTGTATAGGTATGTTCTGTAGATAGACATACCCCTGGCCCCCACCCACCATTCCAGAAGGATGGCCCCATAGTTCCAGCCTCGTCAAAAGCGAAGTGCAAGAACCCCTAACGCCACCAAGGCGCTCTCACTACATAAATCCTGTCGATGTGGAGAATGATGACACATGGATGGATAGATGTATGACTCGCCTGGCCCCTCCTCCTCTGAGGCTGTACAGTAAACCAATGGACATGACTCTCTGCAGCGCAAGGCTGGACTGGACCATTTCCTAGTTTTTTTTTTTTTTTTTTTTTTTTTGGGAGGGCGGGCAGTATGATGCAGTTATCCCAAGTCCTCCGTGTTTCATTGATTCAGGTGAAGTTGTTGTGATATGATCGACTGACTAGACTCGCCGCGAAGATCAGGTCCAGCTGGTTTCAGGGATACTCGATCGGATCGGTGATCATGCATTGCCTGGATAGTGGGTTTGAAAGGACCGCGTACTGAAAAGGCTTTCAGAGGAGATACCAGCGTGTAGCAGGTTGACAACGATGCTGATCCTTCAGAGGACAGGGATTATCCAGGGAAATAAGCAGCCGGACATGTGGTCCTCTTTACGCGCTGTCATTGCAGCGTGCACGAGGTGGCTTGAAGAGGGTTGGCGTGTCAATATATTCATTCTCAGGTGGCAGCTGAGCCTGGCGAGGTCAGTAGATACGAGTGCCCATGATGATTTGAACCACTGCAATGAGAACGTGGTAGCTGGACGCTTCAGATGTAGTACATAGAGTGCCTGTCGGAGAGCACCAATTTATCAGTCAAAGAGAATTTCTTTGATTGAGGATTCTCTCCGTAAGAATATCCGAGAGAGAAAGTCCGGTATAAGCACATATAGGCTTTGGGCCGAGGGACCATCCGAGCTGCTCACTGCTCACCTTTGAAGAATGAGAGGGTTAATGGACAAATCAAAATCAAAGCCCGCTTGTCCATCATATCGTGGATATCTCTAGCTATAGCTAAAGCTACACGCAGATCACCTATCCAGCACCATGCCATCCACGGTTCTACGGTTGGCACTGGAACTACTGTCTAGCTACCGAGCATCCAAAAACGCCAAAAACACCAAAAACAAAACAACCTTGCCAGCTTCTGCCGATCCTCGTTTTCTCCCGTCTCAACGTCACTCTTCCCATCTTTCTCCCTCCCTTACCTTATACCCACACAGCATAGCCTCATCCTGATATCCAGAGACTTGAGATGTCCATCATCATCTCTATGATATACCAAGTCTCACAATTGGGGGGCTACGGCCCCGGACATCTGAGTCGTTGGTCACAGCCGATCTCGGGGTTGACATCACAGCATTAGGATGGGCTGGATTTTCTTCAGTGATGGGCGGTGGTCTCCACAGTAGATTATCGCCCAAGTTGATGGCAAACAGGAGAATTAGCAGGGCAATTCCGCTATGGAGGTGGTCTCAAAAAGAGTACTTCCAATTGCCGAGACAATCAGCCAAACCCTATCTGATCCACACTTTTCTAGCTCTGCGGTTAACTACACAACTCTGTAAGCACCGCCGGACTTCTTCGGTGGAATAGTAGGCAAAGGAATTATGGACCACGAAATATCTTTGGATATATCCACACGGCAAATGTACCCGACGTAGAAGTGGTGCGTAGATATTGCAGCGTTGCGTTACCACACTTTTCTCTTTGCTTTTTCTTATCTCTCAGCCCTAGACTGAAGAGTTTGGTACGATTCCGCGGGACGAGGCGATGGTCCGACCATGGAATTAGGGGAAAAAGGCCACAAGAATGCGATTTGAAGCGGAGCCATCCATGAACTACACAGGGACCTGGAACACGCCGAGCCGGATCAAAGCTTCCTGTGTAGGCAAGGCGTCCCAGTCAGACCACCGGAGGTCCTGGCATCCGAGCCCGTGTCTTTCAAGAAGATTTACTTGAGAGTTCAAGATCTTCGAAGGAGGACAGGAACAGAAACATAGAGAGAGAGAGAGAGACTCCTTGAAACCGTTTCCATGAGCAACTCTTGTGTCAACTGTCTAGGTTGCCGGATTTAAATCTTGAAGCCACCGAGTCCTTTGGGGCAAGGGGTCGCCCTTGCATTGACCCACACGTCGACACACAATAAAATAGTTTGTGGATCGGCGCATCTCTACGACCACTTGTTGTTTCGATTGGATCGACCATGCGCCCATTCCAGGGCTGTTCTCCACAGAGGAATCCGAATGAACTTGGCTAAAGTTGGGGTCTATTTTTCATGATTTGCAAATGCCCCATAGCTGGTGTGGATCATCAACGCCTATCGCCTTCGATCATGTTCGAGCTGGCGCAACTACAATATTTCACATTCGTATCAGGAGACACACACACTCTCTCTCTCCCCCCTTTAGGACAGCTTTGACACTACCGCGTAAGATTCTCCTCGAGGCATTCTTGGTTTAACCAGAAACCAAACAACGAATGTCATCCATGGATTACTCTCAGCCGTAAGCGCCGAGAACTATCCCCGACCCACTGAGACACCTTTCGGCTCTTCTCTATGGTGCCATGTAAAACCCGCATGGACTATGGGCGGACACGCATCTTTCTCTCCCCTGATGGCCGAAGACCCATAAGCACGAGTTTTGAGTCAGGACATCGCAGGTTGTTTCGCAACCTCTGATCCCCATCGGATGGATCAATGGATCTCCATACCCAAGGCTGATTTTTCGGCCCCTTGTACCTTTTTTTCTTTTTTTCTTTTTTTCTTTTTTTCTTTTTCCATTTTCTTTTTCTTTTTCCCTCGCTATCATCCTCCCTGATTGCTCAATGACTTGGACTGGCCAATCCACCTGTGTGATGTCGAGCAAAGGGTGGGCCGAGCAACGGTGGGCAGTGCCCTTTGGGCATATCTCTTCCATATATAGAGAAGAAAATATATAAGACTTGACTAGCATCCGCCTAGGTGAATCTTTACAATCCAGCGGCTCCCATATTAGGCCTCCTCTCTCATTTATACTTAGTCCGCTCATTTGTGTGCATTCAATTGCTGACATTCCTTTATTTGTTCTGTTGCAAATAGCTGCCTTGCAATAAAAACAAGAAAAAAAGAAAAAGAAAAATGCAGCTCTTGTCACTCCCTTTTTCTTCATTGGCGACTCTCACCCTCGCCGTGGCCCCCGTCTTCGGCTTGCCGTATATACCGAAGCGGACGCCCTCCGTCCCTGTCAAGCGGGATCCCTGGCTGGCTCTCGATACCGACTTCCCAGACCCGGCGTTCTTGAAGGCCAGTAATGGGAAATGGTATGCCTTTGGGACGATTGGAAACGGCCTGCGCATGCAGGTTGCCGAGTCAGACAACTTCTCGAACTGGACCTCCCTCAATAAGAGCCCGATGCCCAAGGTGGCTGAATGGGAGCAGCCCAACACCATCCTGGCCATGGCGCCGGATGTTATTCAGCGGGTATGTTTATTCCATTGCGTCTATCGATATACATCGCATCTATCATCTATATCATGGATCTATACATGATCTATAGATACATGGGTGGTTAGATGTAGGGATGTATAGATATATGCAAATCTACACCGACACACAATTGGAAATATACTTACACCTTCCAGGCCGACGGAAAATACGTGATGTACTACTCCAGTCCAACCAAGCGCGACGAAAACCGCCAATGCGTCGGCACCGGCATCGCCAACGACCCCTCAGGGCCCTACGAGCCCAGCGACGAGCCCTTCGCCTGTCCCTTCGACCAAGGCGGCGCAATCGACGCCTCGGGCTTCCAAGACATCGACGGCACGCGCTACGTGACCTACAAAGTAAACGGCAACACAATCGGCAAGGGCGAATGCGGGAACAGCATCCCGCCACTGAAGCCCACCCCGCTGATGCTGCAGAAGGTGCGCGAGGACGGCATCACGCCCGTTGGCAAGCCCATCCAGATGATCGACCGCGCCACCAGCGACAACGATGGCCCGCTCGTCGAGGCCCCCTATATCTTCCACCATGCTGGCACCTACTTCCTCTTCTACTCTACCCACTGCTACAACTCCGACCAGTATGACCTGCGCTATGCTACTGCTGCCAATGTTACTGGGCCCTGGCAGAAGGATAATGCCCAGCTACTTAAGCCGGGCCAGTACGGTCTCAAGTCGCCTGGTGGTGCCTCGCTGCGCAGTCTCTCGAAAACTTTGCTTGGTGACGGCTCGCTTTTCCCTGATGGCATGCTCTTCCATGGCTGGTGCCATGATAAGACGGAGCGCTGCATGTATGCCGCCAAGGTCCGCTTCTTCGGCAACAGGGTTGTCGTTGTCTAGGCTGCGGTGTTTGTGTCCTTGGGAATTTGAATTTTGTTGATATACCCCAGCTCTGGAGCAGCATTTTGGTCTTTTCTTTTTTTTTTTCCCTTGTGTTTTCTAGCGCCACAGAAAGTTCTTTGTTGCTGTCATTAAATTCCTCCGACGGCGGGACGAGCGGAGAATCCAGTGAGACTCCAGTCTGTACACGAGGGTTGACCCCTGCATACCATAGCAAAAAGATGCGCAATATTCTGACGTACTTCATGTGTGATAGCCAAACCATTGACTCAAAGTGGAGCGAAAATTCATTGCTAGATTTTGGCTAACGCTTCTTCAACTGCAGACACGTCATTCATAAATGTACTGATATCTACACCAGGCGTGTATTCTCAACCCTAATCAAGCTTCTCCTCGCGCGCCCGCTTCTTCTCCTGCACTTCACTCACCCAAGCCGCCGCTCCACTGATAGCCGCTTCAGGCGAGTCCTTGTGCATGAGTAGATAGCCCTGGATCTCAGCGGCCGTAAGCTCGCCGCTCGGGACCAGCGATGCAAACTCGGCAGCCAACGCATTGATGCGGACACGTAAAGCCTCGATGCGTCCCTGGAGTTCCTCTTCTTCCTTCTCTCTTGTACAAGTGTCAACCTTCTCGGGCGAAGCCTTGGGGATTTCTCGTTTTCCAGCGACACCCCCATCCACGGCTTTGGATGTGCCATTGAGTCGTCGAGACGCCGACGTACGGGGCAGGTCGCCCTCCATGGTCACGTAGATGGAGGTAAACAGCTCCTCGATATCGGCGCGCGTAGTATACCCAAACACAATGCTCATGTCGACACGGCCGGGCCGCAGCAGCGCCGCGTCCAGCTTGTCGGCGTGGTTGGTCGTCATGACGAGGATGCGACCCTCGCTAGCAGCAACGCCGTCGATCACATTGAGTAGTCCCGACAGCGTGATGCCGTCCTTCTCGGGGGTTTCCACACCAGAATTTCCGTTTTCCCCTGCGGCCGACGAGGCATTGCCTTCTGCAAGCCCAGCCGGCCCCACGTCGTTCTTTGAGTCGGAGGTCTTGCTCTTGCCTCGGTTGTGCGTGATGCCGGCCGTGTCGACGTCCTCGAGGAGTATGATGCAGCGACGCGGCAGGTCCGAGAACAGCGCGGCCAGACTGTCTTCGTCGAGAGTGCGCGAGTTCAGGTTCAGCAGGTACAGTTTCAGACCCAGCAGGCCTGCGGCCGCGAAACATAGACTGGTCTTGCCCGTGCCCGGGGGCCCATGCAACAGGTAGCCACGGCGGTACGGAATGCCGCGGTTGGAGTACCAGCGGCGGGTGCGCGGGTGCAGGTACTCCTTGATGTCGTCGACAAAGGCCTGTTTCTGGGCATGGTCGAGGACGACAGTCGACAGCGGGCGCGGCGACCGCGCCATACACCGAATCCAGTCAAAGGTCGACCCCCCGTCAGAGTAGCGCTGGCCGCGGTAGATGACCGTGCGGTTGGCGTCGCGCTCCACAAAGGCCTGCTGAGCCTCGGCGAGCAGCGCCTTGAGGATGGCCGGGTTGCGACCCAGACACGAGAGATACAGGCGCTCGTTGTCCAGCACCCAGCGCAGCGGCGACTCCCGCTCCTCGCGCTCCAGCATCAGCGGCTGGCCCCGGAACCAGAAGATGTGGCGTCCCTGCGCCGGCGTGAACCGCATGCGCCGGTACTTGTCGCGGCGGACCAGCTTGGCCCAGAAGTCGTCGAATGACCTGGCGTTGGCCCCGCTCCCGGGCTCGTCCCACTCGTCGCCTCCCGCGGCGCCGGGCATGTCTTCGTCGCCCGAGCCCTCGTCGTCGTTCCAGTAGCCGTTGGACTTGACCCCCGCCACGACCCGGTTGGTGCGTTTCATGAACGCTTGCCGCGACAGCCAGTACATCAGATATCGGAAGACCTCGTCTTCCAGCCGGATTTCTGCCGTCGACACGAAATACTTCTTGAAGAAACTCTGGGCTCCGTGAAGACTGTAGCGCAGAGAAGCGCCGAGCACAGTCATGCTGACCAGCACGCCGAGGTAGGCCGTGAGGTCAATTTTGAGGTACGACATGGCGATGCGCGAGAAGAACGTGTACCCCGGCACCAGCGCCTCTAGCATGGCCGTGTCCGAAGAGGACAGAGGAAGCCCCGTCGTCGAGGCATAGGTTTGGTTGTAAGCCATGCTGGGCGAATGAATTGTAAAGAACACAAGTGAATCTCCCGTGGGAGAAAATACTCTCTTTACCCCTCCATGAGCCTGGTCTTTATAGACCACCAATGTTTTCAGCCTCATCGGTTGGGCCTTCGCATGGCGCTGCATCATCGCTTTTTGGTCGCCCAATTGGGAGTTCCGGGTTAACGGGGGATGTGCATGGTCGCAGCCACAACCAATGTGATTGAGTATCTGAACTGCGGCGGTTGTGCTACTGCGGCTTCTGCCTGGGCTTGAGTCATTTTGTCGCAGTTGTTGTCGGAGATGCAAGTTGCCTGCGCAATGGGTAGACGTGGCGGTGAATCGGAACGACTATGAACCAGTCAAATGTTGATGTAGCCTGGAGGTACGGAGGTGGTGAAGAGAAAGGAAGAAAGAAGATGCATTAGTCCAGAAACTAAATTTATAAAATAAATAAAAAAGATGACTCTCCCTCGGGGAATCGAACCCCGGTCTCCCGCGCTTATCACAAGATGACAAGCGGAAATCATCACCACTAGACCAAGGAAGAAAGATAGTCAAGTTCCACTCGACCACTTGGCATTGGATAATATCATTTGGCCAGTTAATGCTACACTACACAACCCAGCAACTATCCCAACCCAATTCTCTTCGCACATCCATAGATTTACATCTAGCGGTGTACTCAACTCCAATTCTTTCCATTTTGACATGATGCGTTATAGATTACAGATTATCAACATGGGTATCTAGCAAGTGTACAAAGCCCACTCATCGTCGCGACCCCGGGTGATTGTCCTTTTCCGCAGAGAACATTTCACCAGCCCACTGCTTCCACACGTCAACTTTACCCCAGAAACTCTTCCACCATGTCGTTTTGTCTGCCTTGTGAGAATCCCCAGCGGTCGGCTTTGCTGCCGCGGAGATTGTAGGTACACTTGGCCCTTCTGTGGTCGAAGTGTGGATGGGCAGATTCGCTGGCTGATTAGTGGCGGGCGCGCGGTCGTCGGAGTGCAAGCCCACCGGCTCCAGTGGAAGATGTAAGGTACCATTATTGGGGCGCGGGTCGACTCCCAAGGAGTCGCAGACAATATTATATACTTCGATATTTTCTAAAGAGAATGGGTCAGTTCGAATCCATGGCTGATAATGGGACAGTCACTTACGAAATGCTTCCAACCGACTGTTGGGCGTGTATGGGAAGGCTGGACCGCGGGCGATGAAGATGGCTCGCATCAGCGGGTGTTCATGGTCATATCCGTGGATTCCTTTCGGATGGTAGACCTCGCCCATTTTCTGGGCTTTGTGGGCGTCGAATTCTGGTCGTTCGACAATGGCCCAGCCCGCCTTAGGGATGACCCACAGAGGCGCAATGCGGTCGTTATTGGTGAAATGGTAGCGCTCAGGCATCGTCTCTCGGGTGTAGATCTGGACAGCATGCGCGTACTTGTCTGCCACCTTTTCTAGCTGCTTCTGCAGAACTGGAAGGTCTTCAGGACGCTTGGGACGCAAGCCGCGCGATGGCCATCCGTCAAGATGCTCGATTAAGCTTGTATCGACCAGGTCTTCGAGCTGCACCAGTCGGTCCGTGGATGTGCTGGCCATGCCGTGGTCCGAGACGATGACAATATTCACCACGTGAGTTAGGTTGCGGTCCTCCAGGCCTGCCATGAGCCCTGCAATCATACCATCTGCATTGTGGACCGTGTTTCGAACTTCGGTGCTGTTAGGCCCGTAGTTGTGTCCGTCCCGATCAACATCGGGAACATACGCGGCGATGAATTGTGGCCGCTCGGGTGTAATCTGCGACTCGTCTTCCACGCCGGGAAGATCGAGGAACTCGAGAATGCTGGTCACCTTGCGCGACAACGCCTCGGTGCCATTATATTGGTCCAAAAAGGTCGGTTCCTGCTCTCCAATGTGTGCCTCAGACCCCGGCCACATGTGAATCGCGCTCTTCACTCCTTGTTTTTCCGCCGTCTCCCAGAGTGGCTCCGCATTCCACCATTTGGGTTGCATGCTCACATCGGTGTGGGTGTAGTAAAATGATTCTTCTAATTCCGGATCCCAGAAATTATTGCCCACAATTCCATGACTCTCGGGGTAGAGCCCTGTCACAAGTGTAAAATGGTTGGGGAATGTCACGCTCGGGAAGCTGGGGTGCATGTATCGTGGGGACACGCCGTCGGCGATGAGGGCATTGAGGGCCGGGGTCACACTGCGGTCTTGGAGGAAATCGGCACGAAACCCATCCAGCGAGATAAGAATGGTGGTTGGTGCAAAAAGTGCCGTACCGTTTGAGAGGAGCGGTTTAGAACGAGTGCGCGAAACCCGGAAGCCGGTCGAGGCCTTGTATGAGCCCAGGATGAGGATGAGGAAGAGAACAAGAATCACCGCAAAGATCAGAAGATATCTCCGCCATGAGAACCGAGTCTATCCACAGCAAATTGACAGATTAGCATGGGTTTCTCCCAGGTCAGTCGGGCTGCGTTACCGGCTCGTCAATGTATTCCTCCTTCCCGTTCAACTTTGACGATGACCGGCTAATGAGGGAGATCTCGTCATCACCAAACCCTTCTTCCATTTCATACATCAGTTCACCCTCTTCGCTGACTCTCTCCCGGCGTGCTTTTCGAGCCTCTTTTCGAGCCCGACGCTGTTCTCGTTTCCCGATGCGCACACTGCTGGCGTTTGGACTAAGCATCCTGCGTAGCCCATGAGCAGGACCACGCCTTGTCAGCAACTTCTCCAACTCTTCTTCATCCTCCAGCACGGCTCGGTCATGTTCGGCAAGCTCTAAGGTGTTGCGTTCATGGCTGAGGAACTCATCGTCTTCGGAGTCGGAGTCCTGCTCCGAGGGTGATCGCAGGGAGGCGGCATCGCCGTCGTAGTTGGCGGGAGATAAGAGAGAAGGACTGAGATCACGCATGGCTGTGAGCAGCCGCAGATATTCGAGGGGGGAGCGATCGGTTGAGGAGCAGAAAGGGAGATCGACGGCGGGCCGGGTTGGCCCGCCAAGCCTTCAGGGCGCCCGAGGTTGTCTTGGAATTTTGAATTGTTTGATCCATGGATCTATCTCTTCATATATTCTTAGTCTGGATACAGAGTATTCGTGTGTATTCTAGAGAGTGTTGGTTTACTGCTATACACAGTCTGGCTTCAGACCTCCGACCTAAACAGCAGTTTCTAAACAAACCTCGTCATTGGAGAAACCCCATGTCCAACCAACAAATCGGCTCTATTTTCGAATGACGTGCATCTTGCATGTTTTGACTCTGCTGGTGATAGCTATGTCTGAGAACAATAGCAGCCGACTTCATTTCACACTTGGATGACATGCACAGGAAATGTGCCCAGGTGTTCTGGCGCCATCGCAAATGCCATCTATGCACATTCCTCGATAGCCGACCGGGGTTACAGGTGTCAGCTGTCTTCGTGATTTTCCGGACAGAGAGCCATGAGTTTGACATGGACAATTTGCCGATTGCAGTGTATAGTGACTGATCGACTGGTGATGATCTGTCCGGCTTCCTCAAGACGATGATCTACACCGAAGTCGTTGAAGTCCAGTATGTTTCGCGCACACCTATTATTACGAACATCATCGAATTTGCATCTGCTTCTATGCAATTATCTACATATTAAATCAGTTAGTATAATGCCAAGTCAGCCTCAGGAACAAAACCATGCTTCTTCATGGGGTCTCATCCTCCTCTTATACTTCGGAGGAAGCCAACCACCCCACGAGATCACAACGCCCAACAAAGGGCTTCAATAACCATGTCTCTGGATTTTATGCCAGACCACTTTCTCCTTGCAGTAACCCCAACCATCCAGGCAACTGGAGACCTCTCCACTCATTGTCTCAAAGCCACATTCTCTCCCGCAACGCGTGTTCCCCAGAGACCCATCGAAATTTCCTCTGAAAACGAAGCTTCTCCACTATGACCATTTACTGAAAACCTACTGTACTTGCTGATCTTCCTGGAATGTCCCGTTGGCGGCGTCACTTCTGTTGTGTTGGTTGTTCCGCTTGCGATGAACACTTGCCTATTCAGGGAATATCACGTGACTTTTAACATACCCTTGATTGCTCGATTCGATTACTCCTTCACGCGCCCCACCAGTTCATTTGAGAAATTATGATGGTCTCAGTTCTGAAGAGATCCTAACACATTTTGGGTCAACGTTGCATAGCGGAGCCGGGCTCGGCCGGGAACCCAAAGGGGATCCAGAGTGACATCCGCGCGTCTCCCCCGGATGCGGAAATCGACGACAGGAAAAGGCTCAACTTTGGATTGTTGACCCAAGGGTCTGATCGAGGGCAGAGGTACAGGCAGATGGCAAAAGGAGAAAAAAAAATTCTGCTTTTCTAGCTGGATGTCATCATTAACAACCTTATTGACCCGACATGGCCGGATTTGGACACCCCCCAGCATCTATAAGAACAGGGTCCTGGTCACCCCCGGGACCCAGTTCCGACTTCTCCCCTTTCTTACTACTTCCATCGCATTAGCATCAGATCCACCAAGGTATGGCAATCCTATCGCCAGGGCTGAAAGCTGTTTCAGCCCTATATTCTATCTACCTGCGAACCATATACTAATATCGATATTCAGCTCGCCTTGTCATTCGTTCAGACAAGAAGCCCTCATCTTTTTGATCCAATCGTTTTTCAAAAACCATAACAACAATGCACTTCTCCGCCCCCGTTGCCATCCTGGCCCTCGCCGCCGGCGTCCACGCCGGTGTCCCCAAGGCTGAGCCGGGCCACGTCAAGAGCGTGCATTCCGAGGGTGCCACCAGCACCGCCGCTGTGACCCCCACCACCCCCTGCGTCCGCTGCCATCACACCAGCGGCGCCGTCGTGCCCACCAAGTCCCCCGCTCCTCACCACGGTGGCTCCGGTGCCTCCAGCAGTGCTGGTGTCGGCGGCTCCGGCTCCGGCTCCAGCTCGGGCTCCAGCTCGGGCTCTGGCTCGGGCTCTGGATCTGGCTCCGGCTCCGGCTCTGGTTCGGGCTCTGGCTCTGGCACCAGCAGCGGTGCCTCGCCCAGCGGCTTCGCCCCCTCCAACCCGGGCTCCAAGGTCTCCATCCCCCAGGCTGGTGCTATCATGGGCAGTGTTGCCTACGGTGCTGTCATGCTCCTGGCATAGAAAGCTTTGCTTTTCCAGGGCTTTGGATGTAATGAATCCGTGTGTCTTTGCTTTGGTTTCTTCGTTTTATGATGCCGGTGTTCGGTTCGGTTTCCTCTGATCTCTTTCTTTTCTTTCCTCCTTGCCTATTCTGATAATCCATTCGGATCTGGCTTGATATATTGGCTGCTGTCCAGTTCATCAGGTTTGGTGGGTATAGAAGAGGAATGGATTAGAAGGACAGTGGTAGCCGCGGCAGGCGTTTACGGATGATGTTGTTTTGTACGAGGATATATAAGAAAGTAATTTAATGTTAATAAAAACGGAAAAAAAAAATCTTGGATGGAGTTGTTCACTTTCTCTGTAGAGTACACAGTAAGGATCTCTGGACATGGGGTTTCCAGGATGCCTATTCTCTACCAGACCAGAAAACTGCTGGGCAGACTTTGACTCGAACGCTCATTGACTTCGGGCAAACTCTATCGGCCAATGCAATCATAGACTCTGTCGTAGTCATAGGCTATTTATAGAAAAGCGAAAAGAATTCTTCAGAGAGTTTCTTAGGGTCGGTAAACTCTAATGTTGAGAATCGATGCATACCTCTTGAGAAGAAACCCTAAAATCAAAAAAGAGTCTGTGGAAATGTATTGAAATTGAATTATCAGAATTTTAGCTTTCCTTGGATTATGTAGACACGAAAGACAGCTGATATAACCTCCTAGAAACATGCAAGAGCACAGGGTTAAAACAGAAACGAGTACCTCCCAGATGTACACCAAACAGTATGCAAAGCAGAAAGAAGAAACAAGTAACAACAGAGAAAGAAACAGAGAAAAGGGGGAAAGTAGTAAAATGCGAAAGATCATAGAAACAGTCCCTCCTAATCTTTGGATACCCAGTTCGTCCATTGGCACTCACAACCCCCAGTCCCACCATCAGTTCCACCCCATGTCGAACCATTAGACGAAGACGAGGATGACGAGTCATCACCAAGGTTATCGAATATCCCCGAAGCAGGATTTACCAGTGTCCCGCCGATGCCCCGCTCCTCGATCTGCAGCTTTTTATTCGTGATATTGAAATGACCGTCCTCCTCGACTCCATAGCAATACACCAGCTTCTTTTTCTGGGACCCGCCATGTCGGTCCAGCGTGATGGTAATCGGGTAAGGGAACGAACCGGGCCGCGTAAAGTTCGTAGCCGACGAAGAGGATTTCGATCCAGAGGCTGAGGTCGAGGTTGCAGAAACTGTGCTGCTGCTGCTGCTGCTGCTGTTACCGTAGCTAGCAGATACCAACTCCCGACCAAGCTGTACAGGCTGCGTCCAGATCTGGACGAGAAACCGCGTCTGCGACCAGGTGCAGCGTGTGCGGGCGTCTTTCTTGCTGGAACCACCGTCGGCGTCGCTGGGGCTATTGTCACCCGAACTGCCGTTTAGGGCTGCGAGAGATTCCAGGAATATGGATTTGTCAAAGTACGTGTAGAACCCGTAGTGCTCAGTCGACTTCCCTCGGTCGAACAGCCGGACGGGCTGCGATTCGGGGAGTGGGTAGAGAGTTGCTGCGGCGGCTGTGCCGTCGGAGTTCTCGCTTGGGGCGGGGATGATGGCGGTCAAATTGGGGAAGGTGTTGTCTTTGGAGCGGCGGAAGACCTTTGTCGAGGAGAGAGGCACGGGCGAGAGAATGGTCATGTAGAAGGGCGTCTCTTCGCCGGCGTAGGGCTCGGCATTGCTGTCTGTCGTGTTGCCGAGGAACTTTTGATCTGCCACGCTGGGAGGCGAGGGCGATGCCTTGAATACGCTACTTTCATCTCTGGCGTGCAACTGTCGTGCAGACTTCGGGCTTCCAGTCTCGGTGCTATGGTCATAGGTCCCGTTGCGGAACCGGATCTCAACCCGGAAACTAGGCTCATCGGCATTGTAGGGCTTGTTGTGGGCGTGTTCGTCCGGAGGGAGTGCACAGCTCCACAGAGACGAGGGCTTAATGCAGCTCGACTTGTAAACCCGCGTATCAGTCCCAGCAATGGTTGAAACGCCCGTTGGCATAGGCGGGTAGCCCGTCAAATTGAGCCATCTCGATTCAACAGGCATGGCAGCTCCCTTCTTGGTTAACGTAATTGCCAGCACAATGGCCAGAATTACGATAATGAGAAAGAAGCTCGCAATGGCAAAATACCATCTTCGTCGCAGCCGGCCCTCTCGTCCTGGACGCCCAAAGCATCCCTTCTTGCTGACAGGACCCCGTCCGCGCCACAGACCGCCGATTTTCCGACCAACGGCATCTTCTCTTTCTAGTCGCTGGCGTCGGGCCTCCACCGGTCCTCTTTGGCCTGTGGGATTCATCACCGCGGCCCGTGGCGCGGAATGAAGATCATATCGCGGCGGGAGGGGAGCATCTCGGGGAAATTGCGTGTATGCAGGCGCCGGGGCATGCATTTCTGACAGCGGCATTGATCCTTCTCCTCCTGCTGCGTGCTGGAAACCGGGAGATATTGGCTCAGTCGCGGGCGGAGGTGCCTGTTGCAGTTGTCGCCATCCTGGGCCTTGTGGGTGTGCTGCTGGCTGCTGCGGTATTGGTAGCGCTTTGGGCGATTCCGATCCTTGAGCAGAGTCTTGGAGTTTGGCAGGTGGATCTGGCTGTGGTGCTACCGGAGCTGGCACGGCTTGCTGTGTGCCTTGGTGAGGAGGGAAGATGGCGACGTATTGCGACACGGCTCTCTCCGCTGTAACAGCCGTCTGCGGAACTGGCGCAGGTGGTACGGGATAGGGGAAGTTGTTTGCTGGTGGTGCAATGTTGTAAATGATTTGTGGAGGAGCAGGTTGAGCCGGCTGGGCAGGCTGAGCAGGAGGTTCTGGAGGAGCAGGAGCAGGAGCAGGAGGAACAAGGTGCGCTGGAGGCGCAACAGGAATGGGAGCGGCAGGAGGAGCAGAGGAAGCATGGGGAGCGGGAGGAGATGGAGCAGGAGCAGGGACAGGAACAGGAGCTGGCGGTTGTTTCTCAGACGTTTCCGTAGATGGCGCAGGAGCTGGTTCTTGAGAAGGAGGTTGCGAAACAGGCTCCTTCGCAGACAGCGGCAACTCAGGCAAGCTTTTCTCAGTAGGTTTCGGTTTCTCAGACATTTCGGACGCCTTCTCCTTCTGATCAAGCACAGGCGACGCCCACCATTCGGAATCGGTATCAGAGACGGGTGACGGGGCATCTCTAGTAGCGGTAGCAGCAGTACCACGCGTGGTCCCATGCACAGGTGAGTCAACATCAATTAGCAACCCGTGTGCCTCTGTGCCCAGATTTCCAGTCCCAGTAAGCCCGGCCTGGCTCTTATAAATTTGAGTAGTGGAGGGGGGATCAACCTCGACAAGAGCCAAGCCCCGATCACTAGGCACGCCAGCCGCGGCACAAGTCTCATTGATGACAGTGGTATTGGCCGGAGTGAGAGAGCAGATGTGGTTGAAACACTCGAAATAAGGTGTCCTGCTGAAAAGCTCATGCGCACACGCCTGGTAGTACTCGGCCGCGTGGCCCTGGATCGGACGACCGGGAAACATGAACGACATGGTGGTCTGGCGGTTCGTTGCAGTCGTTGCAGCGGGCATGGGCTCGTCATTGGTGATACCCAGGGACCGCGACTGCTCGACATTTGTGTTGTCATCGGGCCAGCGAGTCGGGGCGACGGTTTCGGGGGTGTCGGGTGAGAAGCAGGACACTTCTTTCTCTTTCTGCCACCATTCCTTGGTTGGTGCTTGCGTGGCTGGTGTTATGGGAGATGAGGTTGGAGGGAACCCGGGGCTGGTGGGTGACTTTTTGCTTGTGAGTGGGCTGGAGTGTTTGAGGAGCGGCGAGAGGAGGTACGTCCACCATCCTTGTGATTGGGGTCTGTTGGTCTCGGTGTTGACGCTCAGTGGACTGAGCGGAGTCCGGCCATTTTCGTCTGAAGGTGTCTGTCGCTGCGGGCTATCTTCCTCGAACTCGGTGCTGGTAGAGACTGGACGTTGCTTCTTGGCTGCAGAGGAATTCTGAGACTTGAGGAGATCGGTATCAGTAGTGTTAGTTCTTGTCCCCGAGTGTACCGCTGGGATGGCAGGTACAGGCGGGATATCAGACTCGTTCTGCCATAGCCGTGGGGTGGGTTGAGAGTAAATGCTGGATGTAGCCCTAGGACGCTGGGCCTCGGGACTCGACGTCGACCAGGGCGTATCCTCACAGGCTGGGGTGATAATAATGGACGGAGTGGGCGGCGCATTCAAATCGCCTGTACTGTCGAGGTCTCGAGATCTGTCTAGGGACTCGCTGCGCGGCACACTCAGTCCGATCATGACATGGCGGTCCGAGGGCGAGAGTTCATGACCAGCATTGTCGCTGAACGGGTTTTGTGACTTGGGATCCAGGGACACAGCATCGTTACTTGACTGCCCATTCTCATCAGGCAGCCGCTGAAACCCCCGCGAGGTCCTCTTCTTGACAACATCCTTGGCTCTCTGGGCAGATCGCTCCTTTTCCCGCACCTTGGACAACTGCTTCAGGTCATTCAAGTCCACGAAGGGGGCGGCAGTATCCTGGGGCCGTTTCTTGGGACTAGTCAGTGAGAAGTCCGTGATTAGATTGAGTCCCAAGGGCTTTGCGGCATTCTTCTTTTTCTTTGTGATGCCCCGGATGCTCGGGATGCGAGTATTATCTCCAGCATGTCGGTCTCGACGCGAGAGGTTAGGTGAGCGACTCGCGCCTTTCCCAGACTTGGACTCTTTCTGTTTTGTAGCTTTAACCAAGAAGTCAAAGGGCCTGTTCCTTTCTAGATCTCGGTCCTCGGATGAGCAGGACGGGCTCGAGATTTCCTCGCTGATTGGCGACGACAGTGGGAAGTTGGGGACCGGGACAGGCAGATCTGGATGTGACTTGTGCCGCTTGGAGACCATCGTGAAATCTTTTTCTTGCCAAATAACTGCTTTTTTGGGAGAGAGGGAGTTGTGAGCAGAAACACTCGACGCAGATCCCCGTTCACAGACGCACCATGTGTGTTGGAGGGAGAATTCCACGGTCACGCAAGAGTAAGGAAATGAGGATGGAAGAAAGAACGCAGAGCGTCTGCAACAGACGACTATGGGATACAAAGAGCGCGGTTTCTATTAATATAACATATGAGACAAGACCTCAATTGGCTGGCGAGTCATTCCCCGATGAAAGAGTGAATGATGAATAGAGTGTCAAGCCATTCAGACAAAGAAAGGCAACGCCAGGACAAAGAGACACAAAGAATGAATAAAAGAGAAAGCAAAAGAAGCAAAAAGACAAAGCTCTATTTCTGCAGCACATCCCAGCCCAAGCTCACCAGCTCAGGTTGATCTAGACACCGGGACCAAGATCGAGTGTCATCGGGCTCGGCGCCAATGATGAGTCCTGGACGATATTTTCTGCAGCGATCCCAGACAACGAGAGCTCCAGCTGGGACTGATATTGGCCCATGATTGGGCCTGACAGAGGGATCACCAGGGGCAGCGGCAGAAGGAAGAAACAGACCGAGGCCCCGTCGTTACGCGCCGGGGGTTGGGCGCTTGCGGGGATCACAGTGGGACCGCCCAAAATAGAAGATCCAAGTATAGCTTCAGGTTTATTTTTATGTTTTATTTAGGCTTAATTTAGTGTCTATTTCTATAGATTGTGTTGATTACACCTCTACTATTCCCCCAAGGTTATATGAAGGATCACTACGTTATATAGGATTCAAGAACAATCAAATCCATTCATTCAATACGCCCCCCATATAGAACAGACCCAGTGGACGAGTAACTCCAGGGAAAAAGTATACCAGAGCACCAGAATCAACCAGCGTTTCCCACGCTTTTGCCGTGGTTTGGTATATACTCAGCATCGAGTACAGAGATCTTCCCCCCCCAACACCCACTTCAGTTCCCATACCCATAGTTCCCATAATTCCCATCATGTTCATCCCATGCAGTAGACCGATGATGCCATAATGACAGTCAAGACCGGGCGAGTCAATAAAAACAATGACCAAAAAAAAAAAAAAATGACAGAGCTGGAGCTCTCTGTAGGGGAATCGGGCCGAGCCCCAGACAGTTTTTTTTTAAAAAAAAAAAAAAAAAAACAAAAACAAAAACACGTGGAACAAAATAACAGAAAGGAAATAGTCACGGCGACTGCGGGTATGATCAAAAAACAAAGAAAACAGTTTGAAGAGACAGGGCCACGCCTGATGAGGTATAATGTAAACCGACCCCAAGGCGGCTTGAGAATCTCCGAGTCACAACTCAGAGAGCGGATCTAAACAGGGATATGTAGAAACACATAAATAAAAAGAGAAAACAGAAAAGAAAAAAAAAATAAATAGATAGATCGAGGCCGTCGATAGTGAGTGCATTTCGCAGCATGACAAGTCGTTTCTCATCCGTGGCGGATGTTCCCTGGTGGGTTACCGTCGGTCGTCGGTGTATTGAATCCCCTGCATCAGGGCCACGGAGCCATTCATGAGCGGGGGCAGTGTGCGCGGTTGCTCCTGAGCCACGGCCGATCCATTCCCAAAGCCGGTAAACACAGGGGCTTGGGGCTGGCCGTTGGTCGGAGTGGTGGACATGGGGTGATGCTCGAAGATCGAGCCCGGTCGCGAGGCACCGTTGGCGTGTTGTTGGTTCAGCTGCGCGCGCAGTTCCTCCATCTCCGTCCGCATGACCGAGTGTTCCCGACGCATTTGGGTGACCGATTTCTCCAGAGAGGTAATATAATCGATGGCGCGGGTCAGCGTCTCCCACTTGCTCGACTTGTTGTTCTGAGCTTGGGGCAGGCGCAGACGCAGGGCCTCGAAACAATCCTTCATTTCGCTGCGGCGCTTTCGCTCGGCCAGCTTGTGGGTGACACGCAATTCGGGCGTTCGGCTATACGGGGTGTTCCCAGACGGGTCGGCTTCCCCGATCAGGTCGCGGACCTGCCTGTGTTGCAAGGAATGGTGGTGTACATTTTGGGGCAATTCTGTATTGATTAGCAAATCTGTTCTCTATGCCTGGAGAAACACTGAAGGGCAACTTACCATGTTGACCTCGGGGCATACGAGATTCCGAGTACATACTACTGAGAGATTCGGCCGTGCTACCTTTCCGGGAGAACGGCGGGTTGGACTTCTCTGTGGAGGAGATCGAGCTAGACCGCGCGACATCGGGATCCGGGAAGGCATAGGCCATACCAGCCGTAGGAGCCTCCGCGTTGTAAATTTCTGACCGAGGATTCGACGAGATGGCAGGCGCCGTACGGCCAGCGGCGAACCCGCGGTGCTCGCCCGGGCGCGGACCCAACGGAGACAGCGGCTGACTGCCCCCGGAATAGCGAGGGCCCCGGTATGAGTTCATGTCGGTAGTGATGCCGCGCTCCCGCTGGAGACTCGACACGATCGAGGATTGCGACGCATTGGTGCTGTGGTAGGGCGACGCCGGGTTGATGGCCAACGAACTGATCCCTTGGTTCATGCGACTATCGACACTGCTGCGGCGGGACTCGGGGATATCGGCGGCGCTGCCCCGCTGTGGGACGTCAAAGTTCTGGTTGATCGAGGGGAGGGCCGAGTTTGGCTGCGATGAGTTGAAGTTGGGTGAGGGCTGCTGCTGGCCGCCCGCGGATGAGGGTGTCGTCGATTGATCGTGCGGGTACGGCGACCGATCCGGAGCGGGGTGCCCGCGATTGGGCGAGGGTTGCGAGGTCGAGGTCAGGAAGGTGAGGGAGGGATAGTTGTTGCCGGTGCCGTTGGTGGCGGTAGAGTAGGTGGAGGATCCTGGAGGGTCAGCATTTGCGGTCCGCGACGAGGAAAAGGTTTGCGCACTTGTGCTTTGCGGCATGGACCAATTCCCCGAGTCGCGCTCGATCGTGTTCAACGATGAATTCCCGGGTGACTTCTCCGAGGGATTGGGCCCAGAGCCGTTCATGTTCGCGGTGAGCGTCGATATCGACGGTAGCGTCTGCGTCGAGGCAGCCGGCGTCTGAGGGCCTGAGACAGGCTCCCATGGGCGATGGGTGACGGAGGGCTCCATGGTGTTTCCTCTCTTTTTAATCTTTGAAAAGCTGAGAATATTTTTTTTTCTTTGGGTGTGGTTTTTTGGAGTGGAATGAGGACCACAGGATGTCAAGGGTGTTTCCACACACACACTCTCTCTCTCTATCGCATATTCTCCAATTGCTGGCGAATCGGAGAGGAAAGGAAAGTCGAGGGAGACCCCAGCATCACCTTGGAAAGGGAACGGAGTAAGCCGTGAAAGAGAAGAAAATGGGGGCGTAAAAAGGATCGAGTAATGTTAGAGGGGCCGATGAAACCTTCGAAGGGGCCCGTGAAGACACATCTAAATGGGTTCGAGTCCCGCTTTTTTTTTTTTTTTCTCTCTTTTTCTCTCAGTGTTTCGCCTTGAAATTATGTATTTGACCGGGGGAACGTCGAGAGGGTAAGGTAATAACGAGCGCAAGGAGCAAAAGAAGCTTACCAGAAACGTGGCACAAGGGCTTGCTTTGGGATGTGGAGAAGAGAGAGGCAGAAATGAATAGGATGAATAGACAGCCCGAGGCTCAGTAATATTACATTCATGTACGATTGAATGCCCAGGGGGTTTTTCCAGCCCTTTTCTTTCTTTCTTTTTTCTTTTCTCGACACCCCTTTCTGCAGGTTTCCAGGGTTTCTGATAAGGTTTAGGTTGCCCTTGATACAAATTATTATATATTATATATTATTATTATTATTATTATTATTTTAAAGACAAACAATCCAGATCGGAATGTACCCGCCAAGCCCCAGATGGGCGCTACTGCGCGCAACACTCTCCACCGGTGCCACGAGGCTGACCTGGGGGAGTCGGGGAGGATTCAGAGTTACATCTGAGCTCTATGTCAGATTAGAAACTGAACCTGGATCAAAATAGGTGTCCGGAGAATGTGATTCATAGAGCATGGTATGATCAGACAGAAAATACTCTTTTAATATATTAAGAATTAATATTAAAGATTTAAATCAAGAAAGCTTCACGGGATCAGAGGGGAAGTGGGCCGAGGGTTCGCATGGCAGCCATGTAACCAAAAGTGTATTGTTATTACCAACTCCCCCGGGAACCTTGAGAAAAAAAGGCATTTCCAACGGGAGCGCCATGCAAGGGAGCTCACGTTACTTTCTCTTACTCTTTCCCGTTTTTTACCAGGCTGATTCCCTGCCGAAGCCAAGATAATTCCTCCTTAAACATGGGATGAAATGGAGAAATGGATTACATCATGACTGTCGCGTCACGGTTCAAGCACAAAAAAAAAGAAAAGAAAAGAAAAAAAAAGAAAAAGAAAAAGAAAAAGAAAAAGAAAAAGAAAAAGAAAAAAGTGAAAGTCTGTGACCAAAATTCTGGATTCACGTGGCGGCGATCAAGTCTGGGCTCCTTGCAGCAATATACGCACATGATGCCATCCTGGACGAAGTGGAGAAATAATAATAATATTAAATACATTTAGTGTGTAATGAAGAATACAATCCAATATCCCTTCAAACTGCATTGACCGGGGGGAAAACCTGCACGCAGCCGGGAATTTGACGTTGGACACATGGCACGGTGGGAATGCCCTCCAGGGATGCCCCCTGCTCCCACACGGCTGCCATGCCGTGTACAATATTGGGGTTGTCTTGTTTATTTGATTTCCTATTATATTCTTTAGTTGCTGATCGAGTAGATGATACTGATATTCACCTATAGTCTACTATCTTTACATCCTTACATCCTTATATAGTCTCTATATCCATAGGTGTATACCCCCAAGTATAATAAAATATTGCAATTCTCCCCAACCTCCACTCCTGTCCCACCTCGGACACCAGCAGTTCAGAAATAGAGAACTCAGCGCCAAGTGTAACACCGATACCCGTCTGGTCCGCATCGCGTGCGTTGATCCTTTTGTTTCTTTATTTTTATTTCTGCAAGAGCTTCAAAGCTTGCCTCAACTGGCCCGGAGAAGAATACCCTGTACCCACCCGCGCGCCCCTGGTCTAAATGTTCACATTTGAAGACCTGTCACCCAATCAAAAATCAAAATCAAATCAAATAAAAATCCTTTCGGCCCCAGGGGCGCGCGGCTATTTTGTTTTGAAGAGGTCGGGTGTTCAGGGCTCGTATGTGTCACGGCAACCGACTCTTGGCAATATTTCACTTTCTTTTGTTCTAGACCTACAAGGGTTTTTTTTTTCTTACTATTTGTTTTGACCATTATATTAGTGTAGAATTAGTGTAGTAGTAGTGTAGAAGCATGTCAGGGATATTTTGGAGATGGGGGTTGACGTGTCGATATGGTTTCATCTGATCTATGTTATGATTTAAAGCAATTTTCTTCCGAGGCGCAGTCGGCCCTCGAATGGGTTCTCGAATTGGTTGTCTGTCCAACAGGCAGCAAAGATACATACACTTTTGTATACATCTACTCCTCAGTTTCAGGCAACGGTCTCTCCAAAAGACCCAAAATCAAGACATATGTCGGATGGGGCCCTGTCTATCATATACTCCATACGGAAGTGCCACATGGTCCCATCGTAGCCTTGCAGAATGTTTCTGACTTGATCGCCACGGGATCGACACATACTCTGCCACGGTAGCAACAATCCATTTTTGGGTGAAGGGAAGAACCTCGGAAAACCTTTGGACTTTTGAATACCTTTTTTTTTCCGAACTGGTCTTCGTAGCCGCATTCCCCCCTACTACTACTCTACTCTACTCTGCTCTTTTCCGTACCTGCTCGTTGTTATCAAGGGATGGATTGTCTATCCGCCGATAGAGTTAGTTACGTCAATAGTGTGGTCCTCGGGCCTTCTCTTCCATGAGCTCTTTCCCCATTCCAGTACCCACGCCATGGGAGAATCGTGGTCATTCCTTGCTGCACATATCCCAATAGTCCGTCTTGACACACGCGAGGTACTACCCTGAGGGTGCGACAGAGGGTATATTCTGCGTGAAACCATAAAGCCCATGACCTCATTATCCATGGACATCGACAGGCTATCTCGATCATTGCCTTCCGTTCTCCCGGATGTACCAGCCGTATGTATACGGTGATCCTCACGCCCGGCTTGTCTCCCCGGTGCTGGAACATGCCTACTAAAGCCAAAAACATGTCCATATGTTCAATGTGCTACTAGCTATATGTACATCCTGCGAGTAGAGTAGCACCCGCTACGGTCCGGTAGATCATTCCCCAGTCTCCCGTCCCGTCCCTTCCCTTCGCTTTCTCCCTTCTCCCGACGGCATCCCTTGTTGTGCTCCCCCCCCTTCCTTTGCCCATATGTACATACTCGCGTGTTCAAACCCTGTTCATTGGGAACGAACATGTCCCAGAAACCCAATTTGAGCCCGACCAAGACAGTGTCTGAGATTCCCCGCGGAATCTTCCCCGGTGTTCCAGCGTGCTTCTCACTGGCCATGTCTTGCCTCGAGTTTCGCCATGTGTAGACCTTGCTTCTTTCTCTCTAGCTACTAGCCTGGAAATTGGACTGGGCATACATAACGTGCTGTATGTAGGGTATGTACCTAACACACACATACAACCCTCTTGTATTAATTCCGTAAAGAAATAAGTGTAATCTTCATCCCCAATAATTGGTTTGTATGGTCGACCTTGCTGTGACTCAGAAGTGGCGCTCTCGTCTCTCTCATTTCTCTCTCTAGCCACTCGCCTTGCCATGTGGTTGTTTCAGCGCGCGCCGGGGCGGGCCATGGCTTTTTGTCGCGTGTCGCTGGTTTCACTGGGTTTCAGGTGCCGCCGGGTACTCTATACATAGAATTTGATGTGTATATTTCATAAATTCTCAAGAGAGAGAAAAAAAAGCGGAGGGATATATATATAAAGTCATTAAATAGTGATAAACTCTCAGGCTCGATATTCCGATCGAGGGGGAAAAATCCCCCCACGGCTTTAGAAGGAGTTCGCTACACCGATTCCTAGCTATAGGTTGACTGTCTAAAGCAAATATTCCCCTCGAAGCTACTTTGCTAATTTCGTGGCTGCTTTTGCAAGTGATGTCAATTGCCCTACGACAGGGGACAAAAATCATTCACAGCGTCCTGTTAAACTGCCTGACGTGTACTCGATGATCAGATTATGTGGCTGAGCTGAAATTCCATACTAACCATCAGCTGTGGGGTTAGTGGAAACAACTTGAAGTCTGCTGGATGCATTCCAATCGCATTACGGCGCGATCTGCGCATCTAAAGATTTCACAAGTCACAGCCATCCTCACACAACCATAGTCGGTTCTTAAGGCGGTGTCCACTCCATGTCATCTTGTGAGAAGCAAGTGTTCTACTTCCAAAACCCCTGGTTTTAAAGCCTTGTCGGTATCTAACCATGTAGCTTGTGGAAAATCAAAGAGGGCTATTGCCTTGAACGCCCAACCCCTCTTGATCTACGTCTTCGTTGTCTTTGCATAAGCCAATCATCCTCGCTCTAGCGCTCTTGTGGGGAAAGTTCTATCTGCATCCTGGACTAAGCGACTCGACAGATTAGTTTTAAACGACAGCGACGTAGCCAATGTGCTTCCACGTTGTGGGTAAGGTCTGGGTCGACAGATGCAGGCGTGTAGTAGTTGGATCCTTCTGGAGGCAATTGGACTCATATCTACTTAGTATAAATTGACACTACTGTACTCTGGATACCAGTCTACAAGGTATAAAATCCCCTCCCTATTCCGCGCGGGCTTTAGTGAATACATGATGATTCTTTTACAAATTATCTTGACCTTTCATCAATCTGCATTTCTTGTCTGGTGGAGACCCTCGAGCACTTCAGATTCAATATGGAAAAGTCCGACGTGATATTCGAGCCTGCGAGTGCGACGTACCAAGTGGACTACATCACGGATGTAAAGCTCGAATCAAAGCTGGGATCAGATATCCCGCTCTACGATATGTATTTCGAGATGCATGGAGAGAAAGAGAACAGGAAACTCGAGAGGAAGTGGGGGACTCAATTCAACTCCGAAAAGGAGGACTACTGGCTCTTTTGCGTCCACTGTCATGATGCCGAGTGCGAGTTCATCATTGGCGGCAAAACCTTTGTTGTGACCACATCCGCGCCCAGCCTCCGCAACTTCAGCGACGAAGAGGTCTATAAGATCGATTACGGAATGCCCCATCCTTACCCCTACTACGTTGAGTTCGTCGCCAATCTTCGCAAGACGTGGGACCGCTACGTGGCTATTCGATGTCCCAAAATGAGCAATCCGGCGATCACTGTCAAGGCGACAGGCAATTACGGGGCCCTTCAATGGGTAGGCTTGTTTGTCAAGGCAGCTGTTGATCAGAAGAACCAATTCATTACGGTCAAAACCTCCAATCGACTTCTACCACAGTATGCCGAGAGAATCAAGGATTACTCCTGGTTTTCATGGGACGGGCCAGTCGACGTGACCGATCGAACAATCACACTCTTTCCTAAGCAGCTATTTGGAACCAAAGGCAATAGTCAGGATTTATACGATGAATATGTTACGTCAAACCCCCAGAACACCGTCGGGGAAAAACACTTCGCCATTGCTCGAAACTATCGTAAACCTGCCTTTCCGTACCAAGGCAGTCAGCCGGGTTCGTCTGATGAAGTCGCCATCGGAAGCCAAGGACTGAATCATGGCTTCAAGGATAGGATTACCAAGGCGCAATGCTTGAAATATGTGTGGAGTGTCGACCAAAGGACCGAATTTGCCATCTGGAGAGACCCAAGAGTTCCGCCTCCGTCAGGCGGGCTGGCAGGCCCAACCGCAGCCTGTTTATTTGCAATCGACTATGCTACCGGAGTCGAAATCAAACAACAGGATGTTCACGGGCTCGAGAGTCTTTTGGTTATCTTTGGGACCATAGCAGAGGTAGTGGGCTATGCTATGACCGGCAATATTGCCAAGGGTTTCATGGCTCTTTTGGAGATGCCAGACAAAGCCAAAGAAATATCAACCAAGGCCAGCATTCACGGTTTTGTCAAGGCAGTGTTGGAACTTGCCGAGACCACTGAGAATGAACTTTCTAAGAAGGCAAAAGAGGTGAACAAGAAATCCACGAAAGAAATTGCCGACACGAAAGATCCTCCAGCTTCTGATTTTGGCTCTAACTAAGGGGTAAGTGCACAGGATTGTTTAATCTATCCTAGGTAGTATTGTCTAAAGGTTTACTGAAATTGCATTTCTAGGATCCTGAGTTGCCATCGTGCACATAGCATTTCTCCAATGTGATCAAGTCAAATTCACTGCGACAGGCCAGTCGTGGGTGAAACGGAAGATGAATAAGTCGATATATTGATTTATTTACTTACGGTAACAATCGAGGTAGGATCCCCGGGGTATTTCAAAGCCACAAATGAGCTCTCCTGTGAAATTGTACCGATCATTTCAACATTTTCATTGCCTGATACTAGTTCTGTTGATAGCTAGTAACCACCTAAGTTGGAGGACTGTGAATCTCAACACTCGCAATTCCCTGTCATCTTATCCACAACCATATGTTTGTTTTTATGATCCTAATTAACGCTGGTGCGGTCTGTTTTTGAGCACCGGATTGAAGACATGGATCACCCGACATTCAATATCATCAGAAACGACGTTGATCCAACTCAGCTTCATTAGAGTAATTGAAGGCTAAGCTTATATCCCACAAGTAGAAGTCTCATAAGTCCATTCAGATCGTCATGTGTGCAATGTGTATATCTACAGTTCTTTTTGGTACCCTATGGCAAAAGCAGCAGCCCATCTATTCGTCATCCTCGTCCTCGCCCTCATTCTCATCTTCGTCATCTTCGTCATCCTCATCATCATCTTCAAACTCCACCCCGATATCACCCGTGATATCCCATCGATCGCCCTGAGCCGCTGCGCTGACATACTTGACGAACTTGAGCGTGCCGCTGTCCCGCAGCACGATGCTCAGCCGGTTCCACCCCGCCTGGGTACTGAAGAGAATGCCATCGTCTTCATCAGCTGCGGCGGACCGGTAGATCGCCGGGTCGGCCTTGGAGCTTTTGCTCTTGGGCCGAAGCACCTGGTCCGCATTCTCCCCATCCTCTTCGTCCGCGTCGGCTTCTTCGTCATCATCGCCGGCCATGTAGATCTCGTAGCCACCCACGGCAGGATCCTCGGCAGAGTCAGTGTTGGCGTTATCCTTGGGCTTGGACGGCGCCTTGTCTGAGGATTGAGCTTCTCCGTTCTCGCCATCACCCTCTTCCTCTTCCTCTTCTTGCTTCTCCCATCCCGGGGTCGGGGTGAGACAGAGGGTGAATTCCAACCGCGGTGCTTCGCCGTCATAGCCACTGGCGAGGGTGTAGTCTGCGCCGCGACGGAATCGGCGGGCTAGCAAGTTGTGACTCGTGAGATGGTCTACGCCTGTGATGTGGCCCAGCCATTTCCGGAAGGCCTGGGACGGCAAAAGAACATTCAAAAGTTCCTGGATTGGGTCGTCCGACTTGTCCGAGGACTGCTGGTACATGTACCGGTGCTTGTGTGGTGGTCGAGCGACTGTCCAGCCGGTCTGAGCCTGGATCTCAGCCGATGAATCGGCCAGGGCCTGCTTTTCCTGCTCCTCAATAAACGACCGCACACGGGTGGCAAACTTGTCGGACAGGAATCGCTCGAGACTGAGCGAAGACTCGTTGGAGAACGCGTCGGACATCTCCTCGGCAATGTCGGGGGTCAAGTACGACGGGGCGATGTATTGCACCAGGAAGTTGAGATCGGTCTCGTTGAACTCGGCACCCTCGGTCTGTTCTTCCATCTTGCCTTTGCCCTTGCCCTCCGGCTCTGGCTCCTCCCATGACACTGGCTGTGCCTGCGGCAGGTCATACATGTCGCCACGGCCCTGGAGCTGGGCGAGACTGCTTCGTTCGGCCAGTTTCTCCTCCAATCCCTCTTCGTAACCGTCCTCGCCTTCTTGGGGAATGTGGAACCATCCGCTAATGGCCATGCGTACGCGCTTCTTCGATCGATCCTCGCCCTCGCGGGGGTGGTACACTTCCTCAACGTCGTGGAAGCTCTCGCCGGGCTGGACGGTGAAAAAGCTGAGCTGGTTAAAGGCGGGCGGAATGGAGAGACTGTAGTCCGGGCTGGGGATCTTGACATCCTCACCCTTGGCATCCTTCTCGGTCGTTGTGGGGTACAGGCGCAGAGCTCCACCCCACTCGGCTTGCCAGGGCGTATCGGGATCAGTCAGGTACAAGATGTAGCTGAGACGTCGGCTGCCAATGACGTCGTCATGGCACAGGAGATGGCAGCCCTCATTGTACACGTTGATGGCCATGTCGGTCTTGCGTCCACTCAATTTCCCGGACCCGGTGACAGAAGACAGGTACTCCCGGAACCGCGCCGAGTACATGGCGTCGCGGAGTTTCAACACCGCCGGCAATTTTGATAGAGAAGAGTCATCCAAGCCATCCAGGTTGGCTAGGTCACCCGATTGGAAAATCTTGTAGATGTCGGTTTCCTTCTCGGTGAAGGACAGGTGCTCTTGGATCTCATCGCGGACAGAGCGTAGCAAAGAAGGTTCAATCAAGGGGCAGATAACTCCGTGCAGGTAGCTAGAAATGGATTGAATTAGCTTGTGTCCGTTGGAAATTTATCAGGTCGAACATACGGAGCCGACTTGGCATAGCTGTCGGTGTACTTCTGCTGTTCCGCACTGTCGAAGAGGCCGTCACGGAAGCGCGCCACAGCTTCTTCGCTGGACAGGGCACGCTTCTTGGACTCAGGCAGGCCATTGCCATCAAGAGAGCCTCTTTGATCTGTCTTGCGCTTCATTTTCCAAGGTGTGAGGGGAGACAGCTATGGGAATTGGCAACCGTATGATCGGCCCTAAATTTTTCGCCTGGGCGGTGAAGCATCGAGGCGGTCAACTGCTTCAATGCTTCATCCATCAGACCTCAACATCCGAAGACAATCCTGGATCTTCTTTCCCATTCAAGTCTTTCGCTCATACCTAAGAAGCCTCCCCAGTATTCACTGACAAATGGTAGTGAAGCAGATATCCAGACCATCATCTGCATCCCGTGCTTGACCAGTTACTGGCGCGCCGGCATCTTCTCTGCTGGTCAGAGTGTCAATCATTGTTCAAGCCGGCAGTTTGGAATCCATCAGTCATTCCATTCCCTGAAATCTCATCTGAGAATATACTAGAAAAAGCATTTGGGTCGTTGCTTGTTGAAGTCGCGCAGGAGGGCTGTCGTCATTCCCCACTCCTTCAGACCCAACGGAACATTAACGCCTCAATCCTTCCGTCACACGCCACTCAAAAACCACATAGATTGCCTATCCTCCCAGACTCGACTGGGTAATCGCACCGTCTCGCTTTTTGACGTCGCCATGCAGTCCGCCCAAGATGAAGCCCAGGATCCATCTCAGGATCGACCAGGCACTCCACCCCGCCCGCCTTATTCCCCGGTGACGCCGGTCTTCGCCCATCTTGCTCCGATCCCCAACGGCGCGTCTATTGTACCACCATCTTCGCCATCTCATACCACACAGACTCCGATAGAACAGCCTCTGGCCGCGCCGCCAGTCTTCAAGCCCGAGCCGCCTCCCGTCCCTATCTCCGAGAGCGAGAATCCCGACGCCATTGCGCTTCGTTCTGCCATCTCTATCCTGCAGCTACAAAAACAGCAAAGTTTGCGCGACATTCAAGCGTTGGATCGCATGAAAGAAGTCGCGGCGGCTGATCCGGAGGGGTTTGCGCGCGAGCTGGCGGCAGGACGTTTGCGCACCGAAGATCACGGCGCTGTGATTCAGTTCTCCGAGGACGACTCCATGGATACAGGTGACGAGGATAAAAGTGAAAAGGGAGCAGATGGCGACGTTACATCGGGTTCGAAATTTGGCCGCATCCCACCTCCACAGAATGTCGTGCGCATGCCTCCAATCAACTGGGCTAAATACCAGGTGGTCGGGGAACCGCTGGATCGCATGCATGAGGAACAACTGCGCCGCCCGACTTCCGGCGAGCCGAGACGAAGAGAGCCCGCGCCGGAGCATGTGCTGGCTTCGCCGTACCGACCGCTCGTGGATAAGTTGGAGACACCGGCGCCCACCGGTCGAGCCAGCAAGGCCAAAAGGCCGTGAATTTGGGAAAGACTCTGATGATTATTATGGCTTTATTGACTGACGAAGTTATGTACTTTATTATTATACGTTTGAGCAAAGGTCCGGATAGAGTTGCCTCGAATCGAGACACCTCCATACAGGCATTAAATGGAACACGCAGAGAAGTAGATAGGACTCATAGAAACATCTTATCGGCTTCTCATTTCTTGTTTGAGGCTCGAAGAAGTAATCTCATGTACTTATAGTAGACGTCGCACAGCAGAAATAAAAATCCGAGAAATGTATATACACAGGTATGTGCAATATCTACAAAAAGCTACTATAATAATCTAAAGCCGGCGATTCAAAGCTTCGCCTTGCCCTTCTCCCACTTCTCGACATCCGCCAGTGCTTTCGCCTGCAAAGTTTCCTTCTTCTCTTCCACCTTCTCCCTCCACCCCAAATTCCCTGCATGATCATCCAAGCCTATTAAAACCCGCGCATACATCTCCTCCTTCATAGTCCCATAGATACCTGTCGCCGCTTTACCCTGCAGCTTCTGGGACAGGGCCAGCGCTTCATCCAGCCCACCCAAGGCGTCGACAATCCCAGCACGTAGCGAGTCGGGCCCACCAAAGCGACGTGCTTCCAGAACCACATCTCGGAACGTGGTTGGCGTGAGCTTCTCCCGGAAAATAGACATCATGGGCGTTTGCAGCGGGACACCGAATTCGAGCTCGTTCACACATAGAAACCCTTTCTCGGGATTCTGGATTCGGTAGTCGTGATACATGGCCAGCATGAAACCGCCTGCAAAGGCGTGTCCGTTCAGGAGACATACGGTTGGCATCGGATATCTTGAAGAAACATTAGTCTTTTGTTGCCATTGTTTTTGGACTAAGAGACATACGTTAGGAACCGTCGGAACAAGCGCCACAAGTGGTTCTCCAGGAATCCCTCTGTGCTCAGCGCAACATCTAGATCCAGCCCATTGCTATAGAACTTGGCGATCCCGCTTGTTGTGACGACCACGCCTTTGGGATAGCGGTGCTCGATGATATCAAGCGCTAGAAGTAGTGCTTCGATAAACGCCGGGGTCAGTCGGTTATCTTTGGGCGAAGCAAACGTGAGCAGATAGACGTTCTGTTTGTCGGCTGTGGGGTTCGTGACCACGACCGAGCCGCCGGTAGAGGTGATCGGGATGGTGAAGAGGGTGGTCATAGCGGAATGTAAATTGTCGGGACTAGGAGCACATTCGCAAATTGACGGTTGCTTTCCCACTTTATAACTGACAGCGATCTTCACCCCATCGCTCGGTCTCGCTCGGATAACCAGCTCCAGCGAGATTGTAATCTCAGAGCTCCGCGGCATCACATGCTGCTGACATAATCACATCAACAACGCTTTTCTGGAGAATAATTGAAGCTGACATTTCCATGGAGTTGTGAGGGATTGTTGGGGAAAGGGAGATTGTTCAGGGGGAGAGAGGTGGAGGGTTGATGGTTGATGTCAAGTGGGGGATGAAATACATCCAACTGAAGGCTGGAGAGAAAATCGCTCGCAACCAACACCCATGAATGCCAGAGATTTCATATAATTGAAAAGCCTTTGCTTCTCCATCTGTCTGTTGGATAAGATGGAGACCATAGAGATTACAGAGCCAGGGATTCGAGAAAAAACAACGCAATGAGCCAGCCCTAAGTCTCCGAGAAAGTCGCCGCGGCCTCAGCCTCTCAGACATCAATGGGGCCATGGGGTATATCTACCTCAATATCGCCCAATCTAAATCTCTCAAGAGTAATTTGCCTCGAAGTCAAAACCATGGCGAACATTGCATTTCCTCAACATGCTAAACATCTTACTCTCCCCACGAGTCACACCTACAGCTACATCTATATCCCTGCCTCAAAGCCTTCCTTTACAACTATACTCTTTCTGCATGGATTTCCCTCTTCTTGCTTTGACTGGCGCCACCAGATACCCTTTTTCTCAGACCTAGGCTACGGGGTCCTTGCCCCAGATCTACTGGGCTATGGCGGAACCAGCAAACCCATTTCGGCAGAGGCATACCGAGCGAAAAAGATGGCCACAGAGATCACAGAGATCCTGGATCACGAAGGATTACAACGTGTCCATGCTGTGGCCCACGACACGGGTTGTATCCTACTCTCCCGAATGGCCAACTATGTCCCCGACCGGCTCTTATCGAGCTCGTTCCTGGCGGTGCCGTATTCTAGACCTGGAGAACACTTCGACCTGGCAGCAGTCAACGCAATGACAAAACAAGTGCTGGGACAGGAACGTTTTGGGTACTTGAGTTTCTTTGTTGGTGACGAAGCAGGGTCTCTCCTAGATCAACATGTAAGTCTTCACATGGCCTTTTTAAAAGTGTTGCTGTTTTATGAAGTGTGCTGATGTCCATCTTGCAGAGTGAATCATTTTTCATTCTCTTCTACCCTGCAGACCCGGCACTATGGACTGACCATGTCGGGCCCACCGGTGCAATGGAGGCATGGCTTCGAGCCGATCGCCAGGGACAGAAGGCGCCTTATATCACAGACGAGGTATGTTCTACATGTACTACAATACCACAATTATGAAGTCGAAACTCACAGCATCTAGGAGCGAGTCATCCATCAAAAGATTATGCAGGGAAATCATGGACCCGCTCTAAATTGGTATCGTGTTCTTGTGGGGAATTTGAATCAGAAGGATGAGCTCGACGCAGGCCTGTCGCTCAAACTGTCGCTCCCTGTTCTGATGGTCACTCCAGCACCAAGTCCAGGCCATTTGCCTGGGACTGGTGCGCATATGAATGAAATGGCCGATGATGTGACAGTGAAGGAAGTGAGCACGCCGGGACATTGGTTGCAGCTGGAGGCTCGCGATGAGGCCAATGCTATTCTGAAGGAGTTCTTTCAGCGATGTGATGGGACCTTGTCTGGATTATGATGATGTGTAGATGTGACATTGAAATAAATCACCAATCTCCTCTCTGGTCTATGTGCCTCTTGCTGGTAGTCGTGGATCATGAACCTTTGAGATTCTATATCTACACAGAAACCCTCCGTAGAAGACAAATTAATATTGCCGAGACTTCGAGCTATCAAAGACATAGAACGAGTGTCTGTTTCTCCTCAATTCATCTACTGAAGGATAACAAAAATAACGGGGAAAAAAAAAAAAAAAAAAAAAAAAAAAAAAACACAGCAATTCTGCTGGAAATGGAAGCCATCGCTGTGCCCATAATCACAAAGAGCCGTTGAGCGTGGTCCTCATGAGGTCACTTAAAATCACTGTTAGCCGTCATGCTTACCAGTAGCTCATGAAATCTCATCCCCAAGTGTCAGATTACATTCTACCCTGCAACGATGGCCCTGATTCGGCTGGTATTTAACCAGATAGCCCATAGGAAAGCCCAAGTATATTTGGAAGATGTCAAATGAAATAACAAGCCCCCCCCCCAATTCTGGTTATATAGAAAAGCGATCTGGCGTACATCATTTGGTTAATGAATCTAATCAGATATCAGTGACAGCCCTAAGAATGCCGCGGAAATGGGAGCCGGCCATGACAATCCATCACGATCATCGACTTTCATCATTGTATTTGCTTTACACATACTCCAATACTCCGCAAGTCAGGATTGCACTTGAGAACAAACATTTTCGACGTTGACCAATATACCAAAATCTGCCACAATGAAGATCCATCATGAACGTCATCTCGTATCAATTGTCTCCCTCCTCCTCTTGGCTACCCGGATCTGGGCCAAGTCTGTACCGGACAAACCATATCCAACGTGGACGTGAGTGGCTGTTCATACACTTCGAGCTTCTCAACGCGTCCAACCGAACTCACTTGTCTCACCAATCCGCAAACGTGTCCGAACACCTGCAACGCCCCACCACCTATATCACCCGTGATATTTCGGTCGAAGCTGTAGATCCGGCTGTGTCGATGCCAACGTCGACTGCAACGGCTGCTACATCTGTTTCCACAGTCTCTGCACCTGCATCCGCAATTTCCAAGCCGGGCAACCGTCAAACTGCATCGCCAGTCCCGCCCTTAAACCGGGCCAGCAGAACCAGCCTCACGTGGGTGGTTCTCAACAATGGAGACCTGATCACCACCACGCAGCAGGTCCTGGGCATCTTGCAATTGGGCTCGGCTCCCGATCCTGATGGCGGGTTCCGGCTGGGCCAGAATACTCTGGGGAATGGATTTCCCGGGCAGCAGTATACCAAACAGACGGGGACGCTGGCAATCAATGGCGTTTCCAGCCGCTTCGAGGAACAGATCCATATCCATCTCTGCAATAATTCCAACAGCGGGGTCCACAAGATCTTGGACCAGCAGCACCGGGACAATTTCAGGGTCTCGTCGTCGGTCGATCTATCTTCCCTGGGGAAGCCAAATGCCGAGATGATGTGCTGAGTGTCTCCTAACAGGGACGAGGTTGTGAATCTGGCTCGCGATATTCTTGACCATCTCCGTACAGTCGCCAATACGTGTGCTCAGGATCTTGTCGGCGGCAGAGTGGTCACTGACAGCCATGGCTATTCGTGGGCTTGTGTGACCACCGGCACGAGGGCTGCTGAAACCCTTTTCTGCAGTGATTTAATGGCGATATCTGGGAGTGCCTTGGTTGATGATGCATGACTAAAAAGGTGACTTGGTTTGTTTCTTGCTTGCTGTCATTATACTAGACTTTAATCACTCTGATAATCGTTTCAGAAATCTGACTAAATTGTTTTTTTGTGTCAACTGTTCAAAGTATCACATATCCTCAATCCCTGCCGCAAGGCTTTCTTCAAACGAGGTCCACCCTTTCTGCCCATAGAATTCCTCGAGCAGCTTCTCGGATTTGCTTGAGGGAAGCACCTCAGTCAAGTCATGACTATCGTTCGCAGGAGGATCAGGGATCAGCGTATTGGCGGGTCGAAGCTTGCGGAGTGTGGAGATAATCTCAGTCAGATTCCGGGGCCCAGCAAAAGCAAAGAGCCGTTGGGAGACAATGGCCGGGTCAAGCAAGGCAATAGTATGGAGACGGGCCGTGTCCCGGACATCCACAAAGTACTCTAAGTATTGAGACGTCAGAGTGTTGGTTCCCCAATTTTCTCGTCCTATCTCGGAGAAAGCCTTGCCAACTTACGGGGAGTATATAACCCGAATAGAGCCTTGTCTCCCTTTAGAAGAGAGCGCACCAGACCCATCGTGGAGCCTCGCATTTCTGTATGAAGGATTCTCCCCGTCTTTAACATTCACCAATGCTTAGAATCCATCACTTTTCAGTCAAAGACCAGACGAGCACTCACTGTGAAATTGGGCAGCACGGCATTGAACTCATAACCTGGCTTGTTCTCACGGATCCAATCCCAAGCCGCTCGCTCTCCCTGTGTCTTGGAGGCAGCAAGAATGGTATATGCATTTCCATCCGCCACGGCACTGCCATCCCAAGCGGCCTTGACAGATGTTTCATTCCAGGTATCTGAAATACAGCAACAGAAGAAATTTTGAATTAGTCGGAGTCTATTGCACCGGGTTTGGAGTTGCATGTTACTCACGTTCATCGACTTGGACTCCTTCTTGGTCCGGCACCGGCACCAATGCAGCCGTTGAGGAAGAGGTTAAAACAACCTTCTGAATAGACTGATGCCTGGAAGCAGCATTCAAGATATTTTGAGTTCCTCGAACAACACCGCCAATTACCTTGTCCGGGTTGATATCGAAAGAGACGTCCGATGCCTGCAATAGACAAGCGAGTCAGCAGGCAAAGCATAAATAGCGAGAAAAATGTGATATTCGAGTATATATGCATACCACATGAATCACACCAGACAGTCCATGCATAATCTCGACGAGAGTGTCCACATTCTCGAGGCCAGGTACAATAACGGTCTCAAACGAGTCCGGACCAAACTGCCGATGGAACAGCTCATCCAGCCATGGCTTGGGAGCGCGTACACTGCCGCGGACTTTGAAACCAAGCTCGAGAAGGCTCTGGGTAATCTGACTACCGATATACCCGTTGGCGCCAGTGACCAGGATGCGTGAGCCACGAGGGAGGCTATAGACGTTGTCGGTCATGATGACTTATATATTTAACCTGTTTGGACCCAGAAGAAATTTGAAATGGACCGACTGAGGAAGTCTCAAGTGGCGGTGTCGAGTTGTGCCCTTGCGGGACGTACATGCAGGACAGGTCGGCGAGCTACGTCGATGTAACCAAAATGCCCTTGGTTTCTCCGAGGAGTACACCTGAAAACCTTACAAGATCTGTTACTTTAGTGATATCTTGAATGTGAAGTAACACAATCAGCACAATACAATAGTTGGGCTACCTGAAAAGGGACTACAACTGTATAGTCAACGAAAATGTACACGTTCGTTCCTCTGATAAACTTGTCTTATACGAACACAGATCATTGCAAGTCCGTTTTACTGGAAGCTATTTGGATTAGTATTGAAATGACGAATGTTCGATTAAAGATAATTATGGAGTATAGAATTCTATTGATAAGCGTCGACTATCAGCCCAAAGCCGGTTGGACGCGTTGACGTCATGAGCCCATCAACGTCTTTCAGTCTTCAGATCACTTTGGAAATTGCTCATGTTTGAACTAGACGAAGATCTCTTGTTCCCGCACTTCTTTTTGATACACACGATTTCACCAAGAACAAACCACGGAATTGCATCTTCTTCAGAATCATGGAGAGCCGCCGCCAAAACCGACAACCTGAGCAGCCTCCAAAGCAGGCCGCCTATGCACAAGCATCGAATCCGGTTTCGCAAACACCACAGGAACAACGCACCCCGGCCCAGCCGACTCGTCAATATGGCGACTCTATTTCATCCATCACGCGTCGGACCGTCGAGTCAAGACCCTCCAGCGAGGAAGCACAGGCCCGACTCAATGAACAGCGCCAGAAAGATCAGCAGTCGCTGAAAAATATCTCGAATGTCGACTTAGAGTATGGTGTGGAGCAGCAACCTGCAGAAGGGTACATCGCAGACACAGTAGAAAGGAAAGGAATGGGGATGCAACGTGCACAAGAAGGCGCGCATGCTGGTCCTGTCGGTAGCGCCGCGGGACCGGGCCACCCTGGGTTTGGGGAGGAGAGAGACCTTGCAGCCCAGATGGGTCGGAAACGGGCGGAGCATGATCGGGTGCTGGGAGAGAGAGTCGGACAGAGTCCCGCCGAACCAGACCGAGAAACGGCTGAAAGAGATGCTGTGAGGCAACGCAAGTTGATGCAGAATCGGAACTTGGATGTGGGAGCGACGGTGAAGGAGGCGACTGGGGAGCCGGTGGTGGGAAGTTAGACAAGTGAACGGATAACCAGCCACTTGTGTTTGTATAATCGAATTGGTCAAAAGTAATCAAATGAGGGTATACGCTAGGATCAGATGTCGTTGTCATCCGGCATTCCGATTGAGACCTTTTTCAGCGCCAGGTCCTTCTTCAGCTCCTGGATGCGTCGTCCCATTTTATTGCGGAGAATATGGTTTTGCACCTTCTCCCATGTCGCGGTCTCGGTGCGGATGAGGGTTTCCAACTCGGTAACCTCTTCACGCTGCTGCTGGAGCTGGCGTTGCTGCTCGAGCTGTTCGTCGTCCAGGTCATCTTCCGCTTCGTTACCACCCTCTGCAGACATGTCGCTCTCATCGCCAGAGGATTCAGCATCCCCAGCAACTCCCTCCGCTGGTGTAGGTGGTTGTCCCTGGTCGGCTTCTGCCACGGGAGCGGCCTCGTCATCTCCAGCAGCCAGTGCGGCCTCCATTTCGGCCGCAAGGGTATCTTCTAAGTCGTCCATCATATCTTCATCTGCCTCGCCCTCTGCATCCTGCTCTTCATCGTAGTCCTCGTAGTCTCCACCTTGTAAGAGTCCCTCGGAACGATTCAGCGAGGCGGTGTCCACCAACTCATACCGCGGGGGAAAGATCGAGGCTTCGTCCTGGGCAATCAAATCCTCCACGGCTTTCTCGACTTGCTCGATAGTGCGCGTACTGACACGATCACGGAATCGCCGCTTTCGCACCCACTTTAATGGCGGTGCAAGGCCATGCGGATACTGTAGCGTTTTATCATCGAGAAGCTGGACTTCCGGCGGAAGTGGGTAGGATAAGGCTTCTTGGTCGCTCGCAACAGGTCCCAGAACCAGCAGCATCTGGCAAATATCTGCAGATTTGTACCATCCTCGGCGATCCCAACTCTTCATGCCTTCGATGATACAGGGCAGGTCCACCAAAGACGCGGCGTATTGTTTGTCGCGAACCTTCAAAATTGCGCGTCGCCCCTCGCGAGTCAGCGGTTTGAAAGAAAACTCGGACTTGTCAAATCGCCTCTCGTTAATCGCCTGCCGTAGATACTCGCAGTCCTCTCCAGGAAGCATTCGTAGGATAAACTGTTCCTCAATAGCCGGGTCGATCTCGGTGTCCGATGCCTCAGAGTCGTAGCCCACTCCCACCGGTCGGTTGGGGACCAGCCCCTTGTTCTTGATGCGAATGGATTGTAGCCCCGGTTTCTTCGATGGATTCAGCTTGAGTCGCTTCGGGCCTTGCTGGGCCGGTGCGGGTTCCGGCTGCGCGACATTCTCGGCTGGTCGTTTTTTTGTTGGCTTCTTCTTTTTCGGTTTCTCCTCGGGTGTTTCTGGCTGTGACGGTTTGCGAGCAATCTTCAAGGTGAGCTTTCGCTGAGGAGTTTCGGAGGGCGCCGGCGTCGGCTCGGGTTCAGCTGCTGGGGGAGGCTCGGCGGCCTTTTTCCCAAACTTGAGCTTGAGAGCTGGTCTGGGGGCATCAGACATGATGCCAGAAGGTGAAAGTGCCTCTGAGAGTAGAGTAGGTTCTTTTGGTTCCAGGTAAAAGAAGAAGCGACACGAGTGAGAGCAGGCGTGTCCGGGTGTGCAGGAGGCAAAGAAGGGAAGACCGAATTCTCCGCTTTCGACTAGCTCACCCGCGTCGACTTCTTCAACCTTTCAACCTCCAACGCTCTCACCACCGCCTTTTCTACTTCTCTCAACCCTTTCCTCCTAATTGCTCACGTTGCATTCCTTTGATCATCATGTCCGGCTCAAACCTTCATGGTGCTCTTCTCCGACCTCCCATCATCCAAATTCTACGAGCTCACGGCTTCCACTCAACACGACCCTCTGTTCTCGAATCGCTCTCTGACCTGACGGCACGATACCTCATGATTCTCGCATCTTCGACTGCCGCGCATGCTGCCAATTCCCACGCAGAAGACCCGTCACCGGTCCTCGAAGACGTTTACCAGGCTCTCCAAGACGCGGGCGCAATACGACCACAACTACGCGAGTGGGAGGAAGAATGGGCGGGCGAAGAAGACTTACGCGGTCTCGAATCGGTCCTCGGCTGGATTACTGGCCCAGCACACCGCGAGATCCGGCGCATTGCGGGCTTTGTTCCCAGCGAAGGCGACATGGTTGATCCGGACGCGATCGAGAAAGAGGATTATCTGACGGCATTGAAGAAGAAGCACAGCAAAACTGGAGAAGAGTCGCGGTATGCAGGGACGGTCCTGGGGAAAAACGCGGAAGAGCATCCGATTGTCATTGAAGGTGGCGCGCCCAGTATCCGAGAATGGGGTACCCAGGCTCGAACGCGTGCATCCGAGTCGGTTGAGAGCGACACCTCAGGCGTGAGCAGCGCGCCGAGTAATCTGTCCGAAGAGGATGAGATGGAGGTGTGAATGGGTTCAAGCTGTGATCGCACGAAACCGACATTTCTGCCGATTACGATGATTTGAATTGTCCCCCACAAGGGGCACTAACAAACCGAATACCCTGGAACCACTGCTTTCGATCAAGCCCAGATTCAAATGATCGTTGAGGCCAACTTGAGCTTCATCCCTAGCACCCCAGCACAGCACCGACAAGTACTCCAACCGAACCGCTCTCCACAAACGGCCTGAGATTCAAGCTCAAATCACCTCCCGTGTGAAAATGCTTGGTGGATGCATCTACTCATTTGTGGCGACGAGCAATTTCTACTCCGAGAAAGATTGGAGATGATCCACGCGTGTGCTCAATAGAGTCAGCATACTCGAGCAAGCTGGGAGGGCCACTGAAGCGTCAATGAGCTCGATGTGAGGCGACGGGTATTGCAGCAGGGGACATTCAACCTTGGATCTGCGAGAGATATTCTCATCGAAGTGGAGTAGATTAGCTGCCATAGATGCCTGGGTTCGCAGGCAAGCTTCCCCGGACTCCACGATGACTGGGGTAAATAACGCTCTTCTCTCCCCGCCAAAATATTCCCGCCTGACACTTTAATTTGTAAACATCTCTTGATTACATTCACTTCACTTAATGCACCGGGGAAGCCACCCGACTTGGCTGACTTGGCTCTGAAACGACCAACCCGAGCTGAGTGAGACTCAACCACGAAGCATCGGAAACCTGTTCGGCAGTTGGGCGCGACGCCGAGACGAGCCTCGGCCGGCCCCAGTCCTTCGGCTTACTGCTAGCCGACAGGCTGCCTATAGAAGGCAAAGGCTCCCATGGAAAAGGAGATCTTTTGGTTCTCCTCATCTCTGCCCCGGCAATGAATTGCAGCAGAATTACCGGAATGGTCGCCCCAGTTTCTGATACAGCGAATGAGACCACGATGATATCCACCCCTTGACGTTTCTCGTACGCACGACAATCTAGTTGCACTCCGGTGCTCCACGCTTCCCCAGTTTTTGGTTTCTGTCACCTGTCGCGCCCACTCGGCCCCCAGATACCCCGGAAATGGCCGGTGCCGAGCCCCTCAATCGTGGGGAGCCCTGGCTCATCCTTTTGTTCGGCGCGCTCCCCCTCTTGGAACTGATTGCTTCATGGCATGAACGTTCATTCCCGCGTCTTACATCATGGCAATCGTCGAACAAGAAGCACCCTCGAGCTTGCATACCAAATCCGACAGTAATTATGTCGAGGAGAAGGATGCCGGCATCAACCCAGTCGACCCAGAGAGGTCTTTGTCAGAGCCACACAGGATTTACCTGCTTCAACGACATGGAACGTTGGATCTCGACCCTGTTCCTAGCGTGGACCCTGCAGACCCATACAATTGGCCGCGATGGAAGGTGAGCAGCACCGGAAATCATTGAGGAAGCCTTTTGTTTAAGAAGAACACAGAAAACAGCCAACTTGAGCCTGGTTGCATTCCATGCATGTATGGGCACATTTACCGCTGCAGCTATCATTTGCGCCTACGAGGACATCTCTCTTGATATCGGGGTGTCCCTGCAGCGGGTCAGCTACTTGACATCTCTGCAGATTGCGATTCTAGGTGGCGCGCCACTGTTCTGGAAGCCGCTCTCACATCGATTCGGTCGCCGTCCGATCTTCCTCCTGTCGCTCATTTTTAGTTGTATTTGTAACATTGGCTGCGCAAAGAGCCCGGACTACGCTTCTATGGCGGCTTGTCGAGCCCTGGTGGCATTTTTCATTTCGCCTGCCATGGCTATCGGCAGCGGGGTGGTCACCGAGACGTTTTTCAGACATGAGCGGGCCCGGTATATGGGGATTTGGACTGTGATGGTGACGCTGGGTGTTCCAGTTGGTCCTTTCATCTTCGGGTTTGTTGCCCAGCGCGTTGGCTACCGCTGGATTTACTGGATCCTGGCTATAGTAAGAAGACCACAACTATTACAATGGTATGTCGCTAACCGTATTGTATTAGACCAACGCCGTGGAATTCATTCTCTATACCTTCTTCGGCCCGGAAACGCGATATGTTGGTGCCGACATTGAGGCTCGATCCTCCGCCCTGAAGCACGAGTACATGTCCTTCCGAAGAATCGACCCAACCCCATTCCGAGTATCTGAGTTCATTCACCCGCTTACACTGTTCATGAATGTACCCGTTCTTTTCGCCGCAGCCGCCTACTCGATGGTGTTTCTCTTTGCGTCTGTCATGAATTCTGTGGAGGTCCCGCAGCTACTACAACAGAAATTTGAACTTAACGCCCAGCAGCTCGGTCTCCAATTCCTTGGCTTGATTATTGGATCATTGCTAGGCGAGCAGCTCGGCGGATTCATGTCCGATCTGTGGATGAATACCCGCGCGCGTCGCATTGGCCACAAGCCGGCGCCGGAGTTTCGACTATGGCTCAGCTACATTGGCTTTCTCTTGAGTATTGCTGGCATGATTGTATTTTTGGTGTGCACGGAACAAGCCTCTGTCGGTAAATGGACCGTCACACCGGTGGTGGGCACTGGTATCGCTGCATTTGGGAACCAGGTCGTGACGACTGTGTTGACCACCTACGCTGTGGATACCTACCCCCAAGATGCCGGCAGCGTGGGTGTGTTTATCAACTTCGTGCGCTCGACGTGGGGGTTTATCGGGCCCTTTTGGTAAGTGTGGTCGAGTACAGGTGGGTTTTTGGTAGCTAATGTGTGCATTTAGGTTCCCTGCCATGTTTGAGAGTGTGGGTATTGCCGCCAGTTCTGGCGTTATCACTGCATTGATTATGGGTGTGAGCTTTATCCCGACTGTGATATTGCATTGGCAGGGGCGAAGGTGGTATGCCGGTGATGGGAAGATATGAGAATGTCTCAATTTTGCCGGTAGCTGTAAATATTCGAGGCTACGTGAATAGCCTTACCTCAATTGAGTATATGGTTTTTTTTTACCTTTGCTCAGATTGGAATAGCATCTACCGCCGGGACGAAGTCTTTGGATACTCCGGTGACGAACAGGATCCCGTATAACCTGACCTAAGCCCTCAGTGATACAAACAGCGACGAGCACTCACTCTTCGTCTCGGGACGGAAATGGGCGCCCACTGGATACATGGATCTGAACCTGGAGCACTACCCGGACAATGCGCTGATCCGTGAAGTCCAAGAGGATCAAGTGAGATTGACACCTATGTCTCTGGGCTGATTCGTGTGAAGTGCTTTCAATTTGCTACTGTAGCTGCAGAAAATCCCTCCAAACCAGTGGCTTTTCACCTCTGCTCCTCCTCCAAAAATCAGTCGAAGCCAATAGCTCAGACGAACCTTTAAGTAGCCATCCCCATTTCCTCACAAACTCCTCCGTAGCCTCCCAGTTGTGGGAATCCCACGGCTCGCCCCATACAAGCAATGTCGCACCTGTATTCCTTGTATCCCAAAAGGCCATAAGATCATGGCACAACTCATCATCATCAAACGAGTCCGCAGCAAGAATCAGACAATCTCGCATGCGCGGAAATGGGAAGAAGTCCAGCCACGGATGATGCGGGACCCTTCGCTGGATGGCAGTAGGGCGTAAGTTGAGCGGGATGCCATCTTCTGTGAATCCAGGCTGCGTGAGGTTGAATATGGAGATCGAGTCGTCACTTTTCATCCATCTGGAGTTCATGCCAACTGCTATTATATTCTGGTTGATTGCGCGATGAACGTTGAGCCGGCTGAGGCTGATCAAGTGGTCTCTTTTCGGGGTGCCTTGTAAATAGCTCTGGTAGGCTGTTGCTTCGAACCATTGAAGGAAGCTGAGGGCATTGGGTGGGGCGTGGGCGCATTTGAATTCTTCCTCATCTTCTGCTGGAGGAATCTCTAGTACGCTCGATGTTGACCCTGATGGGGCCGTGCCAACGATTGAATCCGGTCTAGTAGCTTGCCTCCTTACACCTAATAATCCAAGTCAATTAAAAAGATGGATATAGCTGCATATGCGTGTACTCCACGCACGATAAGCTCTCTGATTCAGTCGATTCTGCAACTTCCGTCGCTCCTCTCGATTTGTGATCCCAGTCCAATCATCGTCGAGCGCCCAAATGCCGGCTTGCTGGGGCATGGGGCCGAGCGGGATAATGTGTGAATTTGAGGTGGGTGGCTCCATCCTGTGTGATTATCAGGGGTAATGGTGAGAATGCTGACCCGACAAAAACGTTGGTCCTCCGGAAGATACTCGAGGTCATAAATGCAACGCGCTGACAAGGGCCCAGTGGAATCTTTCAACCTGCTGCGTGGAGACGCTAAGAACGCTATTTGACATGCCAGGCTGTCTTTATTGGTTTGCACTATTGCGCTAATGCAAGACGCTTATGCGCCTGATCCACTTGCCGAGACATTGAATCCTGCTGAAACTATACAGCATTCAATCGTTTATAGCATTATACAGCACGTCCCAGTTTGAAAAAGATGGAGGGATATGCTCCAACCGCAGTTCACAAAACGATATCAAAGTAAACCTGGGGTGAACATGTCGATCTGGTTGAGATATAATTTCGATCCAGTCACTCATTCCTTACTTTCCACCAAAAGAAATCACAACCTTGGTGGCTTCGTGCCTCTCAAATCTAGCATAAGCCGCAGGTGCATCCTCAACGTTAACAACATCGCTTACAATAAATCCTGGTCTCGCTTTGCCCGACGAAACCAGGTGCAAAAGCTGCGGCGCGAGATCAATCGGCTTCGACGGCCCAGCTCCCCATTTAAACTCCCCGAAAAAGAAATCCGTGAGGGAAAAGTCGACATGGGTGTGTACGGTTGAAGCGCGCGGCGCGGTAGCTGTGTTGTTAGACTCTTGATTGTAAACCCCAACAGTGCCCATGCCGCCTCCAGTGGATGTCACGGCCAACATATTCCGAATAATGACATCCGACTGGACAGTGAGGTTTCTGTTCACTTGCTCGTATCCAACGGCATCAATGCTGCGAGTAACACCATTTGGCTCGTGTGCCCGAATCTGGGCCACGGGATCGGCATGTCGGAAATTGATGGGGATGGCGCCGATGGATTTGGCAAGGTTGAGTCGATCTGGGACATAGTCTACACTGTACACCTTGGATGCTCCGCGCAGGATAGCCGAATATGCAGCCATCAGGCCCACGGGTCCTGCACCGAACACAGCCACAGTGTCCCCAGCTTCAAACCCGGCATAGTCGAGTGAGGTCCAGCCTGTGGCGAAGATGTCGGATAGCATGACATAGTCATTGAGAAGAGAGTGGGATATGTTTGTGGCTGGATCTCTGTACTCGAGAGAGGGAACTGGAATCAGTCCAGTGTCTGCGGATGGAACACGCAAGTATTCGGCTTGAAGAATAACGGTTAGTGAAATGAAAGAGCTCGTCACACATGAGGCAAATACATACCCTGCGTACCACCCATGTCACCCCCATTCCCATAACTAGCATACAGTGACGTGGTAAGACCAGTATGGAGATGGCCTTGATCAACGGTGAAAGGAACAATTACTGGATCTCCAATATGGAGAGATCCAACGGCAGACCCGACTTCAGAGATATACCCCACTCCTTCATGACCAAGACCAAATGGCGCTGACTCTCCGACGTTGGTGCCTCGGTAGATGTGCAGATCAGATCCGCAGATGGCTGCTCTGGACATCTTGACAATGGCATCGGTCTGGTTGATGATGGTTGGCTTCGGCAGGTCAACAACCCCAACATGATATGGGGTTCCTTGCCAAACAACAGCTCGCATGGTGGCGTTGGCGGTCATATTGGCGAGTGCCATGTCATAGAAGAAAGTAAACAATGGCTGAGTGAAGAAATAAGAACAATGTGTCCTCGGCCTCGCGGCAAGAGCACAATTTATACCTGAGATTTCCTTTCCTGACTTTGATGAAGATTTGAATTCCCATGGTCATTGCATTCCGACTCTTCAGAAGCAAAGCTCCACTTTGTGGTTCGCCGGGTCTAGTGACATGAAGGTCTGTTCTCTTCTGTGATCGACATCGTACGCAATCTACCGTGGGGAGAGCCCGGCCAATCCATTTGGGCATTGCATCGCTGTGGATCTCTCTCGGTGAGTCAGCTTAATTCCTAAAAGAAGAGTAATAGCACAGGATATATCAGTTATGCAGTTTGTTGAAGACTTTGAACAAGCTTCGTGCTATATCTGTGCATCATGGATCATTACACCTATGTTGGTTAACGACTATCAAGCGAAGCTGAGGAGAAGAAAGTGTATATCTCAAGGTAGAGTATATTCACCTTGATAAAAAAAACTGCTGCCTTGCCTTGCCCTTCAATCGAACCGCATTTAGATTTCCTATACTAGAAAATAAGGTGGGTCACCCTGTCAGCTTGACTCCACCAAACAGCGGAATTAGCCTTGGAAAAGCACCTGCTAAGATCCCTTCTTTTCAATGATTCTAATTTCTTCTTTTTCATTCAATATATGATGGAGATACGCCGAGGCCAAGATCCGTGGGTAAGTGTCAGCATACTGCATTAGCGCTCTTGGCGTGCAATATCTGATTCAAATTGATGACTCTTTTTTGCGCTTGGCACTGGAAAAACAGATGGCGAATTCGATTTGCCTGTTGTTGAAAACAGAATCCAAGGAACTGGCCAACCCTCAGAGTAGTGGAGTTAGGATGTCGAAGCCTCCATCCGCCAAGCACTGTGTCGGCTTTATCAACAAGCACGATGCGAAACCACGGCCTTGGCTTCTGCCCTTTTACACTTCCCCAGAAGTCGGTTTCCATTGAGCTTACCTAGTGGTAAATCTACACATTAGGACAATCCATCTAGACGCTATCCCTCTTGTTGATTATGTTTGATCCCTAGCAGATATCGGCAGCATTTGATGCAGACAACCCTGAAACAGTGATAAGCCTACATGACAATCCCTGGGTATCGTTGCCTGGAGCGAGAAATTGTGGCTTAGAGTCAATTGATAATCGACGCCAAGAGACCAGGCATGATGAACTTGTCAGTCTCGGAGATTGAGGGTAAACTCCGCGGAGCTAAGGCATTTGGTTTCCTCTTAATTGGCTCTTTTCGATTCTTGACTTCTCTCTCTCTCTCTCTCTCTATATTATGTTTTTATGGTACTTCATTCCTATGCAATAACACATCTTCCAGTGTCAGGACAAGCTGATTCTATCACACAGCCATGCTGCTCTCCTCCATACTCTCTCTGTTGCTCCTACTTCGGTGTCATACCTCCGCAGTCGCCATTCCTGGAGCTGACTCGATTCAAAATTCTGGTCATGATCAACACCCAAAGTCATTCGCACCCGTCCTCGCTCAATCCACACCGTTAGCATTGCCCTCCCAGTCTCAAGCGGCAACAGAAACTCCACAACAAAGGGAACGATCACCCAGCTATTCTCATCATCCGGAAATAATTCCCCGCAAAGAGGATTATAGCCAAGAGATTGCCTCTCTGTGTGAGGTTGGCTTCTTGCCTGATTGTCGGCCGTCGATATCGAAAGGAGATTCAAGGGCCATACTTGATGTGGTGCTCGAAGAAGAAGAAGAAGAGGGGCCTATCGCTTCTATTTCCTTCCCACCGTTTGGGTTCTTTGTATTCACTAGTGGTTTCGTTTGTTTTCTGTCTATTCTTCGAGCGTTATGGGGCAGACACTGAGTTAGCTTACGAGTAATGAATTTCAAGTTTCATGACTGAGATATATCATACTCCTGCTATTCCGAATATAAAAGCCTCATCAATATTGATGCTGACTCCCGCTGCGCCTGTGGGATTGCTTATTCATGGAATATCTCACAATTGGATGGGCTAGTAGCTAACAAGTTGATCAATGTTCTATGGAACCTCGTGAAGTCTGCTGGATATAAAAAAAGAAAAGGATCAAAAGGCTATGTTGATAATTAGGAAGCGTGACTGAAAATTGAGTTGAATCAGAAATCTGGATACTCGTTCACTATTAGTTCCATCTCCCGGCGGTCCTGCATCTCATCCTGAAGTATATTGTGTTGGTGTTAGTTCCAATACTCTATAACCCGCCCCAGCAGGGCAATCAATGCACAAAAATCGCAGCTAATCAAATATTGCATATCTAAAGAGCAGATACAACATGACTACATGACTAACCGAGAGAGCAGTTCAACCTCGTAATTGATCTCGCAAATTCCTGAATACCAACAAAGTTCGCATCCAGACTTCACTCCCCAATCATGCACCTTATACTTATCATTCCTTGTGCTCTTGCGAACGAGCCTATCGCAAAAGTTTGAGACTTGTAGTGTATTGTAGTTTGGTAGAACTTTGCATTTGTGAAGAACTGAAAATGTACTTTCTATGTCTATGTCTATATTAATTGACCGCATGAAGTAAAGTAGTAGTAACAGTGATCTAGAAAAGGCCAAACGCATCATGAAAAGGGTATAGTAACCGTACGATTTCAAATAGTCACTCATCACCAAGTTTCATGAGCACCGTGTTCAGCCTGCTGACTCGCGCGACTACTCCTCGTCTCATGGGTAACCTCAATCTGGTTCGAAACCACAATCCCATTCGGCGATTCGTTCGGCGTCGAAGAGTCAGGGTATGCCTTCAACCCTTGCATCTTCATTTCGTCGACCATCCGCTCTTCACTCTCGCTAAAGGTCATATTGGCAGTGATCGGGTTGACACTAGGTGGACCGCGCCGATTCCGGCTGGAATAGTCGCCGCCGCCGCCGATGCTCCGGAACCCGCCCGATGGTGATTTGTATGGGCTTTGCGAGGACCGTTGGAATGCACCGCCGTAAACGCGCGCCAGCCATGTTCGGAGCAGGTGGAAGATCATTGGCAGGTTGGTTGTGATTACTGCAACGAATGTTTCTCGGGTACCCCATTGGTTTGCGAGAGATGCGCCATTTGCGGGGTCCTTTACATGATAAGATTAGAGGAATTGCGAGAAGAGTCAACATAAGGATGATGGGAGACTCACGACTAAGAGTAGAATACTCTTGATAGCGGCGCAGACAAGCACGAACACACCGGCACTTAGGATAAAAGTCGTTGCAATCTTTTTCAATACCTTCAGGCTTGATTTCCATAGCATGGGAATCGGAATGAAGATCAGATAGATATCAGTGACGATGTTGGCGGCAAACGACACCCAGACAATGGGCCGAGAAATGGCCGGCTGGCAGGTAGCTAGAAGTGGGATTGTGAGTAAATGAGGGATTCACGACGAGTCGAAAGGAGAGACGTACTGCCAGGGTTCGGATTAATTTGCCAGGATTTATAGAAAGGCCGACAGGCCGCGAAGATGGTGATAATAGCCGCGAGATGCATCCCGATGACCAGGGCGAATCCGACGTAGATGGGAATGCGATAACTCCGGCCAAGTCCCTCCTGTTAAGAATTAGCTATTGATCGCAATCCATTGATTTACGGGCGGTGGTTGTCATACCATCAGCCGAACATAAAAGGCTAACATGGACAGCTTAATCGACGCGATCATCGCCGAGTAAGTCGTCCAGCCTGCGATCTGGATTTTGGACCCAAGTACCCTAGTGAAACGGTTCGTAATCGCGTCCAATGCACATTATATTTTCCAATCGCGTAAGACACACCTGGCTTGGTATTCGGGGTTATCGAGGGACAGCGCTGCACGCTGAGCGGCCGTCATACTGCTGTTTGCCAGACCATGGGCCACACTACCGACAGTGTGTGCTAGAGCTGTCTGCGCGGTATAGAATATCTGCCCAGATTGGATTATTAGCCACAAGGCAAGGGAATGTGAGATCTATACGGGAGTACGCACAATTCCGACCCATATCAGGTAGTCGTCCCATCGCAAATGCTTCCATCCCACTGCTCTTACTCGTGCGTATGTTCTGAGCATCGTCACGGCAACACCGATTGAATACAGCGTCCATAATTCGACTGTAGACTTGTAGGCCTGGTGAGCAGCGTCTTGCGCAGCATCTCGTGCGTGCAATTCAAAGCCAGGATTGGCCGAGGTTCCGATAAACATGGCGGAGAGACACGGGGATCATGCAGTTGATTTTTTTGCTGTTGTATACAGAGAAAGAAGAGCGGCACATTTGCTTCAACTGAACTGCGTTGTCGCTTGTTGAACATAAGTCATAATTACCGCGACCACGAGAGAACTGGAATGAAAAAGAACATCTAAAGACCCTCGGCATGTGTGTTAACCGCGATCCCACTAACCCCAGAAAGAGAAAATTGTGTGCGCATCTTTTGCCAGTTGTCCCAAGGTTCAGCTCATATTGGTCCCTAAAGACGGACTAAACCCGAGCTCAGTAAGGACAGACGATATCAAAGTTTCCCTGGACTCCGCCTTCCAGTCCCTTCTCAAGTTTGGTATTTTGTTTCTCCAATGATGTCCATCTTAGTTACGCTGCTGGCATACTCCAATCACAGTCGGCATTGATCAAGCGAGAGGCGCACAGTGTTGGCTCTAACAAGATCTGGTGGATTTTAAGTGGGTTATAGTGGATTATAGCGGAAATCTAAAATCTCAAGTGGGTCGATGCACTGGCCATATGTTTGGAGGTTGGCTTATGGTTGGTTGTGATGTGAGACCAAACCCTTTTTATCCACGGACGGGGTGGTGGAGATTATTGAAATGCAACGCCACAAGCGTGGGTCCTGCCGAAATCTATTACAGTCGGAACCTGCAGAACCTTGGATGTGGAAGTATTAAAGTCTTGCGGTGTTGAATTATGCAACCGGGAAGGCCGTCAACAAGACCGGTGACAGAAACCCTAAGGCAACATCGATATATTGATTCAACCCTATGAGATCAATGTAAGGGCCATGTTGTGCCTGAGACATTTCTATCTCACTAGCGATCAGCTGCGTATGTATACCTAATTATTACATCAAATACTCTGGTGGAGGTATGCTCGGTCCATCGGCATCTTGCGATCGGAGGATTCCCGTGGCCGACGCGTGGTTGTTGGAGATTTGAGTTCATTATCCTTTTTTCTTTTTCTTTTTTCTTTTTTCACTTTGACAACCATCCCTGATCCACGCCACATCAATGTATCGCCTAAAGATGGAGGTTGTTACGGCCGTCGCGGCGTGGGCGCTGACCTCGGCCTGTTCCAACTTGCCCGTTACTTGCAATTGGCACAATGGCCTCTGCTTGCGAGGGGATGACTTCCAGGAGCTGGGAGGCAAGCTCTCCAACTCTGCCAAGGTGTACTTCCCCGGATCGCATGGGTTCAAGGAAGCATCGACTCGCTGGTCGGTTCTGGAGGAGCCCAAGGTGAATGTTGTTGTGATTCCTGGCACGGAAGATGATGTTGCGGAGACGGTAAGGCTTCCATCCCTTGCTACACCCAAGGTTGGGTGGGACAGGGAAACCACAGGCGTCATAGTATAAATACATAAGTTGCTGACAATCACAACTGTGCAGGTCAAATTCGCAAACAAGAAGGACTTGCCCTTCCTTACGTACAATGGCGCACACGGTGCCCTTACCTCGCTGGGCAAGATGGACCACGGCATCGAGATCAATCTGAGCCAGCTGAACAGTATCGAAGTCGCCGACGATGGGAAGACGGCCAAAATTGGAGGCGGCGCCATGTCCAAGGCTGTTACTGAAAAGCTCTGGCAAGAGGGAAAGCAAACAGGTTGGTTGCTGGCTCTGAATGAAATCGCTACATACCATGATACTAACTTCAAGAAACAGTCACTGGAACATGCGAATGCGTTAGCCTTCTCGGGCCGGCGCTGGGTGGTGGACATGGCTGGCTTCAAGGGCACCATGGCCTTGTCTCGGATCAGTTTGTCTCCATGAATGTTGTGCTTGCCGACGGCAGCATGAATAAGATCGACGCGCACTCGGATCTCTGGTGGGCCATGAAGGGCGCTGGGCACAACTTCGGCATCGTAACCTCGCTCACCACCAAAGTCTACGATATAAAGCACCGAGACTGGGCGATCGAGACGCTCACTTTCAAGGGTGACAAGGTCGATGCGGTTTACCATGCCGCCAACGACTACCTCTTGAAAAATGGCTCCCAGCCTGAGGGTGTTATCAACTGGTCGTACTGGATGAACAACCCAGACGCTGACCCTAAAAACGTGAGTATACATAGCCCAGCCAGTGCATCCAGTCCCAAAACTCACATTCGTTAGCCTGTTATTCTCTTCTACATCATCCAAGAAGGTGTGAAGGTCGTCGACCCAGCCTACACCAAGCCCTTCCACGACATTGGACCACTGTCCGCAGAGCCCCAGAAAGGAACCTACACCGATCTCGCTGGATGGACTGGCATCGCCACGACATCCCCGCCATGCCAAAAAGCTGGGCTCGCCAACCCCCGATTCCCCATCTACTTGGAAACATACAACCCCCAGGCCCAGAAGAAGGCGTACGAAATCTTTGCCAGGGCTGTCCGCGGCTCCTCGGCCTTCAACAGCTCGATTTTCATGTTCGAGGGCTACTCGACACAGGGAGTCAACGCCATTTCGCCCAGCTCGAGTGCATTCGCTTTCCGGAGCGAGCACCTCCTCGCCGCGCCGCTCATCACCTACAAGCCTGCCGGTTCAGAGATTGACCGCAAGGCTGCGCAGTTGGGCCAGCAGCTTCGCCATATCCTTCACCAGGCTAGTGGTCGCCAGGACTTCCGCGCCTACGTCAACTATGCGCACGGAGATGAGACGACGCAGCAGTTGTACGGAAGCGAGAAGTGGCGCCAGAGCCGTCTGCAGGGCTTGAAGCAGAAGTACGATCCCGCTGGCAAATTTAGCTTCTATGCGCCCGTTGCATAGAATGGGAGTGCGAGAACTCAAGGATTTGTATATATGGTTTTGGCCTAGAGTCATTCATGACACATGAGTTTATGGCATAGAAGGGGGGAAATCTTGTATTGATAATTTCTAATGATTCGATATGCCCTCGGTCTATTTTCATCGTTGAATTGGCCTTAAATCTTCTCATGAAAAAGATATAGATCTTTCCGGTTGGTCAGTTAGATTTTATCTTACGCTCTTCTACTAGTGATTTAGTTAAAACTGCATACCGCCCAAATGAATTCATGTACTTGTCCTATACATCATCCCCGGGGACGAATGCAACCAGGGAGACCACACCATCCCAGAAAGCCGAAACATACCAAATCCACTCAACGGCGGTGCCCACTGACTGAGATCTAAATCAACATGTCTGGTATCTTGAAAGCCATGGTGAAGGAAGAAGCCATGTGCTGCAGGCTCTGAGCAGACCACAAAAGGCAATCCCTCCTTTCTTGTCTTCTGGAAACCCAACTGGATTAGCTGGGACCCTATACCCTGTCTCTGATACGGAGCATCCACACACATGTAGACCAGCTCTGCGCAGAAGTTAGCATGGTCGAGAGTATGTGTAGGAAAGAAGAGAGCCTACCAAAGCAATCCATTCCTTCTGTATCCTCTGCAATCTCAGCAACTGCTTTCATCACTGCAGTACAGACTTCTGTATCAACACCATCCGGTAGGTTGGGCGGCGTGGATGGGTTCGAGTTCTGAACGGATTCTTCTTGTTTCACGGGCTGCTTTCGTGCCAGACCGAGATAGCCCACAGTTTCACCGGATGCATCGTCAATCGCCTTGAAGTTCTCAATCGAGGGTTCCTTGAATCCTGACTCGAGAGCTTGGGCGTACTGCGGCTTTTGGGCCGCGTCATTTGGCCAGTCTTTCCATAGAAGCCGGTTGATAGGAAGGGCGAGCTTTGCGGTGTGCAAAAGCTCCCCCAGGACTGGGAGGTCCGTACTGGCGACAGAGTGGATGGAGTAGCTTGTCGACATAGTTGACTGCGAAGAAAGGGTGTTTGGGGTAAAGATGTTCAATGGGACGAATGGGTGAGCTGGAGTAGATAAATACTATCCCCTTGGTAGGTAGTAAGGCATCAAAATTGTGACCTGCCAGTTAAGAATTTAGAGCCAAGGCATATATATATCTATTGATTTGTTTAGTAGATGCTGGAGAGTGGGCTCAAAGTAGTGATAATCTAGAAGTAGAACATCCAGAGATGTTTGTAGTTGCCAAACCTTTCATCGAGGCAGAAGAATGAGAGAGCATATCGTGGACGAGAATATTATCCAGCAGCAAAAGACAGAAGCTGAAAGCAAAGAAAGGATCTCACAATCATCGGGCCCATCTATAGTCTTGGCTGCCGGTGACATCAGTCCTCCCGCCCCGAGTCGACTTCTCCAACACATATCTCACCATGGTCTTCGCCTTTGTGCTGCCAACCACCTCTCCCTTATCCTTTCAATCTTTTATTTACTCATCGACTCACCCTTCCCTACCCCAATCAGCCTCTACCGCCCGTCATGCTTTGCGACTCACCCTCAAGGCCCACAAGCGTTTACCCCGCGGTCCCCGCCAGGACGCCCACTTGCTCACAGTCCTGTCCGCACTGAACGACTACCTGCCGTACCTATTTGCAATCTCGCACGGATTGAGTGGCCGACCTGTTCGCAGTGATGCGTCTACTTCTCTCGGGACAGATGTACATACGGAGACAGTACCCCGCTTCGGGGAGGAAGTCGAGATCACGCTTCGCGCGGAGATCGAGTCTGCCTGGAGACCCACTTTATCTGCTGGAGGCGCATTGAATCTCGGGACAGGCTTCAATGCACCAGGCGCAAAGGGCACGCGGACGCGTAATGGACGAGTTGCTGGTCAAGGCATTGACTTTGAAATCGCATTTACCCTCACGACCCTGGGATATGTTCTAAGCCGGCTTGCGCGCGCGGGGGTCGTCGAGTCGTTGTATGCCGCGACGACACCGACAGCAGAGCAACGCATCGCGGCTCTACAGACAGCCACACGACACCTTCTACAGGCCAGTGCCGTGCATGGGCTCCTTGCCTCGTCACCGGCCTTTGCTGCAACGACGACATCGTCGGTGCCTGATCTTAATGCCTCCGCACAGTCGGCCCTGTCCTCCCTCGCGTTGGCTGAAGCTACACTCCTAGCCGTCCTCAAGGACGACGCCTACGTTGCTGCATGTATCCAGACGCGCAACCCCAACGACCGGGACTGGATGGTCCGCGCGCCGGAGATCCCGAAAGTGCGCGCGCTGCTCTTTGCCCGACTTTGTGTTCGTGCAGCAGAGTACGCCGAGCAGGCAGCTGCAGGGTTGGGGTCCGTGGGGCCCGGAGCGGGCCGGGCTGGCCGTGTCGATGATGATGTGGTTCGCTACACGGGTGTCCTGGGTCGAGTGGCGCGCGCCCGCGCCTGTCGGTTCTTTGGTGTAGATGCCGAGCTTGCTGGTAAGGTTGGCGAAGGGATCGCATGGCTGCAAGCTGCACGAACACCGCTTGGAATGCGCAGCGGGCCAGGGTCATCTTCTACCCCGGCAGCAGAAGAAAGTGGGACAGGAAACTTATCCAAAGGTGGACTATCGCGTTTGAAACGCGAGTGGGCGGAACGGCGTGAAGAGCGCCGAATCGGCAAGGATGCCGGCGGGAGCCGCAGTGAAAAGGGCCCTCTGGAACCGGGCGACGATGCTGGCCGCGATGAAGAAGGCCGGGTCATTGCAATGTTGGAGACGAAGTGGGTGCGGATGAACGATACTGTGAGTTCCAAAGATGGTCTTTCTCGATGCGTACTATGGGAGAACTTTCCATGTACATGATGCCCTAACAAGACTCAGATCAACACTCAACTCGTCCCACCTTCTGCACCGTTACTGTCTAATCTTCCGTCCGGTCGAGATATTCATGTTCCGCCAGCTCCGTACAAGCCCCCATCGCTAGACGAGGATCAACTTGCTAGCATGCGTGCCCCACCGGATGAGAATGATGACATGCGTTTCGGCAGTGACCCCGATGACAGTGACGAGGATGCTGCGCCGTCTGATGCACCTGGGCCGCCGGGAGGGTTTCCAGATCGGAGTCAGACCGCGAGTAGTGTTTATTACTAACTTGATACCCAAAATGCACCGGTGGATGGTCAAAGGTAGTCAGATATGGGAGAAGCATTGGAGAAACAGTGAGACATTTGGGAGGTTATGTTCGCAGCACGCGTATCCCCGGAATAGATATCCAAGACTTGCGATACCTTAAAAACAATGGGCAAAAATGCCAGACAAGAACAACGTTGATCAAAGTGATATCGTATATGTACAGTACAAGGAGCAAATAGGCGGCGGCCCTCTTCTCCTTCGGTTCATGTCACCCCATCGAAGATCGCAATATCCAGGCCCTGTCGAATCACACTTGAAAATGGGTTGACCGGATTCCTCGGGGATCGTGCTAGCTGAGCTGTTGATTTTCACTGCTGCACCTTCTCCCAGTTGCCATTTCCTCGACCCTCGAGACAGAAACAAAGAGAGGAAGAACGGAGAACCACAACCCTCGTGAACACACAGCTCCTTCCTCATGCATCCCTCCACAGCTTAAGACCAGATTCATGCCGACTTGTTCGCCTCGCCGCTGAAAAAGTTCTTCTCCTGGAAGAGGTAACCCTTGACCTTGCGCTCCTTGATGAGCTCGAAGTATTTTTCTGAGTGATGTCAGCACGGTTCAATATGGCTCATCGAATGCAATGCAATGCCAGGCAGAATCATAGATAATAAACCCCGAGTGAAACAAGCAGAAAGAACCAACAAAGCGAAGCAAAAAGAGAATGAAAAGGGAAGAGAAGAATACACACCTCTCAAAACACCGCAGTTTTCAAGGTGATTCACCCCCTCCCGCGCATAGCACTTGCCCAACTCCTCTCCGACCAGCCGCGACATCATGCTGCGCACCCATTGCTCGCGGATAATGGCGTCACGGGCATTATGGACGGCGACGTTGTCTTCGAAGTCGACGCCCTCGTAGGTCGGGGGCACGGTGGGCTTTTTGGCGAGGAAGGCGGCGGACTCGGAGGTGGGCATTGTGGCTGGAGGTTGTGCTTTTTTGGTTTGACTTTTTTTCGGGTTGTAAAACGAATTCGGGTTGAGGCGAGGGAAAGGAGATGCAAACACAATCCGAGGAGGGTGAGCGCCCGAGGAATTGGTCGGTGGACGGGTTTGAGGTCGGGGAGACTCTTGATGCGGTTGAATTGGCGATGATTGGGTTGCATTATGCTGGCTGTGATTGGGTGGCATGGAGGCGGTGAAGATTACGAGAGGCTGCAACAGCCTAAAGTGCAGTTTGTCGATGCAGTCAGTTTGATCACGTGTCTACGTGGACTATTCTGATATGCCACAATAGATTGGGCTTTGCATAAGAATAAATATGCACTTGATAGACAAAGATGAATCAGAAATTAGGGTTAATATTTTGGAGCATTTCAGACCTCAACCTTGAACGCCGAAAACAACGTCTGGTAATGCAAAGCACCAATATACAGAATACCTAACCCTACAATACAATCTCATGCTATGCTTGACTAGTCGTACAAATGGCGTGGGAAGCGTCGAACAGAACAGAAAAAAAGGGAAAAAAAAAGCCTTTCATGGAACTCGTTTCGAGGGAGAGTCCTGCGTCGCAGTCTGGCCTCGTGCCCGGTCATAGACCGCGCGGAGTGCGTCCTTGGCCCTCTCCCACCGAGTCCGGTTAAGTCGCTTGCTTAGCTCACGGTAGTTGTACATCTCGGCCCAGCAGTCGCGGCCGAATATGCAGCCGGCCATGTTGACAACCAGGTCGTGCGCGCTTTCCTGGTAGCGTACCACCTGTTCATCGGCCTCGCCGCATGCGCCTGGTGGAAATGCGTTGATGCTGCGCTGAGGCAGAAATCCCACGCTGCTGCGCACCCACGGTTGGTTTTGGTATATGTATTCGAGCGCGTCTTGTTCCTTGTGCTCCCAGTCCATGTGCTTCTGCTCGTACATGACCGGGTCCCACCAAGCGTCCAGCATTCGGTCAGTCCAGAGGGATCGCCGCACGAAGAACGAGCCGAGATTGAATCCCGAGCAGTCTTGTGTGAGAAGCATATTCAATGAATCCAGGCCGCCGTCACCCTCGAGGGAGCGTCCGAGGTCATCCAGGTAGAACTCTGGTAGCGGGTGTGTGATATTGAGCGGGTTGTAGATGTTGATGTCGCGATAAACTATCGACTTCAGGTCGTTGAAAATATGGTGCTGCAGCGATTTCCCGTACTCCATGATCCAGGTGTTCAAATCAAGCCACCAGAACCACTCCGCCTGCGGATATTTACGCATTGCCTCGCGGAGCACGTCGCCCTTCTCCCAGTTCTCGCGCCACTCGTGTGAATACCGCTTCTTGGCCAGCATGTTGGCCACTTCTAGCTCGTATCCCCATCTCTCGGCGTACTTCTCCTTGTTCCAAATGCTATTGCGCTCGATGGCCCACTCGCGCGCGCCCTTCCACTCCATCACACCACCCTCCACGTTCGATCCGATGATGATCACGAATCTGCGCCCTCCGCCCAGCGATCGACGGTACAAGTGGACAAGACCTACAGATCTGGATTAAGAACTCGTCTCGAGTGGGTATGTAGTAGAACCACGACTTACTCGACCACAGAAGCAGATATCCGATACAGACGAGTAGAAACCACAGCAGCACTCGGAACCGAGTCCGGCGCATTAACCTGCGGAGTACCGCCCGCGGGCCACGCCCTCCAAACCTCCCAGGACGTCTATGTGCATCTTTATCCGCGTAGCCAAGTGGCGTGTGAGCTCGGAAGCCAGGAAACTGGGCGGAGATTCGGTGTTTTTGGCGTGAGAAGAAACCGGTATTGCGCGTCGAGAAGGAGGGGTAACCGCGCACTTTGTTATTCTTGGCTTTGGCTGCGGCCCACGAGATGCCTCCGGGTGCGAGGGTGGCTGGCGAGTATCCGCGCGGTGTCGAAGAGCCGCTGTCGGGTGCCAATCCCGGGCTGGACCACCCTCCGCCCGGGTGGGGAGAGGGTGATCGCGAGAGGGACATGGGAGGGTCGGCGGGAGAAATTCTAAAGAAAGGGTTGAACGGAGGATGTCGGTCGGGCAAACAAGATCGAGGGAGAGGAAGGACTCCTTGGGACAGAATGTTCACGGTGAGGTCAGAGTGACAGCTCAAGGAGCGACGCGAAAAAAAAGGGGGAAGCGAGGGAGGAATTAGATTAGGTGGGCATGACGGATTGACGCAATTCGCAGCACAGGCCACGCCTTGTTCATCTTGCGAAGGATATCTCAGAGGAAAAGAAGCTGAAGAGCTCGGTGAGGTTCCCCGGAAGCAGGGCAGTGGGGCCGATGGACCCTGAAGGTTTGACATGACGAATAGCCTCATGGACTATACAATTTACGAAACTCGTAGCAATTGATACCCAACCAGAGATTCCAAAGCATAGGCCGATAGATATAAAGGTCGGGAGATCTACTGTCTATTGTTTACTGTGAACGCATGCAGACAATACGATTGTAGAGCCCGACTGACATACAACCTCGATGTCACATTGAATGCAATTCATACGATCATTCTATGTTCAAAGCGGGGAGAGCCGATAACGCAAGATCAAACCTATTCTTTCAATTCCTTCGGTTCATCTGCTCGAGCTGGCAACCGGTTTGCTGCCACATCCGACTTGGCCATGAGTGCCTGGCGCACCACAAACCCCGACTCGGTGGCAGGCCGTTGTCGCGCACTGTCGCCATGATAAAATTCACAGCGTAGCTTGAGAAACTCGCCCTTGGACTGAAACACGGTGATAATGTCTCCGGTGTAGATCTTGCCAAAGTGCAATCCCTCGGGCCCGTCCTCGGTCGACGAGCCCCGGCGCAGCTCAACGTCGTTCACCCAGATACATTTGCGCGTTTTCGTGGACAGGATCGCCATGACTCCGGGGACCTGCATCCAGTCCTTCCCCGCTGCAATCTTCGACTCAATGGCGGGCGCCCAGAATGTGACTTCTAGGGCGTACGCGGGGATCCGCGTGTCATTGGGGAAAGGGTGCCGGACAGTCGCCTTCAGACCCCGACCCCAGGAGGTCATCCGGGTTTCCAGACGCAGCGAAATGTCAAAACTAGAGCCAGGGAGACTGATAAGACGGCCAAGTACCGGTCGTGGCTTGGTGAATTCTGTGTCGGCCACGTGTGGCGGGATCGACGCATGCTCCGGCTGATGGACGATGGGGTCCGATGACCCTGAGTCCGTGCTCTCAAGTTGCTCTAGGATTGCTTGTCCCGTCCGCGCATCAAGGGTGGTAGCGAGCTCGATATCACATTCCCTAGTGCGGCTTTCTGGATCACTAGGCGGGTACCGACGACTGGTTCGCGAGCCATTATTGCTGGAACCTTCACTGATTGTGTCAGGGAGCGCAAGATCGATGCGACGGGAGAATTTAGCCGCCTTGGGAGTGGTCTGATTGGCTTCAGAGCTGACTGGGGCGGCCTCTTGGTTTGTGGTACTATCTGCATTCGCGGGCTCCTTGGGTTTTCCAGGGCTGGTCTGTGGCGCCGAGATCTGGTTAACCGGGACGGCCTGCGAGTGGAGGATGGGGTGCGAGGAGTTCATGTTCAGCCGTCCGACGAGGTTCTCCGTTCCCATAAGGCTGGGGGCAGTGCCACCGAATGGGTGTTCTGGGAGGGAAATGACCGAGTAGACGCTGTGATCATCGCTCATGGACTCACCAGAAGAAGGAAAGTCCTCAATGTCAAAAGCATCATCGTTGTCAGCCACGGAGCCTAAAGCGTGGGAGCTGCGCAGAGCTGCCGGGTCGACTTCACCAAACAGACGTCTTGCGTTGTGCTCGGCAGCCACCTGACCATCCTGGAAACTCTCGATGTTGGGAAGAGAGGGATATCGAATATCCGTAGGGATGTGCTCAATGCGCGGTCTTTTCGCGAGAGCCTCACTGCTGCTGTTTTCTTCGGCTTCGGCTTCATAGGTGTACGCATCATGGTCATGGATGGAAAGCTGAGACGCGCCCAGATCTTCCTCAGCATCCTCGCCAATCGCGGAAAGACCGTCTTGATGATCCGACAACAGGTCGTCGTCTTCGTACTCGTCCACATCAGGAACCTCAGAGATCCAAGGATGTTGGAAGCACTCCTTCTCAGTCGGACGAGAAAACGGATCTCGGTTGAGAAGCTGGGCCACAAAGTCGATACCGGCTTCCGATACCCCCTCGCGGCGCAAGACATCAAAGTCAGCGTCCGTGGTCATGATGGTGCGGAGCATCTGCACGCCACGATCCTCGGCGCGCCCCGAGTAAGGTGGAATGCCGGACAGAATGTGGTAGAGAACGGCACCCAGCGACCATGTGTCTACAGACTGGTTGTATGGAGATGTTTTGGGAGGTCTAAAAATCAGCGAAGCCATCAAGACAAGGGCTAGAAATACTTACGGGTCCCCAACACGGCGCCTTTTCCGAGCCTCGCCACGCCGGTATGTGTCGTAGTCAGGATATACCTCTGGCGCACAATACAGCAATGTACCACAGAAGGTCTTGAGAAAGGTCTCCTCCTGCACCACTTTGGACAGGCCAAAATCAGAGAGCTTGATTCTGAGTGGATCCAGCGACGCAATAAGGATGTTGTCTGGCTTGATGTCGCGATGGGTAATCCGGCGTTTGTGAAGGTAGTGAAGGGCACGAAGCACTTGGCGTGCTATCGTGCGGACCATCTCCTCGGGGATCCTGCCATGGCTGTGGAGGTATGTGGAAAGCTCGCCTCCAGGGACATATTCCATGATAATGTAGATCCACCTGTCGTGCTCATGGTGGTCGATATATTGCACAATGTTTGGCTTAATAGAACGAATGGAGTCAGTCTAACTTGCGACGTCATGGTGGATATAATAATCACTTACGTGTTTAAGATCCCTCATAATCTTCATCTCATTGTCAACCTTCTGGTCAAGAATCCCATTCTTCATGAACCGTCGCTTGTCAAGCTCTTTCGCGGCATAGATGGACCCATGTTGCTTGGTAGCGAGTTTGTACACTGTCGCAAAGGCACCCTTGCCGATTTGGCCTGTCACGTTGTACACCGAGCCCCCTGTCCAATGCATGCCGTAAGCGTTGGCAACTGACCAGGACAAAACGGGCTGGGCAGCGCCCTGGCGATTCTTGTGTTGCACAGCGCCCGTTGCATGCTGCTGGACCCGCTCGAAGTATCGAAGTACATTCTGAGTGTACTGCACTGCGAACCCCTCTCGAGGTGGCATTCGAACAATGAACCGAACCTCGTCAGAACCTTGGTGGCCAGTGACCACCTGGATGACAGAGCCGTTCGTGAGCATGCGGCTGTTGTCTTTCTGGCTCTTGCGCAGCCGACAGTTGTCTACGATGGTTCCATTGGTAGAAGTGTCTTGGAGCATGATGATCCCATCTCCCGTCAGATAGATGCGGAAATGAGTGTTGGACACCCTTTTCGCCTCATCATCCGTTGCCAACAGCACATCGCAGCGAGCTCGGTTGCGGCCAAAGCAAAAACCTGCTCCCGGGTCGTGGACGTTTGATGACAATCTCAGGGCCACATCGAGTGCGGCGGTTCCTGAATTTTCAAATTCCAAGGCGCCCTTCTGCAAGATGTGCTGGGTACCAATTCCTGCCGTCGCAGTTACTGCGTCATGAGCAGCGTGCGAGTTCGGGTGAAGGATACAGATGATGTCGGCCAGGTCCTGTTCCTGAAGTCCGGAATTGTCCAATCCCATCCGACGGGGATCGGTGCATGGCTGAGTGGATTCTTGTGTGGCCTCCATGGTAAAGACACAAATGCAATATCTAAAAACAGGAAATGAACTCGCAACAGGCTTGGGGAGAATCAGATGACGTGGGGTATATGTGCTGATGCGATAACGAGGAAAGTTTGCGTAACGGGGTCATAAATACAGTCGTGTCTGGGGATATATCAAATGAGTAAGTTGCAAAAGATGGATATGCATGGGTAGGCAACATATATATTTACCTTGAGCGGTTCCAGGAATGGGACCAAAGGGTCAGTCACCAGGGTAATCACCGGGTGAAGGACCAAGAACAATGAAAATCGAGGAAAGAGACAGTCCAGGCAAAAGGAACCTTGTAGAGAGGGTGAAACGCAGCTTCTGAGTCGTCCGAAAAGTGGGGTGACTGGATAGACAGCCGGTGACAGCGGTATATTTTCCCAGTGTGAAACGGTCCTCAATAAGTGGACCTCGAGAGCTTCCTTCGTGGCCTAATTGTGGCAAAGACTAAGAACAGATCGAGCGATAATACCCAGAGCAAGAAATCCAAGCTTCACTGAAAATCTCTCGGCGCAAGGAGGTTGGCAGCATTTGTGAGTACTGATTCGCGTCAAGCTGGTCCGCCGAGGAGCTGGTCAAACGGAAAATATCCAGTGGTGTGCATTTATTTACAGCCGTCAACCTCGAGGAAAAGACGCAGGAGCAGCAAACGTCGGGATCGAAGGGGTATTGCCTGTAGAGAATCTTCCAGGTGGTCAGTAAATATCTCGATTGCCTGGCGAGGGACCTTTGTTTGGCATGGACTCGACGATGACGATTCACTTACACGCCACTTGGGAAGGTCCGTGGGAGTCCACAGTTGAGTAGATTCACACGGCGGACAGACCAAAATGGGGGACAGGGACAAATTGCAGTCCTGGCAGCTCGTCGTCCGAGAAACAGGAACAAGGTCGAGCCGCACGATCGTCTTTATCGGCGCGACACCTCAGGCAGCAACAAGTTCCTGAGGCCCACGTAGATGACTCATCGCCAAAACAAGTGCTGATTGGCTGATTGAGAATAAGCAGCTCCGGGTCAAGTTCAACCATCCATGGATGGACAAGCCTACAACTACGCAAGGCCCATGGGCTCAACATCGTTGGATAAGAGACCTGGGAATACTTAACACGAAAATAGTTAATAATTAAGAGAACCATGATAAAAACACTGACTACTTGGTACAAGACCAGAGAAAATACAAGTTACGATATGCATGAGATCGGATGTATACATGTGGATGGGTTTCAAGTTGCGGCCGCAGTGCTGTTCTTCGAATCTATACTTGGCAGTCAATGCCCGGGCCTATATACGTTATTTACGACCTATTTGCTGCCATACGGCTTGCTCTGGTCTTCATTACGCTTATAGTCGCCATTCATCGCAATGTCGAACACTTTCTCCAGTCGCGCAATCGCCTCGTCCGATACCTCTGTGACAGGTCAGAATGGAATGGAGTCGTATCGGCGAATCACAGAAACACTTACGATAGTGGACAACGACTCGGTTGCCAAGTAACCTCAGCCCCTTCTCTTGTCCAATCTCAGCCAGGTCATTCCATCCCAGCCCAGACGCCTCCAGATCCAACCAAACCATGTTGGTGTGCAGGGGGGACTGCAGCTTGCCGCCACGGCTGGTCCAAAGATCGGCGACTCGCTTGGCTTTGGAGTGAGCAGGCAGAAGCTTGCCAGTGCTCCCGTTCGGGTCGGATCCAAAAGTCTCCTCGAGCGCTACCCGAGCAGCGGCAGCGATCACACCAGTTTGGCGAGCCCCTCCGCCAATAGACTTGCGGAACCAACGGGCTTTTTTGATGAATTCATGGGAGCCAACAATCATACTTCCGATAGGAGCACCCAGACCCTTGGAGAAGCAGAGGCTAACACTATCAAAGAGGCTGGTAAAGTCATCCAAGCTGCCGGCGCCGGCCACAACTGCCTCCCACAATCTGGCACCATCCAGGTGCACCTTGATATCGTTAGCATGGGCCCATTCTGTAATACGCCGAGCTTCACTCAAAGGCATGATCATGCCGTCAAGGGTATTCTCCAGACTGATCAATTTGGTCGGACAGTGGTGAATGTTATCGTCGAGGATCGCGTGTTTCTTGATGTCCTCCAAGGTCAGGTGAATTCCATTTTTGGGGATGACAGTCTGTACTGTAGCTCCAGTCCAGGAGCTGACACCCCCGGCCTCATAGCAGATAATGTGAGATCGATGATCACACAGGACGGCATACGGAGGCTGAGCGAGGTGCGAGCGAACAGACACCTGGTTTCCCATTGTCCCGGACAGAACCAACAACGCCGCCTCATGCTTGGTCCGCTCGGCCACATAGCTGTGCAGCGAGTTTGTCACGGGGTCTTCATTAAAGACGTCGTCGAGTAAGGTAGTCTGGCAGATGGCATCCAGCATGGACGGTGTAGGCTTGGTCATTGTATCGCCTACAGACAACAGTCGTCAGTGTTAGATCGAGCATAGAGATGAGGAGCTATAAAAGCATACTGCGCATATCAAACTCGGCCGCCCCGGCGCCATGCCAGCTGCTGGGCTTGCTGTTGGCGCTATGAGGGCTGGTCTCGGTATGGACCTTTGCGTTCGTGGAGAGGTGTGCCATGCTAAGTTTATCGTTCAAATTGACTCTCTTGAATGAATGGAAGAGCCGAACTGCTGAGGATAGACGGCAGATACTATACAAAGAGCGACTCATGGGGAAGCAGTCAACCGCAACTTCTGAACGGAAATTGGAGAAAGAGGGGACATCCACACGTGATCGGCGGGGGCGGGACCTCGGTTTCTAAGAGATTGCTTGTCCCACTGCAGACCTTCGTAGTAGCACAAACCGTAAATCATTTGTTTTGAGACCAATCGAGCAATTACACCCAGACAATGCTTCAAAGACACCTCCAATTGCGGCTCAATGATGACGCCAACGCGCAGCTTATCGATAACCCAATCTGGACTAGCGTCATTGAGGGCCTGGACCGCTGAGTCATCCATTTAATTGTGGGTTCTTCGATCCTTCACTTCTTCACTTCTCTTCCCCTTCTTCAACCCGACTGCGCTCTCGCTTCGCAAGGATGGAGCTATCCCATCTCACGCGCCCTGCGATATTGGGTCAGTGTGTTCGCTGCTCCAGCTCGCTGGCTGCGCTGGAGAACGAATGGGCCCGCCTGTCCAATTCCTATTCCGTTGCGACGGGTTGGCTGAGTGTGGAGCTCCACCGCATCTCTGTTTCCTCGGAGCGCAAGCAGATCCCACAAACTTCGGACATGAGTCCTCTGCGAGGGCGCATTGTTCAAGAGCTGGTCTGCAAATTGTGTCATCAAAAATTGGGGGTCCTTTGTCCGCTGGACAATGGGTAAGTGATCGCAACAGTCGTCCCTCGTCGTACCCTGCTGACTTCTTTGGAGGTCAAATATTTTGTGGAAGATGTCAAAGGTGGCTTTTAGAGAGATTGTCACTATGAGAACAGTGGAACCCCTCTTTAAGGAGGGAGCGCTCGACCGATTGCTTTGCCCGCCCCCCAAAGAACCTTCGCGGCGAGATCGCACATCCTTCACAAATGGCGCATTGGTACCCAGTGACCCAACCGACCTCGTCAGTCTCGATCCATACATGCAGCAACAGATGCTTCACCAAGGGAGAAATATCGATCAGATCTCGAGCTCGGTGAACCACCTACAGGATACTATGACGGACCTTAAGCAATCATTTACGGCCCTTCGGATTGAACTGAATAGCCCCAGCCGAGCCTTTGAAAACGGTCCAATCGCAGGGCATAATTTCGACATGATCGCCACGGTGTTGAAGGAGCTCAAGTCAAAGTCAGAAGAGATCGAAAAGTTAAAGTTGGAGATTGAAGCCCTGAAGCTGAAGAACCGTATCATGGGCGACAACAAACCGCAGAAACCGGGCTCTTTTCTGGCTTCAGATGATTTCCTACCCGAAGTCCGGAGTCCAGGCTTGCTGCAAGCAGGCCGGAAACGCGCTTGGCCCGATGCGTTCTTTAATGAATATACGGAGCCAATTCCAGACTCGATTGATGACACGGAGGACATGCTGGATGATCTGGCGCTTGCAGACACGCCAAACCAACCGCTAGGCTTACCTACTCAGGACTCGCAAAAGGCACAGGATCAACCAGATTACGACTTTCCGCAGCTTCAAATCGAGCCTAGCAGGCGATCGGGAGCAAAGTCGGCCCCCAAGGAATCTCCGCTTAAGGCTAATTCACATCAGAGCATGACCAAGCGTCCCCGTCTGACACACCCCAACGACGGGCCATCTCAAACGGAGTCTACGGGTGAGAAGAGGCGAGCTGGACGGCCCAGAAAATCCTCCACTCGATCCACCAAGCCCACCAACGCGCAAACTCCAGAAACAGCCCCATCTGCCACGCAACAGGAAATCCCTGAATCTCACACGGAAGAGCGGGTTCCGATCTCAGACCCAGTCCCCAGCGCACAATCAAACCGGCGGCGACGTCCGTCTCGTCGCAGTACACGTTCACAGTCTCGGGGACCATCTCGTGCCGATGGTCCAACTGAAACTGGGGGAATGGAGCAGACAGCACAAGACCCTATGCAGATGACTGCGGATGGCGAGCACGATTCCCACAACACCGAGCACAACGAATCTGGTTCCCGAAATGAGGGATCTGTCAATGGTGCCAATAGCAACTCGCACGCGGAAATGAACGAGAAGCGCAAAGCCAAGGTCGCGGCGCGGGACACCATGACTCGATTGGCTATGCAACGCGAAGAAGCGATGGAGACCGAGCAGGCGCGGTGAATTGAATCCTCCAGGCAAAATATATTGCAAATTATCTAGATATTTTGTTCCTGAGGATGTGTACAATACAATATGGAGTTCTTTTTGCGGGCGATTCTTCGAGGATGTTGGGGTCGCACCACATCAATTCTGCATTGATAGATTTGAAATTCAACCAGGAGAGTGACATTAATTTTGTAGCAGCATTACGCGCTGGCCCCCGTTCGAGATGTCGCTATTTCAACCCTGCTTTTTCAGTCAACCCCTCCCCGGGCTTCTCCCTACATCTTGCCCCTCTACTCACTTCCCACGACTTATTGCATTCAAAATGACTACAGGTCGGGATGTTAACCAAGTTCCCTTGACAACCCTGTCCCTAGAACACTTTACCGCTGTCAAGCGTGCCATCTTCAACATCATGGCCACGAGCTCGGCCGTCGAAACGTTCTCCCAAGTCGTCAACGGTCTCCCAGTCCCAAGGTCTTGGAACAAGTGGTGGCTTGAAGATAATCCAAACCCCAGCCCTAGTCAAGAAGCAAGCACGGAATATGCTCAAAACGTTTCGGGACCAGTTTGACATCCAAGCAGTGTTTATTGATACTAAGGTGACATTGTTGATTCTCTCAAATATGAGTAGACTAACCTTGAGTATAGGTTGCCCAGCGATTCCAAGACGAAGCTCCCGGTTCTAGGCGGTTCTTTCTACGGCTAATTGAAATGGTCGCTATTCTATGCCACAACATAGCGCTGACGCTCTATGATATGATTCAAAGTGGTTTACGCAAGCCAGTGACTGGGAAATGCCCAAGGCTATTGAAAATTGCCGGATCAAAGTACCCGCCATATTTAACATTGCTCTCTCATTGCAGTTACTTTGACTATCAATATTACCCACACGGCTGGACAGATACCGTTAGATATTGGGCTAAGGACCGTCTCCTTGGAGGGGTGGTACTCTTTGATAGAGGTGACTCGGGGACGCAGGTAATTTCTGTCAATAATCTATTCGTGACAACATGTACTAAGAGTGAAAACAGTGCGAGAGCGTTTGCCTCAACCCTATTACAGGATCGAGAATCTTTGAATTGACTGAGCCGCAACTCCAGAGACTCATTGGGCTTCTGTCCGAAGAAAATTGCGAGACATTGCAGATGTCCATTCCCTTTCAGTCAGAGACGCAAGCACGCTCGGTCCATCCCAATCAATTCGTCTCTGCAAACATATGTCGCGATGAGCATGATCACGGGCTCGCGAGTATATGCCCCCGCACTGTTGCCATATCATCTCCAAAGAAGATCATGAGTGGCTTAAGAAAGAATATCAGAGGCTCTCTACTTTGAGTGACCATGGCCAATGAGCAGGATCTAGAATCACGGGCAGTTTTCTAGCTACGAAGAAGACATCTAATGAGACGGCGCTTTGAAAAGAAGATTGGAAGCTATATAGAGGTTGGAAAGGGACAAATAAATCTTGAGTTTAACAAGACTTGTAGCGTACTTCCAGTGCCCTCTTTCTTGCTCATATCAAGCCTAAAGTGCGGGAATTGAACCAGAAAGCCAAAGAAACGTTCAAAATACAAGAGAACATAGAAAACCTGGAATATTAAATATAAGGAAAAACTGTAAGCCTAAGCAATCGCTAGCAAAAATTGACAATGGCATCCATGGATGGTAGTGGCCATAATCGGCGGACAGTCGCCCGATGGATTCACGATCAACACCAACACCACACACACCTAGAACCCTTCGAACCCGCTCTGTGGCGATCGTACGCTATCATTAGCGACTATAGGCTACGCCTGCACCACGGAATTCTCTATGATCTGAACTCCCCACTGCTCATGTGTCATCCTCGCTTCACTCTGTTCCGACTTGTGAACGACGTGCAAATGTTCATTGTCGAGGTAAAATCCATGAAGTCTTATGCATATTCACTGACTTCCATATGCAAAGTATATGAGCCCGAGAAAAATCAAACACCATCGGTCCTCGAGACACTGCAATGACCTCAATATTGCGATAACCATAGCACCACCCTGATATCGATATGGACTCCGTGGAAGACGACTCATTGTCAACGAAGAAACAAGCCACTGCTAGAACATGAATCGCAGGGATTATTATTGCTACTTTTGCCTCTTGCTCCATAGAAGGGAACGATCTATATCAATACGCTTAGGAGGTCCCTATGAAACTATCACGACAGACGCAAGCAAGGTCTGGAAGTAGTGCAGTCTGTAGTTGACCATCTCAGCAATTTGAGGACCCTGTAATCACTTTGCTGGAATGACATCGGGCCTCGTCTGAAGATATGGTACTTCGAGGGTAGAAGCTTGCTTAGGATGTGAAGTTTGAATGGATAGCATATACTTCAGAGATACTTCTAGATGATCACTGTAAATTTGGATATACTGGCGGAATTGGCCCCTTGAACCAATTTTGATTTATGTGAACTAATCAGTCGTGCATGTGTTCTCTCCTAGAAAGTAGATCTGCTAATATAATTGACGATATATTGGAAATCTGAGAAACAGCAGAAGATGGCGGTACCGAGATCCAACGGTGGCGAAGCGGGGACTTCGGATCGTCAACGTCTCGGGGGATCTCTTCGACTCTGAACCCCCCCCCCAAGCAGTTTCATACGACAGGAGCGCCTTTAATTTCCAGAATGGCAAAGGCTTCAAGCTCGGCATCGGCACCTGAGTTTCGAGCGGTAGGTGATGTGTGCGCTTGCAACCGTCCAGCTAGCTGACAAGTGACAGTGTGTGGAGTGCCGGGTAAGAAGACAACAGACTCTTGCACAAGCATTAGCTGACGCAATTTCAACAATTTAGAAACGAAAGAGCAAGGTAAGCTATCCAACGCAGGTTTGCTTGTATATTCCATTCTCACACAATCAAGTGCTCTGGGGCCCCGCCATGCTCGTACTGCGCTCGGAATCGAAAGTCCTGTATCTTTGGCCGCGCACCTTCTCGGACACCACTTACGCGAAGGTCAGTCTACTTCTTAGCTCGAGTTCTCGTTTTTAACTTACTCTTCTAGGAACCTCGATGAGGCACAACGCCGCTGCGTAGGTTTGATTTCGCTGCTCCAAAAGTTGAACCCCGACTTGGACATCGATGAAGCATTGGACACAGTTACAAGAAATCCTGAAATGGTCTCTGGGTATCCACATGCTATGCCTCATGGCGGCGAGTCTGACCAAGAAAGTCACCTTTCATCGGACCGATTTGAGTGGAATGAGGCTTCATTGGCCTCCCCATCGCGGATACCAAAAGAGGCTCCCGATGGAATGGCATCCTTGCCAACAACAAGAACAGAGTCAGGCTATCTTGGTAGGTACTGGCATCCAAGATGGAAAATATGAATCTAACAGAATCTCTAGGAAACAGTTCAGGGTCTAGCATTCTGAGAACTATCTCGGACTTGCTCCAAGACCATTCCAATCTGCAAAGTACTCAGCAGGAACATATCTCTCCTGCAAACGTTAGCCAAACGGGAAGTCCTTCTCTATCAGCCCACCTAGCCAATACTGCCGTCCTGGATCAGCTCGTCGATGCTTACTTTATGTGTTATAACACCTCATTCCCGATTCTGCATGAGAGCACATTTCGAGAAAAGTATCAAAATCGTCAGCAGATTCATACCCGCTCTAGCTGGCATCCAATATTTTATATTGTTTTGGCCATTGGAGACTGGGTGCTTACTGATGGATCAGAGGCTGAGCAATCAAGATACTATACAGCCGCAAGATCACGCATGTCGATGCGCATGCTGGAATCGGGAACCCTTCTCACTGTCCAGGCTTTTCTTCTAATGGTTGGCATAACGCTCTGCAAATTAATTGAGATTGGTTTATCCTCACAGCTAACATGCATATAGGGCAACTACCTCCAGAAGCGAGATCGGCCGAACACGGGTTACAATTTTATTGGAATTGCATACCGCATGGCCCTAGGGCTTGGGCTTCATCGCGAACCAGCATCAGGAACGACAGCAGATACCCTGTTCAATGAACGTCAAAGAGTCGTCTGGTGGATTGTCTATTGCTTCGACAGCGGGTTCAGCTTGACAACCGGCAGACCGATCATGGCATCTGACTCATTCATTGAAACTCGTCTTCCCCGGAATATCGACGACTCGGTACTTTGATAACAACTCCTCTGTTCAGAAATACCAAACTGACTTTCGTGCTCCTAGGCTTGTACAATGGACTCCTTGCTTCCTCCACCGACAGAGCGACCAACCATCTACTCTGCTATAATCGCTCAGGCACGACTGGCATCTATCGGAAACGTAGTCTACAACGGCCTGATTTCCGTTCCCAATAAAAGGACATTTAATCTGAAGACTTCGCGATCGATTGAATACCAGTTCAAGGCTTGGAAGCTATCACTTCCGGCCTATTTCACAGGCCAGGATGTGCCGAAATGGTTCCGGGGTCCCCGTGCAATAGTCGGCTGGAAAGAACAAAACCTGCGCATGATGCTCTGGTGGGCGAGTCAACGCCTCTGCACCTCATCGTCTGATCGCGATGAAGCACAGAACATATGCCATTTTGCTGCAGTGGAGACTATCCAAGACATCACGACTTTCTGTCTAGATTTCCCCGACACACTCCACACAGGTCTCAGTTGGTATGCCACATACTTCTTATTCCAGGCCGCTGTTGTCCTCAATACCCGCCATCTTCGGCCTCTACAGCCAGGGGACACCGGGTTAGCCCCGGTGGATCAGGAGCTATGGATATTTTCAATTTCGAGGGCCCACGACTGCTTGGCCAATCTGGGCCGAACGAACAAGGCTGCAACACGATGTCTAGCAGTGCTGGACAGAATAAAAGACCAATCCCAGCCACCCCAGGCCATTCCATCAAGCCCGGCAACGGGTTCCCCTGCCAATCCTCCAGAGTCCATGCCGCTGGACGCCGTGTCTGAAGAAGCAGATATTCACTCGGCACCATTTGCTGTTGATCCCTCGCTGCAAATCTTCTTTGAAAATACCTCATGGGACAAAGATATTTTTGAGGGCCTCCACGGATTTCCCAGTACAGATGAAGTGGAGTCATTCGACTACGTACCGTCGAATACCGTGGCCGCCAACACCGGCCAGGGATGGCTGATGCCTACGGACCCAAGCTTAGAACCGAGTTGAGACTTTGGTGCTTGGTTTCTGGAGTATTCTGCTATACGTTGAATATATGAGTAGTCCCATTTCAATTAAGCACGGTAGCCAAATTGGTGCAGCTCCCTGTAATGGGAACATCGTCGACCGACACTCTCCAGAGTACATATCGGTTGGCAGCGCTCCGATGGTCCTCTGGCACGTGACTGATTAGCCCCGAGGTTCATCTAAATGTCAAATGCAATCCGAGAAGATGGTATATACCGCGACGCATATCTGTAGTTAAGCGACTATGATCCAGCCGTTAGCGATTGGCGAAGGTGGTTGCAAAAGCTGAACCAGTCGCGCCTTCTCCCATACTTGGATACCACGGATCTCTCCCATAGAAAGCACGAAGATAGCTGTGGCCCCTTCAAATACAAACAGAGATAAATAGCAGATAAATTTATGGATGAATTCAAACCAGGGATGGATGCAATGGAGCATGGATCTAATGTACATCAAAGATGCGGAATTATCTAACACACATGAAACCACAGCCCTCGCGAGCCCGCTCGCAAGCTTTCTTCAAAGCCTGTTCCTCGACATCGGTCCATTTCACACTCAATTCATCCCAGGGCTTGCGAGCATTGAACTCCTCGCGATACTGCCTGTGCATGGCTTGTAAACGGCTCACCTCGCGGGGGTCGCCGGTGCCAGAGTAAACCATGAACAGGGTGCAGGGCGGCAATGATTCATAGACACGAGAGATATTGGCGATGGTCTGAGTGACAGTCTCCCTAAGGGAAGCATCTGTATCCGGTGCCGTGGATTCCCCACTGGCACCGGTGGTCGTCGTGGGAGTGGTTTCTTCTGGAGGCGGGACCAGGGTGGTAGATTGATTGGCATTGTTAGGATCAGGAAGGCGGTTGCACCACCCACGAAGGAGTTCAAGCTCGCGGAAACGAGCCCAGACAAAGTCCACGCCGCCGCCCGGGATAGACGGATTAGATTCATCACCGTTGATGGTGGCAGAGATACCGTCGACCACGGCCCCGTCGTCCTTGCACCCAATCGAGACGGTCGCCTGCGACCCGAATCCGCGTTCGGGGTTGCCCCAGTCAACAACGGCGCCGGTGCGCCCTTCACCAGGAATAGATCCTTTGTTGGACCGGATCGAACGCGATAGTCGGCGGAAAATACTTTCGTTCGAGGCGTCGCTGGTGCCCCAATTCTCGCCTTTCTCGCATTTTTGCTTCACAAGTTCAAGCACGGCACGCGAATCTTCGATCGAGTCGTGACCAGTCATGCCTTTTTGAATCTCCTTGCCTATGTATTTTTGCGTAAGCCATTTCAGGCTGCATTTGAGCGGTGGACCGCGGGGATGCGGGTAGATGATGGCTGTATCGACAATGAACGGATGAGTGATCTTGAGTGCAGTGAGATCGGAGTTGAGGGAGTGTCCGACCAGAATGGCCCGTGGTGTTAGGATAGACAGTAGGCGTTTCTGGATGTCCGCAAGTGTGGTCGTTACTGGATCCAGCATCTCCTTCGTGATGCCCGAGAAGCGAGTAAGGTAGTCGATCACATGTCGTGGCGGTTTGACCAGTTCGTCCAGAACCACTTCGCCATCCCAGCGAATCATGCTAACGCGAGTGAGCTCTGACTGGCCACCTTCCGTGATGCACATCTCACAATCAACAGCCAGCACATCACGCCCAGCTGTCATGCTACCCTTTTCAATTTCAGCATCGGGTACATCTCCAGCCTCCAGGCTGGGAACGTGCGTATCGACCCAACCGTCATCTGAAGAGGTCCCAGTACGTCGACGGATGTCAAGCTCGGCGGCCTTCTGGGATTCCGATGTGAAAAAAGCAGGGTGCATGGTATATTCGTTTTCGCGGAGTTCCTCTAGCGAACCAACAAAAGTTGTAATAGGAGTCCGCTTAAAGACAAGACTCTTGTCGACCCGCGGAGGCCGAGCGCCCTTGCGCCGACTTTCCCCATTGGACTTTGGCAATGACGAAAGCAGGATCGCCTGCAGTGGCGAATGAACCTTGTTATATTTGGAATCGCCCGGGGCCCTCACTGGCCATATATGAGGGAACATATCGGCCAGTCGCTGCAGGGGCCCGGGTAGTGTATCGCGCACTAGAGGCTGCGGATTGAAACGGTGCGAACGGTCTTCAAGGGGCAAGCCCTGTTTCCATCGCTGAAAATCGGCGGCCCTGCTATCTTCCTGCGAGGCGCTTGGGTCTTCTGGCTTGTCGGTACCGGCCGCAAGCGCGGTGTTTTCCTTCTCGCCCGTCGCATGCGGTTCAAGGGGGATAGTCCCATCGAACATACCCATCTCGAGTCCAGGCACCATGAGGACAGCGACCTTGCGTACATGACCAGAGTGCTTGACCGAGATCCACTGGGGCGCAATCCCATCGGCAAAGCAATACAGCAGCAGACCTTGCAGGTCGGCAATGCGGATTGACGATTGCATCTTGCCATGGACGTAGTTCAAAACGGGGTATTTGGTCTTCTCGCCGTCGACCCTCTTCTTCTTCTTCGGCTGAGTTTCCTTCGTCATAGAGCTCTGCGCGGTATCGGGAATTGTCGTAGAATCGTCGGTGGAAGCATCGGCACCCTGGAGCCGTGACAAGGTCTCGGCCACCCCAAACCCAGAGGTAGCCGAATCTTCGGCTACCGGATCGTCGTCGGTATGCTTTCTCTTCTTACTCCAGGTCATGCTTGGTGAACAACGGAAGAAAAGACAAGAGGCAAGACGCGGTCGAAAATCTTCGATATGGTCACGTGGCGATAGCGTAAGTTACTGTTACGGTCGCGTATCGATACGATCTGATAATGGCAGCTGCGATCGTCGTTGCATCGCACCTGCCGATTCGGAAAATTCGCCTTCGTCACGCCATTCTCCCTCGCCCTGTTGGTGCTCGCCATCTCGTCGGCTCTGAAGACTTTTTGTTGTGTGAGACTCAAGGTCATCGGTGTTACAGTGCTGGTTACCTCGTTAGCTCGCTTTTAAGAGCCATCCCATCCCCCTCACAACTCGACATCCCCCACCATGTCGGCCCTCACCGAGATCACCACCGAGGCCGACTTTTCGTCGCACCTCTCGTCACTGGCACCGTCGGCGCTAGTAATCCTATACTTTCACACGCCCTGGGCTGCTCCATGCACGCAAATGCGCGCTGTTCTTTCCGCCCTGGCTTCGCAGTACCCCGCCGCCTCCCCGCCGACCATCTCGTTTCTCAGCATCAACGCCGAGGAGCTGCCCGACATCTCGGAGGAATATGACGTCTCGGCCGTGCCCTTCGTTATCTGTCTGCGCAGTGGCCAGATCCTTGAGTCCATCAGCGGCAGCGACGCCATCAAAGTGCGTGACGCCGTCGAGCGCCACGCCGGCCGCGGCAATGTCGCCGGCGCTACTGCCCCCGTCGATGGTGTGAGCAGGGCCAACATCCCCCCGCCACTCTCTGCTGTGCCTCGCGAGGACGGCCCGACTACGGCTACTCAGGCACCGGTTTCCGGCCAGGACGCCTCGGCCGGCCCAGCTGCGAATGCTACAGCTGTTGCGCCCGCCCCAACTCTGAACCCGGAGCAGTCCAAGGAGGCACTTTTTGCTCGTCTGGCGGAACTTGTTAAGGCTGCTCCGGTCATGCTGTTCATGAAGGGAACCCCCAGCGGCCCGCAGTGCGGTTTCAGTCGGCAGTTGGTCGGTATTCTGCGTGAGCGCAGTGTCAAGTATGGGTTCTTCAACATCCTAGCCGACGAGGACGTGCGGCAGGGTCTGAAAGAGTTCGCCGACTGGCCGACTTTCCCACAGCTGTGGGTGAACGGGGAGCTGGTTGGTGGATTGGATATTGTATGCCCACCTGCTTCTTACCCTCCTTTAGATCTGGTGCTAATTCTATTGGACAGGTCCGTGAGGAAATCAATGCTGACCCCAACTTCTTGGGCGATTTCTCTGTCAACAAGCCGGCGGCGGCTGCGTAGGTGGTCGCGCACGATACCCATGGCACCCTCCCCGGGGTTAGATGTTCCAAAAGTGCAGCATAATGATAAACGTTTCTCCTTTACATATCGAGACTTTGTGAAAGTTCACAATGAATTACACACTACTTCTAGAACCTAAATTTTCAAAACCAAAATGCCATGTTGATGTAGCCAATAGTGGATATCGAAGTCTACCACTGTTCTAGTATCAACAGGTTTATCACTAGTCATGCGAATCATCTCACTAAATATATGGGCCTAGAAATCACATCCATGGATATATACAGAAATGGATGACATGTGAACACTTCACCAGGGGTGAATCAACGCACAATTCATAGTGGCTGGGCGTCAACAGACTCCACCTCGACGGTCTTCTCGGCTTGCGCCGCGTTAGCCTTTTGAGAGCGGTGTGAATGTATATCAGCCATGGGATCGGCCGCGCGCCAGGTGATCGGGTGCTTTTTCTGACAAACAGCGAAGCGCGACAATAGGGCGTCTTCATCGACATACGCGCCGGCCAGCCATCGAGATCCGCCAGTCATGTTGAACTGGCGACGGGCATGCACGACGCGACGGTTCGCGAAGATGGCGCACTCACCCGGGTTGAGTTTCAGCTCAAAGACCGATAGGTCAGACTCTAGCAGACGAGTGAAGTTGGTGAGCGCGCGCTTGAGAGCGACAAAGCCCGAGTGGGTGTGTTCGCCGTTGCTATAGGGCGGGAGCGGGGACTGGAAAGGCGGCGAGTAGTTGACGCGGCGCATACTGTTGATTTTGCGGTCGTAGTCAAACACGGGCCAGTGGTTGTAGTATATCTGATCGTCGTGGATATACTCGTAACCCAGTTGGTGCCGGGTTAGGGTCTGGAAGTCCCGGGGATGTTCATAAGACATAATATCGGCGGCCCGGAAAGCATCAGCGAACAGCGACTCCCCGCCCTCGCATGAGTTCTCCAGACAATGCAGCAATTGGTATCCCGGTGGCTCGTTCATGTACATCAGGTCCATGTGGAATCCAAGGAATTGATTGGTGTATGCGACGTTTTTGGCCTCCGGCACCGTACGGACATCCCACGTTGGCCCGTAGAATGAGTTCCGCAACGGGCCCATTCGCGTGGCCAGTTTCTCAACCATCTCCCGGGACTCCGGAATATTCTTGACAAAGATCAACCCCATACGTGACAGATTCCGCATGGCTGCCGCGAATTTGACATCGTTCTCCATGTAATCTTGATATGAGATCCAATGTTGGCGTCGTTGCATCCAAACAGAACCCCACCTCAATGGGTATGTGCTTTTAGTTTTGATGGCATGTGTATTGATGAATGGTCTTTTCAAATATTGATAGTCCCAGGACGATGTGTGCGAGTCGGGGTATTCGGGGATATCCTGGGACCATTGCACCTCTAGCCGCTCCCCATCCCATTTCACATGGCGCGGGGCGATATCTTTGGGGATATCGCTCGTGCGGAATGAGCGCTGCTTCGAATGCGGATCCACACACTTAGGACATCGGCACAGATCGCGCAGATAGTGGTATGGAAAAGACCTGCGGCCTGTGGTCTCGGATGAAAGGGTCATTGCATCCCGGTATAGCTCCACGCCTGCTTCTCCCTGGACGTCCAGAGTGCACTCCGCACCATTATCTGAGGAATTCGTGAAAGACACCTTTTGCGGAAGCTCAGGATTGATCGACAATTCGGGTTTGCTGGCTATGTCAGCTGCCTTGGCCGCATCCACCAGGTTAGCCATTGCGTTCCCGACATGCCGAGTGGCGACGAAGCTGCGAGAGGGGGCTGAAAAGCCCCGCGCCAGCCGAAAGAAATATGAGGGGCGTGGACGATGCATGGCTGGAGACAGAGAGGGAGGTGGAATGTAGAAAACGTGCGGAGCGCAGCAGAGCAGAGCTTCCCCCCCCCGGGGGACTGCAGAAACCTCGGCTATAACCGCCTTACGTAAAAGGAAGATTTTCCGGATTCTTTTCATTCCATTCCAACCTCAACAACGTCAACAATGGGGCTCACTACTATTTCCTAAACCTCAGCTCCAGTCATGGCCGGGGGTGAGCATCTCAAAGATGAAGGAACCAGGCGACAGGTCGTGCTGGCAGGCGGGACAGCCGGGCTGATCTCGCGGTTCTGCATTGCGCCGCTAGACGTCGTCAAGATCCGCCTGCAGCTGCAGATCCACTCGCTATCGGACCCGGACTCGCATCGCTCGGTCAGGGGACCTATCTACAAGGGGACGCTGTCGACGATGCGGGCGATCGTGCGGCAGGAGGGCATCACGGTACGTCCACAACCGCAACCACCCAAGCAATAACTGCCACGGGATGTACAGGCGCTGACCCTGTCTTCTTGATCTCGGTGCAGGGCCTCTGGAAAGGCAATATTCCCGCTGAAATGATGTATGTGTGCTACGGCGCCGTTCAATTCACTGCCTACCGCTCCACCACCCAAGCCCTCGCCCTCCTCCATCCCTACCGTCTTCCTCCATCCGCCGAGTCGTTCGTGTCCGGTGCCGTGGCCGGTGGCCTTGCCACAGCTGCAACGTACCCACTGGACTTGTTACGTACGCGCTTCGCCGCCCAGGGCCCGGACCGCATCTACCACTCGCTGCGAGCGTCGGTGGCGGATATTGCGCGCTACGAAGGCATGCCGGGGTTCTTCCGGGGCTGCTCAGCGGCCGTCGCACAGATCGTGCCGTACATGGGGCTCTTCTTCACAACCTACGAAGCACTCCGGCCAGCAATGGCATCTTGGGACTCGCTGCCATTCGGCACAGGCGATGCCGCGGCCGGCGTTGTCGCTAGTGTGCTGGCTAAGACCGGGGTGTTCCCGCTTGATCTCGTGCGCAAGCGCTTGCAGGTGCAGGGTCCCACTCGCACCCGTTATGTGCATCGCAACATCCCCGAGTATCACGGTGTTGTACGCTCGATAACCATGATCCTGCGAACACATGGTGTGCGCGGACTGTACCGCGGGTTGACGGTCAGCTTGCTCAAGGCGGCGCCGGCGAGCGCAGTGACCATGTGGACGTACGAGCGGGCCCTGAAGATCATTCAAGACTGGGAGGTGGCTGGCCCAGATTAAACCAGAAACCCCCCTTGTCCCCCTTGCGCGGGACCTGCATTATCGGAAGTAATAGACTTGCATGGGCATCGGATGGCGTTATCGGACAGGGTTACGGGGTTTAGCTAGAGTTAGTTACTTGGGAAAGAGAAAATGCTCGATAGAAATGATCATTGGTTTTGAATATCACATCAAACCAGTGCCGACTATTCATCAGACACCCAGGGGTAAAAAGGAACGCTGGGAGAGCACGAACGGAAAGGGGGGGGGGGGGGGGGGGGGGGGGGTTATCGCAAAAGGCTGAAGGGGCATATATTCAAGACAGAACGAAGAATCATGTTCGGGAGGCAGACAGGGCAATCAGTACTCGAGTTCGCCCTCATCTTCCTCCTCGACGCTGTCGCCAGCGACCTCCTCGTAGTCCTTCTCCAGGGCAGCAAGGTCCTCACGGGCCTCGGAGAACTCACCCTCCTCCATACCCTCACCCACGTACCAGTGGACGAAGGCGCGCTTGGAGTACATGAGGTCGAACTTGTGGTCGAGGCGGTTCCAGGCGTCAGCAATAGCGGTGGTGTTGGAGAGCATGCTGACCGAGCGGTCGACGGGGGCGAGCTCGCTGTCGGGCACGCGCATGGGCTTCTGGTAGTTGATGCCCAACTTGAATCCAGTCGGGCACCACTCGACCAGGTTGAAGGACGCCTTGGCCTTGACCGAGGCCACGGCCTGGTTGCATTCGCGGGGCACAACGTCACCGCGGTACAGCAGGGCCACGGCCATGTACTTGCCATTGCGGGGGTCGCAAACGACCATCTGGTTGTTGGGCTCGAAGCCTAGAAAAGTGTCAGTTTAAGCAAAAGTCGAAGCACTGGGGCCAACATCACGTACACTGGAAGGTGAGATCCTGCACCTTGAAGCTCTCGTGAGAGCTACGGTTGGCCGAGACCACAGGGGCATACGAGATCAGAGGGTAGTGGATACGCGGGTACGGCACCAGGTTAGTCTGGAACTCGTTCAGGTCGACATTGAGAGCACCGTCGAAGCGCAGACTGGAGGTGATAGAGCTGACCACCTGGGCAATAAGGCGGTTGAGGTGGTCATAGCCAGGACGGGGGATGTCCAGGTTGCGGCGGCAGATGTCGTAAACGGCCTCGTTGTCAACCAGGAAAGTGCAGTCGGAGTTCTCAATGGTGCTGTGGGTGGACAGGACGGCGTTGTACGGCTCCACCACGGCAGTCGACACGCGGGGCGACGGGTAGACCGAAAACTCGAGCTTGCACTTCTTGCCATACTCGGCAGAAAGACGCTCCAGCAGAAGAGCACCGAAACCAGAGCCAGTACCACCGCCGAAAGAGTGGAAAATCAGGAAGCCCTGCAGTGAAGTGCAGTTGTCTATCCAGAAAATTAGCATGCAAGCACAAGATCGAGGCGCAATATAGCTCTCTCCATACCGGCAACACGGCGAATACGGTCAATGACCTCGTCAACAAGCTCCTTGCCGATGGTGTAGTGGCCACGAGCATCTGGGACATATTAGTTAATTTCCCCGACAATCCAATGGAATTTCAACGAGGCCATACAGTTGTTAGCGGCATCCTCCTTGCCACTGATCAACTGCTCAGGGTGGAACAGCTGGCGGTAGTTACCAGTGCGGATCTCGTCAATGGGCTAACATCGGAGTGTTAGCCAACTAGTTCAACAGCAAGCTCCTCGTAGATATTCGGTTCGGGTGGGCCACGTACCGAGGGGTCGAGATCAACGAAGATGGAGCGGGGAACGTATTTGCCAGAGCTGGTCTCCGTAAAGAAGGTGTCGTACGAGCCACCCTGGCTGGTCTCGTCGGTGCTCTCGGGGTCAAAGCGACCATCGGGCTTCAGCCCGTGCTCGAGCAAGTACCTGTCACGCAGTTTAGTTAGACCATGTGGGACGCATCAAGAAGCGGTGAGGACGTACAGCTCCCACGCAGCGTTACCCAGCTGGGTACCGGCCTGGCCGATGTGAAGATGGCAGATCTGGAGAATTGGTGCATCAGCATCCTGTATCCCGTGTCCTGTGTCTCTGTATCCCATGTCCCAAGGGCTAGCTTCTGGGGGTGCAATTGAGTTGAGCGGCAGAACCGGAGACTTGCGCCCGCTGGTTCAGGGGAGAGGAACGGGTAGAGGGGGCAAAGTAAACATTGAGCAACAATAGCAGACATACCTCGCCGCGCATGTTGGAATAGGTGTGGAATCAGGAAAATATGGAGAGAAAAGTAGGAGGAATTCGGGGGAGAGAAAGAGGCAAGTTTATGTTGAGAAACCCACAACGAAGAAACTGTGGGGCTCATCACCGCCAGCTGCCCCTGACTCTGGAGGTACCGGGTACCTGGGCAGACCGCTACATGAGGTGCTTGTCAAGGTACTGCTACTTGGCAAACCTAGCACGTTTTTGAGACAATCGAATGGCATCACATTCCGTGGAATGCGGGGCAGATCATTCTCGTTTTTTTTTTTTTTTTTTTTTCCTTGGTAATTGAGGTTTCTCTATAGTTGAGATGTTTTTTCTACACAATCCTCTTAGCTCTACCATGCCTACGTGTAAGTAACGACACTTATAAATACCACAATGTACCTATGGATTGATTGTGACCGCTTGATTGCATGAATGTGTCAGACAGCAGAATCCAGGGCAGAAGTACAAACACAATTTGACTCTATGAGTGATAGCATCTGCTTACCTTGAATGAAATGCCTTGACAATAGAAGCTTAGGGTCGATGCAGCTTTCCACTATCTAGCCTTTCTCGTAGAGAAAATGTTTCCTCTTTGGTAGCTATCATATAGTACCGAAAAACAGCTAATGCCACTCTATGAGCCCAAAATATAGAACAGAACCCAAGTTACTATCTACTACCACAAGATGTAGGGCCATGCAAAAACACACCAAGCTTTGCTTTTTGATCCAATGCAGGAAGTTAAAAAAAAAAAAAAAAAAGATATGAATGTAAGAACATATAAGATCTCACTCCATCTGCTGCATCTGGTAAAACAACCCAAACTCCGACTGTCTCGCCAGCAGATCTTTCGGGCAGCCATATTCAACAAGACGGCTAGTCTTCAAAAGAGCCCCCCGGTCATACCGCTCAATAAAGCGCAACCGATGCACAACAGATATAACAGTCTGGGAGGCAAACTCTTGCTCAGTGACAGCCTGCATGGTGGCTTCAGTTTCCCAGTCGACACTAAGACACAGGACACGGCAGTGAGCATCCATACGAGCCAACGCAAGCAGTTGGTGCTCGCCCACCGGCCAATCTGCGACAGATAGCTCGGTATCGAGCCTGTCAGAGCCGTCGCTGGTGACTTTCTTCCACAGCCCGACTGTCTCAAGAGTGGTAGCACCCATATAAAGAAGCTCTTCGCACCCAGAAACTAGATGTGATCTCTTTGCTGGATTGCCGAAATCCAAGGCGCAGGAGCTGTGTCTTGTGAATTGACCTCCAAGCACAGCACGACGACGGTCCCCACAGTAACCAGACTCCAAAGTACCACCTGGATGAGAAAAGAGGACAGAAGCCACAGAGACCGTAGCCGGGGGAGAGCTAGGATGCTCGACAGAGAAAAGTAAATGATCAGAAAATCCGATGGCCGGATAAACCGCTGGTCCTCAAGCCATGAGAGTAAGACGGATGCCGCAGCAACAACCAGATGCAATATACCAGCTGCCAGAGAAGACTGGGTTCGTAGAGAGCTGACTTGAATGTGGATTGTGAGGTGCAGGATATGAAGTACGAGCAGCATTCCAAGAGAAATCTGGGCCCAGATTGTCAGACATACCAATACACTATGTATGGCCTGATGGAAGAAACTCACCAGCTTCCATGCCGCCAATTTATGCGAAGTTACTTTGACCGGAGATCGAACGAGAACCGGGATACGAGCAGAGATTGCCAACAAAAACACCGCAGCAGGCACCACAGCGAAGACGACATTCTCAAAGAGCAGGGTAAAGTCGAATGGACGACACTGGACGAGGACCTGTGGTCCAAAGCGATTATCGCTACTTGATGGGCAGACCATACTGAGCCTGACGAGGGCAGACGAATGATGGAATGAAGATGTTCACAAAAAGCATTTTGTGAAGACTGCCAGTTTTGACGGAGTCCATTGAGCGAAGCTAACAACGCCACGGCTGAAGTGCTGACGAGACCCCTCAGAGCGTTCGACTCCGAACACCGAAAGGTCCCACCCGTGGACGTCTTATCGGGCGATGACAATGCGACCTTGGTATCAGCGAGTGTTCGTGAGTGCTCTGCCTCGTTGTTCTTGGTGCGTCATGCGAAAGGCGTAAGAGCTCTACACATCTGTGGAGGGATCGAATGCATCTATCAAGACTTCACGTCTAATACCACAGCGAAGACCAGAAACAAGATATATAGTGCAAAGCCTATTTTGTTGGCTGGTTATAAGATGTCAACGAAATTTATTGAATGCATGGACACATGAATGCGAAAATATCACACGAGAAAAGAGACAGGACACAAGATATACATCCAAATCACAGCAGATCTCGCTCAAGTCGAATCGAACGCTTCGTGCGACCAAGCAGTTTTCGGACAAGAAATGAAACAAAAAAGGAAAGTCGATATGGGGATATATGTATGGTAGAAGAGACAGATTACAAGAGGCTCAACATAAACCCAGAGTCAGGCATGTTGCAAATGCGAGTCAACGTATGTAGGAAAAAAGAGATCAGACAGGAACCACCCAGATTATAAGTCGTGGAGATGCAGTGATCAGATGTCGGCGTTGAAACCTCATTGCGGCACTCATTATGCGCGCGCATTAGGATCCAGGTTGGCAGCCGGAGGAGGCGGGGTGGGCTGGTCGAAACGGCCCTGCTCCATCAAATCGTCACGATCGCCGCTGGGGTTGCTGCGGTGGCGGAAGAAGCGGTTTCGGACAGAAGAGGTGCCGCTGCGAGTGCTGTGGGCATCGGTCGACCGGCGACCGTCATCGTTGTTGGTAGGCACGCTGAGGTTGGAGGGGCGGCGGTGGCGCGAAGACGAGCTACGGCTGCGACGCTCCTCCTCCTCGGCAACCTCCTGCATGCGGCGGTCGGCGGCGTCGCGGTTGGCGGTGCGAACCACATCGTCGATGCGTGTGCCGCGTTCCTCAAAGACATCGCCCATGATGTCGTTGGCAGAGAGATTGGACATGCCCAGAGAGAAGTCGACGTGCTTGCGCTGCGACACAGACTGGCCGCGGGCGCGCGCCGCAGCGGTCTTCATGCCCTTGCGGAGGATCGACGGGTGACGTACAGCGGTGCTAGTGCCAGTGTTTTCGGAGAGAGCACTGGAGTCCTCGATGGGGACTTCCTGAACGTCGGCGTCGTCGCGGTTGCTGGGAGTCGGGGCCGTGATGGGCGCGTTGCCATAGTTGACGTGGAAGGGAATATCCACGTTGGCGCCCTGGAGGTTCATGCGCGGGCCCTCGATGCCAATCTCCTGAAGGGCGATCATGAGCATGCAGATGAACTTGTTGCGGCGCTGCAGACGCAGGCCTTCGTTCTGCCAGTTGGACTTGTAGAAGAAGACGACGTTGAGCGTGAGCGAGAAGTTCTCCGTGACCGCGCGCAGCTCAGTGAGGATGTTGCTCTGGAAATCGCGCTTCTCGCTGCGCACAAACTCCAACAGACGCTGGCGCAGGCCGTCGATCATGTCGATAGTGGTGCCGTATTTGATGATGATCGGAATAGCCTCGGCGAGAGCACCCGACCGCCGCTGGTTGAGAATGAAGAGTGTGTTGAGGTAGCTGTTGGGAGCCTGCACGACATGACCCTGCATCTTCTTAAACTCGGTGTAGAGAAGGGTAATCTCCTTGACAAAGTAGTCATCACCGAGACCCGCATCGCCCGAGTTACCGTAGATAGTCACGCGGTCACCGACATCGAACGGGTGCTTGACGAACACGAAAATCACAGACTGAAGGAATTCCTGTGCTGTGGCAGAGAACAGCCAAGACAGTGCCAGGATAGTGGATCCCGCAGACGTGAGCACACCGGCAGCCGAGGTCGAAATCAGGGACAAGAAGACTATCAAGACCACGACAAAGACAAAGAACATGAACACATCGTCCAGTTTCGACACGACCGAGTCCAAGTCCTTCAGCGACGCCGTGATTGACTTGCGCTCGCGGCCAATATCCACACAGACGGCCTCGAGCTCGTCCATGGAGATGTCGCCGTTCATGTCGCGGTCAAACATGGTAAACGCAGCCTCGGCTTCGTCGCCATTTTCGAATGCCTCCTTCAGATCACCCGAAAAGACCGTGTCAAAGCCGTCGCGCACGAACGTACGGTAAAGACGACGAGCAAGAACCTGGCATCCCGGGGTGGTCCGCAACAGGGCCAAAGTCACCATGTAGGGGTCGCTGCTCCGGTTGGCCTTGCGGCCAGTGAAGTCCGCGGCCATCGCGCCAGCCACGTCGCCGACCTTGTTCCCAACTTTGCTCAAGGCACCCTTGGCCACGCGCTGGGCCTTGCCGGCATATTGCAGGGGGGTCTTGGTGCCGGCGCTATTCGACTGATCCGGCTTCTTTTCCTCAAATTCCTCATCCTTGTCGCTGATCCGACTGCGGGACACATCATACAGCTTGGTCAAGCTTCCGATCTGGAACTTGTTGATCTCAATGCGATCGGCATAAGTGCGCAGATGGAAGCTGATGGCGATCAGCTGAAGAAGAATCTTCTCGATGAAGTTGAGGATTGTCCAGACAAAGACCACAATGATGATCTTGTTCAGTGTGTTCTCCCAGCTGCGAGTGGTCTTGTCGCCGTCCACATGATGGTTTTTCATGGTAGGCAAAAACGAGATCTCGACACCGAGCCACCAGAAAAAGAGGGCCGCGTGTAGCTCCAGCTGCTTGGCCATATCGCGCCATTTTTTCGCATTGTTGGTGAAGATGCTAGCCATGATCCCAACCGCGGGAGGCAAACACTTGCCGACAATTCGTCCGGCCCACAGGGTCAACCAGACGATTTCCAGCCAGATGGCGAACCACATCAATTTCACCCCACCGACACTAGCCTTGGTGTACTTGAGGGCCCCAACCAGCAACGGAATCAACAGCAGGAGCACCACGGGCAAAATGTAGGTGAGGTAGCGAACGATAAAGCTCGACTCGTGCAGTTTCTTCACGAAGGCGGCGATCTTGGTGTTGGGGGTTTCGGGGGGCTTGTAGACGGCGGCTTTTTCGTGCAGTGGGTTCGTCGCCTCGTCAAACTCGTCAATGGCCTCGGAGCGGCGCGAGCGGACTTTACTGATGGAAGGCCGGTCGGGGTCGTGTTCATCACCCCCTTCATGGGTCGACTGCGAGGCGACGCGTTCGGCCTGCAGGAGCATCAAGTCATCCTCCAGCCGGGTAGCCTCTTCTCGACGCGCAGAGGCCGTGGTAGGGGGCGGGTCATCATCTTCGGGGACGCGAGTCGTGTCGACCGTCAGTCCGCGATCGACATTGTCGTGCACATAGGTGCCATCTTCGGACATGGGCGAGACATCGTCCGAGTCCTTCCTCTTGTCCTTCTTCTCCTGCACGTGGAAGGTTTTGGTTTCGTCGACGGGAGTCGACATATTGGCGCCAGGCCTTGGGGGGAAAGAATGCGGGGAGCTTGACTCAAATCAACCGGACAAGAATGACGCCGATCGGAATGTGTCAATTGAGATATAGCCCCAGGATGAGAGAACGAAAGAAAAAAAAAAAAAAAAAAAGGTAAGAGAATTAAAAGAATGGGATATTCCACACACCCTAGATGAGTACAAGAGGAAAGAGAAAAAACGAGAGACGACAAAGTTAAGCAAAAGAGAAGAGAGAGAAAAAGTGAAGATCGCGAACTGAAACCCGGTGGAGCTGGGTGGGTCGGGGGCAGCAAGTCTAGAGGGCCCATCTGGCTGTGATGATGATTGATTCATTTCTCACGAGATTCTCGATCATTTCGATGTGGATATGCTGCAGGTTAATTAAGGGGGATCATCACTTTTCTTGGATTTCCCTTACTATTTCTAGTGATTGAAGTAATTCTAGTGATACGCTCTAGTATATTGCCGTGATGCTCTCCTAAATGCCGTACCATTCGGTGACAGGCGTCAGCCAGCTCCACCGAGTGGCAATTAAAAAAAAGGGAAAAAAAAAAAAGAGAAAAAAGAAAAGAAAAGAAAAGATCTGAGATCGCCCTGGCTATTTGGCTTGATTATGGTACTTCTGGTAATTCTGTTCATGTTATTTTGGTCCCAAATATAAAATTCTAGAATTTGCCGCCACACGCCTCCGCCACCGGCCCCTGCGTGTTCAGGGACGCGTCTCTCGACCACAATCTCAGTATTACCCTAAATAGTTCTTGTACCACTCTCTGAATATCAATTATGTACTCTTTCATATTTCAACGTGAAAATCAATTAAATGATTTTTTTTTTTTTAAAAAAAAAAGAATTATTCAAGTCGGATATCAGCCGTGTCCAGGAAGTGGTGGGTCTGCCGGGCTAACGGCCAAGCGAGGCCGCTTTCTCCGTGCATTTCCTATCGAGACAGAGACAATATTCCCAATAATCATAATAATTGTTATAATAATAATGACTGACTGTATAATACGTGCAGCAGGTAAGGATTAGAGTCGGACCACTGCAGACACTCTATCCACTACGCATTGCCAACAATAGCCGAAGAGTTCGTGGCACCACAAAGAATGGCCCAGCATACCGAGGTAGAACCGAAGCAACTTAGGTTCCTGATTTGCCGATCTGGTGAGAATCCCGGTCCGTAGCAATCATAGAGCCACCACTCGTGTCCCTTATCGAGCAGACAGGTCTGGGAGCCATTGAGCCAATGCATGCAAGCTGCGACCGAGTGCCACTCGCCAAACCGCAAAGGAGTTGGGATCGGCGGGGGCGTGAGACTCGATCGGCAATGGATGGGCGTCTTTGACAGCGCCAAGAGTGCCCGAAGGTAGTGCGTTTTGTGCTGTTTTTATACTTGGTCAGGGCGTTTCTTCCTCAGAAAAGAGATCTGTTCACTCCAGTAAGACTATGGATATGACGCACTAGTGTATTGGCAAAGAGACAGCAAAAGAAAAAAAAATCAAATCAAAACCGCGTCAAGCTGGCCTGGAATCAAGTCACATAGAATGCAAGATAGTAAAAAAGAAAAAGCAACGGATTTCCACAATGGGCCCCCAAGAAACATAAAAAAATGATAGAAATGATGGCACATCAACCGAAACTCCCGCTCCAAGTAAAACTGCAACACATTCAGAGACATAAGAGACGTGAGAGGGGGGGGGGGGGGGGGAAGCATATGGTGACATGTCCACCGGGGTCCCGGCGAGATTTCCCCGATGGAACAGGAAGTAGACAGGAAGAAAAGACATAAGAAAAGACAAAGAAGTTTACAGGAAGCGAAGTGACGAAGAGGGGGGACCGAAACTATGTGAGAAGAATGGGAAAATAGAATAACAGAATAAGAAGCCAACAGAGGACAATCACACCGGCAGGCCTTGTCTATTGTTGGAACGCCGAGGTCAGATCCGAGCGATGTCGCCCCGGAGCGCGGGGTGTCTGCTCGGGATCCAGGTTGGGAGATGGATGGAGGGGTCGCGGAGTGGCTTCAGAGTCCGGCGTGGGACTGTAGTCTGTGTCGGCCCCAGAACCGGGGTCCAGAGATTGGCTATTTTCGGATATCTTGACTTCGGGGGTGATCGGAGGGGCAGCCAGGTTCGACGGATCAGTCGCAGTCAGCTCCCACGGCGGTGTTGTTTGACCGTGCTTCAGCTCGCCCGGGTCGGATTTTAATGCAGGCGGATCAGATGGCCCAGAGTAGATTGAAGTGTCTTGGTGCGCGAGAGATGGTCGGCCCTGCTGAGAGGATGACATGAACTCCTGGGAAGGGGAGCCCCGTGGACTTTGTGGCTCGTCAATCTCAGACTCCTCGGGGATGCTGAGATCCTCGAAGCGTTCTTCAAGGCTGGTGCTGGCGGGCGACCCCAAAGGTCCCTCGCTGTCGGTATCAACCGACTCGCCGGCTTGACGGAGTGCCTCCCTCTCCTTTTTCAGCACCTCCTCACTCCCGCTAACCACGCTACCTCGACTGTTCGTCCGCATCATCTCAATCCCCAACTTGGAGCCTGGGCGGCGAGACCGAGTCGGGGGGCTGCGACGGGCTTGGGAGTGTCCAAGCTCTTCGTCCTCGTCGTCCCCGGACTCTTCACATTCGTAGCGTTTCTTCTCCAGGGACTCACGTTTGGCGCGGATGGATTCACTGGACCGTTGTTTGCGGGGTGTAAGCGCACCGGTGCCATCCATTGCCGCAGGCGCCGAGACAGCATGGAGAAGTTGTGGAAGAGGCACAGCTTTGGGGTCTGGGCTGCCCGGGGATGCAACCGCATCCTCCGATATCCCCAATCCACCATGGCCTTGTTCCCAGTCATCCGCACTGCGACTGATAATGACTGGAACCTCCTCTGGTTTGATAGACTCCATGTCTCCGAACACGCTGCTGGTCACGGAGTCATCGCGGCTGGACCCTCGGTAAGAACTAGGTGGATTGGGAACAAAGCCAGACGACACCGAGCTAGGGCTATCATCGGCGGGCAGCGGATTATGGCGCGCAGCTGGAATCGGGACAGATAAAGGCTGAGGAGGATTGTAATCCTTGGGAGGCGGCTTCCACATGCACCACTTACATAAAGCTTCCGTGAGCTTGGGCAGTGTCGGGGGCTTCTGAATCAGCGCATCAAAATAATGAGTCTCAGGAAGATCTTTCAGATATCCTGTGACAGCGATGATAGGCGTATGTCTGTTGGCACTGCGGGTCTCCCGGACCATACGAGCAAAGTCGGCCCCATTCACTTGAGGCAGTTTATACTCGGTCATGATGATGTCGAACTGCACTTCGCTCAAAGCATAGCGCACAGCTTCGGCACCATTTGTAACAGTGATGGTCCGGCAACGGAGTTTCTCGAACAGGCGTTCCATCACCAAACGCGAAACCGGATGATCCTCACAAATGAGCACATCCAATGGACGGAAGAACGGCCCGTCCTGGATATTGAACTGCGAAAGGCGTCGAGAGCTTTGTCGCCGGCGTTGGACTTTGAGCAATGCCTTGGTGCGGGGATCCTCGTTGTCGGATGATGAAGGCGAAATATCAAAGAGCTGACTGCGGCGCTTGTGATGAGTCGGCACAAAAGACTCCTTAGCCAAGGAAGATACCTCGCCATCCTGGGAGCCGATCGTCTGGGATCGGGCTCGGCTCGCCGGGGCACTTCCCTGCCGTTGACTGGCAGGGTGCTTGTCAGGAGAATGAGCAGGTATGCGGTTGGCCTTCACTGGAGAAGATGCCACTGAGCCCAACCTAAGGTTGGGCATGCGCGTTGTGTCAATAGGGGAGGGCTGGAAAGTGCCACTTGACTGGTGGGAGGTAGTCGAAGAGGAGCCTGAAGTCTTGCGCCGCTCGTGGTTATTGCCAGTACTGAATTGAACCAGGAGAGGGGAGGAAGGTTGTGATGGACGACTTGGTGACGAGTTTGCCTGGCTCATACTCGACGGAGAGGACGGCCGGTTGTTTCCTTTGTTCTGCGACAGGGTACGCTGAAGTGACATGGGAAGTGGGCTCCCTTCCAAGGAAGGCTGGGATGCGGTCGCTGGCGTCTGAGCAGCTGATGACGATGTAGATTGACGACTCTGCGTCTGCAAAGCTTCTTGGCGCATCTTCTGGATCACATCCTTATTCGCCTTCTCCAGCATTGGAAGATTCTTAAAGTTGAAACTTCCAAAGTCGTCGGCCAGTGATGGCTCGCTCAATCTCCGACTGCGAGAATCGCGGGCATCACGGACATGAGGCGGAATCGAGAGTGGCATGAGTGGCCGCTTCATTGAGTTGGCCTGCGTACGAACCTTGAAAAGTGCATCGTGTGGACGGTCTGGGTAAGACCCGCTCGAAGCTGGCGGCTGGGGAGACTGCTCGTCCTCCAATTCTTCTGCAAAAGCCTGAAGGGTAGCGCCACGAGCATCGAAATACTCCGTATCCTCGGGGTTTTCGATATTGGGGACGAATTGAGCCTTGTCTGCCAGCAGGGTATCCCAGTTGATATCGGCGAGCCATGGGTGGCCGCGAATCTCTGCACCGCCATTTGCAAACTTCTCTTCCACATTGGCTCCAATCCGTTCACGGGGATTGAGAGTCATGAGCTTGTTCATAAGATCCAACGACTCGGGAGATGTGAACTCCTCCGGTTCGTCCGGCCAATTAATCCTGCGGTGGAGGATGTTTTCAAACACCTCATCGGGTGTCGAAGCATTGAACGGTGGGTATCCAAAAATGAACTCAAACATGATACAGCCCAAGGACCACCAATCGCTGATTTCATCTTGCCCAACACCATTAATCGTCTCTGGGGCCAAATAATCGGGGGTACCCACAAATCGACGGTCATGGTCTTCCGGGTCGAAAAGTGCCATCACTGGAGGGAGCATGCTTTGCTGCGGAGGTGTATTGTGCAAAGCAGGGTTGCTGAACGTCGGCTGCAACGGATAGAGATGGGGAGACTCGCCCGGTTCGCTTTGGCCCTCTTCTTCCGCAAGACTAGTCGAGAATATGCTGGGTGAAGGTGCTGGAGGCTCATGTGCGCCATCGTTCAGTGAAAACGTCTTGAACATGCCGTTCAAACTATCACTGCCGGCACTGTCACTCCTATATCCCGACGCCCGGCGAGAACTCTGCCGACTAGGACCACTGTGGTTGAGGTTGAAATAGGACGGTTGGCTAACATGAGTGGCCGTGTCGGGAACGATAACCGGTGTAGAGCCGGGCGATGTACTTGCCTGGAAGTCGAATGAGGCTGACCGAGAAGATGCAATTGAAATTGCTCGAGGAAAAGGCCCCTGCTTGAGCAGATCCGGGGCAGGCTCATTGGGACTCTTGAGCACTCGCTTTTGGCGGCCCACCAGACCCATCCGGGAAAGACCAAAATCGGTCAGTTTCAAATGACCTGTCTGGTCGATCAGGAGATTATCTGGCTTGAGGTCGCGATGAACAATTCCTCTGTTGTGGAGGTGCTCAACACCAAGCACCACCTCGGCAATGTACTTCTTCGCCCAATCCTCGGGAAGCCCGCCGAGGACCTTGACCAGCGAAGCACAGTCACCTCCGTTCAAATACTCCATCACCAAGTAAAGATATTCTTTGCTTGAAAAGGTCCAGTAAAGCTTGGCAACAAAGTCGCTTTCCCCTTTGCCACATCATGATGGCCCGCTCTGCCTTGACGTTCGTGACCTGGTTTTTAGCGACCATGTCGGCTTTCTTCAAGACCTTGATGGCAAAATATTCCCCAGTGGATTTCTTTTTGGACAGATAGACACTGCCAAAGGCGCCTTTGCTGATCGGCTTAATGATCTCGAAGTCTTTGATAGAGGTCGGGGCGGGACGAGGTTGTTGGCTGACCGAAGGTAGACGTGGGGATACTGGAGGCTTCGCAACATCAGAGGATGTCGCCGAAGATTGACGCCGGTGATGACGGCAATGGTGAGCCAACTCTCCAGCGTAGGTCGAGGGGGACACAATGGGAGATGGCAAGCTCTCGGCCCCACTAGAAAGCCGGGGCTTGGGCATGCGCAATGGAGAGTGCGGGCCAGAAACCCGAGCAGGAGAAGGCTGCCGACGAGGCGAGCTGGATAGGCCGGTGAGCACTAAGCTTCTGCGCTTCCGGTCAAAGCTCCGTTCAGAAGAGGGCGAATCCGTACGCACGCCACCAGGAAAAGCAGAGGACGGTATGCTGCTATCGCTACTCTCGCCTGCATCAAGATCCATGAGTGAGAGACCTCTACGGGAAGACTGCGATGTACCCAGCAATCCCACGGCACTCTTGTGCGATCGAGGAGTGGGACATTCCATGGGACTGTTGGAGCCTGTTGAGACAGCCACGGAGGACGGCTTGCCCTCCGACTGTGACGGCGTTGACCGATCTGGGGAGTTGCGCATAGACAGAGTCAGTGCAGATGTCTGCCTCCGCGGAGCAGGTACTGGCTGCTGGGGTGCTGGCGATAACGGTTCTTGGGGGGCAGTCTGCGGCAATGGTTCTTCCTCGGCAGGCTTGCTGTCGATATTTTTATCGCTGAGATCCTCATTGCTGCCAAGACGAGTCTCCTGCTGGGCCTCGTCATCGGACGAACAAGAGGAATCGCTGAGCTGGCCGGCAGCGATCCGCTCTGCTTTACTGAGAGCCGCTGCGATGCACTCTTCAACCAGCACAGTGTATTCGATGCGGATTCGCTCCGCATAGTCCACAATCTTGCGATGACGAACGACCGCATCGACTTTGGCCTTGGAAACCTGCTCCGTATCCCCTGACAAGGCGGCCAGACCCTGTTCTTGTTCCAACGTGTTGGAGCTGGGAGACTGCCACTGAAGCACTTGGGAGATCCGGGACTCGGACTGCGGGGACAAAGTCCGGGGCTCTTCTCCGTTCTCTGGGCGGGACGACTCTTTGATAACTGGCATGCTGATCTCCAACGCAGTGTCGCATAGATCGAGAACCAGCTCGACAATGCGAGCCAGTGGTCGCCGCACTGTGAACGACCGGGGTCGGGTGGCGATGATGCCTGACGCCGAATGGTCGCGCGAGCGAGGCGGGGTGTTGGGGGCAGAGCTGGTGCTCGAGACAGGATCGGAGGATGGGGCAGAGCTAGCCGGGGACGGGCCGATCGGCAACCCTTTGTACTCGGGTTGAGACGATGGCGCTGGATTGCCATCGCTGCCAATCAGAGGTCTTCCTTGTCGGGCCTCCAGCGCATCCAACACTTTCACGATGGCATGACGATGTTCGTTGAGGTTTTCTTGCGCGATCTGGACGTCCATTTCGGCCCGATGTTCCTGGAGACAGAGGTCTGTATGCTTCTCGAACCACCATGGGGTGATCTGGCGCTCGCAAATCCGACATAGCACCGGGGTCGGGGCAGGGTGTTTCGCAGGATCCGGTTCGTTGGCCGCCGCCTCTGCCAGTGTAGTCAAGTAGTTCGCCAGCACCTCTGCTCCGACGCCCAAAGACTCCACCAACAGTGGCGGAAGATCGATAGTCACTTCTTTCGGTTCGGTAAACGGCCGGAGCATCCACATGGTCTGTTTCCCGAGAGTTGTCAGTCATATATAACGGCGGTCGTTATCCAAGTCATCTTTGGGGAACGCACATGTCCAGCCTCATTGTCAGTGCGGTCATACACCATGATTCCTTGCCCCTCCATAGTGAGCACGTCCTCCTTCTGTTTATGCATCTCCTGCGAAGGCTCGGTATTCTCTTCCGATTTCTCCTCGGTCGCCTCAGCTGTCGTATCCACAGGGCGCGGCTCTGGGGAGTACTTCAGGACCGAGTCCGGGCCCATCTGCACCGCGAAGCGGATGAAACGACTGCGCGAATCATCCTGCTTCATCGATTCGATTGCATCGTGAAACACGTCCTTATTCCCAAGCAGAATGTCGGAGATCATACGACCCTCCACCGAATCGGGGGACGACCCCACGACCTGCTTCCACGATGGGCTGACCCATTTGATGCGACCCTCTAAATCCAGATCCACGATTATGTTCAACGTCTGCTCGGCTGCCTCCTTCAAATCAGCCCTTTCCTCCCGCATATCGTCACTCATCGTCCTAGTCATCTTCGGATTGATGTTCCGGGCCTCCTGCCTCAAGGCCGTCACTGCTGGAGGCGCGAGGAATTGAGGGTTTAGGGAGCCATTGCCTGCCATGCTGACTCACTCGTTCGAACGAATGAATCCCAAGTCTCCGCCACGGGGGAAAAGGTATGGTTTACACTGAGCGATCGAAACAGGAAACCGAATCAACGAGTATCGCAAAGTCACGCAGAGCCGTCTGCAGGGCAGCGCGAGTGCCCTGTTGGTTATGAATTCATCCGTATAATCAATAACCCATGGCGTGACGGTCGGCAAGGAACAAAGAAAATGATCCTATTGCCCAAGGTGAAAAAAAAAGTTACCAATCCGTGATCAGCAAAGAGTGGGCGGACACCACGTTCTGAAACACGAGACGTTTGGCGGAGGATAACAGAAGCCGTCTATGCGGGGGGAACGCGACAGAGTCGAGGATCGACATCCAACCCCAAGAGAGGCCGGGGCAGAAGAATCACAACACGATCAGAGTAGAATTTCTGGGAAGTAACGGGAGAAAAGTGAAGGAGAAAATGTTCAGGGAGAATGGGGGGGGAAGAGGGTGAGGGAGAGAGGGTGAGGGCGGTGATTGGCGAGAACCACCAGATCGCCCAACACCGTGTGTTTCTGCTTCTGCACCGATCAGACCAGAAAAAAAGAAAACCGAATGATCATTATAAGAATTGATTAGAGAAACCTGTCAATCTTGAGGTGTGGCATTCTGGTGGAAATAGCAGCCTGTGTCCATCCCAGGCATCCGGTCATGACGTGGAGTGAGCATCTATATGGGTGGTACTCTGTACCTGCCCCTACCCCCCTAGTTAGGGATGTACTATTCAATCTACAAGACATGTCAAGACACAGGACAACAGCCCCTCGATGGCTTCGAGTCTGGACCCGGGTACTTTCTATCTGGACTGTACTTTTGTCAATTCAACTTATCCCTGTCTTCGCGCCCCTCTGTTTCATAACACCGCACCTATTTGCAGAACCCTCAGGAAGATCGCATATGTCTGACGTGCAATGGATGTCCCATGTACGCCCCCGCCCCCGGCTGCAATGGGCCGCAGATTCCCCGAATCCCTTCATGCCGTGGGGATCTCATTCCAAAGTTTATGATATGAAATGAAATGAAGAAAAAGCAAAGAATTAAATTAAATTAAAAATCAAAATCAAAATTAACATGGGCCTTCTCATGCAATAATGCAATAAAGACTTAGGTTTGGAATTGGGGTAGATCGGGTGCCATGAAGTATACCTCGAGAACCACAATGAAGACTGACGGATATGTCTACTATCCTGGTTGCGAGTTGCTAGTTTCTACTTTCTACTGTCTACGCGATTCCTCCTCGCAAGTGTCACACACCAGCCCTTGTCCCACGCGAGGACGAACAGACTCGTCCCCGGTCCCTTACTGAGTGATGCATACCTCCCCTACTGTGTCTCTCGCCTTATCATTGGAATGAGAAAATAGCACCGCTGGGGCAGTGTCGATCGGGACTAGGGTGTACAGGATTTAGCCGGTCCTTTCTTTTTTTTTTTTCTTTTGCTTTTTTTTTTCTTCTTCCCCACGTCTCTGTTGCCCCTCTCTGAGAAGTACGAAGATCCTCTCCCTTGCGGGAAGGGGATATCGTGAGAGCACCCCAAAACACCAAGGCGGCGCCCACAGATGTATGGCTATATGCTATATGCCTCATGGAATTATCAACCCGGTGCGATTCCACTGGATCCATGGATCGTCTCCACCGTTTTCTTCATCCCCTGGGTCTGCGGGATTCCCGTCACCTGATGCCCGGGTGATTGACTTCATGGCTCAACTCAATGAACTTCCGTGAGATCCTGGTGGATTTGCAGGATGACGGGCTTGCTGGATCACGGTGGCTTACATTCCCCCGCGTCAGGAGAGAGATCGTCGCCCCCCCCCCAAGTTAGTCATGCTGCACCCCGGATGGCACTGGTAAAACACGCTGATTCACATCTTCAAGGATGTCAAACTCGACCAAGAGCATTATCTCCCTAGCAAATGATCCATGGTGACGGAATGACAGAATATGATCTACTCTCCCAAATTTGAGTCGAGGGAAACACGGTGTGCTGCTTATCCATCATGGCCTTCCCCCCATTATAACTGGCTGCTTGAGGGTGACTGGGGGGGATGTAGATACTCCCCGAGTAAACTTTATGCTTGTCCGTCTCCAAAAATGCCCCCCAATCATCATTTCCTGGGGGAGGCCACCTGCATGGATCTGCTTTCCTGTCTGTGGAGATAGTGGGCCATGCCCGTCGAATGCTTGGGAGTACAATTGTCGGGACCCGCATAGGCGAGTCAGGTCCATGATCAGAGTCAATTACGTACTCCGATAGGGAGTTGGCTCAAATGCCCAGGCTGTGTATATCCTTTCCTGTGTCTCGGTAGTACCATCATCCTTCGACCAGACAGACATGGTTCCCCGTTGGAAGCAAAACGTGCAATTTGGAGAAGCCGAAAAATCGACCCATTCGCTTCAAACATGCGTTGTCCGGTATCTCTGGCTTCTTAATGACAAGACAAAAACCAAAAACTTGGTAGATTCGGCTGATGTGGTCGGAAACATATATCCAACAGCCGTGATCTTCACAATACAAAATATGGGCATCAAGCCATGAACTTTGACTTTGGGCGACAACATGAAATTGTTGCCCAGAGTTCAAAACACACTGAAAACTCCAGTCGCAGACTATGCGATGCCCATGGTCACCTGCATGAATTTACTGGGAATCCAAAGGTTGGTGGGGAGGACGCGGGGAAGACATGATAAAATTGACACCTGAATGCCCCAGGCAATAAGGCCTGAGGTCACCATCAGCTCTGCTTTGTAATCCCAAATCGAGTTGCGCAAGGCAACCCATTCGTTCTCTTCAGTCTCAAAGCCAAGGATTCCATTGCGGAATAAATGAAAGGGACACCCGCCGGTTGTTCCAAGTGGCATAACCCGCCAGATGCCCCCAACAGAGCCGGTAGATGACCCAGGTGTCAGGCGCAAGCGGACAGGCCGAAAGTATACGTCGCGAGCCTGCGAGGAATGCCGACGCCGACGAGCGAAGGTAAGTATACACTGGGTGAATCCATATCCACTGATTGATATATTCCAATCACAATATCAGAATGCACCTGACGTGTATACAGTGTGATGGCGCACGGCCATCGTGTGCTCGCTGCCTCGATCGAGGTGTGCGCTGCCAGTATTCCACCGCGGAGGATGGGCGTCAGCCTGCTCCCAAGTCGTATGTAGTCATGCTGCGCAATCGCATCGAACTTCTGGAACGCGTACTGCATTCTCATGGGATTGATATCGATGCATCAATTGCCCAAGTCTTGGCCGAGAGTGGCACCCCGGAGCAAGAAGCGCTTTCTTCGTGTGGAAATGGGTGCAGCGTGGACGATCTGTGTCTGCCTTTTGATGGGGCCCTGACTCTGGATGAGTCCTTAAACTTCGATCAGGATGGCGAGGTGCGGTACTTTGGGCCGACTAGTGGACGTCTGCTGTTCCGGTCTGATGCCAATGGTAAGGCATTTATGCGGTGCCTTCTAAATATCAAGTGATGCTGACACTTTCTCAGACTCTTCTCCCAACGATGATGCATATCAGAATGATACATCATGCCTGGCAGAAGAATGCAGAAAAAAGCTCAACCAGAACCAGAGCCTTGCCGAAGGAGATCTGGTGTCAGAGGAGCTTCAGTCCCATTTAATCGATCTGTACTTCGAGTGGGAGGGGCCGTGGTTGCAAGTCGTGAATGAGAAGCTGTTCCGCGAAAGCATGGCAAATTGCGGCCGATACTTTAGCCCACTGTTGCTGAGCAGCATTCTCGCATTGGGCTCGCGGTATTGTGATCGCGTCGAAGTGCGATCGGATCCCAATGACCCGAACACGGCCGGCAAGATGTTTATTGAGCAAGCCGAGCGATTGGTTCAGAATGATCTCAGGTGGCCGAAAATCACTACCATCCAGTCACTCGCCATCATGGGCATGGTGTATATCGTACGTTGAACACCATGGCTGGGTGTCGCATAGACATGCAAAATGGCTGACTCGACTGCTTTTAGGCAATGGGATCCGACGCTGCAGGCTGGCTCTACCAGGGCTCAGCCAATCGCTTGGCCTTGGATATGGGACTGAATATGGACCCGGCTGTTCTTGCAGGGTCGGTCTCTCTTTCGTCAATCGAGATTGAGCTGCGAAGACAGATTTATTGGGCGTTATACTGCCATGACAAGCTATCTGCAAGCTATACAGGCAGGGTCTGTACGCTCCTGGTATGTTTTTGGTCATTAATATTCCCCAGCATTTTTTATTTTTTGGCTCATCTAGCCTTTCACACAGGATTCTCAAGGCGTAGTGAACAAACCATATCCCCAATGTGCAGAGGATCTTCATCTTCCCGCGACAAATGGAGAACCTCGCGCCGCCTCCCGGAAACAGAAAGACGTGGTGTATTTGCACCGGGCGATGATTGATCTCTGTCGCATCTTCGAAAAAGTCCTTACTTCCCTGTGAGTGACTATCATGTCTTGTTCATTTATTTATTTTTAGACATATCTATGGAATCTAATCCCCACCAGATGGTCCCCCAAACCCCTTATCCACCCCCAGCAGCGCTTTGCATTCTTCCATTCCGTCGTCCTCGAACTAAAAACATGGTACTACGACCTCTGCCCCGAACTCAAGACCGACCGACCAACAGGTCCCTCACGCTTTCCCCACGCCTACACATTGTGCATGGTCTATCACACAGTCCACATCCTGCTGTGCGTACCATTCCTCAACAAGGCTAGCATGCAAGATCATCGAGAAAACACCCCAAACCAACAACAGCCAACACCCGACGACTCCCTGACACACAAAGCCCTCACGATCTGCAGCTCTTCAACGCGCGCAATGTGCATTGTCGCCCAGAAGTACCGCCAGACTTTTGGCAGTTTCAAACTCAGTCCGATCACTGCGACGCACTGCACGCTCTCTGCGGCTCTGATCATTATGGAACGTTGTTCTCTGGATCCCAACGCCAGCCCTGGATGTGGGGATGAAGGTTCCCGCGGCCCATCTCCGCAGGCGGCTGTCGGGCTTTGTCTTCAGGTCCTGCGGGAATTGTCTACTTCGTGGAATATTGCTAAGCGCATTGGCCGGAATCTTGAAAAACTTTATTGCCAGCGTCTGAAATGCGATCTTGATCACGTCCCGCGCCCCCCGACAGATTGCCCTGTTGCGAGGGAGACCCCGTTACAGCCTGCAGACGCCAACCCCTACCCTGAGTCTTTAGGACCAATACCCGAAATAAGCCTTGACTCTCTAGACCCCAAGCAATTGTCCATTCCAGATCCGAGTTCCATGTCTCCCAGTGCCACGACGGACTGGCTTGGTGCCAGTTCCTATAATGGCGTTCCTGGAGATCATGGAACTGGTGAGAATGAATTTCAGATTGCTGCCAACTCCGGTGAGCTTTTTGCAAACAACCTTGGTTTTGCATTCTCGCCAGACTGTCTTCCGAGTGATTACAATATGTTCGATACTCTGAACCAGATGTACTTGGAAGAGATGTGGTGAGATTGTGAAGCTAAAGTAGGCTATAACTGTTCAATAAAACCCAATTCATCAACTGCCTGGCCTTGTCCTTATATGAAATGAAGCAAACATCAAGAGCGTGTTCAAGGAGAAGGGGCGATAATATCGGCGGCGATTTTCTCGGCCAGCATATCTAAAGCTGTTAGCGAAGAGCATCCTTCCTCTTGGAGAGAAACAAGACATACAAACTGTCGATTGAGGGTGACCAGGGGGTAAAATGGGGAATGCACTGGCGTCGACCACTCGCAAGCCTGTGACGCCAAAGACTCTAGCACGGTTGTCGACAACAGCCATCGTGTCGTTCTGAACTCCCATTTTGCATGTGCAGGCGGCATGGTAGATTGTCATCACAGTTTTCTTGATGTTACTTAGAATTTCCTCGTCCGTTTGAACCTTGGCTCCGGGGAAATATTCTGGTCCTATGATCACCGGAGTCATAGCCTTGCTTTGGAATGTTGCTCGGATGCGCTTATAAGCCGCGATTGCTAAACGCTGGTCTGTCTCGCTGCCCAGCCAGTTTGGATTGATCACTGGTGCATCCGCCATATCAGCCGAGCGAATACTGACATTGCCCCGTGAGGTCGGGGCAACGAGACTTCCCAGAATAGTCGCGTATTGCCCAGGCCACGGTTGCTGCATGTATGGATCCGAGAAGTTTCCGACAAATGCAGATGCCGCGATATACTTCCAGATTCGCGCATTAGTGGCCAAATCATAACAATCAGGTTATGATGATCCCACTCACCTCGACTTCGGGCCAGTCATCGGGGAACCACATCAAATCCTGCTGATCTTGAGATGATAACCCAGAGCGATAGTCTGGTGGAAGCTTTTCAAAGGCGATATAATCAGTTGATGGGTTTGTCAACACCCCATTGCTGATTGTCGTCCATGCTGCGAGTTGGTAGGCATAGTACCATGCACTCGTCGAAAGCAGAGTGAACGTGTCCACAGCCACTCGGTATGACGGTCCGAAGAACACATGGTCCCACATGTTCTGACCAACTCCACGCAAATTTGCAACCACGTTGATTCCATATTGTCGCAGGATTTCGGCTGCGCCAATGCCAGACACCATCAGCAACTGTGGCGATTGAAAGGCTCCCGCGGAAATGATCACTTCTCGCTTAGCCATCAGATTGAATATGTTGTTCTGCTGGGCCACAACGCCAATTGCACGTTTCTGGTCGTTGAACAGAATCTGTTTTGCCAACGTCGTTTGGTAAATAGACAGAGTTTCAAAGCCCAAAGAACCTCGAAGGAACGCTGACTCGGAGCTGCTCCTGGTCTCGTCCGTTGGCTGGATTGTCATTGCACTGAACTGGTGGCCCATGAGAGATCCACTATTGAAGTCCTGTGCCTCATGGATCCCAATCTCTTGGAAACCCTGCTTTGCCCAGGTGGAGAATGGCATGGCGTACTTCGGGTAAGACACTTGCAACGGGCGGCCTGTTGCATCAAATGCAAATTCATTATAGCGTGCAGTGGCATTACCAAAACGATAGCCGGTGGGAGGCGTAAATGAGACAGTCTTCTTGAAGTAAGGGAGAGTGTTCTCAAACAGATAACTGGGATCATCAACAAGGTCGGCCCATCGTTTCATCGACTCTTTTGACGGCCTGCTCGACATTGTCAGTGACATCAATCAAAAGAGACCAAGGGATATTCCTAACCGTTGGTAGATCATGAAATTGGTAGCTGACCTAAATTTTATGAGTTAGTCGGCATATCTCCCCCATCAAGGTTGTCATATTCATACGATCCGCCCAGGCATTTCCCTCGTGGATAGTGAATGTCACGATAATCTGCCCCAGGCACACCGTGGACGACAAATCCCCAATCAACCGAGGTTGCAGCGCGAATGTCGGCACCGGCTCCAAGGCTGGCAGCCCCTGGGATCCGGGTGAATGGGCGGATCACCTCGTAGTATCCACCTGCTTCGATCACAGCAACCTGGAACCGCTGTTGAGCCAGGCGTGCGGCGATTGTCAGTCCTGCGGTACCACCACCGACCACGATATAGTCAAAGGTTGCACTCTCTGCGGCTCGGTAGGGGGAGTCGCCCGATAGGTGATCGGCAGGACATGAAGAGGAGGGAAGGGCCACACCCACAGCCGCTATCAATAGGAGGATGATTAGTCGCAACATTCGAGCAATGGCCTGTGAGATTGCAGTTGATAGAAGAAAATGATCAGCGACGACTGTGTAGAAGACATGTCGTTTTACACCCCCACGGCACCTGCCCTCGGTGGTTAACATGATGACGGGGGAAACAACGATAGAGCATCAAACATAAGTAGGAACGAGTTTGCTTGCGATGCATCAATTCATCTCTCAACAGCATTTGCTCAATTCACTAGTCCACCTTTCACTTTCTCCTCTCCTCAACCACTCCCGTTCACATCTTCCACCCACATCTCTCATCTCCCAGCTCTCATATCTCAGCTCCCCAAATCGCACCATGTCGATCAACCCCTTCTTCAAAGGATTCCCTGGGTTCGATCATGACCCAACTGCTGGCGTTTGCGCTGAATTCCAGCGTATCAGCCAGCACCGGAAGTGGAAGCAGGGCTCCAAGAAGTGGAGAAAGAACTGGGATGCCTGCATAACCGCCGAGTACGACCGGCTCATTGGAATTCGCGTCACCAGCCTCGCGACCTGGCAGCAGATCTGCAAGAAGCTCGGCCTGAAGGGACTGTTCACTTCCATTACCAAGTGCAAGAAGGTAACATGGTTATATCTTGATTCCGAGACTGATGAGCTCCAAGACTGACTTCACTACTTAAACTACTTCAGGCACTCTGCCGAGTTCATGTCAACTTGGTTGATCTTCTCGACTGCTGGGAAGGAGAACAAGGCCCCCAGATCTTCCGTACTCTCTCTGCCTTGAGAAACTACACCAAGCGTACCAACCGATTCTTCAACAAGAAGGCTGCCAAGCAGGACCCGGTCCTGAGAATTCTACTGAGAGAGCTTCTGTGAAGACATATCGAACGAGATGCAAATATGACCCTCGTTGTGGCCATACTGTTTGAGAATTCGGGGAATTATGCTATCTGAAAAGCTGTACTCTACCGGATTGTGTTTTACTTTTGATCGAGAATGAAAAACTGAATCAAGTTGCCATCCTTTTCCATGAGTATACATATCTGTAGGCACCTGTGGCGATCTCTCACTTGAATCTCTCTTTTTTATTCTCTCTCTATCATCTCTCTCTTCTTTTGTTTTTGGTCTTGCTTATTTTTTATTCCCTCTCTTAGTTTATTGGATACTTGGCGGCTTTTTCGTTCGCAGTCAGCATCGGTGGTCTGTTCTCTACCATCATGACCACCATGTCGTATCTATTGAAAGCTGGAGGGAGCAGTGCGGTTGTGTGGTGTTGGCTGATTTCTGGTGCTGGCTGCATGCGCATTGCCGTGAGTATTTGGAGTTTTTAGGGCTCGGGAGACAACATACTAACTCGGTGGATAGTGCTCGGTCGCCGAATTGGTTTCTGCGTACCCAATGTCGGGTGGACTGTAAGGTGCTGCTCCCATCCATTTGCTTTACACGTCCAATCGATTTACTGGTACTTTACTATCTCGCGACTGGCGCCCGACTCGTGGATCCCCATCCATTAGTTGGTAAGAAAAATGACCTGCTTCGTGAGCAATGGTCATCTGCTAATTTTGACCAACACTACTGTCAGGGTCATGGCCGCTTTGACGGTCATCACGGGCGCAGTCAACTCTTTGTCAACCTACTGGATGGAGAAGATGACCAAGTTCTATGTCATCTTCCATGTCTGCGTGCTGGTTTCCTGTGCCGTCGCCCTCCTGGCTCTGACCCAGGACAAGCACGACGCCGAGTACGTGTTCACCCACGTCGAAAACTCCAGCAGATGGACTTCTATTGGCTTCAGCTGGCTGTTTGGTTTCTTGTCTGCCAGCTGGACCATGACCGACTACGACGCAACGGCGCACATCGAGGAACTGAGCGACCCCGAACGCAAGGCTCCTGGGCCATCTCCCTCGCCATGCTGTTCACCTATCTCGGTGGGTTCTTGTTCAACATCCTGCTCTGATTCTGCATGGGCGACCCCAGCGAGATTTTTCAGTCTCCGATGAAACAGCCCGTCGCGCAGATCTTCTATAACAGTCTTGGCAAGGGAGGTAGAATGTTCTTCACGATTGCGGCTATCACAAGGATGATCCTGTCATCGTATGTCTCAAACGCCGACGATGTACATAACTGACTATCTTGACGCAATGAATATAGCCTGTCTCGCACTTTTCAACATTTTCAACGTATTTCTTTTCTCATGAGTATCTCTCAAACCAGCTCAAATACATTGACCCCAGCGCGACACCTTCTCGATACTCGGCCTATACACTGCCACCTTGCGCCTCATAATCAATCTCGAAGCCGTAGCCCGGATCATAATGCATAGCCCAGTACCCGTCCCAAATTGTCTTGGTGATAGGACCAATTTGACCTCCGTTCACAGGGCGGCCATCCAACGACGTGATGGGCATGATACCTCCAGCCGTGGTGCTCATAAACACCTCGTCGCAGTGATACGCCATGTCAATGGGCACCCCCTCAACACGAGTATCCAGTCCGTCGGATTGAGCAACGTCAATCACACTCCTGCGCGTGATGCCCTCCAGCACACCGCGATCAGGCGTACAGAGCACCCCATCTTTGACCAGAACAATATTGAACCCGGATCCCTCGGTAAGATTGCCATCCCCGTCCGTGAGAATCGGGTACGAGGCGCCACGATCGGCTGCCTCGAAAAGCCCGCGTACCAGGTCGCCCCATTGCAGGTTCTTGACTCTGGGATCCATTGCGCTGGGAGGTATACGGTGCACAGTACGTGCGATTACAGCGTGGCCTCCGACAAGCTGTTCCTCCGGCTCCATGACCCAGACATACGACTGAATGAACATGTAGAGCTTGTTGACGATTTCCTCGGGCTTGCTACGTCCGACGCCCTTCAGGCCCCGTGTCACGATCAGCTCGACGAAAGCGTCGCGGATGCCGCTCTTGGCTACCATGTCCACTAGGATTCGTTTGACTTTCTCGCGGGGCAGAGGCAGGTTTAGTCGCAGTTTCGTGCAGCTGGCTGTTAGTCGGTCAAAGGTGGTCGTCTAGTCGGAAGAACCGGCCGTCCCAGACGGAGGGGACATCGTAGGTCAGGTCGCTGTGCATGAAGCCTTGGTCGAGAAGTGGGATGCGTGCTTTGGCGAGAGGGACAAGCTCGCCTTCTACCCAGGCTACTCCCTTGGCGAAGGGGTTGTTGCTGGATTCCAGGACGGTCTGGCGGGCATGGTAGCCGGCGAACACCTGTTGCATGGTGGCCATGACGAGATTGAGGGAGATTTCGACGAAAAAGAAGAGAATAAGCCCTCATGGCCTCGGCTTAAGTAGATTCGTGCGGGGACTCGCTGTGTTCCATGGTTAGTACTCTGTGGTACTTGATTAGCATGGATTCCCTGGTTCGATCACCAAATATAGGAAGAGAGACACAGACGTCTTCCCATGAACTGCGAGGGAAGGATATGCGGCCCTCGACTACCTCACCAGCCATCAAGGGGAGATTGGGGTCTTGACTGGATAATACAAAGCTGCTCGCCGGGAGCATAGTGTTTATCACTTTAGGGCCTTTTTGTAGAAACCGTACCGACTGCCTAATGGGGTAAATAGCATATGGGCATGTCTATAAAAAGGATCTTTGCTGAATGCCTAGGCAGCTTAGTGGAATAATTTTGATTCGAAGGCCGGGCAAAATATAACTACTCAGCAGACATGCATATTCAAATGTGGAGGAGCGATGTCAAGACATGATGCAACACTGACTCGTCCACGAAATATACTAGACAGGGCCGTTTCTATTCTGTTGGTTCCATGGTTCAATGTGTCATAAATGGTTTCTCTTCCATCTGACCGTGTGAGGCAAGGCAGACAGTGTATATAGTAGCAAGAGTTGGCGCGATCCATTTAGGAGACAGGAAAACATTAGATAGTTGGTAATGATACACCTGTTAGAGAAAATGACTCGAATAGAAAAATGACTCAAATAATTGTTAGAAAGAGAATCAGAATCAGAATAATGCAATGATATCAAAATAAAGTAGAATGAGATCAGTACAGTTAAAGGAGACAAAAAGAGTAAAAAGAACCTTGGCGACTCCATTCGAGCTGAAGATGTATAATGCTCACACATACCTAGGCAGCGCTCTGGTTGCGGGATTATCATGCCGATGACGAGTATACTATCCGAATGAAACTAGATCTCCCTGCCGTGTGGACTTCGGTGGAGCAACTAGGATCCAGGCCGTCAATCCTGCACGTTTCCTAGTAGTAAAAACCTGACGTCGAATGATATGAACCTTGAAATGGAAACGTGGTCAGTATGGAAAGAGCTAGCCCATTCATCATTCGGCTATTTATTACGTGCTCTTCTATTTCTTCTATCTCTTACATCTCGGAGACACCACAAGGCACTAACAGCCGATCGACCCGATAGGCGACCGGCTACAACAATCTGGGGCAGTGGGTCCCCCCTTGGCATGCGGAGAAAGCACCTGCGATCTGATCACAAGGTAAGGGATTGTCCAGCTGAAGAAATGAAGGGCGAATTACTGGCACAACCGAAATACTATGTATCAATAACCATGTGGCCGGAGAAAGACTTTACAGTTTGGTATGCCGCAGGGGCCCTGTGAAGAGTCGGCTGTGATAGGCAGATGCCTCGCCCCATGGCGTGCTATGGCGTATCCGCGGCCTGAGGTTGCGTGCTGGATCTGACGGGACTTGTCATATACACATGGCACTCGTGGAATCTGGTCTGCTGTGTTGCTTCATTTTCGAGTCCGTGTCCTACGTCCTGTGTAGCCATGCGCCTCCCAGGAAATACGCTCGGTGCCTTCCGGGCATATTTCTTTGGGTTCTTCGTCTGTACCGCGGGTTTTCTCTTTGGGTATGACACGGGGATCGTCGGTAAGATGGAAGAGCATTTTGAAGTGTCGACAGACACCAAATCATACGAGCCGTGCTGAGAAGAAACTCATCTAGGTGGCATCCTTACCTTCGACTCGTACAAGCATGACTTCGGCTACACCGACAAAACCACCGTCAGTGCGGTGATGGTCAGTCTGCAGAATGTGGGCGCGTTCATCGCCGCACTGGGCATCTTCCCGATCTCGATGCGCTTCGGGCGCAAAAAGACCATCCAAGCATCTATGACCCTGTTTTGTCTTGGAGTTATCCTGCAGGTCGTCCCATCGCATTCACTGGTCTGTTTCTATATTGGTCGCGTGGTTTCCGGCCTGGGTCTCGGCGGTGGCACGGCAGTAGTCCCGACATACAGTGCGGAGATGGCTCCCAAGGAGATCCGCGGGATGGTCGGCTCGGGCGTGCAGATGCTGTTTGCCCTGGGTGTGATGCTGAGCTACTGGATCGACTATGCCGTGGAAATTACCCTACCCGGCCAATCCAAGCAGTGGCAGATCCCCGTCGGGCTCCAGCTGGTTCCCGCCGCGGTGCTGGGCCTGGGTCTGTTCACTCAGCCCGAGAGTGTGCGCTGGCTGGCCAAGAATGATCGCTGGGAAGATGCATGGGAGAGTCTGAAGTGGATGCGCGCGAGCGATGGTAAGGCGGCAATATTCGAACGCCAGTACGACTCAGACAAAGACTAATTACAACTTCATCAGGCCCCGAAGTCAAGGCCGAATTTAACGAGATCCGAGCTGGCTTGGCTGAAGAGTTGCGGGCAACCCAAGGATTCACCAAGCGCGAGCTCCTGGAACCCGCCAACCGCTATCGGCTGATGCTCGGTATTGGCATGTTTATGGGCCAGCAGTGCACGGGCATGACGGCTCTGGCATACTTTGGGCCGCAGTTCTTCAAACTGATCGCCGGCAGTGATAACCAGCAGTCCTTGCTGATCACAGGTCTCTTTGGCGCCGAGAAATTCGTCACCGTCACCATCTACATCTTCTTCTTCTCGGAAATGTGGGGACGTAAACCTACGTTATGGGTATCTGCACTCTTGATGGCCGCGTGCTTCATTATCGTGACTGTCGTCAACCAAACCACGCCGAAGCCGAATGACAAGGCGACGCCTGCGGGCATTGCTACCGTGGCGATGATCTTCCTGACCAACTCAATTTACCAGTTCAGCTGGGGACCGCTGCCGTGGCCGTATACTTCAGAGGTGGGTGATTGTTCGATTGCTTGGGTATTCTATATGCTAGACACTAACATCTCAGCAGATCTTCCCCTCGCGAATCCGTGAGATTGGAACGTCCGCATCGGTCTCTACGCAGTGGTTGTTCAACTTTCTTTTCTCGCTCGTCACCCCATACATGATGGCCAGCTGGAGCAGCTACACGTTCCTCTTCTATGCCATTCTCGACATCATCATGGCCATTTTGGTCTGGTTCTTTGCGAAAGAAACCAAGGGCAAGAGTCTCGAGGAGATGGAGTCGATCTTCCACAGCAATGCCGCATTTGATGTTGACGCCGCACGAAGAGATGTCCTTAAGGATGATTTTGATGAAGTGAATGTCCACCATAAGACATCCGATGACCGCAGTTGAGAATACTGGGGGGCATCTTGAAATAACGCAATTCGAAGACTTGAGCTAGCGACCTTTGTAATGTCAGCAATCATTCAAAGTATACATGGCTGCGCCAGTATATATGCGTGTTTAATGATGCTCTACTGACTACCTTGAATGTAGATATTTTGCTGTAAATCTTCTTCGGTAGGCTGTGGAATTCCCCACGTGGTAATATGCTCGTCGGTTTATCTGAGCCTGGTTTTTTTGCACTTCCTCCAGTTTCCGGCTGTTTCCAGAGCCATGTATCTGTTCATCCATCGTTGGGGGTAAGCTGGAAAATCTCATGCAATGCCTCAGACAATGGGCTGGCCAAATTACTCAAAGAGGCAGGCGAGGCAGCGGGGCCCCGCCAACTCCGGGGAATCCTCGGCAGATCCTCAGGCAACGTGACAGGTCTACTCCACATAGTTCCTGGACTGCATCAATCTACTTTTGCCAGCTCATCCTTTCCTTTCCTTTTTTTTTCATTGTGCAATACCCAATACCACTGGCTATCACTATGGCTGCCACAGAGAAACGTCCCGAGATCATCGAGCTGGCCCGCGGATTAAAGGACGTGCCCATGTGCGAAGACTATGAGCGGATGATCTCCGGCATGATGTGAGTATAGTCAACAAAGTAGCAGCGAAGAAATGATTGTATTTATATGAATTACTCTACAGGTACAACCCGACTCTCCCGCAACTCGGGGAAGCGCGCCATCGCTGCCGTGGGCTGGCGGCCGACTACAACAATCTCGACACGAAGACGGTCCCGTATGACCAGATTGCTGACAAGCGTCTCGAGCTGCTCCGCAAGCTAGTGGGGAGAGCTGGTGATGGGACGTTTATCGAGCCGCCGTTTCTGCCGGATTACGGGTGCAATGTTATCATTGGAAGGGACTGCTTCATCAACTGGAAGTGAGTATCAAACTTGACTTGATCCATTCGGTACTGTATCACAGATCTATCCATGGATTCTGACATGTATAGTGTAACAATTCTGGACACCAGCCTGGTGGTCATCGGGGACCGCGTGCAGATCGGCACTGGCGTGGGCATCTTCACTGCGGGGCACGACACCAGCATCCTTTCGCGTCGTAATTCCGTTGAGTTCGGTCATCCCGTGTTCATCGAAGATGACTGCTGGATTGGAGGCAACGTGGTGATTCTTCCTGGCGTCCGAATCGGTCAGGGCTCAACCATCGGCGCTGGTTCGATCGTGACTAAGGACATCCCACCCTTTTCCGTTGCGGTGGGTTCGCCCTGCCGTGTGAGGAAAACCATTCCTTCAGCGGAAGAGGAGCAAAAGGACCCCAATAACCCGTATCGCAACCTCGTTCGGTAGGCACGCGAGAACTGGAGATCGAGAAGGAGGAAGAGCCGAGGTTCTGCCGAATGCTCGATTAGGAAAGCGCGATAGACGTATTTAGAAACAACGAATTTTTCCCTTATCTTCTTTTCTTCTCTTCGTTTTATGGAATATTCTACTCCATTATCGACCTCCACCACGCTACACTCTGACTCCGTTTGCCGTACAGGCAAGAGAGCCACTTCACTCACCTCGTGGTGGGAAGCTGTGATGGAAAGCAGAAGCAAGAATCAGGCCCAGGGCAGGTGGCACCTCGGTTTTTGTTCGGATGGCATTCGTGACAGTTCGTGTCAGTATGCGGACACCTATGATCCTCGGGTGCATTTACAATTCAAGAATCGGAGGGCAATTGCCTTGCATATTATTACAGTATAACATGGCCTTTTAAAAATCCGGTGTAGTTGACACGCTTCTTACAGAGCCTTCTTTCCCTCGGCGAGCCGTTTCTGTTCCACCACATATCCAACCGCCCGGGCAATACCTTCATCGACTGGCACGACGGGCAGGTATGCCAGACGAAACTTGGCCTTCTCCACGGAGAAGTAGCGGGTCATACACGAGTAGCGCACCATACGGCTCGTCAGACGCGGGGTTTTGCCGAAAAGCCCCATGACGGTCTCAGCCACGGCTCCAATAGAGCCAAGGAGGCCCTCGGGAAGCGCCCAGACCTGTTCCGGCTCAACAACGCGGTTGATCAGCGCCCACATGGCATGGGTAACGTCCCAGAAATAAACGGGAGAGTCGTTGGTGATGTTGAATGCCTCGCCGTCGACGCGCTCCATGTCCAGGGGCTCGCCCTGGCCGGACTCGTAGCGCGTGTAGGTCGACAGCAATCGGTGTCCGGCAAGCATGTGTGCATAGGCCACGTTGCCGACATAGGTGAAGTCGAACAGGTTGTCGTTGTCACCCAGCTGCATCCGCAGCACCGTCGGGGATGCCTGGGACCCGTGCTCCAGGATCTTATGTGTCATTGTCGTGTCTTTTTCGCCGTGGATGCCGGCCGGCCGGATGGCGGTCGTAACCATGCCATTGGGCGACTTGCGGTTGTACTGGAGGACAATTTCTTCGGCGTCGGCCTATTCCCAAAAATGTTAGTGGACTGAGCCGGTCAATTCCCAAACTCGATCAAAACGTACCTTGGTCTCGGAGTAGTACTCCAGCTGTCGGGGTCCCCGGACATACGGCCACTGCTCATTGACGTTGATCAGGTCGCTCTGAGTATCGTGCACCACAGAGCTGGAGCTCGTGTACACAAACGCCTTGCACTTGCCACCCCAATCACCGTGCTCGCCGCCCGCGACTTCCAGCAGTGTTTTAGTTCCCTTGACGTTGACCTTGTGCAGCAGCTGCTTATTCCCATCGAGTACAGACGGCGTGGCAGTGTGAATGACGAGCTCGGGCTTGACAGCGTTAAACACCTTCAACATCGACCTCACCGACGTGATGTCGCCGTCATAGTATTCGGCTCCCGGAAGACGGTTGTGAGAAGTGCGCAAATCTACCACCGACACCTTTGCCTTGTAAGTAGGGTAGCGAGAGGCCAGCGTTGGGAATTCGAATCGCGCATCGCCCTGCGGCTTGGGCAACGCAGCGCTGGGGTCCGTCTCCGAGGGGAAATTCAGCAGGTGATCGACAATGTGCCATCCCAGGAACCCGCAGCCTCCGACCACCAGCACATTCCCAAATTCCAACTTGCGCCCTTTTGCTGACATGGTTGTTTGGAAAGAACTAAACCGGGGGCGTGGGATGCAGGTGGATGGGCGAAAAGGGGAAATACTGGGGAAATTGAGGCCACGAGTCAGCTGACCCATCTTATCTTGTCGCCCCAGGCCGCGGTTTCATTGATGAGCAGTCCTTTACTCCGTATATATCTAGTTCTTCGTGATTAATTATATATTATTATTTAGATACTATCTTTGGTCTTATTTACAGTTCACCTTCGTGATAACCTATTTTATAAATAGGGGAGCTATTTCGGTACTAACCTATTCGGCGTATCCTTAACTAATATATCTTCGTGGGCACCTAACAGAATCCATCCGTGTAAGGCCTAGCGTAGCATCAGTAGGATTAAAGACAGGCCTAAGACTCGCAGCTACCCAGAGAAGTATCACCTTTAAGGACCAACTCACAGTGACCAGTTAGGTTCGCGTAATATAATACTTATAAACAAAATTACGAAAAGAGATAATAATAATAATAATAATAATAATAATGGCCTATAGGGTTATATAAATGAATACTAATGTATTCTAGCGCTCTGATTAGCTACGAGAATCAGAGGCTGATTGATTTTATTGCGGTTTTGAGAGATTTAGCGAATTTGGACGATTTCGATAAAGATGAAGGTCTACGGTGTCGATGCTTAAGGGGGTATATTAGGACTAGTGTTCTGCCAGCCTTTCTCCACCGCCTCCCTAACCGCCCGCAGCGGACCTATAGGTAGTAGATAGCTTCGCTTCTCTTCTTCTTCTCTCTCCAACAAACAAATTGATTCTCTCTCTCTTCTACTCCCTTTCCTCAGCAGTTCTACTCTCCCCAGTTTTCCCTAGTGCTCTCTGAGACCCTTTATGAGTGACAAAATGACGTGAATGCGATTTGTCGTCCGAAGCGGGCTTTTACCCACAAGCTTGTCCTCCTTCAAATGCACATATGTATTCATCGTCGGGGTGGACTGGAAAGTCGAATATGATGATGTCTTCTAGAAATGACGGGTATAGGAACGTGCTTGAAACCCTGGAAACCTCACATTATGATATCATCCTACTTCCGAGGTATAAACTGTAACTCACCATTTGTGCTCCTTGCAGCTTTGGTATTCATCTAGTGCTTGCCGATTCATATGATAACTGACGAGGGCAAACTCAAAGCCTTTGCTCCGTTGAATTGGATCTGTGATTGAAGGGCCGCCAACTAACAGCCGATTATCTTTGACACATTCCAAACTTTTGAGTGCCTTAAGCTCAGTTATGAAGGCGGATTTATGCTCTTCAGTAACTTCGGGTCGAAATTTGAGGAGTACTAAGATGTGTCAACTATAAATGTACTTCATATGATCTTGTGACATCTTACCTGTGTGCACAATCGTCATTTTGGCCTCTTCTTGTGCAGTTTCCACTTTCGACTATATCTGGAGTTTTGAAGTGCATATATGTGTGGTGGGATCTTGGGAAAGCCACTTCATATATATATATATATATATATATATTTCACAATTGCTAATGAAATAATGTGTTTCTGTCGATTCCCATCATATCTTTCAACAACTATTGGTATTAGTCTAATAGTAATCCTCAATTTCCTAAAAAAGTATGTGGAAGTATCTATCCTTTTGCGGGGTTACATTGCAGTAGGATATACATTGTACAGCACTTTTTGCTAAGTACCTTGACGTAAGTGGTGGCAAATCACAAATTATCAGTCAACCTGATGAGAGCCTAGCTAGTAGTGTATTGGCTATGCAGGCGCTTCGTCCGGCCGAAGCAAGAGTGACCCCAACGCCAGCCCTGGTTTCCCACTTGCTTCCGAAAGTAACCACCACACAAAAACTAAAATTTATTGTTGAATTCTAGGATATCTGTACACACTAGTACTGGGGACGTCTCATCTAGATCAATGGATTAGATGCTATCTCTGAAGACATAACTGGAGCGCCGTTGAAGTGGTCTCATCTCAGAGACCTGGTTTAGCGTGTTACAACACCGATAGTAGGAGGAACCTTCCTTTCCATGCAAAAAAATGCGAGGATGGAAACCTGGGGAAACTCACCTCTGATGGTAAAATACCATCTCTCAGCTCGACATTTATTGCTATTCGAGTATGTTATAGATCAGAATTGTCAATAGGAGTTGACAATTCCTGTGCATATCCTGATTTTTCCATTCGGGGCTACTATTATTCCAGCTACGTTCTTTACTGCAGATCCGTATGTTATAATATCCAGGCAAAAGTCAATGAGAGTAGAGGAAGGTAGTCTAATCACCGAACTGAAGTAATCGAGATTCACTACCAAAAACTGTTTCTAAGCATCTCGCGGCTGATATGCCAGGAAGCCTCGGCCGATAGCCATACTATGATCATGACCGTACCACACCGGTCCCTTTTGGCAATCAAGTCCCCTTTCTTCCCCCACAATCCACTCACCGCCCTTCCTGATCTGACTGTCGCTGTGCAGGGGCCAGTACTCAACCTGTAGCCATTTATTTATTTCCTCGATTCTGTCCATGAATGTGGCTGTCTTTCGTGTATTTAATTGACCTCGGTTATCTCTATGCGCGTCTTGAGATATAAAGCCTTCGTTTGTTATGAAGCGGGCAATGGTCACATGAGCTGACGGTGCAACATAGCGTGACTGAATTTTGGTACCAGTCTCAACTGTCATCTGGTATATATCCCGCCGGAGATGGTGATATGTGTACTTATCGTCTTTGAATGTGCGTTGTGAGCCTCTGAGTCCCTCACCTGCGGCAGGAACAAAACTTAGAGCCAGGCCAGAGGTATCGAAGCATATCAATGGCTTCACAAGTCGACTCCGGTTTTTGTAGGTGTGATTGACAATCTCGGAAAGATTTTGGTGAAGGGGCACAAAGATCCTTTCTATTTCAGCCTCAGTCAAGGAATGGGCAATCTCAAGAGCCGTCATATGTAGGTTCTCCCGAGGCAGAAACCAGAGAGCTATGCAGATAATATTAGCAAGTTCTTCTAAAAGAGGATGGGCTAAATAAGACATCTTACTAGGTGCAACTTTGCGGAGTTTTCCTTGAACCTGTTCAACTAGGTCTTGTACCGATGTTGGTGGGCGAGCCCAGATAATGGCGTTGTGCCTCGGATCTGTATAGCTGGGATCTCGAGCAGGCCCGTCGAGCTTCATCAATATGGGATCTAGACTCCATCCGGGGAAATTGGAGCTCAGTATATTAGTTCTTTGCTGGACATTTCTCGTGTGGCGATGAGAACTGTATAAAGCTTGAAGTTGGGCCTTAGAATAACGCGATTTCTCGATTAGCTGACATGGAAGCAACAAGTGAGAGGAAAGTCCTATACCGGGTCGCTACAGCACTCAGTTAGTGCTGAACGAAAAGGGTTGTCTAACTCGCCATTCCAAGCTATGGCTGAACGGGTTTTCTCAGCGGCCATCATAAAAAGCAAATGGGATGATAAAAGCAATATTGTGTCTGTAAATTGTCTCTTAACGCATAGAAAGTTTAATATTATTGAGTTCTGGCGGCCTGTATAAGGCATGCGCTATGCTTCAGGCCACCGCAACCCATTATTCGGCAACGACGATCGCAACGTCACCATGATGGTGCAATCCAGGGCCAGCTGATATGCCATATACCAGCTAATTGGCTCATGAATGCAGCACGAAGCTATTTCAAATAATCTGGCTCCAAGGGGCGCCTGACTTGAAGATGCATCAATTGATCTTCTACTTCTTGTCTTGGAAGGACACAGGAACACGCCGGTGACCTGGCCTGAAGACCCCCTCATGACGCGTTTTACATAGTAAATCGTTCTCAAGAAGGACATGAATAGTGTGCCCTTTACTCATCATAGAAATTTTATGCAACTTCTTCCTCAGTCATCTCTGCCCATTACTATTCCGTATTTCGTCCTCATCCTTCCACACTCAACGACTACTTCCTTCCTAGTCACATGAGATATATATATCCTACAAGAATGTACATTCTCAAGTGTTGCTTATTCTCAGCCGCTGATTGGTTCCTATAACCCCGTCTCCTTATCGGATCTTACGTTTTGAGAAGACAGATCGACACACTGAATATTATGGATAGACTCTCAGCTTCTGCAGTGTGAAGTAGTGCGTAGTCAATTTGAAAATTTGAAATCCTAAAACTAGACAAACATTTCGTCATTACAACCAGAGAAACTGTAGATCACCACTGTTGCACAATATACGTATCATCTAGTGATAAAGTTTGTACCCCGTTTTCCATGTATAGTTGCCTAAAGAGAAGTAACTACCCACCCTGCCTAGAGAGGCTTGCATATATATGACCGTGTGACGTGATTACTGAGGCACAAGAGTGTACCGGCAGACGCATACTCAACAAGATATTCAATGGATACGAGGCTCTTGTAGAAAAGGAATGGATTCAAGCTTCAGTTTCTTGTTGCATTTCACTTAGTTCTCAATTGACAAATCTAATTAGAGTCCTCTATTGCCCTACTGTTTGACCTCTCTTGTTTTATTACTACTCAAGATAAATATCCCTGAAGCAAAATAGAACAAGTACATTTATTGTAGTTTCGTTGGTAATCTAATCTAATTTTATGCGAGACCTCGGCGCTATCAACATATTTTCTGGCGATGGCCGAGTTCGTCAGCTGTATACCATCTCCAATGAGCTGAATGTCTCGGGGGGTAATCCTGATGGACGAAGTAAAGGAGGACCTGAAAACCATATGGATTGAGATTCTAAAGAAGCACGAAATCATTTACATGTAGCAGCAAGGCATAGGTAGATTAGGCCAGGGGGCACCAGACCTTCACTGCCTAGCCTTGGCAAGCAAGATTAGTCGATATGCTGGAAGGCGTTTTCCACCACCAACGCAGATTCTGCTTATACCAGCTAACCGTCAGCGCAAGGCCTGATGAGAAGTCTACCTGCTGCATCCACCCTAGCCTTTTCAACTTCGATCCGTCCACGTTATATCTCATGTCGTTGAAGGGTCGATCAGGAACCCATTTCACATGCGATTCGAAATCATAGACTGGATCATACCCAAACAGAGACAGAATATTGGCTGCGACTTCGCTGTTTCGAACCTCGTAATCCGATTCAATGTTATAAACTTCGCCAATGTTTCCCTTGTGGAGGATCGTATCGAATGCGTCCGCGGCATCGGAACCATATAGAAAACATCGGGTGTGCGACCCATCGCCTTGGATAGGTAGCTTTTTTCCTTCCATAAGAAGCTTAATAAACGTCGGAATGATCTCTAGTTCATGCTGTTAGTAGTCCTTAAGGATTGTCAAAATATAATACTAGTACATACTTTCTGGGTATTGGCATGGACCGTAGACATTATTGCTGCGGACAATAATTATAGGGAGTCGGAAGCTCCGAAGGTACGCCATTGCGTACATGTCTGCCGCTGCCTTGCTGGCTGAATATGGATTGGTCGGGAAGAAGTTGCCATTTTCATCCACCTTGGCCTCGTTCGTCTTGGTTCCGTTCGTCTCGCCGTATATTTCGTCTGTCGAGACATGAATAAAGCGGCCGACTTTGCCGTAGATTCTTACAGCTTCAAGGACGATGTGTGTACCCACAACGTTGTTTCGAGTAAAATCAAATGGCTTGGAAAAGGAAATCTGGACATGACTGCTAGCTGCAAAGTGGAGCACACAGTCAATTTCATAGAACTCCAAGGCGTATCGAACCCTCTCTAGGTCAGTTATATCCCCATGTATGAAATCGAAGTTAGGGGCGGTAGAAAGACACATGAGGTTGTTGAATGATGCTGCAGTATCCATTCTGTCGAAGCAAACAACTCTATATTTTTCGGGATATCGAATAACTAGGTGACGAGTCACCCAGCTTCCACTTTTGTTTGAGTTAGCAACATTGAGGTGATCGAAAAGTTCAAATGACAATCTAATGTCATTCCGACTTACATGAAGCCAGCTCCACCCGTTACTAAGATATTGGCAATATTTGGTAATGCTTCAAATTGAGTTGTCCCAGTCAGCGGAACAAGCTTTGGTTCTGACAATGCTGCCATATTCATATTCTGTATGAGCATGTAGAGTTGTTTGGACTTCGATAGAGGCTAAACGTTGGACAGAAGGACAGTTTAGACATATTTCTTGTCTTAATATAGGGGCCATGACCTCGCTCTTTACGATTGACGCGGCATACCAGGGAAGGTAATAGTACAAAGTTTCTTAAAAACTAAATCTAAATAGTAAAGATGCTCTCCAACCCATGCGCACTAGAGCAAGGAGTAGCAACAATAGCAACTTCCGCTATGTGACTTTGTCTCAGACCTGGTCAATTACCCGATTAAATTTGATGCATGATGTGTAACCACATCTGGTAAATTACCTGATTTAAATTGATACATGGTGTGTAACCATGTATACTTTTGCTCCAATATGCAGATAGGTTTAAAAAAGGCAAGGGCAGTGAATATCATTACAATGCCTACGGCACCTCTCGTATAATCTGACTTGAATATACGTCGTTTCATTATCCCTAAGGGAAGAAGTTAAGGTATAAATATACTTGTCCTTGTCCAGGCTTTCATTAATATCTTGGGTTCAATCTTTTGGATCACATCATACTAACAAATACTATACTAGCACGCCCGCAAATAATTTCACGACTCTCAGGAAAACTGTATATTAGGGGAAGGATTATAATCATCATTGTTGGGAAACTTTTTTAATGTAAGATATTGCGTCTTCCTTTTCCCAATAATGATGGATACCTGCATCTACTAAAAAAGAAAACAGGAAAGAGAAATATATATAGTCCAAGACCGTGACACCATGGACATGAAGGCTATTCAAAATCTCTGGACTGAGGTTCAGTCATCACTGGATACTTTACAATCTAACAGGACAGAGTTATCGCGCGTGATGGCCCAGGAAAATGTGATGCAGTTGGGAAGGGCTCTAGAAAAGCCGAGAGACACAATCTTGAAACTATCATTCTCAGTAAGGTATTGATCCTATAATTCCTGATAACAGTTAATTCTAAGTATTGCAACCAATTCATTAGCCGACAATTGTCATGGCCGTTAAGGTGGCCATTGACATGAACATATTCCCAATCCTGGCAAAAGCAACATCTCCTGTGTCAGTGCATGAGCTCGCAGCATCGAAGCCTGCGGATCCGTTGCTAGTCGGTCAGTTTTTTTTTTTTTTTTTTTTTTTTTAATTGTCTCCACACCCGAAGACCTGACCAGGTATATCAACAGAACGAATTTTGCGCCTTCTTGTGGCCTATGACTTTGCTGAAGAGCAAGGACCCTGCAAATACCTTCCAACGGCTTTGTCCAAGGAGATGACCCAACGTACATCAGTCGGGGTTGTGGAATCTCTGTAAGATGCTACTTATGGAACACCGTCTGGTGTAGTATAGCCCGTGACTGAACGAGTAAAACGGAATAGTTTCCTCGAATTCCTTCCTGCGATCCAGAAGACCCCGGAATATCTCCATGCTATAGGGTATCGGAACCCCGAAGACCCTACGTTCGCGCCTCTCCAATATACGAACAAAATGAAAGAAGGTGGATTTGCCTGGCTCTGTCAGAACCCTGCTGCTCTGAAGCGTTTCAACGCCTTCATGGAAGGTCAGCGCGCGGATCGTGCCCACTGGGCCGACTGGTTCCCTGTCCAGGACCAGATTCTGGCTGCTGCGGAAAAGAGACCCAACCAGCCTCTTCTGGTGGATATTGGTGGTGGCCGTGGCCATGACATACTAGGTTTTAAAGAACGATTTCCCAGTGCGCCAGGCAAGCTGATCCTCGAAGATCTGCCTCGGGTGATTGAAGACGCCCGAGCTGCGGTCAATTTGGATGCAATGAAAATTGAAACGATTAGCTATGATTTCTTTGCTGAAGAACAGCCTGTCAAAGGTGATTATTCCTTTCCCTGTATCCAGGAATACAAAAATTAACGAAAATTCCAAAAAGGTGCACGTGTCTATTACTTCAGAAATATCTTCCACGACTGGTCAGACGACAAGGCGCGCATCATATTTAAGAACCTGGTTAAGTCCATGGAACGTGGCTATTCGAAAATCCTCATGGAGGAGTATATCCTACCAGATCAGAACGCACGTGCACTTGGAGGAATGACAGATATCGCTGTCATGGTATTCTGCTCAGGTTTAGAGCGCACGCAAAGACGGTGGACGAATCTACTACAGTCAGCCGGATTGAAAGTGAACAAATTCTGGATGCGTGATGGCGACGGACAGGGAATTATTGAGGTGGAGTTACCGTAGGTTTAAGGCATGAGTTGCTGCAGCATCGGAGTGGAATTTTGTTGGGACTGGGGTTCTGCTAGCCTTTCTCTACCGCCTCCCTGACCGCCCGTGGCGGACCTATAGGTAGTAGATAGCTTCGTTTCTTTTCTTCTTCTCTCTAATAGATAATTTAATTCTCTCTCTTTTCTACTCCCTTTCTTTAGTAGTTCTACTCTCCTTAGCTTCTCTTAGTACTCTCTGAGAGGTTATAAACCTGGCTATATACTAAATTTAGGTAAAAGGCCTATTTTATTAGTATAGCCAGGTAGTAGAATAGTCTAAGGATCTAGTATCTATTAGATACAATTTAATTTAACGAATTAGAGAGTAGTATTTTAACTATCTCTAATCCTTTCCCCCTTCCTAATTAACGCGTTTTAACTTTTTTTTTTTTTTTTTTTTTTTTTAGACTATTGCGTAGACTCTCTGTCTCTACATTCACTTTTGCTTGATAAATATGGTGCAATCTTGGGGTTGACTTTGTATTTGGATTCATAGCACGAGAAACCATTGTGTTCACACAAAGTCCAGCACTGCTGGCAGGGAAGACTATCGAGCAATTGATCAAGTACTCGGGGTATGAACGCAATCAAAGATGCGATCAAGCGATAATCGACAAATGGCAATTCGAACGCACCGATCCATGGGCCCGGGGGGAAGGCATTCTCACTCAGCGCTTTTCTCAACCGATCGACGGAGCTTGGTCCGATACTGCCTGCGCTCCTGATCCGAACCCCAGCAAAGCTTCGTCGCCTCCGGGTGTACCGTCATGAGCGGGTTGTACGGCGGGTTCTCGTCTTCCAGGGCGTTTATAATACCCTCAATATGACGACTCATCTCGTCAGCGCGCGAAGGGGTGTAGATTAACACCCCCAGTCGCGATACACGGATGTGGTAAAGCGGCGTCTCGACAAAGACCCGCGGCTGCTCAGCTGGATGACGGGGACTAATGTAGATTTTGATGTTGAACACACCACCGTCGAGCTTGCTCATCGGTCGGCCGAAGTAGGTAAGCTTCCAAAGAAAGGGGTTGCCGTTCACCAGAGTCAGATCCACCATGGACGCGGTGTAATGGCGGAGATTCGACACGATCTGCTCGTGATGGCCACGCAAGTTGACTGCGATCCCGGCATCCTTCTTCTCCAGGTCCAAGCCCTCGGCAGGCCAGCTGTGGGTTTCTTCGAGCACCTTGTCCTGAAGCCACTGCAGGCGCTTTTTCAGATCAGGATAACTCCATCTGCCCTCCATAGCATTTCCTCGAGCCTCGAACTGCATCAAGGGAAATACCTTGTGGTGTATCTCCTCGTCGAGGATGCCCGCTTCAATGTTATTTTGGTACAAATCATAATACCAGAGAAACCGCTGCTTGCGATAGTCATCAAAGGGGCTCGTGGGTATGTCATCCGTCTCCGGTTCACGACTGGTCCTTTTTCCTTCATCCTGGACCTGGGATCTGTCCGATATGTAGGATTGCTGGGATATGACAGGCACATTGCCAAATGCTCTTTCGAGCGGCGCGATCACTGCCAATCGCAGGTTTTCATGTCGAATCTATCACCCACTTGAGTCTCGGCTTGATATTCTTCGTGGGATGACCCCTACCTTGGCATTGTAATTTTCCATGAGGGTGTGATCCGTTGCCCCACTGGCTTGTTCAAATCCCGGTTCGTTGGTGTATGGATTTGCTGACAAGAGACTTTGGATGGACAGCAAAACCGACTCAAGTCCCTGAGCGGGCGACCACTCTTCTCCTCTTGATCCATGCCATGTTCTGTTGCAGGTTCTTAACAACGGCTCTCAGTATGGTGCGATCCATACGATTACTCTTACCCAATGATTGACCTAGGTCAATGTGTGAGTATCAGACGGGCGTGGGTCTTCCATGGGATCCAACTTACAAGCAGACTTTCCCAGTAGCGTAGAGGTTAGGGCCGAACCGCGTGCAGCCATGGTCTGTCGTTTTGATCGTGACCATCGGAGGCTTGGCCGGGTAGCCTGACCAATGTGATCAACAACAGTTCTTGCTCGGTGTCACGCGAGAACGGCTTACTAGATGGAACCTTGATAGCAAACTGGCAATATTGCATGAGAAACAACTTTCTCATTGTTTTGGGAATCCACCATACGGGCTTACCTCGTAAAAGCCAAGCTCGTAGGGGGTCCCCGGGGGTCCGACCAGGAGAGCTGTGATGTCGCATATGTTCTCTTCTTTGAAATGCACTGCAATGGCTGGCGAGACTCAGAGCATCAGTCCACTCGACTTCACAGGAGTCGATAAACCCTTCTTGCTTTTCTCATACCGAGCTGGTCACTGCTCTGCAGCTGCTTCAGCTCCTAAGCCCCCGAATTTAGCATCAGTATCGGACATCGAGAAGCGCGGGCAGTGGGGATCACTAACCCGAATCAGGCGGAGCGCACAATGATCCGCCATCTCGTGGAACTGAGCGGCAAAGAGAGCGTCAAGGAATGGTGTCGATGGTCGAAGCAAAGCCAGTCGAGAATTCCATGATCTTAAGGGTGGGGAGAATTCGAGGAGGGGGAGCTTCTGAAGAAAAGAGGTGGGTGGTCGGGTTCAACCCACTCACTCTCTCATCTTTCTGTTTGCACACAACCACACCTTTGCTGCCTTTGCTTTTCTTTGTTCGCCTGACGTCGTGCGATCAACCAGATTGTCAAGTTCCCATTATATCCCCATGCCAAGGGGAATCTACGCATTCTTCCCCACCCACGCCCTTGGCTTGTCCCAAATCCCGAGTCCAAAGAGTGGCAACTCTACGGCATCCAGGGGATTCTGAAGTTGAGTCGAAGGGATCGTCCCGCAGTTCTAGCAAGAAAAAAAAACCCTGATCGGGGGAAAATCCACGTCTACATGCCTCAAATATATTTTTTGAGCAAACCACCAGGTAATCAAGCTAATAATAAGGGGATATGCTGACGGGTAAGCATCGACGGTGTCTCCCCGTATACATCTCTGTCAGCATGGGGCTTAGGCGCCCTGGGATAAGCCGGAAACCGACACACGCCTGCTATAAAAAGGCGGCCCTGATCCATGGACGGCCAACTCTGGGTCTGTGGGACCCAAGGGGCGTCAGGCACACAGAACGGTATCTCTGGGAAACAGATTGCAATATCAATTTCTCGGTTGTGTAGATGCAATTTCTCATAAAAATAAATCTTATAGATCAGCATTCGCTATACACCCTGCCCATATAGAGAGACAGCGGTGTGTCCACGTGACGGCGTGGAGGCGTAATTAGGGGGGCAATGCCCGACCCAAACCTTCTCCATCCTCATTCCTCCCCAGCCCACTTCTTTTCCCCTCCTTTCCTTTCCCTCGCAACTGTCCGCAATTTGCTTAGGACTCGGGATTGCGCCGTGTACATGCGCCGCCGGCTCGGTCTGACCTTGGAACGCCCAACCCTCCCCGCGTTCAAAAAGTGCGCTTCGCGGCTATCCGTCCCTACACTGCCCCCCGATTTCCCGTCTAGTGATCTCGCGCAACCCCTTCTTCCAAATCGAACCCCTCTGGCCGCCAGTCATTCTCCGCGTATTGTGCGACCTACATGGAATGAAAGTGGGTGATTTCTCTTTAGACTCGAGTTGTCTCTCGCCAACCCGCCAAAACGTGGGACCTTGAATTCGGGATTTTCGACCTGAACAGCACGCGCTCACCCCATTGATTTTTCTCGCGAACCTGTGTCCCGTGCCGCTCAGCCTCGCCCCGTCCAATCCTTTTTCTTGCTTGTGCATGCCGTCGTCGTGATTCTGTCCAAAAATCTCGATCCCTTCTGACGTGACGGGGGATCAACATGCCCCCCGGTGAACTCCCGGCCAGCTTGGTCGCAGGCAAGTCCAGCGGCCGGCCCACAGTGAACACCGGCTACGGGGGTGGTTATCAGAAAAATACCCCAACGTCGCCCGAAGACAGCTTGATTCCGTTTGACTCGCCGAATACACGAACCGGAGGGGCCAATGGCCCTGGGAACCAGGAAGACAGTCGCTCGGGTCGTGGCTCAGAAGCTGACCAGTCTGTCTACCGGGATCGCTCAGCACCCCGCGATCGATCGCGTCAGAATGGTCGGCCACACAACAAGCCTTCCGGCAGTTCATCACGTTTATGCCAAAAGTGTGAGGAACCTCTCACGGGTCAGTTCGTTCGAGCGTTAGGTGGCACTTATCATCTCGAGTGTTTCAAGTGTCAAGTAAGTGTGACCCTTTCCTGCACCCGTTCTTTTGTTTTTCAGGGATCATGCTGACCGCAACCACTGCCTTAGGACTGCGGTGAGATTGTCGCCTCTAAATTCTTCCCTGTGGATTCAGAGGATGGCAGCTGCCAACATCCACTTTGCGAGGTTGACTACTTTCGACGATTGAATCTCCTATGTCACGAGTGCGGCGGTGCCCTGCGCGGCTCCTACATCACTGCCTTGGATCGCAAGTACCATATCGAGCATTTCACCTGTTCCGTATGTCCCACCGTTTTCGGCGCCCAGGACTCGTACTATGAACACGAGGGCAAGGTGTACTGTCATTTCCATTACTCGACCCAGTTTGCCCAGCGGTGCCATGGCTGCCACACTGCGATCCTAAAACAGTTTGTGGAGATTTTCCGCAATGGCCAAAATCAGCACTGGCACCCGGAGTGTTATATGATCCACAAGTTCTGGAATGTCCGGCTGTCGCCGGCTGACCACGTTTGGGAGGCACCGCCGGTGGATACGGACGCCAGCGCCGAAGAGCGTGAGCGAATTCGTCAGGAAGAGGACATCATGGAGGAGAAGGTTTATAATATCTGGAGCACTCTCTCAACCTTTGAAGAGTCATCTGCTGCTTGCATTTCCGATATGCTGCTGCATGTCAGCAATGGTGCTTATATTGATGGCGTTCTGGTGGCAAAACGGTTCATCAGCCATGTCGACATCTTGTTCGCCGCGGTCGACCAATTAGCCGCGTATATCAAATTGCAAGAGATGAAGGGTAAGTTTTCTCTTTCCTTTTGGCCTGATCTTGACTGACCCCATGTTTTAGACCTCTCTTATGGTCGGGAGGCCAAGCTCCTGTGCAAAAAGATTGTCGCTTTCTTTTCGTTGTTGTCCAAAACACAGGAAACCGGGGTGCGGAAACTAGGTGTGACCCAGGAGCTTCTATCGTTGGTGACAGGCCTCGCCCATTATCTCAAACTTCTTATTCGCATCGGTCTTCAAGGCGCTCTCAAACTTGAGCGGGAGCAGTCCGCTCCTGACGGTCTACATCACTTTCTGGACCGCCTTGCAGATTTAGAATCGCTCTCTCCGCCGGAGGATGAAAATGCTCCAATCGATCTGACGGCTGGTGTTGAGGGGCTGGCTGATCAACTCTCTGATTGCTGCATTGCCTGCAGAAACCCAATTGACGACGAGTGTCTTCTTTGGGGAAAGAAGCGGTGGCATCTTAAGCCGTCCCATCTGGCATGCTCTTCATGTGAGACCGACCTGAGTATTGACCTCCCAAGTGCATTATGGAGCGAGAGTGAAAAGCGGCCGTACTGCGTTGCTTGTGCTCAGCAAAAGAATCTCGGCTCTAGTGCTCAGCCGGGATTTAGCCAAGTGTCAAAATTGCAGCAGTTTGTCTTCTTATTAAGAGTTGCACTTGCTCGCCTCCTTGCGGTTCTCCGTGCTGGGGGAACCTTGCCCCATACTTCAGGTAAGCCTTTGTTCCGCCATTGATCACCCACGCCGCCTGCGCCCTTGCTAAAACCAGCTGTGTCAGACGACCCCAATTTGAAAGATTACGAAACCAAAGGCCACCGGGCTCGGCCCGGCGAGGTTCGCCGGTCGAACACTCGCTCTCAATCACACACCGGTACTTCTCGAGAGGGCATTGAGGAATCATCTCTCGAGCAAACAGTCGGCGAAATGCGCCGGCTACGGTCAATCAGGAACGAACGGACTTTATCCACGACCTATAAAAAGGCTCGCGCATCCCGGATCATCGACGGCCCTGAGGGTAGAAGCGCACGGCCTGGATCCTCTGGGAATGATGGCAGCGATCCACGAGGCCCTGGCTTCCAGATTGTGGAGGAGAGGGATGCCAATGGCGACACCGTCACAGATTTGTCCTTTGGGAATCAAGATGCCTTGACATTAGATGATATTCCGCGCATCGTTGCGGCCGAACAGGCCAAGGAACAGCGACCTAACGCCTACAAGCATGCTGGGACGAAGTTAATTGGAGCGGGTGAGCCAGTGGCCAAGTACAACCAAGGCCATCAGCGGGGTGTGTCCGGCGGCAATTTGGATATGCTCATGGAACCTACTACCCGCACCAAACGCTACTTCTCCGAGCTCACTGCGTTGGAGTATTTCATTGTTCGTCATGTCGCCGTGCTGTCCATGGAACCATTGGTGGAAGGGTACTTCAACATGGAAGAATTGCTGTCACTCATCGAGACTCGCAAGCCGACAATCTGGAACATCTTCGGTCGCGCCTTCAAAGACAACAAGAAAGGTGGCAAGAAGAAGGGTGTCTTTGGCGTCGGCTTGGACTACTTGGTTGAAAAAGAGGGCACTGAGTCAAGTCATGGCGTCGGCCCCGGCGCCTTGCGAATTCCGACTTTGATTGACGATTCCGTCTCTGCTATGCGCCAGATGGACATGTCGGTGGAGGGTGTCTTCCGAAAGAACGGCAACATTCGACGATTGAAGGACGTTGCGGACCAGATTGACAACAAATACGAGCAGGTCGATTTAACAAAGGAGACCCCAGTGCAAATCGCGGCGCTCTTGAAGAAGTTCCTTCGCGAGATGCCTGATCCGCTTATGACCTTCAAACTCCATCGCCTGTTTGTCATATCTCAAAGTAAGTGTCGATGCTGTGCTTGTTGGTCAATAAGAGACTAACTTGGATGCTAGAACTCCCCGACCCCGAGAAGCAGAAGCGAGTGCTACACCTGGCTTGCTGTCTCCTCCCCAAGGCTCACCGCGATACGATGGAAGTTCTTTTTGCATTCCTAAACTGGACATCATCATTCTCACACGTGGACGAGGACACTGGGAGCAAGATGGACATCCACAATCTTGCAACTGTCATGACCCCTAACATCCTCTACCCGAACGCCAAGAATAGCACCGTTGATGAAAGCTTTTTGGCCATTGAGGCAGTGAATGCTCTGATTGCCTACAATGACACCATGTGCGAGGTAAGGTCTTCGTTTGCGGGCTCCCATCGAATCAAACTAAATAGTCGTCTAGATCCCGGAGGATCTGCAGTCCATCCTCAGCGATCCTACTCTGTTCAAAGAGAATGCCGAGGTTACCACAAAGGAAATTCTCAAGCGGTATGGGGATATTGCCCGCGGCAGCTTTTCACAGAAGCCCGGTAATGGTGGCGAAACATTCACGATCACCAACTCCAACCGAGGCAACAATACCCCAGCGTCAGCACGTATCGAGACCGACCCTTCCCAGGACACGGCGTGGCAGATGCAAAGTTCTGTGCGCCACGTCGCCGGCCCAAGCGGCCACTCCCACTCAACTAGTGCTACCCCTCAAGCCGGTCTGGATTTCGGCCCGTCACCACCTGCCGCATATCGTCGTGACCGCAGCGCCAGCAACGGTAGCCAGCAAAATCCGGGCCCATCAGACGGGCAGAACGTTCCATATCGCCCCCGTCCTAGTCCAGGCGCTATGGGTGTGACTGGGTAAATGCTGGTTATCTTGTATTTTCATCTTCTCCCCTCAGTTTCCACGCACAGCTGCAATACCTGCGATACATTCGTCGATGACCCCGATTTGCATCCACCCTCTTGGCTTCACATATCATTGTCCATGGTGCATATCCGTTTTGCTTCTTTTTTGCCTTTTCTTTTCTGGGGACTTGTTTAGCGTTCTTTTTTCCCCATCTCGACTGACAGGCTTGGTTGACGGAGTTCTTGTTTCCTCTCTTCCTTTTCCTTTCTACTACATGAAAATTCCCAAAAGTGATCAGCAATCTGTTTGATCGCCCTTGTTTGTTTTGTGTTGCTTTCCATCTGTATATTCACGGATGGACTTGGATGCGTCCTTTTTGTGTTCGTCTGCATTTGATTCTGGGGATCAGCCATACCCATACCTGTCCCAATGAGACCCATACATGTATTTTGATTCTTTTCCGTTCATTCAATTCTGAGCATGCTCATTTCTTTTCCCCCCTTGACATCTAGTGCCCGGCCCTCGTCTCTACTCTGTTCTCACCGAGTCAGAACTGAGTACAGGAATGAGCGGCCTGGGGATTTCACTTCAATAAAATGCACTTGTTGCCAGCGTCCACATCATTCTCCCCCTTTTCTAGCGTTGTGTCTTCGTTGAACGTTGATATACTATCATAAAAGGTGGTGGCTAACTCTTATTGCATTTTGGTTTCACTCAAGTAAATAAATATTTGGCATAGTGACTAACTGGAAATACTGAATAGCAGATCTTAGCACCGTCTCGATTCTAAACATCTCAGCTGAACGATTTTGTTCAATTCCCAATAGCTCGACTCGCAACTACATAGGGTTCAAAATCGATGCCATTGTAGGTCTTGAAGAGTCCATACCGGGTCTTGTGCTAGTCCACCGGCCAAAGTCCTGGCCGAACCACAGATGCAAATATCAAGAACAGAAACATGAATTTCAAGCGAAACAAGAATACAAGAACCTATTAGAACTCCGCTCCAAATAGAAAAGCCCCCCGAGCCCCAAAAATCATGATGACAGGCAGCACAGCGCCTACGCACAATTTCTTCTCGACAATCTCGATGACCCACGCTCAAGAACACGATCCTTTCTTACAACTCCGAGAAAACGCAAGGTTGATAAAGCCTGCATGCCTGGTAAGACATACTCTACACACGCTTCCGCAGCGCCCGGGTGCCTCGAGCCGCACCTTCAGTGGTCGAGGCGGGTGCCGTGGTTTTTCGTGCTGTCGCTGCGGGATTGGCGGTTTTCTTAACAGCAAGAGAGGCCGTCTGGGTACGGGGAATAGTAGGTTTCTTCGTCGCAGCTGTGGTCCCCGTGGTTGCTTTTCTGGTGGCACCAGTACCCGTTCGCGAGGACTTCAGAACTGTAGTGCCCGAGGATGCGACGGACGAGACCGTACCGGTGCTGTTCTTGCGTTCGTTCTGTCGGGTTGCTGGGCGAGGCAGTGGCGAGCGGATGGTCTTGGGCCCTGTCGCAGCGCGGGTCGTGGTCTTCTTTGCTTGGGACGGTGGCCGGTTGTCCTTAACTGTAGATGTAGTGGCACCACGGGGACGACCTTGAGTGCTGTCCCAGCCACTCGCCCCGGCGGTTCTAAGCGGGCTAGAGGGCTTCACCGGGGACACGGGGCGCGACAGGTATGACGTCTGACCCTTTTCGGGCGACGCGCGGAACGGGGAGTGCGGGTAGGTCCGAGAGTTGAGTGACTTGGGAGACAGAATACGCTGGTCGTTGTTGCGCACGTCCTGGGACACAACGCGCGAGGCACCGGCTGCTGGACCGGGTTTACCCCGCCGCTTTGGGTTCTTCAATCCATCGTCCCCAGCCGCCGGGGCATTCTCCTTGTCAGAATAGTGGCCCTCGTGACTACAGGGTGTTAGTGGCCTATATCCGATTGCCACAGTCGCTGTCTTACCTAGTTTTTCTGGCTCGGCTATCGCGTGTTGCAGATGAAAGTTCGGGATCAATGGAGATGTTGGTAACGTTACGCGGAGCCTTTGCAGGCAAATGCTTGCGCGAGGGGGAGATCGCTTGTGGTTGAGCTGCCGCGGTGTGCTTCTCAAGTAATTCGCCCATGTTGGCCTTGCGCAAAGAGACGGGAATGCGGTTGACGCGTCGTTCGATACGCGCGCGAAGGTCATTCGCCTGCAAGGAATACTGAGCACGAAGCTTGCGGGCTCGTTCCGTAACTGCCAAAGAGTCAATACGAGGGTAATTGATCAAGCTAGGGGTAAACCCCCACGCACTTTCGAGTTGAAGGTTATCCATCAGTGTCTGCTTCTGGTTATGGGTGAGGCGCATCTTCTTCGCCGGATGGCCCGTAGGCGTAACATCCGGCGCGTCAACGGGCTCCGGGGATTTTCTTTTGAGAGTAGCCATGGCTGAGACCGAGTCAAGTCAGTTGGGGCGAGCAAGTCGAGAAACTTGAGGAACTTGGGGAAGTCAACCTTGGAAGGGTGGAGACCACAACAAACACCTGACCGAGGCGGAGGCACTCGGCAGAATCCAGAGCTGCACCTCGTCATCTTCCGGCTTCATCTCCCATCTCAACCTTCTATTGCTGTCTCTGTTCTCCCTTCGCTAATTCTTGACTACCTCCCTCACGTCTGCCATCATGTCTCTTGAAGCTACGATGATCATGTTCGTCACTGCTCCCTATCTGCGATTCCTCCGCTGACTTCTTCCCGCAGTGTCGACAACAGCGAAAGCAGTCGCAATGGAGATTACACGTGAGTCCAACGTTAACGATCGTTTTGGAATCCCATCTCATTCTCCCAGATCTACTCGATGGCAGGCACAGGTCGATGCTGTTAGTATTGTCCACAGTGTCAAGATGCGCGTCCACCCCCAGTCGGCTGTCGGTCTCATGAGCATGGGGGGTAAGGGCCCTGAGGTGCTGTCGACCTTCACGTCGGATTTCGGGAGCATCCTCTCTGGTCTGCACAAAACAAAGATCCACGGTATATCGCATCTCAGCTCGAGTATCCAGGTTGCCGGGGTAAGTTCGGCCCCAATCCGTGCCACTCATTAGCTCGAGATAGCTAACTGGAGCTGCATTTGATTTAGTTGGCGCTTAAGCATCGCTCCGAGAAATCCCAACGGCAACGAATCATTGTGTTTTCGTGCTCGCCGATCGCCGAAGACGAGAAGACGCTCGTGAAACTGGCCAAGAAGATGAAGAAGAACAATGTCTCGATCGACGTAGTAGCATTTGGGGATCTGGAATCCGACCAGACCAAGAAGCTGGAAGCCTTCGTGGAAAATGTCAAGAGTGGCGATGGCTCGCACTTGGCTGTCATCCCGCCTGGGCCCCACCTGCTGAGTGAGGAGCTGCAGGTCAACCCGATTCTGGCTGGTGAAGGCGCCGAGACAGGTGAAGCAGGCGCTGGGGGCGGCGATGCGGGCGGATTTGGTTTCGAGGATGCGGCTGAGAACGACCCCGAGCTGGCATTTGCCCTGCGGTTGTCCCTGGAGGAGGAGAAGAACCGGCAGGAGAAGGAGAAGCGCGAGCAGGAGGAGCAGGAGGGCAAGACGCAGTTGGGCCATATTCCCGAGGAGGGCCAGGGCGAGTCGAGCGGCGACAAAGATAAGAAGGATGATGACAAGATGGACACGGCGTAGCGCCGCACTTTCCCAGGAAATGATTGTCATGCATACCCGGCGTTTACTTCTTGTTTTGTCTTGTATTCTCGCGAGCCAGCTTCAATGGTGTGCGCTCTACAAGGTGCCAGGGATATATTGATTCGATTGGTACTGTGGCTTCGTACAGCGAACAAAAAAAAGAGAATCTCTAGTTCGTGAGGTCATAATGCTTATCCCCCTATAGGTATAATCTCCTCCCTGTCTTTCTATGTCCTTCCCCTCAACCATGCCGCCAGATGCCGGTCAAATGCCTCGCACCGTACAGGCATCTCAAGCTGGTAGAACGGGTTCTTCATCACGTAGTCTGCGTACAGCTCGTAGACCTTTTGCATGATGGTCTCCACATTGCCGCTCATTGGGTCCGTGAACAACAGAAACTTGGTCCCGGTGAGCGTCTGGAAGCACGTCAACCGAAACCGGTCTGTCTCGAGGTGCTCCAGGCCTGACGCAGGGACCCCAGGGTTGGGGTAGGCATATCCTGATGCAGCGGGTGTAGTCGTACTCGGGGAGGAGGCGGTATTGGTGGTTTGGGAGAGAGGCAGTTTGGGGGTAATGGAGCGAGTGATAGCATGGATACTAAATAGATGATGGGATGCATTAGAAAAAGAAAAGATGCGTCTTGTAATTGAGTAGAAGGGATTACCCGTGAAAAGTGCCGGCGAGGACAAGGTAGTCGTTCGTCGAGAGCTTGCGCAGCCCAGCTTGGAACTCGCGCTGGTAGACCAGACCACCGGCTTTGTTGATAATGATCAAGGAGAAGACAACCCTGTATCCGAAGAGAATGTCAGTCGCAAGGTGACAAGGCAATGGCGCAGTACAGCGTACATGATGGACGAGTCTGGTAGTCCAGACGTGGCCGGGAGAGGGAGAAGCGAGGAGCGCTAGGGCGCGAGCAGCATGCCTTGCTGGCGATAACTGGAGAGATGACACGCAAGGCCAATGGGGGATATCTGCAGGCACAAAGACAGAGCGTTCGCGGTCACAGAGCCGGAGTGTTCGGTACGAGGGTGACCGGTGGAGACGGGCGCAAAGCGACTTTCTTATCGGCGATCGTCACACCTGTCTTCGCTCCCTCCATCCCGCCATGGCCTCCGCACAGCCGCGCAAGAGGAGACGAACTGTCATTTCTTGCACTGAGTGTCATCGGCGCAAGCAGAAAGTAGGAGCAGCCCGGCCATATCGCCGACGTGTCTGATGAGTCTCGCAGTGCGACCGCCGAACGCCATGCTGCAACTGCATCAAGCGAGAGAAGCAGGTAAGAAGAGGCCCTCGCTAAGGTTTAACTATGGTCTAATTAAAACCGGCAGGCCCTTTGTCACTATGAAATCTCAGAATCAACTCCTAGCTCTGCCCGTGGCAGTGAGTCCACGGAGATTCAGAATGATTCCAACACGCTATATCAGAGCTCACCAGTCAATGGGGATCTGACACAACCCAGTAAAGCCCAGGACCTGCTGCACGACCTGGGATATTCTCGTCAGACTAATCACAACACTCTGGGCATCTTACGAACCACGGAGATGTATGCTCGCGATGATCCCAGCTCAGACTCTTTGGAGACAACCCATCGACCGGGGCAGAGCGAGTTGTATCAAAGATACAAAGGACTCGTCCGTCAGCTTCCCTCGCGGAGTTGTATCAATATCCTCACCCAGAATTTCTTTTTTGCGGTGAATTGGCAGTACGATCTGCTCAACGAGAGGGCATTTAGCCAGCAGCTGGAGGCGTGGGGGAGAGTTTCGTACGCCGATCTTCAAGCAGGATTCGATGGTATCCCCCCAGAGATTCGTACATTTCCCGCATTGCTGTTCCAAGTTCTCGCACAAGCACTATTGTACCAGCATCCTGACAAGGGGCTTGAGCCATTGAACACGACAATGGGAATGACCCTCCACGATCTTGGTGTTGAGTACAGCGATGCTGGTGCCATGATCCTGACTCTTCTGGGCAAAAGAGACCTTAACACTGCCACAGTACAAGCAGGCCTGCTGCGAGCCTCTTTCTTAAAAAGCAGTGGGAAGGTGGTTGAGGCGTGGCATGTGCTCGGAAGCACCATCCGTGATGCCCAGGAGATTGGTCTGCACACTGGGAGGGTGGTGTCGGATTCATCTCCACCCACATCGGAGTACGAAATGACAGGTTTACCGTGCTGTGATGTCCATCATCGCATTTGGATAGTCCTGCACATATGGGACATCCATATGGCGGTTGTGCTCGGTCGACCCATCGTCACGGAGCTTCAACTAGATGCCTTTGCTCGCAATGTGGAGGATGATGAGAAGCAACAAAATGTTTTCTCTAACTGGAAAACAGAGACCAACCCTCCACGCCCATTTGACATTATCCTTGCTGGGTATTCTGTGGCTTATCGATATTTCCCACAAATCCACCGGCTGGAAAACAATGGCGCCCACCTTGAAGACTATGGGGTAGTTGAGGACATCCATGCTGCTATACAAGAGAATCTACTGCGTCTACCGTCTTGGTGTCGTCTGGAAAATGCAGACCCGAAATTTGACCAATGCCCTGGTTGCCAGTGGCTACCAGTCGCGCGTGAAGGACTCTTCTCACTCATCCACCTCGTGCTGCTCACCCTCCATCGACCATATGTGTTTTCAGTCGCCAAAAGTCGCACGGCTGCACTCGAGGCGGGAATCGCCATTCTCCGTGCGCAAGAGCGACTGTTTCCGCCGTCAGAAACCCGAGAATGCAAAGTATTCAACCCGGTGTATGCTTCATTCGATGCAATTGTTCTCATTGCCGCAATTTACATCGCGTTTCCGGGACAAAATAACGAAACACTGGAAGAGGCCATTCAGGTCGTTGAGCGGGGAATGCAACGGTTGAAGAATATCGGCCATTCCAATCCCATGGCCCGATCAGCATACGGGGTGGTTTGCAGTCTCTACTGTCGCCTCAAGTGCCGCCTCAGCGGTTTGGAGCCCAGAGATGAATCCCCCAACTCGACTGGAAACCAAGAGCAGCTGCTTTCTAATAACCACGATGCCGCACATAGTGTTGGTCCGTTCAACGCATTGCCACCAGAACTGTCATTCGATACGATCATGCCTCCGCGTCCCACACATGACCTTTTCTACGATCATCTTTCAGGCACCGAGATCCCCCCGTTCGATCCATCAGATGGATTACTTTCGGATTCATTTACGACAGACTTGACCGACAATTGGAAATTCGACGGGATCTATTCCGATACCAGTTTCTGGAGTTTAATGAATGATTTCAATCGTTGAGGTGTACATAAAGCCCCTTGTGATGATTTCCAATCTGCTTCACGTCCGCCTATTTAGTTTCGGCGAACCACGCCGCAATTTCTGCTACATTGCGATCCACGCAGTCCGGTTGATCATAGTGCTGAAAGTGGGAGACCTCGTTGTTCCAGATCATCTTTTTCTGGGACGTGGGAATGGACTCGTAGTGACGCTTTGCAGCCGCTGCATTCATGCAATTGTCCCCGTGGATGAGCAGCGCCGGTTTCATGAGCTTCGCCACGCCCGGGACCGTGGTATACCCGAAATGGTCCAGGTCGCTCATGACTGCGTACCGGTTCTCAAACCCCTTCAACGTCCAGGGTCCGTACCACGACCAGACAATCGGCCCGGGGAGGGCCGCCAGAGACCCGATATTGGGGTCCGCCACCTGCGGATCCACCAGTGGCTGGTAGACGACTTCACCGGTCTTTTCATACACTTCCCGGGCCTTCTTCGCCCTCTCCAACCGATTTCGATACAGTGCCTCGCCCTGTTCGGGCGTTGGCAGCTTCATGGCCGAGATGTCTGCACCGGGCTCTGCCGACACGCACCCGGCGCAGATCATATACACGTCTGTTTCATGGTCGCGGTAGTACCCCGTCACCGAGGCCACGCCTGTTACCCGGCTGTCGTAGGATGCGACATCTAGAGACTCCGGCCCGCCTTGGCAGATGCCGACCAGAAGAAGCCGGGAGGCATCCACGTCGCCGCGAGTCGAAAGATAGTCAAGGCCCGCGACAATGTCTTCGTTTTTCATTTTGGGATTTTCCAGTCGTCGCGGCTGGCCGGTGCTTTCGCCCACGGTGCGTGGGTCAAAGATCAAGGCTGCATAGCCTTCATCCGCGAGCCGGGTCGCGTATTGCAGCGGTGCTTGTTCTTTGATGAAAGAGTATGGGCCGGTGATCACAACCCCCGGGGGTTAGAGACCTTGGTGGGTCGGTAGAGGATACCGCCGATGGTCTCGCCATGGGAAGGGTATCGGACCTTCTCGACGGTGTACTGTCCGTGGAATGGCATAGTGAATTGGATCAAGATTTCAAGGTCAATTGAGAATTGGGTAAATTGCGACCAACGGCATGGCTTGCACTGTCTTCTTCTTTATATGGTTGCCCCAGCCGTGTTTCTCTCTTAAGTCCGAATGATTTCATCGGCCCTTTTCGGCGAAAGGACTACGTATGATGCATTCGATTCGACATCCCTGGGTTTTGTGCGCCAATAAGATACAAAGAATGTGGGTCGATCATCTTTCTCACATCAGCCCGTCTGGTTATCGCCGACAGGTGGGTCGCGATGCCATGTTATCGCCGATGAGCAAATCGCTGCGCATTCTCGGTTTCGATTGCACTCGTGCTGTTTCACACACTTGATATGCGTCTGCGGCTCATGATCGTTGCACCCTCAAAGATTATATTGTGTTGCCAGTGGACATTCCTGACATATTGAATCATTCCTCCCAACTGATTTCACCGAGACATGCATGTCCCTCAGAAAATATCTAGGGGCGTTTCGCCGTGACACGCAGCAAATTCTCCGCGTTCTTATATGCGAACAACTCTAGATCCTCCCCTATAATCAAGCCACTCTCCTCGATCTCACGGAAGAATGCCAGTCCCTTCTCATTCGCCGAGAACGGATAGTCAACGCTGTACAGCACATGCTCAATTGACGTGGACTTCAACAAACAAGCCAGTGGATTCAGCGAAAACATGCCACTGGTTGTGATCCAGATATTATTCTTCCACACCTCCCTCAAGCTCCGTTGCCGTGCGCCCCACCGCTCCGAGATAGTGAAGATGCGGTCGATCTGAAACGGGAGCATCTCGCCCATATGCCCGATCACAACCTTGAGCCTGGGGAAACGATCAAAGAGCCCGCTGGCGAACAGTCGCAGAATATGGTGTCCCGTCTCCGTGTGCCATGCCCACCCGTACGCGCTCAGCGCCACCGCGACCGAGTCGTCGTAGTTCCCCTTGTAGTGCTCCAGCATTGAATCAGATGCGAATGTCGGGTGAATGTAGATCGGCACGTCCAGTTCTTGTGCCGTCTCGAACACTGTCCAGAACTGCTCGTCGTCGTAGAACTGTCCGTTCAGATGGTTTTCCACTAACGCGCCCACGAATCCTAGCTCCTTCACACAGCGCTCTAGTTCTTTTGCGGCAGCTGCTGGCTCGCCCATTGGGAGCATTGCAAAGCCCGCCAGTCGGGTGGGGTTTCGGGAGACAGCAGCAGCGAGGTCATCGTTTGCTACCGCACAAATCGAAGGCGGTATGTCCCCGGGTCCATGGGAGATCACTTGGAGCGACACATTGCCCTTGTCCAAATCCTTGATGCGACCCTCGCCGAGCTCCTCGAGCTTCGTGCGGATATGCGGTGGGAATTTTGCGTAATGCTCGCGAGCCTCTACGCTAACTTCGCTGACTTTAGGCGAGGTAAAGTGTTCCTCGAGTGTGATGAGAGGAAGCATGTTCGTGGCGGGTGTTGGTATGGGAAAATTGCAATTGACTTGACGGTGGATAAGAGGCGCACGACGCGACTTAAATAAGTCTGATGCTGTCGCTGTCGTACTAACTCCGGTCGCGATCCTATGTCCGGCCCCACGACGCACATCATCTAAGGGCCATGTCGATAGAGGCTTTGATTCCACGGCGTCTTGTGCATCACTCGAGTTTAGGAAGCTGCTGGTCGTGAATTCTGTCTGACATGATATATGTGATAGGTTGCTATGATATTCTGTGCTGCGACCATCTGCCGTGCGGGAAATGAAGGATGGAGATGTGAGAATGGTCCGTGAGAAGGGGAACAATGGAGTTCTCTTAACCCCGGTAAATCCACTAACTCCAAGCAAACTGAAGACATGTCAACATGATATGGGAGGATTCCATTCCAATAACCAGCGCTGGTTTTGGGCTGGTCGACACCGTGATGCTCTCATAGGATAGACAATTTAGTCATTTAGATCCTGCAGTTATATCCTAGGGAGCTTGTGGTCAAAAAACTCGGATAAATTGACAAATTGTTAGCGTGGAATTACAAGTGTTGACTCGAAGTGGCAGGCGAAAAATTGACAAAACAAGTAAAATTAAAGATCAACTCGAGAGAACCTTGGATAAGCTTATTTCAAATTCCCAAGGTTGCTTGAGGTCCACTGTCCACTGTATATAACCCTCCCCCCCCTAAAGCAACCTCTGAAGCTTGTTTGAGTAGACAAGCTTGTAGGACTGAGGATGGGAGTACTATTGCAATTTGCCAGTACGATTTATGCAAGGAACAGGACAACTTAAAGGTGAAGGATTAATAAATGAACGGGATCTAATAAGGAAGGAACTTGAGCTATGAGCAATTGCTTATTTCCTGGCATTTTGGTCGACTACACTAATCCACTATCCAACCTTTGATACAGTATTATAGTCCATGAAACAAGGCTCTGCACTATGTCCAACTATACGCCCAAGAGATGTGGATTCACTTTTTACGCGGGTCAACGGGGGGAAATCTTGAATCCTATGATGCAAACCGGCAAAACCCACACCCACCTCATACGGGGCAACTTTCAAAGGACGAGACCATGGCCACTGGACCCTAACCAAAGACTCGGGATCTGGCAAAATGCCAAAGACCGAAGACCATGCTATCTTCTGCGTCATTGATCCACCAGGCACGTCGGACTCACCGAATCCAGGCTCGCCAACCCTAATCTATACTCTATTCTGGGGACTCCCAAGCTTTCCCAGTTCATCTGCCAGACCATGATGTTTTGGTAGGGCAGAGTCGTGGCTGGATCAGCTTACTTCTTTTAATTACCTTTCCTTGGAATTCTGCAAATTGGGGCCATGTCGATCATCTATGGACAGTACACGTGTGCCAGGCTTGCAAATCTGGTACTTGGGGTCTTCCGTGGGGGGTCACCGAGTAATCCCGAGAGATCTGGTGCCTCGCAAGTTGTCACTGCACTTTTTACCTCCGCTCGCAAGGCTATCGTGTCTCTGCATATTCCTAATGCGGGTTAGGGCCACTGCCCTGGCTTATCATTGGCACGGATTCATCACTAGGCTCGCGCAATGCACATAGTTTTCTCCACTGGGATCATCCTCGTCACCTTAGTCTCAGAATGTGTGTAAACTACAGACTATAGACTCGAAACACTGAACAGATCTTGAACTCATTATCGTAATTGGATACCATATGTTTCTTGGATGGCATCTTGAAAATTATATACTGACATATATGCACAAGGAAAGTCATTGTCGTGGACCCCTACACCGACCACAAAGGAAATAGAAACCCAATTCCTCTGCCAACACCAAGCCATAAACCAAATCTAGGCACAGAAAAGAGAAGAAATTAAATACATGTTGGAAAAATACAAATCAAGGGTCAGTAATGACCCGCGATTTTCAGTCGACACTGGCCATCGACAAGCGTGAGAATGCCCTCGCGGAGCCCCCAGTCGCGCAACGCAAGATCCTCAGCCTCCTCGCCAAGGGAATGAAGATCATCACGTTCAAAATGGCGGCCCACATGCTCCATGCGGGCGTCCCAGCTGCCCTCTCCAGAAAATACTTCGTGACAGAAGCCACAGTGGCTCCGGGTAGGCTGTTGGCGCAGGCCGTGCCAGCAGCGCTGGCGCACGGCCTCGAGCCCGGCTTCAAAGTCCGCACGCTCGGCGTCGGTAGGCTTGCGCCGGCGCCCGAGCTGCAGCCAGGGCGCATGCATGCGGCGGTGGTGTTGCGTGAAGAGATCTTTGCGGTTGAAGTCGTTGGGCTGGCCCAAGGGCGAGGACCCGCGGTTGCATGGCGAGACAGCCGGCGAGGAGGGGTCCTTGGATTTGTGTGCTTCCACGTTGCACTTGCCCACATCGCACCGGTAGAAGCCCAGCTGGATATGTTGTGACGAGACGTGACGCTTCCACTCGTTCTTCGACACAAACGTGCTGTCGCACCCGTACGGCGCAAAGCTGCACACAAACACCCGCTGCGAGTCATCGTTGTCGGTGATAACTATGCCCTGGCGGCGACAGCTGCGGCCTGCTCTGGACTTGGGTCGTCTTCCGGGCTTGCATACCCGTGAGTTCGGGGTAAACCGGCCCTGTGACCGCTTCGGTGCTTGGGCCAGGGCCTTCACCTCGGAGTACATCTGGGGTGACCAGTGCTGTTCAGGAGTCACAGTGCGGCTCGACTGCACCTCGTAGGCACGAAACTGGGGTAAGATATTGGAATCAACTAGACTGTCCGGCACCGGGTGCTCAACCCCGGTGACGGGTTCTGTGGGCTGGAAGGACGGCGAGTTGGAGCAGGTCATGGCAGAGACGCAGCCGCTTTTGCTACTGCAGGGGCTCTGTGGGCTGGAAATGGGGGATAGACCGCTATTCAAAGGAGAGAGTTGGTTTGTATAGGGATGCATGTCGGGATAGTACCCCATCCAGTACGGCGAGCTGTCTCCATTCCACCGAGATTGCACCGACAGGGACATGTCACAGCTCTTGATCGGCTCAATCGGGGAGAGAGGGTAATGGAACTGCAAAGCCCGGGTGACAAAGGGGTGGTCGGCCGGCAACGATGTATCCCAGGCATCGTAGAATGTTGATGGCATACTGCACGGCGCCATATTGTAAGGCATGTCATAGAATTGTGGATAGTAATCCATGATTTTGAGATATAGATCGAGTGATTCCGATTTTCCGTCGACTGCAGGAATCAATACCAGGAGTACGATAGAAAAATAAAATTATTCAAGCCCAGGACTCGAGCGAGGTAGATTGTGTTTATTATACTTACTCGAGGCGGCAATGCAAGCCCCGTTGAGACCCAGCGGGCCCAGCGTCTTGAGACCTGAGTCGCATCGCCGACGACGGCTTTTAGGGTTGTCCAACGTTGTCTGGCAGTGGGTCGTCCTTGTAGACGGACCCACTGAGTCTCACAGAAGAGATTAAAAAAAAAAAAAACAGAAATTGAAAAACTAAACATCACAAAAGGAACAATTAGCCCGGTTTCTCCAGCGCCGATCTGCCAAGCCCCGCCAATCCGCAAAACCCTAACCTCGACCGAGCCGACGAGGGACGGAGATCGCAGCGCTAACGCTTTCTGTTGTTTGGACCCCAAAGAGATTGTCGCTTGTCCCTTTGAATGCTTTTCTGCCCCCAGACACTATTGCACTTCGCCTCCTTTTCCTTTCCTTCTGCCGTTTTGCCCTGAATTATCCTCCTTCCTTTTTCGTTTCAAAATGATCTACTTGGCGCATCTCCCTGTAGAAGGCATTGCAAGGGCTTCACTCAAGTTAAATGAAATGAAAATTACAAAAGAAATAAAAAAAAATTTCAACGCCAACCTGCCCCTGGATTCTTAACATCGCCTGCATAGTTTCGCATTCAGAGGGGGACCTTGCAGACACATTGGCATCATTTGCGGGAAATCAAGGATTTCCTGAACTCGTCCCAAAACATCCGACTCTAACGACCGTAACATCAAACCGCCCCCATTGACACACGATTCCTTGACGAAACCGATACCGAGGGGGTGGGGATGAAGTACAGTTTAACCTCCGAGGTATTCGACAGGCTCCACCCTTGGTAATATAATTATATAATATTCTGCCAGGCAGAAAACTTATCATTCGTATATAAACATAGCTAATATTCAGTATATCAGCTATCCTCCCTATTTATATTCTTCGAAATACTATAAGGTAATCCCTGTGAGCTCACTGATATACTTTATTCTAGTTTCTGCTATATAGTTATAGCTTTATTTACTAAAACTAGACGGTCAATGAATGGCGGTGTAGAGGCAAGAGTGGACCCTGTCGAATACTTGAGAGGTCCCATTATACATGGACGGGATGTGGACACGTCCATCTGCGGGTCGTCCCTTCCTTGGCTTAATGGGTGACAGGGCGTACACAGCACACATAATTCTAGAAAGGGTGTGAAGCTGCGAGAAAGGTTGGGTCGAAAATGCCCTCGATTTTAGGGTTGCCCTAATTCCTTTGACGATTTCTATCTCCGACATACGCCGAGCTAACGCAACATGACTCATGGCCATGTGGCAGTGAGAATCATCCAAACCGCCCCCACTAGCGGCTCTATCTGGCTTTGGATCGCCCACGGCCAATCGCATGTTTGGGTACTCGGATGAGCCAATAAAAGGATATGGCCGCCACAATGTTAAAGCCGACGTAGGCGAACAGTAGACCAACATTGCGCCAGTGTTCTGAGTACGGCATATTGAGACTGAGCAAAAACTGGTCTGTCCGGGACATGGAGCAAATTTTGCAATCTACCGAATCCCTGGGATTGTAGAGCTTGCCCTTGGACACGTTAATGTACGGGTCGAGATAATCCGCGCAGCTTTGCCCGGGTGGCGGCGAAACTTTGAGTAGCTCGATATCGGAACATTGCACCGTGGTCCCCGTCAAGCCTGTCGAGAGGACCGCCGAGACGAGATAGGTGAATGGCGACACACGGTACATGAAAATCCAAAATCCCGGCAGTTGGGCTGGGTTCGCAAGTACCCTGGAATGTGTTAGCGCGTCTTCTATCCCTGCCCAGTTAGGAATGGCGGGCTCCCATGAACTTGCCCGTTGAAGATCAAGCATAGCGAGAATAGCAACTGCGCAATATTGCTTCCAGTCTCGGGCTGCTCAATTCCTGCAATCATCATTGAACTAAACGTGGATGTGAACAGCATAAAGACCACGATGAGTAGGAACATGGTGCCGCTGCGTTCTATCACCATGTCACTCGGCTTGGCGTTGCGATAGAGTCCAATTGGATAGTACCATGAGAAAAATATTGGCACCGACATAAGGATGTTCCACGGGATTTCAACAAAAATACTGGCCAACATGAATGCCTTCCACGAATAGGCCTTGGACGGTCGTTCTCGGGCCTCGTACAGAGCCCGTTGCGTCACGAAGCTTGGCATCATTTGCTGTACCAAATTGGGGAAGATGATAAGAAGCATGAAAATGGCAAACATTTGATTCTGTAGCCCTTGGATGCTATTGGGCATACGCCAAAAAGTGAATCCAATGAAGATTGGCTGTCAGAGAAAAGATGAAATGGTTAGTACAACGCAGTCAGCGTTGCAAGAGAAATCGGGTCACTCACTGGGATAATACACATGGCAGCTTTGGAGTAGAGATACGATGGGCTTCGCCAGTATTGCTCAAACATGCGTTGGATACACACAAGAAACTGATACCATAGGGGCATGGCGAACTCCCCATAACCGGTAGTCGGCGGAGGCACGGGGTTTTTTTGCAGCTCCTCATTCATTTGAGCCAACTCGCGTCGCACCTCAGCCCGTTCTGGGCTCTTGGTCCATTCGTCAGCCCAGTCACGGTCTGCGTGAGATCCTGGTGCAGCACCAATAACCTCCAGCATCCATTCGGCTGGGTTGGCGTTGGTGGGACATTTCAGAGACCCCTTGTTCTGGAAGTACTGGATCAGGGTCTCCATGTTAGGACCAAGCTCACCAAAGTAGACTGTGCGGCCGCCCTTAGCGAGGAAGAGCAGTCGGTCGAATTGCTGCATAAGCATAGCCGAGGGCTGATGGATCGTGCACAAAACGGCTTGCCCATGATCAGCCAGCTTCCGCATTAACGTGCAGATTGACCACGCCGTTTGGCTATCCAGGCCGGAGGTGGGCTCGTCGAAGAATAAAAGCAAATCCGGCTTGGCTGCGATCTCCACCCCAATTGTCAAGCGCTTGCGCTGCTCGACATTGAGACCCTCGCCAAGAACTCCCACCACAGCCTCGGAATATTCTTCCATGCCCAGCATTTTGATCACTTCCTCAACGTACGCTAGTTTCTCCTTCCGTGGAACGCCAGCCGGCTGTCGAAGCAAAGCGCTAAAGATGAGAGCCTCGCGCACGGTACTAGTCTCGAGATGCAAATCCTGTTGTTGGACGTAACCGGTCTTCCGCTGAAACGAGTCGTCTCGCAGTCGTCCGTCCACAAGCATTTCGCCTGTAATGGCTCCCATAGTCACTCGGTTCGCCAGTACATCTAGTAACGATGTCTTGCCGGCACCTGTCACACCCATCAATGCGGTGAGCGTTCCAGGCTTCACCCACCCATCCACGCCATCCAGGATTCGACGGGGATTGCCTTTAATCTTGATGTCGTAGCAGACATTCTGCCAGTGGAAAATGGCCGTTTGTCGAGCAATGTTGGCTGTTTTATCTTGAAGTTCAACAGCTACCGCAGTCTTCCTCTCTGAAGAAGTATCTTCCGGGTCATCTTTGCGAATCTTCTTGGCAAAGGCCGGAATTTTGCCGCGAGGAAAGACCAGGATTTCGCCCTTGGACGGCTTCGCCCGAACCAGCTCGCTGCTGACCACGTATGCCACCAAGAAGAAGACAAAAAAGGCACAGAGAATACCAAAGTTTCGCCACAAATGTGACGCGTAGTAGTGGAAAGTCGTGTTGATATATGCATCGCCGTCAACGATAGCCTCTCCTGCTTTTGCTCCCTTTTGCGAGCAGACCTTTGAGCTAAGAGGGGCGTTCGGGTAACTCGGAACGAACTGAACACATTTCCAAGGCTTGTTGCTGAACTCGTTGATCATCAAGGATTCGAAGGCATACTGAAACCTATCAGCATATTGGGATACGCAAAAGGATCAGGGACCCCTACAGCAATCGGGTTCAAATAGTTCAGCCAGCGGAACCACGGGTGCATATCTCGCACAGGGATGGTGAACCCGGTATAGATGACCAGAATCATCATAAATATTGACGATGGAACCATCGCTTGGGCCATAGAGTGTGAAATGGCACCGATCCATCGGAAGATGTTAGACATGACGAGTGTGGTGGTGAACGAAAACAGAAAAAAGACAAAGAAATGACCCGGGGTACGGCGAAGATTAGGTATGAAGTAAATAATCAGATTGAAGAGAATTGCAACCAAGACCTTAGCCGGCAACTCGACAATGTAGGAGCTGATGGCTTCCGCTGATGGGTGATACAGGGCGTACTTTGCATGCTTCTCCACGATAGGACGTTGCTGCCACAGTGTCAGAATTTCCAGGGAGCTTGAAAAGGCATTCAAAAGGATGGCGAAAAAGAGCAACGCGCCGCGCTGGAAGAAGCTACCGGTGTCGTTGTCCAAATTGTAGAAAACACTGGCGATGATGAGGCCCATGATGTTGTTACCAACTACAGAGGCGATTGTCATGCTCATATCACCACGTAGACGCAGGAACCCTCGCCACAAACACAAGCGGATCTGCATGGGGTATGAAAGCGTGTAGGGAGATCCAGCACGAGTACCCTGGACCTTCTCGGCTGCACGGGAGCGGCTGAACTCATCGAACTTGGGTCCGCCTGTAGGGTTCGCAGATCGACTTGCTTCGATCGCTGCCAGTAGCTGTTTTCTTTCGGAGCTAGCCTTCCATCGCTCGGCAAATTCGTCCGGCGTGCGCGGCACTCGATGTTCGAATCCCGGACGGACGAGACGCTCGGAAGAGCTAGTCAGAGAGGTAAGAAAGTCGGCCGTGGTTTGCCTCTCCGGGCATTCAAAACCCATGTCGGCAAAGAAACGTCGAGCATCCTCAGCCCTTCCAAAATATATTTGTCGGCCCTCGTAAAGCACCACGGCTTTGTCAAAAATCTCGTAGATGGACTGGCTGGCTTGGTAGATGGCGACGACAGCCGTAGAACCGCTGTAGTCTGTCGATAAACGGAGATTGCGGACAAATTCCAGCGCCGTGGAGCTGTCAAGCCCACGGGTGCTATTATCCCAGCACTGTAGCGGGCTGCCGCACAAGGTAGTTTCGGCGATACTGACTCGCTTCCTCTCGCCACCAGATACCCCTCGAATAAACTCGTTGCCTACCCGTGTGTTCATGGTATGTGTCAGGCCCAACATTGCCATGACCACATCCCGCATGTGGATCGCATATTGTTCTCGCGTCACCCCGGGGAGGCGGTTACTCGGTGCTCTTGCATGGGCTGCAAACAACAAAGTGTCGGCGGCCGTCAACTGCGGGAAATGGATCTCTGTTTCAGCTTGGTAAATGACCTCGCCTCGGAATCGACTGTGCATTTCGTCCCACGAGATCCCCTCGTATTGCACGTCTGCGCCGTCGTCAATGTAGAGGCCGTGGGTTTCGCCGGCAATTGTTTTGAGGAAGGTGGAGCATCCACTGGCCATCCGTCAATATGTCTCCACTTCACTTCACATATCTCGGGCATGCCGTGAAACTTACCTTCCTGGGCGGCCTAGAACTACCAGCATCTCTCCGCTGTCGACCAAGCCTTCAAAATCTCGCAGAATATCGATGCGCACTTTCTTGCCATACCCCAGTGCACCCAAAAGCCATTTCGCACCTTTCAGCCAGATATTGGCAAAGTTCATCTGGTAGTCGGCCGCGGTGCCATAGCCAAACACATTGAGATTCCGAAACGAAACGCCAGCGGTTCGACGTGGGTAGCGATCAGGATCACGCGAGGTCAACTGTAGCAGGTTCTTGACCCATTTGCGGGACTTGAACTGATCGGAGTTGGGATCGAGCTCGGGGTCCTTCGCTGGATCGAGAAAGGTATTGATTTCGTTCTTGGTCGTATCTCCGACACCGGATTGGTGTGACAGGTGCGAGATGCTGCGGGCCAGCGAGGCAATCTGCTTGGAGCGGTCCTCCTCCGACTGAATTGTATCGGAGCTGTGGTCTTCGATGTGGTCATCTTGGATGTACCCCAGCTGCTGTCCCACCAGACTAGCTGCCGCCGATCCTCCTCCAAATGGAGCGGGGGGCTGTGGTGCTGTCATTGTAGAGATCGAGCTATTGCATTTAGGACAGAAAGGAAAGATGAAGAACAGGAATGGGCGGCCGATGAGATGAAATATGAGAGTCTTGGGGGAAGCACGGGTCGGAAACACCAGCATCCGGTCATCCACACATCATCGCTTCCCCGGACTGTCCTTCTCTCAGATCTACAAAAACCTCCCGATTGTGCTGTGATCCACGGTTACATTCTTTGACCGCCGCGAGGCAGGGATGGATCTCCCGATCGACTCGGTCCCGGATCCATACTCTCCGAGAAAGGATCTTGTGGAAAACACAGTTCCATCGCCTCCAAGATTCGATTTCTCTATGGAATGTGAGAGCTCTCCAAGAACCACGTCCCCAGTGATTGGGCGCGTATCGCCATCGTATTCCAACGGCCCCACGTTGGGGTCCACGGAGCAATGAACCCGATCGGGACAGCTTGAGATGCTGTTGCGTTGGATGAACAGTCTCCGAGTCAGAGATCGTCTCGGTATGCTGGTCTGTTCGAACCTGGGTTATGCTCGGAAAAAGAAAACATCGCATCCGACAGGGTCTAACAGGGTCCACATGTAGAGACGTCATTTCTGCCCGAGTCTATAGTATATCTTTGTATCTTTCCCCACCTCCTGTATAATCATCTTGGACAACCTCACATACAACAATAATTGCACTCCTCCATCACCCCTCTCTCGTCGGCATCCCGCACTTTGGGATCCTGACTCAGAGTGACCGCAACTTTCATTGCCGGGCTGCCTTCGCCATCCATGTCATAGTCCAGACACATCCATTCCTTGTCTGGAAGTCCCTTCTTGATGTGCGGAGTGATCCTGTTCTCGGACCCCCTTAAAATCTCGGTCACATTGGCTGCGTTGGTGTCTTTCAAGCCTTCTTCATCGCCACCGAAGACCCCGATCATTTTCATATCCAAATTGGACCCTGTGCCTTGCGGTCGACCAAAACTGGCGAAAAAGCTCGGCGCCGTGATAGTTAGGCTACCGATCGCTGGAGAAGTAGCGTCCCTCTTTCGCTTCTGGGTTCTCTTGGTCTTTTTCTCGTTCGCATCGGCCACTTTGACCAATATGTGGGCCAAGTTGTAGCCCAACGCCTCGGCTCCGTACTGCTTCCCAAGAGCCTCGCTGGGCGTTTTTATAACATCCATAATCTCCTTTTCTCGTTCGTCCATCTCTTTTTTTTTGGCCTCCGTTTCCTTGGCTAGGATATCATTCTCGTAGACTTCGTAGGCCTCTTCGAGTATGTCTTCTGCCTGCCATTTGATATCGACGTTCTCTTTGTAGCCCACGGGCTGGTACCGTTGTCTTTCTCGGATCAAGTTATCGAAGTAGGGGTGATGTTCCTTTCTCAATTTATCGTCAAAGTCAATCATGGCTGCGTCGTAATATGCTCTGCCCAGTTTGACTTTTTTTTGAACTCCTTGGTTTGATCATCATCGTCCTTCATCTCCTTCACCTTCTTTTCCATGGTCTCCAATTTCTCCTTCCATTCGCCTTGAATGCTGAGATTTTCTCTGAATTTCTTCAATAACTCCGGGGCCTTCAATTTGTAGTCCATCTCCTTCGTGTGACGGTCAATATCACTCACTATCAGCTCATTCCGAGTGAAACTGATATCCCCAATGGTATAAGTGTGATTCAGAACAATAGCTAGGAGAACCGTGCCGATTCCAAACATCATTCCGGTGCCTAACCAGCACGGGATAGTCGTACAATGAGCCAACCCAACGGCAGCCGCACCATAGCAGGTTCCAATGACCGGTGGAATCATCCCTCCGGGCGTATATCTCTTCACAAGCGTATCTTCGGGCTGGTGATGTAAAGTGCTGAGGTCATTTGGTGCGCGAATGTCAAGATCTGTGGTCGTGGAGGTGGATAAATGGCTTGCGGGGCGCGCGACGCAGATATGAATCAGGCAAAATATAACGGCGAGAAGGGTTTGTGATAATCGCATGTTGGATGGGTAAGGGACGGTCGAGGGCCGCCAAACAAATTAGAAGTATTCAATCCAGTGATTGTTTTGAACGGATGTCAAGATGAGAGGAAAGAGAGATGTGTAGCAGGCTGCAAATCGACTTCGTTATCATTTATGTCATAGAAACAGGTTGTGGTGTTGGTTTATATATGGCAGTGCCGAAGCAGATCCCTGGGGCCCCATGACATGGCCTCTGGGGCTTCGAATATCATTAGCACGCAATCGTTCCTTCTAGCTATCAATGATTCACGTATCGCTAGCGCTAGCCTAACATGCCGTTGGAACCGCCCCATATGTACTTGCCACAGGGTTTCGGAACCGATCTACTGTGGAAAGGAAGGAATTTTATGCGATGTTTAGCAATCCCTAAGCCTACCTAGGTAAAGTTTAGCCCACGACATACCATCCTTATGAGCAACGTCCGTTTCAGGAAGATCTTCTTTGTTGTCTCCCAACGGTCCGGTCAGTGAAATAAATCCCCAAGCACGATCGGTGGAGGCGGAGGATTCCATGGCACCAAAAGTTTGAAGCTAAGAACGAAGCTCCGCTGGGGCGCTGAAGGCGCAACTGCTTTGATAAATTACGAGATCGAGCTTCAGCTTGGCAGGTTACATTTGATATCTTATATCCGGGTTATCTATATTAATCTATTCTATGTTACAAACCTTCATGTACGCTGCTATAACTTTCAATCACGAGAAAGATTCCAAGGGTCTATCAAGGTTACTTGTGAAGAGGGTTAAGCGAATATCTTAAAACGCTTGGGGCAAACTAGTGCAGATAAAACTGCTTGGCATTATTAGAAAGTATAAGTAATTAATACTCTCAAGAATTGTGGATATTTAATTTCGTCACTAATGGTTAGTTGGTAAACGGGTCTAACTTCTGTTGGAATCCTAGATCCTCAGATTTTAGACCCTTGACATGACTAGAATCGAAGTATATTCTTAGTGCCATTGCAAGGCGTGACCTTAGTCAAGTGGTTGATGATGAGCATCAAATGACGCTGAAAGCCTTGTATATATATGATGGTCATAGCAAAACTCTGAAATGATGACTTGTGCTGTTTTTGCTAAGCCATGAAGATCCTAGATCGATTAATGGGCCTAGTTGGATTTAATTTCCTTTTTCGTTCTGCTTATTATAAAAATTCGAATTTTTCATTTTAAGAATCCTCAAAATGTCTCTATTATGATCCAAGAATGTCATACTTGGGTACTATCGGTAGGAGTTGCTTTAGCATACAGAACCAGGCGATATAGGCAACTAACTGCTCTGCTAAGACTTTCAAATTCATTATACAAACACTTGACCAATGATTTGCTTATTATATGATGCATGCCAAACAAAAATAACGTGCTAGGCTGTGAAGTCAGATTAGCATACGTATTGCCTCAAGAGACATCCTTCTCGAAGGAGTGTTCCTGCAGGATCGCTCTGACGCTCTGATCTATACCCCATTGCTCACCCGCCATTGGCGACTAGCCTGAATTCAAAAATGATTAGGAATTTCGGGAAGTGTTGGGGCCGATGGTGTACGGTATCCGAAGTACAATCATATACATTATGTACTTTGCCATAGAAAGAACCTACAAAAGGGTAAATCTCCAATTATTGCGTTTAAATTTATTTACTAAGTTCTAACTTATTAATTATAGTCTCAAACCATGAAAATCAGGACGCCAGCCATCACATAACTTAAATAAGAGTTGTTTGTGATATTCTATCGCCTCCAACGAATATTGTCTCAACATATGAAATCAAATCATGGCGCAACTAGTGACAACAATCATCACCAGCCAAGAAATCTCAGAACAACTATGACTGCCTCGGCAACGGAATATACTCTGTACGGAACCTTCTATGTACTTTGTTTTCCAGTGGCTTTCTTTCCAGTGGCTCTTAGTCTGTGCTTGGCATTATGATGTGATCAAAAGCTAACCCCCTTGGGAATGCAATTCTTCGTAGACCTGGAGATGGGTCCACAGGCCGAGATTTTTGTCCCTGAACACTGACATCAGACAGGCCGAGTCGCGTGCTCACCTACTGGATCGGCCAAGTAGACCTATAAAATGAATAGATTTTATAAGCCAAGATAGTTACGTAGGTATGTGAGGATCGTTGTGTGGATAGCCAAGCTCGTGCAGCGGTAGAGAGTGTGCCCGAGCAATACTGCCCTTTCTTCCTGCACAACTCACTTGCGTCATCCCAATCCGCTCTTACGCATGGAAGGCTTCCTGTCCGAGATGCAGGTCTGGTTCCATCGCTGATCCAGTTCCTGGGGTCACCACTTCCTCCTGAAGATGAGCGACTCGTGTCGTGGTAAGAACTCGACCACGAGCAGAAACGGCGTTGGCCACCACTACCTGGTATGAGTGGCTCGTCACCACAAACGAGGTCTCAAATCCGTCGCGTGGAGCTTCTCCCAGGTACGCACGGGATCCATAGCGGTCAGTCGCCCCATAGAACCGCCACACGGCTGTCTCGGTGTCGCCATTCCACGACACATACACCGCTGTGCCCGACGACGTCTTGTGCGCGACAATGGCAGGCTCCTCCATGGGGAAACCTGTCCAGTTGTATCGGAATGCACGGTAATTCTGGACGCCCTCGCCCAATGATCCTGAGTCCATGTACGCGTGAAAGATTGGGGTGCCATCCGCTCGGAATTCGGTAACGGCCCCCTCGGAGCCCCAGTTGACCAGGGCGTTGCCGTTGGCGAGGATCTGCGTGCTGCCCTGGGATTTTGCCAAGAGTCCATCGGGTGGTTGGAATGCCTGAACCACCCGCGCCGTCCAGGTCGCCGTGTTCACGGAAATAATTTTGCCCTGGGAAAACGGGTGTGTGTGGACTTCCTTGCCACGATGGTTCTCCGTTCCATGGGCGGAATTATCGAACAACGAAATAATTTCCTCGTGATCGCTCTGCTGGATAAAACGGGCATGATGTTGGAAACAGAACTCGACATTCGGGCCGAGCTCAAAGTCTGACCGGGTACCCCCCAGCCGCCAGATGATATCCCCGGTGGTGCCGTTGATCTTGTGCACCGCACAGGCGTCCCGCGCAGAGATCAGGTAGTTGCCCTCAGCATCCTTATCCACCGAGTTGATGTGGAAATAGTCCCATGCGTCCGACGAGTTGTAGCCTGCGCCTGCTTGACCAGGGTTGAGGGGAAGAATGGCCTCTGGGATAGAATCAGCCTCTCTTCAAGATGAGAAATGGGAAGCAGATACTCACCGTCTGGAGTGACATGCTCTAGACTCGACCACTCAAAGAGCAGCTCCCCGGTCTCGATATCCAGCTCTGCGGAATGTTAGCGGGAAGAGCCTCCCATTCTACTTTGCAGACAACATACCCTGGAAGATGGCGTCGACAATCCACTGCTGCTCTGGACTGGCACCCCACGGGCTGAGGTCCTTTGGAACGGGCTGATACACCTGCAGTAACGCGGTCTTCTCATTGATGACATGGAATTCATGTTTATCCATGAGTTTGTGGTTGCCCGCGCGCAGCTCTCGGATGGTCTCATACCGCTGGTTGAGGATTGTCGCATGACCGTGGCCATGACCATAGGCCGGGTTGTGATCGCCTTCAAAACTGAACAGCACATCCTGACCTCTCCATCGTGCCTTTTGGAAATTGGCGGTCCAGATGGAGTAGTAGGTATACCCCGACCAGACAAGCTCGCCATCATCGCGGAGGATGTACGGCGCTTCCTGGCGTGGACCATGCCACTGCGGGTCTGCCCATTGACCGGGGAACGGCGCGACAAAAAGATAGCCTTTCTCAACGTCGTTGGACGCCGGAATGGTGATATTCAGACGCGGTGGCGCCAGGTCTGTACGCGACTTGAATTGCCAGTCTGCAGCAGCCAACGGGATGAGCGCTGCCGCACAGGTGAGAGTCTCAAGAACCTTCATTCTTGCAATGAGGGGCACTAGACCAACGATCAGTCTCTCCGTTACCGTCCATAGTGTGCAGCAGAGGGTACATTAACCTTGGGTGGGTATTTTGCACTGGGAGATATTTCTCGTTTGAACTGCGAGTTTGAATCACACTTGGTAGAGAGCAAAATGATTTCATACCCCTCGATCGCGGGGCTTTATATACAGCACCCTCATGTAGTTGTGTGCGATAATGTGCGAGAGCCGACGGATGTCGTGCTTGGGATGAACATCGCGCCCTTCCCGATTGAGTGCCCGCTTTTTGCAGGGCTTTTGGTGAGCCTCCACACTGCACGTCTCTCGGGGGTTTCACGCGAATCGCAAATCTCCGAGGCTCGGTTAGCGTTGATCGAATTCCCACAGTCAACCTTTAAGTTTCTTTGCGACCGTCTGAAGTCTGTCACATACATCCCCCGCCATGGCATCGCATGAGGCTCAGCCCCCAACAGGAATTGTAGATGCACGCACCGAGACTCAGGTCGAGTCTTCATCGGCCAGATCATTTCCTGCCGAGGAGCAGCCGTTATTACAGCTCGATCCAAGTCCTCCCACGTGGAGCCCACCCCGGGGGTTCTTCTGGATCCAAGTTGGTGCGTGTTCAAATGTAAGATGTGCTTGTGCGGAGAGTTGATCCATGGAATTGCAGCGATTATGTCCAATGTATTTCTCGGTGGCTTCGATGGGACAATCACAGCGTCGACATATGCCATAATCAGTTCTGAATTCAATGCTGCCAACACTGCTTCGTGGTTGACCACATCCTACTTGATCACCAGCACTGCCTTCCAGCCGCTGTACGGCCGTTTCTCAGATTTGCTCGGTCGTCGCGGCTGTTTCTTCACAGCGACTCTTGCCTTTATGAGTGGCTGCTTAGGCTGTGCTGTGGCCCGGGATGTAGTCTTCCTCAATATCATGCGCGCGCTAACTGGCATCGGAGGCGGAGGTTTGATGACCATGGGTAAGAAATTTTGCTATTGCAAAAGAGAAACATATCACTCATATCATACCAGCAACCATTATCAACTCTGACCTTATCCCCTTCCGCCAGCGTGGCATGTACCAGGCGATTCAGAATGTCTCCAACGGCTTCGGTGCTATCTGCGGTGCCTCATTCGGCGGGTCGATCGTAGACTCAATCGGATGGCGCTGGTGTTTCCTGCTGCAGGTCCCGGTCTCTCTGCTAGCTCTTGTGATGGGTTATTTTGTTCTGCAATTCCCAGCAGACGACCACGAGCAGTCGCCGGATGAACCGTCTCAGGGCATTTGGCATCGCATTGATCTTTTGGGTGCTTGTCTTCTGATTCTGGCGCTGTCCAGCCAGCTAGTTGGTTTGAGTCTGGGTGGGAATGAGCTGCCTTGGTCGAGTCCCTGGGTGATTTCGCCTTTGGTCGCCAGTGTGGTCTTCCTAGCAGCCTTCATCGCCGTTGAGGCAAACACCTCTGCTGCTCCTTTGATTCCCCTGAAGATGCTCCGTGGTGTTCTTCCTGTGTCGACGCAAATTGCCAATGTCTGTGTGGGAATGACTGCGTACGCAGTAAGTCGATATTCTCGAGTTGGTTGGCGCTGCGGCTGATTCAATTGCCATAGTACCTCTTTACTCTTCCGCTTCTGTTTCAGGTCATTCTGCTCGACACGCCTAGCAAAGCGGGAGCTCGTCTGGCAATCCCATGCTTGGCCACTCCCCTGGGTGGCCTCATCTCCGGCATCGTCATGTCGCGTTGGGGCAAGCTCGCCTATCTTGTGCGGACGGGTGCTGCGCTGATGTGTATTGGGAATTTTCTGGTTATGCTCCTGCAATTCAACGATACCGAATGGAAGTACTTTGCCTACGTGATCCCTGCCAACCTCGGGCAAGGGATCGTCTACCCGGGTATTCTGTTCACGTTCCTCGCAGCGTTCGATCATGCCGGTACGCCATTTCTTCCTGTTCTTCCAGTGAACCACTACTAACAATATCTTTTGCCAATGCACAGACCATGCAGTGTCCGCCTCGATCGTCTATCTCATCCGCTCGCTCGGAACCGTTTGGGGCGTTGCCGTCACTTCTACCATCGTGCAGAACACTTTGAGCTCGGGCCTCGCAGAGGCCTTGAGTGGAATACCAGACAAATGGAAAGTACATTCCCTGATGAATTGTACTTTGATGGGGCCCCCGAGCAACCCATGCTGATCACTTGGAATTTTGTTTTAGGTCATCGATGAGATTCGGCACTCCGTCTCCGCGATCCATGATCTGTCCCCAGATGTGCAGATGGCCGCACGATTGGTGTACTATCGGGGCATCCGATTGTCGTTCGCGGCCTCCACGTCATTTGGCTTCGTCGCAACGGTTGCCGCATTTTTCACTCGCGGAAAGGGGCTGGAACGAGGACATTAACGACGCTCGGGCTCTACGACGACTCGGTGGCGGGAGAGTAATCTGTCGATCGCCTCGATGTTAAATCCCTGCCTCCGCTGTCTCGCTAGGTCAGTGTGTAGCCCCTAACGGCGGGGCCAAAATGGAGAAAGAATGCCTCTTTCAACTTCCATATTAGCGAGGTGAAGGTGGATCGCACAGTGGACCGCGTTGACAAAACTTGGGAGAATGCAGATCATTCACTTTGCTGAAAGGGTTGGTGATATTTGGGAGGACTTGGCTGTCAGTCTGTGATTTTATATAGTTTCTATAGACTTTTCAAATCTCGAGTCATCAATTTTTTTTTTTTTTTTTTTTTTTTTTCCCCTTTTGTTTAAACTATATTCTCCAAGAAGAACTTGGATGGGTTTGTCATTCATTCAGACTTCCAGAGCACCAATACAAGTCTATTTGACTTGAGGGCGCGCGAACACCTCCCATGTGGCCACTCAATCAAATCGGACAATTCAAACATCCGTCTTCAGCACCACAACACTCAGGTTGGGCAGCTTGAAGCTAAGCACACCCTTCTTTCCAGCCTTGATCCGGGTTGTCTGGCTGTGAACCAAGTTGGGACCGCCCACCTCATTCATGGAATAGGCATCCGGCGCCGTCAGCACAGTCAACTTCGCCGTTGAACCACGGCCGACGCCCTCAAAAGACAGCGAGACAGGGACATCGGCTGTGCTGTTGTAGACGGCAGTTTTGAATATGTGCGAGCTAGTTTGGTTGTCGTGACCAGCGACATAGTACAGTGGACCGAAGGCATCAGGGGAAGTTGCTGGAAGGGTATTGGTGAGGTGGTTGTGATTGAAGAGCTGGTTGATGATGAATATGAGATTTAACCATTTGAACAAAAGCAATGGGTACTTACGCTGTAAACATGCCAACTGGTCGAGCGCACTGTCTGGTCTGGGTCGGCGTTGAAAGACAGCATGGTTGGGGACTATTGGTATTTGTCCAGGTTCATCAAAAAGGGAGCCTGCTGCTGCGTTAGTATTTTTGGAGAAGTATCTCGCGTCACTTACATAGGTCGCCCCGATGATCTTGTCTGCATTTCGCTCGGCACCCAGAAAGACAGCTTTGGCAACAGACCCGATCCACCACGGATATAGAGAGAAGTCAATGCTGCTCCAGTCGACGCCAACGCCGTTGTTATACTCGGTCGCAGCGATCTCACCTATTATTATCACCATCAGTCAACTGCAGAACACTCGTTGATCCCCGGTGTCAACTTACCAAGCAGAATCGGATGCTCGGGAGAGAAGCTATCGAACATGTCGAATTTGGTGATAAAGTTGTCTGGAATATCATACAAATGATAATCACCGCCCGCCTTGCCCGGGATAGTCATGTCAATAGTTGAGGCCAGGACTTGGATGTCCGGGTATTTGGCCGTGATGGCGTTGTAGAATGCCGAGAACCGGTATGCTTTGTATGTGCTAAGTCCGTTGTTGAGGTTATCCTCATTGCCAACCTCCACATATCGGATTTTCCACGGCTCTGGGTATCCGATCTCTGCTCGTACAGAGCCAGTCAAGAATTCTAGTCCATCTAGTGCATCCTATACGTAGGAATCGAGGTCGGCTTCAGGAACAACATCGCCATTCACGGCGAGCCCAGCCCACACGCCGAGGACTGGACAGAGTCGCTGTCAGCTGGAATCTCATTATAATAGAGAATGCACTCACTTGGCTCCATCTCAAGGTCGTCACACCATTCCATGTACTCGACTAAACCTAACCGAAGAGTTTTCTGGTAGCTCTATGTCGTGGCGTGTCCTGGTCGGTCTTTAGGGGGCCCAGTGGTCTCGTTCCATTCTAACGACAGTCAATTGTGTCTCCCTCAAGGTTGTTGCCCCCGGGGAAGCGCAAGAGTTTCTGATGGGGTCGTTAGAAACCGGGAGATATATAGCATCACAATGGCAGATCAAAAACTCACAGGGCCAAGATCTTTCAAAGCTTGCATTAAATCCTTTCGCATTCCGTTGGGACGATCATTCCATGTTGGCGGGAATAGACTAATTAAGTTGAAGTGGAGCGAGCTATCCGATGTTTTCTAGAAAGAATGAGTATTTTCAGTTATCTTATAGTTTCGTACTGACCGAAGCATCGAAGGTGAGTGAAAACGTGTTGATTGTATCCGAAGCAGCTTTGGTTGGGCTGAGAACAAATTTATGCTGCACCCAGTCGTCGACAACACTCTTTGAGCGCGCTTTGACGCTAGCGAGGGTCTTTTCGCTAGTCGCTGACTTGAGAGATGCCGTGAACTCTCCCTTGTACGCGCCCTTGACGTAAAACGATCTACTATACTTCTGGGGCCGTATATCAATTCCCCAGAAACCCTCGTTGCTCAGACCAACGGTGCGGTTTCCTTTTACCTTGGCCGAGGTTGGAAGAGCAGAGGAAAGTGGGCTGCTAAGGCTCTGAAGGGACAGCGATGAGTCGCCTACAGCCGACCACGTATCCAGTGACGATGGATACTTGGCGCTACCTTGGAATGCTCTGTTTCGGATTGATTCTGCGTAGAGGCCTCCTTTACCGCAGTGGTTGATTCTCTAGAAATGATTTTAGATATTTACCTCGCAGTCTAATGATATTATATACCTCTTCCATCGCACCATACTGCAGTCCACTTGTCACATTGCCGCCGGATTTTGCAACAGAAATCTGGACAGCTGTGCTGTATGATGCCAACAGTGGCAAGAGGATATACTGAGGTATCATAGTGCGTGTGAAGCAAGACCAGCTATCCTGATCTGTAGATCTTTCTTAAAGACCCCGCTAATATGAGCCCATGGGCAGACCTCGACAACATTTATATCTTTCTGCTACAGGCAATGATCTGTCTCTGAGTGGCATTGGCCAGCCCTCTTGGTGACTCGACCTAACGTAGATCCATCCAACACACTCCTATTATAACTTGACTCCACCCCTGGCTTTTTACACTCGAGATTCTCAGAACTGAATTCAGATGCAAAGTCCTCCCCTACGCGCTTTGGCTGATGGCAGCCCGTATATGGCATCCGGTGGTGAGTCCATTACGCTTTTGAATGCCTCTTCAACTTCACAAACCAACGAGTCATCTGAGATTCGACGCCGAAACCAAAAGAGTCCCCCATAACATCTGACTCGCGGCCAGAGCTTACGGCGGTCCATAATCGACCTTGCCTGACGCGCATAATCCATTCGATCAACGTATCGTCGCCAGAAGGGCCTGCCAGAGGAGGAAATTAGTAAATGTTTATTTTCATTCTCCGTCGGCAGGCTTCTCAATGTTCAAAGGGATCGACAACTTCGAAACTCAAGACTCACTTGTGTTGCCATTCCTCCAAATAGTGAAGTGCTTCTTTGGTTAACACGCTGTCCGGGCCAAACACGCGTTCATACAGCTGAGCACACTCGGCTATCAATGCAACCGCTTCTGCATCTCGCCCCTGACTTTGCTGAAGAGAGGCTAGATAGAACATGACACCCATTGTGGCCGGGTGCTCCGGCCCCAGGAGTCTTCTGTCTCGTTCCACAGCTTGAATGGTCATTTTCTCTGCATCCTTCCACCGGCCCTGTCGCGCGTATATGGACGCAAGTAACGCCTCACTTGACACGGTATCAGGATGCTCGGGCCCACACATCTTTTTAACCATAGCCGCACTCTGCATACACAGCCTCGCTGCTAACGGGAGTCGACCCTGGGCTAAGTAAGTTGACACCATGGTATTAATAGATGCCAATGTGCAGCATGCCATCGGTCCAAACAGCTTGAGTTGTCCTCTGATGGTAAAGTTAGATAGCCATTCCGCAATATTTTGGTTTCCCAAACGACAGTGAATCGCGGCCAGATAAGACATGCTACTGAAGATATCAGTATGGTCACTCTCAAGTACTTTGACCTGACTGCGTAAAGTTTCCGTCAGTATATCTTTGGCCTCTTCCACGCGACCGTGCAACTGATAAAGATGCGCTAAGAAGCACAAACAGTTGAGTAATTCGGGATGATCAGTGCCTTTGGCCTTCTCAGTCTGTTTGATCAACTGGAGGGTAACTTTCTCCGCCTCCTTTAACCTTCCATCCTGTTTCAAAGCAGTGGATGCTTGGACCATTATTCTGCATCTCGTCGTTGTGTATCCGTCCGAGGATGTTGCGTCAAGAATGACAAATGTGTGAGGTAAATACGCTTGCCATATACCGCGATAATATATATCGCTCATGGGAAACTTCTCATACAGTTGCTGGAGTACGTTCTGCTCCCATTGATGCAAGGTTGCATTCGAACGTAGAGAGTTTCGCATTGCGAGATGAACAAGACGATGTAGATCAAGAGACTGACGATCGGACCGGAGACGTATGAATGAATAAGCTTGCAGAACGCCTATTGCTTTTTCCTGTTGGACTGGGCTTGGGGATGGGAGGAGAGATATCGGGATATTTCGGAAATCAATGCACGCCATAAATGACAAATACTCCGCAGCAAGCGGGTGTTGCTTCTGGATATGGGCGAATGAGGTCAGCCAGGTAGTCGCTATAGGGTTTCTGCTGCTCCTGTATCTGCCCTTGTCTTCGAACTCTTCACTTAAGAGATCGATGACATCTTGCTCCTGTCCATCAAGTAAGGATATGTAGCTTGAAATGTCCGTGTCATTTTCGTTGATGAAAGCTGCGGCCTGTGCAATGGCAAGTGGGAGGTAGGTTAGACGTTGCAGGAGTTTCCTTGTGCTTGGCTGGTCGATCAACAGATCCTTGTTGACTAATGAATTTCGCAGTACATCCGTTGCACTTGATTCCTCCATTTCAGGTATCTCGATGACGTGGGTCTGGGCCAGATAACGTGCGACCTTGAGACTTCTCGTGGTGAACAGAGTGGCTCCCAATGAGGTCTGTGGCAGCGAGTCCCGAGACAAACCGGGTAGAGCTGGATCACTCGTATCTTGATTCCACGTGTCGATGTCATCGGAGTTGTCGAAGATGAGAAGCCAACGGCCAGTGTCCCATTGTTCGAGCCGTGTCTTAACCAGCTTTGTCACATCATCCTTCTCTTGGTCAAAACCTTGTATATCCAGTTGATCTGCAATTCTCAAATATGCCTGCTGGATGCTTTCACGACTCATCGCAGGAACCCAGAAAACTGAGCAGTCGGTGAACTGTTCCCGTATTTGATACGCCAATTCGATCGCGATTTGGGTTTTGCCTACACCACCGAGGCCATATATCGCCCTTCTTGGCGCCGATTCGAGGTTGAAAAATCCTTTTTTAACTTCCTCAAAGGTGTCCCGGTTGACATAACACGGATTTCGCTCGAAAGGAACCATCCAGCGAGGGGGTCGGGGGCACAAGAACGGGTTTCGCTGTGCTTTGAGATTTTTTTGGCTTTGCAGACGAATGGAGCGTATAGTGAACTCCTGCATATTGTTAATTATTGTGTTTCATGCGGCATATCAGAAGGAACTTTGAGCTCACCTGTACGCTAGCCGCAAAATCGAGGCTAGTATTTCCTGTGTTAGGTTAGCCAGGGCCGAAGACGCCGACAGCTAGTCAGTGTGGGTGAGAATTTCCGGAGTATAGATACCTTGTTTTGCAGCGAGATTCTGGATGCATTCCTGGATCTGAGCCTTTTGCCTCGGGTGATGGAGGTATCCCTGAGTTGCCGTCTCGATCAGGCTCCGTTTCTGATAATCAGACATTCGAACATCTTGCATTCCCTGCTCGACATTGAAGCGGAAGCACCGTCCTTCCTTACATTCCTTCCTCCAACGAGCCATGAATTTTCTCTCGGCGCCTTCTGGTTTCGTTGCCATTCTGACCAGGGTTTTCGACAGAAACTTGATGATGTTGTCATCTATGGCGCGTTTGCCGGCATTTCCTGTACCAATTGACAGGAGACATTTGACCAGTACCCTGAGATTGCCGTTTGAAGGACACCATATATCGCAGGCCTCTTCTTCCATTTCATCGATGGGGTTATTGGCTCCAAATGCGCCATCGACGAATTGCCGGTCTCCAAGAAACACCGGCTCAAAGTACCCAGTGGCCGCCGAAGTTGCCAGTGCAGCCTCGCAAATCGTCGGAGTGGGCGTGTTTTCATCTGGGGCACCATAGCTTCGTAGGCGCGTAATTTCCAAAGTCTCTTTAGCCGTGGCACAGACAAAGACCCGGCAGCGACGAACTTCCCCATCATTCAAAAGGTCCTGCGGCGATGCACCGCCGCGAATAATGACTTCTTCTATGGTGGTTCGCAGCTTGTTGGAGTCGTACTGTGCCTGGATATTTCCCGCCCAGTCGAAAGGCAGGTTGCTGGCCTTCTCGCTGAATACGGACTTCATCAGTTGACGATAAGTGTCAATGCATTCGTCAACGTCCATCTCCAATCTTCCCAGCATGATTGCAATAAGCCTGGTGTTGTTTCGAGAAAATCAGTATTCAATCCTGGTTCTCTAAATCTCAGACTTACCCCCCAGTACTAGTTCCAGCGATTAGATCGAAGATATCGCATGGCTTGAGAGGCTGCCTGTTCCCGCGCTCAGAGTTGACTAGTGTCATGATACATTTCAAGATGTACAGACTCGATAGTCCTCTCACTCCCCCTCCATCAAGAGACAAAAGGCACAGCCCATGGCGGTCGACAGGGTTTGGTCCCAGGTGTTCAGCGAACATCGGCACAATCCTAGGCCATGGGCCTATTGACAATGATTCCCAAAACCAAGACTTGCCAGGAGTCGCAAGAGCCTGTGGTCACGCCAATTGAAAGGTCAAATTAATTTTGAAGGGGCAATTTTGACAGGGGAATGTGGGGGGGATTGGGTGCATTTTGAAATAAAGTACATAGCCCCCGAGACACAGCCACCGAGTTGTTTCAGATGAGATGGGCGCTTAAGTGTCGAGGAGAGCCGATCCGCCTAAGAGAACAAAGATGGGTTGGCAAGCAGGGAACAGGGCACGAATGGTGAGGTCAATTGATGCGGATCATTGCTTGACAATTCCAGTGTTGAAGTTGGTCGATCAACAAGAACATGCGGGAATTGAACTTGGATGGGGGGCGGGGGGGTTCTTCCGTCTACCATGTATGCCGGCTACAGATCGGGATGAAAGTCTCGAATCCACAAAGGCAATTTGGAGTTAATTTTAGAACCAATATCAAGACCAGTTAAGGTGATGCGCAAGCTAGAAAAGCTTGAGAATTGGGATCCAGTGGACAATCGTGAAATAACTCTAGAGATAAGAACAGATCGTGCCGGGTCAATCTCCAGACGCAACCGAGTATCTCCAGAGCACCCAACGCCGTAAATGAAAGATGGAACAGGGGTCATTGAAAGTGAACTTTAACACATTTCGCAGCACTCGATGCACTCAGCGCAGCACTCACATCCCTCCTCACACACGAAACAACAGCAGAGAGTTGCCAAGCTAAATATAGGTATTGTGTTAGAGATGTACATGAGTTCGATACTGGGATTATGACTTACCAACCAGCGAGACATCCCTTGTCGCTGCCACTGCCCTTCTGCTGTTGCTGGTATTGTTGATTGTGATGTTGCTGCTCCTGCTGGTAATAGGGTTGAGCACCAGGCGGAGAGACATAGCCCTGGGGATTAGGAGGGTAGTTTTGGGCAGGATATCCTGGCTGCTGATATCCTGGCTGCGGATAGCCCTGTTGGGGGTAGGCTGCCTGGGGCGGATATCTGGGACAATTCCGAAAGTCAGAACCCCAAAACAAGAATAGACGGTAACAGCGGCAGGTTTAACAAGGGATGGACCAAAAGGGATGAACTCCCGTTACGGAAATCACTGGACACGGTCTTGAAAGGAGCGACTTACTCGGGTGCGCCGCCGCCGTAGTAACCCTGGCTAGCCATAGCGACAATAAAGCGTCTAAAAGTAAAGAAACACGAATCAGCAACGCGATCACAACCAACACGACGATCACTCCCAGCGCGTCGACGTGATGAAGCCTGAAAATAACATCGGAAACACGCCACGGCGGCTAAGGAGCCACATACCTGGGAGGAAGAAGAGAGGATGAGGATTAGACGACAGAAACAAGGGCTCTGAAACGAGGCGACGAGGGGTTAAGCGAGCGGCAAGGGAAGTTAAAGATTCGAAAAGAAAAGAGGAGAGACGACGTGAAGAAGACGAGGTGAAGAAAGTCCAGAAAAGAAAGAGGAGAAAGGAGGAGCGGAGCTCTGCCTAAACCCTAAGGGAAAAAGAAAAGAAAAAAAAAAAAAGGTTGGGTACTTGGGAGGTACATCACTTGGCTCGGCTGGCTGCTACTCTTGGCTTGGCTCAACGCAGGGCTGAGGTACCCGGCTGGTACCGGTTGTTGTCCCCCTTGTATTTTCTTATTTTCTTGTAATCCGTGGTTCTCTTTCTTCTCTTCTTCGTCCCACGGCCCTGGATTGTTGTGGTTTTCTTATTGTCTGCCCATGCAACCCCCTTCTTTCCTCTCTAGGTACCCTCCATATTCCTCTCTTTTGCGGCCTATTCAGCTTGGGCAGGTGGCAATACACCGGGATGTATCTCAGCCACATCCAGCCCTATCACCCTCCGACTCAGTCAGCCACAAAGGCATCTCCACTGGTCCCCGAACTATTGGATATCTGGCCAGCCACTGACCCTCTCTACACTCTCCACCGACGATGCTGGGCCACTCACAATCCCGCCCATCGAAGCGACCGCGTCCTTCCGGAAGATCGGCCTGCCATTTTCACCGCCTGTATTGTTGCTGCCTGGGGAGAGGAAAGGGGGTACCGGGCACTGGGGGGGCCGATCGGCCCACCACCGCCAACCCAAGTACCAGTAACTTTCTCCCCGGGGTCTCTCCCCTACGAGTACAAATACCAGCATACAACGCTGTGCCACCGTCGATTAAGCACATGAAATTCCTCTGTGGTCATGATTATTTACATCGCGGAGTGAATCCCCGCATTTCGTGTCTCGTGCCATTTTGCCGACCTTCTTGATCGGGGCCCATGCGAAGTCATCCACTGCAGCCCATAAAAAAAGGTTCAGCCAAAACCCCCGCGGAGAATGAAGCCAAAATATGTCGACAAAAAAAAAATAAAAATAAAAAGCACAAGAAGAAAAAAGAAGAAAAAGAACTAACCCCCAGACAAGCTAACCCAGCATGAATCACGTGGTCATAAAGTACAAGAATCAAAACCCAGCATATTAGAGCCAGCCTATGGGAAACTATCCAATATACGAGAACACATAAGAAGACAAAACTACAATCGCTCACATGACATATGACTCGAGCTCCGACGGCAACGGTGGCTGGGAGTCGAGGTAGAACGGCGCATCCAGCGACGGATCAAGACCAAGCGATGTCGCAGGGAATGGGTCGTATCCGTGCATCAAGATCGACTCCATGCCGACGGATGCAGTGCCATCGGACAGTCCGGTGCACGGAACGGCATCGGTGTCGAGATTGGGATGGCTGTCGTCGGCCAGGGCGTCCGAGTCACGGCGGTTCACGGCGTTATCGTCGGCAACCTCCTCGGTCTGGACCATCCAGTGCTTGAGGACCTCCATTGGCGGGTGGTTGCCGCCACCTTTACCACCGCGCTTCTCACTATCCTTGCCGCGACCGCCGCGGCCGCGCTGGCAAGGATTGAAATGCGTTCGGCGCAGGTGGGCGGCGGCGTTGTAATTGGCGCCGTACCGCTTGCCGTTGCGACACGCCTTGCAGTTGGCCAGGAAGCTCTTGTCGGGCGAAATGTCGACGCACACCCACACCTTGCGAACGGTCGCATGGACGCGCTCGATGTGCCGGCGAAGTTCATGCTCACCGTGGAAGCCATCCGACTGATCGTTGCACAGGTGGCAATATGTCTTCTGTCGCGGTGGCCGGTGTACCGAGGCTTTGGGGATGGCGGTGACCTCCTTTGCAGTCCCATCGGCCGATGAGATCATCCGGACCATCTTGTGCTGGTCTGTTGAGTCGCGCTGCGGTGAGTCGTCGTGTGACTCTCGCTTGGGCGCGATGGGCCGGGTGCCCTGGGCGATCTGCTCTTGGGTGCGTCGAGCGGCACGCGAAGGCTGCGAGTCTTCGGAGCTGCTACTGTCGATAGACTTGGACGGTTCCACCTTCGCGGCATTGGCGGAGGCGGGGGCGCTGGACCCGGGGAGATGGAAAGAAGTGGTGGGAGGAGCGGAAGTGGAGAATGCAGAGGGGTGTGGGAAAGAGAAGGATGCGGGATCTAGGTCAGGATACGCGGAAGAAGGGAAGGGGTCATGGTACAAAAGACCGGCGGTGGACGTGGGCACCAACTCCGGTGGGATGGAATAGATCGGGTCCAAATCCGCCTGCGGTCCCGACGAGTCGAACCGAAACATGTCGAAGCCGCCACACAGTGATTCGGTCGTCGAGCTGCGCGTCATCTCCACAGCCGTTGCGGGGGATGGATCAGCCAGGGAGGTCCGGTCTGTGTCTTCGAGCGGTGACGGTCCGGTCGATCGATATGCAGCGAGCCCGGCAGCCAGGACGGAGCCATAGGGAGGGCCGCGTGAGTCATCCAAATATTGCTTTGCGTATTCGGACGGCGAGTACTCGTCGACGTGGTCAAGGCGGCGCAGTGTCCGAGAAGGCCCGAAGGATTGGCGTTTCCCCACGGTTCCCCCAGCCGGATGCCGATGGGCGACGGGGATCTGCTGGCTCTGAGAGCGGACCATGGCTGTGTGCCGGTAGGACCCCTGTCCCGCGACGGATGCACCCTTCCGGGCCATGTCGGGGGAGGAGGCATGCGACAGGTCGCGCATCAGGTCGGTCACCGGGAGGTCCGGGGTCTGCCAATTGTCAATCCAGGGGTTTGGCGGGCAAGGGAGACAAGAGACACAAGGAGTTTGTTTTGTTCAGGAGAGCGGAGGGACGGGATGGGTTCAGACGCAGAGAAGGCGGGAGCAAGAGACCAAGGTCAACATACGGTGGCTCTCCGTTTCGCCCGGGGAAGACCAGAACCAGGGGATGGTAACGTCCGCGGAGTCGCATCCTGCCGAGTCCGTTTCCCCGAATTTCCAGAGGGCAGATAGTCGTGGGCCCGGGCTGGGATGAACTGGCTGAGACGTTGACTCCAGAGTTGATGGCGCTGAGGTTCCGGGAGGTGGGAGTGCTGAACCAAAAATGCATCACGGTATCCGGAGATGGCCCTCGTGAATAGTTCGTCGTCGGCCGAATTGACAGTCATGGTGGGGGATTTGTCCTCGCAATGGCCGGGGACCTGTTTATCAGTATACAACAGGCGGAAGATGAAGGAGCAAAACACCGAAAAAAAGAGAGAGAACAAGGGTAAATAAATGTCTGCACGTTCAGTTAGATTTATTCTCGAGAAATACACGCGGGAACGTACGCAGAAGAGTAAGAAAATAAAAAAACCCCGATCGTCTCACGATGGATCTGCGGTGAAGGACGTATAGCAGGGGGGAGATGGACGGTCACCAACTAGATATAAGTGTGGAGCGAACGGTTGGGCAGAAGAGAGAGAAAAGAGAAGAGAAGAGAAGAGGAGAAAAGAATAAACTGGAGAAGAGTGAATCTCCACAAAAGAGAAAGAGACAGACTTAGGAAAGTCTGCTATACTCCCGCATCAGCACGCGGTCTGGAACTTCCATGGATTTCATGGATTTCATGACTTTCATGAATAATATAATTCACGCCTTTTTACGAAAAGTGAGGCAGCGAACCGGATCGCCCCGACGGGGTCCCCGAGGGCCCAATGCAGGTGACGGGCACGGGGGAAGGGTGCGCCTACAGCGGGTGCCCGAAAGGTACTTCTCCCTCTGTCTCTTAGGGGGCGCACTGCCCATGAGACTTACCCTCCTCCACCCCCCCCGTCCACGGGTTATGAGAGGGCCCATCGGGCTCAGATCGGGCGCCTCCGCGACTGCCACGTCGAAAATGCAGCTCATTTGATGCGCCCAATGCCCGACGTGTACGAACGACTTTCTCCCAGCTTTCTTTTCCCGCTCTGACACTCGGGGGATCTGCTAATAGGTTCCCACTGGTCTGGAGACACTAGCGAACACCGGACTGCTGATAGTCATCGCTCTCCAGATGATCCACTATTGATGTTATGGACATCATGGACCGTCTCATGATGATTGCATATGGGATCAGATTATTCTTTGGTCGTGTTTCATCACCACTCAGGAACTCTGGCTTCATAGGCCAGGAGTGAGCGAAAACACTGTCGCGCGACTCGACTTGACCCAACATGCGGTGTCGATCATTGCCCCCAAAAATGACCCACGGCGATCCTTGAGATACGACGGAAAATGAGCAATCTCAACAAGCATGGAATTCTCTTGGGCGTCATCTGGGACCTCGGTCGAGACCTGTCGAATCGGGAATGCCATGGGCTTCAACCCAAGACTAATCTGATCTATGAGGGTCTGAGAGCTGCAGCCATTCGACACTCACCGTCTCTCTGGGGATGATCCCTCACTTGCCCATACATTGGCTTGTGTCACTTGATGAGCTGAATCTCTGCAAGTATATTTTCTGGAACGCCTATTGTTTGAATTCTGGCGTGGCTGGACGGGTTTCAGTTGTGTAGTCATACTATATATCTTATCTGGATATAGTTACTTCGACATTCAAGACTTGACCCTCGATTTTCTCTGCTACTATTCACATTCTCGAGAAAAACGTCTGTGGTTAGATATCTGCACCATAACCAAAATGCCCAACCCTTGACACAAGTCTCGCCTCTTACCTCTGACTACTGCTTCCCGAAATCCCATCCCTGACCCTCGATCTCAATGCCGAGTCCTCTTCCGGGGCTCGAGCATATCCAATGAGACCAGGCTTATTCCGGTATTCTTTGTAATGCCTACAGCCACGCGTCTGCCATCCCCTGCGCTTGAAGGCGCAATGCAAGCCACACACCCCAAACACCCGTATCATGGGACACAGCCGCCTAGCTTCTAACTGGGTCTTTAGACGCTTTATCAGTTCAAACGGCAACGAGACCAAGACAGCTCTGGCCCATCTGGGTTTCCTGTATTCAGGGAATGCACGTGGTCTGGGGGTGTACGCCTCATGCGATATCCATGGGCTGGTTTCCAACCCTGCGAACTGGCCGGATCGAACGGCTGTGTGCTCTTTGGCTCTGTTAAAGTGCTTGCGCTTGTTCTTGGGGTTTCCCCACTCTCATTCTGACGGTGCCTCGGTGGAGATGAATACCTGACGTTGAGATAGTTCGTCGCCATCGGCTGTATAGGTACAGCCCGTCTTGACACCAAGGATTGATGGCGGTGGTAAGCAAAGTGCTGAAGTGCTGATCAACTCCCACAAAAGCCAGAATCAAGAGATCTGACTTTCTGTGTCTCTGACAGGAAATTGGCAAAACCAGTGACATGGACCCAATCATCTATCGGGCCGTCGAGTCCTTGGTCGGGCAGCGAGAACAGTCAATGCCGGCCATGACATCAAGGGACTGCACAGCTCCAACATCGGAAACTGACCGGTCCCAATGCTGATCCTGGCCATTTCCTGCTAGTTATTGCTTGTCCCAGCTCCTCTAGTGCACTTCCCAGGTGTGAGAGTGCAACTCCAGCTTCCTCGTCCAGACCCGTTGCACACAGAACCATAACCACAACACCCATGGCTAGACAAAACTACCGAGAATATTCCAGCAGGGAAGCTGTTCGACGTTTGAACCTGGTCGAAGGGAGCGAGGCTGACGTCAAGTCGCCACGCTTGGGACCCGTTTGCCAGCACGGGGAGTGGCTCGAGACATGGAACGGGGTGTGGAGATGGACGTATAGAACAGCATTTTTGCCAGCTTGGATCTTGGAATTTGACCATCCCGTGTAGTGCGTCAGTGCCAGAAACAAAGTTGCTAAATCAAAGAAAATCAATCCATCGCAGACTCTCTTTCGTGCAATCCACACCCTCCACGTGATCATCCCAGCCACGTCATAAAAGGAGTGTCTGGGGGGAACTTTGTGTGTTGGAGATAAGCGGAGAGCTTCTCTCTTTCTCTCTTCAATTCCATCGCCTGTTTGAATTGACCATCTCTTTTGATGCTGACTTGGTTGACTTGACCCTCGTCATGTCCGACCCGACCCTCTTCCTCTACACCTCCCTGACCGCGGGGTCGTCGCACATCGTCACCGCAACCGCCCGTGTGGAAACCATTCTCAAGGCCAACAAACTGCCCTTCCGAGCCATTGATGTGGCCACTGATGATGCTGCCCGGAAACTCTGGGGTCGGCGTGCCAAGGGCAAGAAGCTGCCGGGATTGGTGAAATACGGCAATGTTGTGGGGGTATGTGAGCCCCTCGCATGACACCTTGGTGCATATCAAGTTGATCTTCTCTGGGCCATTGCTAATTATGCTATCTACTGCTAGGATCTAGAGGAGATTGAGGAATGGAACGAGTTTGGGGAATTGCGCATGGTCGTCAACAGCGTCCAGGACCTGGATGGCATGCCGGCGACGAGCAACCCGGTCGCTGCCCCGCCCGAGACCAAACCTGCACCCACGCCTGTCCAGACACAGCCTGTCACTCCGAAGCCCTCGACAATTAAGATCCAAAGCCCACCGACTACCAAGACTGAGGAGAAGAAGGATGAGCAGGCGGTCCTGGCGCTGCGCCAGGCCAGCGAGGAGGCTGCGTCCAAAGCAAAGACGAAGCCGGCCAATGTGACGGAGCCGAAGGAGCCTAAGGAGGGACCTAAGGAAGAGCCTAAGCACGAAGAGCCCAAAGTCGCACCCAAGGAGGAGCCCAAAGAAGAGCCGAAGGAGGAATCCAAGGACGCACCCAAGGAGCCCAAAGATGAATCCACAGAGAAATCAAAGGAGATACCAAATGCAGAGGCTCAGGAGGGCACCGTTCTTCCCAAACTGCACCGCGGTTCGGTAGCTCCCGAACTGCCAGACACCGCGCCTGACTCGCCCAAGGCCCCCAAGCGCCCGCCTCTGGTGCCCGAGGTTGCGGCCGTCTCGTCAGCCAACTTCCATGCCGACAACGCCGAGATCCTGGGGCTGGTGGAGCACCATCGCGGCTCGATCATCTCGACTACGGACAAGGACGAGCAGGATAAAGTGGTGCACGAAATCCGGCAATCCATCTCGGCGGAAGAGCCTGCCGGGTCCCTCGATGCGCTTCGCAAAGAAGCTGCACAGAAGTCGGAAAAGCCGGTCGAGGCGATTGACGAGGAACCAGCTTCAAGTGTGGTGGATGATGGGAAGACTGATGCGAAGGACGAGAAAGACGAGAAGGATACTAAGGACGCAAAGGATGCCCCCGAGGAGGCTACGGAGGAACCCACGCAGGCGCAGGATCCCAAGTCTGCTGAGCAGGCGACTGCCGCCGTCCTGGATTGAAGCATATGCAGCTCACGACTTCGATGATTATGAATCTGTACATGAGGAATTGACCATTGTTCCGATGTTTGATTTTGTAGCGTGATACCAGCGCCCTAATGATGTCTCGTTCATAGTATGGAATGCCATTCATAGCTCATTAAATCAATTGACATATCTCTTGGATAAGAGAGTAATCCCCCATGTGCTGTCTATGGAACCAGGGAAGAAGAAAATACAGCACGAATATAAGCAAACTCCAGAACCCCTTTTTGTGATGTGCCTTATTGCTCGAGTGCCCGTCGCTTCTGGACAGCGTCACGCAATTTCAAGATCACATCGGCCGGGTCTGCCGCGCCAAAGATCGCTGAACCGGCAACGATCACGTTGGCCCCGGCATCGGCCGCCTGGTCAATGGTGCCCAGGCCCAGTCCACCGTCTACCTCGATGTTCAAATCCGGGTAGCGTTCGCGCAGAGCTTGGACCTTGGGGAGCTCGGAGGCCATGAATTTCTGTCCGCCGAAGCCGGGGTGCACGGTCATGACGAGGACCATCTGGAAAGAGCATACAATCAGCACGGTTCATTGAGAAAAAAAAAATCAAGCCCAGGACCCAGGATGTCTCAGGAAACACTCACATCCGGGCGCTCGGCCGGGTCGGAGCTCTCGACAATGTCCCACAGCACATCGACGGGGGTGTCGGGTTTAATAGCGACACCGGCCTGCATGCCCTCCTCGTGGATATATCGGATCAATTCGCGCGGGTTCGTCCGGCGGGTGGTTTCCTTGTCGGTCGGGTCGGTCGCGGCGACGGAGGAGACGGCGGCCTCGTAGTGGAAGCAGTAGAGATCGCAACCGGCCTTTTTGAATTCGTGCACCCACTTGTGCGGCTATAAAGATGCGACTTTAGCGGTGGGCAGAGACCCCAGGATTCACGCAAATGCCCACCTCCATAATCATCATGTGGCAATCAAAGGTGCCGCGGCCATTGGGCTCGAGGGGTCGGTCGACGCATCCGCGAATTTGACTGACGACGGGGCAGCCAATGGTCATGTTCGGCACAAAGTGGCCATCCATGATGTCGACATGGAGCCAGTCGGAGCCTTCCTCCATTTTCTTGGAGCATTCATGGCCCAAGTTGGAGAAGTCGGCGCTGAGGATGGAGGGGGCGATGATGGCGGGGGGCGTCATGGTGAAGGTGGGGGAGAGATGGGGATGGAGAGAAGAGTGAGAAGGGGTAGAAGGTAGAAGATAGAAGATAGCAGGATTAGCAGGAATATATGGAGCGAAGGGGCAATAAAAAGGAAGAAAGTGAAAAAATCCAATCCAATCCAATCCAATCCCGTTGAAGCTCTTTCTATGGCAACCCAACGTGGATATCCCGGTCCCAGTGGATTCCCATTTCATCATGTTTTATTCCCCTTCTTGTCCTTCTCGATAAGGGCTTTGCGCCTCACGTGGCATGCGATCTTCGCTGCAATTTGGACCCTCCGATTCACTCCTGGCTCCATTCACGCCCATCAATGGAGTCCAAAAGACTGGAGACTCCAAGTGACAAATCAACGGCGGTTGGCTGGATTACCTCTTTAGGTGATTCCGTGAGAAAAGAAAAGAAACAAAAAAAAAAAAAAAAAAAAAGAAAAGAAAAACTCCTCGAGTCTGCTGACCTCAAGAGCTTGCGAACTAGACAGGGGGGAGAGACGATTCCAGCAGTTCCGATCTAAGGTTCTTCTAGCGATTCTACCGCGCTTCTTGGTGGCGTCTGGCACTTGTGAACCCACCAATCCGAGGGGATTCCCGCCATATAAGATTGTATTATGACTTGTTTACTGGTTAGAATTTTATTTAGAATCATCATGTTCTCATGATCATATTTCACTCATCTACTCCCACTTTTCCCATCGGAAATGTCTCCGTGTTGACATCAATGTCCGTTATACCCGTTAGTATACCCGTGCCTTTGCCCAACCCGCTCCACGGGGCCCCTCGCGGGGCACTGTGATCCGATCCATCAAAATATTTCATGTTAGGCTCTGAACTTTTTTTTTTTTTTTGGATGGATATTATAAGTAAATCATACTTTTCGATGATTCTTTTTTGTTGGCTTAATACTTGAAAAGGAGCACCGCCACCACGGAAATATCACTGATTTGTGTGAATGAGAACAAGGCTATGAGCTTGTCGGGAATGTTTACAGTTGCGTCATTTCCTCGCGTCTCTTGGGGAAATTCCGTGTCCGAGAATTGTACACACGTGGTGGCCTGACTTTGCAGGTTGACTCATGCTTAGGACCTGCCAGTACTTTCTATATATGTTTTGGTCCCTCTCAGGGATATGTGGTAATTTCTGGAATATTTCTCAGAACTACTGATCTTCAGGCTTTCATTTCTACTATCGTGTATGTCTTGGCTTATTCTAGTTGTCAACTATACTCGAATTATTTACTCCGATGTATAGATACCCAAATTTGACTGTCGCAATAACCAAGGTTGAGGACCCCACACCATCTATTCATCTCTGGTCTCATACCAAATTGCCCAAAGATAGGTGTCTTGCTCAGATCGATGGCCATCCAATATGCGCCGAAAGGATGAAAATTGTCACATCGAGGGCTAATGTATCTATATGCAGTCAATTAGCGGGGATTTCTATAATTAAGTCTCTGGTTCAAGTGTGACGTGAAGGGAGAATTCCAGGGATGATCCTTGCCTCCTCCATGGGTCTTTGCATTAATCACATTAATTAGTCTGATTTTGGCCCTCGGACTACTCCAAATGAGGTCAATTTGGGGTGTCACCGGGCCCTAATTTGTCTAAGAATAGCATCTGGCGCCTAAGGCCTGCCAATCACGGGTCTCGTCACCATCTCACCAGGGAATCCCGGCGGCTCATCACAATCTTCCCTCTTCTCATTCGTTGTCTCACAATACTTTCTTCTGCATCTCACGCGATTTGTTGAGTCACTCAAGGGACTCGCAACCCCCCTGGTCGAGGGCGACGCGCCCATCTTGTTCTCGCCAATCGTCGCCGGGCATGGCCATTCCTGCTCAGCGATCTAGGACTAGCGGTGCCCAATCCTGCAGTAGTTTCTGCACTGGCCCAGTCGTGGTCTGCGATCGGCGTCTTCCTTGCACATCCCCCAGAGCGGGTAGAACGCGCTCCAACGGACTATATATCCTCTGCAACGGCCGAGATGCGTGAGCGTCCAGCGCCCTTCATTTCGTCTTGTTTCCTTACTGTGTGTCTCCGGCTCTGGTAGCTGTGGCATTTCTTTTTCCTTTTCTTTTTGATTTCATCGTTTCTAATCTATTCCCTATTTAACTCGACCCGTTGATCGGTGTCCATGCTTCCTACTTGAGATACCCATAGATCGTGTCGCGCATTTTCACAGTTTCAATATCAAACCCGCATCTCGCAGTGACCCAAGAGTGAGCACAATGACCGACACGCTCCGGTCTGCAACCAGATGTCCGCCCCTCCGGCAGGCCCGGGGGACGGTACTTAATACCATCAAGGAGGATACCCGCGAATCGCAATTCGACCAGAGCTCTGGCAGTTCATCCCCACCTCGACCTCGACCGGGAACAGCCAACCCGCAGTTGAAGCTGAAGACCAGCGGGCTAGCGGTGCCCACACAGGCCCGGCTGGCTCGTCTCATGTCACCTCTCTCGGCGGAGACGACGTCCTCCTGCTCGGACGCAGAGTGGGACCAGCAAATGCAAGGATTCGATGACCTCTACGATGTTACGGACGAGGAAGATCTCGATGACGGCAATGAGACCGACATCAGCGACTCATGCTTTTCCCCGCCCGGCACGCGAGCGTCGAGCTTGGTGACACCAATCACGAGGAACTCGGTGACTTCGACCGGGAGTCGGAAAGGGTATCTCACCCTCGAGATCCCCTCCCCCACGGTATGGTCATCCGCCAACGGGACTCACAAGAGTTCGCCAATCCCACCGACTCCTCCGCCCAAGATCCCCGTCTCTCCCGCGGCACTCTCGATGCTCGCCCGCTCTGTGCCGGCTTCTCATGCCCCGCCCTCTCTGGATGGGAGTATTTCGTCCGATCAAGATTCCAACATCAGCGCACTGGCCACCCCCGATACTCACTCCCTGCCCGATACCAACTGGGACACGCAGGATGTGCATGTTCGACCGGACCCTGACGGCAGTGAGACTGGGGAAGTAGAAGACGAGGATGATAGTGCGGACATCGAAACAGTGCCCATTGCCCTTGAGAACTCAAATGAGGGCTGGCGCTATGTCCTGGGCCAGTTCCCGCAGATTCCCACGGCCGCCCAGAACAATTCATCTTCGTCTTCGTTGCACCTCAACGACGAGCCCGCACGGGAGCCGACGCCATCGGATAGAGGAGTATACCTGCCTGACGATGCGCTGGCAATGCTGCAGCACATTCCGCTCAATGGCACACCAGAGTCATGGTCTGAAAGTTCCGAAGGAAACGATGAAATGTGGCAGCTCCAAGCACCCCCTAACCGCCCGCGCAGTGCTGATGGAGCCACCCCGGTATCCGACATGTCTGGGTATAGCTTTAGTGATCTGAGCATCCCTTCCCCCGGTGGCTTCTTCGCTTCGCTGGGTGGCCGTGCTCGCCACACTTGGTCGATCCCGATCAATAACCATGCACCCTCTTCGGCCATTGCTGAAGGTTTCTACAATCTGCCATGGTCGCAGGATCAAGGAGAGATCGTGGAACAGGCCATTGAGTGGCCTGAACGCCAATCTGGCGAAGACCCTGTCACGGCAGTCCGCGACGAAGACGGCCCGCCTACCGCCATTCGACTGCCTTGCGAGACACCAACTCGGCGCATGTATTACCAAGAAAGCCCAATGAGTACCACCTTTGATGCCGTCCAGGAGATCCCTCGTTCCGGGAACGGGTATGAGTACGACGAGCGCTATGAAGAAGAGCTACAAGAGCGCTCCGTGGCTAGCCTGGACCGCACAAGTGATTGGTTGGCTGCCCAAGCATCCTATCTCGCAGCTCTCAATGAAACCAATCCTGTGAACGAGATTGACCCGATGAAAGAGCCGCATGAGGTCGATGTTGTGGAAGACGAGGAATCGTCCGAGCTCGCCCCTAGAAAGACTGTTCGATTCGCCGAGGGGATTCCCAAGGCTATCAGTACGCAACCATCGGTTCTCGCTAGCAAAGTCTCCATATATTGGCGAGGCTTTCAGTCTTTACTGCACCGCTCTGGCAAGGCAGATGGGTTCCTGCATCGCAATATGCGGTTTGACGCGGTCCAGTCGATGCGACTGGGATTGCCCGACCTGCACATCAACTGCTTAATGGGCAAGTATGAGCTCGTTCGTCCGGAGCGGCCAGCCTACAAAGGCCCTTTCTCTCAAGCGCCCCACAAGTCGACCACCACAACAGTGTTGGCTGAAAAAGCACAGTTCTCGAAACTTGAGAAAGAACAGCTCGTTCTCGCTCAGCTTTGTGAACCTATGTGGGCGATGGCCGCCCTCCGCTATCTCAATGGTGGCCATCTCCTCACCAGTCCCGCAAGAAAACTGATCGCACGCACTCAGCAGCCAGTACGCACGCCAGAGGGGTCGCGCACACGACGCCTGCGAATATTGGATCTCGGCGGGCACGCATCCTGCGAGTGGGGCTGGCATGCCGCCCACGAATTTCCACAGGCAAAGGTGTACACGGCTTTCACCAAGGAGCAGGCCGTGAGCAGTGGGATCAAGGGTCCACGTAACCACCGCCAGGTCTCCGTGTCTCACCTTTGGGAGCTTCCGTTTGGAAACAACCAATTTGACGTCATCTCTGCCCGCTCCTTGCCCGCCCTGCTCAAGGCCGAATGCCCTGGCGGACGGGATCGGGATCAATATGACTTGGTTCTCCAAGAATGCCTCCGCTGCCTCAAACCGGGGGGGTATCTTGAGTTCCTTGTCCTCGATGCCGAGATGTCGCGCGCCGGCCCTCATGCCTCTGCAGCGTCAGTTGAGTTTGCTTTTAATCTCCGCAGCCGCGGATACGATCCCGCTCTGTCGAAGAGTTTTCTCGGGCGCCTACGCAACGGGGGTTTTATGGGAATTAAACGTGCCTGGATGTTCCTCCCCGTCGGGATGGAGCCAGCCGAGCAACCACCTCCGAGGGAGACCCCGAATCCACGGGTTCCCAGTCAAATCGAAGGGTGTGAAGCAGTGCAAGGGCCGATTGGTAGCACGGGCGATATCGCCAACGTGACGGGTCTTCTGGGTGGTTGGATGTGGGAGCAATGGCTCCTGAAGTTGCGCATGGAGATGGGGCGAGAGCGGGCCCAGCTGCTCGAGGGTGTTGGCCCTCTGTTTGACGAGGGTAGGAAGAGCGGAGCAGGCTGGACCTGCTTGTCTGGATGGGCCATGAAGCCGAGACGCCGGAAGCCTGTTGGCCCTTTGCGGGTGCGGACGATGTAAAGGAGTTTCGATGTTATCTGACCTACCTGGATTTGCCCTGGTGGCGTTCCACTAATGTAATAACTGGAATGAAATGACGAGATATGTTATATGTACACTCCCTCGATCCGCGCGAGAGCTTATAAATAAACATCCAGCGAGCTAACAGTCGTAAAACGATCAATATGAAATTACTCCAAAATCAAAGAATCAAGAAATAAGCCATATTCCAAGAGAACTCAATTTTACGTCTTTCCACAGTTTACATGTTGCGACGCTAAACAAGAATGCAGTCACATGACCCCATTCTTCTCTCCGCAGTCCCATTGCCATCCGACTGTCGAAGTGCGCCAGAACACAAGCTTCCTACACTCCGTCGCCATTCCACTTGTGGGCCTCCTTTTGATTTCCGTGAATCAACTCGGGATTAATAGCGCGCTGCAGCTATCCCATCTGGCGTCCTTCCCTACCTCTCCATCACCCACTCTTTGTGCCCGTCACCGCAACCATGCTTTTCTTCAGGTATGCCTCAATTCCCAGTGCATTGCTACTTTGATCGGGATATATATTGACCTAGAATTGTGCCACAGCTTCTTCAAGACGCTCACCAATCAAACCGTCACCATCGAGCTCAAGAACGACATTCGCATCCGCGGAATTCTCAAATCGGTTGACCAGTACCTCAATATTAAGCTCGACGACGTCGAGGTGCTGGATCTGGACAAATACCCTCATCTGTCTTCGGTTAAGAATATGTTCATTCGAGGCAGCGTGGTACGATACGTCATGCTGCCCAGGTCAGAGGTCGACGTGGGGTTGTTGGAGGATGCTACACGGAGAGGTGGGTTGCGCACTCTCACCCCTTTTTTCTCTTTACTCACATTGATCCCTGTGATTCATCTCCGATTATTTCAAGACTTGTTGCATTGATCTTATTGCATTGATCTCAACTGAACCATGATCGCCGGAGCTAACAACATCACGGTTATACAGAGGCTGCCAACCAGGCCGGGAAAGCGCGGTAGATTACCACCACTTCGCTGCTAGATATCTTGCATATCACCTTTTTTTTAAATCCGGGTTGATGTCCCTGGACGCTTTCTAACGATGTGATGTTTCTACGGCCGAGCGTGGGGCGCACCGATATAGCACCACATGCCGAGTTGGCCCAAATGACGACCGGGCATGGCGTGATACTTTGCAGGACCTATCTTGAGGACTCTATGACTACGTCTTGAGTAATCGCTACATGGGATCGAATAGGACGCGCCCCAAGTAATGCTTACTGTGTGCTACTGGGGTGATCGCGGGGAGGACGACCATCTGTGGGCTTGTTTTGGCGCTTGGCTTGCGTTGTCTGTTCATGATACCTTGGTAGACGGCTTTACAATCACCGGTTTTAGTTCTGGCTATCCTTTGCCAAATCTCGTAGAATAACCGCACACGTGACTTCGTGTCGCGCTTTTCCTGTTTGCGCGCCCTTCGAGTCTTTTATTTTCTGAACAGAGAACCTTCGACTTTCTCCCTTGTACTTATCATGAGCATTTTGTACATTCCGGAATACCTGATTTTCATCTCTCGCTCCGGCGACTCTCCATCGACCAACTTCTCCGCTCTCACCGAACCGTGACACCATTCGAATACTGTTCTTCAGACCACCCTCACCCTCATTTTTTTTCTTAAATAGAACCGGACAATGGCTGGCTCCTACGGGAAAAAAGTAGTGACGCCATCGAAAGGTTCCTCTGCACCAAAATCGTCTTCAGCGAAGCGGAATTCCAGCATCCTGAGCTTTTTCCAAAAAACCGACACCCCACCTGGAGCGACCTCGCAACAGTCCCGGATTACACAGTTTGCGACCAACTCATCACGATCGCCAAGCAGTGGACGTGGTACCCCGGCCTTTCAGTGTGGGAATAGTTCCCGGTCCGACATAACTGGGGGGTTGTTTCTGGAGGATACAAAAGGGCGATCACACACCGAGCGAGCCTCCGGGACGACCGAGAACCCAAAAGCGCGCTCTCCAACACCGGATGACATCTGGGGTGAAAATGATGATACACTGAGGGCCGATGATCCGCGGTATAATGAGAATGACATGACGGCCAAGCGCCGGAAGGTGGATTCTCCAAGCGCCACGCCAGATTGTGTGCGGCCGTCAGACTCGGAATCGAAGCTGGCCGAATCTACTGGGCCACCAAAACCTCGCTTGACGAGCGGTCCGTTCATTGATGAATCGGACAGTGAGGATGACATGGAAACCTATCGGGAGCTCGAAGAACCAGCGCCAGTCGACGATTCCGCCTTTGCACAACCCCCTTCCGTCCCCACGCACTCGTCACCGGTAAGAGAAGTCACGAATTATGCCGAAAATGATGAATACACGAATTTTGACGATCTAGAAGAAGACGAGCTTGTAGGAGAAGAGTTTCGAGAACGGCCATGGGAAAATGAAGAGCAGGAGCAACGGATTGATATTGATACCGACGATACGAATGCCTCCATTGATACTGCAAATAATCTCGAGGCAGAGGTGACGACCTGTCCTATCTGTCAGACAGCCCTGGCCGGAATTGACGGAACAGTACGTTGCCCGTTACCTAACTGTGTCTAGGTAATTGCTGACCCGCAATACAGGGAATTTCGGTGCATGTTAATGATTGCTTGGATGGCAAACCACCCGCGAATGCGCCGACTTTAAAACCGACGACACCTAAGCCCGGGGATGCCAGCATAGGGCTGACACGCAGAGAACGCGCTGCCATTGCTCGGCCTGCTCAGCGTGACCCGTACTCCGAAGGGGCTCCTGGAACCCGATCAGCATTCTCCAAAATGATGGCTGGAAATGCAGAAGATACAGCCTGGTCCACGGCGGCCGCGAATGAGGTGTCTTCCCGTGGCAAGCAGGCCTATCAACGAACTTGTCCGTTTTACAAGATTATTCCTGGGTTCTCTATCTGCGTCGACGCATTTCGATACGGGGCAGTGGAAGGGTGCAATGCCTACTTTCTCAGTCACTTCCACAGCGATCACTATATAGGGCTTAGCAAGTCTTGGTGCCATGGTCCCATCTATTGCAGCCGACCAACAGCCAACCTCGTCCGTCAGCAGCTCCGCATTGATCCCAAATGGTTGGTGGACCTGGACTTTGAAGCTACGACCGAAGTCCCGGGGACAGGAGGCGTCCAGGTAACCATGATTCCCGCCAACCATTGCCCGGGCAGCTCCCTTTTTCTATTTGAGAAGAGCTTTCGAAGTGGTCCGAACATGCGATGGCAGCGGGTCCTTCACTGCGGCGACTTCCGCGCATCCCCAGCCCATGTGCAGCACCCACTTCTGCACCCCAACCCAATCAATTCGGTCTCTGGTCAGCCCCGCCAGCAGAAAATCGACGTATGCTACCTTGATACCACATACCTCAGTCCCAAGTATGCGTTTCCGAGTCAAGACGATGTCATCACGGCATGCCAGGAACTCTGCACCCGCCTTGATCAAGAAGACGGAGTCGGACATGGCCTGGGGAAAACCGGCGCTGGGGGCCTGATGAACCGATTCCTCTCCTCGGTGACCGGAAATGACCGACCTCCAGAGCGACCGTCGCAGGCCGCTGGTCGACTTCTTGTGGTCATTGGCACCTATAGTATTGGCAAGGAGCGTATCTGTCTTGGCCTTGCACGTGCACTCGGGTCCAAGATCTTTGCCACTCCTCAGAAGCAACGAATATGCGCCTGTCTGGAAGACCCGGAACTCTCATCTTTGTTGACGAGTAATCCCCGGGAAGCCCAGGTGCACATGCAGACGTTGTTCGAGATCCGCGCCGACACGCTCGCCGACTATCTCGACTCCTTGAAGCCGCACTTTTCGCGGGTGGTTGGCTTTCGCCCAACTGGCTGGTCATATCGCCCACCAGCAGGGCGCATGCTAGAAAATCCTCCGGTATCAACCGTGCTATATGGTGAACATTGGAAAACACCGTTTACGGTGCAGGACCTCACACCGCAGCGTGGTAGCACACGAGAAAGTGCCTGCTTCGGGGTTCCCTACAGCGAACACAGCTCCTTTCGTGAGTTGACAATGTTTTGCTGCGCGTTACGCATAGGACGGGTCATCCCCACGGTGAATGTGGGCAGTCGCAAGAGTCGGGATCAGATGAAGGCGTGGATGGAGCGATGGGAGGCTGAAAAGAAGAAAAATGGGTTGTTCGAAGTGTCGAGCGCACAATGGTGATTGAATATATATCGTGCCTACCAGGTACTTGTCTATCTAGATCCGTGGAAATATACGCGCATGGGGTTATGACTCTTCTCCCAATAGCCCATCCTTGACGATGTGGAGACCGGACAATGTCAGCATCTCATGAATACGAGACGGCCCTCTTTATGCAAAGCTGCTGCCTGGACGTAGTCATATTAGAACATAATACAGAGAATTTTCGCTGTGCTTCTGTTTCTCCTCTCTCAACTTTCACCATGTCTGCCAACGAGTCTGCCCCGTCCCTCTTGACCTTGGCTGCTCTCCCCTCCACCAAGTCCATCCCAGCACCTACTCTGCAAGAGGCGCTATCCACCTCGCCATTTCTTTCACAACCTATAGAGGGCACTTTCAATCTCCGCGATCTCGGTGCCCTCCCAGGCTCTCCCATTTCGCCCGGTCTGTTCTACCGCTCGGGCCATCTCTCCTCGCTCAGCGCGGAGGGCAAAGAGCGATTGCGTGATGAGCTCGGAGTTCGTCTCGTGTTAGATCTGCGATACGAGGTCGAGCGCATATCCAAGCCGGCGCCTGACATCCCCGGAGTCGAGATAGTGTGGATTCCACCGGTTGGTATGGGGACACCCGCCGATCTTGCGCGCTTTACCAGCAACAGTGAGAATGGCGATGGGGGTGACCGTGGTTTCACGGAGATGTACCTGGAGCTCGTTGAGCTTTATGCCCCGGTGTACAAGTGGGTGCTATCGTATCTGCGCGATCACTATAGTACCCCATCGAGTCCCGAGGGCAATGGCTCTGGACGGGGGATCTTGTTCCACTGCACCGGTATGTTTTGCTCACTCTGCATCTCTAACGAGCTTGCTCTTTCCTGGTTGATAATAACTGGACACAGCGGGTAAGGATCGCACGGGAATTCTTGCGGCTCTTCTCCTGACGCTCGCGGGTGCTCCCTATGCCACCATTGCCGAGGACTTTGTCCTCACGCGGGTGGGCATGGAGCCCCAGAAAGAGTTCTTGCAGGCTGTCCTGTTGAAATGGAAACCAGAGTGGACGGTGGAAACTCCGGGCTGGCAGGAGTATACCAATATCAAGCGATCGCATATCCTCGCCTTCCTCGCAGCGATGCAGACTCGGTATGGCGGAGTTGAGGGATTTGTGCAGTCGCAGTTAGGGTTCACCTCGCAGGAGGTTGGGCAGATCCAGCAAGTGCTACGAGGAGCGTAGATGATCTATCAGAGTCAGACAAGACATCATGTGCTTGGACCGCGTGTTGAATGATATCCCAAGTATAAGCCATGCCCTGGAAATAAAGAAGGGCTTCGAACACCAGCTTTGCTATACATGGACTCATATCTCATAGAAATTCTTGACCAAAGTATTCCAATTTTTGTATCGCGAGCCCCAGTGGTACCAGCATCGCTTTTTTGGTCTCGACCAGCCTTACGCCAACATCCATGTTTTTGGGCCTGACAGTCTCGAGCTCGTGCGCCATCGACTCTTCCATGACTGACTGCGCGACCACGAGGAGGATCGTCATCGCTATGCAGCAGCCAAGCGCCAGGCGGCGGCAGCCAGCCAAGCAGCCGGGGATACGGGAATGCAATATAACGAGCGCAAGGAGCGGGTGATCCAGGAGATTCTGCAGCGGGTCTACGCGCAAGAAAAATGGCTGAATAGCGAGACCTGCCGATCAGCGACTATCACGCACTAGGGGTCATTTCGGCTCCCGAGGGGTCTCCACCGAAGTACAGAGTACAGAAGATTGAGAACAAGAGTACTGTGCAGTGAACAGTGTGTATAGCGGCGAGATGGTGGAAAGAATGGCAACTTTATAGATGCAAGATGGCCGGTTTTTGCGTATAGACGACCACGCTTCGACGGCCAGTACGTAGACTTCGCTACGTCACTTCAAACGGTTGGCATAATACCAACATTGGAGTGACTCCACTCTTCGAAAGAAGCGCAAATCAGCGGGCGTTGATAGCAAGCATAACCGACGACCGCCGTTCGGGCCTCAGCAACGGCAGCAGCTTGCTCCAGCGACCCACGCCACCCGCGCCGTAACTCCACACTACCGACTGCGCTTCCCGGTCAACCTTTTGCCTCGGGGACGATGGGGACTGGAGCCCTTCTTAAATATTAGGCTCACGGCAGGTTGTTCATTGCAATGTCTTTGGATTGATCTTTTGGTCCGGTGATCGACTTCGTGTCTTGACTTCTCTCTCTGCTTTGACTTGGACCTTTCCCCGTCATGCTCGTGTCAGTGGACAACGCCCCCTACATCTTGGTGGGCCTGCTCCTGGCCTATTACCTCGTCCCTTATGTGCAGCGCTGGCGGCTGCGCGACATTCCCAGCCCCGGCTTGGCTGCCTTCACCAACCTCTGGTTGCTGCTGCAAGCTCGTCAGGGTAAGCGCTTCGTGTCGGTGGACGAGGCTCACAAGAAATATGGCAAGCTGGTGCGCATTGCGCCCAACCATATCTCCGTCGCCGATGACACTGCGATCAACACCATTTATGGCCACGGCAATGGATTCCTGAAGGCGTAGGTTTTGCTCGCATCTTTCCCTGGAACACCCCCCTCCCCTGCCCCCAAAGGCGCAACACTAACCTCTCCATCCTAGGGACTTCTACGATGCCTTCGTCTCGATCCGTCGCGGTCTGTTCAACACCCGCGACCGCGCCGAACACACCCGCAAGCGCAAGACGGTGTCGCACACCTTCAGCGCCAAGTGGATCGGTCAGTTCGAGCAGTACATCCACGCCAACATTGAGATGTTCGTGAAACAATGGACCCGCCTCTCCGACCTTCAGGCCCACCCCAAGACGGGCTACGCCAGCCTCGACGCCCTGAATTGGTTCAACTACCTGGCATTTGATATCATTGGTGACCTGGCATTCGGTGCCCCCTTCGGCATGCTGGAGAAAGGCAAGGATATCGCCGAGATGCGCAAGAGCCCCAACGACCCGCCGCAGTACGTGGCTGCTGTCGAGGTGCTCAACCGTCGCGGGGAGGTATCCGCCACCCTGGGTTGCTTGCCGGCCCTGAAGCCCTTTGCCAAGTACATCCCCGACCGTTTCTTCACCGAGGGTATCCAGGCTGTCGAGAATCTGGCTGGTATTGCGATTGCCCGGGTCAACGAGCGCCTCAAGCCCGAGGTTGTCGCCCAGAACACCCGTGTCGATCTGCTGGCCCGTCTGATGGAGGGCAAGGATGAGACCGGTAACACTCTGGGTCGTGAGGAGCTCACTGCCGAGGCTCTGACCCAGCTCATCGCCGGCTCCGACACGACCTCCAACACGGCCTGTGCCATCCTGTACTGGTGCCAGCGTACCCCCGGTGTGATCCCCAAACTGCACAAGGCTCTGGACGAGGCCATCCCCAAGGACGTTGAAGTGCCCACCCACGCCATGGTTAAGGACATTTCCTAGTAAGTTCCCTTTTCACTTCCTGTTGTCGGCATGAGCTCACCATGATTAATTAGCCTCCAATGGACGATTTGGGAAACCATGCGCATCCACAGCACCTCTGCCATGGGCCTGGCCCGAGAGGTCCCTCCCAATGCCAGCCCTATGGTCATCTCCGGCCACACCTTCATGCCCGGCGATGTGCTCTCCGTGCCTAGCTACACCATCCACCGCTCCAAGGAGATTTGGGGCCCTGACGCCGAGGAATTCGTACCCGAGCGCTGGAGCCCCGAGCGTCTCACTGCCCGCCAGAAGGCTGCCTTTATCCCGTTCAGCCACGGGCCCCGCGCCTGCGTCGGCCGCAACGTCGCCGAGATGGAGCTGCTCGTCATGGGCGCCACCGTCTTCCGGCTCTTCGAGTTCCAGATCGAGCAAGAGGGCCCCATGGAGACTCGCGAGGGCTTCTTACGCAAGCCGCTGGGCCTGCAGGTGGGTATGCGCCGCCGGACTGTTTCCTAAGTGGTTCGTTTCTGTTGGGCGAGTTGCCTCTTTCTTGGAATAGGGATACACCGCAATGGGTAGCGACCAAGCGTGGACCGCTTCGGATTGTCAGCTTCTCAGTGTGGTTCCAATGTGCAATGATTCGATGAGAAACTGCATTATGTTTTTTGGTCCAATCGCTATTAACTCCAGTCTAGTGAAATTCCTGGATATCAAATATGCTTGTATAACATGGTCAAACCCCGCCGATCTTCCGTACTCTTTCCCGCTCGGTTCAAACATTGTCAAAAAGTCCCTTCTCAATTCTCTCCAATTCATCAAACTGTATACGCAGCAGTTGAACTGCCCATTCTCTTGCGGGTTGTTGATTTGAAGAGTAGAAAGGCGAGTGAAAACAATATCTTGCTGATAGTTTCACGTCCCACTGTGTACTGTCATCATGAATGGTACCCTTGTAGCACAGTGGTTAAACCCGTTCTTGAAAACGGACCCGATCGGCATCCACAAATGACATGCCGATTCTCAGCCGTCCCGAGAGGATGCCGAAACGCCAAGGTCCACCCGCCGACAAGCCATGAAGTCATTGCAAGTCTGCTAATTTACTTTTCAAAAACAAGGCATAGGTTTGGGAAAAGAGTTTTCACATCGTCATGCTCATCGCAGTTATCATTCAACATAATGAATCATTTAATGTACAAAGATCAATCTACCGCACGCAGTACCCGCCGTCGATGATCATGTCGTTGCCAGTCATGTAGGTACTGGCATCGCTGCACAGGTACACATAGGCACCCTTGAGCTCCTTGGCGTCGCCATTGCGGCCCATGGGGATCATGGACAGCCACAAATCCTGGGTCTTCTTCTCGACAAAGTCCGACAAGCCGGTGTCAATGTAACCGGGGGAAATGCTGTTGACGCGGGCAAAGTCGCGCCATTCGTTGGCCAGCGACCGCGCCATGTGGATACAGCCCGCCTTAGCGACGTTGTAGGAGGTCTGTTCCTGCGGGAAGTTGACGATGTGGCCGGACATCGATGAGGTAATAACGAAGCTACCCGTGCCGCGTTCCTTGAAGTGCGCGCCCACGGCTTTGGCGCAATGGAATGTGCCCGTCAGATCGGTCTGGACGACTTCTTCCCAGTCCTGCACTGATCCATCAAGGATGCCGCTGTTGGCCGTGCGACCGGCGTTGGCAACGAATGCATCAATCTTGCCGAAGTCTTTGATGACTTCCTTCACGACGCTTTCCACGTTCTGCCAGTTGCCCACATCACACTTGTAGGCCTTGACCTTGACTCCGTATTTTTCCTTGAGCTCCTTGGCGTTTTTCTCTCCGCCCTCCGGTCGTGACGAGTAGGTGATGGCGACGTCGGCGCCCATCTCGGCGCAACCGCGTGCCGCTTCAATACCCATACCACGAGGACCCGAGGCTCCGGTGACTACAACGACCTTGCCCTTCAGGCTAAGGAGGTCGTGCAGGCTCTCGGCTTTGGGGACGGGGATCGGCATGGCGAATAAAGGATTCGGGAGGTGACGAGGTTAAATTTGAGGCTGAAAAAGGTAAAAGAGGTAGAGAAAAAAACTGTAGAGAAAGGGAAAAAAGGGCTTTGATGTGTGAGAAAGACGTACGGTCCCATGGTTGTTGACCTATTTATATACAATGGCTGGCCTGCTATGACATAATGATGGGGTATCCCACTTGGACAGACCAGACCAGATACGCTAGGACCGCCTGTATCTTCTTCTTCCTTGTTATTTCTCGTCGAATCCGGTGCAAGGCACAGCACATTCTCCACAGCCAGGGAATCGGACGACTGCGGGCCCATGATGTCATGACTTGCCAGCCCACCAGAAGGCGTTGAGCGAAAATGTTGATCTCATCGCACTGACAGCTCAGGATCGAGTGCACGGGTGTGTGGGCAGGGAGTATTTGCTTCTTTTATTATGGTAACTCTGAACTGCAACTGCAAACTTGAGGTCCGCGACATATTCGGAACGAACGATAGCCAGTTAGGTCAAGATGAACGGCCGTCACGCTGGACTCACCGGGATATGCCACGATTATGTTGTGCCGATGCAAGAAGCTTCCAAGTACACGCTTGAAGCTTGAAGGTGGGGTTGTCAAGAGCGATTGGCAAAACCCGCTCAATAAGCCAGAATGCTGCAGTGATTCACTTCCATGTCTGGATGGCCGTAACCGCACGATCCGTCCATGGCACTTGAACCTTCCGATGGCTGGGTGCAAGCGAAGAATGGATGGCGCCGTGACGAAATTGACAAGAGCAAATGGGCCAGTCGTTGAGTCAGCAATGCGCAGCCATGGATGGAGATTATACAAAAGAAATGGCACCCCCGAGTTCACATTCTACATGGGATCACGCCTCTCTATTGTAATTCGCCATGGCCAGTCAAGCGGGTCGGGAAGTCCCGCAAATTCCGCTGGCTATCAACCAGACCGACGCGGTAGATCGGGGTTCTACCGTGCGCAGAGCCAGCACACTGTATCACAATGAGTTTGATGACTCGTTTTTGTCCAGGTCCAAACACTCCGTTGATTAAATGGCATGGCCGTACAACTGACAGGACTATAGAGTACGGTCCTTTTTCAATCGGGAACCCCATATTGGCCATGTCGGGCGCCATCCTCTTCGGAGCTCGACCGAAGCTGAGATCCATACTTGGGATGGCCCCGATGACCCGGACAACCCGTGAGGCATCCGCTTAACACACCTGTTGCATGAAAATATTGATTCGTGCAGATTCAATTGGAGCAATACATACAAATGGGTCCTGACGATTACGGTTTGCTTTATGTTGGCTCGACTACTCTTTTCTTGCTGGATCAATCACTAATATCTGCATCAGATCTATTCTGACGGGGCTACCAGCCGGGTCCTACGGGGCGGGAAATGCCTATATGGAACAGCGCTTCCATGTCCAAAACACACCCTTCCCCAACCTGGCGTGGGCTACAACGTCCTGGAATATGGGAGCTGCGTTTTGGCCACTGATATTTGTGCCATTGACCGAATCCTCGGGTCGCATGCCGGGTTACTTCGTGGCCTATTTTATTCTTGTCATCTCTCTCTTCCCGTCCGCATTCGCGCAGAACTTTGCTACCCTTGTGGTAACTCGATTTTTTGGCGGCGGAGCCTCGTCGGTCTCGATCAATATTGTTGGGGGAAGTATCAGTGATGTCTGGTTTGGTGACAAAGCTCGCAGCCTGCCCATGTCATTGTTTGGTTTCACCAGCGTGGTAGGGATCGCTTTGGGTCCATTTATTGGAGCTGCCATTCAGGAAATCCACAAAAGCAGCCCATGGAGATGGTGAGATTGCCAATTGTATGGCCATGAAAAGGTACTAACCGGCATCAGGATCTTTTACATACAAATCATTTACAATGCGGCCTTGATCCCAGTGTTCTGGTTGATCCTTCGGGAGACCCGTCCCGATGTGATTCTGAAGAAACGAGCCAAAAAGCTTCGACGCGAGACTGGTCGTCCCATCTACGCCGAGGCCGAATTGGATACGACCAGCGTGTGGAAACTTCTCCAAATCTCATTCGAGCGGCCCACGCGCATGCTTTTGACCGAGCCCGTTGTCACATTTTTCACCCTCTGGGTCAGCTTCGCTTGGGGAATCCTCTTTTTGTTTTTCTCCAGCGTAGGGCAAACGTTTAGCAACAACTACGACTGGGGTACATTCCAGACTGGCCTTGTCCAGCTAGCCATTTCGGTGGGAGCTGTGATTGGCACTGTTTTCAACCCTATCCAGGACTGGATTTACCTGCGCTCGGCAAGCAGAAACAAAGAGCAACCTGGGAAGCCCATTCCGGAAGCCCGTCTGTATACCTCAATTCCCGGCAGTCTTCTCTTTGCGGGTGGACTGTTTTGGTACGGCTGGGGGAGTGTTGGTAATGGATCAGTTCACTGGATCGTCCCCACGTTGGGAATCGGATGCACCGGTGTGGGTATCTACTCTATCTACATGGCCGTGGTCAATTACCTGACCGACGCCTACGAGAAATACGCGGCTTCAGCGTTGTCAGCTGCATCTCTTGGCCGGAACACTTTTGGTGCTTTTCTCCCGCTCGCTTCTTTTGAACTTTTTGACCGGCTGGGGTACGGCTGGGCCGGGTCATTGCTTGGATTTGTGGGCATCGCACTCTCCGTTGTACCCGTCGTTCTTGTGCTTGCAGGACCCGAGATCAGGCGGCGTAGCCCATTTATGCGCGAGTCCACGTGGGTGTCAAAAGAAGAGCTCGAGGACAAGAATTCCGAGAGAACTGCGATTTGATATTTGGGCTTTTGGATTCTGAAGGCAAGCATCTCATATTACTTACATTCACTTAATTACTGAAAAGCAGGTCTTTATCTCGCCTGCATCATTGATCTGTGGAACCTGATCCCATAAAAATAGACGATGCACAGCTTGTCTCTGACAAAAGTCTTTGTCTCAGTCCTACTTTCCAACTAAGCCTCCTGCCACATTTAAAATAATATCCAAACCGATAAAAATCGTGCGATCCACGGTTTTCGATTTCTCGTCGGACTAGATCGTAATAAATTCAAAATCCAACGAGGATCTCGACTACTGGACACCAATTGACTGATTTAGTCTCTATATCCTGCACCAAGGGGACGCATAGCTCTAAGCTGAGACAGCCATCTTTAGGAGCAATAAATAGCCTTGCCGTCGAACGGGGGGTCAAAAGTCACAGGAGGGAGATCCAGCGACGATTTGTGTTTACCGGCGCAATGCTCATCGCTATTGTAATGTTAGTCACATCCAACGAGGCGACTGATCTGGAGACAAAATGGAAAACAGGGGACTTGCGCATAAATAAAGCAGCTGTCGGTGGCTGCGATCCAGCGTACATGGCCTCTGGTGAGTCGTTAGCCAGGCGCCGTACAAGCATCGTAGGAGAGGACTGACGGATGGCTCAACTTGATACACTTGTTTTCATGAACACGTTTGAAATGGCAATCTAGAGGCCCGTTGCAATACTCGATCTATGTCTCTATATCAGAGACATCCTCTTTGTGCTGAAAGTCTCTAACCATACCACGGAATGATCGCTAAACACAGGCACCCCAAAGCCGCGGGCAATGAACAGCCCCAGTGTCGTTGCGAGAACCGGCTTGTACAGCATCTTTCGAAAATTCTGGGCAAGCCTTGAGGAGAACTCGAATAATTTTCGTCAACAAGTTTGCCAGGTGGGAAAGGATTTCTACTTCGAATTTATACCATGCCATCCTGTCAGCTGGGGGTTGGCCGAAGTTAGAATCCAAGTGTCACAGCAGTTGTTACAAGCTACAAATTATCTCAACTCAGACCTGCCCTATAAGACAACCTCCGGCCTTCACGGAAAGTCGGACATTATAGTCAAGCCATCAGTGATGTTGAACCAGATATCCTTATAGAATAGCCTGTATTCAAATATGAAGGACATACTTCTTTATCCACGCTTTTTGATGTCTCAATTGGGGAGAGAACGTAGTCCTGGTCCGACAGGACGCTTTGGTGCACGCGCTAGCGTTCCTAGCCCGAAAGATGATCGCCGCCTTGCTGGTCAATTTATCAATGATGAAAAGCCTACAGGAAGTGGATGAGCAGCTGACCACCATTCTCCAGACGCAGAGGCATGTAGAGGTGGATCTCAAGTCCAGTATGGAACGTGTTAAGTGTGATCTCTTCGCGAAACTAGACAGCGATGAGCATTCAGTTTCAGAATGGGGTCCAAGGCCCAATCCATGGCTGGAGGCTTGGAGTGGAAGGAGAAGAAAGGTTCAAAGAAGAAACAGACTGGCTGAAAGAAGGCTGGTGTGAAGTATTTCCTCTAATGTTGGGAATTTATTATGGTTCTGGTTCGATATCTCGATGTAGTCTGGGTAGCCTCGGATGTATCCAACAATCGAAAACAACGCAAACCAAGACCAAAGGAATAAAAAATTCTACTTGTTATTCATCCCTGGAGCAGGTCTAGAAATGGGTTCTATACTTGCTGCTCGCTGACGCGGTCAACGCCACGGCCTCGCAATCGCCATTCATAAGCCGGACGAGCCAGACTCTATGACCCTCTCTTCTATCTGAAAGCGCCTTTCCAATGCGTGCAGAATCATTCGTCGCCTCCTGGGCGATCCATTCCTGAGTTGATTAACCTCGTGGGGCTCACCTTCAGAGAATGTATGAACACGCGGCGCCAAGAGTCCGTTGATTCTGCGGCACGGCAAACCTGAGGTTGAATGGTGGCATCGACGTCAAACGGTGTCAAGATACAGAGATAGTCGCGCTTTTTTCTCGGCTGGTGGTGTTGCCGGTCTCCAGAATGACGCGTCCGAGAGCGAAGACGAATGACTACGGGATCTATAAAAGTGGGCATTGAGCGTCTTTGAAATGACAGCCAAACACTCTTGTTGAAGCAGCCTGATTTTCTTTTTCTTCCTTTCATATATATTCGTTATGGTCCAGATCTCGAAATTGCTCGCCGTTGCTGTGACCCTGTTGGCTGCTCCAGCTGTCGCCCACCCGGGCGAGAAGCACGATCCGCATGTGGTTAAGCGAGAAATCCATGCCCGGGAAGCTCTAGCTGCTGCGGCCAAGCGATCTCTCGGCGGCTGCGAAAATAGTTTGCATGCACGGCAGTTGGCAAAACGCAACATCGCCCGTCGCTCTCGAGCTGTCCAGAAACTTCGCCAGAAACGAGGCGTTACTGCCAGTAGGTTGGCTACGATCTTGTAATGGAGAAAAGCTCACCCACAATAGATCCTCAAAAGTGGCGCCGTGATCAGGCCGCTCTGGAGAAATGGGAAGCCGCGAACCACAACCGGACGGCAATCCTCGATTATAGTCCTGCTACTCCCGAGTCCATCATCTTTGGAGCGAACACTAGTTGCATCTTGACGCCAACAATCACCAACGGTCCGTACTATGTTTGGGGCGAGATCATGCGAGAGAATGTCAAGGAGGCACAGTACTCTGATGGCGTTGATGTGAGCCTGGAGGTGCAATATATTGATATCAACACCTGCCTTCCCGTCCGAGGCGCCTTGGTGGATATCTGGCAGGCCAATGCCACGGGTGTTTACAGGTGTGCTTACATCGCCCCTAAATGAGAGTCAGCAGCTAACTCAGTCCATTGAATAGTGGCATCTCGGAGTCAGGAAACTATGCTGCTGGGGGATGGGATTCGACCTATCTGCGCGGTATCCAGCAAACCGATCGTGACGGTGTGGTCAACTTCGAGACGATCTTCCCCGGCCATTACGAAGGCCGAGCGACGCATACGCATCTTTTGACACATTTGAATGCCACTTTGCTCCCCAACAAGACTCTCGAAGTGGGCACAGGCAGCGTAACCCACATTGGGCAGCTGTTTTGGAACGAAGTGCTTCGATCCGCCGTGGAGAAAATGTACCCGTACAACACGAACACCCAGAATGTTACCACCAACGCGGAAGACATGTGGAGTGTGAAGCAGGCCGACAGCGCGTATGACCCATTCCCCGAGTATATTTACCTCGGGGACGGCCTTGACGACGGGCTGTTCGCCTGGATCCAGATCGGAATCAATGCCACCGCTGACTACACTGACAACTCGTACTATAGCATCGCGGCTTACCACGACACCAATGGTGGCCATCAAAACAGTGACAGCTTTGCCATGGGCGGTGCCCCGAGCGGTAGCAGAAGCGCGATGCCTTCTGCTACTTCCTCGTAATGAATCATGCAAAGCCAAGGGGCAGATGTCGGTCGAGATGGTGGTGCACAGGCGATCTCTCACAGATCATGTCTATAGATCAAATGAATTTCGTTCGTGAACATTCTTAGGAAGATGCTCTGCGGCCCCGCCGGAGGGGGGACGGTGGCACTTTGGCCAGGCTAGTGTGCCAATAGGCGCGCACGGACAAGGTCTATTCCCGGCGATCAAGGCGATCATTGGAGTCGCATCTAGGAGCCGAGGTGACCCCGTGTAGTTCAGAGTTGGAAAGAATGAAGAATCCAATTCATCGGTTCGTTTGCGGTCAACTTTACAAAACGCCAGCAGTCCCATTGTTGGTACCTCAGGCAGCAACTGTCAACAAATGACTATTCCCAAATAGGAATGTGCGACAGGGCACTGGCCCTAGTGCCTTCCCACTACAACCTGATTCCTCAGGCTGCCACCCGTTCTCTGGGTCCTTCCACGGTTGAGAGAAGACTGAAGAATGAAAGGATTCTTCAAGCAGCCTTCCTCTGCCGACTGATTCGCCGACAGATGAGTGTCGCCAAATCTTCGCATGTCATCCATCAACGAGACATCCATGGGACTCCTGGACGCCCTCGAGCCTGGTCCACCCGTGGACGTTTCCCCGTTCCCACCGCTGCCCGGCTGGTTTCTTTCTTGCGGGGAGTTGTGAACGTCATCGCCAATCACGTCCGATGATTCGGCTTGACGCGAGGCGGACCCGAGTTCAGCTGAAACCCGTACCTCTGTGGCATTGCGCCGAAAGGGCAGAAAAAGGGGGCTTGCCACGCTGACCGGAGACGAACCAAAACCCCCCAACGTTGGCTCGCTCATGGAAAGGCAGGGAACCAAAATCATGTCGGCAATGAAGGTTTCTTGGTCAACATGTGCAAAGCTGTCGGCTGTGGAAACTGCCGCGGTCGTCTAAATTGGTTCACCTCGCGTGCCGATCTCTCGAATAGACTCGACACTAGAGGTACTCCAACTCCACCAGTACCGGGCGCATCGATTCTTCAAGGCGGAGGCGGGCTCCAAGAGCTCGGCTCCATCCCTAGGGTCTAGAGCTATTGATGGCTTTCCCAGTCCATTTACCCGCCGTGGGGAATTATCTGAAAATAAAACCATGACGGGCCTCACCCACCGGTTCGTCCACTTTTTCTCTCTCTCACCGCGCGGATGGCAACCTCGATGCCCCTGGTCATCTCGCCGCTATGGACGACAGCCGAAATCAGGCTATCTTGACGGTCACGGCTGTTTTCCTCGGTATTTCCCTGGTCAGTGTTGGCCTGCGATGTTTTGTGCGTGCCAAGGTCGTGCAGGCTTTTGGGTGGGATGATAGCCTTATGGTCCTCGCGATGGTTAGTCCTGCTTTTCCTTTTAAGGCGCACACACCCCGAGACTGATGCGAAGTGAACATATAGGTGCTGAACTTGGTCTTTGCCATCTGTGGCCTTGTGGGCTGTAAATATGGGTTAGGACGGACCTTGGCATATTTTGTTGTCCGTCCGGAGCATTTCACCCATGCATTATTGGTATGGCTCTATTTCGCTATGGAGTCGATCCTCGAGTCACTAACCATGTCGACAGTGCTGGTGGTTGGGGCAGGTCTTCTACGTGGTAACGTGCGTCGTCGCCAAACTCTCCATCATCATTACTCTGCTACGCATCACCGTCGACCGCATTCACGCTTGGATTCTTTACGCCGCTATGTCCCTCGCCACGGCCGTTGGTGTCGTCTTCTTCTTCTTCACCGTCTTTCAATGCAGTCCTGTCAACTATTTCTGGCACCCGCTTTCCGAAAATGGCAAATGTGTCGACAAGGACGTCCTGATTGGCATCGCATATCTGTATAGTATCGGGGCTGCAATCACGGATTTAACCATCGGTCTTCTCCCAGTGGCCCTGATCTGGAATCTTCGAATGAACCGCCGCACCAAGGGGGCGATTGTTGGAATTTTGGGGGTGGGATGCATGTTCGTGATTCCCCTGAGTACTGTAGGCTGTGGCCATTTGCTAACCAGCTTTAACAGTGCCAGCGCAGCAGTCATTATCCGAATTCCTTTCGTTCACCATTACAAAGATCGAGAGTTCTTATGTACGCCATTCCTCCGCACATTGAAAGCCTTGAAACTCACATGAGCTCCGCAGATAATACCTACCAAATATCCATTTGGTCTAACGTCGAGGCCGGCCTGGGTATCACAGCTGGCTGTCTGACGACCCTCCGCCCCCTCGTCCGATTTCTACGCGATGGCTCCTCGCCGTCTCAGGCCCCCGGACCTATTCCCTTATCCAGCAGTGTGGCGCCAGGGCTCCACCGGTCCTCTCGGACCAAACATGAGGATCGTGACGACGTTCATCAGCTATGGACTGGCAACGAGATGGACGACTACCATGGGGTGACCACGACCATCATGAGTAGTAGCCACACCAAGCCGATCAGCAGCAGCGAGGAGGACCTCACGCCAAGCAATTGGAAGGTGAAGCGATCCGTGCGGATGTCTATACGCGATTCATGACCCAGCCTACTTTTATGTAATTAATTGATTGTACTATATTTGTTGACGACCTAAAAAATTTCTCTATGCCCCTTGAGACGGTCTCAATTATCGTTGCCCAACGATTGCGGCCCTTGAAACGCGTAGTGGATTTCTTACAGACAAAATAACTCTTGCTGCTTGTGGGAAAGATCAACGTCGTTTTTTGTGATGGAGCCGGTGTGGGACAGGAATAATGGAGATGTTCCACTAGCTCCACTATTACAATAGTCCAGCCAGAAGATGACCGGGTGTTTCACGATCGCGTTCTCCATTGGGGCGGGCTTTGCCAGACCAAAGGTAGCGTATCGAGTCTGGTGGTTATGGTTGATTCATGCCACTAAAGCCAATGGCCACGCGAAGTATATGGCCTACACCTTGCCACTACTGAAGCTAGAAAGCCTAAATTAGATAAAAAAAAATCATCATGAAAGACACGGTAAAAAACCACAGGGAATCAGTATATGAAAAAAAAAATATATCTTGGGATAGATGCGCTAGTTTTGCACACACTCATACTCCTTGATACCATCGCCGCCACTTTGCTCGATGTCCTAACATGGGACTCTTCGCTGGGCTGGCACTTGACCAAAAATCAATTAATGAAAATAAACTTGAGGTAGGACAAAAATATATTGAGTTCAAGCCAACGCCAAAAGTCACAGAAGAACGAAACACTGCATTAGCCCGCACGGTTATTGCATGACTTAGTTTCTTGCACCGGCTCTTGCCGCACCAATGCCTCTTGCGACGCCACAGAGACAGCATACGCATCGACTGGAGTCGAGGCAGGTGGGATAAGCGAAGAAGTTATACATGAGAATGGTGTCGTAGCCCTCCATGATGATTGTCATTGAAATCAATACAGATTATGCCACGGCCTTGCGATTATTGCATACGCCCTGCCAGAGGGTTTGGGAATGTTCCTCGTCGGCGGCCTGTTTGGCCTCAATGATGGCACCCTGGCCCAAAGTGTCTTCGACATGGTGTGCGGCAGACTTCTCCAACGCAATCTTGGTCTCGGTAAGATTCGACATGGCGGTAAATGCGAGGCCCTTTTGAACCACCGTTACAGCAATGGTTCAATTCCGGCAGTGGGTTTATATAGATATGTATATATACCCAGTTCATCACCAGTAGCCCGCGAGCTCATCCACGTGCCAGGCAAGGATTCTGAGATCGTGTGGAGATGTGGAGAATGCATGGTGGATGCTACACGCTGGGAGACTTCAGTCTGCATTCAGGCTAATATGGCCAGTGAGTCGCAGGCATACAACACTCGTGTGTTCATCAAACCACATGTTCTGCGCGTTTCGACCGGTTTGGGAGATCAGGGCAGGGATTTTGCACCCTATCACAGCCAAAACTCGGGGCAGTGGCAATTCGAGACGAAGAATTCAGTCATCAGTGGGACGGATAACCAAGAAAGCGAGAGTAGACAGGTGAGGATGCTAGGGGTTTGATTGGATTGGTGTCGACGCCGCCGAGCGAAAACGCCTCTATTCCCTGTGGGAAACGGAGGAAAAGGCCGTGGGCAAAATTCCAGCGTAGCTACACCAAAAGACACCTGGAGAATCCAGCTTGACGTGGACATGGGGGCCTTGGCCGATGGAACAAGTGAAGAGTTCGTTTGTGCAGACTTTGATGTTCAGCCTTGCCTTGGTGCCTGGGGTGTCCCCATGGGGTTGACTATATCCAGGGTTCTCAACGGAAGTCTCGATTCTCTCTCTCTCGTATATCCAACTCATCCTAATTGCTAACCTCGAAGATTTGATATTCTATCGACCGGCGACTGTTCTCCCAGATGCATCGTCCGTGATAGACAAACAGAGTGGATTCGGTCCACTTGAACTGGGGCACTGAAAACGATTAATGAGCGTGTCAATCTGGGTGGGCTCTTGTGCAAATACCGTTGGTCTCGATAAAGGGCCGACACCACCAGTCATGGTCACCGAACTTGGTGGATTTCGCGTCGGGCGTGGTCGCGAGGAAGTTGGCCGCCGCCTCGTCAACCTTTAATGCGCCCGTATAATGCACATAGACACCCTCTACATTCGCTATCTTGCCATGTGTGCGCACATCAATGTTGGCGGTGTTGGTGGCAGCATCAACCAAAACCCAGTCGCTGCCCCCGGCATCCCTCGCCGTCGGTACCTGGAATGCCGCGCAGAAACCCACCCTCGAGGGCCCCGATCACGCGCTGAGGACCTGACTGCAGCTGCCCCACGTCGATGCTGTCGGACGAGATGTGTCCGCGCAAAGTGAAAACATGGGTCAATTTGGAAGACATCGCTGAGAATCAAAAGCGCACCAGGTGGAAAGTGCCATCATCAAACAAGCGACTAGGTCCCTTTTTGAGGGCCATGGAAGAGGGGGCACATCCTTTAGAAGTGTGGGGGGCTAGTTGCGGGCGATTGAATCAACCTTCATACTTTTGAGGTTGCACATTGCAGGTCTCATTAGCAGAGGAGTGGGCGTGAAGAGAAACCCGCCGATCACAGCGATCTCACGAGGGGGCCGAGAAGGACCCAATTTTGGGAATCGTTCGAATGTGATTCAAAGTGCCATTCCTGTAGATCATGGGGTATAATAATTCCAAAGAAAAACGCCGGTCAAATGCATCCTACGTTCTTGATCCTTCCAAATCCAACTACCCAACGTCACTGTCATTCGATCCGGATGAAAGTCCGGTACTCGTTCAACGCGATCTTCGTCGTCGGGGGCGACAGGCGCATAGACCAGTAAGGCATGTGGTCCACGTTACTGACATAGGAGCCAGAAGAGCTCAGGACCCAGCTGGTTTCGTCGTGGGATCCAAGAAAAAGACCGTCGAGCGCAGTGTGGTCGAGGGTGTGACGATACACCTGAACGCGGCCGGTTTTCTTTGAGCCCAGTCCCCACGCCAACTCCCCCGAATTGCCCGCTTCGTCAATGACCAGTGCGTGCCAGTCTCGAGCACCGGCACCAGCGCCCGAGGGAACTCGCGCCTCGAGGGTTTGAAGGGCGCCGTTGCAGCGTATTTGGACCTTGGCGTGTTCGGTGCCGCTTGAAATGGTGATCTAAGAATGAACATGTTAGCATGGCATACTCCTCTATAAAATGGTCAAATGGTCGTCGCATGGTCCAAAATACATACCACGCCCTGTTGAATGCCTTTATCCTCGGCCGATTTCCTCACATCGCAGCTTGCCTCGAGCCCTTCGAGTTTGCAGCCGGTCTGAGATGCAGTCGCATCACTGCAACGGTGGACCTTGAGCGTCCACGGTCCGGCGATTTTGCTGCCGTCGTTGTATTTGGGAAGCGCAGAACATTCGGTGATTGGGGTCCTGGAGATCTGTGGTTGTGGCCACGCGCTGGCAAGGAGGAAGAGGAGAGTGGAAAAGGTGAAGAATGTCGAGGGAATCATTTTTTTTTTTCCCACGCGAGACACCGACCACGCATGATGGGCCTCCCCACAGAGATATATGTTTTTTCCCCCCCTTCTCCAAGGCGCAGTCTCAACACGAGAACTCGTCCAGGCATCCATCGTTGCTGGCTTGAGCAAAGATCGTCGTCCACAGCCCTTCAACGGAGACCCTACGAGTAGTAGGGCCAAGCGGCCCCAGCAAGCGCGTGGTGATTGGCAACATCGTGCGATCGACAACCAACACAGCCAGCTGGCGCTCCATAGCGCGTATGATCATCGCGACCAGTTGCTGTTCCTAGAAAGCTAAACGTCACATCTCTCGTTTCTATTCTTGTTTTCTTGTCTTCCTGTTGTTGTTGAGTGGAGACGCGGAGATCTCCAATTCTTCGACACTTCAGGCTGGTTCTACAGTATATACGCAGCTAGGCATTTGGGTTCAACAGTCCCTCTGCTTCATAGGCGTCCTCCGCTTCTCCGTGGGACTTATCCAGCACATCTGCCATTGCCAGACCCTCGCGACGGCCTTTGTCCGCATCCACCATCCACACCAGCGGAATAGGCATCACGATCAACACTGCAATGAAAAAGAAGCCGGACCGCACTTGACCGGTCGCGTCAATAAGCACCCCGACCACGGCAGGGCCAATAAACGAGCTACCCTTGTCCGTAGCCGCGTAAAGAGCATAGAATGCCGCCTCGCTCCCGGGAGGGATCAGAAGCCCGAAAAAGGAACGGCAGTAAGAGGAGAGACCACCTGACACAATTCCGTGGACAATGGCCAGAGGGAAGATCTCCCACGGCTGTTGCAGCCCAAGGAAGCCCCACCTGCGGATAAATGGAACGAAGCCAAGCATTCCGTACAACGGAATGATTTCAAATAACGCGATGCAAAGGATGATGGTCTGGTTAGACTGCAATTTGAATCGCCGAGAAACATGCGGCCAGAGAAACGCGCCCGTCATGCCAGACAAGGTCGCCGTGATCGACAGGAGGCCAACCGCCGTCGTGCTCATCTTCAGTTCCGTGCGGGCAAAGAGAATCGCTGTCCCAGAGACTGTGGCCATGGCATCGGACAAGAGAAACCAGGCCACAAGAAAGACAACCACCTCGCGGAGCTGAACGGCAACCTTGATGGTCTGCCACAACGACTTCCAGGCAAATCCTACCAACCGGAGCCATACCCGCCAGCGAGCAGTGCCGGGCGTGGAAAGTGTATCCAGCGGGGGTCCCGGGCGAGCGCGGAGCCAGCGGCGTGACACAAAAGTGAATGCGCACCACCAGATACCAACCAGCAGGAGCACGAATCGTAGCGGAAGGGTGCCCGATGCCTTGGCGAGAGAGGTCTTGGAGAGAGTTACAAGCAGAAGAATGCTCAAAATTTGTACAAAAACCGCCGCACAGTAGCCGAGACCTACCCCTTTGGACGAAATTCGAGTAGACAGCTGGAGCTCTGGCGAAGATGAGCTTGGAGTGGCGCCTCGGGCATCCTCGGGAGAAGAGCTTGAGTGGTCCACTGGTCGCGTCCCATCCAAATGGTCCTCTTCGTTCCATTCATTCTCACCGGGGGTATCTTCATTGCCATCCAAGCTCGATAACTCTTCCCCGTCCTCGCCCTTGACAGTTTGGATAGACGGGTCATTGGCGACCAAGACAGGGAGAAAGGAATTGAGTACAACAAAGGACGATCCGAGACAGGTGACACCGACGACGACCAATATCGAACCGAGGAAAAATACCGGGGGCGCGATCAACAGGAACAGCATGCTGGTGGCGGAGCCGACAAAGCCGAAAACCAAGAGCAACGTTTTGCGATTATTCCCTGCACCCACGCGATCGGAAGAAACACGTTGTTAACTTTCCAGTCCGTTAGGTTTTGCGACGGGCCCAGTTTCTTAGCCCGACTTGTCTGTAATCATACCGTAGTCAGCCAAGGCGCTGAATGATACCAACGTCAAGGCCTGGATGAGAACTGCAGCCGAGAAAGTGTAGAGCGCAAAACTGGCTGTATTGATATCGAGCCCCAGAACTCCGACCACACATTGGTCATTCGCTGACTGCGTGCCATTGTTTGCCGGCGCTTGAGGACCCACGCAGGGGAGGTGGCTCGTATGGAGGGTGCCGCGCTCTCGCGCCAGCTGCTCGAGGGTGAGAGGTAAGAAAGACCCTACAAGATGGGGTGAGTCTCCTGAGCAAGAGTGAGAGCATACGGTCCAAACGAACCGACACCTGACACAGCAAAGACCTCGGCTGCGATCCCGTAGGCATACCAACCCAGGATCTCTCGGCGACTGGTGGGTGTAGTATCCTCGCCTAGATAGCGCGGGGGTCGCTGTGGAACCCCCTCAGAGGGGGATGACGGCAACTGGAGGGCAGCGAGGATAGAAGAGAGCATGGAGGAGGAGATGCCTGGAAGCCAGACTGAAGAAGCGAACGAGGGAGGAGGAGAACGAGCAATGCTGATTCATCGGATGCGGGCGGAAAGCAGGCCTCGGGGACGTTGTCATGATCGGCGCTAACTCTTCCCTCCGTTGTATATATTCTTCTACAATGAGGATTCACATCGATAACCACTGGCACTGTTACTTCGACAGTCCATATGTCGATGCTATCAGTAAATAAACATGACACGCAGGTACCCGCCCGGTACCAGATGAGCCACCCATGAAAAGCCCGTGGGAAGGTTCCTGCCAGGTACACCCGTGCCTGCCGGTACCGGGCCGGTTCAGGACAACCTCAACAGGCAGGCACCGGGGGATGTGTCTTTCTCAAGTCAACATCTTCGTCTCTCACTTCTTTTTTCTCTTTCTTGCCTTCAATTTTCACACTCGTGTCTGCAGTCACTTGGCACCTTGACTTTCTACTTGCACCATGGCTTTTATTCTACACTATCTTCAGTTCATTCTCGGTCGCTTGCTATATCCTATTCGAAACCATGAGTCGCGCCAGATCATCCACAGCCCGGCTTTCCATGACCACCCGGAGCCCAATATGACCCTTGATGCCGTGGGCTGCGGTCCATCTGGCTCTGATCTGCCCCGCCAATACACCTGCCTGGCCGAGGATGGCGTCGGGTGCCTGCCCGAGTTGTGCTGGGATGCTCCCGAGTCCGAGGCGGCAGTGAAGGAGTATGTGTTGATCTGTGAAGACATCGACCTGCCTATTCCGTCCCTGGTCATCCACCACGGCCTCTTTTGGGCCATTCCCGCCTCAGTGACGACTGCGGTTCCTGCCGACATCCAAGTGCATGACGGTTCCCCCAAGTCACGTTTGACCAGGGCTGGCTGGCGCTACATTCCGAATCTTGTGGGCTCCTCATACATCGGTGCCGGTGCACCTTTGGGCCACGGAAAACATCGTTACCTCTTCACGATCATCGCTCTCAATGCGCCATTGCAGTTCGACAGCCCCGAGAAGGCCTCCAAGCAAGACATCAAGCAGGCCATGATCGGCAAAGTCATTGGATGGGGTCAGTGGATCGGCCACTTTGAGCGTCCCTGGCCCAACTAGCCAGCTCTCGCCACCATACTCATGAAAGAAGAACAGGGAAGAAGGATGGGTGATACATCTGGGTTTCAGTGATGGTCGAAAAGGGGAGTTGCTTTGTTTCATCCTTCGCATGCATTCTTCAGACCCCTATGCGAGTATTTCTATGGTTCCTTTCAGCGAAGTTTCAATGATATCCGTACATGGCTCAGTATGGCTTGATTCGTCTCTAGTCGTCTCTGATCACTTTGATGCAGGTCTTCGACGTCGCCAGTGATATTTCCCCAAAGCCCATCAATATGACTGACATCTCCATCATCCCTAGGCCAGCGAGCTTGTGTTGCATCCCCTCTCTATATGCTGCATTATTAACGACAGCCGGCTCATGGTGGACTCGATGGAAGATTCACACGCTCGCAGTGTCGCTGTGCCAGATCGATGGACATGTGTGCTCTCTATGAATACCCGTAGGACCCCCTTCAATCCTCTCATCAGCTCAACCAGACTCATTAAGCTTCGAGCGAGGAGAGTCCGGACCAACAATCGGGTTTCTTCGTCGTCGAGCTCGATGTGTCCCAGTGTCACCCTGCTCCGGATGCAGATAAAGGGGGCTGGGGGCTGCTCAAAGGCCACCACCGCGATATCAAATAGCTCCGGCTGGGTTGAAATATTGTAGGCGGAGCACACCGCGTCGAAAAGCGGCAGACACTGCTCAGATAGGACTGGCAGTGTCCCGATGGAAGACTCTGGCATTTTCATGCAGCCCTTGCAATTGACCATGATTTGCCCCTGTTCGCATATGCGTTGAATCAGGCCAATAATGGTTTCGACGTCGACGACAGTCTGGACATTCTGGAGCGCAGACATCAACTGCAGCGCGTTCGATGAGCACTGACAAGAGGTTTTTGGAATCATGTCAGCTTCAAGAACAACACCCAGGTCACAAGCAACCAGTCCTCGATAATCTTGCTTGGGGCGTAGGAATGGCCTTTCGCAAGTTCTTTCACTCCTCTTTTATGTGGATATCGAGAATGACCCAGGATATCAAACAATTTGGGTATCTTGCATTGCTTTCGAAAAATACCGGCACAGGCTAACATGAAAAGGTGGATGGCAGTGCGACTTTCTCAACTATGGGAGCCAAATATAGATGCGAATTACAGGGATCGAGGAGGCAGGTGTGGATAGACAAAACCTCGGAACGTCTCACAGGCCCCTACCGGCTAGGGAGAGCCCAACACGCACCCGCTCAGGAAGTCGAGATCACGTTCACTAGAGCATCTTCGGCTCTCAAGATACTGCGAATGTCACACAATGATGTGCCAGGTATTTGGCTCACAACCTTGCAGATTGGCGTGCGATGGACACCTTGACCAGAAGATTAGAGTGTCCCTGCGGACGGATCAAGCCAGGTCGCTCTCTTATCTACCAAGGTCGCAATCATTGTATCCATTCTAGGCATGGAGTTTCAAACGGGTCCTCTCTCAACCCCTTACTATCTACGGAACTTCGGGAAATTGCTGAATTCTGGATTTGGTTGATACTTAGGTAGGGCACCCGGTGGACAAGATTGTGCGAGGTCGCCAGCTTTCCATTCTTGCCAAATCTTATCACCCAACCATGCTAATCTTCATGATGACCAACTGCAACCGACGGTCCGTTTCCCCCATCATCATCAACCGTCCCCGTGAGGGGGTTATAGCAAGGACCTGCTGTGTACAAACACGGATGCGCCGAATGGTCAGTAGCAGCATAGACAGGCGTGCTTGCAATACGTGTCGAATGAACCGAGCCTTTTCCTCCACAGGCACTACAAACCCCCCTACAAGCAACGGAAGAGCCTCAATATAAGATTGAAAGCCGCTACCCAGTTCATTCTGCCCTTTTCCCAAAGGTGATCGTTCCTCGTCGACGCATGCCCCCGCGGATGAGATTGCTTCCAGTGCCGTAACAAAGCTATCGATGGTCACCATGATGATCATGAGCATATTCGCTCTAGCTTCCGATTGAGGGCAGAATCGACATTGCAGGATGACTTCTGCCTGATTTTGTAGCTCCCTTTGACAGACCAAAATACTATCAAGACTTGAGAATCTGCTTCGACCGGTCCGAAGCCCAGATTCCACCAACTCGCTGGCGCCTTGTTTGAAACAGCCGCAGTGGTAACCTGGTGGTTCGACTGGAAGGGGATCGATCTCTGAATTCTCCGGAGAGTACATATCGTCGTCATTACTGTCTTCCGACGACTGGAACCTAGCCGAAGGGTCCAATTGATCACTTGCAACACTCAGTGAAGGCATCACATCCAGCATCTGACAATCCGATGATGACTGCAACTCCTGTCTCGCATTCGACGACCATGCCCATGGAGACGTATTTGTATCCTGTAAAATTGAGGTTTCAATCATCTCATTTCGAGCCGAGCTGGGAAACACGTTGAGGTCCTGACTTGTGCTTGTTTCAGTAGCCGATTCGGGTATTATGGGCACTGAGAGATATTCATCCCCTGACTGGTAGCCATCGATGGGCCCATGGTGTTTAAAGCTCTCTGGAAAGAGCTCAAACGGGGCATCCCAGCTGACATCGCCGTAGACCAGCGATGAAGTCGTGGTACTAACAGCGTCATTGATATGTGTCGACATCAACTCCTGCAACCAACTTTCTGGCGGTAAATCCATCTCAAGCCCTTCTGCATGGAGGGTTAACCGCTGTATGACTGATCAGAGGACGCTTGTGCTCACCAGAGACTCCGCTTGAGTTCATTTCCATAAGAATGGGCATCTGAGTGTTATCACCGATGGGGATATCCTGAGAGGCATTGCCACATTTGCTTATAGATCCCATAGTCTTCGACTTGGAGCTCTGGTATCTCTTCCTTGTCTGTTTCTGGGTTCGCTTCTCATCGGAAATACCTTCTATCGGCGACGGTGAACCTCCATCCTGATCGCTGATGGTTGACCGTGGATCCGTTTTCTTTGCCGGTCTTCCCAGCCGTCGAGAGACGCTGTAGATGCAGTCGATCTTATGTTTCTGGCATCGTCGACACGAGGGTTTCTCATGACTGCAGCGGATTTTGGCCTGTTGACAGGCATTGCAAGTGGAGCGAACCTTGACACTCTTAGGGAGCTGTCCGGTGCTCATTTTTGATGACTTTGACAGGCTTATTGGACTGATTTGGTATTCGGCACAAAGCCATGGGCAATGGAGTGAGTAGATGCATCGTGACTTTAATCCGTCAAACATGTCATTTCCTATCTATGGCTTGTACAGCTCACTCGCATGCCTAGGCACCACCAAAGTTACATCCGGAAGAGCATGCATGACAAATGCTCTTGTCCTACATGCTCTGCCCAGCAGGAATTGATGTGCCTTTTGATTGATTCGCGGGCCATACAAAAGCGACGGGCTAGTGGCGGGACTCGGAGATGTTAGAATGTGGTATGGTATTGCAATTTCACTTTGTATACCCTCGCTTGTGGTGCTGGCAAGATCCCCTTATTGAGTTTCCTTTTTGCAAATTGATTGATACTCCGGGAGTTTCTATGCTAACCGGAATATTAGTCCAATCCCGTAGAGAAAATGGTTAGATGCCTGCTGCTTTGTGATTCTGCTGCTCAGTTTCCAGTTTTTTATGCTCTCCAGAACCTTGGTATCTTCTTCTATTTTCTTTTCTGGTTCGGGCAGATACATCTGAATAGTGAGGGCTGTAACGAGCATTGCTCTTGAGAAAAGATAGGGAGCTTCAATTGGGATTATCCAATTCTTGATGACATAGACTGGCCACTATACCCTGTGCTCTGCCCGATAGAACGGTGGAGCAGAACCAAAACATCCACTTTTCAAGATCCATCATTCTCTATTCCTATGGCTGGACAGTATTTGAGAGCTCTGAATTGTAAATAGGTGGCTTGGGTATTCCGGATTATGTCCAGCTCGTAGCAGGAAACCCGACCCAGCGGTGGTGTTTTGGGGCTTCTGATAGAGACATAGATACCCTACTTCTGTATGATGCAGAACAACGAGAACCACCCCTAGAGAGTGGTCGACACACAAGCAGCCCCTTAAATTCCCCTAGTTTGCCACAAACCGGTAGGACTCGTGTCACAGAACACAGACTGGAACGAAGTTGTTGTTGCACTCGAGGATGGTGACGGATGGTTCCCATCGGGTTTATCATTGCGCGCAAAAAAATAATTCACCGCAATAGGCGGACCCAATGCGGCCGCACGCATGAATTCCCTCACATCAAACCCGGCACGAGCTTCCATCGTCTCCGGTGGGATATGGGAGAAGCAGTCAGGGAACTTGTAGGCGGGTGGCTGCGCGAACAGCAGGTAGACGTAACGGTGGTGTGAGCCCGGTGGCGGTTGAGGACCGATGTATGAGGCCACGTTGAAGGAATGCCGGCCCTCATCTGGTGCAAGTGGAGTGAAGGAAAGACTGGGTGTGCAGTTTGCCACAAGATTGGGCTGGTACCAGTGCAGAATAACAGTCTGGATGACCGTTGCAGGCAGCACCACGTCAAGATCCAGGAAAAAGACCACGTAATGTGTGTTGCAACGAAGGCCACTACTGCTGATCTCCGGGATTCTCCTAGTGGCTAAGGCAGTGGTTAGAAATGTTCATGTCGCGAGTTGGTTTACCATACCTCCAATATCCAGGGTCATCCCCGGGGAGATCCATTGCCCTTCGGAGTACCGGATGTGAAGCCTCTGGCCATGTAGCGGGAAAAGGAGCACACTATGGGCTGGGGTGGTGAGAAGAAAGTATAGGACCCAAAGCCAACAGGGCATTATATAAGTGGCAAGCTGTTTTTTCTTTTCGTTTTTTCGGTGGAGTAAAATACCTGCTGGAGTTGAAGAATATATCCCACATCAGAATACATTAAACACCGAGAATAGAACCAAAATATTAATTTCCGATACGCTAAATTTTCTCAGCGTCTATTCAACTGCAAGCATAGAAAGGCATCATGAGGTTTACAGTTATCTGGGTAGTCCAGCCTGCGCTCGGCGCCATTCCCAGCCCTTGTAGTAAACAACCAGCAGGAGTGGACTCACTACTACCAAAACCCCTGCCACGAGATAGTAGGTCCATTGTATGCCCAGTCGCTGAATGAGGGGATTCAGCGCAGCAGCTGCACCGGCACCCAAGAAGCATCGAACAAGGTTGTTAGCTGCCATAGCGGTTGCCGGGGTTGTGTAGTACAAATCCACTATAAGTACATTCATCACATTATATGCCGCAGTGATACAAAAGCAGATGATGAATACCATGAGAAGTGCAACCCAAAGGGGTGGTCCTCGGTTCATTAAAAACCCAAAGAGGGCAATCGAGGTCGCAGCGCAGACCTAAAGCATTATATGAGAGTCATCAACCGGGTCGGATGTAGAGCATACTCCTCTGGGAGAAACATACGGTCATTGGGAGTCCAATCTGTAACCTTGCCTGTTCGATCGGGAATGTGATGATGTCTTGCTTTTGAGATTTATGTGCTGGCTGGCCTGCTCCGGCGAACATCCGTCGATAATTCCAGTCGACAATCATGCCGTTTGCCGTTGCACTGACGAGCGAGCCGAGTCCTGCGGGAATAAAGCATAGCCCAATTCCAAGGTCTCCCAGCTCATAAAGCGCGAGGAATCGTGCCGGGATTCCAGCCGTGACAGCGTAATAGCTAGCGAACACAAACCCATTGACCAGTAGAACCAAATTCACTGGCCGGTCAAATAATAGACGTAGGGTAAACCAAGGATTCGGAGTTGTCACAGTCCTATGGAGAGGACGAAAGGAATGAACGACGGGATCTCTAGTTTCCGAGTGCCGTGAGGTATAAACGCGATTGAAGATAGACCGATTCCAACCCGACGGGGCGATGGACCCGTTTCCGACAATTGCGCGACAGGTTTCAGGGAAGAAAACCCACATGGGCAAGAAAAACGCCGTGGCGGCAATGGCCAGGAACCAAAACACAGCTTGCCAGCCCAGGTATTGACTCAATACGCCACCAAGAATTGGTCCCAGAGACGGCGCGAGAATATTTCCGAGCGACGCAACACCCAAATACATACCTCTCTCGGCAGAAGTAATAATATCGGCCGCTACCGCCGAGGCAAGCGCAACAGTGCCGCTACTGCCACAGCTTTGAACAGCACGAAGGACTAATAGCGCAGAGAAGTGATGCTGAACGGCGAGGGCAACGTTGCCCCCAATGTAGATCAGGAAACAGCAAATATATGCGGGTCGACGGCCGGCTTGGTCTGCCAGTGAGCCCATGAAGGCTGGAGCAAGACCTTGACATATCTGGGCAAACACAAATGAGTTACATGTACGGTATGTTGCGGGAGACTCATACCATATAGGTAGTGATGGTCAAATTGATCTCAGACGGAGTGACATGCAGATCCTTGGCAATGGAATTCAGGGCCGGGTAGTATATATTGGCCGACAGAGGAGAGAAGCTGGAAGCCAGCGCTGCAGCCAAGATAATCAAGCGCTTCTGGCGAGTCGTGAACACGGAGTAGGGCTCGGTGCTGGACGATGGGCGCAACAATGGCGTCGTGGGGCTGGGTTGTTCATGGGTCCCCAGCTGGAGCTGAAGCGATCCTGGGTTGCTAATTCTGTTCATTGTTTGGAAGTCGACGCAGAACTAGACAGGGATGCAATATACAAGTAGTCAAGGTCCGGAAAAAGGGGCACAGGGCAACATTTATGCAAAGCGTAGAAGCTTAAGGACATGAAATAGGGGAAAGCGACTGGAGGGATTCCCGCCACCGATAAAAACACGCCAGTTTCGCAAACTCGCCCTATTAAAGTCTTGCAGCGGAGCTTGACACCGGAGTTGCATTTCCTGTATACATATGAGAGGGCCGAAAGAGCTTACCGCGTGTGACTATGCTTGATTAACTCAGAACTCACCGAGGATCTCGGGCAATTCGGGGAGGCATACCCATGTACTCTCGCCAATGTGCCATAATTCCCATGATACGATGGGACAGCATTGCTGCTGGAATGAATTCAGGCTCTAGTCCACTGCGTTTATGTTAATACTCTTGTCAATATGTTGATTCTCCTAGGTCACCTCACATGCCGGTGAACACAAAGTTCCCATAAAAGTCTGCGTTTGGGTATAATCCACGCGAGAGAAAATACTCATCTTTGCCTGCCATCATCTCAATAGCCTGGGCAATGTCCAACAGAGGGTTGGAACCCTGTATGAGGTCTTGCAGAATCGTTTGGATGGGGCGCACTCGGGGATCGACGCCCTTATAGGCACGATGTCCATAGCCAAATAGTTTTCGCTGTCCAGTTTTGACCTGGTCGATAAAAGCAGGGACATTCTGTGGGTGTCCAATTTCACGAAGAGCCCGCTGTGCAGACTCGGTGGCACCAAAGTGCAAGGGACCATGGGCAGCGGCCACTGCGGTGATCAGACAGGAGATGGGGTCGGTCAACGACGAGGCCGTAACAAGCGCGGAAAAGACTGACAACGCCATTCCATGATCGGCGTTGAGCATGGCAAACCGCCGAAAGCATGACAATCGTACAGGATCGGGGCGATCAGTCGCTGCGTCCACGAGGCCAGCCATCGATAACACATTGTTGTAGTAGCCCTGCCTGGGGAAGCTGGGCGCCAGACGATGCCGAGTCGGTGGCATCGGACGCGCGCAAACACCACAGCATAGGCAGCGACCGTTTTTAGAATCATTTGGTCGGCCAGATCGAGATTTCCCTGATAGAGGGTTGGGTTCGAAGATGCCGGGATTACATCGGGCTGGCATGCCAGGTATGCGGCAAGGCCTGCCAGAAGGAGTGGCAACGGACTTGCTGTGCGTCTATAACCGGCAAAATGGTGTTAGATGTCAGTTGCCACGTTGCTAAAGCGGGCTCGTACGGGAGATTCATGATTGCCTGGTGCACCGCATCGGGAACATCCAGCATGTGCTGGGCCAACTTCTGGCTCAACTCCGATCGTTGACGCTCTGTTGCATGAGTTCCCCACACCAGCAGGTGAAACATGTCTTCGAAATCTGCGTCCCAGAGCTGCTCGAGGGTATATCCTCGGAACAGCAACATGCCACGTTCATGGTCGCTGGACTCATCATTAGCTTCTTCTCCTTAGGGCACAACCACAATGCTCACGAGAAGCTAATTGCAGACTCCACCACGGTGGTGTTTTGTAACCCAGGATCATGGACACGGAGCCCGTGGGCGACCTGGTCCGCTCGATCGGCATCGATAGAAGGTGCCCGCATACGCTGTAGATCTGTAGCGCGCACTGCATTCCGATGGATGGGAATTTCATAGTTCGCGTCGGTGCGCGAATCACGGATAAACAGAGTGCCAGTCGACATGATCGAACAAGACCCGCCATGGGCTTGAGATCCTGATGATGCCCTGGACGGCCACTTGCTTTTTATGACAACCCGGAAATTTTTTTTTTTTTTTCTTTTTTCCTTCATGGTCGTGGCTCAAAATGTGCCGAAGAAGATCTGTCCCACGTTGGTGCCAAAGGGGACGGTCTTGGGGTTTACTTGGCAGGTGAGGCATGGCTATGTTTAAAGAACAGAAGTTGGGCCAAATAACTTTCATCGTATTGGATTATTTGTTGCTTTTCTTTGATTGTCATCACTCATCAACTGGATATCCACGATGCCTCCACCCAAGAGTGTTTACTGAGGCATATGCTCGAAGGGGTGGGCGAGCTGCTCCTGGCAGAAGGGAAGCTTGCTGACGGTCCAAATCTCGGTGGTCTACCATCGAGAGGTCAGTCGCTGTCAAATAATCAAATAATCATCAAATCATTTCCCACCCACCGGCTTTAGGGTCTTCTTGATCTCCCAGTCCAGGGTGCCCGCCTTGAGGGCGATGATCTCCGGAGCAGCGTCGGGGTCGTGGGCGATCGGCGACCCACACTCGGAGCAGAAGACGCGGTGAACGGCGTGGCCTGAGCTTCCCTTGCCAGACCAGGTCTTGGTGGGGCCGTTGATGGCCAGCTTGGCCTTGGGGACCACCGCGACGAGAGCTGGAATCATTAGCAGGCGGGTTCGGTCGCAGTTGTTCACACTTCCATACAGTAAGTCGAGCCACTCTGACGCTGGCAGTCATCACAATGATCATAGGCCGTGATAGCAGGCTCGTCCACGTCGGCCGAGTACGTGACGGCTTTGCAAAGGCAGTGACCAGTGAGAGGCATAATTGGGATGAGATCGGGAGATGGAATTCTCGCAAGGTGCTCAAAATTGGGGACCTTGAGAGAGAGAAGGAGGCGAGTATTTAAGAGCCCGCGAGATCTCCCCGGTGGCCACTTCTCTCAGAATTTGTCATGTCCCGGCGACCCGGCGCGCCCATAATGAATGGCGGGTGCGGCCAGGTATTTGCTACCTGCCGTGCGCCACTTGGTCATTCCAAATCCTGCTTTTCTTTACGATAGGCTCTGGGGGACTATCGCGATGGAGATTATATGCATGGATGGTCGATTATTGTTATATTACATCCCCCGATATTGTACATGATGTGTTCTGCATGATATATTACATCCACGGATGTATTTTCGATCATGTTCTCCTCTTATAGTATCGAGGATTCCAAATCTCTTGCCACAACCTCTTGTACTCGAACACGGCAAATTCATTCTTTGCTAGAATCATGCAAATATAAGCCTCGTTCGGACTGGGAGCAGATTGACACCCACCCACCCACTACGTCTCCTTGGAGGGGTGTCAAGGGCAATTCGGGCTCAGTTGTGACCAGTCACCCCAGCGCCGTCTCCGTAAAATTTCGACTTGGCCACGTCGAGGGAATTGATGAGTAGACCGAATGTCTGAAAGATGGTTCCCGCGTAAGGTTAGTGGATCAGTCGTTGGCGGCTACAGGATTGAGTATTGCTGGGCATTATTGCCATAGAGCTGGCCTTGAGACGAATACTTGATTTTATGTATGTTCCCTGCATGTATAGAATCTATTGATTCGATAGTGTACTCCCTCGCCGAGCATACTCGATTTTATCCGCCACACTCTACAGAACATCCATCGGTTAACGTCCACTCATGTACTGCGATCCAGGGACTGACCTGCATCTGCGCCGCCATGCCGCGGCTAGGATTCTGCCCGCCGTAGATCAATGACTCGGCCTGTTGGGCCTCCCGCGCATCATCCTTGGTGACATAAACGGGCACATCGGCCGCAACAGGCGGAAGTCCCAAGGCTTCGTTGCGATTGGCAATGGACCGAACCTGTGCAGAGACCGATCCGACGCCTGGGGGCTTGTTGAAGGCACGACCCTATGGGGCGAAAATGTCATCGCAGGACTCAAAGTCTTCGAGGCAACCCTTACCTCGGTTGCTTGTATCTCCCGTGCATCTTCCTGTGTGATGTGGCTCTGTGGCTTGCGCGAGACCTCGTCGATCTTGGTGTCAAAATTCATCTGCCTCATCGCCAGGCTCTGCGCGGTGGCTGCGTCGGGTCAGCTCTACTATCCATCCGTTGCTGGATGTTCAGGAACCGACCAGCTGGCCCACCTCGAACAGGTCCGCTTCCTGTTAATTCACTCTCGGCCTGTGAGATGACCGACACATCCTCGGGCGTGATGCGTTGTCCGCACTCGGCGGCGCGCTTGAGTTCAGCAATAGTAGGAAGGTCGAAACTCATGATGAGTTGGGTTGATGTACTTTTGGAAATGCGCACGGGAGTTTGTGACGATAAGTATGAGTTTGCTTTTTGGCTCCCAATGCAATATATAGAGTGGCTAGTGGTGATGTCAAGATGAGGGCATGCAATGATGGGTCGCCTCCAACAGCCATGATGGCACTCCTTGGTTCCCTAAATTGGAAAGTCAAGTAAAAGGGATTGGTAAAAGGGTCGAGAGCAAGTATGCCATGCTTGTGGGCGAGAGTGTGATTGTGGAAGGAGATACGCGAGGCGTAAGAAAGCCATTGCTCAGATATATCCAGACGTGTAGACTGTAGTAGTGTGCTTCCAGAAAGAAGTACGGTTTCCCTCTTCCCAGGCAAGAATCGCAGAAAATTGAGCGGACGGCATAGAAGCAGACGTATAGTATTCCAAGAGCATGCACATCGAGCTCGCTGCATCTACCCGGCGTCATTACCACCGTCGCCAGCGACAAAGTCCACGTCTGCCATCCGAGGTAAACTGGAATGCTACAAAAATTGACTGGATATGTCCCCACCCCAGCATGAGGATTGCAACCAGGTTGCACAAGAGCCTTAGCCGACCAGGGGAAATGCACCCTTTGCACGCCGTCTCACCTGACTGGTGGCACACGTCTCCATAGAGGCTGCTGGTGATCGTCTGGTAGGCCCAAGGTCGCAGTCATGCCCGTCCTTGGATTTTTGTTCGCAGCTGTTTGGTATGGGTATTCGTCCGGATGGTGTTTTCCGAGTGTTATTTTCACTTCTCGAGGATAGGGCCGGAATATGCAATGTCAGTCAAGATCTTGGGAGAGGGGTGACTCCGTCATGGTAAATGATTTGGCCAGCAATGAGCGGTAGATGGTGCAGTGGGAGAAACGAAGAGAAAGATCCAGCGAAGCCTCCAAGTCGATAAGAGAAAAAAGTCGCTTCATTTTAAACTCGACTCATCCCGGTCACATGACCCCCCCATCCCGGTACCGGCCTGGGAACCATCGCGAACCTCACATCCACCGGGAAGAATATACAGACGCCGCTTCCGCTTGTGCTTTCCGCAAGATGAATACGTACGTCTCTGTTGCCTATTCCCATCAACACGCTCACATGAAGCTCCGCAGGCCTATGAAGAAAGGGAAGAAGGCGTGTACCGAGTGCCGCCAGCAGAAAGTGAGCCAGGCATTGCATGGAATCGCAGTATATACTCACTGTCGCAGGCCAAATGTGATGTTTATCTGAACCCCGAGGAGCCTTGTACCCGATGCCGCAAGGTCGGCGCACGTTGTGTTATATCTGACCCCTTTAAGAGGGAGCACAAACGCAAGTAGGCAGAATGATGCATACCTTGACCCAAGACCCCAAAAGCTGATTCTAGTGCTACACTGCAGACGTCTGTCTGAATTAGAACAGGAATCAGAGGAGCTTCGACAGAAGATCCGGTCTTCGCAAGATGTGGAACCGCACCCGTCGCCCATCGCCCTGCTCACAGCAGCGGCGGAGATGGAAGGACGGGCAGGACCAGCACCCGCGTCGCTTCCAACCTCTTCCGACGTGCCGCCTATATCACACTCACCAAACCTGCCGTTACCAGCACTTCAAAATCCGGGACCGGAGCTCGAAGGAGCTGACCTGACCCAGTCGCGGATGTTGGACGGCACCCGGGTCACCGGGGAGGAGATTGATGACATGTTTACGCTGTATGTGCTCGGAAAAAGGAGTCAACCTATCGCTGACAGTCAAGGATAGATTCTTTAAATACTACGCGCAATTTCTGCCGATCCTTGATCCGCGGATTCGTCCCAACACATACTACTCACAGTCTCCATTTTTGTTCTGGTCGGTGATCGGTGTCTCCTGCCGGGCGTATCCTCGAAACCCGACATTGCTGATGGCGCTGGCACGGAGCATCACCGAAATGGCATTCTTGTCGGTGCTGTCACCGTTCCCCTCGTGGCACACCATTCAGGGCTTCTTGCTACTGCTGACCTGGCCGTTTCCCAAAGAGAATCGGTCTGATGTGATATTCCCAATGAGTGGGATGCTGCTGCACATTGCCATGCAGAACGGACTTCATATTCCCATGTCGAGCCACGAATTCTCGAGAGTGAAAATGCCAGCGCCATCCGAGGCGGACATGACTCGTCGATCGGAGTTGTGGGCTCATGTGGTTGTTGTCTACCAACGGTTCGTTCCGCAGATCGCGATTCCACTTTTCCTCACGCTGACATCTAGGGCAGCACAAGTGTCATCAAGGGCCAGTCACCACGAGTGTTAATGAATATGGCACAAGATCCCGCGCAACGGCATGTACTCCTTGGTAGGGTTGCCCCATTCTTGGCCTTGAAGCTTCGATGTCAAGAGTTGATTGCACGCTGCAGCGAAGCGGTGTTGGAAAATGGCGTTCGGTCTATGTCACTAGACCAAGAGCGCGCTTTAGACATTTTGCTGCGGACCTATGAAAGCCAAGTGGATGACCTGGAACTGCAAGCTGTGACAGGTATGTCTAAGACGCTATTTCAGGGAAAGACTTGGTTATTCGGCTCTTTTCTCTTTCTCTGTCTTTGTTCGATTCGTTGGGATCTGGATATCCCCTATCGACTGACTCGGGAAATCCCAGATGACGACAAGTTTCATACATCGCTCTGCCGTATGGCGATCCAAAGTTTTCATTTTTACAAAAGTCAGACGATGCTTTCCACGGCATGCCTACCACGGCTCATGATTACCGCCTGCGATTTGATCGACTATATTCAAGCTCTGGGGAGCCGACTGGGCTTCTTGGTCATGGCCCCCGTCCAGATCGGGTTTGGGCTTCTCTTAGCATCGACCTCTCTCCTCCGCATCCTCAAGAGCCCCATGGCCACCGAGGGCCTGGAGACAGTACGCGCGCGATCTTCGTTTTTCCTCGCCATCAACCTGGCGCAGCAGATGTCGGTCGAAAGGACCGACCTAGCGGCCAAGACGGTGACGATCCTCACGCAGCTCTGGAACAGCAGCAAAGTATTTCGCAAAGCTGATGGGTCCGAGTACACGGGACTGCGCATCCGTAGCCGACTGGTGCTCAGCCATATCCTCGACACGGTCTGGTGGTGGCGGGATGAATTCGACCCTCAATCCCGGGCTGTAGTGTTGGCCACCGAGGCTGACCCGGGAAGCTTAGGGTCTGGGGGCGACCTCAGCCGTGACCCTGGGGGCGCTCAACCGGCTACATTCGCACCCGATCGACAAGAGCCTGTTCATCTGGACGAGCAGTTTCTTGCTGATTTTGAGTGGGCCTTGGGGGATGATGCGTTACTTTCCATGGAGCCGCTCTCGATGAACTGGTCGACGAATTTGCTGTGAGATGCTGGTTGATGCGAGCTAAGCATAGTTATCACCCATTTTTGTAGAGAAATATTAGCATCAGGACCAGTGCACGCGTAGAAAACACACGATTTCTCGAGTCGGCGCTAGCATGGGCCATGGCCACGATGGGAGACCTGTCTTTGTTCATCTTGACCGGTGGAAAAGAAATCCACAAGCCCCGCTAGCAGGTGGATTCCATTGAATCTCATAAGATGAGAGACAGAACTATAGGGCCACCAAGGGCACCAAGGGTCCTCTATTCGCGCGATAGCCATGCGCTAAGTCCCCTCTTATTACCATCAAGCTCGCATGCCAAATGCTATCAAGCGAATTCAAGAGTCGGGGAAAATCCTGGGAGTGTAACCCAAGAAACACCACGCTTTGGTAAATTCGGCCTGCATGGTCTTTGATTCCTACGGGGCCTGGTTGCACCTGGCGTTTAAAGCAATCTGCCTCGGTTTTGGTCTGCCTCTCTCTTTCTCTCCCTCTCCTTCACCCTATCTCTCACCCTCTCTCTTTCTTCCTTTCTCTTTCCACTCGCCCCTTTCAAGCTCGTCCGCAATCCAGTTTTATAATGGAGAAGGTTGAGCCTAAAGTCGCCGTCACCACCGGTGCCATGGCCGATGAAACTGCACCCGATGATGCGCTTGCCCAGCTGCGCAACCTGAAGGCGCATCACCACTGGGATCCCAACATGCCCGTGGATATCATCGACGAGGTTGATGAGGCACTGCACACGTCCGACAAGGGCGCCCAGATCGAGATTGCCCATGAGCTACTGGACAACTCCCCATACCCCGAGGTGCGCGCAGCCGTCCCCAACGTCGACGAGGGTGGCCACAGCAACACCATCCGCGCCTGGACCATTGGTTTGATCTTCTCGACCATTGGCTCGGCGCTGAACATGCTGTTTTCCATGCGTCAGCCCTACATTGTTATCCCGTCCTACATTGCCCAGGTTGTCGCCTATCCCGTGGGGAAAGCCTGGGAGAAGCTGATGCCCAACAAGGTCTTCCGCATCGGGGGCTTGGAGTTCAATCTCAATCCGAGTCCGTTCAGCAAGAAGGAGCATGCTATCGTGGTCATCATGGCCAATGCCACTTTCGGTGGTGGTGCGGCCTATGCGACAGACGTCTTATTAGCCCAGCGTGCCTTCTACGGTCAACACTTTGGCTGGGCATTCGAAATCTTCATGTGTATCTCCACACAGATGTTGGGCTTCGGCATGGCCGGTTTCTTCACGCGTTTCCTGGTCACACCGGCTGCTATGATTTGGCCGTCGACCCTGATCAACACTGCCTTGTTCTCTGCACTGCATGACCACTCGAAACCCGACCCCCGCAAGGTGTCTGGATGGACTATCGGCCGATACCGTCTGTTCCTGTACGCCATGATCGGCTCGTTCTGCTGGTACTGGTTCCCGGGCTACATTGCACCTTTCCTCAGTGTGTTTGCTTGGGTCACCTGGATCAAGCCTAGCAACGTCGTCATCAACCAGCTGTTTGGCGGATGGAGTGGACTGTCGCTGATCCCCATGACTTTTGACTGGACTCAGATCTCTGGTTTCAACTTCAGTCCGTTGATCGCACCCTGGTACGCAATCGCCAACACCCTCATTGGTATGGTGGTCTTCTTTTGGATTGTCACTCCGGCCATTCATTACTCGGGCTTGTTCTTCTTCAAATACCTGCCGATGAGCGACTCAAACAGTTATGACAATACCGCCACGGTGTACAATGTGACGAAGATTCTCACTCCGGACTACATCTTTGACGCCGAGAAGTACCGAAACTACTCGCCGTTGTTCTTGTCCACCACTTTCATGCTCAGTTACGGTCTTTCATTTGCCAGTATCATTGCCGTGCTTGTTAATACGGCACTATTCCATGGCCCGGGCATCTGGGCCCGGTTCCGCCGTATTGGCCAAGAGGGCGAGGATATTCATGGCCGCCTCATGTCTCGCTTCAAGACCGTGCCACTGTGGTGGTACGCCACAGTGTTCCTGATCATGGCCGCAATGGGCCTCGGGGTGGTGCTCGGATTCCCCACGCATCTAAGCTGGTGGTCCTTCTTCATCGCCCTGATTATGGCTGCTGTGTGGTTTATTCCTCTCGGAATTGTCAAAGCGTCCACCAACATCGACATTGGCCTCAATGTCATCACCGAATTTGTAATTGGGTACATGCAGCCGGGTCGACCGATGGCCATGATGCTTTTCAAGACGTACGGCTACATCAGTATGTACCAGGGCATGTACTTCTCGCAGGACTTGAAACTTGGTAAGACATAATCAGCTGAGATAGCTCAATGTTTCCTTCTCGCTAACTTCTTCCCAGGTCACTACATGAAGATCCCCCCACGGGTAACCTTCGCCGCGCAGATGGTCGCCGGGCTATGGTCGTCACTAGTCCAGATAGGAGTGCTGAACTGGGCGCTGGGGGCTATCAAGGATGTCTGCTCACAACACCAACCCAACCATTACAGCTGCCCAAATGGCCGGGTTTTCTTCAACGCTTCTGTGATATGGGGTGTGATTGGGCCAAAGAGAATGTTTTCCATCGGGGAATTGTACTCGCCATTGATGTTCTTCTGGATTGCCGGCGCGCTCTTCCCTGTTGTGATCTATTTCGGGGCCCGGGCATTCCCATGCAGTCCCATCCGATATCTCAGCGCGCCACTGATCTTCGGCGGAGCGGGTCTCATTCCCCCGGCCACACCACTGAACTATCTCAGCTGGGGTCTCGTCGGATTCATCTTCAATAGGTTGATCCGCAACCGCTGGCGCGGATGGTGGATGCAGTACAACTATGTCCTGTCCGCCGGACTGGACGTCGGTCTCGCTCTTTGCACCATCCTCATCTTCCTCGCGCTCAACCTGACCGGCAAATCGTTCCCAGAATGGTGGGGCACACGCATTGCCACCAACACTATGGATGTCGCGGACACGGCCATTCAGTTGAAGCTCGCCGAGGGTGAGACGTTCGGCCCTAGCAGCTGGTGATGTTGCGCTGGTAGGTAGGGTTAATGGGGGATCTCTGGACGAGTCGGTTCGGGGTTCGTGAGACGGCGATGCAGTATTTCTTCCATATCAGTTTTAATGCGTACAATGACACGACGCGTAACGAGATTTCTATTCACGTCTCCCTTGGACCCAGCAAGATGAAAGGCTGTTAGGCTGGTAACATACCCTATAAAGGGGTTGGTTGACTTTGGTTGAGGACCAAAAGCACACCATGATGCAGACCGACTATATGTTCAGGCATTGAGAGAGGAATTGAGGTAAGATAATATCCACAAAGGTATCTGTATGCGAGTATTGTATTGTTCGGGTCTATTAAAGGCATTCATCGTGACCCTGCTCCCATATTCCTTCTTGTGAATCGTAATGGCACTCCATTGCGCATTGCTAATGTGATCACAGTCGAGCTGTTCTCTAAGGCTTGCTGTGCCCGCTCATGCATGGCCTCTTCGGTCTCATGGGCTGTGATCTTTTCGAGACTGACACGATAATTACGGAAGATGACCGTCAACGCCGCCACAAACTCAACTTCAGCGAATTTCTTCCCCATGCATGCCCGGTTTCCGTCGCTGAATGGGATGAAGGCGCCACGGGCTGGTTTATGAATATTGCTATGCTCTAGCCCCGGGCCCGAGAGTCCCTCAATATCACTGTTTTTAGCAAGAAAGCTATCAGGGTTTCGTTTATCCCAACGTGACGGACAGAAGGCCATCACATCGGGACCCCAGTAGACTTCAGAATAATGCAAGCCATTGGAATTCAGGTTTACTGTTGTGTAGGGTGGAACGGTAAAGGTTTGGGCATTGAAAGTGATATGGGCCTCGGACTCTGCGGTCCATTTGGGAATGGTGACCACTGGCGAATACAATCGGAGGGTTTCGAGCTGTAGAAAAGTCAGCATCGGATGAATCGCATTGTGGAACACCGGAGAGATTGACCATCACACATAATGGGGTAACCAGCTTCGGGAAAAGGGTGCTATAATCCCAGTCGCGAGGATCCAGAGGCTGGTGTCGAACTGAGTTCTGGATATCTTGAAATAGTTCGTCTTGTGTGTCGGGATATAGAGCCAAGAGAACAAGGGCAAACCGCAACGTTGTTGCTGTAGTCTCATGACCGGCGACCGTAAAAATAAACATATTCCCTTGTATTTCCAGATCTGAAAGGCCCGAAGCATTTGAAGAGTCTATGGGGGTTGACTCTATATCTGCCGGCTTTGATCGAGATCGGACCATTTCCTCCAGCAGATTGTGCGTCGGCGATTCCTCTTGCTCAGCTGTCGTGATGAGTGCCTGAAGATAGCTTTTCAAGTCATCGTAAATCCAGAATTCGGACTTGAAAAATGGAAGCAAGGCTCGCGGAATCCACTTGGGAAGTAGACCGTTTGCCACGAAAACATAGCTAAGCCGATGATTCATGTACTCCATGACCGAACGAAACGTGAAATGGTAACCTGGAGGGGGTGTTGTGGCATCTTGGAACAACCCCGTGGTGTTCGTTATAGTGGCTTCATCGCTGCCCTGAAACGGTAGTTTGACTCCGAATCCAGCACTGCAGAGAATGTTGAGTGTGAGTTTGAGGATGTCTTCTCGGGCATCGGCAACGACGAAATCATCCTGCAAAGCAGATGGGACATTTTTCTGTCTCCAGCGGTCTATCATCTCGGTCGTGAGACGAATTGCCTCCTTCCACACAAGGGCGTTGTTCTTCTCGTTGAATGTGGATGCCGAGTAGCGACGATGGTGAGACCATTGCTGATTCTCAGTCTGTGGTTTCATCAGCTTCGGTCGTCGTTGATAAAAATCGAGTTACTTACAATGACAATGTTGGGGCCAAACATCTCAAGCCCAGCTGGCGTTATGTGATCAGTTATGGTCTTCCACCACTTCGAATCGCGATGTCTTAATGGACCAGTGGCACTCACCGTAATGATGGATCGGTTTGGGAAAGCTGCGGCGAGCCTTAAAAACCTGAGAGACGACCGATGCATCCGAGACATTGCAGGTTAAGCCCACCGGCGTCGCATACATGTACACTCCCCCATACTGTTTGCACATGCGATTTTTCACCGCCCAGCGCGACTTGAAGCTACTCGCGTTGATATAGTCGGATATCCAGAGTGGGAGACATTGATTCACCAGATATGTGAAGAGGCGAGTTTCGAAAAGCATCAAGTAGGCCAGGTTATGTTCCGAGATGGGAAACCAGGTATAGGGCAGGCCACTGATACGCGCCAGACGCCTGTACCGCCAGAGGCCTACCACATGTTGTACTAAATAGCCCACCAGCAGCGTCAGAAGAATGAGCCAGAACATCGTGGCGACTCTGGAGGCTCACTGCGGTGGGTTGCAAGGCCTCTTGGGGGTTATCAACACGTACGGCAGGATTGGTGCGGTCGGGGATCTTGACTTACCCTGCCCCTCACACAACGGTGGAGGCAGTGGGTCGACAACTGGAAGTGCAGTGGTTGTCTTAAGGAGAAATCTGACGCATGGTTTCGAATCTGTCAATCATTAGTCATCCTGTCGCTGTGACCTTGCCGGAGGTCAAGTGGCTGTTGGATTTGACGTCCTTGAACCAGTGGGCTCCGGCCCTGAACGCAGAGGTCCCCCGGGAGATACTTGACATGATCCAGCCGCTTGTTCCACAAAGCTCAATCATCGGGGCAAGGGGGGATGTTATTGATGGGCCCGCTCGTCAGGCAAAAACTGAACGCCTGAAGACCCAGGTGAATGTGCTCTACACGACTATCCAGCAGGCAAACCAGGACTTCTGGTCTGCTCTTGCAAGTCCAGCAAGACATCTGGCAGCGCGCCCTAGTGCATCCTCTGCAGGAAGCGTGGAGGAAACGCAGTTGACCTTGATGTGGAACTATCAATCATGGGGTGAGACGCCGGGGGCAATGGAATTTATCAAGGCACAATCCACAAAGTGATTGATGTCGGCGCTGGCATAGAGGTTCAGGGTCCGTTTGAAAGGCATTTCATCCATGAACCATGGAAAGTGCATTGCAATTGCTATTCGAAGATCCATATTATCCAGAGAGTCACATTGCCTTTAACAGAGGTTTTATCACAAAAAGTGCAGTTGTGCCGCATAATCATGCTGTATCTTTGATGGGATCTTTCTCGGCCCCTTCGATGTTCTGTAAAAATCTTGCCGCAGCCTCCGGGTTGGACGCAAAAATATGCTCGGCAACCATACGTCGGGGCGTTTCACCGAGCCACTGGAAGAGTGAAAAGTCCTGGAATCGATCCGCCCGAAACAGCTCCAGCACTTCTACTGGTTCGTCGTCACTCAAGTTCTCTATAAAATGCCCCATATTTCGCGGTACGATGCCCACGTCTCCGGCCATGTAGTCAAACGTGCGGGCATTGCCCTCGGCGGCGAAAATGGTGACCCGGGCCCGACCTTTCTTAAAGTACGTCCACTCATCAGCATTAGGATGCCAGTGCATTTCACGAAGGGCTCCCGGCTGAATTTCCAGATGGGCGGCTGCCACCGTTTTTGACACGGGGAAATTGGTCGAGTCTGTGATCCGGACTCGCCCTCCACTCGTTTGCAAAGGGTTTTGTTCATGCATCCGATGCGTGAAACGGGTCTTAGATTGTCGGAAGCCACGAGGTTTCTCGTGGTCGATGGATCCTGGGCGAGAGCCCTGGAAAATATACTTCTCGGACGTTGGAATCGACTTGAACGTTTCGGGTTGGAGGCGAAAGTTCTCTGCTAACACCGCTTTGGGAGTATGGGCTGGAAGAACGAGTCAGCCGAGGGGATAGGTAGAATTCAGAGACGCCATCTAGTGACATACCCAACCAGTCAGTCAGAAGGAACGTAGATTCTTCGGAAAAGTGACCATTATCGAATATCAAGAGGAACTCGGTGCCATTGGGACTGAGGCCCTGCAGTGAATGCGGATGGCCAGCCGGAAAGTACCACAAATCGCCTTCATCGAGGTCGTCCATGAAGCTACCTCCGTCCGGGTCGAGCGCTGTCACTCGCACTCGGCCGGCGAGCACATATGCCCACTCAGCCTCGGTGTGCCAATGAAGTTCGCGGATGACGCCGTCATCCAGCCGCATATTCACGCCTGCTAGCTCCCGGCTGGTGGGAAGCTCACGGATGGTCGTCTGCCGCGTCCAACCCCCTTCCTGGAATCTTGTTAGCAGATTACCACGCAGTAGAATGTATAGGTATCAAACCTCGATCCGGGTGTGTGAATCTGCAAAACTCCAGCGCATGTTGGCCATACTCCCATGATCCGTACTCGGTGGGCGCATAAGGTCCGGGTTTTGGCGCTGGCGATCTTTGTTTTGCGGACCCATCACGCTTGATCCATCGCCATTGCGATATGGTAACGGATGCAGGTTTTCCCCCACCGAGTCTACTTTGTGGTCATAGGGGTCACGATGGCCCGGAGTGAAGGGCGGGTCTCTAAACACTTGCTGGGGACTTCCTGCAGGCACTCGCAGAAGTTGTTGCAAGTTAGGGCTAGGGACGGGGGTGGCATATGCGCCTAAAAAAGATACCAGACTGACAACGGCAGTCGGTCGGCCAAGAAGAAGCATGGCGAAATACACTATAGCCGCAGTATAATCGTCAATCAGTTGATTATAGATCTTGAGAAGAAGGCACTCACTGGAATATATTTCTGAGGGCCCGATCCCCCATTCCCGCAGCATACGTCAAAAGTGCGCCTTTTCTCCGACTTACCCGCTCATTTGCTTCAAACCCGCGGTCTCCAAGCGCTTGTTTTCGTCAATGCCGAAGTTTAATCTTCTCGTGACGCTCTGTCCACTCGGTGGAACCATGACGCATATGAATTCTTTGTGCGGAGAAGCTGTGGAGACGAAAACCGCGTCTCCTCGGGCGAAACGGCGCATTCCGAATCACCCCCTCGTTTATGTATAAATCGCGATTCTTTCTCTGTCAATTGAAAATCTCTCATGCCGCATGAAACTGATCCCTTGCTGGGAGTTAGCGCCCCTCGATCGCGCCGTCTGAGCCGGTACGTGCGCAACGAGATTGATCCGCGACACGGAGACCTTCTTCTGCTGTTTTGCTATATCATCACGGGGTTACTTGACAGCTCGGCCGTGTTTATCTGGGGCTCATTCGTGAGTATGCAAACCGGCAACACGGTATACTTTGGCTTGGGGTTAGTCGGGGCCGAAGGCGATCGATGGATCAAGTCTGGGACTTCGATCGCGACCTTCTGCCTGGGATCGCTGTGCTTCGCTGCTTTTCATCGCGCCTTCTCGCCTCGCCAGCGCTGGGTGCTCTGTGCGTCATTCCTGGTCCAAATGACCTGTGTTGGTGCGGCCGCCATCATTGTCAGCGTCTATCGGCCCGCTCGGGATGCCCCGTTGAGTTGGCTAGTGCTGGTTCCACTAGCCTTGGTCGCATTTCAGAGCAGCGGTCAGGCTGTGACCAGTCGCGTACTCAATTATAACGGCCTGACCAGCGTCGTGCTCACGAGCCTTTACTGTGATCTCTTCTCTCACCCCGACCTGCTATCCCCGAGAGTGGTGGGTCACGCCGAGGAGATGCGACGTGTAGGGGCCGTGTTGTGTCTTTTGCTGGGCACGGTACTGGGGGGGCTCTGGGCTCACAGCTCTGTCGGACTTATGGGGGCGTTGTGGACGGCGACGGTACTGAAGGGGGTCATTGTGGTCGCGTGGTTGGTGTGGAAGGGAAAGAGTCAAGGAGTCGAAGCATAGCAGTCAATCGTGATTACCATCAAATTATGACCTGAAGATTCAAGATGGCAGCCCCCGGTTGGTATGCCCGACCTCAATTTATTCATTTACTTTGACGATAGAACAAAAGCATAGTTAGAATATTTCAAACATGACCTCTGAAGTCTCTACTGCATTAGTTCTGCATCTCCCCTGTTTATTGTTCCGTTCCCCCCGGTGATTCATTGCAAGTCGTCAACCATGGACACGTATACATAGCATATCCCATCATTCGCCCGCCCGTTGGTACGGATGTGAAGCATAAGGCACATACTACATTCGCAGCAGATAGATACGCGCTCACCAGAGTCAAGAAAAGGAAAGACAAGAACCGGTCTCAAGACTCGATGATTTGATCCTATATACATATCCTTGATAATCCGTAGAGAGTCCGCTACCCTAGTCAATATCCCAAAAATTCCCATCGCAGCATTTCCGTTCATAATATCGTAGATAACTAGGTCATGGACGCCTTCTTCACCCCCGCATCATCAGTGTCGATTACTTTCTCATCCACACTGTGATTGTCGGCAACGTGCATCTTGGGGAGGGATCGAGCAATGCGCGGTGGATCGAGGATGTTGCGCGACTGCAGGAATATCTCGTCGATCTCCTCGAGCGATCGGCCGTTCGTTTCAGGGAAGAAGAAATAGACCGTTGGAACGATAACGGCGTTGAGCACCGCGAATATAATGTAATACTGCCAGTCGATGGTATCAAACCCCACTGGGGTTACCTCGGCCAGCAGGAAATTGAACATCCAAACTGCTGTAGTCGAGACGGCGCTGATAGCTGCCCGCAGTTGCAGGGGGGCCACCTCGGTCGCGTATAGGAAGGTCAACCCCGAGTAGCCAACGGTGAAAATGAATTCAAAAACAAACAAAAACACCACGGCGGCGATCATCATGCTGGTGCTTTCATGATTCGAGGTGGTTCCGGCAAGAATGGCCATCGTTGCAGACATGCCCGCAGCACTCCACAGCATGAGGGCTCGTCTTCCCAGGCGATCGATAGTGAAGTAAGCCAGGAAACCGCCCAGCGGCTGAGTGAGACACATGGCTGCCGCAAGAATTCGCGATTGCACCGGACTAAGCCTGAGGTATTGCTCGAAGATGGTCGTGGCATAGATGGTGATCAGGTTGATACCACACATCTGTTGAAACGTCTGGCTACACGGAGCAAAAGAATAAGTACAAAAGTCACCTAGAAAGACAGTATAGCTTCGGGAGAACTTACCCGAGGGCTGCAAGCACTGTACGATGAAAGAGTCGTTGCTCTCCCATTTTTAACATGTCTTTGAAGGAGCCTGAGCCGGACAGGGCGAGAGAGGTTTCAATGTCGCGAATGTCCGCCGTGATTTGCTCCGAATCGGGTTCGATGTCCGCCAGAGCAGCGAGAATCTGGCGGGCCTTTGAGACATGGCCTCTCTTAACCAGCCACCGGGGGGACTCTGGGAAGAGCATGACGAAGAACATCACGATCAATGACAAAACAATCTGGAAGGCCAACGGGAAACGCCAGGACACCGAGTTTCCCGTGACAAAATAAAACCCGAAATCAACCCACAATGAGAAGGTGATGCCGGCACCGATGAAGATGCCGTCGGTCACCACATGAGCACCGCGCTTGTTGGCCTTGGAGATTTCTGCTTGCCACACGGGCACCGTGGCCACGTACCCTCCGGTGCCGTACCCAAGGACCAGCCTGGCGACGATAAACTGCGCGAGAGAGAAAGAAGTGGCCATTAAAATGGCACCGATGATGGAAATAGCCGACATGATAAATATGACTCGCCGGCGACCCAACATGTCCCCCAGCTGGATACAAGACAACGAGCCGAACATTCCTCCGACCGTATACAGGGCGACCACCGTTCCTGCGGAGAAACAGGGTCAGTAAAAGAGCCAAGTGTTCGAGATGCTGATCCTTGGCACGTCGACGAGACCTACCCTGAATCGTGGAATTATAGTGGCGTTCGGCGCCCTTGGTTGTGAGAGTGTTCATCGCAGGGAAGGTCTTGCTGAATGACTTGAGAGTCAACAGCCCACCCATCACGCCTTGATTGTAGCCATATGTCACAAAGGCTGGGCAGACCACCAGCCAAATGATGGCTCGATTGAGGGCGGACCCGCGAAGGCCGAAATATGGTGCCATCATGCAATGTCCATGAAACCAACCGCAAAACAAATCAAAGACACCGAGTTCGTGATCCTGCCACGCTTGCGAAGACTTGATTCTCCAACCATGAAGCTGACGAGATCCATATATACACCAGATGGGCTTTCGACGGCCATCGCCGTCTGCCGGGCGATCGCAGTTCTGGAGCCAGTGCGATGTGGGTCGTCCTCTCAACCCCCGGACTGAGCGTGGTAGCCCCCATTGGCGAGGGAGTGGGCCTAGGACGCCTTTAGCACCAGCCGATCCTTGCGATGGTGGAGCTCTCCCCTTCAAGCGAGCCCGAAAAGAATTACTGTTAGCTAACCAAAGTCTTGGTTACCCCGGATTCTTCTCTTGGTGACATGGGGACATCGCGAGGTCTGCGTTTCCCCAGGAAGCTTAACCTTTCCCCGATCCTTTGCAAAATCTGGGGTTCGCCGGCCTCCACCAAGGTGCAGAGACAACTGCCATGATCTCGCTCAATGGAAGTCTGTTATCACCGCGCAATAGGTTGCTCCACCATGATCCATCGGACCCGGCCGACGAAGATTGTGCCTCGGGCCACGATAAGCGATGTCATGCGTATTTGTCTATTATCGGCTCCACAGGGTGCTCCTGGGGTTGCATTATTCAAGATGTTGGTCTTTGACAATAGATATTAGAAAAGTTGAACACACGAGGAAGCTAGGTTGGCGTTCTTCAAAATCAAGAATCACAGACTCCATTAGCACAAATTGCAAACCAAACAGAACTAAAGGAAGCAGTGTTGTCCCAGAGCCCGAATGTAAACTGCCGACATTCGGAATCGCGACCACTCGGTCTTCATGTGGGGACCGGCATATCGACTGATATAGCCGATCTACAACCAGGCTGGTCTTGGTGGTGTAGGCGTCGTTCTCACAAACGAGTCTTGAGGTTTGGTTGGCCATAATAGGATTCTGGTAGATCTCTATCACAAACAGCAGAAACCGCGGTCGCCGCCCGCGTACTTTAAATCGAACTGAACATGAACAGGCTGAAGACACCACCATTATCAAGCTCTTCCACCAGGCATGATATTCAAGCAGCCACAAAAGCGCGTTGTAGCAACTATTCGCTAGCAGCACAGGAGAAACTTGCACCGCTCGAGCCATCGTGGATGGCTTTTCCAGACACCCACAAGCCCATGCCACACTATGTATAGAATGTGTAAGCTTCTAGTGTGAAGAAGATCATAAATGGCGACGAAAACATACCAAGCACCCCCCAATGCCGACGATGACCAGATTGAGAACGGTCAAAGATGCCTTCCGCCATGAAAGCGTATATCGGCCCCAGTTCAGGAACAGCCAGAAAATACCACTCAAGCCATCTACACTAAAGGTCAGTTTCAACCATAAATTGTGGCACTCCCGAATGTGAATACTGACAAGTAAACCAACTCGCAAATAAAGCAGTCTGCGGGGTGGACTTGAATTAGTACTGTGTTTAGCCGCCCAAAGTTGGATAGATCAACCCACAATCAAACTCAGCAGGTTGTTAAAAACTGGAATAGCCTCTGCAATAATCCAGGCAATCACCCAAAGAACAAAGGTAATCGCAACCCATGAACCGATTGACAGGAGGCTTCTTTTTTGCATGTGGTCCGTTCCCCGGAATAACCGGACGTAGATATACTTGGCGGCCACATGCCCGTTGATCACGCCGGCGATAACAATCTACTCCATGTTAGCTGTGCCAGTTTGGCTTTTTGTAGATCGGCCCACCGTAGGGATTGCAATTCCATAAGCCAGTTTGGCTGTCACCGAACTCGTGGAGCTCAAGGCAGGTGATTTCACATCCTTTCCCCCGTAATAGTAGATGACAACGGCAGCCACCAGGTACATGCTCGTGTCAGTTCCTTGAAGAAGATACAGGGTTTTGGGATAGTCGGTTGGGATTTGCATCTCGGAGATGAAGCCAAAGAATGCAACATGGCCAGCTAAACATCCAATTTGTGTCAGATCACAAATTCTCCTATCATGGGAAATGCTCCAAAGCATACCATATGCAAAGACAATGTTTGTGACGGCTAGAAACCCATTGGCAAGATTCGTTTTGGTTGTTGCATCCACCTGGCCTTTCCCAGGGCGTTGTATTGCGATCGCAATCATTGTAATCAGCACAGCGGCCACAATGCTTGCAAAAGCTATCCACAGAGGCTGTTAGCATTCTTCTAGAATAATTCGGTACGGGGCCAAAGATACGTACAGGCGAAAGAAAACCACGAGACCTTGCGCAGAGTTCGAGGCAGAGCAAAGACAAAGGACACGACCAAGCCAACAACCCCAAAAACAATGGAGCAGGTGCCATGATCGGTGAGTGTGTTCATCATGACGCTGAAGGTTAAGATGTGACTGCCCATGATGAATATTAGGAAGAGTAGTTGGGCAGTGCCCAGGAACTCGCGACCGAAACGCCCCAGCCCAAAGGGCCCCCAGGAGCACCTCCCCGGCATCTGCCATGCTATGGACATGAGGATACTGCAGCTTAAATTGCCCGATGACATATCCAGTGTAAGTGGCTAAACCACCCAGTCCGACGATCAAGATCACAGCTCTAGGGCGATCTCAGCAAGGTATCAGATCGGAGAGCAAATCAAGAGCACTTACGGGGCCATCCCTAGAGTTGCCACTGCAGAGGGGAGTGAGAGAATGCCCAAAGAAATCGTTTCTGCAATCATAACTGTGGAGAGCCACTGTTAGTGACGGGCGCATGCGTGCCTTGGAATCGATATCATACTCATGCCACATTGCCTGGAAATGTTTCATTTGCCAAGTTAGCGACTGCCACCTTCACCATGTTTTGGACCGATCATACCACCAGTGGAGTGTCCTGTATTTGACCTCGGCAAACTGCTCATCTCCAAACGGGTCCTCATACTCGGGCGCATTATCATAATGCTGATATTTTTCATTGTCGTGGCCGAAGTCATCATGTTTATCCGTTCCAGGGCCCTGGATCGAATCCTGGGATGGCTTCATCATCTTGGGAGTAATGCCGAAGGGAGGAAACTGAGTGAAAACGCTACCGACTCTGTCAATCGGGACAGACAATAGCAGATAGGCGACACGAGATGACTTTGGGGACTTTCAGCATGAAGATGAGGCGAGAAAATGGCAAAGCGAGAAGAAATGAGCGGCCGGGGCTTCAGCAGGTTTTAAGGCTATCATCCTTCTAGCTCCCATGCGTACCGTGCTTCGACACCCACGAGACTTCCAGCCTGGCGCGATGTCACATTGCGGGGGACCATCGCTGAAACCATGGGTCTGCGCACTAGCTCGCAGACGAATCAACGATCATGCGATGATGGCTAAGTGGAGAAGCATCGTGAGATCCCTGCCAACAAAGGGGTCCGAGGAACCAAGAGATAAGAAAGAATCCACTTTGGGGATTGTACAAGCGGCATGGCTTGCGCTGACCTGAGCCAAGGGCAAAGGGGCGCCCTACACCTTGGTGGCTTCCGAAGGCTTGTTTCGACGGAAAAGAGGTCAACAGGAAGAGGGGGGTTTGTGGTGATGATTTCATCGCTTGCCAAGTGAAATGGCATTTTCGGCTGCGCAGGGATGGGGCCGGCTATCGACGGGTGTTTCTCCACACTGGGTCCAAGATCCGGGGAACGTGGGTCCTACACTTTTGCTTAAAATACATAAAAGAACATTGCAGGAATCATGATGCTCTGATTAATAGTATTATCATTATTGGATTTCATGAAAAGCGGCCCAGGGTGAATCCGGGTCCACGGGTATTTAGGTACTGCTAGGTAATCCCCAGAAATTATCCGAACTATATAAATGTAGCTGGCACCATCCCATCTGGTGTCCATAGGATAAATATTCATGAAGCATTCCGATCTGGTAGCTCCACTGCTTCGCGGTCCACTGAGATTTGCACACTCTTCAAGATGTTTCCCGACCCGACAGTCGCATGTATGGTATCATCGGGGTTTAGGGTTTCAGAATCGCGTGTTGTTGATAGTCGAAGAATTTTCAGTCTTCGAGAGCGGGAGCTGGCCGGGCTTCTCGTTTTTAAAGAATCGTCAGTATAGGCCAATCCATCTTCATCAACGTACGCGGCGAGAAACGGCTTCATCAGGGGTGCGGTCAGAACGAGCACACTCAGGGCGATGTGCAACTCTGCCATGATCGTCGCAATGCTGCCTTCAAGAGATGGGGTTGTTGAGTTGATTTGCTGTTGAACGTAGTATAAATGGACTGCAGCAACGGGAATAAGACTAGTCATATCCACCCACAGTGTCAGAGAGAACTTCCTCAAGCCATGGAAGAGAGGGGTATCGCACGTACACCACACGGCAGCTCAGGATGACAAGCACAATAGTCTTCTTGTTGAGACTGGTTTGTAGTCGTGAAATCACTCGCACGGGGTAGAGCACGAGCATAACCTCGAGAACAATATCAATGGCCGTGATTGCCTGCCACCGGGGGAACTGCAGTGAGTGTTGGTAGAGTGACTCGAGCAATAGTCTGGCAATTAGGGACTGACCAGTGCCGGACACCTTCTCGAAGTAATATCGCCCCATGGATCCCCGTTACAACGAATCGCCAGCAATATAACCCCCACCGGTGTCCACAGGGTTACCAAAGCAAGAACCGTGAAGGCCATCCATTGCAAGCTCCGCATGGTGATGACGCGGTAAAAGACCAAGGTTGATATTTTTGACAGCGGTAGGATTGTGACATACAGAATATCTGCGCTGTATCCTGCCTGAAATGACAGTAGGTCAATAGAGATCCCTTGATTTACACGGAGAATCAAGTTGCTGACCTTTTTCATAGGGATGAGATCTTGGTCGGCAATCAACGACGTTGTCTTCCCCCAACCAAAATGGATTTGAACGAAAACGGTGGTCATCTGAGCCAATGCGATCACCTGGTTCTATCAGCGACACGCTTTCTGCCAAGCAAGGTCATCAATCATACCACTGTCGCCGTGAAGGTCGGGTCATCCATTTGTCGAGCCTTTCTATTGTATGCAGAATATACGCGGATGCCTAGTGAACCAAGAACTAGAAATAGCGAAAAGGAGGTAATCACGGCGATGAGTCCATTGTGGTTTACATCGTTGTTGACTGTCAGCGGGGGTTTGAAACCGAGTGGCAATGTCGAGGATGGAGCCGCCATGGCCGACTGCGTGCGTTGGTCCAAGAAACATCCAGCTTTCCTCAGGACCTAGTGTGACATATATTCACCTAGGAGGAAACATCTTGGACATGACAAGAGGCCCTGATGAAGACGCAAGCCGTCCCAATTATACGGGCTGCTGACATCCATGCATATCCAGGCCGACTCCGAATGGAACACCGTTCTCCCTTCCAAAAACTTGTCTGTCAGACTGGACCGTAGGTGTACAACAGCACTGGGAACATGCCTGGGCACTTGATAAATTTTCGATCATGAGCATATCTTTTCTCCGACTCCCCCTGCGATCGACATTCGTCGGATTGGAGCTTTAGCAAACTTCGAACAAAATAAGCTAAAGAGCACTTTTGATGTATCAATTTCTCCAATTCTATGTACTGTGTGGATCTTCTGTAGGCAACGGGTAGTGAAATTGGGCCGGAAAAGAAAATGACCAGTTCCTGGGGTGGATGAACTTCCTCTTGATTGTCACATCCATCTGCTGTTTTCTCCTCGCTTGTTCTTTCATGAATATGAAGCGTAGAATAGCATTGGCCGAAGTGGCTGCTTGCCTTCTGGGCTGTCGCGGAGTTGGCAGTGCAAGAAGTCTCGGAGGGTTTGACGTTCCTAGGGTTTCACACCAAACATTGTAGGTCGAGCCCTCTGACACCGAGGATTATGCAGCACAGCAACATGGGGTGGTTTCCCGATGATATTACCAACCACTGATCCTCAAGAAAATTTTAAATACAACTGCTAGGGAATGCCGGGAGCACATCCGACCCTTTACGCTGGACTACCACTTGAGTTGGTGGCTGGGATAGAGATCGCCCTCGCGCCCACACGGAAAGATGCAGGGAATGCAAGGAAGAGACACAAACCCACGGCTCAAATGGTTATTATTTTTAATTGTTCCACTTGAGCAGCGATAGCCCTGAATCGGGGTGTACAGCCTACGGAACCGTTGGCAATTGACGGGCCCAAAGCAGCCAGAAGAATGGTACAAACTCGAATATTGATCTGAAATAAAATGTTGGAATTCATTGCCCTCAAGCAGACCTTGCCATGTGTCTCGAGTGTTAATTAGGCAGACATAATTTGATACGAGGCAAGTCTGTGCATCACGCCAAATGCCGGCTATCCCGCTCATGTTTGTCCTACGAGTGCCACCCCTGTGTATGTTTTCTCCAAGTCCGGCTTATCCAGGATTTGGCTCAGGCCGATGCGAATAGCTTACCATGTGGCTCCATGTGTACTGTTTCCCATAAGCTTGATTCACAAGTGTCTTCGGTTCGTTCGATATATAATACTCCTTGTCAGAGAGAGACAGAAGACCAAGAAATTTACTAAATCACGGAACTCGTCTGCTGTACCACACTCATAGTGTCGCTAATTTACCACCCTAGAGGGAAGCTGCAGCACCGGCGCAAACGGACAATCAGTGTTGATGACTTGGCCAACTTTTGGTCAACAATTCTGCTCTTCATTACACGTCTGGTCCAGGTCTTATGCTTTCGGTTTGCGTGCTTTCAAAGATCCTTTGATTCTGCCAGAGCCCTCGACCTTGAGCGTAATCTTCTATGCCGTTGAGTGTTTCTCTTCATGGCCTCGCTTTCTGGTCCTTCAACAATTCCACGGGACCCCGTCATTGGCTTTGCCATGACGGATATGGAGGGTCCGAGCAAGGATGTGCCTGAGATGGAGGGTACTCCCCAAGATCAAAACGATATGAATCGGATGGGAAAGATTCAAGAATTTAAGGTATCGGTTTATTTATTCGGCCTTCTGTGGCATTTGCGAGCAGGCTAATATTCGTTGAAGCGCAATTTTCGTCCACTTGCAGCTCTGAGTTTTTCTGCTGTTCTTCAAGCCACTTGGGAGTTTATCCTGATGTACGGACTATAAGAAGCCCAGTGACTTTCTCCAACTAACTGTTTTATAGTTCCAACTCTCAAGGGCTGGAAAATGGCGGCCTTGCGGGACTCTTCTGGTCCTACATGTGGACCTTTGTCGGATTTGGCTTGATCATCGTCTCACTCGCTGAAATGGCGTCCATGTAAGTATGGCAACGTTGGCACCTCTCGGTATTATGCATGTCTGATCGTATTTTCTCCAACCCCCAGTGCGCCGACTTCGGGTGGGCAGTATCACTGGGTGTCGGAGCTGGCGTCTCCTCGATACCAGAAATTCCTGAGTTATACAACAGGTGAATGCCTCTTGGTTGGTTTTCAGCTACAGTGCTGATGCTTTGGTAAGGCTGGATGTCGGTTCTTGCGTGGCAATCTGGCGCTGCCTCGGGCTCCTTTCTCACGGGGACAATCATTCAAGGTCTGATCAGTATTCGAGACCCCAGCTACCAGCCACAAAACTGGCAAGGAACGCTATTTGTGTTTGCAATGGTTGCCGTCATCTACTTCTTCAATGTCTACGCTGCCAGTTGGATGCCGCGCATTCAGAACGTTCTTTTAGCTCTACACCTCTTGTGCTGGGTTGTCGTGATTGTCGTCCTCTTTGCCATGGCGCCCCATAACTCGGCGCAGGCTGTCTTCACCGAGTTTCGCAATGGTGGTGGTTGGCCTACTGTCGGGATGAGTTTAATGATCGGCCAAATATCCGCTATCTATGGATCTCTCAGTGCGTCTTTTGAGGCTTTCTTCAACGTCGCGTCTTCTCTGTTTGGGTATTATGACTAATCTTAGGGTTTCCAGGCTCTGATGCCACAGCACATATCTCCGAGGAAGTCAAGGATGCGGGACGATATGTCCCTATTGCCATTGCCTGGGGGTACTTTGGGAACGGAATCATGGCGCTCATTACGATCGTGGAATTTCTTCTTGCGCTCCCGTCTGTTTCTGGGGCCCTCGAAGACAGTTCGGGGTTTCCATTCCTTTATGTCTTTCGTCAAATCCTTTCAACCTCCGGGGTCAATGGCCTTACGGCCATCATCCTGATCCCGGTCATTTTCAGTAACATCCTCTTCAACGCGTCGACCGCCCGTCAAACATATGCCTTTGCGCGGGATCAAGGCTTGCCATTTGCTCGGTGGATCTCTCGAATTGATCCCCGTCGTCAGATCCCGGTACGAGCGATTGCGCTGTCTTGCATTATCAGCGGCTTGCTATCTCTCATCAACATTGGGTCCTATGTCGCGTTCAACGCCATCATTTCGCTCAATGTTGCCGCGCTGATGTATACATACGCAGTCTCCATCAGCTGCATTATTTATCGGAAAGTCTCCTGCCCTGAGACTCTCCCTCCCCGGCGTTGGAGCCTCGGCAGGCCTGGACTTTTGATCAACATTATTGGACTTTTATATGTTTTCTTCGCCCTCTTCTGGTCGTTCTGGCCCCCGTCTCCGTCTCCAGCAGTGCGGGACTTCAATTGGAGTGTGGTGATCTTTGTGAGTGTGTTTGGTCTGAGCCTGGTGATGTATATATCCCAGGGACGGCGGCATTATGTTGGGCCCGTGATTACGATCCAGCGACATGATTGAGCCGGGGCGTTTCTCCCATTCTCTGGGCGGTTATCTGCGTCAGGTGTAATGACACGACACGTTCGACATGAGATATGAAAACAGGATTTTCGAGGCGAGTTTGCTGCATCGGCTTTGGTGTTGGATTTGATTCTTGGCTACCATTGGTTTCTTCTTTCTCTTTACACTCCTCACCCTACCTAGGCATTTCTTGGATAGAGTCGAAATAGTATCTGCATTTCCAGCGCAGACAAGCAATCCCCATATCTTAGGGCTATAGTACAATAAAAAAAATACATAAACATTCCTCCAGAGGATCAGAAAACCCCTTTTATCTGATCCAGCCGCCGCCAAACGAAGTCTGGGCTACTTTGCGCCAAAATCCCCCTTCTCCTGTCGCACCCTCGTCCATTTCCGCTTTCAGGACTGGGTTGATTCCCTTCTGTCGCATCTTTTCTTGTTTCTCAAGGGGGATCTTGTGGACTGGATGGTCGGGGCCGGGCTTTTTGTTTGAATCGCAGGGTTCCTTAGGGGTGATGCCCCATTTCATGCCGGGGTCTGGTAGAGGTTTCGGGTCTTTTGTTTTTGTGAAAGGCATTTCGAGGACAAAGATGTAACCAGCGATATAATAAACACTGAGGCTACATATCAAGTGGACTCAGCCATCTTTAAATATACAACATCTGCATCCCCCGCCCGGCTCCAGGCCGCCGAGAAATCCACAGGGGGCCGTGTTGGGCGGGCCAACAAATCCGGACGGAGACGGGCCATTTGGGGCTCTCCCTCCGAAGTCACCATGTCTTGGCATGAGGCGGAGGAGCTGCGCCTTGGTGCGATGACTTCATTGCCCGGTCGCCGCTACGACGAAATGCTGCCGTTTTATCCAGGCATCTATTCGGAATCGGAACAAGAGAAAGCCCGGAATGGAGGCAGGTGATGTATCATGTGATCTATTCATCTACCTTCTATATAAGGCCTAGCGGGGGGTTCGAGGTTCAAGCATACTCGACGGGAATAAATTCAGGGACCACCACACATTGGAACATTTTGCCAGTTATTCGTTCTTGCGTTTCTTGCGGTCCTTGTTCGGTCTTCCATCTCCGACACGAGCGTTAGAACTGATGTACTGCGGGACAGCAGAGTAAGTCGTGAAGTGATCACCCCCCAGCAAAGAAGCTGTCTTCATTTTCCAGTCATGTGGTCAGTTGATCTCCACGGCTAACTCCCTGCTCCCGCGAGAAAACGGGAGCCGACTGGTTCTTAAGCGACGCGAAGGAAGCTTGGGCACCGAGTCCATAAAAGTCCTCGTAGGGAGATGAGCGATATTTCAGGAACAGTTGAGTGATCGGGTCCGCTGCACGATCGAGGCTTAAATTGAGGCGAAAAGCAACGCGGTCTGGGTGTTTGTCGGGTACCCAAAAGACCAAAGTGAAGGGAGCTGTTCCGTCTCCGCAGCCCGTCAAGCAGCCGCAAATAACAACGGCTTGGTGGTTGATACTCCCATGCCATGGACGATGATCAATCCGAGTCACCTGCTGTGCGGTGCATTTCTTTTGATCGACTGGATTGATCTTGAAATTTCCACTAGAGGCAAGGACTTGGTCATTTCCTGCGCTGGCGCTGAGGAACCCAGGCACCGTTTCCCAGACAGTGCGACCATTCTGAGCGAGTGATTGCGACGTGGTCTTGCTCAACAACAGCACGGCATCCTCTTCCTAAATCCCACGGAATTTGTGCTGCCAGATATGGAATCGAGGAGGCGACCAAGGCCCAAGTCCAAAGCTTTGGGACTAGCATTTTCCCAGGGTGGTTCGGTTTGAGCGTGAGAGTGACTGGAGCCGTAACCCAAGTCCCAGGCAGGCCTTTATATCGTTGGTATTGTTATTCTTGTCGAGTCCTATTTGGATCAATTACCATTCTGCAATGGTATCCAGCCGCCAATCCAGTGGTTTGCTGCAAAGCTTTCTTTGATGAAGATCAACCATGGCATCCCAATCGGTCTGCTTCGACAACATCGGATTGCTGAGACCCACAGTTGAGGCCTTTCTCGGCTCGCCTCGAGCTGCAGTTGCCAGATATCTTGAGACTCGGAGCAAACTATCGTCCAGATGGTATAATCTCAAACAATGAAGTGGGCTAGAATGTCCTTAGTCTTTGGGTTACTGCCCAGGTACTGGGTGATGGAACAGGACGAGGATGCCTGGGGCATGGAGTCGCTAGAGGAATGGACAGTGTGGAGCTGGTCTCCGCGTTATTTTTCACGTCTTAAATGCTAAAATGGCCAAAAGGTTTCATCCGACTCCATCATTGACAGCAGCATTGTAAGACTGAGTTCTGGGAATCTTGACAAGCCGATGAGCCATCGCGCCATCATCCAGCGGCAGCACCGTTTGCGGGAATTTATACCCTCGAAGCTGGGGCAGCACCTTGATCCAAACGTAATAATAGACACCACAGACAGCAATGCTGAGAAAAACTGTCAGCCAGTTCCAGGTGCGCCCCGACAAGGCATATACATATGACACCCTAGCATACTTATATCCCAAGGGCAACGGCACAGTAAGTGGCATACCAAAAACTCACATCGCCGCCATGAGCGCCAGTACTTGGTGGATACCACGGCATAATCACCAACTACAAATTAAGAAAAAATTGAAAACACAATGGTGATGGGCCAGGCTCTATAGTCTGGAGATGGTACGCCAAGACGCGCACGGCGATATCGCGTAATCACTAATCCAACCCCGAGAAGAGTGCCAAAGAATGCCACCGGGTAAATAGCAATATCGACAACTGGTTATATGGTTAGTGATATGGTGTCACTCAACCGGCAAGAGTCCATGAAAGTAAGGGACATACTAAAGTTGAATGCATCCCCAGCAGGGGGAGCGAGGATCATCAAAATTGTGAACGCCCATTTGACGACATAGGGCCCTAGGGGCGTCCCAAATGGTTTTCGTCGAGGTCCAAAATGTAGTAACGGAAGTACGCCTTGCCTGATTCTCTCGGTTAACAATGAACTTGGACTTTAGGGTGAAATTCAATACCTTCCACATTCCCTCAGCATACGGAATTGCCCGATCAGAACGGCAAGGAGATTTCCGAATGCACTCAGACAAATCCAGAAGTTCACTGCTGAGGCGGCACCTCCAGTGCCAAATACCTTCTCGAAAAACAAACCAGCTGCAACTACTTTTGAGTCCAGGATCTCTTGCTTGCTTGCACACGAAAAGTATGCAATATTAGCAAGAACATAAAGGGTTGCCGTAACCAATGACAACGGAGCACTCCATTGTAGTGTTTTTGTCGGGTTCTGATACGAGATCAGCGGAACGACTACAGAGATCGGGAGATTTATCGCTCACCTTGACTTCATTGACGACATTGAATGCATTCTCGTATCCCATATAAGAGGAGACGACCTTTGTGAGAGCATTGGTAACCCCGTACGTGGTGGCCGACGAAGTACCCGCAAAGGCGCTGCGGAAATTTGCCGAGGGATCCTTCACTGAGATGTGATCTTCAAGAACCACCAGGCCAGTTATTCTAATACTGTTAGAAGATGATGGGTCAGTAATCTTTTTAAATCAGAAACCTTGAGGGGTAGGAAACTTCATTCATACAATACCAAAGTCACAAGCTTCACCAGGCCGATAGTATTGGCAAGTCGAAGAGACCACTTTGTACTGAATACCAGCACTATCCCACAAATAAGATTTAGTATCTCACAACGCTGAATTGTCCAGACCAACCAAGATCTGCCACGGTATAAGAAGCCACGTCGATACCTTTCAACTTCCAGTCCCTATAGGAGAAATCTGAAAGCTTAAAGAGTTATTCGACAGGAATAGATTATGTCAACTATTTCAACAGATGATCCCATCACGGGTGGGTTGTTTATACCAACGGCATTCCCACTGCTGAATGAAAAAAGTACGGATTGCATCGCAAAGACTGTTGGTAAAAAGTACTTGGGGCGAGGATATGACTACTCCAAATAGACCACCTCTGGTATGTCAGTTTGGATGTGTTTGCCCTACATCCCCAGTGTATCTTAAGCTGTCATCATCGCTACGGACCCTATGGGCAGGCACGAGCTCAGCTCAACTTTTCAATACTGATGTTCCCATCTCAACCGTGATTCCCAGATTCAACAAGGTGTTGGATTGGTTAGCTGCAGGTAGCAGATGGGCCACTCATTGCGGGACAACCACATCGACATATATACATATATATATTCTTATTCTGTTCACTAAAGCTACAATGGCAGTCAAACTTGCAAGGGTCCCTGCAAGTCTCATTATAAAGTCTAATGGCGTAATCAAATCCCATCTTCTTGCGTATCATCCATCTGGTCCTTATGCCAGGAACCTAGGTACGCTAGTCATGAAACCCACTGACCAGGGTTAACATAAAGAGAAGCAAGGAACAGATATGTTTATTCATTCTTAAACCAAGGTATCCATTTTCCTGCTAGAGACCCAGCAAAAAAAAAAAGAGCCTTGGTGGTGTTTTGGATATGGTAGCTCGCCTGAATATGGCCAACAGATCTCTTCTCGCGATAAGGATTTTATTTTCTTTTAAAGAAATTGAATCAAAGGAGAGAGTGGCTAGAGAAGAACCCAGGGTCCACAAAAAACAGGGATAAATACAGAAGAAAACTGGGGGAGATGGTATCGGGGCTCTCCGTCAGGTCTTGGTGGTCATCCTTGAAAAAGCCCTAGGGCGTAGCAGGCTGACTGTTTAAGCTGATTAAGTAGTCCGTGTTATCGTTGTACGACCAAGATGCCTTGATTACGGCGAAATGCTTCGCAAGGTGGTACTGAAATGGTGTGATGAAGAAATGCGGGGTGGGAGATACAGCATACTGGACGATGTCCCCCTATTCAAGAATTGCCCGTCCACTGCCTGCCTATAAAGTCGCAGGCTGTCGATGACCGGGGGTGTCGACGCCTCCAGAGCAGTGCTTATAAGACCCTTGTCAATGGCGTTTGTCGGGATTCCTCTTGGGACGCCCAGCGGGTTAACGTCTAGGAATTTTTTTTGGAAGATATTAGACCCAATATGTGAAGAGAAACAAGAGAGAAAAAAGGGCCGAGTATTATATTATGGAGTCATCGGGCTCCCGGGCTGCCTCTATTTGAACTCTTTCTACTAAATGATATCTTATTGTATTTTATTCTTTCCCTATACATAAAATCCCAAGCTCAAAGGTTTCGGTTTAATCCTAACAAAATATAACATACATTAGTGCACACCTTGAACGCTGTCGGCGAGAAATCTATCGAAGCTGTGGCGACAATTTGCCCTATAAAAGGATTAGCCGAGGCATTCTCACCCACTATAGAGCAAAATGGCCACATTGAAAGTCACAAATTGATGTTAGAGTATACTAGATGAAGATTCACCAGCTTATTTGGACTCGTAATTGGGACTATTTTTCTGCACAATTATGATCGTCAAGCGTGGGGATATTCAGCCTTACCAACACGATTGTTGTTGCCTGGCGACGAAAATAGCCAAGTGCGGGACTAAGCCACAACAATTTGGCATGCGCGTTCATCCCTACGAGGACGCGTATCCTCCATTTTTTTTTTCTTCCATTTAATCGCACGCTCACCCCGAAAACCTCCGTCCATTCTTGGAGATTCTTGAATCCGTTGCCTTTCCACCATGCCAGCCCTATATGCGGCCCTGACCCAACATGCGACTGAAACAGCCCCGCATCTCTCCCGGCGCAGCCTGAGCGTCAACCACACACAATCCGTGACTCTCGGGGTGATGGCCGCCTATGTTGTTGTCATCGCCTTGCTGTGGAATTTGCCTTATGTTCGTTGGTCGTTATGGCCTTTCAAGGTAAAGTTTCCGACCGCCCTCATATCAGCCGTTGAACTAAACCAAGCAGATGTTGGTGATTGCGTTTCATGAATTCGGCCATGCCATCACTTCTTGTTGCACTGGTGGCAAGGTGAAATCCATCTCCCTCGACCCCCATGAAGGTGGTGTCACCCACATGCAGGGGGGAATCAGCGCCATCACCTTGCCCGCGGGTTACTTGGGGTCGTCTATCATTGGCGCCCTCTTAATCTTTGCCGGATTCGATATTGTTGCCAGCAAAGTCGCCAGTATTATTCTCGGCGTCTGTTTCCTGCTCACGCTCTGGTGGGCGCGGAAGGACTGGCTGACGATTGTGACCATCCTTCTCGCCGTTGCATTGTTGGTTGCGTGTTGGTTCATTGCCCACGGAGAGGCCCTGAGATGGGTTGTGGTAAGCTTTGATGATATATCTTCTGAACTTGAGTACGCTTGCTGATTGGATGCATTAGCTGTTTATTGGGGTAATGTCCGCGCTCTACAGTGTTTGGGATATCGTAAGTCATCCTCGCCCGCTTTTATTGCTTGGTATTCATTGCCCGATTCAATAGTGTGATGACCTTATCCTTCGAAAGGTGAATACTTCAGATGCTAGCGTTTTTGCCCAGAAGTATGGAGGGTCTTCCCAGTGCTGGGGCGTCATTTGGTCCATCATCTCCCTAGGCTTTATGGCCATTGGCATCATCGGTGGAATAGCTGCATTCCCCGAATCATTCAGCCAACAGGAGAACGACTCAAAGCATTTCATTCCAACCCGTTAGCTATATTTCCCTCCAGACTTTTAAATGCCTTATGCCGAATGAATGATGAAAATCTTCCAGATACATTTACGATAGTCACAGGACACGAGAAGTTTGAGCTGTATGACTGATTCTAGAGTAATGATGGTCCTCTTACCGATCTAAATTTTTTACACTCGCATTTCAGTATTCCTGCCGTAGATAAGGAACTGGCCTCTTTCATACATTTATCCTGTCATTCTACCCAAGTAGGATAGTGGGGCTATTGCATCTACTACTGCCATTACCTGCTAAAGGAACCATTGAAGCACCGAGACTTTTGAGCCTACCTAGTCGTGACAAGTAGCGCGCTTTATTATATCTTCTTAGTGCGTTAAGTGTCTTCTACGAACCTGAACACATTTTTCCCATGCCATAAAATACTAGATTCTTGCTAGTCATTGAAATCCCTCAACCGTGGGGGCTCTCAAGATATGGCAAAACAACAGTCTCAAACATAGGGCCCTAGTGTTCAAAGATCCACATACTTTCTCCTGAATCAATCCATACCTTTTCCCAGTGCTTTCCCTCATCATAGGCATTTTCACTATTTGACAGGTGCCAGAGAAACAGGCAACGCCAGTTGCGATGTCGTTTTCAAAGGCCTAGTGCTTCTCGGGGAAGGTTGATGGACTTGAAACTGTTTTATAGGTGTCTGAAGCCTTCAGTCCATGGCATTCTATCACGCCATCCTTTCCCCAGTGGATTGTATCAGCTGCTGTAGCATTAGTGATATACCTCTATAAGTGAAATAAATATGCACAGGGGGGCTATTATTTACCTAGATCGACGGTCTTGGTAAGCTTTTTTCCATTCTCTTTCACGCATTCACAAGTCATCTGCGTGCTGTTCTCTTTAATTTCGCAGCCATTCCCTCTGTCATACGAGCACGAGTCCGAGAATCGACCACTGTCTAGTGTTAGCGGAGTGAGAAGACAAAAAAAGGAAAGGGGGGAGGGGGAGGGGGCAGGTACTGCTTCAGTGGCTTAACAGCGCCATTTTCATTTAGGTAACAGTCATCCAGGTCAAGCCACGAGTGCATATACTCCTCTTTACCAATAGGGCAACTGGCCCCTAACATATAGGAGAAAATTCCACCGGTCCCGTCGTCCTGGCCGCCTTTGAGTTCCTGATTTCCGCAGTCTTTAAAATCTTTTGCGGTGATCAAGGTTGGGGATGCAGCAAGCACAAGCGAAATGACTTTGGAGAAATGCATATTGCAAGAGGGATCGTTCGTAGTATGGAGAATATTAAGAAAGTAAGGGGTTTAGGAAGAAGCAAAATTGAAGAAAGCCCTGGCCTTTTATAATAACAATGCATATCTAGGGTGCCATTAGGGCCACCAGCACTAGAAGGATCGCCAGCAACACTAAGGCCACCGGCCCCCGCAGGCCACCAGCACTAGAGGGGTCGCCAGCAACAGTAAGGCCACCAGCAAAGGTAGGGCCAGAGTGATAGTATACTATTATAGTAACTAGCATACTAGCATAGGAAGATCATTATTCTAAGCACCTTTACTATTTATCATCAGACGGATCTTGCTAATATGTCTGTTGAAGGATTTACTAAACCGCTCGGCATGCCAATTTTTTTTCCCTTCCCCCCCTTTTTTTTCGAAAATAGACGCCCTTCGAAAAGTAAATCTAGCAAGGGCTAGTGTAGATACTATATTTGGTTTGCAGGCGGTATATTTTTGGTAAATGAAGATTATTTATTATATATTCGCAGTCCCTTTAATAGCGTGAACGCGGAGTAGTCGAGTCGATACCGATGAATCTACCTCTAATGGATCCTGTTAAAATATACTATTTCCAATCGCCTATGAGCAATCTATAGAAGGTATTTACCAGATTTATTTCACTATTTTGCTCTCGTTGCGTCACCCCCAATTTATACTTGAAGCTCACTGTGTCTTGCAAGCCTAGATTTAGTAGACCTGTTCTCACTGCTAAAACGATATTGGATTGAGATGGCTTCTTATAGCCACCGTATCATCTTCGACTGCTGAAAACAATTGGTGTCCCGTGAAAACACATTAATTATCATACATCAGGTGGAATCTTATTCTGTTTGATTTGCCTCGAGAAACTCCAGCAGCTTGTACGCTACAGCAGATGGTTGCTCTTCGGGTAGAAAGTGTCCGCAATTGTCAATAGCGCCTCCAGAAACCTTGGTTGCGAAGTTCTGAACCAAGTGAATCATGTTGGAGCCGACGGAGCTGGCGCCACCTAAAGCCAAGACAGGGATGTCAAGCGGTGTTTTCGCAAAATGCAGGTTCTGTTTCGCGCTCGTTTCAAAGGCGCGATAATACTCGAACCCCCGACTCATCGCCCCGGGTCTGGAATAGGCTTGGATGTAGCGTTCGAATTGATCTTTGGGTAAACCATCCGGATGAACCGTCTTCAAGTTGAAAAACCAGGTCAGGAGGTCACGCTCACGACCGCGGGTGAGAATCTCAGGTAACTCAGGAAGCGCGTTAAACGAAAATTGCCAAAGGCGCATGTTGGTCTGGTGAGACAACGGAAACTGGAGCTGCGGCAGGAAACCCGGCACTGAAGCGTCGAGTATACCGAGCGATTTGATTCTCGATTGAAATTGAGCAGCCCAAGGATAAGCGATCCATCCACCCACATCGTGTCCAACTAAATGGTACTTTCTTTCTTTCAAGATATCGTGAATAGCCTCTGCCATGACTTTGCTGACGTTCGCAGTATCATAGCCGTCGAGGGGAGGGGGCGAGTCACCCAAGCCCGGGGGGTCGAGAGCGAAAAATTGATAATGTTTTGAAATGGGCTCGAAGATATCGCTAAAAGCCTCCGCTGTTTGTGGCCAGCCTGGAATGAGAACCAAAGGGGGGCCTTGGCCACCAACTATGGCACGGACTCCGTGGAGGAGACGTATGGCTTGCCATTGCGATGTCATAGTGTTGACCGCTTGGTCGAGTACGCGGATAAAGAACTAGAACTCGAAGGGTGTGCAATTGGAGGGATATTATATTCATGGCCTTGATGGTATCTTGACAGATTTATATGGTTTTGTAATGACTCATAAAGTAAATGTTGAGTCACGGCAAGTTCTAGATGTGTAAAAATCACGGTGGAGCATCTGGGCGAGGGGGCCAAAAAATACTTAGGGGGCGGGAGGAGTCTCACGTAATCGATAAGCGAGCTGGGGGTATTGATAGCACCCCAAAATTTTCGCTATTGACACCCTAAAAAAGATTACATAATTTTGTCTTACGTAATTTTTTGATCTATTTTCTAATCACATGACCCTCTCATCCTAACCACCAAAAAACAGATTACCCTATTTGGCAACAGGGCAACTTCGACATGTATGCCCAATTTTGCCATAATTCGTACACTTTGGGGGGTGCCTTCTTTTTTCTGATTAGTCCGGCCCCCTCGCTCCCGTCTGATATCTGTATAGATTACCGTTTTGGGAGGGCGGCAGCCCAATTCGAGGGTTTAATAGGGTTGCTATGGAATATCAGATAAATTAAACCCTATTCGCTAAAAGGGATGAATATCAGCTAATAGGATTGGTTCTTTTAATACAATTAAAGAAGCTAATCGATGTTTACAGAGCAACCATATTGTACTTGTAGTTACTATATATATTAAGCAGGGTATTCGGGGTAGCTCTACTAATATAAACTCGCTGTATATTAATATATATAAAGACGAGCGGAATACCATATAAGTAGACTCTTCGCCTAGATCTAATATATATCCGGGCTTATAACCTCTTAAGGGGAAACTAGGAAAGGCAGAACTACTAAAAAAAGGGATAAAAGAGAGAGAATCAGTTATCTATAGGAGAGAAGAAGCGAGAAGCGAAGCTATCTACTACCTACGTGCGCTACGGGCGGTTAGGGAGGCGGTGGGAAAAATGCTGGCAGAACACTGGTCCCAACAAATTTTATACCGATATAGTATAGATTAATATGTTAATTGATAATATTATCGACACGATATAAGATATTAATTTAGCACTCGGAAGATTTTTCTGTAGGTTTTAAGGGTTAATTTAACCCCCCGGTAGTAGTAGAATAAATAAACTTTTAATCTATATATAGATAGAGCCTTCTATTAGCTATCTAAAAGAAATCGCCTTAGTTTAGTTACTAATATAAATAGGGTTAGGGCTTAGAGGCTATCTATTAATATAGATAGATCGATATAGAAGGGTTCTAACTAGCCTTAGTAGTTAAGAAGTCAAATTAGACGAAAACAGTCAAATTTGCCGATAGAAATAATATATATTAAATAGTGAGAAAATAATAAATAGATATAATAAATAGATATAGACCAAAGTCTGCGATACTCGGCCTAAAAAACCTAGGCAGACCGGAACAGAAGATGATGCTGCGATGATGTACGGATGGAGAGGATTTATTGGCGGGAACTCGACTGCGCTAAACTTTATGCCTGAGATAGCCTTGAATTTTCCTATCGAATCTTGCCCAAGAGAAGTATAATCAAATGATGAGGAGTAATATATTGCGTTGATTGGCTTCGTGCTGTTGGGCTAGCATCTGGATCTAGGGTTCGGCAAGGGAGCCCTACCTTGATCGGTCACCTTTGTGTATACCCTTCGATTACTGTCAAATTACGTCTCCGGGTTCACCATACCTATTAAAGGGACGGTGGAAGAGATCTCACGGGAGCAGATTTAGCTAATAAAAGAGTGTCCAAATATTACCTTTATTCTCAAGCCATACTTATCTTCTAAAGAGATTCAGATATCCACTCCAACGGTGCTATATAACCCGAACCGCAATAATACCCAGAATCAGTGAAGTGATCAAGAAAGATTACCGCGACTGTAAGGATTATTATAGGAAAATCTTAGCTTCTTCCACAGACAAAGAGAAGGTCTAGTGGCAGAACTAGTTTACGTGGGAGCTAGCTCGTCACTCTATTGGCGAGGAGCTTGTCGTGTACCCTTAATTCGAAAAGAAGCTACCTAATAGCTAAAGCATAGCGGACAAAGATCGCTAAGAACACCTCTCAGTAAGTCCTTAGTGAACCCTACTTTGCTAATAAATAGCTATGGCTAATATTATACTATAGGTAAAAGAATAACTTAAGGTTTTCCAGAATATGCAATCTTCTAATCCTTAGTTTGAGCCTACCCTAAAAGCTCTTATAAAAGATCTTTCCGATTATATTAATGAGGAAGAAAGAAATGATCTTCCGGAATTGGAAGGGAGCTTGTCGACCGAGTAGAGCGAAAACCTTTCTAAATCTTTCGGTAGGACTAAAGTCTTTGTTCCTTCACGCTTATAACCGAGTACGCCTGATAAGCCTCCTTTCGAAACGGCGGTCGGAATTATGACGGCCCCTATCGACTATCTCGCGGACTTATTCCGGACGTGCCCGTATACGTCCGGTATGCCAAACCTACCTACTAAGTAGAATAGTGTTTAGCTCCGGGGAATTGGAGGCCTATACGCTCGGTTATGGCTCGGTATCATACACTGGAAAGATGATATGTGGCACGTGGTCCTAAACCAGCGGAAGTTATCCCAGGTCTTAAGTATTTCAACTGTTAAGGTCCCTCAGAAACTATGGCGGATAATTTTGATGATTGAGAATTGTATTTATTTTTCAAGTATTTTTCTATTTTCCAAGTTTCTGGCGTTATTCACCATCTAAGCACGTATTCTAAGTAAGCCGTTATAGAGTCATGTTTACTTCCGACTTCCGACTTCTAACTTCAATTAAGAGACATGGTATTTGAAATTTATCGCGAATTCGGCTTCCCAACAGGAACGTAGGGGAAATATGAAGAGAAGCTACCCCATTTTTTTTTTGCCAGTGCGTATACCCTCATTTGAACTACGTATGCATCCGCCAGAATATGGTGACTGCGTATACTTCCACTTATTCCAGAGTTCTTTCATTTTTATCTAACCCGTCTTCGTGCTGGGATAATTCCGTCGTACCCCTTACAGAGTTGGGACCATGGTATATAGAAGCTTTACTCTCTGTGCGCCTTGCACACCCTACACTTGCCTCTATGCCAAGTGAAGCATTGCTAGACGCCCTATATAAACGAATCGAAGGGCTCTAGAGGACCGGACCGGCCACGATGAGGTGAGGGCTATTAAAGAGGATGAAAATTGTGCCTATTCGAAACCCTGAAGGATGTGCCGCACTCTGGTAAACCTTTCAGCAAGGCGCTTGTCGTAAATTGTATCACGTTGCCACCTCTATATACCGGTTTCGATTAGATATCTGGTTGCGAGACCCCGATTTAATTCTCCAAGCCCGGTCTACGATGGCTAAATAGTGTTCAATTCCAACAAGCAAATGTTGGATTAGTGGCAAAATACCCCAAAATTTATCTCGATGATTTGTGGGGCCTATAGGTAGTAGGCTACGGGACCACGCAATAAAATCATAGGACTAGTTGGTGCCTTAGGCCTGCAATTGATCCACTGGGAATTTCGCTCGCCCCCCGTTACCATCTCGTGAGTAAGTATTACCCTAACGGTCGGCACAAGCACGACCTTAAAGACTACGTATCTCTCCCCTATCAGTAATAATAAGCTAGAGCTCTTCCCTTCCCGAACCTACCCAGTCTTCAGAATACGAGGACTTTCATAGCGCGCTTCAAGGTGAGCGGTGTATTAGGTGTTACTGCGATTTGATCAGTCCCAAGACTCACCGGAATTTCAGGACTAAGGTCAGTAGGTGTGGCTCTACGATGGGGAACTTCTTCTGACGAAGACCCTGCCGCCTACGACCCATTCGCTACCCAGGATACGGCAGCATCTAGCTTGAGGGAAGAATTGTTTCCTGGTCCTGCGTTCCAGTCTACCTACGCGCTAGACTGGTTAGCTTTCTCTCCAGACAAGCAAACCCAATATTGGCCCGCATCAGGTTTACTAGACCAGGATCTAGACTTCTATAACCTCTCTTATTTTCCGACGATATTGCCAACTTCTCACGATATCTCTATAGCAAAGCTAACCGAAGCTAGTGATGATCCCGATCCCTCCTTTATCGCGTCTAAGGAGCACGATAGACAAGATCGAGCAGCGATTATAAATTCTTCCGCTAGTCTTCCTCGGAGAAGGAGTCGCTACAATATCCAGAAACTTAGGCCTAAGACAAAAGCGAGACCGATTCCGATCTATACCTAGGCCCTCGATCCCTTGAAACGATGGCACGAATCCCCTCCTAAAGATAAACTAGTATCCATGTCCGCTATTATGCAAGCTATTAAAATATCCGAAGACTCAAATTTCAATAAGGCCAAGGGGCTACAAGGTACAACCCGCTCTTCTTTTCATAACTATCGAAAACCTATTTTAGTAGCTAATTCCAACAGCGCCAACAGCGCGTTATCTCGATATTCTTCTGGCTTAAGGAAATCGTTATCCGTGACGCAGAATCCTCTAGCAGTGCAATCCTATATTAGTTCCCTACGTACCAGAAAAAATAGAAAGTTGAAAAAATCGAACGCGTCTTGTCAACGTCGGAATTTCCCCTACACTTTTTGCTATGATGCGTTTAAAAAAAAATATGATTAGTCACGACACGAGCGAACCCTTTATCTAAACCTACGGGGATAGATGTGTGCCCCTAATAGAGACGCACCACTCTCTCCAACAACTAGAAGAAGGTATTGCGCCTTCTGCTCTTGCTTGGATCCATCTGCCGAGCATCTTGCGTAGCACAATTATACGTAATGCTCTCGCACATTTCGACGAAAGGACCATCTTGTTCAGCATCTGCGACTTGTCTATCGACTTGATATATTGCCTCTTATCGATACATAGAGAATACCCGAGCTAGTGGTCACCTCACGCTGTGGCTTCTGCGACTGTCGTCTAGGGAGTTGGAACGAAAGAGCCGAACATCTAGCTATATACTTTCGTGAAGGCCTCACGATAGACAAATAGCAAGGAGAACACGACTTTCCAGCCTTTATAGCTGGACTAGTCACAAATTCTCTCCCTCCGTATCTCATCGCATCAGAATCCAAAACTATAGTACTATTTTCAGCAACGAATACCAGCGTCAAAGATTATTTTACTTAAATCTCGGGGCGTGCGAAAATTTTCGAAGATGAGGAGGCTCGGTTAACGTTATTATTTTAACAGCTCCAGGCGACTAAGGACAAATCGTTAGGTACATTCACGGAGCTTTTAACTCAGCACCTCGGTCGGTATACACGTCAACAAATGAGTTGTGGCATTGTTTCTACCGATAAAATATTCCAGGACTAAGCAAGGCGGCTGTTATATAACTCGGAGGATTCGTGGAATCAAACTATCGCAGATAATCCAGAATAGATCGCATCCTTCAGGGAGCAGCATAGTCCTCAATTTGAACACTCGGATAGCCTCGAAGCTACGGATTAGGGAGATCAGACAGGCCTTTCTAATCCAGGGATATGATTGACAATCAGCGACCGAAATTGAAATTTAACTTGATTCCTATATATATACATAGGCGACGAAGCTTTCGATATGCTATTCTAATGCTTATTTACTGGTCGGTAACCTCATCTGCCTAGGCACTATCCTCGCAACCGAACATAATATCTCTTATCCATTTGCGTATTATCGACATGTGCGGGATGTTCTTCTAGGGAATTTCTATTTAAATATTACCATGCTGGACATAGACGACTAGCTACATGAAACATGCTGTACCAACAACAAATACTCTAACCAGACTTTCCCTTTGGGATGCCTCGATAAGATCGGAAACTGTGAATCTCTTCTCAACTACCTCTAAGTATTTATACCCAGAGTCAGAGCCTCTTGGCTCGCCGAATCTTTCCCTCGCCAGGTCCACAACACTCTGACGCGTTACTCCAGCCAGAATAAGATGATCACTTAAGGGGGCAGTAATAAATTGTAGCTTTCCTTGAGGAGTTCGCTAGATAGTAAAGAAGTTTACTGAGCCAGCCTCCGTGATATATCCATCTGGCCCAAACAACCATAGAACTTGGTCATAGCCACGTCTTTTGGCTTCACCTTGTACAAGCAGGGAAGGGGCGTAGTTGCCACTTACCTTGGCAGCTCCCGTTCCACCCGGCCATGAACAAACAGCATACTCGCTGCATAGTAGACGGAGGCCCTTGACTGTACTAGTGGAAGATGGCCAGTATGACACAAGGATAACCAACAGTGCCTCGCGGGGTACTTAGAATCCAAGACTTGAATCCGATCCGATCAGAGTCGGGCGTATATATAAAGACTCGCTATAGTGAGATTTTGGAAACCATTTAGGACCGTCGATCTCGCAGAATTTCTTGATAAGCTTCAATAGCTCCTTAGGATCGAATGCAGGGAGACAGATACGCCTAGCAGAAGTAAGCATACGTACGTAGTTATACTCTGGTCGGAAGAGACGGAGCTTGCCATCAAACCTACGATGCACTTTCATTCCTTTGAAACACGAAGTAGAATAGTGCAGAACGCTAGCTATGGGCGACAGTGGGATCGGACCGAAAGGGACCAGTTCCGGATCAGCCCAACCCTATTAAGATGTCCAGCGGGCAACAACCATGTGATCCGTGCATACTTTGTGTGCGAGAAGATCCTCTGAATCAGGTAGAGGAACAACTTTGGGGTTCGCGGTAAGGTTTAATTTGAGTCTAGAGACATCGAGAGGGTTGCACATAGACCATGCATTAGTATTGACCATTCGTTCAAATACTACGGGGAGGAAAACATTGGCGTCGTCAAAACTTCCAGCCATATCGATCCAAGTAAAGTAGTAAATTTTGGATATAGAGTAGAATGAAAAGATTTGACATAGGGAAGATAGAAGTGCTCGGAGTTTTGTGGTATTTATAGAAAAGCACCGGGATTTCTATACCTCAACGAGTGTTATAAGTGATAGGGCGTAGGGAGTAAATGCTCTGTTGGATTCAGCCTTCTCCGAAATTTAGTAAATGTTAACAAAGTTGTAGTTTAGGCGCTGGATTAGCTTCTGTTTATGATTTATACTCCTTATTGACAGTTGTGTGGACTGGGCGTAAGAATAATACCTAATTACCAAGGCGGAAATACTTTATAAATAACTCAGATTGATAGCGATAAGTGAGCTTCTGTTTCGACCCACAGGGCGTGGTGGAAACACACGCCTTCACGCCCTTACATCCTCATCGGGCTGTTGCTGTTTGCCAGCCCTTCGAGAAACACAGAAATGACCTTGGCGATGATTCATCATTCCCACCATATATAACTACTACCTTGATTATGACCACTCCTTGCAAAGTGCACCCGGTGAGGAATTATATCGCCTAACCAAACGTTGCTTTTATTCTCAGTCCGCACTATATGCCCTATCGTTTCAACCATCGCAGGTCTACGGCCCTCCGTGTATATAATCGGTTTGGGAAGTATCGGTACATTTGCTGTATATTCTATCTCTAAAATCCCTTCGGGCCCGGCTGTGACTCTCCTCTTACACCGAAAGTCGCTTCCACAGGACTACCGCTTGGCTAGTAGTTAAATACGATTTCAGTTAAGAGATAGGATAAAAATAACCTCTCAAGGATACGAAATCGAGACCTTCTCCGATAGTTAGTAGTAATGCAGTTCACCCGGCTTCCCGAACGAAGATTGCTAGAAGGTGAACCGAGAACCGATTAGCAATCTTATTGTTTGCGTAAAGGCAATCCAGACTGTATCAGCTATCCGGTCCCTTGCCAATCGTTTGAATCGTGACTCGACCATCCTGTTCCTTCAGAATGGCGTTGGTATGATTGAAGGTATCAATGATTAGATGTTCCCGGATCCACAATCTCGTCCGAACTATCTTATTGGCGTGACTTCCCACGGCGTGACGCTCAATAAGTCCTTTGATATTAAGCAGACCGGATTCTCTGCAACCTCGATAGGTGCTGTTCCTCGTGATTCGACCGATACTACCGCTATATCGAGAGTATAATCAAGCTATATACTCGACACTCTACCTAGGTCAACGACACTGAACGCTACGTTATATTGTTACATTGATATTTTATAAATCTAACTTAAAAAGCATGCTGTGAATATATTCTGCAACCTAGTCTGCGCTCTTAATGATGCGACAAACGAATTTTTGTTCACAATGCCGGACCTGAGGCAAGCTATACTGCGGGAGATTTCACGAGTTGTCCTATCTCTTCTAGAACTGGAAGGGGTTGTTAGTCTAGAGGAAAAGTTTTCAGCGAAGAGTTTGGAGGCTACGGCTAATATGATTATCTCCAAAACAGCCAAAATCACGTGTTCCATAGTATGGGATTTACGAGCTAGCAGGGAGACCGAGATCAACTTTATTAATGGGTCTTGGAGTCGAATGGGTCGGAAAGTTGAAGTGAAGACACCAATAAATGATTAGCTAGTAAGAAAAGTTTTGGAAAGGTACCCAAGCCCTCTCTAGCTTGAGACTAGGAATCATTATCACCTTACTATCGCGGCCAAGGCTATAAGATAGGTTTGAGCCTAATAGAAACCCGTTTCTTTTCTGTTCTGCATTAAAAATAGATAGTTGGTTTGTGGTATAGAGATGGAAGTCGTAATATAGCTATAAATTACTTCACTTACCGGCGGCTATACAGTCAAGAACTATTAAAAGGGTTAGTTTCTTTCTTAGTCAGAAGATGCGTAAAAGGCAAGCCCTCCTCTATATATATATATATTTATATTCATACCGTATATTCGCGGATAAGTAAATTTGTTGCCTTTATTTCCTATAGTGAACTAAAAGCGTTAGATCACATACGACGGACGTCCGCATATTACCACGCCTTTAGTCAAGTTCTACTTCGGAATAAAGGGTCGTTAGGACAACTATTCGGGTGTGACGAGTCTAAAAGATAATCGTTCCACGAGATTCAAAAAAAAACTCATTCAACACGGGTAATCTCAACCACAGTAAGGTAGTAAGGAAATGACCTTCTGTGGATCGACACACTGGTTAACGCACGGAGCAAGTTTTCTTAGATTAGGAATTTGGGAATCTCCACTCGAGATTTCTTCGGAATCGCGAGCAGAGACAAATAATTGGCCAGGCTAGATCTAGGTGGACCGACAATTAGCCTTTCTTTAGCTCCATCACGCCCTACAGAATTGACCTACTACGCCCAAGGCGTAATGTCGGACTTGGGAGTAGGATTTTACCACTAATATACTTATTCATCGAGTACCCGTATTTCTTTACTTTTTTGTATGCAATAGCAGGTATATTGACAACGTCGGAGTTATAGATATGTGAAGACATGAAGTCCGATCCATTGTGGATCCTATAGGAGTAATTCAATAAAGCCCCCGCTTATGTTTAGAAGAAGGGATCAATCCACTCGTTTTCTCTTAATTCTCCAGTTCTCGTACAGATGGATACGCGTAGCTGATAGTTCGTCATTTACTACTGGAAATAAAACAGCATATTTCTATTACTCGTTTCTAGGGATACAGTCCTGGAACGTGGGAATGGCATCCTACTGACCTGGGTCAAGGACAAATAATCATTAGAGCCTTGCCAGTCAGGCATAAACTACATAAAGAACGTACATTTTCCAAGTACAAGTATTTCGCTCGTTACGTAATTCAATTTCCCAGAATACAATGTAACTCGCGTGCAAACCCTTAGTGATATTAAATAACCCCAGTCGACAGCATAGAGCTGACAGCATCAACAACACTAGTCTTCAAATCAACATAATTCCACTTTCCACTTTCAGTGCCTTTAGCCAAGATATCCAAGCTGACTTTCATATCCCATCCTGTTGGGTGAACACCCGGAGGTAGAATCTGGGAGGGGTTTCCTTCAGGCACCCTCTTTGCCAGCGATGGGAAATTCTCACGGATTGTGTTGGCCACAAGTTGTGGAGAAATCAGACCCGATATCAGCAGAATGCGTTGATTCGAAGCTGCTGGGTTGGTCAGAGCATCGACATGACTCCGAGCTACATCGCGAACATCAACCTAGGATCTAAATTAGTATTTGGTATCAGCGAATAAATTCGAGACGGGTTTCACATACAAAGTGGTAGAAAGGGAAAGTCACGCCTTCGATTTGCTTGTGAGTTCCGTCAATGAAGCTCGCGATGGCAAAGTGGTTCGTCTCGTTTATGGAACTCGGCCCGGAGATGGGATGGAGCATCGGCCCAGTGATAATGTCCGGATTAATGACGCTCAAATCAAAAGATGGGTTGTTATTCTTCATGAACTCCCATGCCACGGCCTCGGCGCGAGTCTTGGAGACGTTGTAGCCGAGAACTGGATCACTCCGCTGGACAGCTTGCTCAGCTGTGACCTGGAATTGTGTAAGAACACCGCGTGCAGGTGTATTTTGGGGCATACGTACAGGGTTCCAGTCTTTCTCGGTGTAGGGCCTTCCCTCTTTCGTGATGTCTTCAAAAGAGTTCAGGACTGAAACAGCACTGCCGAGCAGAATAAAGCGCTTCAGAGAGGAGCCACCGTAGTAATCTGCTGCTTTTAGAATCTCCATTGTTCTGAGCGCGTTAGTTTCTCATCAGTCCAAATTGGCTGGTTCACTTACCCCATTTCGGCGGGCTCGATCATCTCTTTCCGGATATCAGAAACCTGGAATCGGAGAGGAGAGGCTGTGTGAATAACATAGTCGAAGGGCTTCTTGGAATCCTTGAATATTTTATCGAAAGGTCCCTCAGATGTGAAGTCTGCGACTATCATAAACTCCACATGGCTCTTCCATGACGCGTGTGTTTTGATGATATCGTCAGCCTTGGCCTGAGACCGCACCGTTGCCGTAATGGTATATCCTCGCTGTGTAGGGATTTAGTATGTGTTGTTTATTTCACCTTTAAAGCAATCCCGCAACCCACGTTTATCAAGATATCCAGTATGTGGGAAGCGACAAACCCGTTTGCACCCGTCAAGAAGACATGTTGGCCTGTACCTGACTGTGACATTCTGGAGGGAGATTTGAGTATAAAAAAAGATGAAATTACATTGCAATCGTTCAGTACGAAATGAATTCCAAGCAGGATAAGGTAGCCATAACTTAAGTAGCTCCATTCTTTGAAAACACCGAAGTCGCACTTCACGCTGTCTTGACGTCAGGAGGTCAGCGGAAGCAGCCACATATCAGAGTGATGACATGTAAGGTTTTTAAAACGAGGTGGGAAATCCAGATTGATCCTGTTGGATATAAAGTTCAGCGTATCGGAGAAACTATCAGATGTATGGATCCCAATCGAGGCACTGGTTGTGCAGAGCAAGATGTCTCCGAAAGGGCGTACGTGTTTCGGAGAGATCTGCCAGATCCCGCAACCCAGATCCCGATAAGGTTTACCGCGCACGGTGGTTCCGTATACCTCCGTTATACCGTGAAATACATGGACCTAGCGAAACAAAGTGAATACTAGGCGTAAATATGCACAGCATTGCTATGAGGTGCGATCTTTTCACAGTGCGGCATAAGAGATAAAATTGAATTCATCCAAAGCCTCTATTGGCGTATTAGAAATGAGACCGATTCAAGTTCAAGGATTGTGGTAGCTACAACCAAGTAAAATCTTAGGCCGTCAAGTATAACCAAAAAACTAAAAGTCGTGCTTCAGTTGATCCAGAGGGGGCAGAACGCCCTCTTTCTCCAATATCTCCAGAGTCTCCTCCAACTCATCCCAAGTATCCGCATATCCTGTCCATCCCAACTTCCTCGCCTTGCTCATGCTTGCGACACAATGCCAATCCCGACCCAGAGTCATGACCAAGAAATCCCATGTAGCCTTCTCCCAGGCCTTCTGATCAAGACCGTACTTATCGCGGAGTTGTCCCCAGGCCTGATTAACGTCATCTCGCTTCGCCCACTTCACCGGATCGACTTGAAGGAACAAAGTCGGGGAAGTCTCCGCCAAAGGATCACCAGAGATACCTAGGCTTGAAGCCGCCACCTTCAGAGGGGGTTTATTCTCCAGCTTAATAGTAGAAGATTCATAATTATTGAAGCCCTTCGACCCCGGAGTCGCACCATTGGGGAACATGGGATCCGGAAGACGGCAGCCGAATCGGGTTGCGAGACGAGGCCACAGATTCTGGAAGGATTCTGTATCGCCGTTCATCACGTTGAAAATCTCATTTCCTGCTCCTGGTGCTTTTGCTGCCCAGAGACAGAACTTCGCATGTAGGTTGGCTGAGGTCCAGCAGTTGAAGGTGAAATAATTTGCCTTGCTTCCGGGGTAAGGAAGTTCTGAGCCGGGTAGCGCTTTGCTCACTGCGCAATAGAGCCCAAGGGACGTGGCCTCATTCATGAAATTTCCCCTGGCGTATCCGAGAACATCCTCGGGAAGAGTGGCAACCCATTCCCATGAGCCCTTCTTAGCAGCTTCAATTAATATGCGTTGTTGGTCGTAGTAAAATATTAGAGGCCACTGGGCTCCGCCTGCCCCGTTCTCTAGGAGAGGATCATCTTCCAATAAGGGCTGCTTGCTCTGTCCAATATGTACGCCGTACTGCTTGAATCCGCAGGTCAGAATGAAGCGTTTGATCTTCCCAGCGGCTCCGCTGAATTCCAGACCCTGTAGGAAATTGGACAACATCGCCGAGTTCACTCGAGATAGGTCGTCGGGGTTTTGGGGTACGAGGTAGGCGCAAAAATAAATATATTCGGCAGATATTCGTCCCAGAGATTTTGCCATATCCTGTGCAGATCCTTGGAGATCCAAAGTGACATGTTGGATTTTTGGGTCCTTGTATCCCGGATTGCTGCGAGAAAATGAATAGATCTTGTCGTAGGAAGGATCTTTCAGAAGATGATGGACAATGGCGCTACCAGTGATTCCTGTGTCATGTCAGCTGTGGTCTATATCAGTGTTGAAAAAAGGGCAAATGGAGTGTAATTACCGGTGGCACCTGTCACAATGGCAGAAGGCATGTTTGCAGTCAGTGTGTGATTCAAGTTGGATGTCGAACTAGTGTCAGAGTGCGGTCGTGAATCGCGGGTGGATAGATAGACTAGAATACATACGGTGCATCTGAGGCAGAATAATATAGGAGCAGGTTGGCGAAATGCCCTCACCTGTCATTTTGCCAAGCACTACTCAGTCTTCCGGCTTGCTGCGGGGTGTCATTGTCATTACTTCCGGAGTTCCCAAGAGCAGTCATGTAAAATTATACAAAAGGCCAAAAAATGATGTCATCATTTCAGCAGAGCGCCCGGTGTATTTTAAGTTGTATTACCAGAAAATATCAATAAAATTACGCTCCGAGCGAGATAGGAGTATATCCATATAATTCTAGAATCTAGAGCTATACCGGGAGCTTTAGAGTCTAGGGGTAATCTATTTTCTTCGGCGTATCACTAATTCGATTAGTAAGATAATATCAACTTATACTATATATTTTCGATCGAGAGATATCATAGAATCTTTATATATAAGAAAAACAAAGAAATTGCTAAATTTAGTTTTCGATTTTGGGCGTAGATCTATACTACAAGCTATATATATATCTTAGAGAGTCGAGGGAGAAATATATTTTGTAATTTTTTTCAAAATTTTCTTTTTTATATATTTTGATATTATAATATATCTTTCTTTCTCTTATTATAATATCTTTTAGATAGGTAAATTAGGATATATATATATTTTTAGGGTTGATCTAGCAGGGGATTCCCCGCGTCAAAGTGGCGGACATTGACGGTATCGGGGGCGATTGAGGGTTCTGATTGGCCCCGGGGGCCTTATCGGGGGCGACCAGGCGGGGCGTGGAGCCTTGGGTCTCGATCGGGGGGCCCCACCGGCGGCACGTTGACGGGGGGGGGGGGGGGGCAATCGACGGCACGTTGACGAAGGGGGTCCCGTGGCCGTAGGGGTCCGAATTTTGGATATGTTATCGGGCGAAATCACTATAGAGATATATTAAAATATTAGATCGATCGGGGTAGTATTCGAGGGGGAAAGGAGGACGTCTAACCTCTTAGGTGAATTTTTGATAGGGTAAATTACGCGGACCGACCCGATACCGATATTAGATATTAGTAAAGGGGTAATCTATGAAAGATATACCGACCCTCCTAGATTCGCGATTACCGCGGGTAATCTATTTAGCCACCCTACCCTAACCCTTACCCTACCCTAATAGCCAAAATCTCAAGTATCGGCACTTCCCCCCTATTTAAAATATATATCTCTTCTCCTAGGCTATTATAATAATCATAATCATAATTAATTATAATAATATATAATAATAATCATAATAATAATAATATATATATCTACTATTGCAATATTATATAATAAGAATAGTAGCAGTAGTGTAAGAATAGTAGTAGTAGTAGTAGCAGTAGTAGTAGCAGTAGTAGTAGCAGTAGTAGTAGTAGTAGCAGTAGCAGCAGCAGTAGTAGTAGCAGTAGTAGTAGCAGTAGTAGTAGCAGTAGTAGTAGCAGTAGTAGTAGCAGTAGAGCAGTAACAGTAGTAGTAGCAGTAGTAGTAGCAGTAGAGCAGTAACAGTAGTAGTAGCAGTAGCAGTAGGAATAGGATAATATATCAGATATAAGATATATTATAAATAGTCATACTATATAATTATAATTATAATGAATTTCTATAAGAAAAAGAGAACAAGAGAAAGAAAAAAAAAAAAGATATATTTTATTATATAATATAATAGTATATTAGAAGAGATCTAGTACTATATAGTAGACTACAGACTACTAAGGTAGTAGGGGGGTCCTATATTGTTCTACTACTACGTCTACGGTAGGATTCGAACCCGGGATACTACTAGGGGGGATTACTGCTCTAGTACTGCTCTATCCTACTGTACTACGCTGGCTGGCTGGTGTTGAGAATCGGGTCGATAATTGCCCCCTATAACCTTAGAATTCGATAGGCGGTATAGGAATTCTCTCTATATAGGATAATAGAGGAGGATATATAGTAGTATATATATATATATATTGGTAGGGGGGGAGGCGGGCCGGCGCGGTCGTCGATTTATTTAGGTGGCAGGGTCACGGGACGGCGATACTATACTAGTCACGTGACCTACCACGAAGGTCTCGAATCCCTTTTTAGTATATATATATATAGATAGATAGAGGGTGGGTGATAATATAGAATAGGCCCAAAATCATCGAAAAAAAAATCGAGAATAAATTCGAATCGATTAATTAATAATATCTCTATATAATATAATAATATACTATTATATAGTAAATTCTAATTCCGCCGGCCGCGGCGAGTATTTTGATATAGGGATAGGCTATATTAAACGTAGGCGTTGGGATAGGTAGATAGGGGTAAAAATAGGGATCTAGTATAGGTAAGGGTATACCGGGTAGTATACCGGGAGCGAGGCGGTCTCGGGGGTCGAAGCCTACCAGAATAGGCAGTCCGGGGGTCGATATCGAGGCGGTCTAGGCGAATCTAGACAGGGAAGCTATAGCGGGAGCGATTTATAGCGATATAATAGTATCGGGAGCGAGGCGGTCCGGGGGTTCGAATAGCGCCATGATCCTCGCTCTAGGGGCTGATTCGGAGGCGGTATACCGGAAGCGATCCCCGGAACGACCCCGGAAGCGATACAGTCCGGGGGGTAGATGATCTTCTCCCGGGGCAAAAGTCGGTAGAATAGCATAGAGATATATGATCCCACTATATATTTAGAATCCTCTCGCCGTCTACTATTATAATATAGCAAAAATTACCAGAAGTCACCTTCTTTTTTTCCCTATTCTTATTTTATCTTATTTTATTCCTATTTTTTTCTGATATTTTTTTGATATTTTTCTCTGCTGCGAAAGATCCGATTGATTTTGATATCAGACGAGGTTAGACATGGACAGACCCGTCCCATGGGTCAAAGATCTTGACCCATGACCCAAACCCACGACCCATAGGTCGGGTCAATAAAATCCTGACCCGCCCATGGGTTGACCCGTGGGTTAACGGGTCAACCCATTTTTGACCTATTTTAGCATAAATTTCTTAATTAGGATAGATAATTTGCTTACCTTTTTTAATAATATACTATTATTAAATACTGTTTTTGTTCTAATATAACTTATAATTCTAACTCTTTATAAAAAGAATATTATATAGTAATAATATATTTAGAATATATAATATATTAATTTATTAATTTAATACTTTAAGGTAAGAATTATATTTTATAATAGGTAGATATAGGCGAAAGAAGATATTAGTTAACTATTTCTTATACTAAACCTAAAAATATATATTTGAAGTCTGTAGTAGTACTTCTACTTTTTATATAAATAAACTATATATATTAGAAATAATAAAATAGATATAAATCTAATATCTAATATTTCTTTATTAATATATAAGTATATTATAGTCTTATTTATATAAAAGAATTATTTTAAATATTTTTTCTGAATTTATATAAAATAACAATATTGGCTGGTTAGGTTGAAATTTTTTGGGGATAAAAAGAAAAATCTTAGGGTATTACTCTTACCTAATTATTTAGGTTAATAGGTTAGCCTATAGATTAACCTGTTAACCTATTTCTTACTATCTAATAAACTTCGTATATATTAGTAGAGCTTATTCTGATTGGTTATAAAATTTAGTACTAGGATAGTGCTGAATTCTACCTACTAATAAGAAATAAGTATTAGACCTATATATTCCTCTAAATCTACAATAATTTATCTTAGATTATTTTTCTATATCTCGAGTCTCTTACTATAAAAGGGTTATATAGTCCCTTTTTTACTAAATATAATAAAATATATACCTTTTTATAGTAGTCTTTCCACCTCTATTAGAACCGGGGTTTTAATCTATCTACGCGATTGCTTAAAACCCCGGTTTTAATCTATCTACGCGTTTATTTATAGCCCCGGTTCTAATATACCTACGTAAAAAGGTTGGCTGGTTAAGTTGAAATTTTTGGGGGATAAAAATAAAAGTCTTAGGGTATTGCTCTTACCTAATTATTTAGGTTAACGGGTTAACCTATAGATTGACCTATTAATCTATTTCTTACTATCTAATAAGCTTCGTATATATTATAATAGAGTATCTTCTGATTAGTTATAAAATTTAGCACTAGGATAGTGCCGAATCCTATCTACTAATAAGAAATAAGTATTAGACCTATATATTCCCCTAAATCTACGATGATTTACCTTAGATTATTTTTCTATATCTTAAGTCCTTTATTTTAATATACTATTACTATATCTCTTCTATATCTTAGTTATCTACCTCATACCCTCCCTCTCTTATTAAGAGTAAGGGGTTTAAGTTATCTATTTTCTATTCTAATCAACTTCTCGATACCCTTTTAGAACCACTAGAAAGCCAGCAAACTAAGTAAAGCCTCTCTCCTATTATACTATTAATACTAAAACGATCTGATAATCAGAAAAAGACCTAGGTGATTTTTGATAGTATAAACAAAGTAGAGTTTTTAAACTAATAGCTTAATACCTAAATTAGTGGTTCTTATAATACTATAAAGAAGATAAACTAGGAGGGTCCACGATAGACTAATATATAGTCGTATTTTGATTAAGTTATATATTTAGTAATAGGAGAGTCAAAGCTCCTATATAAGCGATATAGTAAGATTATAGACTATCTAGTCTATACTAAAAATAGGATAATAAGTCTCTAATATTACTAGAATCGGAGTATATACTAGAAAGGCTAAAATACTACTAAATATTTAATAATCTAATATCTTATAGAATATATAGTATATTATATAGCTATTATTTAATTTATAGGCTAATCTTTCTTAGACCAAGAACTCCCCTCGAATAGCCTAGCTAGTTACCTAAGAGCTATATATTACGAACCTCCCAGGACAGCCCCACTCCCAAGAACACCGAAGAGACAGCGATACCCTATCAGATACACCGCCTTAAGATTACTAGTCTAAAGGGGAACTCCCAGA